ATGACACCATAATGGCCTGTGTCGAACAATGGAATCATCCACCAAATATCCCTCCCCCACCTCTCTGTCCTCGTATAACGCACATTTATGGCCCTTACGAGATGACAGCGCGTTAGAAATGCTTGCTAATCGTCTAGCCCGGCAAAATGTCCACAACCGGCGTCGTCCCGGACACTATTCGCACGCGTCACGTGACTCTGACAGAAAGAATCAGCCCATGGTGTGGAAGTTCGATTAGGACATGGGGGATGCCAGTAGTCGGGCTTGTGTTGTCGGAAAAGAACGGCCCGTGTCTTCTGAGAGCACCTACTGGTCAGTCACAGGAGGGTCACGTGATTGTACGAATGAAGTGCTGCGATGCCGATATCGTGTTGGTCACTGTTCGCCAACTCGTTTGCCAATCTCCCACCGACATCTGTTTCATGTCCATGTACTTGGCATGCCAACCAATTAGTTACACCTAAAACGCATGCATAGGTTGACGGAGTCCGAGCCCGAGAGTTTGGAGGTCGCGATATCTCGGGTTTTTGAATGGCACCAAACCGAGTCCAGGAGACCCGGGTCTTTGCAGGACAAAGAGCTCCAAATCCCAGACCCTTTTTCTCAGCCCTACGGTTGGCTTTCCGCTGCCAGGGGATGATCCTCCAAGCAGTGTTGTAACGTTTTCCGTTAGACTTTTTTCATGTCTGGGAGTGTTACAAAACCTGACATATTCTTACCCACTGGAACTTTGAGGTTTGGGTTGCATCATCCTGAGAGTTTAATGTAAGCCGCTTGATGTAAGTTACAGTAACGAACCATAAAAAAGTGTGTTTCCAGGGAGACATGAAAAATAAGGAGAAAAAGTGGAAGTGCATTTATGGAAGCAATCCACAATTAATGATGTTGGTCTGGTCTGGAAAGGGAACATTATGGGCATGGCCGAACACGGCACCAGCGGATTAGACAAACCATCCCAAAGTCTGAGCAACCTGAAGTTTCAGTCTCTGACGTCGCCAGCTGAAATGCCGCAAGCTGAAGCCACTTCCTTTATCTCCCTCATCCCATCACTCCTCCCATCACTCATCCCACCACTCCCTCAATCATTGTCTCCGGGCCATAATTGCTCGTGTGTTTCTGTCGATGCCTCCTTTTTGTGCTTCTATTTTGGGTCGAGATAAACTGCCGAGTTTAAGTAACCTTGTTGACAGTTCAACTGCAAAGGTGCATGCCCCCCTCAATGCTCCGCCCACCATACGAGCCCTTACCCTGGCACCAGATGCGTTGTCTGACAGCTGTTAGGTCCAGGTGCTCATTTAGCGTGCTCTCTGTTGAGCAAACTCTAAATAAGCACTCACCCAAACACTTGACAAAGACACGTTGCAGTAGCTTGTTGTGACGTAAAGTGACGTTGGTGGCCCACAGGAGGTGGCAAAATCGCCCGGCGCACTAACCACAGTCCCCTCAACCAAATAAAATGGGCAGCTGGATTTGCGATGACCGATCGTGTGCTGTGTACGCCATAGGCCTGCTCCAGCCGGCCTGCGTCGTGTCGGCCGGCTCGGCTCTCGACCTCCCCGTTCCGCACCGCAGCAAAATAAAAGAAGGGCTGCCATCAGCTGCAAAAGAACGGTTGCAGCTGCAGTCTTCTGCAGCAGACGCTGCAGCGTCGGAAATAAGTCTTGTCTCACGTGATTGAAACTCTGATTGTGCCGTGGGGGACATGCATAATGAGGGTGGTGACAGTGGTGATGTAATAGGTGAGTGACTTGAGGCTGACAAGAGAGTGACTTAATGAGACTAGCGGAAATGCCGACTTTGGACAGAGGAGCGGGCTTAGGTCGATTTGACGTGTGGCGTGCATTATCGCAGTTTGGCGTGGCACATATTTGACAGGTGGTGGTATATAACCGAGGAGGTGAAGGTGCGGGGACCATAACCATAAGTCATCAGTGCGATAGGCCCTGTCGACAACAGAGCCGCTGTGCTAAGAATGGGGTTTTCAATGGTGGTTGGAAGTCAAAGTGCAGTGACTGGCAATCGAAGTGTAACGACTGAGATCACAGTGTTCTGAAGACATTTGTGCGAATAGGTTTTTGAGAACACTGAGGTTGCTGACGGTAAATATGACAATATGCTGGCTGCTCTCGAAGGTCAGGACGAGTTGCTCGATCTAGAACACGATCTTTGCGGTGGTTGCTGGGGTGAACTCGGTAGTCTTCAGGGGTGAATACAGATAGGTGACGGAAGAGATTTGACAAGGTGGGTTTGTGGGCTGGAAGGTATCGTTTCTGTGGCTCTGTTTTAGTATCATACTGCGTCGTGGCAGAAAGTTGAGGCTGTAGCTCGCTACTCTTACTCACGGGCTGTACCACGAGTGGTGTCAGTGGGTGATAGGACAACGTGGTGATATCAGGAGTGATGATGGTGTTACTTAATGGTATCAGTTTGTTAGTGGGGGAATTACATGACGGAATTTAGAGGTGTTGACGACAGGAAGAGTGAGAACGATAGGAAGGACGAGGGTGACAGGAAGAGTAGGTATGAACGGAACGATCGTGGAGGTTCCAGATGGTCAATCTGGTCAGGGCATGTTAGTGGGAGGTCGAGAATCGTTTTTTTTGGTCAATCGGGTCGGATGGCCTCATGGAGAGTACGGTATTATGGTACATGGTGGAACATTGTCGAAAGGTATGTACAGGAGTTGCAGTTTAAGACTGAGATGGTGATATATAAGAAGATGGAGATGAAAAGCTAAAAAAAAAAAAAAAAAAAAAAAAAAAAAACCAAAACAAAACAAAACACATTTAAAAGGCGATGAATGGAGATGGATCTAAACCCTCGAGGAGAAGAAATGGAGACAATTGAAGAGGGTGGATTTATGTTGGAATGAAAGTGGAGAGGATTGAAACAAGTTGGATCGGTTGCGATAAGAAACATGGATAGTACGTTATTGAGCCTTTCTAGGGTCAGACAGCAGCGTGAGAAGTATCAAGTCTTCATCTTCATCACTGCTGAATCTGCACAGGCGAAGCCTCAGACAAGTCTCCGATAAATGAGAAGGTCATCTCAAGTCGTCGAAGTTTTGTGTCATGTAGTCATCTCATCCAGCCACTGCGATGATACAAGCTGAAAACATGACTCTTCTAGTCACTCATTCGCCGACTAACTTGACAACAGACCACACAACGTCCTTTGCCTCCCTCCGTGTCTCCCCCTTCAACATCCGTCAAGCACTTGTGATTGATATCCAGAGATCAATACATGGTCTTGGCTACATGTCATAAATCCGATCTATGTCCAGTCCACGTTTCCGGCTGGACCTCCACCTTCCATCTGCTCTTGGCACCGCTGCGACCTACCCGGTCCATCATGTACGATCCTGTCGTTTCTTTTTTTCTGTCCCATGACATCACATCGCTCTCTCTCCCTCACTCTCGGTACAACCGCCCGTAAAAATATGCCCACCTTGCCCCCACGAGATTTCCGTTACATGATGCAGGTGCAGCAGCGACGGTGAGCTTTGTGGTCCAAGCGAGGTTGGCTTTGGGGTCCGCTTCTCTGCAAATGCTCATTTTTCCGCCGCATTCGAAACCCGAACCCACCCGCTTGGACGCCAACCCCTAGAGGCCCCATCTCTCAGACATCTTTTATCTCGCCTGATGTGTCCCATCTCTCATTTGGCCTTTTTGTCCCCTTTTTTTACATTTTTTTTACACTTGCTTTACAGTTTGACCCCAACAATCATGGTTGAACTCTAACTGTACGTTAACCATGAGACGAAAAGAAGGAGAAATGAACCAAAAATAAAATAGACAAAATGTGGACGGAGTGTGCAATTTGAAATAAAAAGGGGCATTTTCCGGACCTAACAATATTGTAAGACATGTAGAATTCCCCAGACCATCCCTCTCCCCAGACTCCCCTCCCAGTTCACAGATAGATAGATAAACAATGCAACACCGCAGTGCAAGTTCACGCAAGTACAGCAGTCTGATCCACAGCGGGAAAATTGTCAGTCCTCTCTCCGGACATATTGTCAGTCCTCTCCTTGTCATAACCTGACCATCATCAAGACCCACAAGAGCCACAAGTTCATGTCCACATCCACATGGTTTATTTTTTGATTCATCATCTACAGTTACCCTAACCACCGCATTGCATACACTCTGAATATTCCGCAAACTTAACCTAAACACTAAATGGAACTCTGTTAAAAACAAAGACAATTTAAGATTATACTCATATTGGGAATGCTAGTTTAAATTGTCTGCATCAAGACATTGGCCGATATTTATACTCTGGCACCTCCCGCCCAAATCCCACTCTCTCACCCAACACTACAACTACGCTTTTTCGTCAAGCAACGCTCACGTGGCCCCCCTGCAGTCACGTGCCCTACAATCTTTCAGTGATTTAATCGCTAAACCCCGGTGGAGTCTGTCAACAAATTTTTCGTCAAATCGGCCCGTGCTAGATTTGGCTAATCATTACAACAACCGCTAGTCACGTGAGAGTTTTTTTTAAGTAACTATCACGTGAGCGGATCTCGAGAGTAACTGTCTGTCAACCCCTTAAAACGACATTACTCTTGCCTTCTGACCAGTTGCATTTGCCAACTTACCCAAGAGCATTTCAACTGACTGTCAACCCGATCAGCAAATACTTTTAACTGCCTGTCTGATTACACACAACACTTTAGAGCACGTTCCAGTGTCACACTTTGGTGCCTCATTTCATCAGTGACACAACGCCCCAGTGTTCACGCTCTTCTGTGTTACATTCGGTTCTAATCTTGCGCCTCGATCTAACACATCGTCAGTTCGAATCTCGTAAGGGATTTATCCAAACCCTCAAGAAATCAGTTTAGTCACGTGTTGCCAACTCGCCCGAGTGCTCCTTCACGTGTCATATCGGTATTTCTATTTTCAACCGCTTTTCTTTCGTCTAGCAACCAATTTTCATTTTCATATTCTAAAGGAAGTGATTCATTAGTTCCCAAGACACAAATCAAGCTCGTCATGTCTATGGAAACATACCACGGCCATGTCAAGTCCGCCATGGACGCCATCATCCTGTTCGAAGCATGTCGGCTCGGAACGCTTCCCAGAGTGCAACGACGTCTCACAGAGAAAGAACGTCTCTCAATTCGTTCTGGATCTGTGTTTGTATGGGACGAACGGGAGGCCGGAATGCGCCGATGGACAGACGGAAAGAGCTGGAGCGCCTCACGCGTCTCTGGCTCGTTTCTGACCTACAGAGAGATGGAGGGAAGACGAGAAGGAGGAGAGGTGTATCACGTGAGTGCAGGTCCAGTTGAGAATGCCAACTCCGGTTCTGTTGAATCGACTGGCGACTCAGCTAATTCACCCTCATCTCGTGACCCGTCACCTGACTCGATCCAGCTCATCACCACGCCAGAAGGATACAGATACAAGCCAGATGGACTTATGAAACAGTCCTTCAGTATCACCACTTCTACAGACCTTCGTCTGCATCTCATTTCATACTTCAACCGGTCAGCTACAGAAGACGGTTTATTGCAGCCTTGTGAGGATGAGAAACTGAAGAAGATCAAGATTCCCCCTGGCTTGTATCCCGATGCAAGTGCCTTGATTGACCTCTACAACAACCCGAAAGGGAAGGGTGTGGGAATGGGTATGGCTGGAGGCGTGGCCGGAAATCACGTGACCGGTCCATCTCCTGGTAATCCCAACACTGGACATCCTATTCAGGGTGGTCCTAACCCTGCTTTGGGTCATCCTCAGCCCCATCCTGGCCAGCCTCATCCTGGTCAACCTCATCCTGGTCAGCCACATCCTGGTAATGGTCACGGTCACTCGCACCCCGGCCATGGTCCCAATTCTGGACATCCCGTTCAGGTAAACCATGCTAACGCTGGTCACCCCTCCCATCCCCACGGTGTCCATAACAATCCCCACGTGTATGGACCGCCCCAGCACCAGCCCCAGCCCCAGCAGTACCAGCAGCACCAGGGTCACTTGGTTCAGCCCCATTACTACCCTTCGCCTGGCCCTCACCCTGGTCCCCACCCTGGCCCACATCCTGGTCCCCACCCTGGAGCTCACCATGGGCAGCCCCATCCCGGCGTGCACTACTACCACCCTAATTCTATGGCTCCTCCTGGGTACTATCCCAGCCCAGATCCAAACGGGTATGCACCAGGTGGTCATATGCCCCAGCAGCCTAGTCACGTGCCTCCTCACATGCAGCAACACCCTCCTCACGTGCAGCCTCCTCATGCGCAGCCACCTCACGTGCAGCCACCTCAGCAACCGCATGTGTCCCATTCTCCTCGAATTAGTGGACACGGACACGTTAATGGTCACGTAAACGGCCATGTGAACGACCATATGAAACAGGCCAGGTCTCCCCATCCTAGCCACGTGACCCCCGGTCACCCTACCCCGCCTTCGTCTCACGTGACCATCAAACAGGAGCATGCGATTTCCTCGCCCCGAGTTGTGTCTGCACACGTGAGCCACAACCCCAGTCCCGTGACCACGCCTCAGTTGAGTGCAACCCCGAAGATGTCGCGTGTTTCGCCCAAGAGAGAGCAGCACAGTCCTGCGCTCAGTCCTCCTCACGTGACTGATCGTGTGAGAAAGAACTCTACCAGCTCTGGACACGTGCGCAAACCAGCTCACACGAGAGCTGCTTCCAACGGGTCTGGCCATATGAGAACCTCATCTAATGGGTCTGGCTACACGAGCCCTATTACTCACTCGCCTCACATGACCAAGGTGTCTCCCCATCTGAGCCAAGTGCCTCGGTCGTCACTTAAACGGTCAGGTTCGCCTGCCCTGCCTCCCTCCGCCAAAGAAGTCAAGCTGGAATTGCCGTCTGTGGCGTCCCTATTAAAAGCTCACGATATTCCCTACGAGAAGGTTCAGTGGGGAGAGGACACTAGGGCGATTCAGGCGTTGGATAAGGGCTTCATGTGATTTATTTTGTTGGAATGATAAGAATCCTTGATTCTGTTATATAAAAAGTGATTGTTTATTTGTGGCATGGTGTGTATGTAGGGGCGATTTCTCGTAAGTATTTCGCGATGTACTTGTAGTCCTATTCTCTGAGGTAGTCGATTGATTCCCAGCACATGGCCAACAACTGGCATGATTGCTGTCTGAATGTGACCTGCTTGTAGTTTTGTAGGAGTTGAACAACAGAGGCTACAGTATTTAAGGAGACTAGTTAGGTTTTTTTTTTTTTTCTGCATATACATTCATTTAATTATAACTTTGCAGTGAAAGAATAACCTTTGAAATGAATGTACGCTTACACGAATATTACTAATTAAACACGTTTAGTGTCATGGTCCAACTTGGCACGTACCTATTTCCAGTAAAAAAATCATAAAAAAACCTGGTTCAGTCCGTGTTGTATGTTGGTCCACATAGCTTCGCGTGTTTGTTCGTTCATCGGGAAAACGCCACTCCAGTCTCCAGTTCTCTAATCTCAATCCTTCCATTGCCCTCTTCGTTTGCATTGCCTTTGAAAACGTCTCCTCGTGGTTCTTCTTCGTCATTGGTTTGGTTCTGCGTTAAATTGGTCCATAGGTGACATGGAACAGATTTCTAATGAGTTCCGAGAGGATTTTGAACAGCGTTAGTTGAGATCAGAAAATGTGGTTGTTCGTACGAAACCTCAGAAGAATGATACCGACGTCGAACGCAGCAATAGAGGTAAATAAGTCACATGTTTGGAAATGTTTGGAAATACCAACTGGCGTGTTTGTATTCATTCTTGATAAATTTTTTCTTAGCGCAGCTCGTGTTCGGAAGTTTACCTAATCTTGCATGGATAATGTGTGTCCAAGTAATACCATGTTGACTGATCATGTCTTCGCCAGCGTGCAGAAAGATAAGTGGGGAAAGTGTGATAAAATAGTCCGTGTGTATCCAGTGACTGTATTCATTTTGTTGTTCCATTATCACAGGAATATATATCGAATATCCACCAGTTGTGTATTTGAAAAGGCAAACATCCGAGAAGAGAAAGGCCACCTCCTCATTGATGTCAAAATGAGACGGCCTCATCGTGGCAGGTGACCAGAGAGAGAGGGTGTGTATGTGTGTATGTTCATGTGAGTTTGAATACCGTTGTCGAACTGTTTGCTGTTCTCCCTCTTCATCTTCAAATTGTGCGTGCATCTCATTTCAAAAAATATCAGGACGTTTTGAACCAGTATTGAGACTGTTCTAAGAGATAGGTGCAATCAATCGAGTGACGAAGGAGCCGGTGGTGGCAAAAACGTTGGTTGCAACAGATCTGTTTTCCCTACCTGACAATTGATCTTCTGAGCAATGAATGATTGTCTCATCTCTCTTTTATAAGTGTATATGGCCGACCCTGTCTGTAAAGTGGCCAGAATGTATATAATCGAAATTCAGTGTCATTAATCAGTCATTAATTCCAATATGGTCTAGTATTGCTACCACTACAAGAGTCCAATCTTCTCAACATACGTTTATTGCCTGAATAGGAGTCTACGAGATCCCACCCCCGACATTAGAAGGACGAATAGTTACACGTGTGGCCCTCTATGCTCCATCTATGGCGACAAAGCTGTAAGGGTCATTTTCGAACGAATTGGGTCTATATCTCTGCCTATGAAAGCCCAGACATGATTACGTAGGAGTACATACCTGATCAACATGATTGACCCCAAGGCCTCATTGTACAAGTACAAACTAATTTGATACTTTATGTTGGCTGATTGATTGATGTAATGGAATCAACAAGACAACGTTGCAGTCTGAACGTCTGAATTGAGGAGGTTGTTAGTCATCTGTCCCATGTCCTCCTCAAGGCCATGCTGACAATTGCGCAAAAAAACGCACTACAGTAGTTGTTTTTACTTTGGAAAATGTAGAGAAGAGTGTAGTGCTCAACTTGAAATGGTCCAAAGATATCTTGTAATCCACGATTAAAAAATAACATCAATACTTCGTCATTCTACTTGCATCAGTTTCAGTTGGAAAAACCTGTTTGATAGAATCGTAAATGGGCCGGAAATAATTGACAAACTGTTTCGCCATGGAGATCTTCTCATAATCCGCCATAAATTTGGGTGTTTGAATCATATCTGCTCCGAAGTGTATGCCTTTCCTGATACTCCGAAGTGTATGCTCGTCTGGTACTATAGCCTGAAGATCTATATCTACAAATATCGATATCGAGAATCCCGAGAAATATCATCCATCTACTCTATCAACATGTTGCAGTTGTTCAGAAACCTCAAATTGCGCAAACATAGAGAAAGAAGACGAAAACAAGCCCTTCGAGAAGCCCACCCCGGAACCATATCTCTTCTACCCTCAAGTCCCCCTTCATATACGATACAAGACCCACCAGCTGACGTCTTTGACACACTAGCTCAAGAAGAGGCCAAAAGAAGACAAAATCACAAGTTGCTCCTGTCTTCATAGTTTGTCACCTCTGCTGCGTACATTGTTGCCATCAGCTCTTCGATACTACAGTGCTTGCAACTGCTTTACCATTGTAATGTGAATAAAACATTTGCGAAAGAGTTAGAAATGTGTCAGAAGATATACAACGAGCAATTCAGTTTCTCTATGGCAATATATCTCTCTCTATAGTACTGTAGCCCATCTATATTTCTCGTCAAGTATCTTACTTGTATCTAGTAAAGTTTAGTGGACGACAGTACAAATGAGTATTTAAATTCCAACAAATATTCACACTATTCTGACATGTTACTTACAAGATTAACATCCCTTGTACTGTACAAGTACAGACCTACAACATTGATCCGAGGAACAGCATCATCAAGATACTTTCCGACGCCAGTGTCCACACGCGGAAACACTCGAGAAAAACCTCTTACTACTTCGCGACAAGAAACTGGCCAGTATCCTGTTGCGTGTTCAACATGTCAGCGACAATTTCCGGCAGGAAGACACATGAGTCTGAAAGCGGCATGCTAGACCCTCTGCACGACTTGAAGAGCCAAGGAGAAGACTTTTGAACACACTCAAACGATGTGAGAGTCAATCTGACGACACTTGGATCCAATCGGACGATATGGGATCCCATCGAACGAGATTCGGAGTCAATCAGACGAGATTCTGAGCCAGTCAGGCAACCTTCTCCGTACCATCTTCTCACAGTCATGCGAAACATAGCAGAGAGGTTGATAAAACTGGAAAGCCATATCAACATTTGATGGCCAATGGTGAAGACAGATTCACTCAGCCAACCGTGAGAGAGGAGTCGAACTACAATACTATGGCTCTATCACTACAAATAGTGTACTGTTCTCTAGTGTATTGCACGATACCAGTAATGTCACAGATACCTCAAGAGTTATTGTACTTTCTTTTACATGAGGAAAACAATCACAGCGATCAGGGCAAGACGAGAGATCTCCAAAGTTCCAGCTTTGGAACTCGGCTTTCGGGTGTGGAAGGGTCTGGGGATTGTCGTGTTGCCAGAAATGGCAGGAGAAGATGCAACAGGAGAGTTGGATGTGATTTCAGAGGTACCAGGAATGATGGGAGACTGGGGAATGTCTATGACGCTTCCCGGGGTCTCGGTCTTAGGATTCTCTGGAGACACAGTCAAGACAGACTTGATAGGAGTGCTTGGGAGGCTGGTGGGAGTCTTGTTGTAAACGACAGTAGTGAGTGCCAGTGTCTTGTTGTCGACGACAGTAGTGACTGTGTTGACCTCAGTCTCGTGAGTAGGCACAGTCAAGGTGATGGTCTTGCGATTGATGACGGTGGTAAGAGTAGGCTCGGTTTGGGTAAGGGTCACACATTTGGTCTTGTCACATACAGTCTTGGTCATAGTGACGGGTTTGGTCTGGGTGGTGATAATGTGGTCGTCGCACACTGTCACGGTGAAAGTCTTATCATCAATAACAGTGACAATCTCCATGGCGTGAGTAGGAGGCGCGGAGAGAGTGACGGGAATGGCTGTGCAGGACTCGTTGTCGCAATGAGTAATGGTCTTGGTGATAGGGGCAAGGACAGTGACGGTGGATGTGACGTTGCATTCCTCCTTGTTGACAATGGAGACCTTGCCAGACACGGTGATGGTTTCGACACAGGCGGCGGGGGTGGAGCTGCTGGGAACCAGAGAGACTGGAGCAGAAAAACAGTTGTCTTTGAATACGGTGAATTCAACTCCAGAGACAGCGGCAACTTCGGTTTCGATGCAGGGATTGGAAATTGTAGTCAGGCTCAAGTCGGTAGTGAGAACAGAAGGAGTTCCAGACACTGTGACAGGGTGTTCCACCGTAAAGGGGTCGGAGGAGATGGGGTCGGAGGAGATGGGAGCGGAGGAGATGGGAGCGGTGGAGACAGAGTCTGAGGACTCCTGACAAAAGTCAGAAGTGACGATTGTAGGGGTTCCAGAGATAGTGGCTGACTCAACAACATTGCAGGGATTTGGAGTAGTGGGAGCTATGTTAGAAGAGGAAGTGGGATCAAAGGCTGAGTCACCGTGCTTACCAGATGTGGGTTCCATAGAAGATAACAGCTCTGTGAAAAGAGAAACTGTCTCTGTGGTTGGCTCGGAAGAGGGGGACAATTGAGGAGTCAGTGGTAGCCTTGATTGTTGAAGACAGAGCTGTGTTGTGTTAGTATGAAACGGAGGTTTGCGAAGCTGATCTATATACTCACTAGTAGAGGACTTGGAAGACGGGGTCGGGAAATCGGAAGAGGGGGTCGAAGAGGAAGTGGAGGTGGAAGACTCTGTTATCGACTCAAGAGCAGAACTAGACCCAACTGAGGAGCTAAATTCAACCGAGACTGACTCAGTGGTCTCCGTGACAGTAGTAGATTCAGATCCAGTAATGTGAACAGGTTCAGAACTGGAAAACAGTATAGTCACCGGAGCACTGGTAGATTCGGGGACTGGGGTCGTGGAGTTCACAAATGAGAATGCAGAGGGGGCGGTTGAGGTCAGGGGAGTGCTAGACACAACAGAAGAGCTGGGCTTGACAGAAGACGAAGACTCGGCAGAAGAGCTGGGCTCAAAAGAAGAGCTGGGCTCGACAGAAGACGAATACTCAACCGAAGACAAAAGGACAACAGATGATTCAGTGGAAGTCTCAGCAGAACTGGATGATTCCGGAATCGAAGAGCTAGGCTCGACTGTGGAAGACGGGTCAGCGCTGGAAACTTCGGTAGACGAGATCTCAACAGCACTAGAGAGCTTTTTGGAAGTCGCGGGGACTGTAGTCTCGGAAGCACTGGAAATCACAGGGACGCTGGAGGTCCTGAGAATGCTAGGTGATGCTTCAGCAGTCTCCAGGAGAGAAGAAGAAGAGGGCTCACCAGTACTTGATGAGGGTCCCTCTGTAGATGAGATCATTACAGTAGTTGACCCAGCGGGAGTAAACTCATCAGTGGTACTAGCCTCAGTGGACGAGTGCAACTCAGTGGTGGATTCCACTAAGGAAGAGGGTTCAGAAAAGAGCTCAGAGTTAGGTTCCAACATAGTGGACTCAACAGTGGAAAAAGGCTCCGATATGGGCTCCTCAGTCTTGGGAGCTTCAGATTTTTCTACTGAGGTAGTAGGGACAGGAGTGGGCTCGTAGGAAGACTCCATAGACGACTCAGTGGAAGACACCTCTGTGGTGGTTGCCTCCGTAGAAGTCGACGCTGGAGTAGGAGTAGGGGTAATAGTAGGTTCAGCGCTGGAAGTTGGCTCCTCGCCTTCTCTGTAGGGAGGCAGAATAACTGAAGACTTTCTTCCCTCTCCATCACCCTGACCTCCAGCATTAAGATCATTATCGGAATAGGGCGATTCCCAAAGTGCACCACCCTTAGCTGTTCCAGACCGGGACCAGGCTCCTCCAGTGTGCGTCCCAATCTCTCCACTAGCAGAAGAGCCCGCAGAAGAAGGATCAGAAGGAAATGGACCTCCATGTCCTTCCTCCCACAGCACCCAGTCCATGGCATTGGTGTATCTGTCTTGTCGGTACTGTAGATCCGACCAGAAAACAATCTGGACAGTCACATCGTCCTGGGGCACGTTCTCGAGGTACAGAGTGAACCCATCCGAAGCAAAGGAAGTCACCTTGACGTAAGGAGAGACATCCTTGACAATGTCAACCGTGTCGTAATCAAAAGTCTCCGTCAGACCCTTGAACATCTTGAGCTCCATCTCGGCAATAAGTTTCTCTTGGCTCTGGTACACAGTTCCATCGTCATCCAGCTTGTCAACCACCTTGATACGATCATAAGGCGACGCAGGAACTTGAATGGTCCATCTGATTCGGTTTCCTTCTCTCTCGGCAATCTTGTAAACATTGTCTTTTTGAACCACAGACTTGATGATGATTTCGTCCGAAAAGTCGCCCTTGTTGGTGTATGTGGTTATCGTGGTGGGTCCGGTTTCTCGCACAATTTCGTTGTTGAGAGAAGCCTGCAAAAAGAAGTCGCCGGTTATCTGGTAGTTCTTGTCTAAAACATAGTCGGTGTAAGTTGCGGTGAAATGGTGGCCGTCGTTGGTGATTCTCATTATGTCGACTCCTTGGGGATCCTTCACCAGGAAGTCGTAGGAATCAACATCTGCAACATTCAGTTTTTCGTCCAAATCAAAGGTGAAAAAGTCGCCGGGATCGACGTGATCCTGCTCGGGAGACAGGGCAAAGGTGTAGTCCAGCTCCCATTTGCTTCGGGCAACGCCTTCCTTGTTGGAAACATCGTCGGCTTGTCCGATCGCAAACGACGTGATTGGAGACGCAACCTGTTTGGCCGCTACAAGCGCAATCAAAAACGTGAGAGTTGTGAAACGCATGGTATACTGGACCAGAACAGCAGATCTCCGGTTTATATTCACCGGCTGCTTGTACTTCTATTGCTTAGGCCATATGTGCAGAAGACGCAGTACACGGTGCATTTAAATCGTAAAACGGTGTACTGAGATACCCCAGAATATATTGCACAGTACCGTAAGAGCACTTGAGTTATGATGCTGTTCGAAACGTACTAAGCATGTTACTCCAGGACTTTTGTAAGATTGGATCTGAGACGATACAAGACTTCCACTGTCAATTGTACCGTCCTGTGAGAATATACGACATTTAGGGCGCCGGAACTGGACCCGGTCGTAAAAAAGACCTAGAATTGCAGGAACAATGCCCTTTGTCAATAAATTACAGAGTTGAACCTTTGTATGGTGCATAACGGCGAAAGAGCGAGCCGAGATATACATACATCTACTTCACAGTACCCTAGACAGTATTATGGGTCTAAGGAACACCAAAAGAGGATTCAGAAGTTTCAATTCGTATTAGATATTTTATGACGAAGCCGTTAATCACCTTTGAAAAGCCCAGGACTATCTGCTTCTGTTCCCACCAAGTTCGTTGGCCTCTCCAAGTGCATACTGCATACAATGAGGTATCGTACATTAGAGAAGTACTGTATAGAGGAAGGTAGGGTGGAAGAAAGACATTGTGGTAGGTCTCAGATGCGTCTACAACGCAGGTTTATAGGTATTTGTGGGTAGGTCTCAGTTAGGAGACAGGTATGCCTTGTTTCGGCTTCCGTCTCGGGAGAAGAAATGGTATGGTACGATTCAAAGCGAGATTTGGTCATCTATGCAGTGATATTGTAGATCAGAGGAAGAAATTGCCGCCGACATTGAACACTTCCCCTATTGGACAAGTGCATTGATCTCTTTTGGACCTTTAAAAAGGAAGACCAGTGTAGATGGCAGTAGTTATCTAAGTGTAGATGGCACTAACTATCCACTCAATGCCGTTTATAGTCTTGCTGACTTCTGCTTTTATTGTACTGTCGATGAGATCATCGCTGATCTTCTCCATCGTTTGTAGTCTACAGCTCGTGCAACATCTCATAGCTCTTCTACTCCGCCGCCTCTGACCTGCCAAGACACAAGACGCGGTAATGTAGTAGAGTACGAATACAGTAAGAGACAGTTTGCAATGGTAAGTAAAAGGAGTCCAACCTTTGTAAGCAGTATGTACAGTACATACTTGTACATCGTAGTTGTATTATTGAAGTGTTACGTTTCATCTCCTGGCAACGGTCAATGCGAACAATGACCTCATGGCCATGACTGAAACCTCCAATTGCGCCTTCGGCGGAGTTCCAGCTTATTTCTGTGGCAAATATTTCCTCCAGGACTTGGCCTGCTGCACACCGGCTTGATGGTTTGTTTTTTATCAATATCTGCATTCGTGTGCATGATGGGAGATTTTGAGATGGACAAAAGGGAGAAGAATCTCAAGATCACGTAATCAGAAAACACGTTAATCGGAACACACAGTCTGGGAGAGTTGATTTCCCCAAACATATTTCCAATTCCGTCTCTCCGACCTCAACTTTTCAGCTTCTGAAAATGTAAACTCAACCTGTCTCGGCCTTTTTCAGCTGCTTGAAAGTGACCAAAAATATGCAGCTCCTTCCTTTGGGGTAAAAGGGCCAGACAAGATCTCAAAAGGCGCTTTAGATCTGTCAGATCCCTCTCGTATCGAGAAGAGTGACAGAATATTATTTGCAAAAAGTGTACGGCTGAGTGGTAAGATTGAGATCTGGTTAGAGAAATCGACTGAACAGACCACCGATACCTTTTCTCAGGGCCCAGAAAACGCACAAGGAGCCTCTGAACTGCAGGGAGTCCCGGTTTTCAATACAGATGCTAGCGCCAAGTTGGGATCGGAAGAACCACGGGTAGGAAGAGTTGCGTTGGAAAGATATCAGCTGATACTGCCGCGCGCTAGGGGGCTTTGAGAGATGCTGTGGCTTGACCATGCACCAGGCGTCTTTGGGTGGTGGGCTAAGGAAAGTGGCTTGGGTTATTTGAAGCCATCAATCTGTCATAAATGCAGCTTTCAATACCCACTGGAGACTGGTCTTTTCCTCTTCCAGTCGGTCACCAACGTCCAGCATCCCATGTCTACGCAACACTGCAGTTTTAAAAATTGTCTTTATTCTACATACGGCTTAGTAAAAGCCCGTTGTATCCATTGTCTTTTTCCATCTCTCGCTTTCTAATCCTCGTGCTCTCCCCGCATCTGGATACCTCCCTCGAGGACCCTCACATCTCCACTATCCACGGCCTTAACCCACTCATTCTCAACCCGAAAAAAAATCCACATCCACCGACGCGAAATTTCTAGAAGCTGGAATACAAAAATTCCGGCCTCGTAGTCATGCACGTGACTCCAGGACGATGTGAATTTGAGTGTCCATGTGAATCGCAGCACGAGATCCACGACCATGGCTGTATAGTACCACCACTTGGGGTACACAAGCGTCTTTCGTAGCCCCCCATTGTTGAGCTCACCGTCCCAGAGGTCCTGTAGAATTGAAAGGTTCCAATCGCACTTAATGTCCCAGATGAAGGAGAAGGACGAGTTGATCAGTGCTGCCACGAGCCAAACGTTATGCACGGGATGAGTCTTCATCAGAGTACCGAGAACCAACACAGGGAGTGTAGAGCAGTACTTGAGAGCGTTGACAAGATGGAAGTGACGTCCGTCACGCGAGTAGTCAATCAGACACTGTCTCAATCGAATCAGATAGGGAACAGCAGTGACACAAGGCACAAACCAGCTGCCTCCAATTCCTCGATCAGGTCGCTTGATAGACGTAATACCGTACCACAGGCCCAAAACACAGACAGCCAGATCAGCAACTACACGCGAATAACTCGTTAGAGCGTCCGACAGAATGATATCTGTGACTCTGTGTTGCTGGCTGAGACCTCCAAGCGACACTCGGAAGAGCGACTTGAGGAAGAAGAAGCGCCCCGAGTCGTGCGTTCGCCATCCGACACCAATGATCGTCATAAACACAAACAGACCCACCCACGGGAACACATCTAGAACCGTCAGACTAGTGGCCTTGGAAACGTCAAACGGTGCGATAGCCACTGACACCCAAAAGAGCAGAATCCAAAACACCAGCATGATCGACACAAACAGAGCAAGTCGATAGACGGGTCTGAAAGCCGGGCGGGCGTATTTGAGACCCAGGATCGTCTCCACATCAATGCCATACATGCCCATGATCTGCAGGTTGAGGGCCCAGCCCCAGATGCCGAGGGTCAGGGCCACGAGAATACGCAGAATCACGTTGATGTGCACGTCAAATGAGTCTGTGTTATTTTCTGGCGCCGTCGAAAAGTCCACCATGTTGAGTGACAGATAACGAGTGGTTTCAATTGTAGGGGTGATTCGGATAAGGTGTGTTATCGAGCAATGCATAGAGTTTAGTATCCTGCATGTGAACTGGGGGGATAGCGTCTATAATACGCGTTTGAGTATATTTCAATTGAACATAGACGTTTGATTGAGGTATATTGCGTGTTAGTAGCTACGAGGTGAATTCTGAGCCCCTTGTGCTGACGAATGAGGCAGTTGGAGAGTGCTGGTATGATGTGGACGCGTTTAGTTGGCATTAGTTGATATGTATATTGATTTAGTTGGGACTTTAGTAGAGAGGTTTGGACGATGTCGCGGTTCGATTTCTATGAAGGCATCTTTATTAGTATTAATTTATAACACCAACATATTATACTACTATTCACCCTTGGTATGCCTGGATAGGTTAGTTTGCTCGTCTAATTACATTTTATACGTTGAATGGTGCTCTATTCAGTCTCTTTTGTTCTCAGAGTATCTCCTTCCAAGTAGGGCATCTGGTTCCTCCAAAAACAATCCATTCTCGTTCGTCGAAAGCAGATTCAGTCGGGAAACTTCTCCAAGCCGACAAGTGCCTTCATAAGTTGATCCGCAAACAACATGTGTCTCATATACCGCCCTCAAAGTTACGATAACCGGTGGGGTTCTCGCCACTATAGTAGGTGTATATAATGCGAGAGATAGCAGCAATAGCGCGCGAGATAATCTGGACACATTTTTTATTTTGAAACGACCGTGAAATCAGACAAAACGACCAACAGGACTCAATGGGCAGGCATGACATTGATACATCCTTTCTTCTTCTTCTCCTACAACACGCCAAACTACGATATCTGCCCTAACCAAGATACATCCCCCAAATACCACCTTTCAAGATACCAAAATGGAGCTCTCAATTGGCAGAATCTCGCCAGAGGCTCTATGATACCGACACACCTCTTCCTGCAACTCCACATCTATCTACTACCCCACCCCGCACTCTATGGTGGCCCAACTCTGTATGAACGATACAACCTCTTCCAGCGACTCCATGGCCCATTCTGGTCTATACTTTTCAGCCCAAAGGGGCACGTGCGGTCTAAAATGAACCATTCCAAAGATACACAGCAATTGGCAACTTGATTGATGCCGATAGCGGGAAAAGAAGCATGTTAACATCACCTTTTGTCCCTATATCCTGACTCAAAGCACTGGTCTATCAGTCTATCACGAGAAGCGTCCGTCAATCCCACCCCCGTCTTGTCTGAAACACTCACTTAAACTCTACGCTAACTCTTTCATAGTCTACTGTTTCGCAGGTCCACAAAAGTATGGACTTGCGTTGATTGAGTTGGTGGGATTTCGGCGCCTTGAATCGAAACTCGTGGAGCACGTGTTGTGGTCACGTGATGTAAAAAACGAAGTGGTTAACACATCACTCGAGTGCTTAGGAGTCGATTCCGACCAAGAAATACGCATGTTTGTGCACTGGAACGGCATCAACAGTTGCCCCAATTTCTTTATCTTTTCGTCGCCGCTTGTCTTAAGCTTTTATCATAGGGAGATCGTCAAAACATGTCTGTCAGAACGGGTTGGAATGTGGATCAAAATCAGCAGCAAAACGTTGAATTCGGAAACGACAACCTCTTCCTTGAATTCATCTAATTTGTTTGTCACCATTCTTTCATCAACAGCTGGATTTTCTCCGGCATTGGACACTTGATAGATCCACCTGTCTGTCAAATTAACTTGGCTTATGCAGCTCGTGCATTGGGACATTGAACTTAGTTAGCGAGATGGAATTATTTGGGAAGGGGGAAAGGGGGTGAAGGAGTTGTCGGGGGGATATTTTGAGCTTTGATCTTGACTCAGCGGCTTTGGGGCTTCAGATTGATATGTTTATTGTCTGGAAATGACCCCCATAATACCCCCCATTAGTCACACTCTCGTATCGCGCGGCACGTGCCTGATCTACTCGATGAGACTGATTGAGGAACGTTATTGTGCAGTATATAACCCACTGATGGCCGTAGAATCCGTTCGACAACCACCATGAAGCTCTCACTCATTCTTGCGGCTCTTGCCACGTCCGCTTCGTCCTTGAAGACGGTCACTTTCAAGGATGCGACTGGCAACAATGTCTCGTATGTTGAGAAGCCGACTTTTGACCAAAAGAAGGTCGATGCCTACGTTCTTCAGACCGAACAGATTGTCAATTCCACCCACATGGACAAGTGTGGCAAGTGCCTGACCGCCATTGCTCTCGGCAAGCAGGCTGCGTTGAACGGAGATGTGCAGCTCATTCCTGCAGTGCTTACCAAGCTGTGCAAAATGTACAAGTTCTCCAAGACATGTGACACCGACTATGGAGCCGAAACTACTGGCTACGACACCGATGGAACCCATGCAGCCCAGACTCTCACTCTCATTGGCGACCCTTACGGCACTGACGGCCAGTATCTCTGCTACTACAAGGTGAACCAGGCGTGTCCTCTTCCTGAGTTGCCCAAGTTTGATCTCAAGGCCCTGGGGTGGTGGGGCGACAAGCCTGACAATGTTACTGTTCCCAAATCCGAAAACAAGACCTTCAACGTGGCACATCTTAGTGACCTTCATATTGATCTGCGGTACGAGATGGGTGCCGAGGCCAACTGCACAGAAGGAGGAAAGATGTGTTGTACCCCGGATCAGTTCAACAAGGGCGCTCGAGCTGCGGGTCTACAAGAGGCCGTTGTTCCCGCTCAGAAATACGGCATGTACACTTGTGACGTGCCTCCTCCTATGATTGACTTGACTCTTCAGACAGTCGGACAGTTTGCCAAGGAGAAGGAGTTCGAGTTTGCCATTTTCACGGGCGACATGGTTTCCCACGATGTGGCGTCACAAACCAACCTGGCCAATACTGCTCTGTCTGAAGAAGCCATTTACCACGCCTTCAAAAAGTACATGGGGGATGTGCCTGTCTTTATGACCTATGGTAACCACGATACTTTCCCCTACGGCCAACTGGCTCAGCACAAGAGTGGCTACGGAGGCTACTTTGTGTGGAATGACCAGCTGTCTGCTCAGCTATGGAAAGACTATGGCTGGATTGATGCCGAAGCCGAGCAGCAGGCTATTCATACCTATGGATCTTTTGCCACCACTACCAAGAGAGGTCTCCGGGTCATTTCTCTGGACTCCAACCTCTGGTACAAGAAGAACTTTTACAACTTCTGGAACACCTCCACCGACCCTGACCCCTCTGGACTGTTCCGATTCCTGTCAGATGAGCTGCTGGAGTGCGAGAAGACCGGTCAGCGAGCTTGGCTCATGGCACATATTCCTCCTGGCGGAAACATGGACAACTCTTTGGCTCACTCTACTGAAATCATCCGCCAGATCGTCAGCCGATTCTCCAACACCATTGCCGGCCTCTTCTTCGGTCACGTGCACGAGGATCAGTTCAACGTCTGGTACGCAGGAAACGGATCCACCAACACTGTTGACAACGCTCTTCAAATTGCCTTCCTTGGGCCCTCCGTCACTCCTCTCACTTACTACAACCCTGCCTGGAGATACTACGAGGTGGACACCAAGACTTTTGAAGTCATGAACAGTCACACCTACTACGCCAAGCTCAACGAAAGCTTTGCTTTCGACTTTGAGCACCCTGTTGAGAAGACTATCGGCAACTTCTCGTACCTCGGCTATCCTCAGATTACCAACATCTCTTCTGAGGACGTTAACGGAACCGCTCCTGTATATCATTACGAGTACAATGCTCGAGAAGCCTATGATCCCGATCACGAGTGGCCTGCTAATGCTCCCCTTAATGCCACCTTCTGGCATAAGGCTGTCGATTATATCGTCAACCGAAACGAAACTCGAGACTTGTTCCTCAAGTATGAGTACCGACAATCGCCGTACGTCCCCAAGTGTGCCGACGATAACTGTCTCGCAAACGTCTATTGCTTCCTGTCTTCAGGAACCGTCCCCCAGGTGGAGGAGTGCCAGAAGAACCACAAGGGCTTTAAGAAACAGATCTACATCAAGAGAGATGGTACCTATGGAGATGAGCCGGAGCATCATCATCACTAACCGACCAGTTAAGATTCATTCGATTCCCTATATTAATCAAAAAATTGTTCCAAAAATTAATAGAGAGTTGTAATGCAAACGTCGTGAATGCGACCTGCGTGTTTTGAAGTGTAGTCACCAGTAAGAAACGTGTACAGATTAGAATAAGAGACGCAGTTCTGGTTTTGCTGGGTTTCTTTCGCATTTATATATCACAACTCCCCTCTTCTTTAACTATCGACGCCTAACCAAAACAAATTCTTCTGAGAGTTGTAACTGACCGTATGCAAAGCCAGATCACTCAGATCGTGGCCCCAAACACCATAGTTTCCGTCAGTAGTGACCCGGTTCATCATACCGGGAATATTTCCGACCGGAACCGTGCTGGTCTCCTCCTCTTCAGCATAGACTCTGTCGTAGTGACGCTTGATTTCTCGAATCAGGTGGCCTCGTGTAAACCCCCGTTTATCGTCAGGATAGATTTTGAACTCATAGTCGTCGTCCAGAGGATAATCCAAAATAAGAGTGACGTATTTAGGCTTGTTCTGTTCGGATTCGTCCATGATAATCTCCTCATTAGTTAGCACAATCTCCTCTTTGTCCATGCACATATCGTGGGTTCTTTGGAACGAGCCTCCGAGTTCAATGTAGGGGCTCATTTCATCGTTATCATCACTGTCGTTCTCAGGAAGTACATTGAAATTAATTTCAAGAAGCTCAGTATGACAGAGCTGGGAGGGAGAGGGTGTTGAGAAGGATGAATCAGAGTCATTGTCGGAGTGCGAGGGTGTAGAGATAGCCACGGTAGCAATAGGTTCTGTAAGATTGTGAGAGATGGCTTCTGTTTCCTTGGTTTCCGCTGAAGAGCCAGATTTTGTGCCACAGACAAGAAGATCAGGAACTACCGCTTGTGGAGGTGTGATTGAGTCGCATGTAGTGTGGGAAAGTGATGAGTCCAGTGTAGCCCTGGTTAATTCAGTCTTGGTGGTAGACTCACAATCTGTGGACTCTGGTTTTTCTACCGTCTCCGTGACACAAATCTTCTGAACAGCTTCAATCACTTTATCCATGTTGTTGTATCAATGTTGGTGCAAGTAGTGTTGAGTCACGATATCAATTCAAGGTGGTTCAGCCGCATGATGCACTGTTAATCTGGGGTAGAACTCAAATTGTCACAAAAAATATAGAGAAGGTAGCGTTCAGAAGCTCGGTGAGATTTTCAATTGAGCGGTCTTCCGATAGGAGATTCGAGCCTGGTTGATATCTAGGGGGTATACAGAGTCGAGAAAAAAGCCACAGGTGTGTTCTTTTTGTGTGAGAAGACCATTACCGCTACCAAGTTCACTCCGACTCCAAGTACAGACTGTACAAGATGTATTTGAGATAAATATATATACTGTATTTTATGCAGTTATGCAGCACTTGTACGTGAATAATTACAGTATGTATAGTAATTATATATACAGTATATAATAATATATATAGTATACCATTATACAAATGTAGCTTTTTCGTCTTCCATTTTTCATGTAGTTATGATAAGGCACAGTTACGATAAGGCACATCTGACTTGTTCTCAACTACTGTACCGACCACATAAGATGATCATTGAATCGACACCAGAACCTGAAATCAATGAAGATACTCCTTTGGAGGAGGTGAGACGACAGATAACCGAGACCAGGGCAGATAATAAGAGGCTGAAGCGCCAGATTGCGCGTCTCCAAGAGGATAATAGGGAAAGAATTATTGCGCTGGAAGAGAGCTTTCAGTATATCATGCAGTTGGCTGTTGGTCTGGGTGAGAAGGTGGAGCAATTCGAATCCTTACAATAATTGATTGGCTGATAGTTGGGCTCAGTGAACATGTTGGCTGGACCCCACACATGTCCTGCTCGTGATCAGAGGAGTTTTGCTGTCTCCCCTTTCTTACTAGGCACACAGACACATGCACTCCACAACAGCTGTGATTATGGTCCCGTGCTCGACTCAGTGGGCCAGACAGGAGACACAACTCCTCTCCGTCGTCCCTGAAGATCAAACATTGACTGATCAAACCACCCTTCAATCACACGCTCTCGCTTTTAATTTGTTGATGATTATTTACCATTGCCTGACTACATGATCTCTCGGAGACCACCAAGCTACTGTACATACTGTACTGGCTATTTTTCTTCATTATTCTCCCTTCTCATTCGTGATTAATCTATGTACAATAATGCAACCTCCTTATCTCTCTACCTCTAGAACTTCTTACCCTTGCGCGGCCTCTTTTTCGTGGACTTTGACTCCTTTCGCTTCTTGGGTTTCTCTTCTAGCAAAAAGTCCATGTCAAGGAACGTGTCTTCCACAGTGGCCGATGCAGACTTATTAGAAGGCTTGCTAAGAGGCTTGTCTGTCTTGCTGACTGTCTTGCTGACTGTCTTGCTGACTGTCTTTTTCGCTGTCTTGCTGGCTGTCTTGCTGGCTGTCTTGTTGGATTTCTTGTTGGATTTCTTGCCGGAAGGTTCGACGAGGTCTTCAATGGTAAGAAACTCATCAACCTCTCTCTTGGTGTCGCTAGTCTGAGTCTTGATCTCCTGGACACCTCTAGAACCTCTAGTGTTCGAGTCGTTGGAAGCCTTCATTTCCCTAGTGTTGGAACCCTTTCCATTCGACGCACTTCCATCTCTAGAACCCCTGGTATCACCTTTTTCTGTCTCTTTAGGCGCCCTACTAGGGGTATCCCTCTTGGCACCTCCATTGACAACCTTCACAGCGTCTTTCTTGACCTTGCCCTTGGGTTGAGGATCAAGCAGAGCAATATCCCTGATGAGTTCCTCCTCAAGTGACCTCTTCTCTCCTGCGTCAAACATGCGCTCATTGATGACGTTTCTCTTGGATTTGCCGTTGTTGTAGTCGATAATGGCCTGTTTTCGAGCCTGGATCCGCTGCAGAGCATCAGAACTCATCTCCCCAACCCCTCTAACTCGAAGAGAGTGTCGGAACAGTTCCCACATGAGCTTGTTGATAGACTCACTCATAGGAACCGACACGTTTCCTGCCAGTCCAAATTCAGAAGCACCCATGCCACAGACAGAGAAGTAGATCCTTCTCACAGCTCCATTTTCATACTGGAATGGTTCGAACGAGTTGGAATCAAAGTCGAAGACAATAGCGCCTTTCTCTGTCACACTCTTGCTGTCCAGATCCTTATACCCAGCTTTCAAAACCTCCTCCACCTTCTCGACTAGTCTTTGTCTTTCAGCTAGAGCTATCTCCAACAAAGTCTCTAGTTCGAAGATCCGGTTTCGGCCCTGTTGCTGCATCACACGCACAGATGTGCCATGCAAGCGACGATCATCTGTGCCAAAAGCAGCCTGGAATCGAAGAAGACATGCTCTCTGGTACCATTTGGAAGAAATTGCTAGGTCTGAAACGCCCTCCATCTCCTTGGGGATCACAGGCTTGCCTTCAATGATCGGAACCACGTGTGCCACAGTCGGTTCGCCGTCTCTGTCCACCCCAGAATCACTCTTAATGGAGGCAAACTGATCCAGCATCCCTCGAGGAAGTAGAATGTCACCCAAAACGCCCTTTCTGGGGGGAGTCGCAAGCATCTGAGCATAAAAGTTGTTTCGTGTCGCTTCAAACGCCTCGTAATCTGAACTTCCAACCTCTGGGGCCGCGGGTCGACGCAGAAAGGACAAACGTCGTCCCTCCCGCGAAAAATCGACTCGAGCAGCCAACCCGCTCACAACCTCATCGATACTGCGCTGGTAGTCACAAGACTTGGTAGGCAGACGGTACCGCACCGTCTGATTGTCCGCTTTGAACCGATCTGCCTCCCGCTGCTTCTTTCCTTCTCTAACTCGAACGCAGTCCGCCGCCGAGGGACCCTGATGATCTCGGTCCATAACCTGCCGCATCTCCTTCAGAAAGTCCATTTCTTGCCGTTGCCGTTTCCGCGCGGCCAATACGGCGCCGCTCTGAGCGTTTCCCAGCTTCCGCGGCGCCTTGATGCCCTGCCTGGCAGTAAATCGAGTCATAATCGTGTGACCGAAATATCTTTCATGAGAAACCTTCTGCGAGATAGTGGGTTAGGGCACCGACTCGGAGTAAAGCAGGCTCTGAAGCTGAAAACATCGGTCAGTCCAAGTGCTGTAGTTTTCCAGAGTGGTATTATCCCCCTTTCCTTCGTGAAGGATGTTTACTGTCTAACTGAGCTTTTCCTCGTATGACGAGAGTACTTCCAGAATTTGATTTCAGGTGATGCTATATGTTTCCCTAGGACCAATAAAATATAAAAAACCAAAAAAATATTTAGAACAAAAAACAAAAAAATATATAAATATATTAAACAAGCTGATCCGGAAAGCTGAAAATAGAACCACTAGGGATAATTGTGACGAATAAAAGATTGGAAAAAAACACCAGTGCTAAATTATGTTATTGTTGTTTTTTACTCTTTTTGGCGTGCTTTTACTGATCTTGGAAAACTTTTAACTTATTTTTAATTCTTTTTCTCTTTTAAGGCTGCTGATTTCATTAGTTACGGAACTTTAACTTCATGCACTGATTACTTATCGCAATCTAGCGGAATGTGGTGTTTGTTGGAGAGTAGTGATTTTGAAAAGCTGAAAAACTGCCAGTATAGATAGCTTGTTGAATAAAGTTGTCCCCATTCGTATAAATTCAACAATTGTCGATATTTCGTCCGCCTGACGCATCCGTATATTTTCCGCTACTGCATGAAATTTTACGTGAGTTAAATTCCAGATGCTCCAACCCCGCTTGAGCAACGACACAAATGATTTCCCGGGCATTGAGAGCGCAATTAGCCCTCGGGGCTATGTCGACACGGCTCGCCGGCGTGCGATTCAACAGCAGTGCGGGCCCATCGACACTCTCAAAAGACACAAAAGACGTGACAGCAACCTACAGAGACGTGATGGGTCTGCACTCGCAGCCGGTGATGATTCTGACGACTAACTGCAACTCCGAGGGCCACGAGCCCCGTGGTCTTACACTTTCATCTGTCACTTCGCTCTCACTCAAACCCGAGCCGCTACTGTGCTTCAATCTGCAGGTGCCTTCACGAACTTCACAGGTGCTCCATGACCGAGAGGTGTTTGCTTTGAACATGTTGCCTGGTACCAAGGACTCTGTGCGTGCGTGTCGGTTTTTCTCGGGCGCCTACGGCAACAACGTGAACCCGTTTGCGGCCGAGCTTGACATTTTCACCAAGTCTGAGGACTTCCACAACTTGCCCGTCATTCTCGACTCCATGGCGATCCTCTACTGCCAAAAGCACCAGGTGATGCGTGTACACGACCACGAGATATGGGTGGCCAAGGTGGTGGGTGTGGACAACAGATCGCTTGTGCATGGGGCTGATGAGGCCATGTTGTACCAGAAGAGGCATTTCAAGCAAGTTGGAAAGGAGATCAACGAGCCGACTAAAGAGGAGGTCGCAGATGATGTCAGAAGAGGCACTTGTACATAGAGCGGAAGGATATGAAGAGGGTGGTTAACTTGTATAGATGATAGATCAAGATGATATTGAAAGGTGGTCAACGGTTGCTGATGATAGCAGTGGAGTACTTTTACAGAGTCGAAACCCGCACTCTGAGAGTGGAAATGGACCTTCTGTAGGAGATTCAGAAAGAATTGGCGCTTATGCGGTGAGTTTAGTGGTGTGTAGACAGAAGTACGGAGCTATATAAGACAAGACACCATGTGTTGATTGCAGTTGGTGTTAGTTTCTGACCAAAGATACGATACTAGTTCAATGACTCTAGGATGTTTAGTCTCGAAAAATGTGACTATCACTGTAGCTACGGAAGTTTGCTTAGTGCGCTGGGCTAGAGTATATTCGGCCTGTTCAGGGCATGGAGGGTCGTGTAGAATGGGCTGCGGAAGAGCTATTGCGAATCAGAAGAGTGAAATTGCTCGAGATTGCCCATTAGATCCGATAAATCTCCTCTTTTATCTGGAGCGTGACTTTTTTGTGATATTGGTGAGTGGACCCACTGGGTATTACCATCAACACAACTCAGATATTGCTTCTGTAAGTTGAATGGAATCGGTATATCAAAAAAACCAAACGACACGGGATATAAAATGTGAGAGTGAAACCAGAATCATCAAAAGACCTTTATATTAGAAGTACATTAGAAGCACAAGCAAGTCGCTCTGTTTTTCACTGATGTCTTCTTTTACTTGTACTTGTACAGTACCTATACTACATACTGTACTACTTTGGCTCTGATAACTTCTTCTCTATGTAAGTCCATCCTCCATGCTCGTAGGAGCCAATCAAGTCCAAGAAATCTGGATTAAAGAAACAGATCACGAAGCATTCTGTTTGATTATGTCACCATCTACCGGAAAACAGCATCTTGCACCTCCCTTTCTGCTTCGTTGCACCGTTCATGTACCTGTACATCTAAAAGCACAGTTCCGCAGCTACTGTGCCGGGAAAACACAGTGGTAATGCACTGGATGATCCGGTCGAGGGAAATGGCGAACCGGAGAGAGGTCTCTCAGTCAAGGTGCCTTCATTGCGCAGATCCCGAGGAAATACGACAGAAGGTTCCTGCGCTACATTGCTTGGTGTCAGAGAAGCGCAAACGCATGAAAAGTGGAGCAGGGAGAGTTGAGAGGTTTGAAAGAGAATGGCAGAGTGTGAGTCATTCTAAAATAATTCCAAATTAGAAGTGGGCTTGGGGGTGCTGCGGGAGGAGGAGTGAGAGAGAAGGGGTTGAGGTTCTGTTTGGCACATACGGAGTAGATAGAAAAACAAGTTTATTGTACAGTATAGTACTTCAATTGGTCTAGCGATTGCGCTACTGTACTGCCATTGAAGCTCTCCAGATACGAACCGTCTACCTTTTTTTTCCAATAATTCCCATATCTCAAATGCTTTTGCTCTAGAACTGCACTACAATACATTCTACAACTCCATAGCTACAGAATGCACATCTTCTACGTGTACTGTACCGTATATAGATGAAAATAAAGAGTGAACTTGCATTTTGGACGTAGAGGTAGGTAATATATTCTCCAACCATATGGAACATTGGTTTTGTAGGACCATCATATCATCCAATCCTGAACCCAGCATTCTACCTGCGTGCGAGCAAAATTTCACGACTGGAAACACGCGAGAGTGTGAGAAACAAAGAGTACAAAGAGTTGACGATCAGATGACAGTCTTGAAGGCGGTTGAGAATATTCCGATTGTTGTTAAGTCACTTAATGACCATGATGTCTAAAGCTCTGCCCAGCGTCATGAAAACAGGAAGTACAGTATGTACCTTGGTATAATCATAATATCACTGTAATGAAGACAGTGAGGAGTATGAGTAGTTGCAAAGTCGATTGATGCATTGAAGAAAAAATTGTTGATAAAGCATAGAAGTCCATTAGCGACGCTACCATCATTATGTTCTTGATATTACGTCCTGGCAAAACGCATGATCGCAGAACACAACAAAGACATATGACTCTACAAAACGCACGAGTGATATTAAGAAACCGCAAATACCCCAATAACAGCAACTTCCAGCCATACGGTCTTATAATCAACTTGCTCAATTAATCGCAAAGGCTTCAGCTCTGCTACGCTACTATTTCAGTGTCCAACATGATGCACCATGCAGAAAGTGCATGAAGATATTTTGAAAGAGCAAGGATGACATATAGTGCACATTCCTGAATAGCAGCGAATCGGAACCAATTACTTTGAGTGACTGTACTTCTCTAATAACGTCTGTTATTCTCAATCTTCATGTTGTATCATATCTCCTTACTGTCAGACATAGAACCAGATCTAAGGTATCGTATTAGTGCAAGGCTATCAATCAGTGGGCTTGGCATAATAACCAATACCGAAGTAGACACGTCAGCTCATCATGCAATATTCAGCCCAAGCCTCTGTGCTTAACCGCCCTGACCACTTTGTATACTGTGAAATACTTGTTGGAGAGGTGCAGTGGTGCATTCTACCAGCTGTTGAGCAGAATGCTAGATAGATTTGGGCACTGACTATTGATTCGACAGCTGGACAAGTCGTCCAGACCAATCTTCATCGGCTCAAAACTATGCCGGTATATTTACCGACACTATGGACATCCTGTACTGTGCTGCACTACAGATACAGCGACGCACACGAGTCACTGGAGCAATCATTGAAGAGATGGAAGAGATAAGCAGAAGCTAACGAAACAACTTTGGAAGCAACTTGTTTTTCCTGTAAACACTTGAGCAAGTGACTTCTGTACCAGCCCATTTCCAATAATATGTGCCCGTGTATACGTTGTTACTATCAAATGGGAGCACTTGCTGGACTTGTCATATATATCTCAATTGGGCTGTATGGCCTTTGGATCCTGTCTCCGTCAGTTACAATCATTTTCATCATGGTGCTCGGACATATCTCTTGTAGATCGCGGTTGGTTCTCATCGCAGTAGTCAACTCCGCGGTTCGTTGGAAAGTGTTCATCTGTACATTATCCGAACTTTCATCTCGCCAGAAACTTCCTCCGGAGCCGTCTTTGGGCTCTTGCATCCGACATGAAGCCTTTGTCTTTCTACTCGAACCTCTTCATCCAACCGTTTTCCAAACCCTGTCCTCGCAGCCATGCAGGGTTAAATAGGGAAAATTAGTCTAACTATGCCGTATCAGAGGTGTTTTTCTTTTTCTTTCAGAATATATAAAAATAAAAATACATTCGTTAATTATAACTTCACTTGTCTGACTTGGCAAACTACAAGTAGCAGAAATAGCTCTTTTGGTAAAGCATTCAGTAATAAGTGGATATTGCAAACTGAGAACAACTGAACGGTGCTAAATGGTCACAGAACATTCCAGACACACGGCGCTCTAGTTACCACAGAACCAAGCCTCATCAAGTACCAGTACAAGTACTCTGATCGGCATTTTTAGGGTCGGGCGATATTCCTGCACCTTTTTTTTTTTTTTTTTTTTTTATTCCAGAGAAATACATTTCGCACACAATTGCTGCTAATACTGCTATGCGGCTCAACGTCGGCCGAGGCTCGCAAAGTTCAAACTATATTCAGGGACAAAATGACAGACAAAACGAAAATGACGTATACGATGCAGGGAATTATTGACGGGTCAGAGAATAATAACTAGACGAATACGCCATTGGCTGATCGTGGTGTTTTATTGATTGAATCTCTAGAGTTGTGTTAGCAAGAGTTGTTTGAGAGTACATTTGCCTGATTTTTTCCAACAGTTTTTAATTCTAAAATTGCCTTTTTTTTTTGCTCCGACAAGAACTCCGACCAATACCAATGCATGTAAAGTCTCCGAGAACCACAATGGGAGAACAATAGGTCAGCGGGGGTATTGTTCTGGGTTGAGGTGCATCATAAATGCAGTAAAAAGCCCTGGAATGACTTGGGGAACCGTATGGAGCCGCTGTGTTGGTTTGGGGTATAACGTCTTTCTGTCGGTGTTTTTCCGGACCAGAACGACACAAGGGATATCTTCATAGAAGTGACCTACTGTACCTCACAGAAGAGGCTGTGGTGACATGGACGCATAATGGGTCACTACTTATCACTACTTGTAGTGCTCTACTCCCAGCCGTCGCGCCCCTGGAAGCTGTTGTGACCCCTATTTTCCAACCGGTTGTATTGTCCGTTTTAGTCGCGTCATTCATACGCGGCATGTTGCCAAGAATAACTGTTTTAATACTGTTCGGCTTGGCTGTCAGGCGTATAGAAGAGTATGGGATGTGTAAGAGGACCTCGGAGTGTATGGAACCTTTCGTTGCGCCCAAAGTGTCGGCGTACTTTCGTCCGTCGTATTGCTATTGTGAGTGCTGCAGACCCTGGAGTGGTTTTGAGGTGAAGCGCAGAAGGTCGGAGGGAGAAATGAGTTTCTGTGGCAAGGTGCAGTGGTGCATTGAGTCAGCGTTTCATGTCGAAAATGCCGAGGGGTGTTTTCTGCAGGAGGCTTACTAAGAGGGGTTGAATAGGGGTACTTGGTAGGGAGTCACGAAATTGAGGGGGATTGATTGGAATCACAAGGAGTGTAGAGGACGAAGGAGTTGAATGAAATCACTTTGAATCGGAATGATTGCTCGCCCATGAAGTGGTGGTATCGTCGCACTTGCCACACAGTTAGCCACAGTTAGCCACAGTCCTTAGTCAAGCCACCTTTCTCAGAGAGTCCCGACAAAGCCAGATTGAATGTGCTCATCCCATTCGGGAAATATCAGACCTTGTGGCGACGTAATACAAAAAATGGGCGTGAGAATGTCGGCTTTGGAGTCGAGGTAAGGTCTGAAGTCGTGTACATTTTCTGTCGATCGTCTATAGTATTGGAACGACACACTCTGGTTATATATCCCCTCCTACCCCTTAAAGCACCTTGGATGACCGACATAATTTTCTGTAGGACTGTTTCAGATGTTCCTGGGGCGGCATTCTGTATAATGTTTTGTTCCACAGTGCACTTCTCAAGCCACGGCACTCGGTCTTTTACCCTCTCTTTTGATGCACAGGTCCAAGAAGCAATGGGATGGTCGGTGCCAGATGAGGGAGAGAAAGGAGTAGAGTGAAAGAGTTGATGATATCGGCACTGACTAGCTACAAGTACATGGTCTCGAACGCGTCTCCTACGGATCCTACGGCTCCTACGGCTACGCCATTCTCCAATCCGTGTTTACCGGGATATCACCCACAACCTGGCTCAGAATAATAAGCAAAAGTCATGCACTTTGGCACGGGTCAGGACTCAGTCGAAATATTTTTTTGCATTATTTCTCATATCGCGTATCCAGTCTTCTACAAGTGGTTTCTTTGTTTGCATTGTTTTTTATTGTTCATGCACCAACCTCCGACTGCGTAATGTGGTGATAATAGAAGAGGTCGTTATTGGGTTGTTATAGAAACAGAGACAGTCCAGAAAACCACTAAATAGAAAGTTGTCATAACAAACACTCCAATTACCGCTAGCCATTTCAATGTCGAACAAGTTATTACCACTGAGGGCTTCTCATTTCTACCTCACAGTTCGTATGCACACCCCGCAGAGTGCAGAACAATAAAAGCCGACATCTCCGTGTCCAATTCCTGAAGAAAGAAAAAATGATCGCTCCATAAATTTCCTAGTTATCGTGCCGTGGTTTTCAGACGGGTTATTTGAGTTTTATTTCAGGTCAATGTGGAGCCGACCGAGAGTAAGGAGAACCCGATCCTCCGGCTCTTCAAGGAACCTCTTCTACAACTTCACTTCACTCAGCCAATAACCGAAAAGAAACAATACCATTGATACGCTGCAGAGCGACCAGTGAGAGGTCGGGCCGACTCGAAAACAAAAAACTAATCTTCCAAGCTGGCGCGCACTACATGTACATCTCCACAGGTTGGCAAGCATAGCCCATGCGTAGATGGACATTGAGAAGGGGGGAGTCATTGCGGGAGACAAGAGGGATTAATAAAACGGAGTTGAATTAAAAAGTGAGGCACAGTTCAGGGGCTAGATGAAGATAATAATGGAAAAGTGGCCTTTGGAGTGAAGGAAATGATGCAACCGCAGTAGAAGGACACGAAATGTCGCGTTCAAGTAAGTAAGCCGGAAGACAAAACAGCAATCTCCGCTTAGAATAGCTGAAAAGAAACAGATGGCCAGTTTTGCTCACGTAGACCTGCTCCCTGACGCACAGCTCTTCCATGCGTTACGTTTCTCTGCTCTACATTCTTTGTCGGTTTGTCCAGAAGGGCACAATGTCTTTGTCCGAAGCGACACCACATTTGCTGTATTGTTTTTGGAGGAAGACGTCCCAGACTATGTTCAAGTTGATATAAATACTGGGTCATTCACCCCCTGAAAATATCTATCATCACACAACAGTTCACCATCACAATGAAGATCACTCTAGCGTTTCTGCTTTCAGTGGTAGCTGCCAAACAGGTGGCGTCTCCTATCACCTCCTTTGCTATGGGTCAGGCCAATGACGTCAGCAACAAGGAGGGCTACGCCGGCAGCAAATGGGAGCTTGATTACACCTTTTCTCTCCGTCCCGAGCAGGATGGTGTTGTTCCCGGCGACTTCTTCACCTTTGACGTTGATAACAAGCTCAGTCTTGAAGCAGGCAACTATGACTTTATGGTGAAGGATCCCAGTGGCAACGACATTATGCGAATTGCCAATGAGGGTCACACCTTCACAGCTACCTACACCGACTATGTGGAGGATAAGAACCACCAGATCTCTGGCGACTTTTTCATGCAGGCCACTCTCTCTTCTTCTCAAATTTCTGGACCCGGCGCTTACACCGTCACCACCTACTCCGAGGGCAAGTCTTTCTCCGATACAATCTATATCAAGGCTGCGGTTGAGACTTCCGGCGCCTACAAGTTTGCCCAGCGTGAAAATAACCGAATCAAGTGGACCATCCAGCTTCCTGCTTCTCCTTATGATCGAATGAAGGTTGTCGACAAGCTCGACGGTGATGGCTCTTACTACGGTTCTCCCGACGAGCTTCTCCAGGACATGTCTCTGCAGTTCTACAAGGGTCTCACCCCCACCTGGGACTACGAGTCTGTCGAGAAGATTGACAATGTTGACCAGTACATCCAGCTTACCGACTTTGACAACTATGGCTTCACTCTGTACGTCAACAACGTTCCTCAGGATGACATCACTGTCCAGATCACCTTCTACTCCGACATCATGTACCGACAGGAACAGTACACCAACGCCATGGACTGGGTTTTGTGGGAGTACGGCTGGGGCCATCTTCCTGAGGGCACCGGTTCTGGAGAAGGTGAAGGTTCCGGTGGAAACATCAACAATGGTTACTTCCGAACTGGCCACACTACCGGTGGGGCTCCCTGGGAGTCCCAGGAGGGCGATTGGGACTTGGATGCTGGTGGAAACGGTGACGGTGAGGGTGGAAGAAGCTCCAAGCCTGTTCCCCCCTACCGATCCACCACTGCTGTCTCCAGCACCCCCGAGTCTTCCTCTATGCCCATCACTTCAGAGTCTTCTTCCTCTGAGCCCTCTTCCACTATGGAGCCTTCTTCGTCTATTCCCGAGTCCAGCTCTGAGCCCACCTCTTCTGCTCCTGTGACCTCTTCTGAGGAGCCCTCATCCAGCATCCCCGAGACTTCTTCGGCACCTGAGACTTCTTCGGCACCTGAGACTTCTTCGGCCCCCGAGACTTCTTCGGCACCTGAGACTTCTTCGACACCCGAGACTTCTTCGGCCCCCGAGACTTCTTCGGCACCTGAGACTTCTTCTGAGGAGCCCTCTAGCACTCCCGAGCCTACTCCTGAGCCTACTCCCGAGCCTTCCTCTACCATTGTGCCCTCCACTTTCTCGTTCTTCAACTCCAGCACTGTTCCTGAGACCACTTCTGCCCCCGTGACCGTAATTGAGTTCTCTTCCTCTGAGCCCATCCCCGAGTCATCCACAGTCGAGTCCTCCAGTGAGTCCTCCAGTGTCCCTATCACTTCCTCTGAGCCCTCTTCTAGCGCCCCCATCACCACCATGGAGCCTTCTTGTGAGTATCACCCAACCTGCGTCCTAGATGCACATATGCATGCACCTGCACCACACCAAACTCAACTTTAACTAACCCAGCTTCTCCCTCTCCCACTCCCTCATCCACAGACCCTTGTCTCGAGACTGTGACGGTGACCGAGTCTGGAATCGAGTCGGTTATTGTCAACGACATCTGCTCCACTCCCGTGCCCACTTCCTCCGACCCCTGCGTTGTTGTCGAGTCCACCACCATCTCCGGCACTCCTACAGTCGTCACCTCTGACATCTGCCAGACCTCGTCCGCTCCTGTCAGCTCCACCGACCCCTGTCTTGAGACCGAGATTGTAACTGTGTCTGGAACTCCTACCACCGTTACCAATGACATCTGCTCTACTGCCCCCGTCACCTCCGCTGATCCTTGTCTCGAGACTGAGGTGGTTACCGTCTCTGGTACTCCCACCACCGTGATTAACGACATCTGCGCCACGTCTTCGACCCCCGTTGACGAGTGTCTCACTACCTCTGTTGTCACTGTCTCTGGAACTCCTACAACCGTCACCGAGGACATCTGCAAGACCACATCTGCACCTGTTACCTCTGTTGATCCCTGCCTGGAGACCTCCGTCGTGACCATCTCCGGCACCCCCGTCACCGTGTCCAAGGATATTTGCTCCTCTACCATGTCGGACCCCTGTCTCGAGATTGCTACCGTCACCGTCTCCGGTATCGAGTCCACTGTCACCGATAACATTTGTTCCACAACCCTGTCTGTCACCGACCCCTGTCTCGAAACCGCTGTTGTGACTGTCTCTGGTGTCGAGTCCACCGTCACCAACGACGTCTGCGAATCCCCCGCACCCACCTCGTCTAACCCCATCACATCTGCTGACCCCTGTCTCGAAACCGTTGTCGCATCCATCTCTGGCACCCCCACTACCGTGATTAACAACATCTGCACCACCTCTGCTCCCGTTGACCCTTGTCTTGAGACCGTCACTGCCTCGGTTTCTGGCTCCACTACCATTGTGACCAACGACATTTGTAAGACCGTTGATCCTTGCATCACGACCGAGGTTGTCACTGTTTCGGGCACTCCCGCCACTATGACCAAGGACGTGTGCCAGACCACCGCTGACCCTTGCCTTGAGACTGCCATTGTGACTCTCTCGGGCACCCCTGCTACCGTCACCAAGGACATCTGCACTTCTGCCGACCCTTGTGTTGAGACCGAGGTTGTGACAGTTTCCGGAACCGAGTCCACCGTCACCAAGAACAGCTGCATCACTTCTACCCCCGTTGCTGATCCTTGTGTTGTCACTGAGACCATCTCTTCCGGTACTATCACCGAGGTTATCACTCGGGACATTTGCACTCCTGCCCCTACTCCCGTTGTCACCTCCACTGTCACTGTGCCTGCCACCATCACCAAGACTATCACTGTCTGCGAAGAGGAGGTTTGCACTACCATTCCCGTTACTTTGACCACTGCCCTTGTTCTCTCCACCACCGAGATTGTTACTGTGGTTGACAAGAAGACCGTGACCATCACTGTGTGCGACGAGGACTTTGAGACTGTCACCCCTACCCCCGAGGTGACCACCAAGACTGTGGTTGTTACCAAGCCCGTCACCCTCACCGAGACTGTCTGTGACGAGATTGACTGCACCACTATCCCCGTGACTGTTACTCCTACTGAGCCCACCCAAACTCTGACCACTATCATCGAGAACAAGACCATTACTCTGACTCTTGAGACTCCCGTCGTCGAGGTTGAGACCGAGACTGTAGTTGTTGACGTCCCTGCTTCCAAGGTCACCCCCGTGCCCGAGGCTCCTGCTTCCAAGCCTATTACTCAGACTATCACTACTGTGATCGAGGACAAGACCCTGACTATTACTCAGGAGACCATTGTGCCTATTATTCCTGTCGCCACTCGACCCGTTCAGTCTGTTGTTCCTCAGGTTCCTGTTGAGCCCGCCCAGCCCGCTAAGTCCGACTCTCCTGTTATGCCTACTCCCGAGCAACCTACTCCCGAGACTCACATTCAGCCTGAGACTCCCGTCCACCCAGAGCTTGTTACTCCCGAGACTCCCGTCAACCCTGATGTCCCTGTGCAGCCTGTTCCTGTTCCTGAGACTCCCGAGACTCCCATCAACCCTGATGTCCCTGTGCAGCCTGTTCCTGAGACTGAGACTCCCATTACCCCCGAATCTCCTGAGTCTCCCAAGTCTCCTGTTGAGCCCGTCCCCGAGACTCCTCAGGCCCCCATTAACCCCGTGCAGCCTCAGACTCCCGGCCCTAGCCCCGAGACTCCCCAGGCTAACTCTGGTTCTCGTCTGGCCGTCTCCGGCCTTGCCCTGATGCCTTTCGTGGCTCTGCTTCTTTAAAATTTCTAACCAAATAATTAATTCTTGTATATTTGTGTGTGTTGTAGTTGCGAAGTACTGTAGCAGCCCAAGTATTTTCTGGGAAACAAAACTTCTGATAACTAAATGTAAAGTACCTTTGTTCAGTATTCACTTGGGATTTTTATATAATAAATAGGTAAGCAAGATTGCTTGTTCATTTGAGCTGAGTCAGCGCTTCCTGGCCACATCTGACGATATGTCTGAATCGGGCTCCTCCAATAGAAACTCCTCCGTACCATCGGGTAACCAGCACCAGCACTCCATCGTCCCGCTTACTAAGTAACTCCATGAGTTTGCTTCCTCCTGGGGCTTCTCCTCCGTTATCGAATCCGCTCTCATTGCCGCTTTTCCAAGCGTAGATCTGGTGGGTAGCTTTCTTCATGGATTTGTCTGCCCACAATTGCTGGAGTTTTTCTTTGGCATCTGACTCGGATGAGATGTGGATCGCTCGGCCCACGAAGACCGATTTTTTGTCTGTGATAGTTTGTGAAACTGTCCAGGTGTTGGTAGACGAACTATATGCTCTCTGAAAGGTTTTCGCGCCTGTTTTCGTGTGTTTGAGCATCTCTTGAAGGTTGTATGGAAGATTCAAGTGAGGAGAAACATGTCGAATCAGAACCAAAATCAGAATCAGAATCAGAATCAGAGTTCATACAGGACAGATGCAGGGAGCTGTGAGTGGTGGTTGAGAGGTGGTTGAGAGGTGGTGAGGAGGTTGAGAGGTCGTAGAGAGAGATTTTAGAGGTCGTAGAGATGGCAGAGAGGTGGTTGAGAGTCCAATAATTTCTCTGCTGATCCAATTGGTGTTCCTATGTTGCTTGATTCCACGAATGCTATAAATAGCACAGCAAATTTCAGCCGCTTAGTTTTAACTAAACTCCCAACAAATGTACGTGATATTTGGCTCGCTCAAGTAATAGAGCAGATGGAAATGTCATGTCTTTATGGCTTTGGGATAATCGGAGTACGGAAAAAACAGTCGCATTATATGTCGTATCGAAATTGATACCTCCAGTATTAATGACCCATCCACTGGTGCAGATTAACACGTAAAAACACGTTCTTATAAGAACACCTTCTTTGTCTGCCCTGCGCCTCCTGACACTTTTGCTGCTGACTTTGACTTGTCTCTGGCGGGGGCTACAACGAGAGAATCACGAAGAAAAAAGGATCAATCTTTCTAGAACAACTCAAGGAGTCGAATGGTGCTGCCCAGGTTTCTGTAACATATCTCCTCTGCCCGCTGTTCCTACCGCCTCAGGAATTAGACTCTGATATCGTGCATTGTATGCAGGCCAATCCTCTCCATCATCAGAAGACACCTCACTCTCACAACCACACACCAGAGCATACATAAGATGCCAGAACTCCAGTATCGTGGTCACAAGCCGGAAGAAGAGCCCGAAGCGCCGTTCACACCGCGGTCGCCACAGGGAGGACTCACGCGGCTGTTCCACTACATGACTGGAACGCCCCGAAACAGATTCAAGTTTGCGTACATGGGTGGATTGATCTTTTTGTGGTGGTTCACAGCGTTCGTGATGGAACGAGCTTATCCTTCATACAAGGTGTCGCAATGTGACTGGTCAAACTGGGAACAGTGGGAAGACAACAAAGCCCACAGAGTGGCACTGGTGGCCGACCCCCAGCTGGTGGACGATCACACCTACCCTGGAAGACCCGCCAGCATGATGCGTCTCACGGAGTTTGTGGTCGACAACTACCTGCGTCGCAACTGGGTGTACATCCAGAAGAACCTGGTTCCTGATACGACCATATTTCTGGGTGACCTATTCGACGGAGGCAGAGCATGGAAGGATGACAAGTGGTACCCTGAGTTTGACCGATGGAACCGCATTTTCTCTCTGGATCCTGGCCAGGACGTTATCTGGTCGCTTCCAGGTAATCACGACATTGGATACGGTAACGAGATTGTTCCTCTTGCTCTAAAGCGGTTTGAGAAACACTTTGGACCTCTGTCTCGAGAGTTTGACAGAGGAAACCACACCTTTGTGCAGATCGACACAATCTCCATGGAGAACAAGAACGACTCGCGCATCTACGAGCCTCCAAAGGAGTTTGTGGACGAATTCCGCGCCAGTCAGCCCCGCGACAAGCCTGCCATTGTGCTCACCCATGTTCCTTTCTACAGAAGCGAAGCCAACAGTAACTGCGGAAGACAACGAGAGAAAGGTCACAAGCTCAGCTACACCGTGGGACACCAATACCAGACCCAGTTGGAGCCTGACGTGACCAACGGACTACTAACTGCTCTTAACCCTGTGCTCGTGTACTCTGGGGATGACCACGACGCCTGTCACGTGACCCATCCCTTTGTGTTCAACGGCAAGAATCAGGTTGCTCATGAGTACACTGTCAAGAGTATCTCTATGGCCATGGGTATCAACAAGCCCGGTATTCAGCTCTTGTCCCTTAACACCAACGGAGATGGACAGTCGTACAAGACGACCATTTGTCTGATGCCCAACCCTTTTGCTCCCTTCATTGCCTATGCTGTTCTTGGTATTTCTTCTCTGGTCTTCCTGGTTCTCGTCCATTACTTCCCCGCCAGGCTCACCAGTCTGACTCAGAAATTCAAATACCATCCTTTAGACGAGAACATTCTGCCTGTTTCTTCCAAGCCCACCGTGTTCAACCGGTTCAGCAAGCATATTACCAAGGCATTCTTCAAGGACATTGGAGTGGTGTTTCTTGCTATGATTGTTATCTTCTGGTACTTTTTCACTTCCATTTATTGGCACACTTGAAGAGAGCAGTGGTAAGACACGGCTCTGGGGCTTGGTAGGCACCAGGGAACGATAGAACATTGACATATAGATAAGAACATTACATTCCGAGGTAATGGAATGGGGTCCTTGTAACGATGAGAGAAGATACTGTAACATCACAGCCGGTATTGAAATTATGCATGTGAGTTTATACGAGTGTAGTTTAGATACCATCATATGAATGACAACCTCAAACTAATATTACTCGAACCAGAGTCGAATCATTATTTTCAGAAGATTATAGCTGTCCTTCACTTCCCTTTGATCGTCTCTCCTGGACCTTTTGTGCCTCATTAGTCATTAAATTCTCCAACTAGTAGTTTGGATGGCCCCTCGATTCCACCATCAGTCCGCAATAGTTTAGTGGCTAGAATTTCCGCCTGTCAGAACGTTTGATCAGCACGCGGGGGACCGGAGTTCAATTCTCCGTTGCGGAGTTGTTTTTTGGTGTCTGCGTGAATGATTTTTTGGTGGAATCTCAGACATTTGAGATGCGTTAGTCAGCAGAATGTACATTGTGTTGAAAGCGACAGAGAACGGAGCAATGAGGAAGTACTGTGGAAAAGGAAAGTGCACGGACGGCTAGTACGTGACTCTTGTCATATCTTTGATAAGAGAAATCCGTTGTTCACATAATTATTGGACGTGCCGTGGCCTCTGGGGAGAGTTTGAGTGGACGGGTGGATCATATTAGAAGCTAATTCTTATTGTTTCGGAGCCCGGGACCCCTGGAGGGAAGCTCTGTGGATAGGGGGTTCATTAATCACATCTTTTGTGTTCCTGGTCTTCTCTTTTGTGTGGTTTCTTCGAGTTCAGTATCATAGGGTGAGTTATATAGCTTCAAGGGCAGCAGTTGGGCCAAGTACGAGACCATCTCTCCCACAGCATGACCATAATTCTGTGGCTGGCCGGACATTGTCCAGCGGTATATTTGTATCACAAAGAAACATCCATTCCTCCACTCGACCATATATCTCTCCACTCTACTGCAGTGCCGTGCTACGGGTGGTGCCAGTCACAAGAGGGAGCATGAAAACTCCGGTAGGGGTGGAGCGATAGGAACGCTGGTTTATGATAGCACGTGAAGGAGTGGGTTGGAGAAACGGCGTGAGTCGATCAGGGTGGATATACTTTTTCACGCCGATAACGCGTGGGGGAGTTCGAAAACTTGATGGGAGATAGTTAGTGCCAGAGAGGGACAAAAGGAGAACCATGGAACGACAGGAACCGTTTTAGTGCCACATGACGATCGATACTGCAAAACTACTTGTAAAGGCCGACATTTTACCCCCACAGCACGTTATCTCTGCGGCTTATATGAAACTCTCTGCCGGTCTAACTTTCGCTTAGTGGTTTCTTGGTCGTTTAGCTCTTGGCAACGGCTCTGAAATATTGAACTTTCGTGCGTCTGGCGATATCAGCAATTTTGTCAAGATGTTGGTGCCGTGTGTGTAAAGTGCCGTGTGGGCTCCAGTAGTACTTAATCGGACTGCATTCGCTGTCTACTCGTCAGAATCATCCCCAGCACCATGCTCTTCTCCACCACTCTTCTAGCTTCCATTGTGTCGCTTGCTCTGGCTGCTCCCAGCACCCCCAAGGTGGTCACTTTTCCAGTCACCAAGCACCACAGAGACTCCAAGTTTGCCCAGGCCCACCTGCATACCCGACAGACTCCTGTTTCCATCGCCAACCAGCAGGATTATTACTCCATTGCCCTGGGCCTGGGAACCCCTGTCCAGAACTTCAACGTTCTTCTGGACACAGGATCATCTGATCTGTGGGTCTACAATGTCACTGACACTAACGATTGCAAAAAAGGCGGCTGTGCTTTCACTGGTCAGTACAACGACGCTTTGTCCAGTTCTTACGTCTTCCTCAACGACGACTACTCCATTCATTACGTGTCTGGAAGCGCCTACGGCAACTGGGGAACTGAGACGTTGACCGTCGGAGACATTACTCTCGAGGGCTTCCAGTTTGCTTGCGCCAACAATGCCGGAGGACAAGTTGGAGTCATGGGCATCTCTGTGGAGAATGATGAGTCGATCCAGCCTTATCAGAACACCTATCCCAACTTCCCTGTGGCTCTCCAGAATGCCGGCTACATTGATAGACTGGTATACTCATTGTACTTGGACTCTCAGACCGCTACCAGCGGAACATTCCTGCTAGGAGGTATTGACTATGCCAAGTTCAGCGGCTCTCTGGTCTACCTGCCTCTTGCCGATTCAGGTGGAATGGACCTCAACTACAACAGTATCTCCTACAACGGCAAGGACTACGCAGGTTCGGGTACTGCCACTCTTGACTCAGGAACCTCCTACACTTATATTCCCGACCAGGCTTTCCAAGCCCTTGCTTCTGCTCTCAAGCTTGGAGCCCTTTCCACCGGAGGCACTGGTCTTAACTACATTGACTGCGACTCCGATGTGACCATCGAGTTTGGTTTTGAGGGTGTCACTATTGTCGCCCAATCTTCTCAGCTAGTTATCCCCGAAAGTGACGGCAAGTGTGTCTTTGGTATCCAGTCCGACAGCCAGTCTGAAGGATACGATCTTTTCGGAGACACTTTCCTGCGAAATGCTTATGTCGTCTACGACCTGCAGGATTCTGTTATCGGTCTTGCCCAGGCCGAGTACACCACCAGTTCCAACATTCAGCCGGTCACCGGACCTCTTGGTAACTGATTGATTCAGTCTTTCTTTCTTCTGTCCTTCTTTGAGTAATAAATTCCCTTCTTCGTTATTCTTTGCATTCCACTTTCACAACGTAGACTCCGGCTTACGTTTTTCCGGGGGTCACTAATACTGATGTCTCCTCATAGCACTTGGATTACAATCAATAAACTATTAGTATTACAAGATATGTTGCATGGTAGCATCTTTCTCGGGTTCCACCCTTGTTGACTCATGTTCTGTAAATAAAAAAAGGCGACCGATCTCCCATACGAGCCAGCTCTGCACCGGTTAGATGGTCGTACTTGCCACTAAGCATATTCTTGGTCTTTCTTCTGTTGACAAATCCGTAGCCCAGATACATGCCAATGACTATAGCCATGCCGGCAGCCACCATAGACATGGCGATGGTGTGACCCTGCTTGAAGGCAGGAGCGTCCGGTGCTCTGTAGACATTTGAAGCAATGGCCCCGCCCATATTACCCAGTCCAATGACAATAGCCATGGCAATTGCTCGTTTGTATGGGCCACTGACATTCACAGAGATCCAAGAGATGAAACAAATGAAGCACGGCTGCATACCCAGATTGACGATACAACAGCCAGCGTAAGTGATCCAGATTCGTTTCACTCCGTAGGCGATACAGAGAGAGTATCCAACAAGTCCTAGGGAGAAGTTGGCCATTAGAAAGGGGAATCGTTTGCCAGTCTTGTCACTGAAATAAGCCTGGAACACGTTAGCGATAGCTCCAACTAATGCTGGGGGTGCAGACAGTAGCTGCGACTTTGCCACGCTGTGTCCCATGCTGTTGACAATAATGGGGGTGAAGAAGTAGAGAGAGTAGAGAGGAACAACAATGAGAATCATAGCCAGAGCTCCAAGCCAGGACTGGACGTCTTTAAAAGCCTGCCAGACAAATTCTTTATCATTTGAATTGTCTCTTCCGACCGGTTGATTGCTTGAGGCTCCCTTGGCAGCCAAATCTCGATCATAGCCATCGTATTCCAGCGAGTACTGGAGGAACTCTCGTTCATCTTGGGTCAGAAACTTTGCGTTCTCTGGAAAGTCGTACAGAGCCCAGTAAGCAAAGACCGCCACTACAACAGTAGCAATGCCTTCGAGGATGAAGATCCACTGCCAACCGTTGAGACCTGCAGTTCCTCTCATTTTGCCGATTCCAAACGCCAGCAGTCCAGAGAAGGCTCCAGCCAGACCAGCTGCGGTAAAAAACATGGCCTGTCGGTACTGCATGTCTGATCGACAGTACCACATGGTGAGGTAGTAGGTGACTCCAGGAAAGAGACCAGCTTCAAATACTCCCAGAAGCACTCTGCAGGCAATCAGACCGGCGTAGTTGTTGACAATACCCATGAGCGTCATGACAATACCCCACAGGACCATAATAGAAGGTAGGTAGATGGATGGTCTGATGTGTTTGAGAAGCATGTTGGAGGGTACTTCAAACACACAGTAGGTGAAGAAGAAGACTGTGATTGACCAGTTGAACTGGGTGCCGGTAAGATTGAGATCTTCGATGATTCCCTCGATTCGTGCGTTTCCAATGTTTCCTCTGTCAAGAAACGACATGAGGTAGAGCACAGCCAGCATGGGAATGATGTGGAGGTCGCATTTCCGCAGCAGCTTGCTTCTGTTGATGTGGGGGAACTTTTCCTCGGCCGTGAGAAACCGGTCGGGAGACTCGAGAGGAGTAATTTCACCTTCGTGGTGAGACAATTCTGTTTTGAGGGACATGTTACTGGCAAAGTACAATTGTGGGACTGAGGGGGAGATAGAGGCGGACCATTAAGTACACCCGTATCGATCTACCGACCGCCAAGAATATGCATGGGCGGCTCTTGGAGGTTGGCCGCCAAGGAGGTGTGGATATCTTTGTTTGACAGGGTCGGAGGAGGTAGGCATGTTGTAAAATCGGATACCATAGAGCAAGTTAGAGACGACAAAGCAAATCAGAGACCATAAAGCAAATCAGAGATCATAGAGCAGGTTGAGGGAAAAATACACACAGAGGTAAGATTTCCAGGGCCACAAAAACATTAGTCGGACAAGGTCCGGTTTGGTTTAGTTTTCTCTCGACCCTCCTGACTCTTTTCTCCATAATTTTGTCTGTCTGCTTGGCAATATTTTTTTTGTTTTCTGATGCCGACAGTTTAGACTCCAACCCCACACTCAGCCGCACCTGATACGAGTTGATAGCATGCAATGTTTAGGCGAGAAAGTTTGGGGCGTGGTGATTCGTCTCTTATTCGGTGGGATTGAACTGTGTTTTTTTATTGAACTGTGTGTTTTTTCATTTTTTCTTCTGTGGAGTCAAGGGAATAGCGGGGTATAAGAGATACCGGGTTCAACACAGACAATGTGTGTGGTGCACTGCCGGAAGACGGTAGTGGTTCTATTATCGACGGTCAGCGCTAACCCGGGCAGCTCGAAATGACACTCTGGGGACATGATTGCATTAGACCAGGCTAGTGGACTAGTTTGAGAGACGATATTAACAAGAAGGGCCCGGAAACGCTGCCCATTATCGCGGGGAATGTGGGGGAATTGTGGATGACGTGGGAGTGGGGTGATACAACCAGTGGATCCAGGTTTTGCGAGCACATAGAACTGTTGACCGCTATAGTGTCCCTTACAAGTACGATGTACTGTTCATGGTGTTGTGTGGATTTTCTGTGGGGATGTCTCCGTTCACCATATCTTTGGGCTATGTACTATATGTACTATATGTACTATATGTACTGTACTGGATGTACTATAGACTAATATGCCCCCTTTCTCCCATGGACAGTAAGACAGAGCAACCATCCCGTGACCACTCAGGGTACTCCTAGTACTGGTAAAAGTACCGTCTCCACAACACCTCTTGGCAAATCACCTGACAAATGAAACCTCCGCTCGAGGCTTGGCTGGCAGGGTCTAGACGGTTGGCATGGTACCTATGAGTCGTCACGGCTTTTGCCGGCCTTTCGGGCTTTGTCGGAAAGTTACTCCTAGTCCGTAGCTACTACTGTACTTGTAGTCAAGTTCTTGTCGCGTGGTCAATCTCCTCTCCTACAAGTACGATACTATGGGTTGATTGATTGATTGTATATGCTGTCCGCGGGCCAGAGTGAGCACATGTATCTTTAGGGCTTCGACACTGTCTGACCCACAGTGTACAGGACAACTCAGGCCAACCAGTTCACCCTGGGTTCAACCAATAACCAACATTCTGAGAATGCTCCTGTCTGCGACGAGTACATCATGGTCGATACAACACCCCATGGACACAGCACTCCATTGATACAACACCCCATTGATACAACACCCCATTGATACAGCACTCCTTGGATACAGCACCCCATGAAAAAACCTATCTCATTTCTGGCATGTAATTAGGGCCTTGAAACCACCGGGTCGAAGAGATAGGGCTGGACCTTGTCCCCTTGCCACTCAACGTAATTGTTGAGGTGTGTGAACCATAGGAACAACAGGCTGGCCAAGCCTATATTTAGTGGTGAAGATACCATCGTTATTGTAGCTGTTGTTCTTACGAATACTCCTTTCGATTGCTATGTTCTCTTCGCCCTATAATTACTATGGCCGCTTGACCTTACTCCCCTACGGTAAGACATCGCATGTATCCTAACATTAAAGATTGAATATAATGCTGCTGGGTGGAACATTGCGCGTAAAAACATAAACCGGTGTGGTTTTTACCCTGGCTTAACTGTCTTTTGCTCCACTCGTGTATATGACTCTCCTTTTACCCTGAAGCTCCTACTCCATCTTCAGACTCACCCTTTAATGGACCCTTTCACTAATCCCACCTCGCCCCGGACCATTAACATACAATCAAATACATTATATACATAGTTACATACAAGCAAGCAAAAACAAACAAAACGTTCCTGACCCTCCTTTCAATCACCCCGGAACATGGGCAAAGAAACAGAGGAAGAGTAATAAGTAGACGGATTAACCTCCATGTGAGGATGGGAGGTGGAGTGGTTGAGTGAAGGAGCCGATCCAGACATCATCTGCTGGATGATGGACGCCTCCTGACGCAGGTTTTCCACTCCCTTGGCCATCTTATTGATGTTGGACGAAAACTCATTCTCCATAGCCTGACGCTTGGCTTGTCGTTTTCCTCGCTCAGCCATGAGTCGCTGCAGACAGTTGTCGAGCTCCCCGCGGATCTCCCGTTCAACTCTAGACACGTCATTTGCAGCCTTGGCTCTTCGGCCTTGGAGACGGTCCAGCTTGGTCTTGAGCTGCACAACCTCCTGCTGGAAAGACGCCTCCTTCTCGTCAGCCTCCTTCTTCAGCTTCTGTGCCTCCTTCTCTAGCTTAGTCAGCTGCTGTTGACGCTCTTCGAACTCCTTCTTCTTGGCCTTGTGAGCAGCACTCACACCTGCCACAGTCTCGTTGAGCTCTTCAAACTCTCCCTGCTTCATGGCGAGTTCCTCCTCCAAGGCAGGTAACGAGAGCTGAAGCTGTTCAATCTTGTGCCGACTCTTGGAATCCTGTTTGAGATTAGACTCCATCTTCGACTTTGTATTTTCAATCTCCTGTCGAATTGAAGCCAGCCGTTTGGAATAGTCCTTGCGCAGTTTCTTGGTCTTAGACTTTTCTTCTGAGAGAGTCATTTGAGCAGTTGTAAGAGACTCGAGAAGAGTAGTCACGGGAGAAACGGGGCGAGCAGGAACAGAAGAAGGCATAGACGAGGCCCCAGGGTTGCCTACAGAATTGGCACGGGATCTGCCGCTGTTGGAAACGCCTTTGAGGCGCTCAGAGTATTCGGTCTTGACGCCGTGCTTGAACAACACAGTTTCTCCACACGCAATCTCAACCGCATACTCGGAGTAAGGAGTGAGTCCATCTACAAAGATAAAAAAGGAACCGTTCTCTTCTGAGCACGTGGCGTTCACCTGGGGCCATAGTACCCCATTGACGGTGACACTGAGTTCGTATTTGTCGTTTGTAGGCGGATCCTCACACATGATCTCAAACACAAAGGCCCGGTCAAACACGTATTTCAAGATACACGGACCAGCCTGCTGGATGAAGTCGTCGTCTCCGAAAGAGTCGTGTCGCGCTGCCAAGATTATGGAAGAGGCCAATCCTGTCCATAACGGTTGTGCTGTTCGGACCGCCGTGAACTTCTTGCTCTGTTTGAACGAAGAGGCCGGGAAGGAAAAGTCGTAGTTGCGAAGGTAGTCGTCTCGTGAGTTGTCGTTGCTAACTGTATCAGGGACCGTCAAAGTTACGGGATCAAGACTGTCGAAATTAATGCTGGGTAGGGGGATGATGGGTACTGAGGGTGACGTGTGTGTGCTCGGTTCAGAGGCCGTTCCGGTGGGCTTGACAGTGCTGAGAAACAGTTTTTGGAAGAAGGGCACAAAGCCCAGTCCGATGACGTGTAGCGCTAGTGCCTGCGAGATAACCACAGGAATGTCCGTCACAAAATGCAAAATTTGGGCGCTGGGACTCACTCGATAAAGCATGCCCTTGAGCTCGGGCATACGTCGGTACAGCACCTGGTTGTCGATCACGTCGAATACCACGTCCCAGACTGGACTGTGGTCCTGCTGGCCCCACGCTGCGTACTGGGGGAACAGCAGCATGCCAAACTGTTTCCAAAAGAACTGGAACATGGCCACTGCAGACGTGGCGTAGATGGCGTTGGCAAACGGTGATCTGCCACCTGCCATGCTGCTTGCCACCACTGCCGATGCGAACGTGACCACAAACTGGTACCCTCCCCGTGCACATTGTAGTAAGAACACAGACAGCACCATGTCGATGATGATCCATTTCTGCGAGCCGCCCGCGGTGTGGTTTTTCTGTTGGACGGGTGCAAACAGATGTGTGAACAGATGCGGAAGCGACCGTGGCGAAATCAGCCGGCCTTGTCGGATAAATACGTGCCACAGATGCACCAGTGCAAGCACCACGTTGGGGAACTGGCAAAACAGCACCAGTAGCGCCAGCGAGTCGAAAAACGGCTGCTCGGAAATGACGTGTAGACACCGCCACTCGTCGTCACGTGAGCTGCCGCCACCCGTGCTGCCACTGTTGCTGTGGTTGCCACTCCCTCGTGGGTCCGAAGTCGAATCACTTTTGCGAGCCATGTACAGTAGAGGAAGGTTTAGGTGCGTTGATAAAAGTTAGGTGGTGGGTGGGTGGTGCAGTGTACGAGTGCATACGGCTAACGATCCAAGTTGGTAGCCGCAAGTGGTGTCATGAATGCTTCAGAACCATTAGTTTCTAAATATATCGCCTTTCAAGTCGAGTTTTTTTCTCTTTTCATCTTGATTTTCCCTTTATAACAGCCAATCTGCCTCATCTCCTTCACCCCATACTTCCTACCAGCGCCAACTTTGATTCATGTCTCATGATTACAGCTCCAAAAATAAAATAAAAATAAACATAAAAATATGGAAGAAAAAAAAAGAGAAAAAAACAGCGACAGATACAGGCTCTCTATAATCAGCTGGAAAAAAGTCTCCCGTGTGTCCAATGTCACCCACACGACGTTGTTTATGTCACCCCCTCAGTCTATATATATAGCTGCCTCCTCGTGTCCCATATTTACTGCTGTATGTACTCCTTTTACTCGCCGCCCTGTCTCTCCTCTCCAACTCAGCCCTGGCACACGACTCACCTTGTTGCGACACGCTTAAACGGGACGTCTTCAGAAGGCCACAACAGACCCACAAAATACAGGAAATTGTGCTGAGACGCGCGCTATTCTGGATCTCGTGATCATGGGGCACGTGACCACGTACCCTGAGTCGACACATGCACGCACTACGGGTTGCCCTGGAAACGCAAGCACAACAAAATGAGTCGGAGCTTTTGAAAATAACCTTTCTGTTCTAGAGCCATTGTGATCAAAAATAGACTAGACGACGGGACTGTCAAATTGCGAATACAAGGGGATATATTGGTGTTATTAAGTGCTTTTTTCTCGGGTATTCCAAATCTTTGTATTGTAGGTTGGTGGCTATTAGCGCTACGTGCTCAGTTTTGTTACGAAAACCCCTCAAAAAACCTGTTTTCGGTGTGTGATACTCTGTAAAACCGTTGCAAGAATCGAACTTATGACCTCAGAACCCACGATAATGGGACGATACCACTCTCGTGTCACTCTGTTTGCAGTCCCTGTGGAGTATTAGACGGATTACAATTTTACATAGTAAAGAGAGCGGACGTCAGCTGTGAGTAACTTCCCTAGAATAATATAAAATATAAAAATGGCTGTTTATGTCTGTTCCTTAACAGATCAAGTCGATTAGGTAAGATCAAGACTGCCCGTCGAAGGCAAGTAGATCGACAAGTGGTAGGCGATAATCACAGTTGTCGTTTTACACCTTCTGACAACCGATCTAGTAAGGAGAAACGCAGTCGTTGAGGATTGATCATTCTCAAAGCGACTCCACTGGCGTATTTTAGTGATACAGTCCATTGTAGATAACAGAAAGTCTCTTGAATCATATGCCAAAGTGCAAGACCTGTCCATTGACCACAGACTATGGAGCTTCTAGCTGTCTGAGATGGAGCTTCTAAATGTCTTCATTGTAACATAAAGTAGCCCTAGTTCGACTGGAGCCTTTAATATCCCCTTTTAGATGCCATATAGTAGCCTGAAGTTGGTCCTTATTACTTTCATGTGCCTTGAGCCTTCCTTACAGACTTTCATTTCATAGCATATGCGGGATCTATACGAAGCTATACGAAGCTATACTGACCCGGTTGAAGATCATGTCCGTCATGTGGAAAGCACAATGTTTTTTAGATGAGCAGGAACTACCGTTGGTCCATCTATAAATAACGGTTCGCGCGACTCTCTTTTGGACACCACCCATCCCCCTCTTCACCATGCTTTTCAAGAACATTGCCCTTCTCTCTCTCGCCGCTTTTGCTGTTGCCAACAACGAGCACTCCGAGAACCCCGAGGACATCCATAAGTTCAAGGACCACATCCACTCTAAAAAGTGTCCCCAGCCTAGCTGCGAACTGGAGACCACTACCATCACCACCAACTACCAAACCAACTGGGCCACCGTCACCGAGACTGTCCAGAAGAAGTGCGCTCCTACCCAGAAGCCCAAGCAGACCAAGCAGACCAAGAAGACCCAGCAGACCAAGAAGACTCAGCAGACCAAGCAGACCAAGCAGACCCAGCAGCCCAAGAAGAACTGGTAAGAACGGTTGCTAGCCTTTCTCAGCTGAACAGTTGAAATATATCAGTACTTTTAAGTGATTTTTACCCCAAACATGATGATCGTAGAGTTTTTGCTGCGTAAATGCCCACCCCAATACTCCAAGTTCAAATGGTATCGTACTTTATGCGGTACACTGAGACTGTGTAGAGGTAGAGGAGTATACGACTGGTTCTGAACTTCATGTAGAGGCCATGGGTGAAAAAACGCTACTGCATTGGTGAAAAAAGCGTACAGTATGTGTTGTACATACTGCAGTCAAACCTGGCCATGTTATAGCTATCAGTTGGTAATGTTCAGTAAATCGGAGAGCTGTGGTCGGAACAGTATATTATCTATCGTGTCGTAGACTTGTGGCTATAGCTTCACAAACACCTACAACGGAAAGACCACATCCTCCCAAGAGTTGGTGTAGCTGAGTTGTATCTTTCCATCACGATAAGATGTCTTTGAAAGACAATAGCCCCAGCCATATAGTTCGTTCTTGAACAGTTGGACACCTCATGAAGACCTGGCACCATCAACCTACTCGTACCTTAGTTAATCCGACGCCAACTCTCCACTACTTATTCTCACCAGTTCCGTGGTCACCTGCTGTCATATGGACAGACGTTAGGGGAACGTGAATGCCCTGTTTCTCGACGATGGATGACTAAACGGAAAAGGAACAAGTCTGGAACAATGCCGGAAGAACAGTAAAGTTTGGCTCTGGGCCAAACTGAAACCGGAACTTCCATGACCGTGACGATCGAGGTCCTCGAGGGGGCGGGGTACCAGGTGCGTTTCATGTGATTGTTCACAGACTGGACCAGACGGCGGGGAATGCGGGATCGGCGGCGGTCTGGGCAGTGTTCTTTGGTCACGTCACCAACGATCCCGCGCGCGCTCCGTACAGTTTGCCACTTGCCACTGCACCGCCCGTGTTCTCGTGATCTCGAACCCATTAGCCTTCCATCTCGTATGCATACGATGCATGTGAAAGCGGCTGATCGGAGGTGGTTACTTCCGGGTAATGGAGTGGGTTGCAAATTACCATCGGGAAAAGAAAAGTGAAGAGGAGGAAGGGAGAGTTGGGCTTGAAATTAAAAAGAATAAAGCAAAAAAGATGATAACAAAAAAGAAGAAAATAAATAAATAAAATAAAATAAAATAAAAATTCACAGCAAACACTCAATAAACAGAGCCATAGACAATAGGACAAAACAGCATACAAACGGCTGCTCGACTGGTGGAAAATGAGTAGTCTGTCGATTGACTAGTCGGGTTCGGTCAACTATCGGCTGTGTAGAAAATATCGACTATATCAGCTCTCTCCGTAGGCCCATAATTTTTCCATATGGCTCGATCCCATGCCATGTTTGGCACGGCTGAACCGAAATGCACTAACCATGTATTATTACCACCATGTTTGATGCTCATGTATGGAGCCCAAAAGTGGCCTTGGTGACACAAGGGACGCATCTTTTGCTGCCAGATAACAAACATTGGTGCAAGCTGACTGGTTCCTGTCTCTTAGGAACAGTACGTGTGCTCGGCTCGGGCCACACCAGTCTTGTCGTCGCAGTATGCCTCGGTTTGCCACAAGATTTGTTAGGTGCAAGCACACCGAGACAGAGAAGCATTTCGCACGATACAAGTACATACTGTACTCCAACCTGCACAACTGCAGCATGTGAAAGTTGCTGATGTTTAGCCACTGGTTGTTTGTGCGTGCTCTTAGTGGCGGTGCTACTGAGTCAGGTTTTGCCCGTGTTTGTCCATATCTTGTGGCACTAATGAAAGGTGTCGCGTTTTTGTTGTTTCAATTTGGCTCTCCTCAACACAGGAACCCCTCTCCATCGTATCCTGTCGATCTCCGTCTGCTGATCCAGACAGGGTGTGCAGGAGGAGTCAGAAGGGGTGAAAAAGCGGCGAAAAAACGCGAAAAAATCGGTTTGGAGGGGTTTCAACCTGAACTTATCGGCCATTGGGCAGATTTACAGTCGTTTGGAACCCTCCAAGCCCCTCTCGTTCCAGTCCAGCTATCCAAAACAAGTCCCAGTCAGACTATAGCACATGCCAGGCGGCGAATGTTAAAAAAGAACCTTACATTACAGCAAAGTCAATTTGAAACCTAGTATTCCCACTCTATCTTATCTATATAAGCCTTGCAAACCACCCTTCTCAGTTCCCCTACCATCCACATTAGCCAGACACTATCACACACAACATGTCCTACAACATCACCGCCAAGGGCGTCTCGCCAACCACCTCCAAGGCCGAAATCAAGAAGTACTTTTCCTTCTGTGGCAAGGTCAAGTCCGTGGCCATTGACGAGGAGACCCACACCGCAACAGTCACCTTTGCCAACCTGGAGGCAGTTCGAACTGCGCTCCTGATCGCCGACGGACAGATTGGCGACTCCAAGGTGTCCATTGAGGTCGACGACGCCACCCTCAAGAAGCTGGATGAGCCCCGAGCCACTGAGACTGTTGAGAGCGACTCCAAGACCCAGGACGAAAAGAAGCCCTCCACTGCCGACTCCAATGACGACGCTGCCGACGGTGCTCGAACCCCCGAGTCCATCTCCCAGGAGCTCAAGCCTCGAGCCGCCATTCTCGCCGAGATGCTCTCCAACGGTTACGTTCTGTCCGACAAGGTTCTGGAGCGAGCCATTGACTACGACAAGGAGCACGGAATCACTGCCAAGTTCACAAACTACCTGACCGACCTGGACAAGAAGTACCACGTGGTTGACAAGGCCCAGGCCACCGACCAGGCCTACGGCATCACTGCCCGACTCCAGAAGTACTGGGAGGATGCTCTTAACACTTCCTACGGCCGAAAGATCCGGGAGTACTACTCTGAGGCCGCCAAGGAGGCGTCCGATATTCACGCTGAGGCCCGACGCCTTGCCGATCTCAAGGAGCAGGAGCTGGCCAAGCAGGCCGAGGAGAAGAAGGATAAGATCACTGAGGTCACCGACGAGAAGACTGAGAAGGCTTAGTTTGCGTATATCTTGGAAAAGCGGTTAAATAGTAATATTTATTGATTTATGGAATCTTCCTGTGTAATTGGGAGATTTTATTTCCACTATTTTCCTCTGGATTGCTGTCTGGAGACAAAGCAGCAACTGTTATTTATACAGTGCTTGCAGATCATACCAGTGCATGTATCAGCAGAAGTTTTACAAACGACAGTACTGTAATATAGATACTGTCGACCCGGTACAATCTTTCCCATGTCGATTGAGAAATAAAAAAAGCGAATGTTGAGATATCCCTTTAACCAAAAATTGCCCGTAAAATTCACAAATCAAGGTCCAATTCTGTGGGGTTGCGGCCTGTAGATCTTTCACAACGTTCCAAAGTCTACCATGTGAGAGGTGGAAGATGCAGATTGAGGCAGATTGAGAGACAGTAAAAAGGGTGTGGAAAGAGAGAGAAACGAAAAACGAACCGCAAGTGTCTTTGTGTCTGTTTTTAACACTCGGCAATGCGGCTATCCGTATGTACGGGGGGTTGCCTACAGGGATGGGATGGTGGTTGCTACAGGGTGCAGAGGTCTAGAAACAAGGGTGTCGAGAGAAGTCCTGTAGTTGTAAGTTGAGTTCCAGAGATACCAGAAGTACCGCCATACGGGAAATAGGTAGCCTCGTTATTGCGGAACAGATCTCTTCTTTGAACAGGGACATTCAGTCAGAATGCCCTAACACTCCCCTCTCAGCAGAACATGAAGGGCAGCTTCGCCGCCTTGAAGCGCTGAGTTTACTTGAGTTTACTTGAATATACTTGAGGAAGAAGTTCTTGTTGGGCAAGTTGAGCCAGGACATTGTAGAGAGATATAAGAGCCATACGATTTACCCTTGTGTTATTTTTTCGGCCCTCTAAACGAAATCTCATTTCATAATACATTCATATCTAAATCTTTAGAGCTATCTTGTACTTCTCTTGGTTAGTCAGTGCAAGTATAAGTACAAGTACACTGGTAGCCTTGTAGATTTTGGGCCAAGTAATCTCCCAACTAATGCCAACTATGAACTGCTTAATTGTGACCGCTAAATTGGTGAATATCATAACCAGAAAACGCCATTGCCATTGCGACTCCCAGGAGACTTGTTTTTATTCCGAGGAGATCTGGGATAATCCTTTATTTTCCATCACTTGTCAACCTCATCACCCTCTTTGCTGTCCCCGTTTTTCCATATTCACCCAAATCAAGTGTCCTAAATCACCGCTCCGGGTCATCTGAATCTCTGACCTAACAACCTCGAATCAGGGCAAAACACATCATAACGGCAATCAGATGAACTCCAGCACCCGTCGAGTCACCAGACACACTACTTGTACACAAACTGTCGGAAACACCACCACTTATACCCTAACCCATGCATAGATCGATACGTTCTCTTGCGTCTCTATTAATCCGATCCGCGACTTCCACAACAACCACTACAGCCATGGCCAAAGGAAACAAGGGCAACAAGCGGTCAATCAACCCGGCAGATCTCACGCCGGAATACATTGCCGAGCAGCGAGCTCTGCGAGAAGAGCGTAAGAAGAAGAAGCTGGAGGAAGCTCTGGCCCGAGGAGAGATCCCTGAGAGCGAAAAGAAGGAGCCCACGGCGTTCCTGACTCGAGAAATGGTTTATGTCAACACAGATGCAGGCTCGAAAGACCACATCTTCACCATCATGACATACAACACTCTGGGACAGACTCTGATCCGACGTAAACTGTTTCCCGAAAACGGAGACGCTTTGAAATGGAAGTGGCGGTCCACTATTCTGCAGAAGGAAGTCACACATTACAACCCCACTATCATGGTGTGCCAGGAGGTGGACGCAGAGAAATACAACTGGTGGAACGAGTTTCTCAGCAAACATGGGTACGACAGTGTCTTTAGCACATACGAGGGAAAGAACCATGGACTCATGTGTGCCTGGAAGAAGGACATGTTTGAATTTGAAAACAAACAGGCAATTGAGTACGACCATGTGATCATGGAGAACCTGCCTGTGCAGTTCAAGACCCGAAACACAGGTCTGATTGTGCAGTTGAAACATGCTGTCACAGCCAAGACGATTATCGTGGCGACCACTCATCTGTTCTGGCATCCCATGGGCTCATTTGAACGTACCAAACAAACTGCCATGTTGTTACGTGCATCTCAGAAGTACGTGGAGGATTTGGATGCCGAGAAGGGCACGAAATCCATTCTTGTGGTAGCTGGAGATTTCAACTCCACTCCCTGGGACGGTCCCTACGTCGGAGCTACCATGCACAAGTTCGACGAGATTACGCGGCCCATTTTAAGTGCTTCTCTGCAGTACAAGTTCACTCGAAAGAGCAAGGAGCAAAAGGCTGCTGAAGCTGCAAAGGCAGACGCGATTGCAAAGGGAGAACCTCTTCCTGAGGAGCCTGAACCCGAAGAAGACGAGGGGGATGGCGAGTTAGAAGCTCTAGGGGACGTTGTCATTTCAGAGGAGGATGCAGAGGCCCACATTCAGACCCTTGAGAATGAATTCAGAAAGCTGCCTGTACTCAACTCTCTGTATGGCAGCTACACAGATGTTGTTCCTGAAGCCTCCAAGGAGCCCGTTGGCAAGCACAAGAAGGAGCCTCGCTTCAGTAACTGGGCCCACGCCTGGAGGGGTCTTTTGGACTACATTTTCGTTTCGTCCAACAACAGCGATGAGGTCCAGGTCAAGAGTCTGTTGAAGATGCCCCTTGAGGAGGATATGGGGCCCGAGCCCAGTGGTCAGCCTCGCATTGACATGTATCCTTCAGATCATCTTGCTATCATGGCTGAAGTTGAGCTGAAGTGAACGACCAAGACTAAAGGGTGGCACATAAATGGACAAGGTATATAGAAACGTGATAAAGGAGGCCGCAAAGGTTCTATTGGCTTAGTGCCGAGTTTGGTGGTCCATTGTTCACTTGATGGTATGTACTGTACTGTAGCTACAATAGAGCAGTTGACGATATAGCCCTTTGTAGTGCTCTATAGACTATTGTGTGTCGTAACATTGGAGTGCCAACCTACCTCTAGCAACACACTCATTCACAAGAGAGAAACGACACAGAAGCTGTTGTTAATCAGGCAGCAGGTATTCCATTGCCCTTTGCTCTCGTTAAGTCATCTGATTTCACTCGCTACTTCTTACTGAGCAAATACAACCCTCTTCATCGGTACATTATACAAAGTCATCCACCACTAGCCACTACTTTCGCCACCAAGATGGGCAAGAAGAACCGCTTCAAAAAGGTGAGTCGAGAACTTCATTTTGGCCGCAAGTTGGAGCAATCACCTACTCTCTCTCTCGACGGAGAGGCTCAATTGGAGCGGTTTGCTCGAAACCAGTGGTACCGCTACTTTGTGCAGATTGAGGCCAAGTACCGAATGGTATCCAACGACGATGAGATCACGGCTGCCCACCAAACCATGATGTTGCTTGGACAACCTGTTGGCATTTCCCTGGACTCCGAGCTCGGTCAGAAGATTGAGGCTGAGCTGCAGGGACAACGACAGGAACAGGAGGCGGACGCTCATCCAGTGGAAACTGTCAACCCGCCCAGAAGACCATGGAGACGGTCAAGAAAGGCGTAGCTACGGTGTAACTTGGGCCAAACCACGTGACAGTCACATGATTCACCGCTCATACGACATCGCACAGACACCAGTATATAGATAATATATTTGTACTCTATCTTAATCTGAAAGAGGACTCATCCTCATATCGTTTGGAAGCAGCAGTCATACATGTTCTGAGATATGATGGTATCATTAATATTCGTTATTCGTTTAGATGTGCCTCCCTAGTCACTTCCCATAGTACTTTTTGACCACCTCAACCCAGTCCTTCTTCAACTTGCTACCATTGGGCTCAACATTGTTAGCAGCACCCCAAGCCCTGAGTTCTGCGACGGTCAGCTTGCCGACAATGTCATTCTCAACCATATTTTGCATTTGCTCGTTGGACGGAGGGCCCGCGTCAGAACTCTTGACTTTCTTCTCAGCCTTACAGATATCCTCCGCAGGTCGCTTGGAGCTGCTCTGCAACACCTTGTTCCATTCCTCGATGGCATCACCAACTCGAGTATCAATAGACCGATACTTTGGTGTCGTCTTGTCTTCGGGTACCTTGGGAACCTCCTCCTGAAGGGCCATGGCTCGTACAACTCGGTAATGCCACTGTAGACGGGGGTTGGGGTATCTTTGCGACTCAAATCCGCCAGGCATGCGTAGACGAGTGAAAATATTCTTGGTTGCGTCCACGAGCTCAGGGGCGGCAGACACAAGTTCAGTCTTTGGTTCTTGTCGAATATCATCTGTAAAAGGCAAGAAGACCATATGAAGACCTTCGATCTCCTTAGTTGAAGGAATAAGAAGAGCCAGAATAGGTTTGGCGCCCTTGCGGACAATAACCCAGGCCAGAGCCATCTTATCCTTGTTCTTGAGACTCTGATAGAGTGCTGAAAAGGCTCGAATCGAACCCACAAGCTTCTCATCAGTGGGATATAGGAACATTGACGATCGGACACTGTGGATGAAGAGCTCGGAGAAGTCCGAGGAATTGTGGAAGCCGAGAATTCGAATAATTGGCTCTCCAAAGTACCGGATTTGCGTCAGCTGTTCTTCTGTGAAAGGAACATAGTCATTTCCAAACTTGAAAGTCTTTCTCAGATCTGCCTTGTCCACGCTTCTGCCACTTTCAATAGTGACGGCCTGCGATTCTAATTTGGCAATCTCGGGTTTCTCACCTCCAGTGTAAACCCAGGCCTTTCGGGTTGTTGAAGTAGCCTTTTGTTCCGCATAAAGAAGGTATCCTCTTACTCCGACAACAAGACCTTCTCCGATTTCCATTTTGACATTGAACAGTGATCGATTGAGCACGTTTCTTTTGTTGATAAACTGCTTCAAATCGATCGCCTCAACCGGCTCCACAGATGTGTCTTCGTTGAACACAAGAGCGTAGAATTTGGAGGAGTCGAACGTCTTGTCTTCCGAAGGGTTGATCAAAAGAGGCTCGACCTTCACCTTGAGATGGCTTAGATCCTCAATTCGAACTCGTGTCTTGTTGATATCGTCCTCATTCGTCGTGGGGGTATCGTCGTCTGTGATATAGATGATTCGTCTGGACGCGAAGTTGGGTGCCATGTTGATAAAATGGCGGTTCATGTCGAAAAACACGTCCATCAGGTGAGGCTCTTCCTGCACCTTGAACCTCTCACCCAGATCAGGGTCCTCTGCCAGTCGTTTGAGTCGTTTGATCTGAGCAGCGGTAGGAAGGCCCAGCTTGAGAATGAAATGTGTATCTGACTCATCATCGAACTCGTCACCGTCGTCCTCAGACTGCATGGAGGCACCGAACAGCATAACGCCGGTGTAATCTTGCGGCGATATGACGATTCTGTCAGTCACAGCATCGAAGGCTGCCTCCAAGGCCTTATGAAGAGTTCCGTTGTTAATGGCGTTCTGGGTTACTTGAATGGCGATCAGCAGCGCGTCCTTGCGCACCTTGTAGTCCTCGATTTCCAGCACATCGTCATCGTTCTCCAGATGTGAAATCCATTCCATTTTCAAAAAGCGGCGGTTCGTGGTTCGTGTTTCGTGTTCGTGTCGCGATGTATAGTTATAATTGGAGGTTGATGAATGATGCAGCTAAATTTGGGTTTGTGGGGAGTGAAATTAAAAAGCTGAAGAGAAGACAGACGACGATGACGATGGTGGAAGAATACAGGAAAGGGATTGTGTAGTATTGTTGGACTTTGCTCTCAAATCTGATCTGAATTTTCCTTGAATTTCCTCAATAATCTCAATATTCACGAGTTTGCAGTAGGCGGTGCTTGACGTGCTCTTCCTCATGTACAAATCCAATTCATCAAGATCAAATGCACGCACGGAAATCGAACTCCCAACCACACACCGCCCATCTGCATAAACTCTAAATGCGGTGAAATTTGTAACTTCTGAAAGACACGATTTTACACACTCACGCAACCACCTGAAACGCCATGTTCTACAAAGTCACACAGGTCCGATCTATCCTGCGAATGCCGTGGAGAACACGTGACGTGCTCAAGACCCTCGGTCTGGGCAAGGTCGGCTCCCAGAAGTACTACAAGGTGTCTCCTGGTATCGCCGGTCAGCTCTACAAGGTCAAGGAGCTGGTCAACGTGGAGATGGCCGACCAGTACAAGTCCAAGGCCCAGATCAAGGCCGACCGAAAAACCGAGCCCGGATTCTCCGTTGTCGGTTCTAAGCGAGCCTAAGAGTGAGACAGAATGATCTCAAACGACACAAAACGACAGGCTGATTTGAAACAACACAACACAAGTGCGAGCCGATCTTGCGGATCTGGACACTCTAAACATCAAGTCGACAGTCGCCACACATGTATATATCCAATGTATTTATCGAGTTGAAGGAAGGAAGAGCTAGGAAAGGAAGCTCAGTATGCGCTTTTGAGATCGTGTTGATGTCGGCAGCCGGAGCATTCGTGGGAGAGTACGAGTGCTGTCGGTGTGTACAAGCCGGCAGACCCCGGGTAGAATGGTACAAGTAGTGTAGTGTAGTGTACTGTACTCGTACTTTATGGGCCTATGTTCGAGTACTTCTTTCTTGCCATGAATGGTCTATTGATGTATATGTCGTAAGAAGAAAGTCTCCTCGTCTTTGGGCAAGTGCTATGAATCATGTAGGGGAAAGAGAACTTGGCATATTTAGTGTTCATATCTAAGATGGTAACACGGAGACTTAATTCATTGATATCTGTTAAATCTTCTACAGCATCTACAAGTAGTTGTACTTGTAGAGATAGACAAGCCATCTGCTCCAACATCTCCAATGTGCATATCGTGCAACTACACCAGTGACAGTAGTACAAGTGGTATATTCATTCCATCTCATCTATCACTTGCACCACTCAAGCAAATGCATTCATTTCCTACCTTACCACCTGTCGCGTATCGCAAACCAGCATAGCTTACCTGGACGGCATAGACGGTAGAACCAACAGAAACGGCATAAACGGGTCAGCTGAAATTAAGGGACTTGATATTGAGACAGAATGACGAGGATTTTAGTTAGAAGTACCGCCATCTGCAGTATCTCTGTCGGTGCGTGGTGTTCGTTCGATCCACACATTCTTAACAACACGTTCAACAGGACTCCAACAAAATTGCCTGCCACTCTCTCCTCTTTTAGACGGTAAATGCACAACCATAACAACAGACTCAACAAGACAGAACAGCAAAACAAGTAAAGAGAGAGCATACAACTCCCCCCCAAACTATCCAAAGTGGCTAAAGTTGAACCTGAAGCACTTATTCTAGCCATAATACCGGGCGCTGGAAACATATAAATAGCCCCCATCCTCCTCCTTCTATTCTACACCAAGCAACAGCCTCTCTTCCCATTCAATCAGCAATGCAGCTCAAGAACATCCTCCTCCTCTCTCTCTCCGCCGTCGCCCTGGCCCAGAACGCCTCTCCCGAGTCCGACAACGCCATGGAGGCCCCCCAGGACATCTCCAAACTCAAGCCCAAGTGCCCTGAGCAGAAGTGCCCCAAGCCCAAGGTCCACAAGCTGACCAAGAACATCACCAAGACCGTCATGAAGACCGTCACCAAGTCTGCCAACAAGTGCCAGCCTACTCACTAGAATCGGAATGCACCCGCATAGATTCTCGTAAATTTTAGATTCAATAAAGTACTGATAATATCAGACGAATCGTAGCTAGCCGTCACTGGATAACTAGTCATTCACAGCTTACTACAATTGTGAACATGACAGATAAACCTTCATAAAGCCCTTTTGTCTGTCACTTGATTCATTAATGTTATTACGGTATCTCAATGTCCTTCATAGTTGTTCCTCTGTTCCCTCTTCTCACCTTCACATGTCCTACCTACTTTCGACCAGGCATGTTCCGTCGTGCATTCTTTCTGGGCGAGCCAGCATACTGAGCAGCAGCCTGAGCGGCAATGCCAGCCACATGTGTCTTCTTTTCTTCCTTGATGTTCACAGGAGACTCCACTAACGACGAGTCGACCATTCGAAGCACGTCCTTGGCCTTGACGGTGCCGGGGTTCTCTCGGTTCACCTCCTCCTTGTAATCCAGACGAACACGCTTCTTTGCAGACTCAGGCTCGTCATCGGGAGACGCATCTCGGGAGTCACGAGATCTCTTAGAAACGACAAGCTTGGGCTTTCCAGAAAGAATGGAATCTTCGGAAACGAGACTGTCGCCGAGGAAAATGTCAGTCTTAGTAGACAGGAAGGCGAAGACGGGGTCCTTAGAAGTATCTCGAGAGCGGGGTGGTCGAGCGAGGTATCGTTTGGTGTCACTTCGAGCTGTGATTTCGGTCTCTGTGTCGGCAAACGTGCATCCTAGAGGGGTTTCCAGTTGTCGCACGTCTTTGGGGGCTGGGTTAGTATGAGAAAAGAGTTTCGGCTGCACTGAGAATAGTGCACGATGATGACACGAGAACACCAAAGATCCGCCACATTATTTCCACAGATCACCAGATGTATAGGTATGAACACCACCTCCACCATGAGAGCCTTTGGGAAGTCCCTAAACTTCTGGGTATGTCATGTCACTGTATCCGTTGATCATATTTGTCTCGGCGCAGAGCTGTGGTATATCATGTGCTGTAGACAAAAGGTTTGAAAAGGTCGAGCAAGCTATACTGTATCTCAAGAGGGTGTTCATTACGCCATCAGGATAACTCCGCCATTGATGGTGATGTCCAATGAAGTATCATAGCGCTCGGTATCAGCTCATCATTCCATCATCAATTGCGTCCCTCAAACAGCTTAAATTGGTCTCACGCTCTCCCTCTCAAGCCACTCTCTGACTTGCCTAGCTCATATTTCCGCGGTGTCACATGTCGTCTGTATATGCGTCATCTATCTCTGTCAGCTGCGCCATCCATCCTTGTTTGCCTTCATGCCCACCATCGCATTGTCCGATGTCATACTCACGGTACTTGGGCAACGGGGTATCGTTCTTGTACTGATCTCCAATCACCGGTGATGCCCCCACAGGCACGGAATACACCAACGGCGCGTACGCCTTGGAGCCGCCAATGTCGGCCACATGTGCCAGCATCTGATGCACCTTTCGTCGAGGGTCAAACTGGTACGCCTTTTTCTGCGGCTTGTCGCCCTGGGGCCGCTGGTCCCGTGAAAACGGTCGGCGCTGGTTGTTGAACCGGTTGGGCGTATGTGGCGTTTTATACATGTTGCTGGAGCCTCTCTGGAGCAAAAGATGTGGGAGTGGTGTGTGCACCGAGATTGAGTTGGGCACTGTGTAAACATCCACCTACAAGTACACGGGACATACGATGGGGAAGAATTATTTACCAACTCTATTCTGGGGTGGGGTGAAATTTCAGACCTTTCCAAGGTAGACAATGAAGCCATAAGCAAGTATTCACAACTTACAGGGACGTATTTGTCTTGTTAGCACGACTCAAATGTATGCTCATGAAGCCTTTCTCTGTACTGTAGAAGCTGGTTGCCATAGTTACCAGTAGTTTATGGCTGCAGTTGTCCTACAAGTACAGTACATACTGTACAGTAGCGCAGTACAATGAGGGCTGGAAGAGTAGTATTAGCTGTAAGAAGGGATATCTCCGGTCTCAGTTGAACGGTAGCTGTAGTTATTAGCTGCTCTCTATCAACTTACAGTGCTGTACTTGTAATCATTCAATGTAGTATGACTGGGAAGGATTGTCACTCCCTAAACGGCCCTTGAATAATATGGCCCTGATATCGAACCCTAAGCACTATGGAGTAAGGGGCTTCTGAAACTTTTCAAATTGGTATAATACGCAGGCGATGTCGTTTATCAAAAAGATGTCTCAGATTCACTCATCACAAGTATGCTGAAATGTCGTTCCACACTTCTGTATCACCATCTACACCACAATTCACACCGCACTCCCGGGACAGTTCTTGAACTTAATTAAGCGATAACGATGTCCCATAACATGCCATCTCTCACCTTCATTTCAACTCCTACCACACCATGAACTTCACAGGGTCGCCAGAATACGACATCAACACGACCGAAGGCGACATTGGTGTCACAAAATCGACCACCCATCTTCTAGCAACGGCCCAGAAACACCTAGACAACAATGAGCTCAAACAGTTCCAAATATGCATCGAACCATTCCAGGAGCTGCCACAGCTGGTGGACACGAAACTGCAGGATTTCGTGACCCAATTGGCGGAGAATTACACAGAACCAAACCCGGATATCGCCAGAGCTCTGTATACACTTGTGACCGTGAGAGGGGGCAAGATCATTGCAAGACTGATGCCAAATCACGTGTCTAGACTGATCCCGATCATGAATCTGATTACCCAGCAAAAAGTCTCGTGGGAAGAGGAATTCATTGTGCTGCTGTGGCTGTCCACTGTGTCACGAGCCCCCTTCCCTTTGCATACAATCTCTCAGACCCTTCCCCAAGACCTGTATGATCTGGCATGGCGAAGCCTCAACACGGCCGGAAAATCACGTGACGCAGCGGCCAGGCTCCTCGGAGTGCTTCTGACACGCGATGATATGGCCAAATATCTTACTCGGTTCTATTTGGAGTCTTGCATGTGTTTTTCTGAAGGAGATCAACAGTTCCTACAGTTAGGTATTCTTCAGACTCTGCCTCATCTCATCAAGTTTAAGACAGCAGGGGAACTCAAATGGTACGCGTTGGACCACCAGAAACTGCTATATATTGTTGAAGAATGGGCCAATAACTCTTCAACAGTTGACGCAAATACCCATCGTCTTCTTGTGAAGAATATCTCGCGTCTAGCCCAATTACAAATGTCTCTAGCAACGACAGAAGTGCCAATTGAGGTTGAACAGAGTGTGGGTTTTTTTTTAAGCCAGCTATCGCATCCAAACACTCTAGTGAGATACACAACTTCGAAAGCCATTGCTAGAATCTGTCAGAAGTTGCCTGAGGATCTGGTAGCCGAAGTAACCGACGCAGTTTTTGCAGAAATTGAAGAGGAAAATATCTCCACAGCTGATGCAGACAAGTGGCATGGGGTGTTGTTGACTCTAGCCGAGGTCATCAGACGAAACTTGTTGCCCAATAACGTCATCTCAAGACTCTACGCTATCTTGGAAATTTCCATTCCATTTGAACAGCGACACTTGACCTACTCCGTGGGAAGTCACGTTAGAGACGCCAGTTGTTACGTTTGCTGGTCTTTGTTTCGAACAGTTCGAGGTCTCACGAAGGATGTTCAACCAGTGATCTCTCTATTAGTCAAGGTTGCCTGCTTTGATCGTCAGATTAATAATCGAAGAGCAGCTTCAGCAGCAGTCCAGGAGTTCGTGGGAAGACAGGGACCAGTTATTATGGAAACAGCTCGAGGAATTGATCTGTTGACGAAGCTGGACTACTTCCGGCTCGGTTCTCGTGAGAACTCGTACCTTGCCGTCTCACATGATATGCAAGAGCTGGGCTTCTCAGATTTGTCAGACCACCTGGTCGGGCACTGTGTCACGTCATGGGATCCAGATATCCGACGTCTAGGCGCTGAGTCATTGGGTGTTCTTAACCAAGATCACGGGAGCAAGAATCATGTGATTTCTTTACTCAATCAGCTTGACATTTCCGAAACTGATGTGCGTCATGGAGTCATGCTGGCTCTGACTGAGCTGCGAATTGTCACACCCCAGGCTCTGGAGCTTAGTCAACGGCTTTTGGCCTACGTACAACATTCTCATTTGAAGGTTGGACAGGAGACTTTCACTGCCCAGGCGTTTGTTGTTCTTCTGGGCGCTCTTTGGGCTGATTCTGAAGATTCCTCAGTGTGGGATAATGTCGAAAAGTTGACCTTGTGCATGGAAATGAACGAATCCAATCTAGTTCCGGCAGTTTCCACGTGTGTCAGTCATCTGAAACTCGACTCTTACTCGGACATCTTCTCTGTTTGGTCCCAGAGACTGTATGAAACCGGATACTCTAGTTTTGCAGCTGCATTGGGCTCCATGCCTTCTTCCGGAGGTGTTCGGGAGTGTCTTTCTTACGTGATTCGAGCTTCTTCTCCGCCTCATCTTGCCGATTGTGCTACCAAGGCTGCTTGTATTGAAGCTATTAGTCGGTCTGGTGAGTTTGATACAACTTTGGTGGGTTCGTGTCTTGATAACTACACCGTTGACAATCTCAGAGGAGATGTAGGCAAGTGGGTTAGACAGGCGAGTCTACAAACCATTAAAAAGTACTCTTCTCTTGACTGGAGCCAACATGTGAACCAGATTGTGCGTATCTCAGTGGAGACTCTTGACGATCTGAGAAAGCTAGCGTTTGACGTTCTAGTGGAGTTAAAGATCATCTCTGGACCTCGTCAGAATGGCTCCAGGTATTTTTCTCACATGCTTTCACTATGGGATAGTTTCCCCGAGTCACGTGCAGCTCTTGTTGCAGGTCTGACTAGTCTCGCAGGAGCTGAAAGAGCCAATACTAGTCTTCTGGGGCACTCGTTTGACGCCATTGCCGCGTTCCTGGTTGGTTCTGAGACTCGAACGAGCGAGTTTGTAACTATGGTGCTTGGAAATGTCGATAAGCAACACGTGAAGCAATCCCTAGCTGGTCTACGTCTCCTTTATAAATTGTTTGATCTCGGCATTATCACGGCCAACACGATAGCCACTCCTGACACTGGTCGACCTCTGCTACGCGAAATATTTGTCAAGACATACAACATGCATATCAACACGGCTTCCCATGACCGTCTACAATGCTGTATTCGAGTGTTTGGCTCTGTGGCTGTGTTCTCAGACTCTGAACTGCGGACACAGGTTATCGAACGTCTGATAGTGCTGCTTGGCCACCCTAGTTCTGGAGCACGGATTGTGGCTGCTGAAGTTCTGTCTGAGGTCTTCTCCGCTATAGGTCTGGAAGGCAGCCCTGTGGATGACTTGGTGCTAGATACTCCTTGGAGAGATGTCGACAAGGTGGTTCTGAAGGCTAAGATGCACGAGGTGAAGACCATGCTCAAGTAGCTGATTACTAGCATGTATAGATAGACCTCTGAGTTTCTAGACTTTGCCGATGGCCCATACCCATTCCCACAACAACCGTGATTGCACGTCTCCGTGTCGGAATCAGCTGCGTAGGACCATCCGCAGTTGCACCTATCAATTGTAAAGGCTCAATTAACTACCATTCGCAAAATTTCCATTAATACATTAACCTCTATCTAATCCTCTCCTAGAGGAATTTCATCTTCGAGAATCTTCACCAGCCGCACTCTCAGCTCCGTCGTGTCGTCTCCTCGCAGATTGTCGCTGACAAAGAACGCCTCAACCTCCATCTGGACCATTTCTAGCGAACCTCGAATCACACCAGCCAGCACGTTCGAGTACCACAGCTCCTTGTATGCTCTGCCGTCATCGGGCAGTTCGACGAAGTCACTGAGCGGGTTCTCCTCGAAAATGAGAGAGAATTGCTTGCCGTCCTGAGCCCAGTTGGCAATTGCAGGTGTGGTGTTGAGGAAGATTTTGAACCCGACCTTGGACACAGCCTCAGCAGTGTCTTTGAAGTTGTGACATCGGCCAGTGTTGGTTTTGGCAAAGTAGTCTTCAATGAGTCGTAGACCAATGTTGTATCCCATCTTGTCGAGCTGTTTGTTGACAGCTAAGTAGTCGCCATTGTAGTCTTTGCACAGTTGTGCGACTATTGAGCCGTATGTGAGTTTGAAAAGTTCGGAGTTCTAGATTAGTAACAGTAGCGAGAGGTCCTAGGTAGGTCTTGCGCGGAAAATAGCGGCAGAGTTGTGCGGCAGACGTCATGGTAGTGTATCGGACTTGGAGGGCGCCTTATACCAATGGTATAATCATAATCACACAACCAAGAGCAGATGGCCAGCATCGCATAGTTGTGACCAACATCCCGTATGCACCTCTCTCTTTAGTAGTTGTAGAGCACGGAGTAGCAACAGCATATGAAGACTTGCTGATGATTTGACAATTAGAAAGCCATGACAGATAGTGTAAAAGCACGGCCATTCAGAATGTGAGGGCGGAGCAGTGACATCTTCTCACAGGGGTACCGCCGGTATCTATCCTGAAATGTCCCATGTTCTCGTTCTTTTTATATTATGATGCCATAGCCTCTTTAGACAGCAGTCATATAAGACTTCTCGACAATAAGACGTCATTGTCATCCGTCACGCCCAATATCAACGGCTCAGGAACCCCTTCACTCAGTCGCTGTCGTGGATCTGTCTCCGTCTCTGCGTCTGAACCCGCAAGACCATTCCAGTCTTAATTCCCTAGTGTCATACTCACCACCTTGTCCACCTTGGTCTTCCAGACATCCTCTCCTACTGCTCGCATAGCTTTCGACATTGTGAGTTGAGTTGTGTGTGTTGATGATGATCCGTATCGCGAGATGCATGCACTCGTGTCAGTTGCAGAGGTTGTTAGTCAGCAGGATACGGAAGTGGACGGATGAATGCCGCGAAAACTGGCCATGTGAGGATATAAATACTGTGGATCGACTACTCTCAGAATTTTGGACGCCTTTTCTGGTTGATACCGGTTGAGACAAGATCTGATAGCTCTCTATGTTGAGTCTCCAACTCCCCATTTTTATATACTAACCTCAACTGTTGGTCTAACAAATCTCCCAACTATATTTCAACAGATTTCCGTTCACTTTTTCTTTTCACAAGAAAGCAGAAAAATAAATACTGTAATTACAGTTACATGATCTTTCTACAACCCCGGAGACTGTTTGCCAACTCTTGCACCAATGTCATCCATCCATTGCCAAGATATTTCCTACAATAGTGCTCAAATTGTGTGGCTACATTGCTTGTACCTGTGAGGATTGGGCGCTCACTTCTCAGGCGAGACTCGAACTCACAGCGCTAGCAATCGGGGTAAATCGGAACTTCCGCCCAAACTTTTTTTCCAAAATTCTATATCAAACTCAAACTCCCAATTCCCCGAATACCCGTAACTGGCAGAAACTTGCGCGGTATAGACGACGATATATAACGGCGTGGTTGGGCAGCAATGGCTACCAAAATAACAGAGAATGTTCATCACGTGTTAAAGACACAGCCGATAGCTTTTCCAGCCCAATTCCCCTCAATTTCCACCCCCAACCCCTCTCCGCAGAATTACCGAGCCGAGAGGATGCCGAGAGGATGCAGTAAGTACAGCAAAATCCGGGGTAGTGCCAAAGTGCCCGAATTCCGGACTAGTTGAGAGCACTTGGGGGGTATCACTATCTCAGACCCACAATCTATAGAGTCACGTGACACCTCTCATTTTAGGGCGTCCCCGCCACTTCCGGCACCTCCTAGCCAGTCCCTCCGATCCCCCTCGGCAATAGAACCTAGCTGTCCCCGAACCTTATGTAGTGTGTTGCAAGGAACGGTTACTGCAATCTTATACTTATAACTGTGGGCCCTTGGACCTCTCCTCCTCACCACACAACATGTTCCGACTCACCACTGCCCGAATTGCTTCTGTGCGAGGCTTCTCCACCTCCGCCAGCCTGTCCAAGAAGGTCGACTCTCTCTCCGTAATTGGCGCCGGCCAGATGGGTCTGGGAATCGCTCTGGTGGCTGCCAACAAGGCCGGTCTCCAGGTCAACCTCATTGACGCCAACCAGGGCGCCCTGGACAAGGGTCTCAAGTTCATGGACAAGCTGCTTGAGAAGGACGTTGGCAAAGGCCGTCTGACCAGCGACGAGGCCCAGGCCGTGCGAGGCCGGGTCACTGGTCACACCAACCTGCAGTCTGCCGTGGCCGACGTGGACATGATCATTGAGGCAGTCCCCGAGATCCCCAAGCTCAAGTTTGACATCTTCCGAGACCTCAACGAGTGGACCCAGAAGGATACCATCCTGGCCACCAACACCTCGTCCATCTCCATCACCAAGATTGCTGCTGCTGCCGGCGCTGGTGCCCCCCGAGTCATTTCTGCCCACTTCATGAACCCCGTGCCCGTCCAGAAGGGTGTCGAGATCATCACCGGCCTGCAGACCTCTCCCGAGACCCTCGCCACCACCCTGGAGGTTGTGAAGCGAATGGGCAAGATCCCTTCCATCTCCAAGGACTCCCCTGGCTTCCTGGCTAACCGAATCCTCATGCCCTACATCAACGAGGCCATCATCACCCTCGAGACCGGTGTTGGAGAAAAGGAGGACATTGACAACATTCTCAAGAACGGCTGTGCCATGCCCATGGGACCCCTTGCTCTCGCCGACTTCATTGGTCTCGATACTTGTCTCGCCATCATGCGAGTGCTGTACGAGGACACTGGTGACTCCAAGTACCGACCCTCCGTCCTGCTTAACAAGTACGTCGATGCTGGCTGGCTCGGAAAGAAGTCTGGAAAGGGCTTCTATGACTACTAAACAGTTGTGACGAAGACGTGAGTGCAAGCTCGATGCAATGTAGATAATGAATGTTTTGATTGAACTAGTGATCTTGTGCTTTTCGAGATCAATTCAGGTACGACTCGTGAACATGTACGGTAGAATGTGATCCAGACACAGTTATGTGATGATGGAGACCTGGATGAGTGTATATGATCGCGTTTTGTAAATCCCTACTTATTGTAATGCACCAACGCACATGACTCTTACGGCCAAGCCATTGTGGACTGCTAATTTTGCTCTCGATCTGCTGAATCTGCTGGAGTGGCATTTGTCTGGTTTCCCCTCATAACCACGCCAACTGCAGTTATTATATTTCGCGATCTAGAACTCCTCTTCCCCACTCGTGACCATTAACCAAGTCACTGGACCCCATTCCTCGCCAACTCTCAATACTGAACCGCAATGACCGACATCGACATTCCCTACTACCTCCATCAGGATGCCCCGTACATGTCCAAACCCGTGGTGGCATGCGACAATCTCCAATGGACAACGAGCCCTGAACAGGAGAGCTACCAGCATCTCTTATACAGCGAGTTTGTGACGGCCACGTCTGACAAGAAGCGGACCATGGAGACTTGTATCTGGGTGACGGCCGTCTTGGATTTTCTCAATGGATACGGACCTGGAAACCTGGTGACGATTTACTGGTTTCTGGACAGGATCATTCCTGACTCGTTGTCGTCCGAATACGCCAAGAGATGGACCGAGTGGTCTGAGCTAGCCAAGAGACATGTTGATAGGCGCTACAGCCAAGCTGATGAAGAAACAAAGGCTACACTTCGGGCGGAAGGAAGACACGAGCTGAATATCACAGAACAGAGACATGTCCCTTTGCTGGCTCTCCTGGAGGCATTGTTGGGTGACGACTGGCAAGGGAAATGTCAGACAGCTGTCGATTCTGCATCAGTCCGAGACTTCTCCGATGAAACGGCATATCAACATACCATGGATACTTGTCGATCTTTTCTTGAGGTCAAGTACTGAGCAGACCAAGTAAACAGAGTACGCAGTGAGCAAAATGCCAGCCAGCTGAGTAACCAATGAATAATATGAGCTTTTCGAGGTGAGACAATCTGGAGACGAGCTCAGATGCAGATAATGTATGGATCAACTAGCCCTCGAGCAGGTGGAGTATATAAGAATGGAATCTAAACAAAAAATCTAAAAAAAATATAGTTTTATTTCCATTTCCGAATTTATTTATACACAAATAATTGAATGACTAAAAAATAGAACATAAAACTAAAAACAAACCCATGACGAAATATTCCGTCGAATTATACTACAATATAACGACACGACCCTTTCTTAACGACACAACCCTTTCTTAACGACACAGCCCTTTCTCAACACACTCACGCTTCTTTCCTACATCCTCCCCTTCCCCTGCCCCCGTCGCGCACCCGCAATTGCTCCTGGGTCTACTCCGCCGCTCAGTCATGACTACAAGTATTTACAGAACCTGGAGTACAGTTTAGTACATCTTACAACACTGTACTGTAGTTTACCGTTGAGTTTAACCAAACTTCCGAGTAAAGGATGACGCACCACGGACGAAAGGCGCCCCAGCAAAAGACGGGTTGGTGGTTCTGACAACGTGCAAGTCTCGTGATACACTCAGATAGTATGGCTCAAGTTTCATGTTACCCGTTATAGCTTTCCAGCGCATTCTCCGCTCCTCTTCAGAGACCGTCGCCAGGATTATTTTATTTTTGTTGCAAGAACCTCCTCGTACTATGCATACAGTAACCTTCACAGTACAGTACAGTAACCTTTCTTATCCCAACGTCTCCAACGTTTTTTTTCGCAGCGATTTTCCAACCCTGAGTCTGGAAGGAGGGCAATACGATGGCGGCAAAGAGGTAGAACAGGAGGAATTCCGAACACTAGATATTCAAAGACGGTCCATTCAAACCAGACTTGTATGGTTTTTGTACGATGTGCGTGGACATACATGTTTTGGAACTCATTGTGCCGATACAGGGACAGTACAGCATGTACATACATACCAGTTGTACGGTGTATCTGTCTCGCTTCTTTCTCATGGTGCATTGGTGCTGCTAGGGTTGCACCTCTTCCGCCCGTCTCTTGCATCTTCGCTAAACTATGTTGGAAATGGTAGCCACCTCAGCTAGCGTCTTTTGCGCTGCTACTGTCACAGGTTTCTTTCCTCCACACTCCCCCACTACACCCCCGAAATGAAGATCGCCATTCTCGGAGCCAACGGTATTCTGGGTCCCCCCACCATCAACTACCTGCTCAAGTACACGGATGCCACTCTGCACGTCATCACCGAGCAGCCCACCAAGGTGGAGAGCTCTGAGCGGATCTCCACATTCCCCCGTGCCCGGATCTCCGAGGCCATGGCTGGAACAGACGTGATTTACAACTTTCTGGGTGTGCTGGCTAGCTGGAACGACTACTTGCCTGCCATTGCCTCGTCGGGCGCAAAGCTCTACTTCCTGCCCGACTTTGGTATTAAGCACGAACAGCGACCTGACTTTGCCGCCATGGTGCGAAAGACGGACCACTACGAGCAGGCAGCCAAAATCCCGGGACTCAAGTGCGTCCGACTGCTCACCGGAGCGTTCGCGGATACTATGGTGGATATGCCTCAGTTCTGGGGCATTGACCTGGCCACGAAGACAGCCGCTTCAATTGGTGACGGAAACACAAAGTTCTCATACACGTTTGTGGACAAGATTGCTGAGACGCTAGCTCTCGCGGTCACTACAGATATTTCCAAACTGGATCAAATTCTGGAGATCAAGAACGGAGACATCACCCTCAAGGAGTTCTACCAGCTGTATAGCGAGGCCAGCGGGGTTGAGCTGAACATTGTGCAGGCCATGAGCATTGAGCAGGCCGAACAGACAATCTTCGCGGCCCAGAAAACTGATCCTCAGGGGGGTGATTATGCTGCTTTGTACGGCCTTACTATTGGTACGCTATGCAACTCTGGATACGCTGTTATTACCAACAAGGACAACTGGATTGCGGGCCAGAAGGACGACAAGTGGGATCAACTGAGCGTTGAATCTATCAAGGCCGTACTTGCTAAGCAGAAGTAATACAGGATAGGGGTTCACGTAACATTATGGAGAGGACACATACTAATGGAAGACGGTATTGGAGATATGAGTTACAAGGAAGCAAGTTACTGTACATACCGTAACATTAGTGTAGGATTGTCACATGGTATTGAGCATGGCAGTAGTGGAAGCCATAGAGTGTGGTCATGCAAACATAGAAGCACTCTGGGGAATATATGAACTGCAAACTGAAGCTAAGGAAACATATTCGGCTACTACGGTTTAATAAATCAGACAACTGTCATCTTCTTGTTCACATTGCCGTATCCATCATATCACTCTTCCTGTAGTTACTTGTAGGTCACATTCTCAATTCCACACCGAATTCAACGTGGCGACAAACGCTCCAATTACAAAATCAGCTACGACAACTATCTTCCCCAGACTTAACCAACTCTTTGATATAAATTACAGGCCTCCAGCTCAAAAGTCCACAATCTACATGCCCCTCACTTAACTCTTGGTCTCCACTATAAACTCCTCAATTCTCAATCGTCATCTAAAGACTCAATACGATCAATAGTAGCGAAACTACTTGACCAACAACGCTAGACAAACCGGATCAAATGGTCTATCAAAATACCACCCCCAAATCTCGCGCAGAACCCACCCTCAGACCTCCCCGAACCTCTTCCCACAGGTTAGGGTTCGTTAACAATAACGTAAAGCTCCCGGTAATGCGTCTCATCTGCAAAGTGAGCCCGCTTGTTCTAGCAATATAGACATGGACGAGAACCTCAAAAAAAAGAGAAGAAAAAGACAGATATGTCGACAATATACGTATCACTTGATCAAAATCTCGGTCTCCCCCTAACAACGATGCTCGACCATCCCCCACATTCACCCTAACCCTCCTTCAGTCACCGCCCAACTCCGCGATACAACCCCAAGTTACCCTACTGCAGAAATAAACTCCCACGATCCCAGAATCAAGCTCCATTTTTCAAACTGATCCAGGTATCACTACCAACTTCCACAACCACACAACCGCCTCACAAAATGCCCAAACTGCAGCTGTTTGCTCGCGAGCCCAAGAAAATCACCGTGTCGGATGGTGTGACGGACAATTCCGTCGTTGCATCGCTTGCTCCCGAAACCGGAGCCGTCAAAAACTGCATCTATGCCCCCAACGGGTCTCTGTTTGCCTACGCTGTTGCTGACGGAGTGCATGTGGTGGATCCGGAAACGTGCCAGGAGACGCTGAGACTGGACGAGCCCAATGTGCTGGAAATCGGCTTTTCTCCTCTCGGCTCCTTCATCATCACCTGGGAAATCCCTAAGAAGGACCCTGCATCGGGCAACTTCAAGCCCAACCTCAAGGTGTTCAACTCCAAGACCGGCGACCACGTGCAGTCGTTTGTGCAAAAGTCGCAGACCGGCTGGAACCTGCAGTACACCTTTGATGAAAAGTACTGCGCTCGAATGGTGAAGGACGAGATCCAGTTTTTTGAGTCTGACGTGCTGACCAAGGTGTGGGCTAAGCTGCGAGTCGAGAACTGCGCCGACTTCTCCGTGTCACCCGGAAAAAACTACTCCGTCGCTGTGTTTGTGCCCGAGAAGAAGGGCCTTCCTGCCAAGGTGCAGATCTACCACGTGCCCAACTTCAACCAGGCCGTGGCCCAGAAGACCTTTTTCAAGGCCGAGGAGGTTGGACTCAAGTGGAATGCTCTGGGCACCTCGCTGCTGGTGCTGGCACAGACTGCCTCTGATGCCACAGGAAGATCCTACTACGGAGAGACCACTCTCTACCTGCTTGGAATCACCGGTGCCTTTGACAGCCGAATCACCCTCGACAAGGAGGGTCCTATTCACGATGTCGCATGGTCCCCCAACTCCAGGGAGTTTGCCGTTGTCTACGGATACATGCCTTCTAAGACCACCTTCTTCGATGCTCGAGGAAATGAGATTCACACTCTGGCCGAGTGTTCTCGAAACACCATTCGATTCTCCCCCCACGGCCGGCTGGTGCTGCTCGGAGGCTTTGGAAACATCCAGGGAGCCGTTGACATCTTGGACCGACAGTCCAAGTTCGCCAAGGTGGCCACTTTGCATGCTGCCAACGCCTCCCATGTGGCCTGGTCGCCCGACTCCCAGTACGTGCTGACAGCCACCACCGCCCCTCGTCTGCGAGTCGACAACGGATTCCGAATCTGGCACGTCAAGGGGAACCTCATGTATGCTCAGGACTTCCCTGAGCTGTTTGCTGCTGACTGGCGACCTCTCCCCTCTTCTGAGTTCCCCTCCGGACATACCATCAGCGAGTGTCCTGAGGCACACGAGTCTGCTAAGACCGCCAAGGAGGGCGCTAAGGCCCCCGTCGCCGCTAAGCCTGCAGGCGCATACAGACCTCCCCATGCTCGAGGTCAGCCCGAGCGAGCTGCTCGAGGCTCTCTGGCTGCTTCTCCCGATCCCTCTTCGGGCCCCAAGGTGCGAGGCGCTGGAGGCCGAGTCATCCCCGGAGCTGCTCCCAAGAAGCACGAAGAGAAGAACGGTGCCGTGCCGGTGGCTACCGTGGACGACAAGAAGATCCGAGCTCTGCTGAAGAAGCTGCGTGCCATTGAGGACCTCAAGGCCAAGCAGACCAACGGCGAGAAGTTGGAGGACACTCAGATCCAGAAGATTTCTACCGAGGGCAACGTCCGGGACGAGCTCAAGAAGTACGGATGGGACGGTGTTTCCAAGTAAGAGACTCATTGTTTTTCGCTTGGTGGAGGAGTGGAGTGCTAGTGTTAGCTGTTAGAGAGCAACCTGATTGTCTGGATGTTTGGAATAGTCTGGCACGATAGACAATGGACGGCCACTTTAGAATGTGGCCATGTACTTTGAGATACTGGATGTATGAGTAGAAGTAATTACGAATAGATGCTCTGGTAGCATGCTGGTTAGTGTGCTACTGTTTAGTGGGTTTAATTGATGAACACAGTAAGCGAGTCTTTCTTTCTACTTTAGATGCCGAGATTATGTTAATTGGTTATATGTCATTATAATCGGTCTTGTCACTTCATTGCAAAGGTCTCACATCCGACTTATCGTTGTATGCCGCCTGAGCAACTCCACATCGATGATCTTCCAGATCGTAGACGACATAGGCAGCTCTCATGACCGTGTCTCCCATAATGGGGTCTCCTCCAAACACAGTGGTACTCTGGATTCCAAATCCACATCTCTTATCATCGTTGCCATAGAAAGGCCCGATGGGCACCACCAGAGATTTTTCATCAGCAAGAACTGTAGCTCCGGGGAAGTTGAAGGCAACAGACATCTTGGCGTCACAGTCAATGTAGTTGATTCCCAGGAACTTGTTGAACTTTCCGAGATTCAGGGTCTTCTTGAGCTCCTGGTAGATGGGGTCGGGAACACTGGTGAAGATCGTTCCGGTATCCAGCACCACTGGGGCGTCCACTGTCATGTGCTTGGACCCCAGGGATATGTCTTTTAGTTGGACCAGGGCTCCCGCAGCAGGGTCCGAGACGTTTAGCCAGGAGAGATCTCCTTCGAACTTGGCATGATCAACTCCTGCGAGCAGAAAGGTAGCTTCGTTAGTGTCTGGATCGTCCAGAAAAACAGAGTAAGCTGCCTTGTTGATGTAACCGGCCTTTTTGACCGCGTAGGGGAAGTTGTCGTAGTAGTCACCGGGTTTCACCATTTCCTGTGCTCGAAATGCCACTCCAAACACTCCACCACCAGCATGGTTTCCCTTGACGTTTCCAAACTGGAAGTTTTCAAGCGTAACAGGTCCAAGCTTGAGAGTCTCGGTGGCCCAGTCGCCTAGGATGCCATTGACTGCAGTGTACGAGACGTTGAAGTCGCTATTGAGGTACTTGTAGGAAGACGACGCCTTGGAGTCGTAGTTGGGGACCCATAGATCAGAAGAACCGGTGTCGAAAATGACGTTAAACACTTGTGCCGGTGTTCCAAGCGAGACTTTGGCCCTGTAGTATGTCCCAGGAGGGTTCTTGATTGCAATGGCGACGTCCTTGGGCTCTTTGGTGACGGCAAAAGAGAGTACTCCTGGATTTGAGGGAGCTGCTGAAACCGAAACCAGAGTTGCGAAAAGTGTCAAGACGAGTGAGAAGTGCATGAGTGAATGGTGAGTGCGATACACGATCAAGACACCGACTCTTTCCAGCTATCTTATATGATCTCCCTCAACTCTATCCACCTTGTCGATCTGAGCTCCACATTTGATGTGACAAGAGAGCAGCTTATGGGGTCGTGATGATCTTGATCAGTCGAGAGATGTCCTGAATAACTTCTCGAGAAACAGTTTGATTCCCTTTGGTCCGATAATAGCACTCATCTGGGACCACCGACGGCTTCAAAGCCGACAAACTCAGGTCCGAAACTTCCTCGGTGAACTCTCAGGGTGACATTGCAGAAAGTGGAGATGATGAGAATGGTGGGTAGAGGATTTGCAACCAACAGCGAATTCAGAGAAGTGTGTTATTTCTCTAAACAAGATGTTTATTCTAAATAATTACTTGGATGGCTACGTCGTTTACCGAAAAATGACTGAGATGACCTTCGCCGAGATGATATCTGAGACATGGCCTCTAGTAACTTTAGGCTTATCAGCGCCGAGACGTTATTGAACGCTGAACTGCTTCAGTATGAGCAGTGGGGGTAGAGTACTTGGGCAGAATGAGACTAACGGAGCCCAATTACGCCATCTCATTGTGTTTCTTCTGCCAGTAAAGAGATACATCCACTTCTCTCTTGCTGGTGTTAGTTGCAATACAGTACATACTCAGCTTAGTTACATCAGTTGACTCTAACAACCCTTAGTTGGGGTTTGCTCACCCATAGTATAGGCACTTAACAACATCCTATACACTTGTTCTGTCTCATTTCCTAACCAATTAAACGATTTTTGTTCTTTTTCATTGGGCTACTTCCCCAATCCGGTGAACTTATTCTTCTGCATCTGTCAACGTGCTTGTTTAAAGGTTCTTCAGCTCGCAACAACCCCCATTTTCCCCCGTTGGTTTGGTGTCCAGTAGCTTCGGGCTGGATCACACCCTGGTACGTTGCGGTGCTGCTTTCAGGTGAATTATATACGGATTACACCCGGATTATACACTAAGGCGGTAGTGCGATTCACCACAATGGCGCCATCTACCAGCGATATAATCGCACAATTACAGTATCCAGTCGCTAGTCTAGGGCTAGTCTAGGGCTAGTCTAGGGCTAATCTAGGGCTAATCTAGGGCTAATCTAGGACCAAGCAGTTTGAGATACGTCAGGATGTGTTCATGAATTGTTTCAGAATGAAAGTGGGCTTGAAGCTATTGAGGGTATAGACATTCAACGCTCAACGTCATAGTATAGTACATACTGTAGTACGTAATTGGTGCCATCTCGGGACGCTCATGTGAGCACTCTGTCATCAAGAGCACTCTCCTGTGAGCAGTTGGTTAGGTACAATACCCGAACATACTGATATACATACCCTGGCATACTGACCACACCACTTAGGTACTCTACTCAGGACTCTCTACTCAGGACTCTCAGGACTCTAATCAGTACTCCCAGGATTCTACTCTGTACTCTCAGTACATGCTGTACTTTACTTGTACTCGGACAATTCCTCCTCGTACCACCGCAAAAACAAATCCGCTGTACTGTATGTGGAGTTCCGCAAGCGCACTAATTGCGTTTTGGGCCATTGTTCCTTGTCGTATACGAGCAGCTTTCGGCGGTAGCTAATCAGATATTGTCCTTTGACACGATGTTATCTAGCTTCTGGCAGGTGCTGATCGGCATCGAGGAGGTTAATTGTGCTGTTGAGACCACCATTATTAACAGTGTTTGTGCGTCTCTATCTTGGTCTTTGTATGGACACGGGGGTGCGCTGGTCTCGTCGCTCGCTCTAGGTTCTGGCACCAGTGCACGGGCTACAATACTACAAGTAGTAGCATGTTCTGGACGGTGGTATTGATGGATATGACAATGTGGGCACCCGGAATTTGGCTGAAAGGGACCATAGATGGCTGAAAAGGGCCATGGATGGCTTAAAAAGGCTGAAGATTCCACAAATCTCCAACTCTCCAAATACCCTGTAGATTTGAATTCCCAGCCATCCAATAAACCCCATCTATGATCAACGCTGTCTAATGTTACGTTGTGCTAGGTGGTCTATTCGGTGGCTTTTTTGTGCGATAGTTCGAGGCGAGGAGGAACAAGAGCCACAGGGTGTTCGCAAGTATACTACCCTCCGAAGATACCGCTAACGTGGCCCACAATCGAGCACTTTTAGTCGCCCGCGGGACATCCCCAGGATCTTCGCACAAAGAACCTTCCACCTGCTCTAGCTAGTCCACTAGAGTAACTTCCCCACTAACAACGACGCAGATATAACATGGGTTGTATTCACTGATATAAGGCATCATTCCCCCTCCGGAAACTCACCCATCATCCATTTTAGTATGACCGACAAAAGAACGACTCGAGCTGTTGCAAGACACGCCATTGTGGGTGTCTACACACTGGCCTTTCTGGCATACTCGGCATGGCTCTTCTACCGAATGGTGAGCCGATTGAGCGACAACGACGACAACTGGGTGTTGGAACCGATTGGAATTTTGTTGCTCGGAGAAATGGGTGTCGATGAGGCGCTGGAGCGGCTTTATGAAAAGGGTAAGGTGACTGAAATCCAACAGTGGTGGTCCATGATGTTCAACTTTGCATTTTTCACTGTTTTCAGTCTCTATCTCGACACTGAAGCGTGGATTGTTATGAAAGAGGCGGTTGGTGATTACTCTCGTTCGTCGTGGTCCCTGATAGGAGCTGGAATGACGCTGCTTGGGTTGGTATGGTACAGTCGACTTCCTGAACGAGCTGAGGGTTTTATTCGGCTGCCTTGAGAACGGAATGCAACTATCGAAATGTTCTCCAAATGGAGGAGATGGGGGAGTTTAGGACTATCGACAGAGAGACATATCTTCCGCCACAGACAACAGAGCGAATTGTTGGATACTGACACTCTATGAATACGATTCCACACTCTATGAACACACATTCACAACACACAGTGAGCCAACAATCACACCTAAACAATCGGAATAACAAACGCCAGCTGTGACCAACTCTCACCTTCTGAACTAATCTCTTTGTCAGATCAGGCTACTTCGGTCGTGTTTGGCTAGGTCGTTTTGGTCAGCTCTACTTGACTTCAATCAGTCACTTACTTTCAATCAGCATTGGTAGCTACTTTACTGATTGCTTTTCTCTGCCTTGGGGGCCTCTCTTCTACCAGCCGAGCTCTACTCGGTTTCGGTAGTTACTTCAATTGTTCTACTGTAAGTTCGTCTCTCAGATCTCTCCACTCACTGTCTCAGCTCAAGGAAGACAGCTACTTTCCTCACAGTAATATAATTAATTATTCAAGAATCATATAGATAGTTCCCATCTGTCTCCTTCGCCCCCTAATCCGAATCAAATCCAGAATCGCAGCTCTGATCCGGCGAAACCTCCGTCTTTCCAGACATGATCTCGGTCTGGAACCTATCACTCTGCCAGGCGTACTTGACCTCCGAGTACATTTCGTCCACCTGCTCCAGTGACAACCCTTTGGTTTCATAGACAAACAAGTACACAAAGGCAATGGCTAGAAAATTGCAACCTCCCCAGATGAAAAACACCTTGGACTCGAGACCGGCAGACCCAGGTTTCTTGTCGACCAAGTACGGAGTTGCAAAGGCAATGGCAAAGTTGAAAATCCAGTTGGCAGCCACACTGATAGCCACTCCCTTGGCCCGGATTCGAAGCGGGAAAATCTCCGCAACAACCACCCAGGCTATAGGTCCCCAGGTGGATGCAAAGCCTGCGATGAACGTACAAGTGAAGGCAATAAGGACCTTGGAAGACACCTGGCTATCCAGAGCTGCTCCTACAGCTGCCACAATTAATTCTGAAACACACATTACCACGGCTCCAATCAAGAGCAGCTTTCTTCGGCCCACTTTGTCGACAAACAGAATACCCGGAAGGGTGAAGGCCACATTGACGGCAGAGGTGATCATGGACACCACAAAGGGATCTTTTATGCCAGCTGTTTTGAAAAAGTTGGTTCCATAGTAGAATATGAAATTGATGCCTGTTAGTTGTTGCAGAGCCTGGATTGAGACTCCTGTCAGCAGTCTTTTGAGCTGTGATCCATGTGGACTGAAACAAGCCTTCCAGGAGGAGTTTCCAACCTCCATTTCCATTTCGAACGACTTCTGTAGTTCAAGCAGTTCCTTTTTTACCGGTTTCGAGTCTGTTGGTAGCCTTCTTAGCCGTGAGAGTGCTTCGGCGGCTTTCTCTGGCCGGTTCTTCTTGACCCAGAAACGAGGAGTCTCAGGAAGAAACACAAGTCCTGCTGAAAGAATAAGAGCCCAAATGAGTTGAATACCAAGAGGGATACGGTATGATGACGTATTTGGACGGTCCTTAGTGGCATTGTTGACAATAGCTGCCAGTAGAAGACCCACAGTGATGGCAAACTGGTAGACAGAAACAACGGCCCCTCTGATCCATTTGGGAGACACTTCTGACTGATAGAGAGGCACAATGGACGAGATACCTCCCACACCAAGACCAGCAATCACCCGTCCCACAATTAGCAAGACTCTTCCGGTTGTGACGGTCTGCAAAATAGCACCCACAGAGAATACAAGACAATACAACAGAAGACCCAGACGTCGACCAGCCGTGTCAGCAGCTAAGGGAGCAACGATGGCTCCGGTAAATGTGCCCACAGATAGGATAGATGTGGTGAGAGATGATTGGCCCGAGGTGAAGTCGTTCTTCCCAAAGTCTGTAAAGTGTTCTTTCACATAGCCCATGGTCATGATTCCAGCAATAGTTCCTGTGTCGTAGCCGTAGAGAAGTCCTCCAAAAGCCACAAATACAGCCACAATAATGGCCATTACTGTTGATTCTTGATCGGCCTTTGGAATACTGTTCGGCGTACTTGTATCTGTAGTTTGTTGCTGGATGTCTGACTTTTGCGGACAGGGGTCGTTCGATTCCATGGTTGTCGATGTAAACAAGATATAAAGAGTATATCAAGCGCAAACAATACTACAAATGCTTTCCCCACTGAAGGGGAACCACTGCGGTCAATTCATGCGGTCTAGATTGCGCCTTTAGTAAGTTTTCCAAGTGATAGCCATACCTTGGACGTACCTGTATGACCTCATAATGGGCATTGTCTTGATCTGTAAGTCCAAATATCTACCGCCAGGCATACTAAACCTATTCGATTGGAGAATCGAACCTCCTAATATTGTTGTTTTTACCCCTAGTCACATCTTCAGGCGGTGAACTACCCGTATGTAGTTGTAGTTGGGTCGAACACGTTACGCGTGGTGTAGTATGGTAGATGAATGTCGATATAAGACTTACAGTGGAGTGGATGATGCTGTTTTATTACTTGTTCTCAACTCTTTGTTTTATTTACATGATAAAAAAACACATACCAAAGTTCCAAAACACCCCATCTCATGCCATCATCGCTCCCCTACTTGTACAACTCCACATTTAGTCCGGAAAAAAATGAGCCATTGTGGGAAAGACTTTTCTACATTGTTACATTGACTGACAAGTGTATTTAACGGAAGCCTACAGTCGAGATTTTGGACTGCAAAAGTCACTACTGTACGTTCTCACTTTGTAGATATCATATCCATGGATACCATACAAGACCATCCACAAAGTACATAACCCCAATCACTTTTGAATAATCCACTCTGGTCGTTTGAATTCGCCCAGTATCACACCAAAAAATGTACTAAGCTCCCTGAAACCAAGCTACTGACCGGCAAGAACGTCTCGAGTACATTAGTCGGGGAACTAGTACGCTAAGAGCACATGTTCACGCCCGGAGGAATTTTCAAATCACGCATCAGCTCTAATACTATGTCACATCACATTTCGGCTGCAAAAACAACTTCTGGAATGCAGTTTGATGCCGATGGACTGAATGAGAGATTCGTGACCAGACTTGGCATTACTCACTACACAACGTCAAATCCCACCGGGAAACCCAAGTTGATACTATCCAGTAGATATAGTAAAAGAATAATGCCTGACCTAACAACATACCCACTCCGGTCGGGTCCAATTCCAATCTTGTAGCTTCGCTAGAGAGACTAGAACCTGGTTCTGGTTCTTGAGAGGTACTTGAGACATTGAAGGTCGATGCAAAGAGCCTCTCCTCGTTCTCAGATGTCTATGGCGTGGTCCGAGCAACGACGCTAACGCAGTTACTATGCGCGGTGCTCTCCAACTTTTTCAAAAACGGGCGCCTTTTTTTACAGACTAGGGTTTTTTTTAAAAGAAAAAAAGGGGAATACATTGAGGAAATGTTGTTTTTTGTTTTTGTTATTCTAGGCAAATACAAGGGTTTTGTTTTTTTATTCTAGGCAAATACAGGGTTATGTTTTTTTTATTCTACAAGTAGGCAAATACAGGGTTATGTTTTTTTATTCTTTCTGTTTTTTTATTCTTTTATTTGTTTCTTGTTTTTTGTTTTCTTTTTCTAGGGAAACACATTTCAGTGACTACGTACATGCTACCAGTACAAGAGAGGGTAATAATTCTGTGTAGAGAAGTGAGTGTGCTGCATACGCGAATTGACAGTCTATTCCATGATGAACAACACCTAGCGTACAATGTTTGTCAGTATTTCTCAACTGATAATGGTATATCGTATACATCCGGGAGACTCTTGATGACTAAGCCGTCGTGATCTTAAGAAAGATAATATGGCAATATTTCCATTGCCGAGGACGTGGCGTAGCACTGATACAAACACAATCCGATTACATTGTACAAGTCTTTTGATGTGTAATGTAGCCATAATATTATTACTATACTTATAAATTAATGCTGATTGTAAAAGGTGGGAATGCCGTAGAGTACAGGAGCCGCTCCATTGAGGTAGCGCAACAGACACTCGTTTCTAGACTGCGAAAGAGCCATGGAACAGTCCATAGAACCATCAAGTGAGTCGTCTTCAAACACTCCCCACCGGGTCAGAAACTGCCGCCCAAACTTGTCAATGTCCTTGTCTGTCACATCCCACAGGTTGGCTACCAGAGAGGGACATCCAGCAGACATGTAGGCCATAGGAATACCCCAGGGCTCAAACTCGCCTGCGTCACGTATCACACCGGAAGAGCAGCCCAGAAGAACTGTGGGACAGCACCGCTCAAGCTTGGAGATAGAAGAGTTTCGGATGTACTTGTCTCCTCCTCCGTGGCCCATGTAGATCATGACGGAAGAAGTTTCCAGAGCCTTCACCCACTCAGATTCACTAGGCTGCTTGCCGACAACCCCCGAGAAAAGTGAAAGAGCATCCTCAAACCGACCCTGCGTCCTGGGAAGATCTCCGCCAGGATTAAGAATATAATAGGGCTTGCCAGTGGGCTCAGAGGTGTCCAAAAGCTGGCTGAGTACTTGGAGAGACGAAACACGAGAAACAGAGCGTCCACAGAGGCTCGACATGTTCTCCCAGGGGAATTGTGTAGTGGCGGAGTCCAAAACAAGCACTGTATGGGTGTACTTGTGTTTATTTTTGGTGTCGTCGCTGAAATGAAGACCAATGGCTTCTTCGATCTCAACAAAGATCTGGTCAGTGTCCAGTTCGTCATAAGCGTTGTACTCGCCGTGGAATTGCAGAATGTCAAGCACAAAGTAGACGAGATCCTCCAGTAGCTCAGGTGCAATATCATCCTTACCCATACCCAGAAATAGTGACAGAACTCGGGGATCAATTGTCACGGGCTTGAATCCCTTCTTTCGTCGTCCTGTACCGTTTCTGGAGGGCAGATGCTTAGTCAGAATGCGGTTGAACGACTTGGCGAAAGACTCGCAGCCAGAACCGACAGTTTCTCCAAGAATACCAAGGAAGCCTCCAAACCAGCAGAACTCTGCGTCGTGGAGAAGCTGTTTGAGGCGAGCATCGAGCTCATGACGCTTGGCCCACCAAGCTTCAGAACCTCCAGGGAAAGCAGTCCCAGTTCGCGTCATGGTATCACTTTCGGAAATAATACTCTTGAGCTCATCCAGACCATCGGAGAAGAGAAATGGATGCTCATCAACATCCCGGGAGTTGTGACGATGAAGTGGAAGCCGAAGAAGGAATGGTTCCTGGTTGCAGGCGTACTGGCAGACAATCAGATCACCAGAAGTAGGGCAAATGGCGAGGGAAATGACATTCCAGTTGTCGGGGAGCTTGGAAAGAAGAGATTTCGCATTGAGATCGACGTGAGAAGGAGTGGAAGGCATAGTTGCCGTGGTCCATTCACTCACGGTCAAACTACTCAGCACCCGCCGTCTTTTATCAGTAGCAATACCTCTGAAATCCAGCCAGGAAGTCGTATGTGTGGTAGTGCCAAGAGCGGACACAAAAACGTCTAACGAAGACAGTAAGAACAATGCTTCGTTAATCTCAATCTGCGAGGAGGACTCGAACAAGTCCTGAACTCTCTCTCCAAGCGACTTTTTTGCGCTGCAAAGCATTCCATGAGCCGCCTGGACATTATTGTTGGGATGTAGAGCAATATCGCAGATGGAGGCAGAGGGAATGCTGATAGCAGACTCCTCTAGACCCATGAAGATTGCGTCTGAAGAAAGCAGCTTCCTAGCTGAAAACAATGAGATTCGAGACTCAACCAGTTGATCCAGACACTGGTCATATTTACCCAGACCGGAAAAGGTCGGTTTAGCGGCTTTCTGATCCCGAACAAGCTCCAATTCGACCTTAAGACGCTCCACTTGAGCAACAAGACGTCTCAAGCCGGGTAAGACACCTGCTGTGGAGGAAGCAGCGGGCTTCTTGCGTCGCTCAACACGCAGCTGCGACATGTCACGTGAAAGGCCTGAAGAATCGCTCATCGAGTTGATCACCTGAAGGGAGCGTTCGTACTGAGCAAACGAATCTTCCAGCTCGCCAGTCTTGTAGTGAAAGGCACCCACTCGAGCGTACAGAAGTGCCCGTGATACGTCGTCGATTGTGTCATGTTCACGTGATGCACATGCAGCTGCCAAGGTGTTCTGACTGGCTGAATAGTCACCCTTCTTCAACTGAAGCCAGCCAAGAAGGGACTGTGCCTCAGAGAGTTGGATTAAGTGACCCACAGACTCGTGTAGGCCAATTGATTGAGTGATAACCTGTTCGGCTTCCCTCCACAGGCCCAAATGCAAAAGAGTGGTGGTTGTGTAAATTGCAGATTGAAGACTCAGACTACACATTTCCCAAACATAGACAGGTAGCTGAGAAAACTTCAAGATGCTGCTGTTGCTCTTACTGTACCGCTTAAGGTAGGCTTGAGACAGGGAAAGAGCCTTTCTGGCTGTAGCAGTGGCATGTTCCAAGTGAGATTGTTCGAATGAAAGACGAGATTGAACCAGCCAATATCGAACCTGGCAAGTAAGACGAATGCAGTACTCTTGAGGAGACTCGGAGTCAGTCTTACCAGACGCCAGGTCACGTGACAGCACGGGATGTGCAGACACAAGATGGGTGTGTTTTGTGAGCCGTTTGACTGCGGATTCGAACTGCCCCTCAAGCAACAAATTTGATGCATGCAGTTGCTGGGTGAGAAGTTGAAAATAAATGTCTGAGTCTCCGTTGGCATCTTTTAGGGTCGTTTTGCACCGTTGAACGTCTCCGAGATTCAAGTAGCACTGAGCCAGGGCCAATTTGTCGCTGGTATGTTTGTGCAATTTCAGCTCGAGCGAGAACAACGACTGGCAAGCAGCATACTTTGCGACAATGGAAATGATTTCCGCATCTTCAGGAGTTGGCTTGATTGTGCCGGCAAGATGTAGCAGGTGATCCAAGTTAGGGTTGTGGAGATAAATGGTCTCTAAAGCAACCAGGTGAAAGTCCACAATGGGAGTACGGTCGATTTTGACACCAATAAGACTCTTGAGCACGTCAATGGACACTTCATGTAGTGAGGTGGCCTCGGCAAGATTTCTGGTCAGCAGACGAGCCAAATCTAGCCATTTTTCATCGCCGACAAGAACGTCACATTGAAACTTGAACAGCTGCTGAAGGACGCCTCCCTTAAGTCTGGAACTCTGACTGATGACTCCAACAAGCATCTGGATCAGCTTGATTTGCACCATAGGTCGTCCTGACTGCTCAGAAAACGTGTATACCTGGTCATCCATGTTCAACAAGGGGTATGCGAGAAGTTTGATGAATTTGATGACGATAGCGTCTTCAGAGAGGATCGTCTGGTCCTTCAATGAAGAAATAACCGATGAGCAGTGGTTTAGGGCTTCACTCCACCGCTTGTTTTCACACAGCAAGGTTGCCAACTTGGAACACTTCATCAGATACTGTTCGGAAATTCCTGCTGACTTGTGTAACGTAGACGCCAGTTGAAGCAGGGAAATCTGAGTATCAATCCTTTTCGACTTGAGACCAAGATTGAATACCAGGTTGGAAAGAAGCACCATCTTGGCTGTGTCTTTCAGCTCAACAAGACTATCACCAACCGCAATGAAGCAGTCCTGAACGTACTCGCATTTGGCAGACTCATGAGTGGTCTTCAAAATAGCACTTGAGTAGTCACACAGGGAAGGAAGCAGTTTCTTGATATTGAGATTCTGCACGCCGGTCGTCAGCAGTTGCAGTAACGAACTCATGGCTCGAATATGGTCGTTAGTCACCCCTCCTTCACCCATGCCTTTGTGTGTGTTTTTAAAGAACACCTCAATAGCCGTTAGAGTCGCTTGAGACGCCATCTGTTTGTTATCGGTAGCTTTGACTGCTCTCAGTAAGGTCGGCAGGGAGAACTCTTCTGAAAAGGAGCCCGAATTTGTCAGAGCTTCCACTATCGATACAGAAGGAATGGTGTCGACAGCTTTGGGTTCTGGAGCTCCCCCGGGGAAAATTAGCTCATTGTCGAGTCCTCCAAGGTACTTGAGCAGGTCGGAAATAAGTGAATTGCGCTCCTCCTCGCTGACATTGGCGTCAATCATCTTCTGAACTGTGTCGGTCAACAGATCCATCTGGGACATGTCGGACGAACATTCCATGGACACCAGTTGCAGTTTCATGGCGTTGAGTTTGTTGGACGTGCATTGTCGAGAGAGAGCGGCTGTTAGTTTTGAGAGTGTCGTTAGCTTGGCCTGTTTGTGTGTGGCTGCCGTCTTTCCTGTCCACGCCACAGGTCCACAAGGGTGTTTCAGTGAAGCCACCAGTTGCTATGTGTTAGTATTGGAGAGGGGTAAAAGAGCACCACCTTTGCATCTCATCTCTTACATCATACTCACTTCCATAATTCCTTCATCAACCCTGGATCGGGCGAAAGCTTTGAGCATAGCCAGATGCAGCGACACGATAATGTTGACCACTGCGGGGACTGTCTTGCGCGGTGGCACGTCCACGAGCAGCAGTTTGCTCAATTGTGCGTCCTGGGTGTCGATTTTGAACACCTCGTGGTCCACTGCGATTCGTCGCAACAGTCGCTTGAAAATAACCACAATCTGCTCCAGAGCAAATCCAATCTCCTTCTCCGAGCCCGATACGAGTTTCTGGATTAGCAGCAACTGTCTGCGGTCGATTTCAGAGCTCTTGACGGCCTTCTTGGACTCAAACCCCCACAGTACCTCCAAGCACTCACACCCGGTCAGGTACAGATCCGATTCGGACACGGACAGCTTCCCCGGCTTGGTGGGGCTCTGGTTTTCCTTGCCTGCTGCCGCAGAGACGGGTCCAAGACGAGCAATCACGTCGTCCATAGCTCTCAGAGTCGCCTCGGGACTGGTCGCGAACACCGTTTTTTCCAACGAGCCCTGCGACCGCACGGGCCGCATGATACGCGGAGAAGCCAGCGACGGACTGGTTACGCCGATGTTTCCAACTTCAGTCATGGTGAACGTGGTCTTGACGCACTGGTAGTGTCCTGTCTGTCTTTTCTTAGATGTTGTGAGACTGAGGTCCGAGCAGACTAATGTTTATCTTCACACGTGATTAAGGTTGGTGTACATTAGGTGTGGTTTTAGAGTTTGGAATGTAGACTGGATAGTCACTGTAGTTGGACCTGGTGGAAAGATCGACGAGAACGGTGATTTGTTAAGGAAAAGTCGGCTTGGGGAGTGTATAGTTCGGAATTGTTGATAATTGGGTAATTGGGGGTGACTTGAGCAGAAAGTTGTCTTAGAGCAACCATTTCTCTTCAATAGGGAAGTGGATTTTTAGGACATTCACTAGGTGGATGCTCTTCTGAAGCAGTCCGACGGAGGCACGTGATTCTTGAACTGCGAGAAAAATACAAGTCCCGGTACAATGATCTTGCTTGGTGTTTTGATACCGGAAGAAGCCTTGTGATGTGGACAATAGGATCAACTTTTCAACTTGTCGTTTTCTCTCCTATCCTGGACAGTAAGTACATACCCTACTACTTGTACATAGTAGATTGAGGTGAAAGGTGAAAGTGGGCCATGTGATGAGCGAAGAAAGATGTCTGTGTCTACAAGCCCACAATGTTCGAGCTCCGTTTGTGTTCAACCGCATTTTTTTAACACCGCACTTGCTTCTTGAACACCACACTTGCTTCTTAGCTGACAGTTTGACTCTGAACAGGCCATCTTGTTTCAGCTCGTTTAGCAGACTCGTATATCGTGTTCCAAAGGTGTTAGAGAAGATTCACCAAGGGAGAAAGTTTGTTGCAACTGAGAGATGTGCGTGAATACTTGTAGTCCCGTTTTTGTATATCTTCGGTCATGGGATGCGGAAGGGTTTCAACAGGGGTGATTGAGACAATTAGATGTCGAGGGTTTCAAATTTCGGGATGGATCTACTGTCCATATACAAGAATGAGTGTCTTGACGACAGTACCAGAACACGGTATAATTCTGTTGTGTCCTGTCCATATCGGCGAGCCGAGGAATGACAAGACTCGTACGTACTGTACTTGTACCGGTCCCTATACAACTCGTGCCCTGGAGAGCTTTCGGTGTGATTCTCATGAGTGTGCAGTATCAACTTCTGGCACATGCACAATTCATTCCAATCAGCGCAGTTTTGGCTGTAAAGAAAAGCGACATGTATCGAGTGAATTTCATCGGTTAGTAAACTTCATTGAAGCTCTTATTGTATCGTCATGTCATACAAAATGCTCCATGTGGGTCTCTAGCCCCTGTAGTCAAGTGGAGCTAAGATGTACTGTATCCACAAACATGAGTTCCTGTAACCATCCGTCGACACTCTAGAACCGTCTAGGAACTGCTGGGACGCTGTCAATACGTACGCTATTGGTAACGTTTTAATAGCGATAATAATGAGATAGTACGCACCCAGGTCGTCCTTAGACCCACGGTTGTCGTGAGTAGAGGAGTGAGTAGAGCCACGTTGAGGTACACGTGAGGACCACATGCGGTTGCCGATATTGTACCTGTCTCAGTTCTCACAATGTCCGCTCTCACACCGTCACGTGTTGAGCACGCGCGCACTCCTCCCTCTCCTTGCAATCTGAAACAAGACTAACGTCCTGCATCCATAGTGGAGCGTCGGAGGCCCGCCGTTGCAGGACTAGCGTCGCACGAGCGTCGCCAAGGGCATCGGCGTGGTCCCAAACACCCCCTGGCCGCCGGACACTTTTGTCACCTGCAACCTGACCAGGGGACCCTCCTGATATCCGCAGCTCAGCGGTCCCGTCCATGTGTCTTTGGGTTTGGGGGACACCTGTGGGGAAGGCTGTCAGGCTGGGTGCTGGGTGCATGGTGAGAGTAAGGGGGCCACAGTGCGTTATTCCAAGTCACACCACTTGTCTGCAAGCCCTGTCGCAGAAGGTACGAAGGGTGAAGGTGAAGGTGAAGGGTGGAGGGTGCGACTGCGCTTATATAATTATTTCTGTTACAAGATGAAACACAAGGTGACAATGTCGTACAAGTAAAAATGACATTAGGAGTCTGTCAAACAGGACGAGTTCAACAGGAATTACGATACGTAATTTTGCTTCTCCTGATGCGGTACCGTCCAAGACCTCCCCTGCCTCGTGCCAACCCTGCCCTGTTACAACCTACGTGCTCGCTGCTACACGTTATTGACATCCCTTCTCTGGGAAGTGAGTTCAAGGGGTGGTTTGGAATGGCAGGTGGATGGAGACAGTTGTGGGTAGTGGAGGCCATAGCGGGGTCTAGAGCGGTAATATGGCGCGTGTAGACGCCGTTCAGGACTTTTTTACCGCGTCTACCGCTAAATATACCAGCCACAGCTTCCTTGCACAGCCCAAAAACCGACTATCTCTCTGCCAGGACAAGCACACAAGGTTCAATCTAATTCTGGATCCTGTTAACCCCGTTTCGAGGTCGCATTAGGGCCAGCAATAATGCAAGTGCTATCACCTTGGCTTTGTAAAAGTGAGCAGCAGGCAACCTATCGTCCGGTAAAGACTCCATTTGGTTTCTCTCGCGTGTCTTACATGTAGTGAAGTGACGGTACAGTACCGTTGTGTTGGACCAGACCAGAGCCACGATCTCTGCACCTTGTTACATCTACAGTTGTTTCAACTGGACTTGCAAGCAAGGTGTTTGGCTCAAGCGACACTTACTTTTTCCCAACGCTCTTTTATGCTCTCTCCCTTAGCCTTGTCTTTACACTTTGGGCTCCGTGGTCCGTCATGGCCCAGATATATGTAGGTGTGGTCTGGCTATCTTTGGTCCACCTTTTCCAAGAGAATCAACATCCGTCTCCATGGCTCCAAGATACTACTACGTTGCCATCATTGTGTGTGTGGTGTTCCTGGTGGTGCTCCTAGCGGTCTACTTCACTCGCCACTTTGTCCAGAAACGACGACTGCGAAATCAGTCAGCCAGAAGGGACCTGGAAGCCAACCAGATGGTGCAGCAATGGCGAGCCGTGCAAGAGCCCCAGCAAACAAGGCCAAAGTACTACAAGGAGCCTCTGACTACCTACATTTCCACCAGCTCTCAATCCACCAACCCTTCCACCTGGTCCTACAACTCGGACACCCTGCCTTCTTACTCCCACAGCGACGGGTTCGCTAGACCGTACTACTACTATCGTCAGGACGAAGGGACCGTTTCGCCGGCTGAAATGTGCCACATTTGTCAGAGACAGTTCAACGATACCGATGCGGTCAAGCAGGTGTTTGGAGGATTGGTTCATCAGCAGTGCTACTCATTGACGAGCTGACAGACCGAGATGAAGCCCGGTGTAGTCGATGGACTAAAGCAGGCTGGAAACCAACCGACACCAAATGAGAAACTGACGCCAGATGAGAGACAACTGACCAAATAAGAGACAACTGACCAAATAAGAGACAACTGACCAAATAAGAGACAACTAACACCGCCAACTACAGTGTCACTGACACCAACTGTACAGTACGAAAGGCTACAATCAACCACTGTCGAGTAAAGCCCAAGTCTGGCACTTGAGACTTAGAATGTATAGGTAATGAATTACGAGTATTTATCCACTATGCTGAACCCAACAGATCAAGGTATCCACACTCGTGCCTTGAACAGAAAACAGGGCTCATAGATAGTGCGTAGCACGAACCCCAAAGATCTTGGTATATAATACCACACCTCTCTCACTCAACCCATCCTGCGTCACGTGATGATAATGTCCGGTAATGTAACTAAAGGACAAGAGGGGGAACTCTGGGTTCCATTTCAGATGGAGACTATGATAAGTGGGGTGATGTATAGCTGCAAGTAGTCATATTTTGAAAATCCGAATGAAATTTAAAAAATTCGAAAAATCAATAAAACAACATATCAAAATAAATGTATCCCATATTACCACCATTGAGTCTCGTAATTACGTCATATAATACTTGTACCGCCCCATATTGAGATCTCCCTCCCGTGCGGCTCAACAATTAATAAAGTTTTCCAGACATACGCCCGATTCAAAACTTATTCAATAGTGGCAACCCGTCGATTTAGTGTCTACTGAAAGAGTAGAAAATGGCCACTATCGCTGTTATTGTAAGGAAAGTGTCTCTTATAACTCACGTGACCCGAAAAATACACTTGGCTTCCCCCATTATAGTGGCGAACTCATTTTGTATCGGTTTGGCAAAGTTCAGGCGTCAGGGTTAGGGTCCCACACCACCACAAGATTCTAGAAGATTCAGCTGGGGTCTTGCAGGTTGGGATATAAGAGGGCTGCTGCCTTTTTCGACCCCATACCGAGACTCTGAAAGAACACTTAAAATGTCTGCTGACGAAGTGAGTATTGAAAGGGAAATGCGACACTGGATGAGAATGCGACACAGAAGAGAAGGTGACACAATTGGGGTGATTTGGACCTGATTCGGTGGGTTTTTGAGTGACTTTGACACAGTCACGAGGCCATGATCTAGCTGTCCCTTTAATCAATGGTTTTACAGAACTGTTGACTGTGGGACACTGTGGTGCAATGATGATTGTACGGTGGTGACGTGGTGATGGTAATGGTCCAAAGACCGTTCAATGATGGCAAACGTGACAATTGGTGTTGGATTGTCTTGACATATTTTTGAGATGGACACGGAGTACTAGAACTCCCTTCTTATGACACTCCAACCATGTCGCTTTGATTGCTATCAATGGGTCCCACTACCCCCATTGCCCGTCACAGTTTCAAACTCACATCTGACTGTGTCTGCTTCTGCCGTTATTCGCGGACCCCCAGCTTTCTCCCTCTGGCTCCATACTAACACAGCTCAAAGCTCAAGGAAACGCAGCCTTTGCTGCTAAGGACTTCCCTACCGCCATTGACCACTTCACCAAGGCCATTGAAGCCTCTCCCACCCCTAACCACGTGCTCTACTCCAACAGATCCGCCTGTCACTCTTCTCTGAAGAACTTCGACGATGCTCTCAAGGACGCCCAGTCTTGTATTGACATCAACCCCCAGTGGACTAAGGGCTACGGTCGAAAGGGTGCTGCCCTGCACGGAAAGGGCGATCTGATTGGCGCCAAGGATGCCTACGAGGAGGGTCTCAAGCTGGACCCCTCCAACGCCCAGAACAAGGCTGGTCTGGAGTCTGTCGAGCGAGCCATCATGGCCGAGGCCCAGGGCGACGGCACTACCCCCGATATGGGTCTTGGTGACATGTTCTCCAACCCCGCCAATCTTGCCAAGCTGGCCTCCGACCCCGAGGTCAAGGAGTACATGAAGGACCCTGAGTTTGTTAAGAAGCTCGGCGAACTGCAGAAGAACCCCATGGCTGCTCTCTCAGGCATGCAGCAGGACCCCCGACTCATGAAGGCTATGGCTCTGATGCTCGGTATTCCCACCGACATGCAGGGCAAGGCTTCTGAGGATAAGGCTGCCCACGACGCCCAGCAGGACGTTGAGATGAAGGACTCTGAGCCGGCCAAGCCCGCCGAGGCCCCCAAGGCTGCCCCCAAGACCGAATCTAAGCCCGCCGCCGAGCCTGTGTCCGACGAGAAGAAGCAGGCCGATGAGGAGAAGGCTCTCGGAAACACCGCTTACAAGGCCCACAAGTTCGACGAGGCCATTGCTCACTACAACAAGGCTTACTCCATCCACGAGGATATCACCTACCTCAACAACCGAGCCGCCGCCGAGTTTGAGAAGGGTGACTACGAGACATGCATTAAGACCTGCGAGGAGGCCATCACCAAGGGCCGGGAGGTGTTTGCCGACTACAAAGTGCTGGCCAAGTCGTTTTCGCGATGCGCCACCGCCTATGTCAAGCTCGATAACTTGCCCAAGGCTATTGAGCTGTACAACCGGGCTCTCACCGAGCACCGAACCCCCGATACTCTTTCCAAGCTGCGAGCCGCTGAGAAGGATCTTAAGAACAAGGAGACCCAAGCCTACATTGATCCTGCCAAGGCCGAGGAGGCCCGAGAGGAAGGTAAGGAGAAGTTTGCTGCCGGCGACTGGCCCGGCGCTGTTAAGGCTTACACCGAGATGATCAAGCGAGCTCCGGAGAACCCCATTGGTTATTCCAACCGAGCTGCTGCCCTTGCCAAGCTCATGTCTTTCCCCGAGGCTGTGGTTGACTGTGATGCTGCCATTTCCAAGGACCCCTCATTCATCCGAGCCTACATCCGAAAGGCTAACGCCTACTTTGCCATGCGAGAGTACTCCAAGTGTGTGGACACCTGCACTGCAGCCCTTGAGCACGACAAGGAGGGCAAGTCCAAGGCCGAGATTGAGGCTCTGCAGTACAAGGCCATGTCTGCTCGATTCCAGGCCCAGGAGGGCGAGACTCCCGAGGAGACCATGGAGCGAGCTTCCAAGGATCCCGAAATCGTGCAGATTCTGCAGGACCCCATCATGTCGTCTATTCTCAACCAGGCTCGGGAGAACCCCGCCGCTCTGCAGGACCACATGAAGAATCCCGAGGTTGCCCGGAAGGTCCAGTTGCTGGTTGCCGCCGGTATTATTAGAACTCGATAAGAGAATCGAAGCACGAAGCAGACAACGTCCTATGTTGAATTGCTGGGACTATGTACAGATGTTATTTAATGATATGTTTGAAGATGTTTGAGGTAATAGATCAGTTGAAGAGTTTTTTTACGAGCAGCTGCAATACGTTCACGCAGTGTAAGTTAGCCGGTATTGATGTTGGAGTTCCTCACAGGTGCTGTTTGTACTGTATTACAGATACAGTAGTGAATTATATGTACTAGGCAGCTTGTTAAGGGTTAGAAGCAATCAAACCGTGTGTGTTCGAACGTTTGAACACTTCCGCACTGCTTTTGTCATTGGTTACATCTGAAAGCTACTAAAGTAGTGAGTCAACTTCAACAAAAATGTTACCGCTGAACGACCCAAAAGAAGGCAGTTGATAAAGAGAAATCTTGATGGAAGAAAAAAACCAGTCCCTTGGTGTGACATTCTTGTTAATATTGGTGTCTACTTATTGAAGATATAGTGAATAAACGACTTACAGTCACTTCTAGGGACACCACGTTCCGATAGTAGCGCACACCCTTCTGGTTTGTGCTTGCTCATTCTCCAAAAAGAGATTCTAGATCAGTGGATAAACCTATCTACTACGACCAGGATGGTTCCTCTCATCATTATATGAGGAATTGGCCAGGTATTACAACCGAGTATTACCTTCAACACTACTTTCTCTACATTCTTTGAATGTAGGTAGTACTCCTAGCACAGCAGTAAAAACGAAAGTACAAGTGCAAAGTACATCGTATTCAGTTATTTCAGTAATTTTATATGTAATGATTCATGACAGAAATATCAGATTTAAGCTGGGTTGTTGGCGTTCAATCATTTTATTTATTCATTTATTCTAATGATTTTCTATTTATTCTAGGGAATTTCTATTTATTCTAGGGAATTTCTATTTATTCTAGCTCATTTCTATTTATTCTAGTTCATTTCTATTTATTCTAGAGCATTTCTATTTATTCTAGAGCATTTCTATCTATTCTAGGGAATTTCGATTTATTCTAGGAAATTTTTTGTTTTTTCAATGGTAGGGAAATACATTTTGCTTTTTAAAAAAAAAGAAAATTGGATCTAGTGAATAATAAATTTTTTTTCTTATTCTAGGGAAATACATTTCAGCTAATTCAGCTAGACAATGTTATTATACCCGGAAATCGGATTTGGATTCGGTTGTTCTGAAGTGCGCATGACATTCGTGTTCGCTTGTTCACGTAATTTTTTTTCTTTAATTTTATTATTTTAATGATGCTTTCTTGTCTTTTTTATTATTATTATTATTATTATTCTAATGATTCCGCGCACATGACTTATTTGGCCCTTCAAAACGTCCTACGCTCTTTTCTTTCTCTGTAAGATCCGATCGCCTCTTATCTGCGGAATAGTTCTCAGTCGGTAGATTGTCGCTGTCTAATCTAACCGTTGCTCGCTGTCTGTAATACGTTCACAGGCTGGTGATAACTTGTCTTATTAATCATACATAAATGTCCTTCTTATACTACCATCCTCCGGGTGGGTCCCAGTTGGGAGCCACAGTCACACCTGCACGTGACCGGCACCATCCCAAGCCCTTAGTAAGCGACTTGGTCCTTACATTCTCAACGGTTGCGGCCATATCCTGGTGAAAATACGGCTTCCCGTCCGATCAGCCATAGTCAAGCACCAGAGAGCCTAGTTAGTATTGTAGTGGGAGACCATACGAGAATCCTGGGTGCTGCAATCCTTTTTTTTTTCGCTTCATGAGCGAAGCTTGTGGGGATGTTTTCCTTCTGTCGGGCTTTTGTTTTTCTGTGGGTCTCTTGTAATTTTCTTTGTTTCAATTTTAAGTTTCAATTTTAAGCTCATATAAGGTTTCTACTAGTGGGTCTATAAAACAATAACACCTCAAATAACAGTTTCTAATGGGAGTTTAAGTAAATTTAAAGATTGTAAATATACAGCCAAAGGCTTATTTTGTATTTAGATAACATCCGACTTACATCTCCACCTCTTGACGCCATTTTCAAAATGTCCGACATTGAGGCTAATGTAACCTTAACTGTATTAAGCTCGAATACGAGTATTCACTTGATACAAGTACAGTATTTCCTTCTGTTGAGTGGTTGTTGGAGGGGCGATTTTTGTGTAAAATAAAATATTGTGTGAATCTTCTTGATACTCTGAGAAAAATGGTGTACTTATTTTGTTCATAGTGATATATTCTGAGATTAAATACCCTTGTATGGTGTTGTGCGATGACTCTTTTAAGACTGTTGGCGTAGTTTAACAGAAAAGATATAGATTATCTAAACACAAGTTGTAGACTCTTCATCTCCTTCCCTTGCTTTGCCTGACAAGATTTCCGAGTCTCGATCGCCAAACTGTGAGGTGAGGCGTCGACTAAAGATGGGTCTCGTCAGGGTTCATTGTCACTTAATGAAAATCTGGCGACAACAAAACGGACCCTGAGCTTGGTAAACATTGAGCAGCTGCAAAAACTGAACTCGTTTCGAATTTTGAGAGTTGGGGGTTGCTACGAGACACCTGTGCGCTATGTTACCAAGACGGTGGACAAAGACAACATTTGTCCTCAACAGAATCAGAGCTGACGTCCAGAAGATCTCCTCTTGTTTCCGCACTGTTATCGATAATCTACAAAAGAACTCACGGACTCGGTCTCGTTTATGACATCCACTCTTGAACTCCAACACGTCCACAACACACTCCTTCAGCCGAACTCACACCTCGTTCGTCAACACGCCCTGTGTAGACGACACGATAGTCCACAGCTAGTTCTCCAATTCTTTCTTCAGCCAGACACTTGTCATTCCAAACGCTGTTGTCTCCGTGTTAACAAAGACAGTCCTATTGAACATACTGTTTCACAGTTGCCGTCTGAATGGAGCGTTTCTATGGGCTCCACTTTCACTCTTGCCAATGAACACCAGCTTCCAGCACCTTTCAAAGTCAAAGGGACCCCTTCTCTGGGATCTAACCGGCTGAATGTGGTACCTGAATCTCGGAGGACGGATTATTGTGAAATCCAAAAAGGCATTCACCATACCACTCCCCAAATACTCCAAGAGAGCGTTTCAGACAATTCAAGTCTCCTGGGACCGGCAACATAGCGAAAAGCTATCGTGCAAGACTCCAACGACGAAGCTGGCAGTTACCTGAACTGTCTAAAATAGCAGAGACGCCTCCGAAGCTGAAAGCAAAAATTCTGTTGGGGCAATGGCGCACATCGACCTAACGCATAGACGTACAAGTAATAAATGATGCATAGATGTATAGAAGTCCTACCAGCGCCAAGACGTTTCAAGCTGAGCAAAAACAAGTCCAGCGTGGTACAAAGACGAGGTTCCGGGTGGAAGGGTGGCAGGGTGGGCGGGTTGCAGCTGGTAGGTACGGGTTCGGAGGCTTAGTGTTGATGTGCATCAAGGAGCCAATCTTCGGAGGTTGTTGAAATGGACGTTATGAGTCGAATAGAGGGCCAGGGAGTTCGTGATAGCCGAGAAAAGCTACTACTCAGTCACTCTCACAGTTTTTTACACCTTTTATACATTTATTTATCCATTTAGCTGTTCTTTAATAATCGCCAAGAACCAAACAACGGTGGCTGCCAAACACAATCAACCACAGAGTTCTCCCTTAATCGTGACTCTATCTCCTTCCTCGCGTATAGCAAGGTGGTTGATGCATTTATTATGTAGACAACAAAGGCATTGCTCCGCCTGAATCTCCGAGGATTGGCGAGAAGGGTTATTTGTGGTTATCAAAAGTTACGAGGCTATAGGAGGATATTGGTCCGGTTGTCCGAAAGTGTGATGTGGATGTCGGATTTTAGTTATTTTGTGGCAGGGGTAAAAAGTAAAAAAATAATAGGCAGTCAAACTAATTTTTTTTATAACATTTTAAACACATTTAATCCCAGTTTTTGATTTCAGTGAAGTTTTTCATCTATTTTTTACGTCTATTTATACCGTATGCGCTACCCCGTATTCATCTCCCCAACTAGGAAATTCTAACCAGCTTGCACACGACCATGTCTCAGATTTATCAATGTAGAACTGGAGCAGCTGCGACAGCTGATGGAGCTCCGGATAATGTATGAGCATCTCGACAATCATCTTGAGAGTATGAGTGCCACACATTTGAAGCTGTGAAGAAGACAATTGACTCAGTTGATGGTTGAGTAACTCTCCCATTTTCATGAGAAGGTGGGCTGACGTTCCGGGTTTGCGCACAAGCTGCAGATACTGCTGGATGGATTTCTGGGTATCTCTGCAGTCGTTAGTTTGAGGTTGGCCAGTACCTGTACTTGAACTCGTATACTGGTTATGTCCGATGGTGATTGAGGTGTGCCATAGTAGAAGTGAGATAACCTGATGATTGTACGATTCAGAGCAAAGATGAGCCAAGGATCCCGAGTACGGACGCGATAGCAGCTCGGCAACCGTATAATTGGGGGGGTCTGTACTCAGATGATGTGCATTTGTTTCATATCTGAGATTGGTGAGAAGACAGTTGAGTCTTTTGGTGCGTGAGTTTCGAATCGACAGAAGATGGTAGTAGGTGTGGGCCTTGCTGAGATACGCCAGAGCTCTGTTTGTGTAATTGAGAGCCCTCATTGCCATGTGCAAGAAAATTGAGTCGCATACTGAGTCGATGGAGATAGTATCCGATGCAAGAGAGGCCTTTTGCAGATGCACTTTTCTGATCTGAGACAGGAGGGCAGTTTTAGTGGCATGATTTGCCGACTTTTTGAACTCGTGGGTGAGATTGGCCAATATCAGGCCATTCAAGAGGCCGTAGTTGTCGTCGGCGAGATCCACTAACGGCAGACAGGTGTATGTGTTTTGAAAGTACTCGACGAGAGCAGTATGAAGAGCGTTGGCATCTTCGTTAGGAGGAGAAGACGGAGTATCTTCGTCAGTGACAGGACTGCTCATGTCGTCTCTGATACTGAAGCACAAGTGCGACTCTTGTTCGTTCTCGAAATGTTGATAGGCAATGTCGTCGGTGACTTCCCAAGGCTGGTCCAGGATGAGTTTGCGTTTCTTGGACGAGACCTTAGGGCCCTTCTTCTTGGTGATCTGGTTGTATGTACAGCATAGCGACGCTTCTACACACTTGTCACAGGGCTTCGAGGAGAGGGGAGACACGCCCTGTTCGATATTCGGGCACTGGGTTAGAACTGGGAGGGGATGAGGGAGCGGACGTAGATGAGAATAACAGGCTAGTCGCACTAGCATTCGTACCTGTCTTCAATACTTGCTTGTCTGTACTCACCTTGATCTTTCTCACTCGACAATTGTCACAGGCTCTTGGCTGACAGTTTGGAGGGGTAATGTTGAAGTTGATGGCTCCAAACATGGTGTTTCTGAGGTCTGGCACTAGAACACGGGCCCATACTCCTTATAATCCGTTTCACAATTAATACGAGCTGAGCTATGGCAACAATGGAGTACGTAGGTTAGGCTCTGCAAATGTACAAAATGAAACACTATGCAGTCTGTGCGTCTTCTGCAACAGATTGGGTCCTTTGAAGCGATAAAACCAAGTAGCCAAGATGAGCCAAGAAGGGAGTTGATTCAGGGCGTTTGTGGTACAGCAAGGTACAATGGGAAACACCATTCTTGGGTCTTGTTGAGACCCCGATGAGACATGCTCCCCGCAACTTTGCAGACTGTCTCCACTGTAGGGTCGGTCTTCGCTGAAGTGTCGGTCTTCATTGTGGCGTCGGTCTTCATTGTAATGTCGGTTTTGTTGACGATTCTCACCGTCTGGATTCGTGAGCGTCCCACATTTGTTTCCTTGTTCCGGAACAATAGTTCCGTGGGTACACGATGAGCATTGCCAAGAACAAGCGAATTGACGGAGGGACAGTTGTCATGCACTGACTACTCCTACAAGAGGCTCAAGGACGGCTGAAGGAAAAGTCTGGGGGATTGGACTGGAATTGGACACACAGTGAGGTTCCCCATGAGAAGCACCGGACGGAACAGGACATTGAGTTTGAAAACAACGGCGAATGTCTTAAAATAAGCGGTGAAAAGTGGCTGGGTGTCTTAGCCGGTTACCTGTGTGGCTGTACAGGCGGACTCTTGGTGCTAAAAATTCAAGCGTTAGATCTTCTCCTAATCGTTAAATGAGCTCCAAGTCGATTTATCAACTCATAGTAAACACAACAGGTCCGCTTTTCAGATCAAGTCCCGTAGAAACTGCGTACATAACTGTATTGTCCAACCATGAGAAGGACGAATTGCTCAAACGCCAAGAACAATGCGGATTCACATTTGAGTACATGTAGACTATGCCCATGTTATGCGTGTGAACCTGTATCCGATTCAGGAAGTTGCAGCCTATCATTTCCATCATCTCTAACCTCAGACATGAGAGAAGATTTAGCATAAGATGAGCTACTTGTAGTAATTAGGTGCAAGGTTGAACCTCATTTTCTGACAAGGTGATTCAGTAGGTGGTGAAAAGATGAAGATCATTACGTGTGACTACTCGCAAAGTTGTTCTCCTTACTGGAGCTCTCCTGACGTGCAGACATTTTGAGGAGGTTGATAGGAGACAATGGAGAAGAGGTGCGGCTCAGCATCCTGGGTACGCACGCGACGCACAAAGTGGAGACTCATTGTATGGTTTATTCATGTACTCTTACCGAAACTGTCGGTTAACCGGCGATGCAGTAGTTTATCTAATTAGGAGAAGTCTCCGTCTCGAGATATGTACAGGTACAGGTACAGTACATACTGTACGAGTATTATACGAGGGTCCCGTCCCCTATCGCCATGTAAAAAGCAAAGTGCGAAGGTACTCTTCTGGAGGTCAATATCCAAAGTTCATCGATAGACCTGGTATTATTATCTGTTTTTTTTTTTTCTCATTTTATGATTCAATTCTTTATTGACGCTCTCAGGGGTTGGCGCATCCTTTCTCACAGAGCTGTGTGAATGTGTATCTACGGACTTTCATAGCGGATGTAAGGCCAAGAAATACTTCTAGAGCAATAATTAGACCTTGATACTGGATTGACAGTCCAGATATTCCCTATTACCCCCTCCTCGTCGGCTTGTATGTTCTTTGTAACGTCTTTCGGCAGCACATCCAAGCGACACAACCCGTCACAAAGACCCCGGAGTTGTCCACGATTTTATTCCTTCTTAGTTTGTATCTCCATTGCAACTTCAATGATGGCAGCATCCAATCTCAGACCAAATGGACTCCTGTTCTACGCAACGCGCGCCCGTAGAACCAAGTATCAGGCAGCCGAAGTACGACGTAATCTGGTTAATTGCAACCACAAGTTGGAAGTGGCTGCTCGAGCAAAGAGCTCTGGCCAAGACCCCTATACTTGTCAGTAGCATTGTACGGACTGCGAGCCAAAAGAAGTTGAATAAGCGTTGAGAGGAATGTAGTTGTAGAAGGTATTTCTGTATAGAGAACATCTCCGCTCTTATAAACTAATCTGTCGAGTACATACCTTACTGTGATACGGCACAAATGGGTGTATATCTGGCTCTCTCATATTGTTCTACCGTGATTTTCTTATTTTTTTTTTTGTTCTTTTCCGTGTTTTTGTTCGTATTATTTTCCGTTTTATTCATCTTTACCGTTTTTTCGCACAACCCCGAATCGAACTGCGCAGCTGTCTGGAAGATAGGCTTTGACGGAGTTTAGCAACGGCAACGGAGATAAGGCTAAAGGTGGGCAACAAGGCAGAAAAATGCAACCACGTATTCTCGAAGATGTAGCCTGTGGAATCAAAAAAAAAAAAGGAATCGACATGGCCCTTTTGCGTGAGAAATACCGGTACCGGTAGTACTTGCGGGGTCAGGGGGTCTGTGTCAGTTGGGCCAGTCTCATACGGCATGATTGATCCGCATGATCGATCCGCGGTATCGATCACGGATCGATACCGTGTGATCGATACCTCACGTTGCTATCACTTCGTTCAAAGACTCGAAACTTCTGGTCTCTTCGTCTGCAGTTTGTCGATCTCAAACTCCTCGACCTCCTCCGGCGATCTATTCTCGGAGATACAGGAGCATGCTCCGGGGTGAACCGTACCTCATACTTGTTTGCCAAGCTTGAGATGAATTCATTAGCGACGCTTGCTGTGAAATTGGCTAGAGTAAGCCCGCCCGGCCCTGCCCGTCCGAGCGAATAGAAAATCTCTGCTCCATTTTGGGGGCAAAGACGCGGTTATGCAGTTAGGGGTGGTTCACAGCGGAGGCAAGGATCCAGGGAGGCAGAGATGATACATGTATGTGCGAAGCTTGACGGGGTCGTACTCGCACTTGAGGCAACAACGCTACAAGTAGGACCCTGCGACTGTAAGGGTCCTCTGTGGGGAATTTGAGTAATCGTACGACTTCTCCACACATGCCAGAAACGTCTGTACAGTATGTCACTGACCCTGCGTGAACTCGAGACTCTGTTTTCTGTTTTCCCCCTTCTTTGCTTCCTGCAAAAAGCGTGAGAAAAGGGGGGCGAGACGCTGGATGTCCAGGCTTGTACTGGTTTCCGCGCCCTCGTATTCCGCAGCTATGTCGGAAGCTGCTATCTGTGGCTCTCTTGTCAAAAAGGGAAAAAATGAACAGTTTTCGTGCATGAAAATTAAACCTACCAGTGGTCCGCGTCTGAATACGTGACGATAAAGTGTCAGAAGAAGACCAGCCGAGGTTGGAAGGGTTAGTCGGGGTGCAGGTTTCAGAGGACATAGCTTGTTGGGTTCAAGACATGTCAAAGGTCGGAGGGTCAAAGGTCGGAGGCCGGAGGGTCAGAGGTCGGAGGTCGGAGTGTTGGAGATGTGCCTGATGAAGGTTTTGCGTATAGCAGACTAAACGCCGTCTGTGGCGGTTCCAACGTATCGGGGAGTGTTGGATGTTTGATCAAATGGGTGAAGAACTCCGTCGGATTGTTGTTTGTGTTATTTCGAGCATTTTGGCTGGTTATTATGGACGCATTCTCCTTAACGCACAGGCCGCTTTCTACATATGCAGACCCCAAAAAGGTGATACAGCATGGTGGAGATGTAGAGATAGTATTTGATACTTGTACTTGTACTTGTACTTGTACCAGTAGAAAGACGAAAAACCACAATACACGGAGCAATAACAATGTCTCTGAATCTATCGATCGATTTCGGTTGCCCAGATTCTTCTCGATACGCGAGCTTTAGTCGAGACGTTTTCACAGACAACCCTGTATGCTTCTCGAGGAGGTTTGCGACGAGTGAAAGATTGAGAAGCTGATAAAGAGGACTTCTGGTGATCAAAGACTTGTCTAATTTTGTTTAGAAAAACACCTCGGGGAGTGCAGTCCACGTTTTATGACGCTTTAACTGGCCACTGTGCTGCAACCCATGCTCTCAACAATGGTGGAGAGTAAAAGCTGGAAGTTCAGAGCTTCAGTCTCATTTGGGCGTACTTATTGGTTGACTGTCTCACAATTGCGCTCTTCTTCTGAAACTCGAGCACGCCTCTACGTCTTGGTACATACAGTGGTACGTAAGCGGAGACAGGTACTCCAACGAGAAAATCATGGTAAAAATCACCACTAGAACCAACTGACCGGTTAGTCAAAATTACACCACTAGAACTAACACAGCGGTTTGGTCTCCTTTGCAACTCCTTGTCTCCATATCTGTCTCGTAGAGGACGGTGTTACAAGTAATCTGTTTGCCGTTGAGTAAAAAAATGTACTATGAAGAACCTTCTAAATCAACCGAATTTCCTGAAAGGAGAATCAACAATTCCAGAAACTGATTCTACCACTTTGGCACGATTTACGACCTCCCATCCTGGTAATCCACCCCGTCTCTGACTCACTTCCCATTGACCAACGAATCTGCACTTGCTTCCTAGAAAAACCACAAAACAGACACCACAACCACTTTTTACACACTATCGAGTGTTTTCATGGATTCCTCGGCTTCTTTGCTCTTTAACGCAGCAACATAGCTCTCCTCAACAGCTCTGTCCGCTCTCCAAACAATGACCGCGCGGCTATGCAACCCTGTGAACCCTCCCGTTCTTCTATGCCTCACGAAGCAGTGCCTATTCATTGTTTAAGTCGGTCCAAGGGCCCTATTGTTTTGTTCTTTGGAAATGCATGAAGCTGGAGCGGAACCACGGGAATTGAGGCGTGCTAGTTCATGCAGAGGCCCATGCTGCCGTAGCTTGGCAAGAGGCTCAAATTTCCCCATAGAGACAAAATCGCCGGAAGACCAAGAGTAACCAGGCAGAAAGTAATAAACTGAAGAGCATTGGCTCGTATTATAGGACGTATCACCGACTATCCTTGCACATTTGCCGTGCATCTATACATTTCAATTACAATACTATATTTGATAAATACGTTTGAAAGACATATCTGTTTGTTTATACTTGATATTTAACTGAGAACAGACTGAATACATTTGGCATCTTCCGTTCAAATCTCTTCCTATCGCTCTTGCTTCCCACTTCCCAAGACATTCATCCACAGCTTCATACATCCAACTGTTACTCCCGGACTCTACGAGTACAAACAACGTATTGTTTCCGCTCATGTTTGCCCTTTCCCTTGTGAATAAGCAGAAGTGCATTCTTACAATGCAGTTTCTCTTTGTTGGGTGCCTCAGGTCGGTGCTCCAACGCAGGTAGGAGGGGTGAAAAACGGTGGTTTACGGAGAAAAACCAGCCAAAGCCGGCAGCTACAGAAATACGACAACGGTCTTCTGTATATGTCATCTACTTCTAGAGACTGAGTGTTTTGTGGGTGAACGAATAGGGTGAAAGTTATCCAGTTTCCACACTGAGTATGGACATCCACTGGACTCAACCAGTTCTGTCCGTGCTGTTGACGCCGATTTTGACGCGGATTTTTCCGCCGCAAAAACTCCACTGTCGTCTACCATTGTCTCGGTAAACTCCATTGTCTGTGGCCGTTGCAGCCGTGTAACTACAGCTAATACGTGCACGACCGGAACTCGCTGGGTGCCATTTTTTTCACTGCATGCGGCTCAGATTATTTTTTTCTGCCAGAGAGACAATCTCATTGTGCCTAGAGCTTAATTCCAACCTCCCAAGAACATGACTATCAACTGAGACAACACAGCCTTCCGACCAGGGGGGTGGTATGGAAAAGGGTCTAGCAAGCCCCACGACCGGTTCTTTCGATTCTCCTTGTTGCTCTCGATTAATTCTTCGCCCGTTCATGCCCCACAGGTACCCGGTTTCGCCACTTTCGCCACTGTTGCCACTCGCCACGATGCGCTGCTTGCCCCGAGTCCCTGCACTGTGACGTTCCGCAGAGCTCTGCAGAGGTCGTCGTGTCCAGCTGCCCAAATTGGGTTTCTAAAACCCAGTTTCTTTAATGATATGCCGAGCAACCTACTTGTAGTGGCAGACTCGACCTACATGCTTGTACAGTTGAGCGGTAGCAGATTTTCCTTCTCTTTTGCGATTCCTGCTCTAACAGAAATCGCAGCCGAGACGTGGGGGACTCTTCCACGAGACTGCCCTCTGGCCACGCACAGTCCCGGTCCGACTAGTGAACAGGGGTGGCAAAGGGTATCGGAGAACGGGTCCCACGACGACAACCTCTGCATTAAATGAACGAATCGCAGCCATTCGAAAAAACTCAGTTCACTGAAGTTCACCCAACAGCCATTGAACGTGTCTTCTGTATAATCTACGCCTCTCCATCGACACTGAGGTGGGCCTCGGCGAAGTAACCACAAGGAAGGAGCAGTTTGGTTGTTGCAGGGAATTTCGATAGTTGGTTTTTCCTCAAAACCTATCAGGTTTCTTCCACCCGTATAAGTCTCTGTCTGTCTCCACACGCCAAGATCGAGGTCGCATACCTCGGGGTGTTGGACATATTCTGGGTACGGATCTACAGAGGAGGGCATAACGTCGATGCGAATGATGGAAGATCAGGGAAAAACCCGTAATCTCGGGTAGACTTGCCGATTGGAAGTCCATGATTGTCGATCAACCACTCATGTGGATCATCAACGCAGTACCTGTCTCAGTTATGTGACCATAGACAAGAGTATTGTACACCGTACAGTTCAACAGTTGGAAGAATGTGTTTGCTCTCCAGAGTCGCTTGGCAAGGACACAGTTGAAAGGCACTTCCGTACTTACTACGATTGCGTCCTCCTCTGCGTCTCTGGTCCATTTTCCGCTTTCTTTTTTAAGTCTGATTAATACAAATCCAGACCGAGACCTTTACACTGTTGGTAATCACTACTTACAAAGCCCTTCTGCGCTCCAACCCCCCGCCCAGACATGCGCAGTGGGTCATGTCTCAAAGAGTACTTCAGGTTAGGGCGCGAAATCGGCTACAGCCTTCCGGAAGCTTTTGAGCCTCTGAGACGCATGCCACTGCGAGTTCTAATGGGCGTTGGATGCTTCATCAATGCGACAATGTGATTATTATTACTCAAACAGAGGTTTTTCTCGACCGAACCGGCTTTCATTTACCGTCGCCCAGGGGGATTGGCGTCCATCACGCTTGGTGGGATGGTTCGTGATTAGACTCAGTTAGGAGGTTTGGTAACGGAGAGGAGAGAAGAAATACAGGATACACCACACTAACTCTTGCTACTTGTGCTCGTACTGTACTGTACTGTACTCTACATACAACAGTCGCACTTCTGTCAGATCCCCAGCTCCCACCAGAGGTGCCAGGACCGACAAAGAGCCACTTGGTCCCAGAAATAGCAAACTCAAAGCTAGCAAGGGAATCGAAAAGTGAATGGTATCCTCAGAAACACAAAAGAAAGACCAATTTCACTTGCCTGCGGTTGCTAGCGCTCCTCCTGCACCCTGCGAGCTCTGCTAAAGAAATAACTTGGCCCTAGAACCCTGCACAGAAAGCACAGAAGGGGCCAGCGACCGTGCGTCTGCGACCCAGCACGGGCTCCAGACGTACGTACAAGTACTTGTACCAACTTGCACCGGAGTCCAATCAATTCGTGCGTCGCTAACAATCCAAGCATTGTTCGGAAGCGAGTTGTCTTGTTCGTCTTAATTGTGATATATTGGGATGACATACTCGCTACAAGTACTTTAGTCAAAAAGTACATGTACCATTACTTGTACCTTGGGCTACAGATTACGCTGATCCGGAACGCTCCCGGAGGCTCTATTGAGGATCTACATCGCTATAACGGTCTGGAGTGCTCCTGGTCGGAGGACTCGGCGAATACGCTTATAGGGCGGGCTCTGCGGCGACCAAGAAAGAAAAAAAGAAATTTTTCAAATTTCAAAAAATCAAAATTAAAAAGTCAAACTTAAAAAAGTCAAAAAAACAAAATTAAAAACATTAAAGTTTTTGGTTTTCAACATTTAGGCTTTCAAGTGGAAACAAAGTGCCAAATAAAAGTTTCACTCAGTCTAATGGGCATCTCCTATGCAGGATATTTCGGTACAGTAGTTGTGATAACAACCGTGCTGACATGGCGATTTGAGGGGTTCCCGATTGGAAACATGAAGAGACACAAACCCGACTTGTAATACAATAAGCCGGGACGGGGTCAATGTGTCCCCGACCTTCTACACGCCTCCTTCCGACAGTCTCCGACGTCCTGCGACATACACTTGGGCCTGTGTCGATCCAGCTATGATCGACACAAGCATGTATTGCTCGCCGTCTGCATCATCGCCATGTTTATCCAGCACTAAATTTGCTCCCGGCCACAGCCAGCTTTGTGATTCATTGTCTGCTGCACGGTGGCTTCTTTGTCTGGCAAGGGAGCCGAAGACCTCTGAGAACCTTGGTTCTTTGTTTTCGGACCCCGTATCCACCGTTAAGCAGTTTGCGTCTACGGCTGTGGGCCTCCGGAGAGCCCTGTCTGGGTGTGAGGGTCTTGGGTATAAAGCCAGGGCCAGCGCCTTGCTGTTTTGAGCATCAATCAGACAATCGATCCAATCCACCACACAGATGCGATTCTTTCAGTCTATTGCCCTGCTAGCCACTCTGGCGTTCGCCAAGGAGGTCGCTTCGCCCATCACATCCTTCGAGGTTGGACAGGCTAACGACATATCCAACAAGGAGGGATACACCGGTAGCGCTTGGGAGCTGGACTACAAGTTTGCCCTGTCTCCTGAGGCCGACAACGTGCAGCCTGGTGATCACTTCACGTTTGATATCGATGACAACATGTCTCTTGACGCTGGAAACTACGACTTCATGGTCAAGGATCCCAATGGCAACGATATCATGCGAATCACTAATGAAGGCCATCACTTTACCGCTACCTACACCGATTTTGTTGCTTCCAAGAACTACCAGATTACTGGTAAGTTCTTCATGCAGTCCACTCTCAACAGCCAGTATGTCAAGGGCCCCGGTCCCGTCACCATCACTTCTTCTTCCGGAGGCAAGCAGTTCTCTGATCAGATCGAGGTCAAGGCTGCTGTCGACGCCGGTGGAGCTTACAAGTACGCCCAGCGAGTCGGTAACCGAATCGAATGGACCATCCAGGTTCCTGCTTCTCCCTACGACCGAATGAAGATTGTTGATCAGCTTGCTGATGCCGGCTCTACCTACACCACCCCCGATGCTCTTCTCGAGGATATGACTCTTCACTTCTACCACGGTCTGACCCCCACTTGGGACTACACCTCCTACGAGAAGATCACCGATGTGTCCCAGTACGTTCAGCTCCAGGACTTCCAGACCGACGGGTTCACCATGTTCCTTAGCAACATCCCCGAGGATGATGTCACCGTCCAGATCACCTTCTACTCCGAGATCACCTCCAAGCAGGAGCAGTACTCCAACAACATGGACTGGCTCATGTGGGAGCGAGGCTACGGCTATCTTCCCGAGCCCTCTGGAGAGCACAACGATGGTTCTTCCGGCGAGGGTAACGCCAACGTCAACAACGGCATTTTCCGAGCTGGCCATGCTTACGGTGGTGCTCCTTACGATGCTCCTACCGGCGGCAACGATCTGAACGCTGGTGGTGAGGGTGACGGTGAGGGACGAACCAAGACCTCTTCTGTTGAGCCCACCACTTCTGCTGAGCCTACTTCTGCTGAGCCCACCTCCGAGACCCGAACCCCCGTGTCCGAGTACATCTCCAAGTCCAAGGCACCTGGTGAGTATCACAACAACTACTACTAACAAACCCACCAACACATACTAACAATAGGCAACCCTGGCGACGGATTTGTTGGATCCCGACCCACCCCTTCTACCTATGGTCCTGGAGGCCCTCCTCCTGCTTCTGCTGGTCCTGAGCTTTCCACTGACAAGACTTCTTCGGTTGAGCCTACTTCTTCTGCTGATCCTACTACCTCCGAGGAGCCCACTTCCTCAGTTGAGCCTACTACCTCTGAGGAGCCCTCTTCCGTTGAGACCTCTTCTGCTGAGCCTAATTCTTCTGCTGATCCTACTACCTCCGAGGAGCCCTCTTCTTCAGTTGAGCCTACTACCTCCGAGGAGCCCTCTTCCGTTGAGACCTCTTCTGCTGAGCCTACTACCTCTGCTGATCCTACTTCTTCTGCTGATCCTACTTCTTCTGCTGATCCTACTACCTCCGAGGAGCCCACTTCTTCAGTTGAGCCTACTACCTCCGAGGAGCCCACTTCTTCAGTTGAGCCTACTACCTCTGAGGAGCCCTCTTCCGTTGAGACCTCTTCTACTGAGCCTATTACCTCTGCTGAACCTGCTACCTCTGAGGAGCCCACCTCTTCAGTCGAGCCCACTTCTTCTGTTCCTGAGTCTACCTCCGAGGAGTCTTCTTCCGTTGAGCCCACTCCCGAGCCTACTTCTTCCGTCGAGCCCACTTCTGAGGTTTCTTCTGCTCCCGAGTCTACCGAGATCTCTTCCACTGCTCCCAAATCTACTATTGAGGCCCCTGTTGTTGCCAACACCACCGTCTCTTCCACTCTCGAGCCCACCTCCTCCATGGCTGAGTCTACTGTTGAGTCCACTGTCGAGTCCACTGTTGAATCTACTACTGAGGTCTCCCCCACTCCCGAGCCCACTTCTTCCGCTCCCGAGTCCACCTCCGAGTCTCCCTCTTCCGTTGAGTCTTCTTCCGTGTTCTCCAACACTACTACCGTTTCTTCCGCCGCTGTCTCCTCCGCCGCTGTTTCCTCCACTCCTTCCGTGTCTCTCGTCTCTTCTACCCCTGTTTCCATTGACACCTGCATCGAGACCGAGACTGTCACCGTGAATGGCACTGTCTCGACTGAGACCAAGGATGTGTGCGCTACCTCTTCTACCCCTGCTCCCGTGTCTACCAACACCTGCATTGAGGTTGAGACCACCACCGTTTCTGGAACCGCCTCTACCGTTACCAAGGACGTTTGTGCTTCTACCACTCCATCTGCCGACCCCTGCACTGAGGTTGTTACTGTTTTGTCCAACGGTACCACCACTGTGGTTACCAAGGACGTCTGTGCCTCCACCACCGTTTCGGCTGATCCCTGCACTTCAACCGAGGTTGTGTCTGTCTCCGGTGTTGTCTCCACCATCACCAAGGATATCTGCGCTTCTACTACTTCTTCGGATGCCTGCATTGAGGTCGAGACTGCCACTGTCGACGGCTCTGTCACCACGGTTTCCAAGAACGTGTGTGACCCTGTCGTGACTTCTGACGCCTGTGTTGTCACCGAGACTATCTCTTCCAACGGCTCCATCTCCACCGTTACCAAGGACATCTGCGCTTCTGCCACCCCTGTACCCACTGTCACTGACTCTTGCACCCAGGTCGATACCGTGACTGTGTCTGGAACCGAGTCTGTTGTCACCAAGGACTTGTGCTCTTCTGCTCCTGTTTCCACCGACTCGTGTTTTGTCACCAAGGTTGTATCTAAGGACGGAGCTGTTTCCACTGTGACCAAGGATACCTGCGCCCCCGCTTCCACTGACTTTTGCACTGTGGTTGAGACTGCCACTGTTTCCGGAACTGAAACTGTTGTGACCAAGGACGTGTGTGCTTCTGCAACTATCACCGCCACTCCTTCTTCTGACGCTTGCATTGAGGTTTCCACCACCACCATCTCCGGTGTTGCCTCTACAGTCACCAAGGATGTGTGTGCTCCTCTCTCCACCGACTCCTGCATTGTTCGAGATACTGTCACCGCCTCCGGACTCGAGACTGTGGTTGCCAAGAACACCTGTGTCGGAACCATCACCAAGACCGTCACCCACTGCGATGGTGGTTGCACTGAGCTCCCCGTCACTTTGACTGAGGCCCCCGTCTCCTCCACCGCCGTTGTCACCACGGTCGTTGAGGGCAAGACCGTCACTGTCACTGTTTGCGACGAGGATTTCAAGACCAATGAGTCTGTCACCGTCTCTGGCTCTGCTGCTGAGATTACCTCCACCGTGGTTGTACCCATGACCATCACCAAGACTATCACCAACTGCGACAACGGCTGCTCCGAGATCCCCGTCACTATTGTCGAGACCCCCGTTGCCTCCACCGAGGTGATCACCACCGTGATTGAAAACAAGACTCTCACTGTGACTGTCTGCAACGAGGACTTCACCACTGAGGCCGTTGAGACTCCTACTCAGACTCCAGCCCAGTCTACCCCTGTTGTCACTGTCGTCTCTTCTTCTCCCGCCGAGTCTCCCGCTGTCTCCAAGATTGTCAAGACCGTCACTGTCTGCAACGGCGCTGGCTGCTCCGAGGCCCAGTCTACTGAGACCGTTACTCTGCAGACCGTCCAGACTCAATCCACAGAGATTGTCTCTGCCCAGCCCACTCAGTCTGTGGCCATCGAGTCCAAGGTTGAGTCTCGAGCCTCGACTACTAGCATCACCGTTGTCGAGACTTCCCCCGAGACTTCCACACCTGCTCAGCCCAAGGAGTCTACTCCTGCTCAGCCCAAGGAGTCTACCCCCGCTCAGGAGTCTACCCCCGCTCAGTCCTCTACTGAGGTTCCCACACAGGCTCCTCAGCAGTCTTCTCCTGCTCCTCAGTGGCCCGATGCCCCTAACCCCGAGCAGGCCAACTCTGCTTCCACCAAGGTGATTGGAGCTCTTGCTCTCCTCCCCCTCTTTGCATTCCTCATTTAAAATTCTAACGCCCGATTATAGACTAGACTATTAATTTGATTTATTTGATTAATTGATATTTCTTTGATATTGTATTCATTACTTGCACTTGTACTTGTATCGTATGTGAACGTCTTGTCGACTCTTATGTCCCTGGCAAGTTTCTCAACTTAGTCCAAACTTGAAGCCACACATTCAAACTGTTGGCGTGAAAACGCCTCAATATTGAGCCAATCAGACTTGTATTACCGACTGCTTACTACACCTTCCATCATGCAAATGCAGGGCCTTGTGGGTCCCTTGAGATGCCTTGCATGTCCTGTATAGGCAGCGAGTTCTTCTGGAAGAATGGTAGGGTAATGCATGAGTTAATGGAATCCGAACCTGTTGAATCGGCTGTCGATCCGGTCTGGGGCATCAGAAGTAGTATCTACTTTCTCAGCTTTCATCTCGGTCAATGTCGAGTATGTTGGTGCAAACCCAGTTGAGGGATTCATAGGACGACTTCACATGACTGACTCCAAATGACTAATTCATCACATTATAGACTTACCAAGACTTGGAATTAGCAGCTAAATGGGACCTGAGTGCCAATTCTTCAGTCCCGGCTCCTTCCTTCAACCCAATATGTAACAGCAATCAAGCGGCTAGACGTACCTCCAGTACATACTCTTCACTGCTCGTATACAATGCAAGGAACTTGGATATTGACAAATAATGCAGGTAGGAAGCAGCCACGGTCTCGACTTCGAAACAAATCCCGTGCTTCAACTGTTGTTGCACCGCAGACGTGCATTGCATCCATTCCTTTTTTTTTTGAATCTGATATCTCTGCGTTATATGAATGTATGCGAGAGGCAAAAGCTGCGTTTAGTGACCCTTTGTAATGCAGGCGACAGACAAGGATTCAGAGAACCTGCAGGTCTTTTGCAACTGTGGTAAATACCATTCCTGTGCTTCCTGGACGTGCAACCAGGCACGCACAGCATTACAGACGACTTTGCATTCTGCGGTGCGGTTGCGGTTTCGACTGGAAACGCCCCAGCAGGTTTTTTGTGCAGCTTTTTGCTGTGCATTTGTTCTCTTGCCCAATCGCAAGTAATTCCGCCGTGATCGGGCTTTTGCACAGCCCTCTCGGATCAACAGTTCCGCGAAAGGCACAAATTCCTGCAATAATGGTTCATGTTGGAGTTCAGGAGTGAAGAAAAGTTATTTCAGGGATCGTATTAGCACAATTGAGCTCTATGCAGTTGAAAATGAACAAATTCAGCTTTTCTATAGTATTTCCTAAGGCCAGATAAATATTTCCAAGTAGACCCTTCACCCCTTTCGGATATGGACCCTAACCCTCCCTCTCATCGTAGGTTGGACATTGAGGAATGTTTACCCCAATAACGCGCCGATGGTTTAGTGGTAAAATCCATCGTTGCCATCGATGGGCCCCCGGTTCGATTCCGGGTCGGCGCAGCATTGGTTACGGCCATATCCTGGTGAAAATACGGCTTCCCGTCCGATCAGCCATAGTCAAGCACCAGAGAGCCTAGTTAGTATTGTAGTGGGAGACCATACGAGAATCCTAGGTGCTGTAATCTTTTTCCACGGCACGCAAGCGTGGGAGTGTATTGTGTTTTAGTTGGCGTAGATGTCATGAGTGTCACTCGGTTTTATTTTCTGTTGTTTTGGCCATAAAATTCCATCACTAAGTGACAATATTGATTGACAGCTTTCACCATGGTGCTCAACTCAGAGAAACGGTCAATACCGCACTCAGAAGCTCACCTCTCGTGCTTGAATGGGTGACATCTCATGATATAGACCAGTATCGAGAACAAACCCACGCTAGTTACTCTAGTCGAAAAAACTACTGTACTTGTACTTGCACTGTTATGGCTGGTGTCTCTACTAAACGAAACGCTGACGCCATACAGATCGTAGGGGTCTTTTGAAGTCAGAGGTCCTGCTTGGACTCACTCCGGGGGACGGGTAAAACGTGTACATGTTGATACTGGTTAGTTGAAGAAAAAGCTCTGTGGTTGAACTGATGGTACAGTCATGGATAGGATCTAAAGTTCATAGTAATAAGAACTACAGGTTAGTACAATACTTGTATTCATATTCGTATTGTAGTTGAGAAACCATGGTTAATAACCTCTGTTGAAAGTACTTTTCCTCATCACTAATTAGTTTACCTCTACTTGACCCTATCCTGCAACCAGTGTGTACTGCTCATCTCCCCAAAAGAGATAATGCTGTGATTGAAACAATACTAAATACTGAATTGACCCATACAATTCGCCCTCAGGCACCAACCATGTTGAAACGTGGAATTTTTCGCCCTTTTATGGTTTTTTTAATCTTTTGATTAGCCTGCTTTCCTATGTTTTCTCCCTTATAACGGCCCACCACCAAAAAACGCCATCTTCCAGAGGACGTGGCGTAATGGTAGCGCATTGGATTTCGGTTCTTTAGAACGACGTCCTCCAAAGGCTGCGGGTTCGAGTCCTGTCGTCCTCTCTCTTTTTGCCCCAGGCTGGTAAACCAGTGAGGTATTTCTCTTTGCTTACAAAGCATTTTCTGGTTGGACTCATGGTAGTACCCATGGAGTAGTATTATGACTGACAAGTTTCTGGGTGGCAATTGTTTTTCTGTCGAGATTGTATCGAGTCGCTCGAGTTTCCTGAAGCGATTTAAACTGTCCTACTGTCTCCATCTCCCTCTCTTCTCCCTTGTGTTCTTTTCTCTCCTCCTTTTTTCCTTCCCCATACAATTTTTTTTTTCAACCTTGCATTATCTCGAACCCAATCGGGGAGGGGGTGAAAGAGAGCTCAGAGTGACGTCACAGTCCTTGAATGGAGAGAGTATAACGTCCACAACCACAGCTTCGGTCCGAATTGGTGACTCTTGCCGGCATTATCCCCTCCTTCACAACACCCTGTCTCACTTCCTGGCCTCCACTACCTTCCCAAAAAAGCATCTGCAGGTGGTTAGTTAGTTGGGCTGCTAGTCTGGCGAAAGCAACATGTCTACATTATACCTCAGAGGTGAGACAGTGATGTAATGCAACAGTCGTATGTCGTGCACGTGTTGATGGTGGCAAATGATGGTGACCACTGCTTAGAACCCGTCCAAGTGTCAACCAAACTACTTCATTAGTGTACATACTGGTAGTCACAGAGCATTGGATGATTGTGTATGTGAATTCTGGTTACACCTGACGACTTCATTGCCACTCCAAACGGATTATATTTGGACTGGACATAGGTATAGTGGTAGCTTACAGTGACCTAATGCGGTAAAAGATATCGCACTGTTGCCACTGACGCTACTCTACAAACTTGGCCGTTTTGTACTTGCCATGATCTTCAATGCTTCCGTAGCAGTTAAACAAACGGATCTTTTCGCGTCTAGACTTCTCATGACCTCGCAAGACGCACAACTCACTATTGGTTTCCAACTCTCATTTGGTACTCAGGGCTTCCAGCAGCTCTCCAAATGTCTCTCAATGCTTTTCTACGTCTACGATAATTCCTGAATTACTGATCTATGCTGACTCCAATCGTCTCTGATGGTTGCTTGTACCAATTTTGCTCGTGTACTCCTATGACTAGTTCGACATCGACATGGCGTTTCTATATCAACTACACAGGGTATCCAAGACAGTCCTTCTTGAAGAGATGGAAAGGCACGGTTCTGTGGGTTCCGTGTTCGGCAGAAATGGCGTCGATCTTGGCGAGATCTTGGGCAGAAATTTCCACTTTGACAGCATTGGAAACTACTCGCAGACTGTTGGCCGTCTTGGGGATCACAGATCGGCCCTGGCAAATGTGCCAGTTGATGAGAATGGAGGCAGTGGAGGTGTTGTATTTCTCAGCGAGCTCGACAATGGTGGGGTTCTCGTGCAGATTGATGACTCCCTGACCAGATCCCAAGGGAGAATAGGCCGTGATCTGGATGCCCTGCTTGAGGTTGGCTTCAATCTGGTCCTTCTGGGGCAGCAGAGGGTGGTTTTCAAACTGGTTGACAGCCGGAATGACAGAAGCGTGTTCCAGAAGCCGCTCCAGGTAGACGGACGAGACGTTGGACACGCCAATGGACTTGACTCGGCCAGTCTTCTGCTCGGTCTCCAGCTGCTTGTAGAAGGAGATCCAATCATCGCCCTCGGTGATGTCGATTTCGCCATCTTCTCGCTTGGGCAGGAAGGAGTAGTCGTCGTTGGGGTCGCCATTGAGAGCAACGGGCCAGTGGACCAGAAGAAGGTCGATGTAGTCGGTCTTGAGGAGAGCAAGAGACTTGTCGACACTCTGGGGAACTCGGTCGTGGTAGGTGGGCCACACCTTGGTGGTGATCCAGAGATCGGACCGGGCGACGATACCATCGGAAATGGCCCGCTCAACCGCATTGCCAACGGCCTCTTCGGTTCGGTAGATGAAGGCAGTGTCAATGTGTCTGTAGCCAGCCTTGATGGCGTCGTACACAACCTGCTCGCAGGCATCATTTTGGAAGGTGCCGAGACCCAGAGCAGGCATGGCCCGGCCGTCGTTGAGGGTGATTGTGGAGGTAGTGAGCGACATGGAAACGGGTTTGAACCTGAAGGGGAGATGAAGACGATAGCTCGTCTAGCACCGGCACCGGAAGCTATATAGCCACTGGCGAGCGGATGCAGTACCATTCCGACACATGGCCGGCTAGTTTAGTGCCCAACATGTGGTGGATGTGAATCAGGGAGAAGATAGAGAGACGGTAACAGTGCACAAGCACTTGGTAATACCATTGAGACATGGCACAAGATTGTAGTTGTATGATACCGAATCCATGCAAGAATCAATGGCTGCGTTGAAACTTCATCAATCGCAACACCCAAACACCCACTTGTCTGTGAGCCAACCATAGCTACTACAGCGTGGCATTGTTTTAGTGTCGGTCTAGCGTCGCTCCAAACGACCGGGGCGCTAACGGAGTCGAGGAGACTCGCGTATGATTCGTTGGCCGGGAATTATTGGAGCGGAGACCGTGGAGGTGACTGTGGAGGCGACTGTCGGGGCGACTGTCGGGGCGACTGTCGGGGCGACTGTCGGGGCGACTGTGGAGGTGACTGTGGAGGTGACTGTGGAGAAGAGAGTCATCGGATACCATGGAGGATGGTGTGATCTGATTGTGGTTTCCTTGACGAGAGCAGTAATGTATTCCCCCATCATCCTACCATCTTGACGAGACTATCGAAAGATCTCACCAAGCCATCTCACCCATAGGCCGACTGAGTGACAGAGCCCTCTCATGTTTGGAGAGAAGACTAAGTACAACACTTGGCTAAAGTCATACGCCTCGTAAAATACTAGATCAGTGTCAACTAAACGAGTACTAGATAAACTAACTAAGAGTCAATAACACTTCACTTACGGACACACATGATACTCTACAATCTCACTACACTCACAAATTTCTAACTCAGAAGTTTTTGACTACTAATTTTTAACAAACTGGGGTTGCACTAGGTACAAGCAGCTTATTTCTTGGCAGCCTTCTGGGCAGCCTTGGTGACCTTTCCACCAGCCTTGTCGGACTTCTCGACGGACTTGATGACACCGACAGCAACGGTCTGTCGCATGTCTCGGACGGCGAATCGACCAAGAGGGGGGTACTCAGTGAAGGCCTCAACACACATGGGCTTGGAGGGGACCATCTTGACAATGGCGGCATCACCAGACTTGATGAACTTGGGGGAGTCCTCCATCTTCTTACCGGTTCGTCGGTCGATCTTCTCGATCAGGGTGTCGAACTTGCAGGCAATGTGGGCAGTGTGGCAATCAAGAACGGGAGCGTAACCAGCACCGATCTGACCGGGGTGGTTAAGAACAATGACCTGAGCGTTGAAAGAGTCGCAGCCCTTAGGGGGGTCGTTCTTGGAGTCACCGGCAACGTTACCTCGTCGGATATCCTTGACGGAAACGTTCTTGACGTTGAAGCCAACGTTGTCACCGGGGAAACCTCCGTCGGGGAGGATCTCGTGGTGCATCTCGACAGACTTGACCTCAGTGGTCACGTTGGCGGGAGCGAAGGTAACAACCATACCGGCCTTGATAACACCGGTCTCGACTCGGCCAACGGGCACTGTGCCGATACCACCGATCTTGTAGACATCCTGGAGAGGAAGTCGGAGGGGCTTGTCGGAGGGTCGCACGGGGGGCTCAATGGCGTCAATGGCCTCAAGGAGGGTCTTACCCTTGACCTCACCGGCCTTGGTCTCCTTGGTCCAGCCCTTGTACCAGTCACAGTTGGTGGAGGCCTCAATCATGTTGTCACCGTTCCATCCGGAAATAGGGACAAAGGGGACAGACTTAGGGTTGTAACCAACCTTCTTGACGAAGTTGGCGGTCTCCTTGCAGATCTCGTTGTATCGATCCTGAGACCACTTGACGGAGTCCATCTTGTTGATGGCAACAATCAGCTGCTTGACACCGAGGGTGAAAGCGAGCAGAGCGTGCTCTCGGGTCTGACCGTCCTTGGAGATACCAGCCTCGAACTCACCAACACCACCAGCAATGATGAGGATGGCACAGTCGGCCTGGGAGGTACCGGTGATCATGTTCTTGATGAAATCTCGGTGACCGGGAGCATCAATAACGGTGACGTAGTACTTAGGGGTCTGGAACTTCCAGAGAGCAATATCAATGGTGATACCTCGCTCTCGCTCAGCCTTAAGCTTGTCAAGAACCCAAGCGTACTTGAAAGAACCCTTTCCAAGCTCGTCGGCCTCCTTCTCGAACTTCTCGATGGTTCGCTTATCGATACCACCGCACTTGTAGATAAGGTGACCAGTGGTGGTGGACTTACCGGCATCGACGTGACCGATGACAACGAGGTTAACGTGAGTCTTTTCCTTTCCCTGCGGTTAGTACTGCAAAAAGTGCTGGTCGGATGACGTGGCGTCTTGTGTCGATGGGAATGGGACCACACCCGGCCGTGTGCTCAAAGCCCGTGGCAATTGCTGCTGCCTCTGAAACTCACCATTTTGAATGATTCTTATACTCAGAAGGAAATGCTTAACGATTTCGGGTGTGAGTTGACAAGGAGAGAGAGAAAAGAAGAGGAAAGGTAATTCGGGGACGGTGGTCTTTTATACCCTTGGCTAAAGTCCCAACCACAAAGCAAAAAAATTTTCAGTAGTCTATTTTGCGTCCGGCATGGGTTACCCGGATGGCCAGACAAAGAAACTAGTACAAAGTCTGAACAAGCGTAGATTCCAGACTGCAGTACCCTACGCCCTTAACGGCAAGTGTGGGAACCGGGGGAGGTTTGATATGTGGGGAGAAGGGGGCTCTCGCCGGGGTTGGGCCCGCTACTGGGTCAATTTGGGGTCAATTGGGGCAATTGGGGCTGTTTTTTGGGACACAAATGCGCCGCCAACCCGGTCTCTGGTCGACTTCCAGACGCCCTCACCAGCCCCTCCTTTGCAGCCTCTTTGCCAAAGTTTATTTTGAAAATTCGCACGGTTTTAATTTGGCAAGTTGGGACATATGATCTGGTGGAAAAGGGTGGAAGTGACGGGGTTCTGTGGGAGGTAGACGGTTGTGGGTGGCGGATTGCGACCGGCTATCGGTCTGGCTGGGGTGCAATTGTGAAAATACCGTTTATATCCGCCGACAGCCGTTGTAAGATCGCCCCTCGCTCCACTCTACGGCTCACCATACGGGCTCCATCTCTGCCTCTTTGCTGCACACACGAGAGAAGGAGGAGGTGGATCGAGCGACTACGGGCAGGGTAACCTGCAATGAGAGTGACGTGGTATTACGGTGTAGTGTGGGAGCGAAACGCAAAGCCAAGCCGGCCAGCAGACTGGGTAGCAGAAACGTGGAGTTGGATCGGTCGTAGTGATTGGTGTCTGGGGGGTGTTACGGTGGCACGGTACGGGTGCGATACGAGCAACAATCCCCAATTGCAGTCGTATTGTTTTGCAATATAGATGGTTACTGTGGGGAATGTTTTTACAAGACTACTTGTAGAGACTTTTTACAGATTTTTGCACAGATTTTTTTTATCACAGATTTTGTTTTTTGGCACAGATTTTCCCACCGCTGCACTGTAAATGTGCCTGTCGTCAAAGGTAAACTTTTTCCTGCGATAAGAGCAAAAGTCAGTAGTCAAGAGGAAGGTTGGATGGACGGGCCCTGTCGAGAGGTGAAGAGCGGGCTTTATGTGGATTTTATGGTACCAAAATTCTCGTCCTGTTGAGGCGAGTCAGAAGATGTGTTTTTTTTGGCCGATCGGACCGCTACTTGTCCAGTTGGGTCCGCTCTTGCTCTCTGGCTGGGCTGATCTAAACGACCTAAATTTGGCTCATTTGACCACCGCACACCAACCAACTCACGATAGAATCTAAAAGTGGACACCAGAGACGCTGCAAGCAGGAAAAGAGGCGAAGAGAGGCGAATCGGCTTTCAGACATTGGGGTTGATCCGATTGCTTTCGTTGTGTTGGCGTGACCATCGTGCTACAAAGTATGGTGATGTAACTATAGATACCGTACATCCGTACGATGCAGTACGGACAACCGTTATGAGTGCAACGTAACACCCCCGCCAGTCTCTCACGGGTTGCTACTTGTCTCATCTGACCCCAAAAAGCCATGTGACCCCAAAAGCCATCCGACTGTTTTTCTGTTCATCTCATCTCACAACCCGTATCCGCTTAGCCGTTGTTGATATTTTTTCACCATGCCGGAGATGCTGCACCAATACATACAGGACGATAGGCTCTGTTTCTGTCATAATTGCCTGAGTGATGCGCAACTGAAGAGCTGTAGGGACGTGTGATCATGTGGCTGTGTGATCACGTGATCGGGTGATCGTATGACCCAGTGATCATGTGACCGTGACCACTGACCTTGATATTGGGCTATTAATGGTGGTTTCGTCGAGCTTGATGGAGCTTCGTGGTCCATCTGAATTGGTGCCTGAAACACAGTGGACTCCCGACAAAGGTGGACTCTCGTAAAACCACTCTGTAGCTCTCGTCATCCATGTCGTAACGACTCCATCGATGACCTTCCATTCGCTTCTGCTCAACCACCGCTTGTACAATTGTTGACCTCATGGGTACCTCCACTATTGAACCTACTTTACTTATCGCCTACTTGGGCTTGCAGCAATGCCTACGGAAAGGTCTATGCAGAAAAAAAAAGGTCTATTTTGGGCAGTGGTCGCAACTATCGGCTGTCCGGGGTCGTCTGCCGTCGTCCGGGGGTCTGTTTGGTACCTTCGGAAATCCTTTTTGGTGACTCATTTGCCGCATCTCCGCCGCCCATAATTCTGGACCAACGCTGGGGTCTTAGATCAGACTTTGGACAAGTTTCAGTCTTTCGTGGGTAACTAGTTCGGCGGATTTTGGTCGTACAAGCACGCCGTTGGCACCGTGAGAATGCCCTCGCTCGTGCGAACACGCTGGTGTCGTCCGTTTTCCTCTGTCTTGTCTCCTTCTCATTCTACGCCGAGTTCCACCTAACCCCGCCTCCCGAGAGATCGAACCTTCTATCCGCCCCACCCAACCCAGAAAACAGGCTGTGGGTGAGTCGACATTGCGTCTTTTGCCTCCATCTCAGCCCCATCCTCTGACTCACCGTCGTATTTCCAGCACCAGGGGCTAGGGTAGATGGTGGACCTTTCGGGTTAGGGCAACAATTGAGTTGGATGCAAGGTTTAGTTTGCACGTGGCAAATTAGATTATGAAAAAAAATAAAATGGTTGCGGCGATATGCATCATATTGTAACGGCAAAGTGGGCCTCGTATAGAGGCACGGAGAAGGTTCATGTTGTTGAATCATGGACGAAACGTGGTAAATATCAATTCAGGAGATGGAGCAGTTACACACTAGCAGACCCCGCAACAAGAAAAGTGTCTCACATTGTAGATGCTGCACCGATGAGTTGTCTACTAGTGCTGTCTGATTCGTCCTCAGCAAGTGCCTTGTCCTGGAGTCCATCTCTCTCGGGTTCAACCCCGCCGGTTCGATTCCCACAAAACACATAGTCCATTTGCCGACGACAGAGACATAACACCATGTTCGAATCGTGAGGTTCATCGTTCGCGTCTTGACAGAGTGTGTCCAACCAATGTATAGGTCAATCACAGATGTCTAGACCAATCCCAGATGTCTAGACCAATCCCCGACGTCTAGATCAATCCCCGATGTCTAGATCAGTCTACAGTAGGTCAGCCTACATCAGCCTAGTCCGTGACGAGTACAAGTGCTGCAAGTACAGTAGGTGCAGTACCTCCGAGGATTATCTCAAGGGATAGTCAGGTACCGAAGTCGCTATCGGCTTTCCATTGACAACGCCCTGGTTCTTCTCGTGCTGTCACACACCAAACACTGGATACAGAACACCTATATTGACATTTTGGTTAATCCTTCGATACTGAAATTGCCACTCAATGGACTCGTCTTTGCTGCGTTTCCTCGTTCTCAGTAATATCTGCAACTGTCTCATAGCTACGATGGAGCTGGGTGGTTCTCCAGATGCTACATGTCCACCATTCATGACAAAGCTCGAGACTACATCCTAATGATGTCAATATCAGAGGTACAGTACTTGCAGCAGAGAATGGCAAAGTCTCCACAATCACGAACCTGCTGGTGGAGTGGGGTACGGAGGTACAAGTACTTGCACTGTCTCTATCCTTCAATCGAACTAATGTGGAGGTTGCAATCAGGAAAACGTGGAGGTTCAGTGACGTTGATGGAGGTAGTGACCATACAGCAATGTGACATTGCTGTAGACTTCTGGTTCTCACCCTACCAGTGACAGAGACGCACACAGGCAATGAAGCCCAGCTACCAAGTGAGAGCATTGACGAACCCAGACTGAAAGCTACGAGGTCCCGCCACGGCACAGCACAGTATCGCATCAAAGATTCCACTCGCTGCTGACATGGCGGACAGGCACCCAGTCACCAATCAGTCAGCGCTGAGACCGAGAGTCTCCGTCTCCAACCTAGCAAGATCGACGAGTTGGAAAAGTGTCTTCAAACAGAGAGCCGATTGCAATACCTCAACTATCTGGTACCTTTAACAGGCACAGATCAACCCCAATGCCATGCCGAATACAATCTATCTCTCAACTCATGGTTTCGTCTTTCATCACATTTAATCACATCTCTGATTAAGTCCTTTTCTACATACAGCACATACCGTTCAGCACAAACCGTTCAGTACATACATGTACTCGCAGTCGTACCCAACTCGTACTCGTCCTTGGGTCTTTCCCTAACCACGCCAAAATGGTCAATATTAGCCCAAATGGCTCGAGAAAACAACCAAACTGCTCAGAATATCGCTCAAAACCCCCCCAACTAAAATCTCCCCAGACTGCACCTCCAGAGCCTCCCCCGACCCCCCTCCAGCTCCCCCCGCCAACCTCCCAGAAATCAAACTTAATTTTCTCCAACATGTCAAACGTCGACCAACAACGACCGATACAACGACACCCACAAAGACGAAATCGAGTGCACCGCCTAGGAGGACATAGACCACGTGACCGACCGCAAACTGAATAGCTCACGTGACTCCAACAGCCGATCACAGCCCAGCCCAGCCGAACGCCGAATAACCCAGACGCCAACCGCAGCTCACGGCGCACAAGAGCCGACTTTCGGACGCCAAGCCTTAAGCGAAATTAACACTTGTACGGCGAATCGTCGACAGCGGAAAGACCGTGACAAACCCCGTCAAGCAGATCGGATCGGAAGTGGCACAAACGGATCAGCGACACAAACGAATCAGTGACACTGAATAGCGTTCAAGCGTTCGTTACACAGACACCCAGCCCCAATTGCGACCCAGTTGCTTTGGACGATACATTTTGACATCAGTGCAGCTCAAGCTACAGTTCTGAGACCAACAACGACAATCTCAGTTTCAGTTCTGCAATCTCAGTTTCATCTCACAATCTCATCTGACATTCTACGTCTTGATTGACTCATTTTGAAGTGGTAGGTCCCAGATCAAGCTAACGAACGTACTACGCGAATCCAGCCAGAGTTCATTCTCACCACAGACCAAGGCTCAATCAACAGTCCAGGTGCTGTTCAACAGCTAGAAAGTCAGAAGCCCAACCGACAGCTGTTCTTCGCGTCTCGTCTAATCTACAACTACGCCATCAATTAATCGACAGCTGGACACTCAGCCAACGACTTTGCAATGATCTGCACCACAACTTCCCCCAAAACCGGCAACTTTTTCGACCTGTCGCCGCTGCTGCACCATGATTGGTCTGTTCCCGGCCTAGACTACGGCTTCAACTTCAGCATAAGTTTCTGTGGCCCTCTGACGTCTTCAGACACACAATACACCGATCTCGAAACCGACCACGAGGCCCAAAACTCGGCCAGCGCTAGCTACACAGACTCAGTGACTGGCCAGACGTACTCACTCGGCAAATCTGACACACATCCGTTTTTCCGCGGCCGAGAACTCGTTCTGGAGTACCACGGAGGCAGTTTCTGCAGAGACCCAGCGGGGAAAATGACCGAGCTGCGCAAAAGCGCCTTGGTCAGCTTCAAATGCGACCACGAAATGACCCACCACGTCATGTCTCCAACGCTGGTGGGCCAATTATCCGACTGTGCGTATTTCTTTGAGGTCAAGACCCCCCATGCGTGCGCAGTGTCTAACCAGGAACAGAGCATGCAACCCGTGACGATTTTCGTCTTCATTGTTGTTGTGGCAACCATTGTGGGACTCGTTAGTAGCCAGCTGGGCAAGGGAGGAAAGTTGCAGTTTGATGGAGGGCGACTTGGAGAGAGAGTTAAGAGAGTGGTTCTCTTGTTGTGGGTGGTGGTCCTCAGAATCGTCATGGCTCCCTTTAGAGTCGTCAAGAGTCGCAGACTGCCGTTGTAGAGTAGATGTATAGGATGGAATAGAATATGCTAACATTTGAAGGACCAATCGGAGTGTTGCTGAGAATGTACTCGTAGATACTATGACATGTGCATGTTTAGGCAGACAACTTCCAGGTACAAGTGAATGAAGTTGGAAATCGTTAATTTGAGACTGAATGACGAAAGTGGATATCATCTTCCGACCTCTCCGTTAGCCTTATAGGCCTGTCATATGGATGAAGACTTTCAGTCTAGAAACAACTGCGGAACGCCGCTACATTCTCATTATTAAAGCTATTGCGGCCGGGAAATGAACAACGTCACCAGAAGGATAATTTAATCAGCTTATGGTTGTTGTATTACCTCTAGAAGTAGCCCCTAGCGCTCTACTTGACATACTGTCATCCTAACATAGCTAGCACTAGATAGGACACTACTTGTAGCTCCAGCCCCAGTCCTGTTATTGAACATTGTAGTTATCATTTAAATGTAATATTCCAGCTTTACCGTATTACAAGTTGTGTTTTATCACACTAGTGCTAGTACAAGAAGGCACCAGTCCTGGAATTATTCTGGATCAGAGAGTTGCCGATCACAAGCGAAACAATGAAGATAAACAGACAAAAATAGTACTAAAAGAATCCCCTTTTTCAGGAGAAACCGAATATACACTCCTATCTGCAAAATATACCGTACACAACGTTTTATGACTATTGCCTCATGCACTTGTCTAACATCATCAATATCAACATCTACCGTACAGCACCTGTAGTGACGTAATTACATGTAAAGAAACAAATAAAACCAAGATTTTATAGCCGAACCAATCTTCTTTTACTCACCTCCAACTCCTTCAATAAAAAATGCCAATCCACACACCTCCAATACAGTCGACTTCTCACTACGAGTTAGTGCCAGACTCAAGACATCAAAACATCTGTCCATAAATAGATATCGACAAAAGCACTTGGTCATCTGATAATAATCACCTCAATTGACTACCCCATGTCATTTTATCAAACCCGGACCATACAAAATCTTGTACAATTGGTCCATCATATTCCCACCATCATGCACAACCATACAACCACGTGAACCATGCCTGCACACCGCAAATGACCAACTTCCCCCAATTATTACGCTCCAAAAGGCTCAATTGCAATTGACTCAGATCTACCCCAAACTCCCCGTCGGTCATGTGACCATCTTCCCAGAAACCCTGGGTGTTTACATGTCCCAAATCGGGTCCAAGAGACTCCGACTGCGGGGAGAAAGGCGGTCCGGATCAACAAAGCAAGGTTGCTCCGTTTGCTTACGGGATCGGAGGAGACAGATCACGTGATACACACATACATACACACACACACACACACACACACACGATAGATGCACGTCACGTACACGTGTCACGCGTGGGTTTGGGGGGGGCGCGTTTTACGCGATGTCCAGAGTTGCCCAGCAACGCCTAAGTTAGATGGGGGTTAGTCATGCTCGATGAGGAGAGGTCACGTGAGGCTGAGATTTTGACAGAAGGTTGCTATGGTAATGCTGAGTCATTCAAGCTAGTTTCAGCAACTGTATCGGGTCTCTATCGTCGTAGAGACGTTGTTGCATTCTTCAAAGGGCGTTTTTTTAGTGTGGGACTGTTTAGGTTACATTGGTTATTTTGAGGTGGAGGTGAAAAGGGGATTATTCGATGACTAAGCAACATATAAATGTGGAAAAATGCGAGAGATACGAATCTCGATTTTACCTAATTTTTCGATATTTCCGCAATTTTCGGCAATTTTGTGCCGCTCTTTTGAGCTGCCCACTTGTTCCACAGCGTTACTATGGCAACGGCCCTCACATGACGGAGAGCTTTAAGGTTGACCGATTATGGAAAATCAAAACAATAGTAGAGGTTGCACTCTCCGTCTATACCACAACTCTCTCATAACCGACCAGTTACCCAAACCGCGGCTCTTACACAAAGACACTTGCACAGAAGCGATACCGAAGCAGGTTGCCATTCACAGAGATTTGTTTCGGCTCTTTTGCAGGTTTTTTTCAGGTTTTTTGCAGGTTTTTTGCAGGTTTTTTGCAGGCTTTTTTGCAGGCTTTTTTCGACATCTTTTGACTCCCCCATTGAGTGTCACTAGCCGTCTATTTCACCATAGGGTAGAGGATTGTTACAGACGAAAGCGAGCAGCGACATTCGATATATACGGCAGTGCGATTACCGTCTTTATAACACTTTCTTAGGGACATTTGCATCCAGCAGTGCAAGTAGCAGTATCACCGACACACACTACAAGTACCACATCCACTGAGATCAACACAGACATCTCATCACACAATGGCCCTCATGCAACCACTGGCTAACGAGTTTGAAATGAAGGAGCCAGTCCTCAAGAAGCGTCGCATTGGAGCGACCCAGATGGAACCGCAACTGACGATTGTGGAGGAAAACAACCACTCCGGAGCACCATCGTCACAGACCCAGAATGGAGGCGCCGTAGCCTCATACCCCGACCATGTGACCAACCAGGTGATCTCGTCGCTCACCTGCCCCCCAAACCTGCAGGTGGCCCATGACTACGCCAACCACAAGACCCCGTCGTTCGAGGTGCAGGCGTACGCCAAGTTGGCTGGCCAGAACTGGACGTATTTTGTGCAGAAGCTGCACGTGATCATCGGCCGGTCTTCGGAGCAGCAGGAGGTGGATATTGATCTGGGCCCGGCCAAGGTGGTCTCCCGGAAACACGCCTCCATCGAATACAACTCCGAGGCCCAACAGTGGCAGCTGTGGGTTCGGGGACGAAACGGAGTCAAGGTGGACCGCGTGGTGTACAAGGAGGGACACGTGGCCCTACGCTCGGGCTCCGTCGTTGATATTGGCGGCGTGCAGATGATGTTTGTGCTGCCTGGTCAAAAGGTGGAACTCAGCGGAGTGTGGGTCGAGGAGGCAGAGCAGCAGCAGCAACAGCAGCAGGGCCATGTGGCAGATACGTCTTCCAACCACATGACTTCTTTGCCTCATCCTCAGATGACTCCTACACACCACCAGATTGGTCATATGAACTCGCTCACCGACATCTCTGACATTTCCATGGCGTCGCATATGTCCATGGACGACTTCAACCACAGCTTCACATCACTGGCGGACCGGGTGTCTCCCTCGCGCGGCAAGTCCGTCTTCTCTGTGTATAGTGGGGTTGACCATGGGGGCCACCATAGCCCCCATGTTGCACACGCTCAGCCACAGCAGCCACAACAAGCACCGCACTTACAGACGCAGTTGCCACAGCAACAGCAACAGCAACCGCTACCCCTTCCTTCAGGCAACATGACGTCCTCGTCGTATCCCCGTGGTGTGGCGTTGATCTCGCGGCCGCAGATCCGCAACCACACCAACCACTACACCGACTATGATCTATCTCTGGACGACGCAAAAGACATTAAGCCGCCGTACTCGTATGCGACGATGATCACCAAGGCAATTCTGTCCGGCGAAGAGCACATGATGACATTGGCAGAGATCTACGAGTGGATCAGCAAACACTACTCGTTTTACCGGCACTCGCGCACCGGGTGGCAGAACTCGATCCGGCACAACCTGTCGCTCAACAAGGCGTTTGTAAAGGTGCCGAGACGGAGCGACGAGCCTGGCAAGGGTATGAAGTGGCAAGTGACCCCCGAGCATAAGGAGGAGTTCCTGCGCAAGAGCAAGGGCGGCGAGCTGGTGAAGAAGCGGCCTGCAGGGACTCTTACGCTGCAGAGAACCGGAGGGGCTAGCGGAGGACATGTCGGGGGAGTTACAGGGGGCAGCATGTCAACGTTTGTGGTTGCGCCTCCTCCTCCCGGTGGCGAGCAGATTTGTCTTGGCACCGGTCCGGTCATACCGCAGCAGTCGGCACAGCCTAGCCTTGGAGGACTGGCAGGTGGCTCTGGACGAGAGGGCCGGGGCAGCATCGACGGCGCGACTCCTAATTTGGCTCACCCAAACTCGAGCCAGAGTCAGAATAGTTCTGCCAACAGCCAGGGTGCCAGCAATAGCAACAGCTCCAGTAACCATGGAGGATCTAGCAACAACTCCGAACAGCCTTCTGAGCAGTCGTCTGGTTCCAACAACCCCTTGTCGACTCCTCGCAAGGACCAGTTTGGCGGTGTTGGCTTTGAAGACTTTGCATTCACTCCCAGCCCACGGTACAAGGAGACGTTCACTCCTGATCGTCTGAGCAACATTTCTGCTAGCAGAAGTACCGTGAACATGGGTGTGGCGGCCACCAAGACGGAGTCTGGCACTGGCACGACTCCCTCGGTGGCTGGAGCAACGACTCTGCCCACCACGAGCGCCACTCCTGCTCCTGCGGCTCCCAATCTGTCACTGGCGCCTCCTTCTGCCCAGCAGCAGCTTCCATCGTCATTCATGCCTGCTTCTTCTCCGGCGCCGTTCTGGCGCTTCATGCAGCTCAGCAGCACGCCTGTTCGGGGAGGTGAGGGCTTTAGCCCAGTCAAGTACTCTCCCTCGCGTGAAGGAGGGTCTGGGGCTCGAGGGGGCGATGCAGACGGGCTTGGCGATCTGCAGAACATTGATTTGACCCGGGGGTTCAAGAACTGGCAAGACAGTCCAGCCAAGGTGGCCAAGTAGCCCCGCGTGGGGCTCTGTGCATGTAATTAAGTAACTAACGTGATTTATATTGATACTGATGGCCTCTGACATGGCACTGCAAGTACGTTGTAGACAGTGGGTAGTATTATAGCTCTTTCGAAGGTGTAGCTGTTAGCATTGCTACAGTGTGCCTTTTCCGAGACTGAGTGGTTAGTTCTCCTGAGCCCAGGGAGATGACAGCTGCTGCTTGTCCAGCCAAGACGGTTATCCCGCAATAAATAAATTAATCTCGTTACATGACAATGCAACAAGCGCACCTAGAGTCGGACTGTGCGTCGTCGACTGCTCCTCCTGCCTGGACCGAGTACGAGTTGGTGGGGGTCTTTTTGGTGTCGAGTTGAAACGATTCTGGCCGCACAGACACGTGGATCACGGACGACACGGTCTGGGGTGACGACGACCCTAACCCGACGTTTTCCAGCGTCTGTGTGTCTTCGAGAATCTTGCCGAGGAAAATGAGCCGCAGTCGGCCTGGGTCTGGGCTAGGGGAGTTGGTTTTGAAGTCGGGCCATTTGGTGGCGATGCACTGTTTGAGCTGGGCGACGGTGGCCTCGTCACAGGACTTGACCGAGAGGTTATGGGTTGTTAGAAACGAGTCGTCCAGGGCCCAGTCGACCCGTTCGCCGGAAGACAGGAGGATGGTGATTTTGGGTGTCTCACTGATACTGCTTGAGCATGAGTTCATGGTAGTGGTCTTGTGGCGATAGTGGATTTGATGACGTGGCAATTGTGTCAAAGTCGATGGTGTCGCAACTTTGATGGTGTAGAAATGTCGATGGTGTCAATGGAGCAACAATGTCGATGGAGTAGTAGCAAGTATTCGTGTCCCCAGGTGTCTGTTTGTTTACGGTAGCAGTGCGAGTGATTGAGTATTCTGTAGTCGTCTCGGTTCAGCTGCTTTGTTTGGAAATGTGTTGACTGTCTGGAACTGATTGCGAGCTGGTTTTTGTCGCTTTTTTGGCGCGTTTCAAAAGTGCTGCGATTTTTCGGGCTGGTTGGTCGCTTTGTGGTGATAGTGATGGTGTGGTTACCATGTGATGCTGCATATTATCATGCAATGTGCAGAGCCAAACTTTGGTGCGAAATAATCGCACTATTGACGCAGACCCATGCAGGGGGGGGAGACGTCGGGGGAAAATGGGAAGAGGGGATTGAGATTTGGGGTCACGTGAAGGCCAGATTGCGGTGTTTTTTTTTTCTCGCTAATTTTTGTCTTTTTGTGAGTGAGAGTTTTGTGAGTTTTGTGAGTTTTGTGAGTTTTGTGAGTTTTGTGAGTTTTGTGAGTTTTGTGAGTTTTGTGAGTTTTTTGTGAGTTTTTTGTGTGGAGAAAAAAGAAAGGACAAAAAAAAAAACAGAGTTGCATATTTAATATCAGTATTTGAGGGGAACAGTGATGTACATACGGAGATGGAGAGGGCGGAAGAGTGGAGGAATTGGAGAGGAAAAAGTCGTTCGAGATATGCGACAGATAAACGAGTTTCACAAAATATGTGAGTACAGTGCATACCTACAGTAATACAGTACATAGCGTGCATTCAGTAGGTTCACGTGGGTATCACGGGATTGGGTAGGAGTGCAGTGTGAGACAGTGTGGGGACTGGAAAAAGATGCTGGAGTCAATTATCGATACTTGTAGATGTCACCAATTGCAGGATGAATCGAGAATGACGTCTCAAGAACATACGACGGCCATTGAGGTTGTCCAAGGGAGGTTTGGTGCAGAGAAGAATGTAAGTTCTCATGCTGTCTCTATTGTACAAGTACAAGTACTCGATATTCGGACATTGTTGCAAGTACAGTATGAACAAGTACACTAAAAATGTCTGACTTGATAGTCTGAAACAAATGGTTTGCATCTCTCAACAGAGAAACTGCCATGGAGTATGTCGACAATCGTTTAGACCTTCCGTCCCATTGATCCATGCCGATCAGGAACATCTGAATTGAATTAACAATTGAGTGCAACTATATACCGTACTTTCTACTTGTTATTGAAGATCATTAGTATGATTGCTTACTGTATATATAGTAAATGTATCCATTTATAAGTCTCTTCTAGGGACCTACGTTCCGATGGTAGCACACCAGAATGAGATTCTAGAAGAATGGATACAGCTTGAACATGGTATTATTCTACCGGGTTCTACTTTCAATTCTGCCATAGTATAGATGTAGACAAGTTGGGGGAGAATCAAGTCCTGTTTTCAGTTGTATTTACGCCCTCAATCGCTCTCCAAATTTATTCAACGATTTTGTGACGCCAGCTGACATACAATTTTTGTTGCCAGGTAGCAGATGGAAGGAAAGTGCCGTTTTTGTGAGGCTTGAATATGAAAAAGTGGATCACAAGTAGATTGATAGGTTCAGAATTTCGAGGTTATTCGAGTGGTGGTTTTTAATTAATTCTCTTCCGTACAAATTACCGAGATATTACCGTAAAATGTCCAGATATACATCGACAGTGCTATGGCAACATGTAACCCCCTCAGGGGACCGGAGGCACTCCCTACCCCATCTAGATCAAGAGACCGAAGGGAACTGAATGAACAAACATGACTAACTCAGGCATTCGAATCAAGACAAGAGATGTACTAGGTCGCCGGTCGAGGCAAATCAGAATTACAGACAGTTCAGAGATGACTGGTTCAGACAGCGAGATCATTCATGACTGTTATGTTCTAAGAAGTGCTCCAAGCCATGCTCCAAGGTCAAGAGACGTCTGATTACAAATACAAAGCCCTACACTACGAAACACCACGGCCATTTCAATCTACCACCGTGCACCTTTTGCTCTCACTTCACCACTCACACTTGGTCCACCTAACTAAATGAAAATGATGGTAACTCACCCAGTATTGATTTCACAGAATTGAGACTTGTACCAGAACTTGATAAAGTCTTAATAATCCATTAGTAATAAATTCCACACGTGACACAACCCCCTCCAACCCGTTTCAAAACTGACCCAAACCCCCACCTCCAGCCGTGCGGCTCGATAATGAATTTCACCTTAACACAGAATGTCGTACAATTAATTGATTATCTGGGGGTATAGTAATCCAATGTGTTTGACAATAGCACCATGCAAAAGAGCAGCTTTTTGCGATCATGCTGATACCACTTTTGTCACAAAAGAAATCATTTAGCTGCAGACTACTGTATGGTGGAGCTCCGTTCTACATACGAGTACGAGTACAGGTATTCCAAAAACAAGTATTCCTACTTCACCAATAATGTTCCAACGGTACAAGTAGCATGGTAGAGGGGTTGTACCGAGTAGCGCTCCAGAGCTGGATGTAATCGTCGCGGTTCCTGATTTCAGGTCACGTGCCAGATCAGGTAAACTCCTTTCCAGTCACCATCCTAAGCCCTGAAATGTCCGGAAGATTTTTCTCTCCTTTTTGGTAGGAGGGGGGAGCTCTTGGTAAATAGAGCATAGCTGGGGAATCACGTGACATTACACAGGCGGTTTATCACATCATGATCTCGTCTCTGAGATGCGTATCTCGGCGTTTCTTAGGATGCATTTGTGAGGCAAGTGATTCGGTTGGGCGTGTCACGTGATCTGTAATTGTCGTGCGACTTGTGCAAGTGAGAAGGTGGTTATCTGGGTGTGTACGAGTGGTAAACGGTATACGAGTGGTGAAAGGTATACGAGTGATGTACTTTGTAATATAATTTGTGTTTTTTTTTTTTTTTGATATTATATTATGCAGAAAAAATACATTATAATTTTATTTTAATTGTATTTCTCCACATCTCAACGAGTGGGTATCCCAATGAGGCAATACAAATTAGGGGTTTAAACATCTATGTCTTCAAGGTTAGGGTAGTAATACTTTTGTCCCAACTTGAAAAAAGCAGTCCCACTTCTCACGTGATACAGTTGCCGAAAAAAGGTTTTGGTCCCAACGGGAAACGACTCGGGTGATTCGTAAAATCAAAATCTGAATCTTTTCACAATTTGTTTACAAGTTCGACAACATTACGAAAATGAGCACCTTTGAACCTGTTGTTGTGATTGACGGTGAGTAGCGACCGGGCTCCATGGAGAGATCCCAGCATGCGTTGCAACATATTTGTGATATTGTGACGACGATGGTGGCGACATTGGCGCTGAAGGATACAAGAGGGCGCTGGAAGGCACAGAGAGGACACTGAAGGATCTCCTCTTTCAACGACACGGCGACCAGAGGAGCATGGACCGGCGACAGGCGGTGACTAGCGATGGTTGTCGTGGTTTGGTTCGTTTCTCGGGATGTTGGAAGAGAAAAAAAGATGAAAACATTTTTCCACCAGACTGAACGATGAACGGAGCTTACCGTATGGTGTTGTGTGTTTGTGTTTGCCAGCGTCTGTCTGTGTTTGTGTTTGCGTCTGTGTTGTCAGTGTCAGTGACGGTTTGAGTCAGCGTTATGACGTTAGTTGGAGCTGTCAGTATATCGAAAATATGTTGAACCAACGGCTTCAACGTCTCCAGCGCTTCAACGAACAAAATCAGCGCTTTTCCTGCTTCCGTTTATTCCAATACTAACCCAGGAAAGGGACACCTCCTCGGTCGACTCGCCTCCACCGTTGCCAAGCAGATCCTCGACGGCCAGAACATTGTCGTTGTGCGATGCGAGGCTCTTAACATCTCCCAGGAGTTTTTCCGATCCAAGCTCAAGTACGCCGCTTACCTGCGAAAGGCCACCCGATTCAACCGAACTCACGGTCCTTTCCATTTCCGAGCCCCCTCTCGAATCTTCTACAAGGCCGTTCGAGGTATGATCCCCCACAAGACCGCCCGAGGTAAGGCTGCTCTGGAGCGACTCAAGGTCTTCGAGGGTATCCCTCCCCCTTACGACAAGAAGAAGCGAATGGTGGTCCCCCAGGCCCTGCGAGTTCTGCGACTCAAGCCCGGCCGAAAGTACTGCACCGTTGGCCGAGTCTCCCACGAGTTTGGCTGGAAGTACCAGGACGTTGTCGCCAACCTCGAGGAGAAGCGAAAGGTCAAGTCTGCCGCCTACTACGCCAAGAAGTCCGCTCTGTCCAAGAAGACCAAGGCTGCCCATGCCCAGATTGCTGACTCCGAGGCCGCCAAGGCTCTCGCCGCTCTTGGTTACTAAAAATGTCGTCATCCCCCCCTTGACTGTTTGTAATATATAATGTTGTAAAGAGTCGAAATGCAAAATTGATTATTTGAACTGTGTATGTGAGGCCTGGTTTATGAAAAGAAATAGACGAGAAAAAAGAAGGGAATAGACAAGAAAAAAGAGAACCCCGAACCGCTTTTCTGCAGTAGGAGTACTTGTACTGGCGTGAGTAGTACTTGTACCCGTAGGATGTATTTCGATTTTATATCGATTATAAATTTTTATTCGATTTCAGGTCAAATGTTTTAGTTTTTTAAAATTTGTTTTTTAATTTTTTTAATTTTTTTAATTTTTTTTAAAAATCATACTCATCTTGCGTCAGACTGTTGGTCAACAGTCTACGATGGACTGGATCTGGGGTCTCACTTTGTAGCTTAGTGACTGGCACTGGAGCTCGATTGATGTCGGGGACTCATTGAGGGCGATTCCGACGACGAGGATGAAACTAAGGAGGAACCGCGGCAAGTTGGTTGAGCATTGCTCGTGGATCTCTGGTGGCTGAAAGTCGCACAGATACAGCAGTAGTTTTGGTCGGACTCGACGGATTCTCAGTCTGGGGTGTACTCCGTCGCTGTAGACTAGAATCTGAGCTCCGATTGATGGAGAATACCGCCCAACATGGATGTGTCTGTCCATCTTGGATTACCAATTGAGCTCAGCTGGCCATCTCATTCTGCTGGCTCTGGCAAGTGGGCCAGGTCTTGAGCAGTGTACATGTTGAAACGACGGTTGAAAAGACATTTCAGAGCTGTTCAGGCGACGTTCTAAGGGCGAATAGATGGTTCACAGTGTATGAAAGAGGTTGTGTGAATTCTCACCAGCAATACGGCTGCCAAAGATGTTCCGGGGTCCCCCATCTGTTGTATTCGATGGATTGTAAAGATATTTTGGCTGTGGTATTGTCCCCATGTGACGGAACTGGTCTTGATCTCAGACAGACATGACCAGATCTTTTGCAATGTGACATGTTGACAGGAAAAAGGACCCGTTTTCTGCTCTGGCTACAGGGAGGGTGTTTCAGTATTCCGTTGGACTGACACTCCACTGCACTCAGTCACTCAGCCAGTCGCTCGGCCAGTCACTCAGCCAGTCGCTCGGCCAGTCGCCCAGCCAGTCTCGCTCTGTTAAGCAGCATTTCTTCCATCTATACAGATGGAAAAACTTCTGTCTGATATTGTAGGTGAAACGACACACTTGAAATCATATTGTGGAAGAGAGGAGATAGAGACAGGGCTATCGCCGGAGAACACACGAGACTAGCCGGTGTGTCGCCAATATAAACAATGTCTCCACCTTTTCTTTATACCGCGAATCTCTGGTCCAGTTTGGTTTGATACAAACATGGCCACGGACGGTTAACAAGTGAACCGTAGGTGAGCTCTTCGAAATGGGGATCTAGGAGATGTCCCATATTATGACCATTTGTTCACATCTCTCCCAGAGACGTGAATTTCATCTGGAAGTTGGGTTGAATTAGATAACGAACAGAAGATAGATGTCTTGTGGCGGTATGAGCTCTGTTGTAAGAGTTCATAACCGCTCAATTTCGAAACACTGTTTTTGCATGTCCTCTTAAACCAAACCTCCCATTAGTTACTTGGGTAATAGTTAAAAAAGATGGCCAAAAAGTGGACAAAGGTGGCCAAAAAGTTGGCTGAGGGTCCAAATTCGATGTTACAGATGTCCCTGACTTGAAGTGTGTCCTTGTCCCACAGATTCTGAAGCAACCCAATTTCACAACCAATATCACACCCAAAACCACTCTTGTTGACAACATCCCTTTTATTTATTTTTATTTTTATTTTTATTTTTATTTTTATTTTTCCTCCCTTAATCTTTGATCACAGTGTTGTAAATTACGTTACATTGTGAGCAACCAGCCAGTGACATCTGCCCAATCCACGTGACCATGACCACATATTCCACGTGACACAGTCCTTCACGTGACACATACTCCACGTGACACAGTCCTTCACGTGACACATACTCCACGTGACACTTACTCCACGTGACACTTACTCCACGTGACACATACTCCACGTGACACCACGCGCGGCATCTAAGCCCCGCTGCGGCGCATCTCATGACTGTCCCGCACCCCGCTCCCCGCAACAGCCGAGATTATTATGTTTTAATTTTTAAGCGTCATTTAGCCGGCGGGGAGACGGAGTCACGTGATAACATCAAATCCAACAACCACAAATCCACGCGGGTCGTACTCTGTACGGGTTTTTGTGATTTCACCCTGTGGTTTTTCTTGGAGGGGCCTCGGTAAGGCTGTGAGCTATTTTTTTTGGAGCGATTTTTGGACTCCTTTTTTTTTTTTTTTTTTTTTTTGGAGGCTTTTTTTGGAGGCTTTTTTTGGAGCCCGTCTGAGACGCAAACAACGTCGTCATAACAGCAAGTTATTCTTTTGTGCAGCAAGCGAGGCATATACGAACCGCATTTGGGGGATACGGCAGGGTGAGACATGACGTATTGAGAACGGGTGAGTTTGGGGAGGTTTGGGGAGGGTTTTTTGGAGGTGTTTTTGGAGTGAGTTTTGGAGAGGGTTTTCGGGGAGGTTTCGAAGAGTGGTGGAATGTGGATGTAGAATGTGTGATGGTGGATATATAGGGAAGATAAATAGATCAATGGATTCAGCTTGATTCAGGGAGCATTTTTGTGGTTTCAAAAATCCATATTGGCCGCTATCTGTCATGTTTTGCACTTACTAAGCCTCGCCTATAACTATGCATAAACCGGTTTAACAAGGAGGCGTGACCATAGCTCGGAGCAAGAGACAAGCGGCTTATTCGCGGATATTACCCGAAATGACAAAGTGGCAAGACATTGAACAACTTTATATGAGAAGGAGAAGAGTGCAAGAGTGTCGGAACAAGTGTTTGGCTGTTTGGGGTTGTTTGAGGAGTGTTTGAGGGCGTGTTTCGGGAAGTTTGGAGCCATTCCAGACCCTTTTAATATCAAAAAACAACACGAATCAATTGCCCGGCCCACAAAGGTGCCCAAAACTACCCTCCCCACCTGTTTAAACCATCTAGAACCGTTTAGGAGCCGAGCTCATTTCCGCCCTAATTGGCCCTGCCTGCCATGAGTAACCACTGCAGCGAACGTACATAATTGTGAATCCAGATAAGAGAGCAATAGCAGCAACGAGGCAACGAGGTCACAGGGCAACGAGGTCACCAAGAACACGTTACAACGGAGACCCAACACACCGCTTAATAAGCAGCCGAGAGCGACTCCCCTTTTCTTCCCCTCCCCCTTTCCCTCATTCTCCGCTCCTACCGTTTGTGATCACCACCTCCAATCATTCCAGACACGTCGCTCCGCAACTGGCCAAACTCTACCCCCCTTTGGACATAGTCCCTCGACTTATAGTTTGGAATAGGGCAGCATGGTAAGGTCGGTAAATGGAACGAGGAAAGGCTCCAGAGGAGCCAGGAAAGCAGATATGGGGGATCCGAGCGGACAGGAATGTTTGTCACGTGATTCCGGCCCGATTCAAGGTTTCCCGGGCTTCTCTGGGCTTCTTTTTCGTTCTTTTTGAGTCTATTTTTAGCCATCCATTTTCTGTCCATCTCTCTCTATTTGTAGCCCGTCCCTCTGGAGTGTGCACAGCACTTTAATCCGCCCCACACGTTGACCAACTTTATTGGCGAGTGAAATTTCCAACTTGGTAGGAGCGACCAACCTGTCTTCCACCCCGACTGCCGACCGACAACGCCCAGAAGACTCGCTTGGCCAGTGTCAGATATCCATCTCAGCCTTTCCAACTCGAGTTACACAAACAGGAGCCCCCCGCGCTCTACCACCTATCACCCATCATCTCCCCCGCAGACTGCCACAGCAACGTGCATAGTCAGCAGACTTGAGTTAATAAGGTAGTCTCTCCGGAAGAGTGCAATCAACAGTCTATTAGCACATCAAACACAGATTACACACACCCACAAGACCGTGTCAACTCTTCATCCACGCTCTTCACAAACGCATTTGGCACATCCGCACCGACACAGACACAGACGCACTTGTCGACACACTTACACGTCAATCAAACACGTGAGTATGACTAGGAAGGGGTTACCGTTGTGACGGGGTGAAATTTGGCATGGACGGTTGGACACAGCGGGAGACACGGTGGGAGACATGGTTGGAGACAGGAGTAAAATGAACAGACTCACTACACATACATATACATCTCGTGTCGTTCTGCTGCTTGTGGCAACTGTTTGTCTTCTGTTTGTGTCATCTTACTGTGTCGTCTACTGTGTCATCTACTGCGTCACAGCGTAGACTGGTTATTATTCAGAGACGTGAACACAGCCGTAGACAGGCAAGGTGGCAACCACACACATCACCATGATGGCATGGCGCGCCGATCAACAGCACACCGCAAGTATCTTGTCATCAGACGTTTCTTTCATCACGTCGTTTAACACAAACCACTTGTTGTGCACTGTCCACCGCACTGATTCACACAGCCGTTGTCATAACCTCGTCACCTGCGCCACTGCCCACGAAGGTGACACACTGCTTTGTGCTCCACTACCAAGCGGTGCCGTTGTCCAAGCATGACATTCTTACTAACCCAGATGTCTCTCGAAATCCCTCTTCAATCCCGACGAATGTCGCGATCGGACGAGCTCGAAGCCGCCGACTCGCGAACAGCCATTCGACAGATGGCCAAGCTCGGCCAGCACCACCACACCACCACAGACACGCTTGACTTTGGCTTCTCCCCGACGCCTCCCTCCTCCTTTCGCTCCCCCAACATTCTCGCCCAGGAACACGAGCATCACCAAAAGCTGACCACGCCGTCAGCCATGTCGTTATCCGGAGCCGGACCCGGAGCCGAGAACCGTTCCGGCCACGCTACGCCTTCGTCGCTGTCGTCATCCCGCCAGCAGTTCTACGGCAACACGCCTCCGTCCAACCAGGCGTCTCCGTTCTTCGGACCGGCTTCTCCCTCCAACAAGCCGCCCATCTCATCGCAGCTGGCCTCCCGCGTACCCACCACCGGTGTCTCAGTCTCTTCCCAGAACACCCGTAACACCGCGCACCCGTACAACCCATCGGTTGCGGTGCACACCAAGCGGCGCTTCTCGTCGACGGCTGCGGCCTCTGGTGCTGCAGTCACTGTCGGCTCGGCACCCAACCCGCGAAGCGCCTCCTTCAGCGCCGCCCAGCGACCGTCGTTCAGCTCGACCGAGTCGCGATCGGCTGTGAACTCGCCTCCTTCCGGCGCGTCCAGTTACTCCAGCAACGGCCCGCTGAACACAAACTCACCCGTGGCGCTGGCCGCCGCCGCTGCCGTCACGCCCGAGCGGCTGTCGCGTCTGCTCATGGCTCAAGGCCCGCTGGCGATCCGGCACCTGACCACCCATCTCGCCATGACGATCCGTGGTTTTGGCGACCTGTCGCTGTCCAAGCAGCGGCGGCTCATTATTGCAGCGCTAGACGCGGGTGACCAGACCAATGGCATCACATTCGAAAAGGTTGGTTGGGGCCGATGGGCAGCCCACCAGAACGGTGAGACCAAGATGGAGGCCGCCAAACCTGGAGAAGTCAAGCCGGAGCTACCCACTGCACGGGAGCGGGACGTGATCAAGCAGGAGATTGATTCTGCGACCGCTGCCCGGTCGTTGCTTGCATCTATGGCCCGTCGACGGGCCTCTGTTTCCACCAGCGGCGCCCACGGCCGGCCTCCCATCTCGCCGACCCTCAATCCCACAGACCAAGCCGCCACCTATCTGATGGGCGGGCTTGTGGGCTCAAGCACGGCTCCTTCGGCGTGGACCGACGACGTGGACCTCGAGGACGACGACATGATGTTCCACTCGTCGCGCAAGCCGATCGAGAACGCCGTGTTCGATGACGACGACGAGGACGACGACGTGCGGGACTACGACGGGCAGACCCGGCACAGCGAGACGGACGAGGAGGATTGGCAGTCGATGGGTGCGGAATCGCTGCGCCGGGAGTCGATGGTGTCGCCCCCCACGCTGTCGCTGAGCCAGCAGACCAACTCTGCGCAGCACTCGTACGCACAGTCGCCCACATTTTTCAACCTCGACGGCCACATGCGTGACAAGAAGGAGATCAATGCGGCAGTGCGCACTAAGGAGGAGGACGCCATCAGCGCATTGGTCCAGCTGCGGTCGTTGTAGGGTGGTGGAATGGTGGTGGGAGGCCGCAGCTCTACTGCAGGCTTTTTTTCTCATTTAGCTTTTTCTGCCTTCTCACGCGATCAGCAACATGCTTCTGGCTTGATTGAAACCGCTTAAACTGTTACAAGTAGACGGGCTTCATCTAACTTTTTTATTGGCTAGGATATCGCATTGTAGCGTATCCCACAGACGATACTCATGATTTATACATTAACGTACTTAACATATTTTATTCCGACCCTACTGTAGGGCATGTGTAGTGTTGAGGATAGAGGTGAAACAAGCGTTTTTTGGCGGTGGAGGATGCAGTCATGGGATTGGTGAGTGGGGCGGGAATAGATCACCAAGTGGTACACGTCTGTCCAAGTACTGTATACTCGTAAACAACTTTTCCACCGACGGAATAGGAGCTCGCTTGTGTATTGGTTGGAGGCACACATCGAGGAAGCTCGTTTCACACTGTCAGGGAGACGGTAATGTGGAGGATGAAACGGTCCTATTGATTTGCAACTCTTGATTAAATGCAATTGCTACTTTACACCGAGGAGTAGTCGCTAGCGTGTCATTGGGGGTCGAGAACAGACGGATCCGGTTTCGAGGTGGAATCCTGACGTTTTGAGGTTATGTTTTTCAGGGAAATTCTTCTCCGACTTTTCCGGACGGAAGTTGGAACTCTGGGGATCTGTTTGACTTGTCCTTGGGGGGCCCTTGGTGACCAAAAAGACATTTGCCGTAGGACTGATGATGACCAGCAGACATCAGGTTTGGCCTAGTCTTTGGAAGGACTGGATTCGGGTGCTACAAGTGGAGGTGCCTCCCGGGGCCTTGCCGTTGAGAAATCAGATACTGCTAGGCACATAACCAGGAGGCCAAAAATGCTTAGCGTAGATCATATCCCAGGCTGACAACTTGCACACGGTCTAGGGCGCAAGGAGGCCATAGAGGTGGAGTTGGTGGAGTTGGAGTTGGTGGTGACTTGAGATCTTTCGATTATTTTTACCTGATACATGAAAAATCTCTATCATGGCCCCGAACTTCGACAGGGTCGACATTCTACTCATATCTCCAATGACGATTTGGCCTACCTTGGAAGATAGGGACGATAATGAGCTTCAGGAACTTCAGGGGTCGATTGCGTTGATTCTCTAGAACTCTCCCCAGGCGAAAGAACGAGAGAGAAGAGCGTGGGCGTGTTAGTTCCGGTGGTTGAGTGGTTGATCTGGTAACAAAGGATCCGTTGCTGGTATCGTAGAATGTGCAAAGAGGTTGTTTCTACATACACTTCGATACCGATGAGAGTAGCAGTATCATCGGCGCCCGCTGTAATGTTGTAGTGACTCGCAAGACCAAGTGAACATTCCACCTCTCCTCTGTTTGTCATTTATTGAGTAAAGAGCATCATAACTAATGTACTGTGCACCTCCATGTGCGACATCACGGTTCCAACGGTTCTTCGACTAACTGTCAATTCCCAACCAAATTTCGTTTTTGGCGTAATTGTACGAAATGGTATGAAGCACCAGGTCGTCCAGGGCATGACCCCACACCCCATAGTTGCCATCAGTGGTGGCTCTGTTAAGCATGCCGGGAATGTTCTCCACCGGAAGAGAACTGGTTTCTTCTTCCTCAGCATACAGCTTATCGTAGGTACGCTTGATTTCTCTGATCAAATGGCCCCGAGTGAACCCCTTGGACGCGTCTTCAGGGTAGATTTTGAAGCTGTACTCGTCATCCAGAGGGTAATCCAGCCACAGAGTGACAAACTTGTTGTCGTCCGTGTTTGTGGAGATGTATTCGCACGGAATAACAATTTCGTCCAATTCCAAGCAGCGATCGTACGACTTTTGATATCCAGATCCGAGACTGATGTAGGGACTGGTGTATTCGTCATCATAGGGCACTTTGAAGCCTATATCGAGGTCTGGAGGACATACCAAATCGATGATTTCACCAGCGGTGTCCTTTTCAGTCTCTGTCTCTCCAGTCTCTGTCTCTCCAGTCTCAGTCTCTCCAGTCTCAGCCTCTCCAGTCTCAGCCTCTCTGGTCTCTCCAGGTCCGCCCTCCTTGTCCTGCTCACCCTTCTCCCCGTCCTTCACCTCAACTAGAGTGTCTTTGGAGCCCGCCGTCTGGTCTCCAACATTCAGTTCGTCAATTGCTTTGGTAACGTGGTCCATGGTGTCGAACCGTACTGGAAAAGGGCCTTCTTTCGGGTACAAGTAGTGGTAGAAAGCTGGCCCGTATCCCAACATTTATTAGTGCGGTGTCTCAGCCGCATCACTCCATGCATACAAAATGCGGGGGAGAGCACCCTATTTGGGCACACGAGGCGCAACATAGCTGGGTGATGGAGTGAAGATGAAGTATCATTTGTGGCCTAATTTCAAAGCTCTGATCAACGCCGACATTTTGCAACTTTCAGAATTCCTTTCTCTCAACTACTGACAGACTTAGCAGGCCTGAGTGATGCAGCCATGGTGAAAAAGTGAAAAACACGAACCAGTAAAATAGAGCGCTGGAATGGATAACCAAGTCCGTCCAACACGTGTAATTGTACAATACTTGTGCTTGTACCATTAATGACGGACTTTTCCAGCATCTCTGTCGCTCTCGTCAATGGGCTTCGTATAATTGCAGTCATAGAACTGACACCATATAGAGCCACTTACTGTGGTTAAAATGCTCCACTCACTCTCTCACTCTCTCCAACTCACCCAATGATGGCCCGATCAGAAAAAGGAAACAACCATCACACTCCTCTCGTTGCACAGATGACTCTCCCATTTCCCGCTTCCATCTACCACCAATATTCGCAGCACAATGGCCCCCTTACTCCTGTCCTATGAACTCAATCCTCGGGTTGGTTATGCTTATAATTAACATTATCAAAATATCTCAATACAATCACTACAAGTACGCACCATGATGCTACAAACTACCGGCTTCATACTCATGTACAGGGCAACAACCACGGCTATGGTCATGGTCGGTTGCAGTTTCATAATTCGCTCGATTGATTACTCATCGTTCGTTTTGTCAGCCATGCGACTGTTCATTCAAAAGACTTGATTCAAAACCTGTCAAAAGGACACGGTTGTCCGCTTAGGCGCCAAGGGCGGGGAAGTCAGAGGCGGAAGAGAGGTTGACGGAGGGAGCCTTTCGCTCCTGGGTTCGGAAACCCTTCTTGTCACCACCTCGCTTGCCGTCTCGGCCACCTCGGTTCTCTCGGGGGGCTCGGTCGGATCGGTCACCTCGAGACTCTCGGTTGGCGGGGAAGGCAGGCTCAATCTCGAGCAGAACCTTCTCCTTTCGGGCTCGGGTTCGCACGTTCTTGGCCTTGGTGCCGGCAACGAGATCGGCAACCTCGTCCTTGTCGAGCTTGGAAGCCTCGGAGTACTTGGACTCGGCGCCGGCGTTGGCCTGTCGGACAGATCGGCCGGAAGCAAGCTTGGCGGTGGCAGCCTTCTGCTCGGCAAGGTACTCCTCCAGAGTCTTGGTGTTGTCAGGCTCCTCAACAGGGGCCTCGACGGGGGTCTCGGGCTCGGCCTCGTCCTTGGTGGCGATGGCGTCACCGGCCTTCTCGTCAGCGAGCTTGCCCTTGGAGTCGCCCCATCCCTTGCCAACCTTCTTGGCAGAGTCGGACTTGCCGGTCTGGGATCGTCGGTCAGGTCGGGGGTTTCGGGCAGGCTTGCCCTTCTTCTCAGCCTGGGGCTCGGTGGACTTGGACCGGTTCTGGTCCCGCAGGGGCTGGTTGGACTTCTTGGAAGCACCGATGGCAGCGCCGGGGTCCTTGGGGGCGGCGTTCTTCTTGGAAGAGCCGGAGTTCTTGGTGAGCTCCTTGGTCACAATGACCTTGTTGGAGTCCTCCTCCACGTTGCCGAGGATTTCGTATAGGTTCTGGGTTAGCACGGAAGATGCAAGAGCGCACAAGCGGAGCGAGCGCGAGCGGGCAGTAAATGAGTCACAAACAATTCGCAACGGAGTCGCAAGGAGACGTCGCAGTCAACACAGGCAACTCGCTTGCTGCTCGTCTGCGAGTCGACTTGCAGGCAGCGGCCCCAGGCTTCCCCTCACCAAGTGGGGTAGCCAGGAAGAGACATCGCCATGTGAAGGAGGTCGACGGCGATTCGACGGCGACCTGGCAAGCTGGCAAGCTGGGCTCTGGAGATGGCCGGCTATGCTCAGCCCGGGAATCACACGGTCCGCCCACCGGTCCGAGGCGTCTGGAGAAGACCCATGGTTGGAGTGTGGTGATGCGCATGAGGAAGAGATACATGCCCGGCGAATGATGGCACTGGCCACGTAGATAGCACAAGCACTTCGGATTGGTGGGATGGTTGTGGTTGACGCTGCTGACCACTGACTACTATGGACGTAGGTCCGTCGGATCGTCTGATTGCGACATCCCCGCACCTCCATCGTTCAGTGTGAACGGGTCATTTTGGGATTGTGGTTGGTTGCGATATCATCGACGCTGCCCTTGAGGCCACGTCTCCACATTGCCCACACCACTAGGTGGACATGGGGCCGTTGGGTGCAATGATCTGACAACACCAAATGTGCATCTCCACCGACCCAAACAGCACCAACACAAGCCAAGCAGCCAAAAACACAATCGACCCCGTAATCAACAAACCCCTTGACGCCATCCATCATCAGCTTCTCCTCCGTCACACCTGCGACACCACATCCCACATCTCTGCCACGTGCCCCACGGGACACCTCCACCCATGTCAGTCACACATGACCCACATGTGGGGTTGGATGATCCTCGGTGTTTGGCCGCTGGGGCGTGGCCGCCGGGTCCCGCTTTCACGGCCCCCCCAACCCCTCTTGTCTTCAAATACTCACCTTGGAGACAGACATGTTAGCAGCCCTCTATTATCCTCGTGTTTGGACACTTAAAATTTGGAGCAACAGCAAAGTGAAAATTTCACCGACAAGTGTGAGTGGGTTGGCGCTGGCCCAATGGGGGAAGGTAGGGTAAGAGGAGGTGACGTAGGGTAAGTCCCGTGATGCGATCCCCCTCACGAGCGGGGGGCCCAGTCCTAGCCCGACGTGATGCCTCCGACCAAAGCGGCCACGGAGAATCGATTGGCCCTCTCAGATTGGTCACTAGACCGCTCCCTGGGCCCCTTTGGAACCTGTCTCCGCACCTCTTGGGACCTGGGTGTACTTTAGTCTACAAACCTAAGGCTCCAAAGTTTGCTGTGAGGAGTATGCAGGTGCGATAGAGGCAGGTGTAACCAGCCGGTGGAGTGGCAAGGAGAGATTGGAGAGAGTCACGTGACAAGGACGTTGAGTGGGCCGGCAGAGACGTTTTTTTATTATTTTTTTGTCCTTTTTTGAGAGTGTTTTGGTCTTGGTTGGTCTTGGTTGGTCATGGTTTTGGCTTGGTCTTTTCAGCTTGGCTGTATCGCCTGATCTGTCTGCTAGAAGTATGATCAACAGTAATCAGTGCACGAGGAGGGGAGGAGGACAGAGGGAGGACAGAGGGGCAGAGAGGACGGAGGAGAGAGAGGGGGGAGGACTCTCGATAGAAGGGACGAGAAGGATGTCGTAAATTGTCAGTCGGACGGATTTAACGGGTACTGTGTGTACTTATCTTGTATATTCCGTTTATCCTGGTCAGCTCTGGAACTTTTCAGCATACTGAACTGTCCTCTCCAAACTACAGTACGACGACCGTACACCAGCGGCTGTCACTACTACTGTACTGTACATACTGTACTTGTGGCCATCTGGTGTCACTACTTGCGGCCATGGTCGTCCTGAAAGATGGATGGGGCCTGATGATTGTAGGACTACTGTTATGTACTTGCAGTCCCACTTTTAGAGCAAGTCTCACTCCAAACCTACACCTTTGGAAAATGTGGGGGAGTCACTTGAAGGTTTATTGTAGTTGGTGCGTAGGCAGTTGGCCAATGGAATGGTTGGTGAGGTCAGAGGGGTGATGGGGAGGGAGTCACAGAGAGGGAGTCACGTGCCATGGAGTTGGGTGTCGATATGTTCACGTGACGCAGGACCCTCACAGCTTCCGATCCTCACAGCTTCCGATCTGGGCGGAGTTGTCTTCTCATGATTGAATTAGACCATCATCTACGGGACAGCACGGACTGTTTCCAGAGAAGTTGACTATTAGTACTTGGGTTGGCTGATTGTATAGCACCAACCAATCAAACAACCAACCAAATCAGCAACAGGACCGATAAAACGCAATCACTCAATGAGCAGCTCATGAGCCATCCTGATGAGTAAGCTGATTGGAGACAACCTTGTAGAAAGACTGTCTTCAGGTGGAATAGATGGTTTGTCAAAATGCTTCTATGCTGGTACTAGTACTCCCTCAACTTCACCAACGCGCCTGTATCATGTCACCTTGTTGTTGTCGTCAAAAAGCCGATATTATCTGTACGATAACCGACTTTGTGGCTCTCATTGGCCGTCCCCACACCCTTATCTCCGCTTCTAACGCCTAAAGAGTGAGTGCGTTATGGAGTGCGTTCGGAGGTGGTCAGGGTCCGGATCCCCATGGCGGGAGTGAGGTTATTCAGTGAGGAGATGATGAAGATGGACAAGTGGCCACCATGTATGGACGAATTCCACTCACGCAGCTTCATCGGACCCCATGAGCCCTGCTCCACACACTCACTGAAATCACATTCACAACCTGCAGAGAGACCACATATCTTTTTGCTCGCGTTTTTGCCCGTTTTTGCCCGCTTTGCCTGCGTTGCCCGCCTTGCCTGCGTTGCCCGTTTTGCTCGCTTTCCCGCCTTGCCTGCTTTGCCCGCAGCTTTGCCCGCAGTTTTTCTCGCAACTGCTTTGGAGCTCGCACAGTCCATCACCCTGGCGCATCTGCCATGCGCGACAATGTCGATTCAGGCCTTTTTTTCAGGCCAAACCTGACGACTCTGTAGCCACGGAAAAGCTATCCGCACAATTCGGATCTTTCGGAAGAGGCCGTGCAGAGAGTCAGAGAGGAAAGACGACAGACAGGGTACCCCACAGCAAGGGTCGTTGAAGCACAACCAACTCTTGTACGAGTACTGTAGCTCCATAGCGCGCAGCACCACCACTTGCTCCGATGGAGTTGGGTAGTGGTCCTTGACATGGCTACACACTTGCTCTCTGAATGTGCACTAGTAACAAGTACAAGTACACTACCAAACTGCTCGTCATGTAACATTTACTCCCCTCTGTTTTGTCAACATTGTTTCACCAACGTGTTTCACCAACGTGTTTTGCCAACGTGTTTTGCCGACGTGTTTTGCCAACGTTGTGTTTGGCCAACGTTATGTTTGACGCTGGTTCCAGTTCTCCTGCCGCAGCGTTAGACCAATAACAAGAGCGTCTATTATTCCCACCTAACGGTGGCGGAATTAATGATGACGCAGCAGGTTCGTAGGCCGACTCGGCGAGCTCCTTGCTCGTCCCATGGGCGCACCAATTACCCCTCCTCCACCTCGTCCCTCGTTCTCCGAAATATCTCCAGCTGGTCTCGGGGACTTCTCGGATTGCCCCAGCTCTCCAGTGCAACGTCATAGTCCCAGATGCGTCGTCCATGCACCCCCCCCAAGCTCATTTTACCTCAGAGTTGGGCGTGCACCATGTGGGGAAAAAGCCTAGTGCACAGTAGTGTATTTTGCCCTTAGTGCAATCGGTGGGTACTGTGAATGCGGGAGCAAAGGCCCCTGGTCGGGGCGCCCAGAGAAGGGCTGTGTGGCCCGGAAGAAGACGCCCAAAGATGTCCCTCTCGACGGCCGTCCGCCCGAGCCCCCGCTTGCCCAGACCGACCCTCGGCTCCACCGCTGGTGCTCCGCCATCACCCCGAAGTATGCACCCAACCCCACGAATCGCCAAACTCAATATTGCCGGCCACCCGGGGCAAGTTGATCAAAGGGGGGGGCCTAAGGCCTCTCTTATATAACCTCCAGCTCCAACCCACTACATCGTCACCGACACAGCAAGACACACCACCTCTCTTCCCATCATGCAACGACTGTCCCAGCTAGGTAGACAACTCCACTCCACAAAAACCTACGGCGGATTCATGGCCAAGGGCAAGCTGTCGTCTGGCGGCGTCAAGAGCTCTGTGGCGGACAAAACCACCGCGGCAGCCATCCACACGCTGCCCCGAATCCAGGGAGACGACACTGTCTACGTGCCCGACAAGGTGAACCGACACAACATGAACCCGACCTACTTCCTGCCCCGAGCGGCCGAGATCGAGCCCAACGCCAAGGCCTACATCCACAAGGGCGCCGACGGCGTTCGTGTGGAGCGCACCTACGGCGAGATGGCCGACCGAGTGCTGGGACTCGCCACCTACTTCAAAAGCAAGGAGTTTAAGCGGGTGGCCATCTGTGGACCCAATACGCCCGCCCACCTCGAGACCATGTTCGGAGCCGTGGCCGCAGGTGCCTACGTGCTGGGCCTCAACTACCGGCTCACCATGGGCGAAATCACCTACAAGATGGAGCTGGGAGACGCCGACTGCGTCGTGGTCGACCGGGAGTTTGTGCACCTGATCTCGCCCGAGATCCGAGCAAAGTGCCAGGTCATTGTGGACGACGATGTGTCTGGAGCCTCCAAGCCCCAGCAGCCCGGAGAGATTCTCTACTCCAATGTCGTCCAGCAGGGCATGCAGCTGGCTAAGGAGCAAAAGACAACCTGGGACAATCTGCACGTCCAGAACGAAGACGAAGACGAAATTCTAGGCCTCTTCTACACGTCTGGAACCACCGGAAAACCCAAGGCCGTCGAGTACACCCATCGATCCGTCTACCTGTGTGCCATGTCCAACATCATCGAGGCTGGTCTCAACTGCGAGACCGTCGATGGACACAACCGATGCCACTATCTGTGGACTCTGCCTCTGTTCCACGCCGCCGGTTGGACCTTCCCTTACTCGGTGACGGCGGTTCGTGGCACACACGTGCTGCTGCGAAAGATTGAGCCCGATTACATCTGGGATCTGCTTGTTGACGACCGAATCACCCACTTCAACGCCGCCCCCACCGTCAACAACATGCTGGTGAACAACCCCAAGGCCCGACGTCTCCCCCAGACCGTTCGTGTCACCGTTGCTGCCTCTCCTCCCTCCGCAGCTCTCTTCAACAAGATGTTCGACATGAACCTTCACCCCGTGCACATGTACGGCCTCACTGAGTCCTATGGCCCGTTTGTGCGAAACTACTTCCTGCAGGACTGGCACGGAGCCACTGGCGATGAGCGGTACGCTCTCATGGCCCGTCAGGGATTCGCCTTTGTCGGCTCGCAGTCTGTCCAGGTGATTGCCAACAACGACATCAACCAGCCCGTACCCCGAAATGGACAGGAGATTGGCGAGATTGTGTGCCGAGGAAACGCAGTCATGGCCCGATATCACAAGGACCCTGAGGCCACGGCCAAGGCGTTTGAGCAGGGCTGGTTCCACACCGGCGATCTGGCAGTCGTCAACCCCGACGGCTCCATCAAGATTCTCGACAGAAAGAAGGACATTATCATTTCCGGCGGTGAGAACATCTCTTCCGTGGCCGTCGAGGGCATCATCTGCAAGTATGACAACGTCCTGGAGGTTGCTGTGGTTGGCATCCCTGACGAAAAGTACGGTGAGGTCCCCAAGGCGTTCCTGATTCTGAAGGACAAGTCCAAGCCTTTCGACACTGACAAGATGATTGCCTGGATGCGGGAGCGAATGGGTGCCTACCAGATTCCTCGACAGGTGTCTGTGGTCGACGATCTGCCCCGAACCTCCACTGGTAAGATCAAGAAGAACGTTCTTCGAGACTCTGTGCAGGCTGCCTAGACAGACGGGCGAGTAGGAGTAGCGTACAGTAGACTACTTTTGCGAGCGGATCTGAACTGTACCCAGCTGCGAGTGCAGTAGTGAGGTGGAGACATAGTGGAGACATAGACTGTCCACTTATTTATTGGCACTGTATTCAGTGCGATGATATATGAAATTGATCACTAAGACAATTGTGTGCACTTGTAGTCTATCGTTGTATGCATTTCAGTTAGAAAAAATGTGTTGAGTAAAGCCTAAGTAAATGAGAATGTTCGGCAGGATTAGAAACAGCAATAATTCGGCCATTGCGATGAAAAACACTATTTAAATTGCATTATTAAGGAGCTATTGATTTTCTCTACAAGACTGGATATTTCATGTCTTCCTGACGTTTCTGTAACACTGGATCGTTACCCCCTGCTGATTCTTAGCTTTAACTAAAGTCTAAGTAAAATGGAGATATGAGGTTAAGGGTTAGTCCGGGTTAGTCAGGGCTTAATGAGCACCAAGTGATCACCAAAAAAACGGATAAAAAACCACCACCAACATCTACTAGTGGAGTTCAAGCGTTTGTACTTGGACCCTGATTGAACCCTGACTTTTGGCCCTGTTTATCATTGGTTCTTCGAGAATCTTCTATCTCTCCTTGGAACGCGTATATTGGTTTGATAATCTCGTGAAAAAGCCATGGGGTCAACAAAGTCGTAGTCAGCGACTCCCGACCTCGTCGATCCTGACGTTGCATTTTCGATTCATCTCATGGGTGCATTGGTAGATGGTGCAGATCCTCCTTCTCCACGGAGATTGGTGGAAATGATAATGGAAGAGATCGATCTGAATATCTCAGACGTCAATCACCTGACCAGAGAGGAGATACTCTCGTGACAATTTGATTTTCAAGATGCCCAGCTCTCTAGCTACTCATCTAGATGCGGTACACAGTTCATTCAGCCCATGCTCCTGTCTTGAATCATGACGATCTATGCAGGAACTCAAGAGGTGTTTGAAGAGTGAAAAGCTGCCGAGGATAACCGTTTCTATTACTGTTTCCATCAGGCGGCTCGTCGTTCTGCTTCTTCTCACCCTCATACAAGGCGTTTATGGGCTCGGATCATACACTCCTTACATGACCAAGTGTCCTCCTGGTACGCTTCTACGACAAGGAGGAAACATCTCGAGTTCAGAAGCCGCGTATATCGCCGCCAAGTAGCAGAAATCGAGTCTTGCCCTGAAGAGATTCCTGCATTAAGTGGCGATTCCAGATGTCTAAAAGTACATATCCAACAGAGACTGTACCTCCAACTTGGCTCTGGGGTTTTCTGGAGGTGACTACAGATCAATGATTGTTTCAGCCGGGGTGGTGAAGGCCTTTGATCATCGAAATCTAGACTCTACCACCCTGGGGGGACTACTACAGTCTATCAACTACATGCCTTCTGCGTCTGGGGGATCGTGGACTCTGGGTACTTTGGTTATGAACAATTTTCCGCAGGTTTCTGAGATTCAAGATCAACGCAAGCTCTGGAACCTCACTGCTGAGTCCGCTTTCCTGGACTGTTTTGGGCGATTATGGCAAAGCTATCACCAAAGTTGTCGGTAAGCGTCTGGCAGGATACAGGGTATCTTTGACGGACGAATTCGGGCTAGTGGTGGGCGAAGGACTGGCTGCGGGAGGATACCACACGTTTTCAGACATTTCACAGTCATATGCTTACGTCAGTCACGATATGCCGTTTCCTGTGTGTCTAGTGACAGCTCTTCCAAAGGGAGACATGCCTGCAACAGACATCATTAACTCCAATCCCATCTTGGAAGCCACCCCCGTGGAGTTTGGATCATACGACAAACAAACCAACATGCTCATGTCCATTGGCCAGATTGGCTCTCAGATGGAAAATGGACAAGTTCAGGGAGACTGCACTGCTGGGTTCGACCAGGGTTCATTTTTCATGGGAGCTTCAGCCAGTCTTTTCAACAGCCCGACATGGTGGACCAAGACCGGGCTAAAGATTGTGGGACTGGACAATGGCAATCAGCGGCCTTCGGGAATCTTCCATCCGAACCCCTTCAAGGGCTTGAGTGACGTTGAAGCGCCCTACAACGGCATGGCGCTATACGGAGCAGATGGCGCTTACTCGGGGATGGGTCTTCCACTATGGCCCATGGTCCACCCGTCTAGAAAGGTGGACATGTTTTTCTGTCTCGATGCTGACGGAGCGCCTCCCAATAACACTCCCGATGGCAAAACGCTTACAAATCTAGCCAACAAAGTCTCCGAGGAGATGGGTGAAGGAGTGTTTCCGCTAGTTCCTTCCCCACATGAGTACCAGGCCAAGTACCTTGAAAAACCGCTGTGGATGGGCTGCGACGTGACAAAGATGAGGAAGATTCCAGAATCAAATAGATACGTGCCACTTTTTGTCGAAATCCCCAATCTTGAGGTCTCCTACAACTCCCTAGTCAAGACCATGAAACTAGACTACTCCAAGGAGGATATCGATGGAATTGTCCAAACCGGATTCGATATTGCTACCATGAGCAATTCCACTGAATGGGCCCAGTGTATCGGCTGTTCCGTAGTTCTGAGAGAGTTCCAGAGACAGAACAAAACGGTGCCGGAGGTGTGTCGAAAGTGTATGGATGAGTATTGCTATTCGTGAGGATGGAAGGAAGCTGTTGGGGGTAGTATGTACAATATATAAAAACTGACTACTCAACGCCTCTTCACCATCACCACCATCACCACCATCACCACCATCACCACCATCGCTTGTTCACCATCTCATCGTTCAGCTACGTGACGTTCGGGGTTGACTAGTAAAGACGAATGCAACCGTACTCATCCCGAATGCATTCTCCAGCCCGCACCGATCGCTCACATCTCTCTACAGTATGATTCGTATGATCGACTCAGAATGACACTCCAGGAGGACGGTCCAACTTGATCTTCCCCTCATGGCTCCAATCAAAACACAAATCTGTTTAATACATCAATCTTTCTAAGACACAGCACCACATGAGAAGCGCTCCACCGCACAGTCCCCTTACTGTCCTCCAGCACCTCCAGCACCTCCAGCGCCGCCAAACTTGCTGGCCATCTCTCGCAAAGCAGGGTCGTTCATCATCTCACTCATGGAGGGCATGTTGCCGCCCTGCATTCGCTGAGCCATGTTAGCCACAGCAGGGTTGCTCATCAGGTTGTTGAGCGCATTGGGGTCGGACATGAACTTCTGGGCCATCTGGGCCACGGCGGGGTTGTTCATGAGACCAGCCAGATCGGGCATTCCGCCTCCAGCACCACCGCCAAACATGGAACCGAGAGCTCCGAGATCGGGGAAACCAGCGGGAGCTCCTCCAGCTCCTCCAGCGGCTCCACCCTCAGCGGGGGCGTCCCGGGTGGCGACGGCCTCCTCATCGACTCGCTTCTTGGCGGTCTCGTAGCCCCGCTTCATGGCGTCGGAGACATTGTCGCCCTCGACCTTCATGCCCATCTCGTAGGCCTCCAGCGCGCCCTGGGCGTCACCGGAGGCGTACTTTGCCAGTCCCAGACGCGAGTAGGCCTTGGAGTAGTTGGGATCAACTCGAATGGCGGCGTCAGCGTCGGCAATGGCATTATCGTGGAGCTGGAGCTGGGAGTAGGCGGCGGCTCGGTTGGAGTAGTAGACGGCGTTGTTCGCGTCGATGTCGATGGCCTGGGTGTACAGATCGATGGACTCTTCGAAGTTTCGTTGCGACAGCGCCTTGTTGCCCTCCAGCTTGAGCTTGTCGGCCTGGGTCTTCTGCTCCTCAGTCAGAACCGCAGTGGCGGCAGCCATCTTGGCAGCGGCAGCCTCGAGTGCAGGGGAGGACTTGTCGGCACCGGCGGTGGAAGCCGAGTTGGATCGGTTCTTGAAGATGTCCAAAAGAGTCTGCTTGCCCAGAACCGAGTCCTTGGAAACACCCTCAATCTTGAACACGTCCTCCAGACAGTCAATGGCGACCTGGACCGATTCGTGGTCGTCTTCGGGGATGGTGCCGTCGGAGACGGAGGTTTTGAGGAAATCGACGATTCCAACTGCGAGATCTTTCTTGTCGGACATTGTGTGGGTGGTGTGGTGGAACTCAAGAGAGACATATGCACTGTTAAGATGGTGTAGTTTAGATTCACAACGTGGCGAGTATGAATGGCAGAAACATGGAGGGCTATCGAGGGGGTTGTGGGGAGTGAAAAGACAAAGTGAGTGGCTACAACGGATATTTATGACACATTGAGTTGATTTCTGCCGTCGGATTTTTCAGAAATTGGCTATTTCTGCCGTTACAACACACCCCTCAGAATGCCCCCTCCATGACCCCTTACTTTAGTTGACACTTTACTTTGCCTTCACTTGGGGAAGGTTCTGGAACAAGTTGGGACTGACTTTGAATATGTTAGCGACCTTTGAGAGGGGGCAAATTGAATTGACATGTTAGATCGGTGGCGAACTGCCAAAGTGTACAAGCAAGGTGGAACTACCGGAATACATTCAGCTCCACATCCGCGGCCGGTCTTATAGTGATTCTTCTCCCTCCAAGTGTCTCGTTGTACTCGTCCGTGGGGCTCGGGCGTATACTCTTTTGGGAATACGCATTTATGCCACAGATGGAATACGGCAACTCTAAATTGGATATATCCCGCTGCCGTATTCGGAAAATTGCACGTGACTCTGCAGCAGTGTTCTGCAGGCAGACTTGACCTCAATCTACAAGTGCAAGACCAAGTATAGATCTCAGCAACATCTACACTTACCTAAACAACATGTGGCCCTTCAACAGCAACAAACCACAAGACCAGGACGGCCCCGTGGACTTTTCCGCTCCGGTCACGTCCGACGGCAAGATGTTGGACGACACAAAGCCTCGATTCGACCTGGAAGACATCCAGGCCAAGAAGGCGGCTCTGCTCAAGGAGCTCAAGGAGAAGGAGGCCGAGCTTGTGCGCCCGCCCCCTCCCAAGATCACCAAGCCCGTTCCCGAGGGCGAGGCCAAGGTGTCGAATGTGGTTTCTCAGATCGGCGTGAACGACTTTAAGACCGTGACCCAGATCCCCTGTTTCCGAGACGCTATGATCACGGGCTTCATCACCGGTGGCTCTGTTCTGGGAGTCATGCTGTCGATGCGACGGTCCACGCTCAGCGCTGCCAACTGGGCCATTGGCGGATTCACCATTGGAGCCGTGGCCAAGTGGGAAATGTGTCGATATAACCGAAAGCAGTCGTTTGAGAACGCTGCTCTGGCCCACCAGGTCTATGCCAAGCGAAAGGCTCTCGAGGAGGGCAAGGAGTGATCGTTGGTCGTTCTGAATTGTAAATAGTCTCTGTACATAATGCTAACAGTGTTTTCTGAGTGGAGAAAATCAGTAGAGGAAGTGGCCATCAAGTTTAGCATCCGGACTAGACATTATTTGGGCTCTTGTAGTATATCGAATCAGCAGATGTTATGTCTCAGAAGTTCATCTGAAGAGTTGCTGATTAGTTGACTGAAGAGGTGACTGAAGAGGTGACTGAAAAGTTGCTGAAAAGTTGCTGAAAAGTTGCTGAAAAGTTGCTGAAAAGTTGCTAAAAAGTTGCTGAAAAGTTACTGAAAGTTGATTATCATTTTTCTCTCAGTGTTCTATTTGTATATGAGCGACTTCACAAGCAAATAGAACAACCACCACCATCCATTGTATAAACACCAACAAGCCTCAAATCAACGCCCTTGATTTTGCCGCCTCTTCCAGCTGTCTCGTACGTGCTCAACACTAGATCCGAAAAAAAAGTGCACATCAAAAGTGTTATCGCCAGTCATCGCCAAAAACTGCCCCGTCATTGCAATACTCCCGTGTTTCACCTCGTTTCTTGCTCGCATCTAAGACATTCCACATGGTTGCGGGTTGACACTTTATGCGAGCGATGTGCGCGTTTCCACCTCCTGTACCAGAGTCGAGGCTTCCGTTCCTAGATTGCCGTAGAGTTTGGGCTGACTGGCGCCAATGATCGGCTGGTGGTGCTAGCGTGATACGAAGGCGGAGAGCTACTCGCACCCGTACTTGTAGCGTCTCCTGGTGGTCCCACTGGGCTTCCGAAACCTGGCTGATGGAGTCGCTACGGTCTTGCAGCAAGCGTTGCAGGCCACACGCTGGAGCAATGTGCTGCGGTGGAAAAAAAACCCGTCAGACAGATGACGAGACCAGGACGAGCTGACGAATGGCAGGCCCATTTGCACCAAGGGGTGGCTCACGGCACGTGGTCCATTCATGACTTTCCAAGAGCAGCGTTTCCACCAAAGCCTAGATCGAGTGGGGAAACAGGTCTAGGTTACTCGTACCGTCGTATGAGCAGTACGTACTGTAGCTGCCCCCACAAAGCTAACCCCCAAATGTCGGAATATGCTTTTAGGACTTGTAGGAACACAAAACCGTGGGGCCAAGTATAAGATGGGGGTCAGGGGAGTGGGTGTGGCCTTTATACTTGGTCTTTTGTTTCTCCACTGCGATTCTGGTGACAAACCACAAGTAACAAATCACATCGATAACTTGCCGCCGGTAACAAAAGCACACCCACGACCGCCCCACGACCACGACTCGACCACGACTCGACCACGATCCGACCACGATTCGACCGCGATCCGACCACACGACCCCACGACCACACAGCCACACGACCACAGTCCCCACGCTCTCACACACTCACAAACCACCACCCAATGACCATCCGATTAGTAGCAGCAGGGGTGGTGGCCTCTAGCATTGTGGCGTTTCTCTTCTTCGGGGCGCTGTCCATCCTGCTCATCACAGCCGTGCCGATCCTCATGTTTGTGCCGCTCATGATCCCCGTGTACATGGGCGTGGCGTTTGTGCGCGGAGGCAACTCCGGGCTGCGCCAGTGGATCGGGCTGCGACCACAAACCCCGACGTCGCGCAACAACGACAAGACCGACGAGGCTCTGGAAGCCAAAAAACGACAATGGCGACGGGCCTCGTCCATGCGCCTGAGAGACTACATGGAGGAGGACGACGTGGAACAGATAGCCAAACGGGTAGAGGCCATTCGACGCCAGCGAGACGAGCAGAAGACGCTCATGGACGAGCTCATTGAAATCGACGCGCTGGACGGCACCACCGACGCCGTGTTGCAGGCTACAGAGAAGCACCACCAACAGAAGAAGCAGAAGCAGCAGCAGCAGCAGCAGCAACTGCCTGCCAGCATTCCACCCAAGGCTCCACGTACACCTGCACTGGCCCCTCAAAATGGTAGTGGTGCCCACATAGTGGCCCAGGTGGTTGAGGAGCCTGCGACAGCTTCTTCCCCGACCCGTGACACAGGGACCGTCAGTCCCCCCGCGCAGCGTCCCGAGAGGACAGACTTTAATGTCAAAGGCCAGCCCGAGGTGGGCATGACTTCTCAGAACGTGTCTGCCGTCTTATCTCCGGTTGCGGAGGAGGAATGACTAGTTGATTGCTTTATTTAGCTTCAGAGAGTTGATCCACAAGGGGAGGATACCAAAAAAAACAAAACAACTTGCAGCAGGATCAACACCCGTGCTGCAAATTGGTTGCTGAATGTAGATATAGTTAATGATATTATCCGCACGACGTAGGGAGGCTTGTAGGAGACAGTGTAGGATACGACACAGCGTAGGTGGTTTATCATTGTGCTGGTGCAGGGTGCGGCTGGATCTGCGTAATTCATGCATGAACGACGCACTGGGTGGGAGCTTAAAAAAAGTAAAAATAGCCAGCCCTGCGATCCACCTACTACAACAACACCACAATAACAAGACGAGTACGAGTGCTTCATCTGACAGCACAAACAAACGGTTCATCCTACAGCACTCATTTCGCATCACCGACTCGCTCATCCAACAACTCCTTACGCGACATGCCGCCCCGGTGCACAGCCACGACCGTCAAGGGGGAGCAGTGCAAGAACCAGTCGGTGGTGACCGTGTCTTCTGGTCACTACTGCGGGGTTCACGGCAAGGTCAAGCCTGCGACGACCGGCAAGTACAACCGCAAAGTGCTTGTCGACAACAAGCCGCAGATCGAGGCCAAGCAAGGGTACATTTATGTGTATTCATTGTGCGAGGGCAAGAACAAGGGCGGACGGGTGAATGCCAATCCTCAGATTTTCAACCATGAGAGGCAGGCGTTTGAGAGTCTTCCTGCAAATCTGACGCTGGTCAAGGTCGGATACACAACGAAGACACCTCGGAAACGGCTGCAGGAGTGGTCGAAACAGTGCCAGCATGCCATAGAGCTGCTTCCCAACCCCAAGTATCCGATTCAGCGGCGGAACCAGGAGACGTATGACGCCTCGGAAAACGGCTGGTTGATCTACAAGGAGGCCAAGTCGCCGCAGGCTATTGAGACGCAGGTGCACAATCTGCTGTGGCAGCTGTTTGGCAAGGGCCATGTGGTTTGCGATGGGTGTCATAAGAACATTTCCGACGGCGAGGTGAGAACGCGGACCGACAATGGTATGAACCGGCACGTGGAGTGGTTTTGCTTGGATCGGAGAGATGTTCCTGTCGTCTACGAGATTGTTGGCTGTTTGACGAATGGAGGAGATCCCGAAGAGCTGCCGGCGGTGATGACGAGGCTGAAGTTGGCTCCCAAGGTGAAACAAAAGTCTGGCGGCTGTTGTTGTCAGTAGGGGAGAGTGGTGGACCAGCAAAAGAGGTGCTCATCTCTCACCACAAACAGTACGTCAATCACTACTTGAGGTGTCGTTTCTCTTCTCCATGATGCAGGTCTCGACTACTATGGAAGCAGAACGACCGACGACCGTCGACCGTTAGTCGATCTACACAAGCACTCTCGGATCGGGTTATTTCGCCGCATACGACATCAACAATTGTCCCCTCGTCACGTTCTCAACTGCTACTGCTGAGCTCTTCTGATGGACAAACCAGTCTACTACTCAAGCATGCATGCGCCGTAGCGCCTTTTATTCTTTATAATACATTTGATCATCTTCGCTCTGTCTGGTACCATGAGTGCATTGTAGCTATCCAGTAGCTGCTGCCCTGTACCATTCAGTCTGTTAGTCTCTCTCCACTCAAGTCAAGCTGTGGTTCCTTTGTCGGGTCCGAATCAATCTAGCTGGCCCGGTCTTCACGCACTCTCCAGTCTGTATCCTCTGTTGGTGGAAATCGGACCGGTCCTGTGCAGATAATACCTGGACCTTCCTCTGGACTCTGACGTCTTTCTTCGCTCCGCGTTTTCTCGGCAGCTTTTCTGATGGTGGTCCAGGCGGAGCGGGTTGATCATCTCGCTGCAGTATTGACACAGGATGAGTTTGGAGTCGTTCATGTTTCCAGTCAAGTTGAGGATGTGTTCTCAGAGAGCCGTTGTGTAGTTGTAGCGGCTGTACAGTAGGTGATGATGGGTAATCGGTTCGGTCCGGTTCGGTTGGGTTCCCGGTTGGGTGTTTGAAAACTGGTACTGTACTATCTGGCGGTGCCCGTTCTTTGTCCTCCCTCCCTGCCTATATATATTAGCGGTAGCCTCACCAGAAGCAGGGGTCTCATGACCCCAGATATACTTGTCCACCAGAGCTAGTGGGGTGGGAGTGACAAATGGCGGGGCATGGGCTTGAAACGGGAACCAAGATAGCTGTGACGACCCAAGGGGCAGCGTTGGAATCTCCAGAGTCCAGCGATTCGAGCCCGATTTCTCCGGCGCCTTTTCGGCCTTTTTCCAGCGACATTTAAAGCCCCTCCACCCCTCGGAGTTTGGCCTTTTTTCGGATCTCCTCAAAGTTGCGAGCTAGACCAAAGTCTAACCAGAGGCTAAGTGGAGGCGATAAACCAGCCAAGCCATTGTCAAGTGCGGACCAAGTAAAGTGTCAACTAAAGGGACCAAAGTCAAGTAAATGCAGAGTTTCGGTGAAGAAGTGAAAGCCGCCAGAAAAAGCCTGACAAGGGGAAACCGTTGGGGAAAAAGAAAAAAAAAGAGATCATCCCGCTCGACCCACTCTTCAGCTGATACCGAATGACGCCCAGAAAGAGGGAAACCACCCCCAAACCGCTCAAACCGCTCAAATCACTCGAACAAAAACCCAGACGCCTCAATTGCCGAACAGCATCCATATTAGCTGCCTCAGAGACATTTCCGCACGTTAGGTACAGCCGGTGTGAGACCACAGGGTTCAATTTGCCCACCAAAATGTAGCGTGATTAGCGCGGAGAGTGTCTTACCCAAGTACAGCACAGCGCAGTGGAGGTGCGGAGAGAACCAAACACGGGCGTTTTTGTGTGACATTGTGTGAATTAAACAGTGGAAATCGAACCAGTGCCACATTCTGAGTCGATTGGTGCCAAAAAATCTCCCACTTGCCTCACAAATATCGCCATAAGTAGACGTCTCCGCAGTCACATGGTACAGTTACAGTAGATGCTGTATGACTGCAGATCCAAACTCGACTGTAGAAGTGGAGAATCGCGGAAACATGGCAAAACAAGCGGTCAAGTGCAAATACAGCAGGTGCAGTGCGATAATACCGCCGGTACCTGGTTGCAACCACAATTGATAGTGTACTTTCTCCAACCCTGGTGAATTCAACCATACATAACCATCAGTGAACCATCAGTGCGTCCGAACTGCTCTAGTTGGCGACACAAAGACCATAAAACATTTCCAATCACATCATGGGAGCCGTGTCAACAAGGGGATTGCTATTATAGTAGAAAAGTTGACTCAAAACGAGTATTTGGGCCACATGTTTCCGACAACTTCTCGAATCATACTCTCCACCTTTAGCTTTTGAATCCGCCAAAAAATAAACTGGAGCCGTTTATGTAGTGATCTACCTCGTCCTGTTTAACACATCTTCCAGGACAGATGGGGCAATAAAAAACATACTGGCGTACTCCTCGTGCCCACTTTACACTACTAAAGTGTCGTTATTTTGGTCATAAACTGAAAATTGGACCCCGAAATGTGTCCTAATCATCCAAGCTCCAGAGAAAGAGCTGGAGATAGCAAGACGTACAATATGGTCTACAACAGCAGACACTGGAAACAGGAGACCAAAAAGGAGAAGAAACCATTGTACACGTACAAAAGAACCAAGCCAGCCGCTTCTCGGTTGAGGAAAAAGATTACAGCACCCAGGATTCTCGTATGGTCTCCCACTACAATACTAACTGGGCTCTCTGGTGCTTGACTATGGCTGATCGGACGGGAAGCCGTATTTTCACCAGGATATGGCCGTAACCAGTGCTGCGCCGACCCGGAATCGAACCGGGGGCCCATCGATGGCAACGATGGATTTTACCACTAAACCATCGGCGCTTATTAAGCGTAAGGAAGGGAGGACCACTAGATTGAGAGAACAGATTACGTAATATCACGAGAACCAGGAGCCCTACGACAAATTGGACTTTACAGATTGATAGTGAAGGGCTTAATGTATATTACAGATGTCTTATGGATCTTTAACGTGGATCTCCCTGTTGTGTAAAGTGTTGACTTTAACATGAGAGACTAGAAAAGGTATCGTAGGATCTACAAAGAGCGATAACCTGGCAAAAACATTGACGATTTACACGTCTTCTCAGCTACAGGTTATTGCTCGTTGCCAGATACATGCCCTAGTCGAGCAGGAGGTACTGTCCAACAACAATACTGAAAGATAATAAATAATGCTATATACCAATATGGTTGTTTTTGATTGCGCTGTGGCGATGGACTTGGCTTGTAGCCATTGTGCTTCGGGCAATGACAAGATTGGGTTCTCGCGGAGAGGCGGTACCCCTGGGGTGATTATCGTCCCTTTGCTTATGATCAAATCTTGTGCATAATGTAAAACAACAGGTAAGCTCTGGCTGCCAACACCTGCTGAACATCAACCCTTGTGATTGTCACATCGTCGAAATTGTACCAATGCATATCCCTGCCCTTGACCATACACGTGTAATGTCCCGTGTTCAAGCTGCCATGATGACAAACGACCGCGTACAGCTCGTAAACAAGCCCGGACTCCTGAGAACACGTATACGGGCTCATATCCAAATACAAAGGGAACTCGACATGAGTATCTATCTTGGACGACGATGATCCGGTGTGTTGGAACCGTTTGAGTTGGAAAGAAAGCACCACGGGTGGTTTCTTCAGAGCCAGCGTCTTGGAGACCGATTCATGCGACTTGCAGTTTTCACAAAAGTACTCCATCTGCTCAGGAGCAGTGTACTTGTCCAAGCAAGACGACAGAGACGCCTGACCCTTGAGCGGGATCTGAAGGGACAGGTCCATGAGCGGATCGTACGTGTGGGACGTATGTGAACACCCATTACACGTGGCAGTGGATTGTAGAGTGCCCCCAAAAGTGCGATGGGAAATGCAAGTGCAGTCAGAAGTGTCTGAACAGGAGCCCGACTCGGAAATCGAGTCCCACGTGTTCTTGAACTGCACCGGGATGTCAGACGAAGCGCCTCTGTCTTCATCCAGACCCTCTTCCACCCTCACCAGAGAAGAACCATGCAGTTCATTGACGAGAAACTGCCAGAACTCATGCGCATCCTGCTGCGAGTAGCCTGCAAGCTGCCGGTTGATGTTCCACGACGAGATCATAAGGGAAACGGGTCCATAACCTTGGACTGTAGCCGAGGCATAAAACTTGGAGAAACAGTCGTCAAGAGCACAGGCAATGCAGTTGTTGGGGTTCGGGGACAAGGTGGCATTGGCCCACGTGATGAGCGTGCTCAAAGGGAGATCACGTGACTCGCGCTGGATCGTCTCCGGCAGTTCTTCGTAGTAGTCGCAAAAGTCCGAGTATGTGATTGTGCCGTCGGCTATCGCTCGTTTCAGCGCACAGAGTCCGAGGGAGTGGTTTTGGGCGAGAAAGTCGTTTCGGATCAGCGGGTTGTGGATCAGAGTCTGCACTATGACCGACATGAAGCAGGTGGCTCCCATATTGACGAGTCCTCTGAGGCCTCGGGTTGAAGATATCGACGGTTGTGTGAAAGACGAGGGAGGAGTGTGGGTGCCATTTGTTCCATTTGTTCCGTTAGTGCCGGTTCCGTTAGTGCCGGTTCCGTTTGTCCTTGGGTTGGTAGATCCAGGAGCCATCTTGAGGCCTCTCCAACGGCAGAGCACCTTCAGCCGTCTCTTTTCCAGCTCCTGGCCGTCCACAAACTCGCTGCAGCTATAGCAATAGACACATGCGAGCGGATCCAGGCTCGGCTTGATGCCCAGCTTGATATCAGTCTTTTTGAAGGCCATGTCGATGAGTGTATTGTGGGGCGCCTGATTCGGCGTCTTTTTCGTCTTGAGCAAAAAGAGCACGATTTTCGCATAGTCGCGCACAAAATGCGACGCGTTGGACCCCGTGGCCACCGCTTTGACGTGCTCACAGCCCCAGTCCATGATTAGCGAGCGCAGTGGTGTGGACGAGGTATGAACCGAGATGCACACGATTTATATTTTGGCTCGCATTGTGGAGTATGATCTGAAGTTTAATGAACGGGGAGAAGGACCGAAAAAGTGGTGATGGAGAAGAGATGGGTGGATGATGGGAGGATAATGGAGGTTTGCGGGGAGAGTTGATGTTGGAGAACTTTTCAAAAACAAATTCGGAGCTGAAATGAGCAAGACGAAGGCGGTTGGTATAACTGAGAGAAACCTGCTTAGATCTAGTTGGGATGGGAAGAGAATGGTAATAAGTGTTTGTTGGAGATACTTTTGAGATTTTTGCGCCACATCTGTGGATGAAAATGCCATAGGAAGTATCACTGTTTGTCTTGGAAGATCTCAGCGACGTCGTGGGATCATGTTGATGTATGTTTTCACCTTGCTCCATCGTACCGCTTTACTTAACATATATAACGTTTGTTAGGTTTCGTAGATGACATTCACGGAGCTAGTTGAGATGTTACCGACCTCAGAGAGTCCACCAAATGGCCGGTTACAATGTTCAGTATTGTTGCAAAAAAGTACTCCGTCATCTGATGACGCATTTTAGACAAACTATTGTAATATTCAGGTCAAAATACGTCCCAAAAGTGCGTATTATACCACCTCCTTTCAACCGACGAATCTCCCTCACTTTTTTTTTTTGTCTGAATGACCGAGTTTATTTTTATTATTTTTATTTTTTTGGCAGAATTGCCGAATTTCTTTTTTTTTCTCTTTTTCTGAGAAATGCCGCTTGTACGACGCAATGATTAGTACCCAATTACCACGGGTACCCAACTCGTGCCACAATCTCGCCCATAGCAAAGCCGCCACTTTCTCTACAAATAATGGCCAAACCGGCACCACCAAGGTGACTAAGCGGAGGCTGTGAATCTTAGATACAACTGTAGACAAAATCACGCCATCAGAAGATAGTATACATATCGGCGAATACGGAGTCGATCGAAAAACTAAAAACACAGAAATGTTTGGCTTGACGGGAAGAACAAAATCATATTAGTATCTCCCCGAAATATCTTCCCCAGCATCCGCAAGCTCCACCTCCAAACTCCTCGTCGTAACCTAATACGCCTGACCCAATCAAGCATATAAAATGAGCCCTGCTCCCAGCATCTCTAGAATCACTTCAAGCCACGCCAACTCGGCCATTTTTCAGCCAGTTTGAAATCCGAAACCGGAAATCGAACCGCCAGGCTTTTGCGAGTCGTTTTTTACCCCAGATCTCCGCCCACAACCATGTCTTTCCTCCTAAATCTGATTCCCGCAATCTCCCACACCAATCATGACGAAATGCACGAACCTAATCAGACTCACCTCCACAGGCACGCTGACACATCTCCAACCAACCAGCACAACACCAGCCACAAAATGACAACGACCGAACCGATCCACGTGACAACAGGCTCGGGCGAATCACGTGACCACACAGAACCGCGCCACGTGACTCCGACGTCGCCGAACGCGCTTGACGGCCGCAGAATCACCATCGCATATGCGACCGAGACCGGCAACGCCCAGGACTTTGCCACGCTGCTGGGAAACGCATGCACCCGGCTCCGGTTCGAGAGTCACGTGGTTCAGATGAACGACCTGAGCCCCGAAACTCTGGCGCAGGACGTTTCTGTGCTCGTTATTGTGTGTTCTACCACTGGCCAGGGCGAGATTCCTCTGAACGGAAAGAAGCTGTGGAAGTTCCTTCTCCGAAAGAAGCTCCCGCCCAATCTTTTGAGCCACGTGACATTCACGACGTTTGGGCTCGGCGATTCGTCCTATCCCCGGTTCAATTGGGCTATTCGGAAGATTCATAAGCGGTTGAGTCAGCTGGGAGCTTCTGAAGTGGGATCGCGTGGAGAGTGTGACGACATGTCTCCTGATTCTATCGAAACCATGTACAATGAGTGGCAGGCCCGTTTTTGCGAGTCTCTTCTCAAGGCTTTCCCCTTGCCTGAAGGAGTTGAAGTCATTCCTGGTGAGAAGTTGTTACCAGCCAAGTTCCCGGTCAAAGTGCTCACAAACAAGCCCAAGAGGGATACCAGTGACGCCGACCATGTGGCATGCACTCGGAAGGACGTTTTGCAGGGCACTGTGGTGGGTAATGAGCGAGTTACTGCCAAGGGACATTTCCAAGACGTGCGCTTCTTTCAGATTGACGCCAACACGGAAGATAACGACATGGCCGACCTGTCACGGGACTTTTCCAAACTTAACAGTGACTCACGTGACCTGCACGATGTTTCCCGCGCAGTCTCTGCTGGTTCTTCCATTGATTTTTCTACTGGAGACACGGTTTCTTTGTTTCCCCAGAATTCCGTTGCCGATGTGGATCTTCTTCTTCGAGACCAGGGCTGGGAGGATATTGCTGACTACAAGCTTGACGCCCCTTCTCTTCCTCCTATTGAGGGAGGCTATGTGACTCCTCTGACACTTCGGTCTCTGATTACCCATCATTTGGACATCATGGGTATCCCTCGACAGTCGTTTTTCACCTATGTGTTTCATTTTGCCACCAGCGAGCGTCAGAAGGAGCGTCTTCAAGAGTTTTCGCAGCCGGGAGAAGGTCTGGAGGATTTGTTTGACTATGCCAACCGACCGCGGCGTTCGATTCTCGAGGTTGTCACCGAATTTGATTCTCTCAAGATCCCTCTCAAGTACGTGCTTGATGTGTTCCCTCTGATGCGTCCTCGACTGTTTAGTATCAGTCAGAAGGCCCATACTATGCCCATCCAGCTGTGTGTTGCCATTGTTAAGTATCAGACTATCATCAAGCGTATTCGAGAGGGAGTTTTGACTCGGTGGCTTGGAGGACTTGCGATTGGCCAGAAAATTGTCTTCACCAAGCACTCTACTCCCATTCCCGATCTCGACAACTACGATGTCATCATGGTTGCCCCCGGCACTGGCGTGGCTCCCATGCGGTCGTTGATCTTGTCTCGGGAGTCTGAAAAGGAGACTGTGTTGTTCTTTGGCAACAGATTCCGAGAGAAGGACTTTTTGTTCCAGGCCGACTTGGAGAAGGCCGTTGGAGACAAGAAGCTGAATCTGTTCACGTCCTTCTCGAGAGACGAAAACTCGGGAGGTTACGTCCAGCAGGAAATGTACCGGCAGAAGGAGCTGGTTGCCCGGGTGCTTTGTTCGAAGCAGGGAGTGCTGTATGTGTGTGGTAGCAGTGGCAAGATGCCTCGAGAGGTGCGAATCACTGTGGTCACGTGCATTCAGGAGGTGAATGGGTGGACTGAGGAGCAGGCCGAGGAGTGGGTCAAGGGTATGGAAAAGAGTGGACGGTATTTGCAGGAGACGTGGTAGACCATTTAACGGCTACGCAACCTGAGGCTAGCGGTGTTATTGACGACCCTTGTTGTCATGACCACAGTTTGCCAAAGTGGCATCTTTCTACGACATGATGATTAGATGATTTACATGATGAATGAGACATGATTTACATGATGAGACATGATGAGACATGATGGGACATGACAAGGCATGACAAGGAGACAATGAGTACGCACTACAGTACGCACTACAGATCCTGTAATAATCAGGTTCTGTACTCGTACTTGTACCGTACTTGTACAGTGTGCACCAGCCGAGGTTGGATAAATGGTGAGCTCCGTGACTTGATTGACTCGATACTTTTCTGCTCCATCACGTTTGTTGAGCGTATTTGGACTATCTCCGATCAGTAAGTGCAACCGACCACCTGCCTCTGAGCAGTGTGTGTAGCTACAGTAGCACATGCTTTGGACTGACAGTACTCATTTTTAGGGCGTGATATGAGCGTCCAAGTAGCGCACCCAAGTAGCGTCCAAGTAGCGTCCAAGTAGTGCCCGAAAAGGGCCAAAATAACGCCCAAATGGCGCCCAAATGGCGCCTAAATGGCGCGTGTGTGTTTTCCCGTTCCCATTAAGCCTTCTACTCATGCAAGGTTGTTTTTTGCTTCCAACCAGCGCATTTTTGGCCGGGTCAACGTGGAAAAAAAGGGGGAAGGGTCAAAAAAGCAAGACATGAGACAGACAAGCAACGGTTATTGGCGACATCACCGAAACCTACGACAGGGTGCAGTAAACGAGGGGAGAAGCGTTGTAATAAGAGGCGCCAAGCCGGCAAGTTTGGAAGCAAGACCTACCAGGTACGAGTAGGGGTGGTGGTGGTGGTGGGATTTACACCAGCATGGGTACGGTGGAGGTGGTCGGTGGAAGGTGGTCGGTGGAAGGTGGTCGGTGGAAGGTGGTCGGTGGAAGGTGGTCGGTGGAAGGTGGTTGGTAGTCGGCGACAGGTGATAGGAGATGCGGTAATACAGTCTAATGGAAACGGGACGATCGGGTAGATCAGAATCCATTCCAATGTAACTCCAATCTCGTTGAACTCGTGTGCTCCATTGTCATCGCTTGTTCAGTTTTTTGCCTTTTTTAGACTCATCTGTCTGTTGAACCTTTTTTCTTTTTTTTTTGTTGAACCTTTTTTGTAACTTTTTAAAACTTTTTTTAAAACTTTTTTTGTTTGAAACTTTTTTGTTTGAAACTTTTTTTGGTCGTTATTTCAAACCGGACGCACGTAACACATATTGCAAGACTTTTTGTGGCATTGTGTGCATTGTTTAAGACTGCCTGAGGGAGGCACGAGTTTGCGTCGGTCTTATTGTTTGTGCGAGTTGGAGTGTTGTTGGAGGGTTGGAGTGGAGGGTTGGAGTGGAGTGGTGAGTGGAGTGGTGAGTGGAGTGGAGGGTTGGAGTGGAGTGGTGAGTGGAGTGGTGAAGTGTGTGTACGATAGCCGACCACAGCAGGTATCTTTTCCAACACTTGCTGACACTTGCTGATCCCATATCCCATATCCCATATCCCATATCCTATAACCCTTGCTGACTCCCGATTGTTCACAATGACCTCACAATGGGCTTCCCTGCAGACGAAAGGCAAGGAGCAACATGTCAGCGGTGGACGAGGGTGCAAAGAGGGGAAAGGAGAGAGATGCACCGCTGGCCAAGCTCTGGAGGCGTTTAATAGCCAAGAGGCGTCCGTCGACAACAATGGGCGGTTTACCGAAATGAGTGCATTAGCCGAGGCTGGAGGGGTAGTTTGCGCACCGGCAGGCAGTTTTGTTGAGTCACGTGGCCTGGATTTGAGGGGGGAGTGGCTGATTCGATCAAATCGCCATTCCAACTTCGGACGTGATCCATGTGATGGACGGGATCGACACTGTTTCACTTTGACGATCGCTCGTATCCCACGCGGCAACGTCAGGGCAAGGCAAATTATCGCAAAGGCAGCGACAAGAGTTCGGAAAAACGGCGGACAAAGAAGACGCAGCAAGATGCAAAGGCAGACAAGTTGACGGAGACCCAGGTTGCCACCCAGCTAGGGCCCGGTCGCGTCTCATCCGCCCCAGCTGGGGTGCAGTAGGCCCATTGTGCTGTGCCAGTACGTGGTTGGTTTCATGCCCTGTTTTCCCGATTGCCAACAAGTCCTGATGCAGAGCTGTATGACAGTGCTTGGTATTGCACTCTGACGCCGTTACACTCGCTCATTTCAACTCCAGGGACAAAGACCCGCTTCCCTCCCGGGCCCCTTGGGGTGGATGGTCCGACCTTTGCTCTCAACAGCCAGTGCCGTATGAAAAACCGGTTCGTTGATATAGACGGTGATGCACGGATGCACGGCTGCACGGAAATCGGTTATTGTTGACTTGTCAGCTCCCTCATCCACGGCAGGGTCTGGAGAGGTTGGTTTACGAGGAGTTGGTGAGAAGAAACGAAGAGAATAACCAAACCAAGGGGAAAGAAAAGCACGCCCGCCGGCAGACCCGACGGAACCCCTCTACCCTACCCCGTTTCCGGGCGCAATGTACTGTAGCCAAGAAGCCCACCGTTGGAAATGAGACCATGCCATTGTCCTCCATTGTGTGTAGCAGGACGGCCATACGTCTCGTACTTTCCTCCTCTCCAGGTCAGAGTTTCGACGGGGATGTGGTTTCAGGAGTAATAACGGCTTCTTTGTATACTGGTCTGAGGGGAGTTGGCCGTTATCGCTAGTTTCAGACCGTTGGCGTTAGTTGGTCTAGAGGGTCGATTGTATCGAGTAGGGCAACAATCCACAGTCAAGTACACAGTCCAAGTTCGCAGTCCAACCACACAGTCCAACCACTTCAAGTACACCAACTCACCACTTCAAGTACACTAACCCACCAACTACAGAGCAATCGTACACGCCCAGACTCAACCCATTTTATGTTTATCCAAAGTTCAACATAGTCATGCACCAGCTGGCGGGGTGCGTCTCAAATGAGAATGACGTAGAGGAAATACGAGGGCGATATTATTTGCGGGAGCATGGACACGTCCATAATATGCTCTCTACACGGCTCTTTCGGTCCGGCTAGTGGGCGGGCCTTTTAATCTCGCCTCCGTCGCGCCAGATCCACACCCGGGGACTCGCCAGCATGTGGCCCAGCCCTGCGCACACCCGCTCCAGGCAAACGAATAGCGCTTTGTGCCGGGATAATTTGCTCACGGGAACAAAGTCAATTCTTTTGTCTGTTGTCTGGAGAAGGATGGAGAAAAAGACAAAAACACAAGCCAAGTTCCGACTCTGAAACCCTTTGTCCTAATCTCATCTCGCGGTGGGCAGTGGTGAGTGTTGAGCTGGGTTGGGTGGTTCACGTAGACTCGCGATAAGGGGTACGATTATCGCGCCCCGGAGGTTGAAGACTTGGGAAATCAACTCCTCCCATGTATATAAACCCATTCGTGTTTTCCCCACGTCCCGCGACCGCGTTTCAGACCGTCTAATCGCCTTCTTTTGTCTCCTAGTCAGCCTCGCATCTACACATCCGACGTGCATAACGGCTTTTTCTCCAGCAGCTTTTATACCACGACCAGTCCCTGTATCAAGCCACAAACCCCATGTTCGGCACCCTCAGTTTCAACACAGACACCGACACTAGTATCCGAGCCTGCGACAATTGCAGATTGCGGAAAGTAAAGGTGAGTAACCGCTTCCACAGGTTTCATGTACACTCTCATGCTAACACAGTGCCCTAACGTGAGCAACCTAGTGAAACCCATCAATGGCAAGTTCCAGCCGTGTGCAAAGTGCACAGAGCAAGCTCTCTGTTGTACTTATGACCGAATGGCCAAGAAGAAGGGCCCCAAGGTCTCTCCAAAGACTCTTGATCTGGTTCTCAACCAGCCCTGGGAACTCACGGACCAGATTGCCACGGTTCATTTTGAAAAGGAGCAGCAGTTTGTTGTCAACTCGTCTCCGCCACCATTGGAGATCCATGTCGAGCAGCCCAACCAATTGCTCTCCACCGCATTAACCAGCTACTTTCAAAACAACTACACAACGTACCCCATCATTGATCTGGCAGACGACAATGAGAGCTTACTGCAGGGGCTGCGACTGGCCAACATGATCCACAGCTACAAAAACGGAGTCGACAACGTCACACAGACAAGTCTGCTGGATCAGGTCCAGCAAATACACCTCAACCGGCTGTCAAACCCGTCGGACTCGGTCACCTTGCACTCCGTCTGCGACTCCATCTTCATACACATGGCCATGACCGCTTTGGGCAACACAAACAAGGCCATGGTGTATCTCAGCGAGGCCCATAGCTACTACTTTCTGTGTCAGCCTACGGAAAACGAGCCGCGACGAAAACGAATCAACTGCATTCTCACCAGCCTGAGACTCGAAACCGGAGCACACCACTTGTCTACCGAGATGCCCAGCTACTCTTTTAACGAGTTGACTTCCCTGCCCTACTATGGCCCTCTTGCTCATCTGTGTGACGACTCCTACAATCACCAGGTCATTTCTCTGCTTCTTTGGCACACCGCCATGTGTGTCCAGAGAGGGCATTATTTTTCTTCCAAAGGATGAAAATGAGAATCCAACTGTTCACCACCACTGCCACAGTCCACCAGCATTAATATATAATCAATAATAACTAACCTGATAACTTTTCCTACAGTACAAAGTAGAATACCCGTACCATGGCATATTGAGACATTTTCAATGATATAAGGAGATACAAACTCCACCATTCACTCCAAAATTCGACGCTGATTACAATGGTACCAAAATCTTCATCTCCCGCCACACAAAAATCTCGAGATATGTACGTCTCTCTGCCCTGCCTGCGTTGCGGCGTAAAAACTGCTTTCAAAACACGTGCAAGTGCACGGGGTCAAATTAATTCGCTTCCGGGAGATTGATAACTGTGCAAATAAGCGACGATAAAAAGCAGGGTTGTTTTTGAGCAAATATAAGCTGTCCTGAAGCGGTCGAAATACGCGACCTGTATGTATGTTGTGCATTCGGTACTGTGCCTCCAACGGTACGAAAACAAGACGTAATACGGCGAATGTGGCCGAAATTGGAGTTGAAATGGAGCTTTGAGTCATGCGGCGGCGTAAAAGGGTTCTGAAATGTCTTTGAAACGACACTGAATTACTCATGGTCCGTTTTAGCCATTTTCCCACTTTTTCACCAGACTTGAAGAATTAAAAAAAGAATAAAGAATTAAGAAATGAAAAAAAAAAACCCCCGAAAGAAAAAGAGAGAAAAAGAAAGAAAAAACAACAAAACAAACAAACAAACAATGCACTTGTTCGCTAGAGATAAACCAAAATAATATACACAATTTACCTCTCTCTACAAACTCCTTAATTTACGGGGATCTCATCCCATCTCCCCCACCCCACGTGACTCTCTCCACCACGTTGCGACGAAACTCTATGTGACCCGCGCCCCGAACCTGGTCCGAGATCGGAGCCGAGCCGAGAGGAGAGGAGGAAAGGAGCCAGCCGCGGTGGGAGTGCGGGGAAATAAATCGGACGACGGAAACGAGCACTTGCGCGTGCACGTGACGCGGAAGGCATCGTCTGGGTCACGTGACCGCCCCGCCCCCCACACACGCACCCAGGTCTGTTGCGTGCACTAGCCCCTCAGCATAGAGTTAAAGCAGGCAGGTAGGGTTTTGTTAGCAAACAAACCGAGGAGCGAGAGACTCAAGGTAATGTTTGAGGTGATGGAGTCTCCGAGGAAACAGCGGAGGAAAGCGGGTGAAATGGGAGCCGAGTTTCTGCAGGAGGTTTCGAGTTACATGAGCGGAGCAGACCCTCTTTATATAGTAAGTGGTAAAGTGCCCCACCTGACTCTTCAGATGGTGTGACACTCACCCACCCACTCTCCCCCACAAAAAAATAATTAACTTTATCAGTGCATAAATGACACACTCTACACCTGTAGAGTCGATAATCAGAAACCTGGACTTGACTAGACAGACACCCCATCACCCTACAGTACTGGTACCAGTTTGGCGATGAACTCTTTCAGCAAACTGGCCGAAAACGTGGTCGACGGCGTGAACGATGTGCTGACTAATCCGGCCTATCACGAGTATTTGGCGGTCTTGAAGGGCACGAGAAATGGTGAGTGTGGGCGGAGGCGAGGGTGAGGGGGATGGTGAGGCGAGGGGGGTAGTTTGAGGGGGGTTGTGACAGTGGCTACATTGTTGGTGCTGTGGTTTCTGTGGATGCTGCGGTGTTGTGGTCGTTGTAGATCTATCGATTGATCGATCGATCTATGGTGTGCCTGAGTGTGTTTGGGATTTGTTGGAGGTGGCTAGCATGATTGTGGTTGATGTGGACTGTGAGTCGCGGGTGGGTCACAGAAGCTCACATGGACTGTCGCATTGGACTGGTCTGGCTGATGGCTATGGAGATGGCTATGGAGCTGAAATAAAATGGGTTTCTGAGAAACTTGTTCTGAGTGATGCTATTATTGAAGGGGGTTAACGGTGAATGCGGGCGAACGGTGAATGCGGGCAAACGGTGAATGCAGGCAAACGGTGAATGCGGGCAAAAAGGTCATCCTATCCCACACTTCCTGGAATGGTTCAAACTCTTACCATTCTGCGGGCTTCTTGAGAGCCCGTGCTGTTGCAGCAGTCCAATTGTCTAGATACTCTTAGGTTTCAGATTTCAGATCTCAGATCACAGTCGTGACCAAAGACTGGTTTCGCAGTGCTCTCAGTTCTTAGCTTGTCAGACGTCCCTAAAACATCCACAGGCTCGCCATGCTCCTTCGCTAGACTCTGACATTCTCCAGTCACTGATCGTTCAATCCAATTAGTCATTTCTTTTTCTTATCCCCACACAGTCAAAATCTTTCCATCCAGCCCCTACACACTGATCTCACAGTCGATTCTGGTGACTCATACGGTTTCAGTGTGCCCATCTGTTGACCGTCTCCACTAGATGAGACGGCGATAGGGCGTTGTGTCTGTTAGAACACACGGCCTTCACTACTTATTCCCATACTAACCCAGGAATCGTCTACGGAGGACGTCTCCGGTTCTCACACGCTCTGGTCATGGCTCTCCTCTTCCGTTCAGGACCTTGGTCCAAACGATGGGCTTCCATTTTCAAAGCGACCCGTCAACACGCCACGTCGCTCGGCTCTTTTGTGTTCATCTACAAGAGCGTTCTGCTGCTGCTCAAAAAGTCCCGTGGAGACGGCGTTGCCAACCTCAAACACATTGAGCACCGAAATAACGGCATGGACGCCTTTATCGCCGGTCTTATTGGTGGCTATCTGGTGTTTGGACGCGAGTCTGCGCCCTCCCTCAACCAGCAGATTGTGCTCTACGTCTTTTCGCGAGTGGTTATGGGCTTTGGCAACCTGCTGATCAAAAAGGTGCTGCTGCCCATGTGGAGACAGCAGCAGATGAAGGACGGGTTCATTGGTGGTGTGACTGCACAGTCTCGTGCCTCCAAGTTCCGAAATGTGTCTTGGGCCGTGTTTGCCTCCGTGTGCTGGGGTCTGATCATGTATCTTTTCCGAACCGATCCCGATGTCATTCAGCCAAGTATGCTGCACTCGTTGAAGTACCTCTATGTGGACAGTGAGAGTTGGACGGGAATGGGGGATTTCTTCTAATCCTGTGAGAGGCGGCTTGCAGACATTGAACCGGGGGAACCGAGGATGGGAAATGAGCAGCAGAAACGCACTTTCCAACTCGGCCCACACCTGTAGATACACGTACTGTATTGTTTAGTTAATTTATTGTGACTTTTGAACGGTGGAACCAAGCACCCAACCAACAATCACGGCTCGACGACATAGTACTTCAAGACATCTGAAACACACCCATCTTTCTATCTAGTCCTGCAGCGAGTCCATTGTAGGTTACTATAGCTAGAGGGCCGCTCTGGTGTGTTTGGTGCCAGGGTCAGAAACACATTGTGGGCCGTTTGTCGTGAAACATGTTGAGAAGGATCGTTGTCGACTTTGAGAGCTTGGGCGTGCTTTCAAACATGCTAGTTGGTGCGAGTGCAACTTCTATATACAGACGGTTTAGCAACTGGAAGTAAAAAACAGCAAAAGTGAATCACGTGAGCCAGAGAAGTCACGTGCTCCGAGTCAAACACCGAGAAGAGAAGTCGCAGGATTGTCTGATGACCGGGTCCACATCCCCAGTCTGGATCAATCTCGTATAAGATGATGCTTGGTTACATGTACTGCGCTCTACTACGTTGAACTTTGCGATGCACAGATTTTCTTCTCTCAGTGAAGACAGACCCGGTAGATGAAGGTACTGAGTCCAGTCATCGAATCAGGAGGCCATTCTGAACACATTGGTTCTGTTTTTCACCCGAAAAGTCGATACCGTACCTGGATCGTAGTACTTGGATAGTGAATGCTCTAGTGTAGCGATCTGACTGTTATGAACTTCACCATCTTCTACTAGTATAGCGAATATAATGCGGTACTTGTACAGAACCGATGATCGTAGACCGTATGTACTATTGTATCATCTGAATGCGGTCCTGTCAACTCGGACAGAGGCCCACAGCAGCAAGCGTCTGACATGATGGTCAGGAGACTGGTACCTCGAAACTACTGTAGTCTTCTCAACTACTCCAAGTATGGGTGATATGTAGACAGGCATGAGAGCATTCTCTCGAGCTTGCGGGCACAGTCTCTCGTCGCTCGCACAGACTTGTCGTTCCTCCATGTCGCACAGTTCTCTGGCTGTATAAAAAATCAACTTTTACTATTTAATCCTCCTCTCTCTCCCTCATGGCTTCTCCTTATGGTCCCTCCCCTAACGTCCTAGGCCCTTGTGTCGTGGCAAGCTCCGCGATACGGGCAATGTGATTCTCGTTTTCCGGCTTGCAGCCATGTCGCTGCCCCGCCTATTTACATTTTTACTGCTTCTTGGGCACAAAGGGGGTGGCATTGGCCACGTCGAAGCTGACCTTGGAAGGCTCGCTGGACTGCTGCATCTGCTGGTGCTGCATCTGCATCTGCTGTTGCTGGTGCTGATGCTGCTGGAGACCGGGGAAGGCCTCAGCCTCGGGATCCACGTCCTCCACCTTGCCAGCCTCATCTCGCTCCTCCAGGGGCAGCACCCACTGCTCCCAGCCCTGCTGCAGTCGGATTCTATCGCCAACCACCTGCAAAGAAGGAGCAAACCGACAGGCCTGCATAAAGACAGCCGGGTCGTGTGCCAGGGCCTTGACCCGGTTGAAGCCGGCAATGAGCGTCAGAGGCACCAGGCCGGCGCTGTTCATCTGTTTCCGCATAAACAGATCCTTGCACAGGTTCTCCACGCTGAAATAGTACTCCACCTGGCCAATGATGAGACTCAGAGCGTACTCGTAGGCTCCGGGGGGCTGGTAGAAGCCGGGCTGGCCGGGTGCGCCGCCCTGGGGCTGGAAATCATTCTTGTAGTAGTTTTTTCGGTAGTTGTATCGCATCTTTCGCTTTTCCGAACCACCGGCCCCACCGGCCCCTTCAGCTCCACCGTCAGAAGACCCGCCACTTGCAGAAGCTCCTGCGCCGGTGGCAGACGAGTCGGATGCATCTTTCTTGTCTCCATGGGGAGCTCTGGGTTTGGATTTTCGCCGGGGTTGCGAGGACTGCGATTGAGAGCCATTCTGGCCGGTCTGGTTGCCTTGTCCCTTACTTCGGCCGCCTCGCTTGCCGCCGTTCATGACCAGAGTGGGAGTATAGGGCACCCACTTTTCGCCCTTGCCCATTTTCATCTTGGGGGCTGCGGGCGACGTGTCTCGCTTGTCCTCAAACGAGGGGGGAGCAACAGCCACCGTGTCGCTCTTGATCTTCCACGCATTCACCTTTGGTGGCGGTGCGGGTGTTAGGGAGGTGATCACGGGCTCTTCGGACGACACAGACTTGTCTCCGCCTTTCATGTCACCAGCAGCAGCCTTTTCACTGCCATCAGCCTTGTCCTTGGCTGCCGGCTGCGGCCCCTTGTCGCTGGCCACCTCCTTGTCGTTAGCGTCCTGAATCATCTCGCCCTCCACTCGCTCATCCTCCTTGGCAACACTGGCGTAGGATGGAGCAGACATTTTCAAAGAATCCGTATACTGCTTGTGTGTGGTGTATGACTGGTGGTTCAGACGGCAGGGTGTCGTGTGAAAAGTGTGAAAATTGACAAAGCAAAAAAAAAGTTTGTTCACTGAAAAACGACTCGCAGTAGGGTTACCGAGGAGGTTAGGGTAGCCCGCCCGCCGGGGCACCCAGACGCTCGAGTACGGCGCCAGGGACAAATACGGGGGCCCACGCGGGGTCTGGCGACCGTTTCGAGTCTCCCGGAGGTCTCAGAACCCGCAGATTTCGCCTCAATCACTCTCCGTGTCCGGCGTCATGTTCAGTCCAGATCACCCCCCCATAAAGTTGACCGGCGTGCGAGTGGGTGTTTTGAAAGCAATTGAACTCGTGCAAATGTGGACACATGTGGCTGAAAATGGGGAAATCAACTAACAAGACGACTCTGTTCATCCTGGGCAAAAATCAGCCAAATCAAACCACTTTCAGACCATCTTTGACCGGCTCAAAACCACTACCACTCCCAACTCTATTCGCCAGGACTGAAAATACACCATGAGAAGAAACAACTGAACCTGATGGACTATAGACCAAGCCCAATAGCGGGGAAAAACCAGCCAAAATGACAATAGATCAACCACCTCCAAGAAAAGACCCCCCCCCGCACACACCAATTCCCAAATCACGTGATAAACCCATACACTTCTCCGCCCCTGCAGTCTATGCCATAGACTGTTCTGTTGTCATGGAGACGGCAGGGCTACAGATGCAGTACAGTAGAGTATGTACAGTAGAGTAGGTAGACTGATGAGAAAAGAAAAACAAATAAAAACTATTAGTAATCGGAGCCGAGGACCCCTCTCGATGACGTCACGTGACAACCCCCCACAGATTCCGCAGTCATATTGATGAGATGGATTTGCATTGGGTAAAGTGCCTATCCACGTCCTGTAGCTACTGTACCTGAATGTACATACGGGTATGATACACTCCATGACTACATTTACCCGTACAAGTTTGTGCCAGTGGATGTATGCGGTAGGGTAACTTGCGGGATAATGTGGTGAATTTTTGCAATTTCGACTGGATTTGTGTGTGTTACGTCTAGTCTATGTCTAGTGACTGTTTGACAGGGGCTGATTTGATTGGCTGTATTTTTTATTGTAGGTTGGCATTGCTTAATAATCAGGGTGTTTGTTGCAGACAATCGTGCTTTAGTAATCAGGGCGTGCTGCAGACTTGTGCTTAATAATCAGAGAGATTACCGTAGACTCATGCTTAATAATCAAGCGTTTGCTGCAGAGTAATACGAGACTACATAGTTACTCCACACCGCCACCACAACATGTTGCCTAGAACCCCGCTATTTCAGGCCGCCAAGACGTTTACCAGCAAGCCGCGAGGCGCGCGCAAGCCTGCGATTCCGCTGATTGCGCCGCTGCCTCTCTACCGACAGCTGCTGAGAGCGCACCGAAAACATCTTGACCCGGATCGACGGTCGCTCGGAGACATGTACATCAAGAGCGAGTTCCGGCTACACAAGGACATCCAGGACCCGCTGCAGATTGTGGGGTTTCTGTCGCAGTGGCAAAAGTATCTGGAGATGATCAAGGGCGACACTTGGAGACAGGAGAAGCTGGATTTGTCCGTGTTGCAGAAAATGTCTGACGAGCAGATTGTGCAATTGTACGAGCTCATGCAGGCTGCTCAGGACGAAAAGTCCGAGTACGGAGTCTTTGATGATTTGACCGACAAGAGGTAGTTGGAGGTGGAGGTTTACACACGAAGACAGACGTTCGACGTAGCCCCGCGGTGATGAGTATGTACATATGAATGTTAGTTGACTAGGTGAAATGTAGTGGTTGATAGTTGGAGTTGGAGTAGGGGTGGTCTGGATGCTATGGACGAGTCACATGACCTCACGATGGAGACAGTGGTATATGAATGATATTTGCATCTCTGAGCGTGCGAATCAGTATCAAGCCGTAGTTCTAATCGACTGTTGCCAACCTGCTGTCCAACTGCTCCTACTGCCAACTGCTCCATGTAGTTTCCGGTGATCACACATGAAGACAGCCAATGATAGATGATCCCCCAGATGTGCCTCGCAAACACTCTGGATTTGTCATCTCCATACTACACCTCTGAGGGTTCTGAGACAGAGGGACCAGAATGGGCAACGGATGACATGCGGTAACTGCTACTTGTAGGCTACATGTCGATAGCTCCGTACTTCCATCTCATTATCACCTTAGGAGGTCAGTCTGTAACCCATAATGACTATATTCAGAGCTCCAAGTACCTCTCATGCTTGAATTGCTAACATGTCAAGAGACAAGTCCACACTAGGACTATAGTCGACTAGAGTTGTGAGCTTTTGGTTGGTGCCTCTACAGCGGGTCTTTCAGTGGTCAATTGGACTCAAACAGGAGGCTGGTAAAATGAAGTAGATTCAACAGCTAATGAGCTCGGACACGCCCAGCGGCATCTAGCTCGACATGTGTATCAGTCCCCAGTTGATCTTGATCTGATCCACTACTAATGGCACTGTTATATCAAGAGATCAAATCAGTAATAAGACCAGTTCACAGCTGAATCACTACAGAAAGAGTTTGTTTGTTCCTGAGGACTATAGAAAGCATTTTCCAGCACAATGAACATAAACAAGACAGAAGCAAGACAGAAGACAGATGCAAGAGAGAAGCAAGACAGAAGCAAGAGAGAAGCAAGAGAGAAGCAAGAGAGAAGCAAGAGAGAAGCAAGAGAGAAGCAAGAGAACAACCAAAGTAACAGTTCAAGACAATATAACTGTTGTAGCATGCTCTACTTAAGCCCTTACGTCGAAAACCTCAAACTTTTCTTTCTGACGGTCTCATCCTTCTTCCATTAGTCATCTTCGCAACATCGTCGAGTCTCTTTTCTCCAGTCGACCCCCCAACATGGTCCAAAAATCACCCAACTTGTCCAAAAACCCACTTAAACAACAAACCAACACTCAAAAACCCATTCCACCAACTTCCTTGTGCCCATCGGCTCTCCCCATGGTCTCAGCACCATTTTCAAATTTCACCTTGCCCCGCAAAAAAACCAAAATTTAAACTTTGCCAACCCAGAGCCTAAACCTTATATTAAATCCAAAAACCCTAAATTTGCCAAAAAGTCGATTTATCCGAACATCTAAACCTAGCCCCACATTCATCTCTCCATCTCGTCCGCCAGAAGTCCTAGAGACAAGAAAAACACACCATCGCATCCGTTGAATTGAGATAGCCTAAATAAACCAACAACCGAAACGCTAGCATCGATTCTGCGACTTTTGATCAGAATCAGCAGCTACAACTTCTCCCTCTCCTACCAATATGACCTTTTGCAACACGGGAGCAACGCTCCAGAGCTGGGAAAATAGCATCCTCGGGTTTGAAAACCACACAAATTACCTGAACCGACAAAACCCCTACTTTGGAGCTACAATTGGCCCGGTAGCTAACCGGCTATACCAACCAAACGGTATCCTGTTGCACGGCGGAAAAGAAGGCTGGTCCTGGAAGAAATGGAACAAGAGCTCCCCCGCCGCTGCTGAAAATAGTAACGTGACCAAATTTGAGCTCAGAGATACCCACATCACCGCCCACGTGACATATACGCTGACTAAGTCGCCCGACAAGAAGACGTCCCAACTGGAAATCGAATACTCCGCCAACAGTAATGAGCTGGGTAAGAGCATGCCGATTAGCATGACAAATCACAGCTACTTCTGCTTGGACAAAGACGGTGCCGAAGGTGAGGGTCACGTGACCGTCGACGACCACGAGCTCTGGCTGTGTAACGATCATGTGATTGAACATAAGGACGGTCTGCAATCGGAGCCTCCTACGGGCGAGCTTGTCCGATGCGAGGCATTGTTGAAGGCGGGGGCGGGTGAGTCACGTGACACATTCTCGTCACTTGGTCGCTTTTCGGACTTGTCTTCACTTGGTGGGACGTCCATCTCCCTCAATGGAACTGTTCTCGACCACACTTTTGCTGTCGATAACGACAGGCTTTCACGTGATGCCAAGCTCGATACCCGTGATGATCCATTAGTCAGCGTTGCAATTTTGTCACGTGGAAAGACCCGTCTGACCGTCAAGACCACCGAGCCCTGTTTCCAGGTCTATACCGGCGACTACAACAATGTGGAACTGCTTCCCGGCGAGTCACGTGACTTTGGTCGACGTTCTGGGGTTGCGATTGAGTGTTCTCGCCCCACGAATGCTTGGAATGTTCCTGGGTGGCAGCCGTGGGTTGATTTGGGTCAGGGGGAGTATGGTGCTAAGATTATCTATGTTTTGGAGCGGGAGTGAGGATTGGGGATAGAGGAGACCATGAGGGAGCTTGGGAGAAATTTCGAGAGCTTCAAATCCAACTTCAGAGAGCGTTAAACACCGATGTCAACTTGACAGAGCTTCAAACACCGATATCAACTTACAGAGCTCCAAACACCAATATCGACTTCACAAAGCTCCAAACGATATCCAACCTAGCTCAAGTTGGAGACAGGATGTTTGAGATGATCATCTGAATAAGCAGCGAATTTCAAATCGAACAGTATCTTTTGCAATGTCCTTCATTATAGTAAATTGTGACTGTAGACACCGCCATTAATCTGAATATTGGGTTGTCAATATGCTCTATAATCGCCTGAATAAGTGTCATATGATCCAAGTAATGGGACAATTATATTAAAATGACCCGAGTTGACAATTGAGATCCATCCGGGCTCAAGTATTACTCTGCATGACTGTAGGTCTGGGGATAGATACTGATTCTGAAGCAGACGGGTAGAACGTCTCGATTTATAGGCACAGTTGAGTCTTTAAGACCGCCGCAACTTGATGAAGTTGACGATGATGGTGATGGTGATGATATACCAGAGTCCTTGAGGTTTGATTATTGCAGGTTTCGGTTTTGAAGTAGTTCTTATGGTTGAGGGTACAGACCATTTTGTCTGTGTTCGCGTCATAATTGCAAGACTAGGGGGAAAAACAACATACCAGTCGATTAGAAATGTGGCGCTGATTCCAATGGCACTATATAATATAGTCTTTAGATACTATTTTGTTGTTTCAGGCAGTCGAAGGGAAAAAGAGGTCTGTGCATAACTGGCATCAACAGCGACGTCAAATGTGAGTACATTGGCTAGTATTTACAGCAGTTCAGGAGCTCAGTCAGATATACACACAGAAACAATCATTGTTTGAACATTGTTTGAACTCCTGAACAAGTCATTAATCATATATTGCAGCTATGTGAACTATCTGTTGAAGATGTCCAGATGGAGATCCTTGAAATGAGACGGAGATGTCATAGGGTTAACTACTACACCACCTAATAAGGCTTTGTAGGGAATCCACAGAAAGCCAGAGGAGGCTCCAGATAGCTGCCATAGTCGTTCCACAGAGCGGCTCCACACTGGAGACAGGGGTCCAGGGCGTCGAAAAAGGGGGTTCCGGGGTCACACAGACAGTCGCGGTTCCAGGAGTTGCCCGAGGCGCACTTTCGCGAGTCCAGAATCATTTCTCCACACGTTTTGTGGCATGCGTACGGCGCATTGTCTGCCGGGGCTGGAAGAGCTGATCCCACCGTGAGCAGGACCAAGGTGGTGGTAATGAGAGAGAATTTCATGGCGACAAGTGAGGTGACAGGTGAAAGTGAGAGTAATCAGTGAGAAGTGAGAGAAAAACTCTTGTTTAAATACTGTTTTCGTGGACAGAGTTGGCGTTCACTTGTAGCTGCAAACTTCCACTAATGCATGTAGAAGAGCTGCGAAGAGTTGATGTGATTGATTAGATATGACAGAGTTGAGAGTGGAGTTGAGAGTGGAGTTGCAATAGGAGTTGCAATATGATTGAGCTAATTGAGGGGTTTCACTAAGCATCATTCCAGAGGATACCGCTCCAGTAGGTACGGTACAATGAGTATGCTCTGGTCCAGACTAGAAAGCTCTCAACGACTTCAAAAGCTGCAATAAACCGCTCAAAGAGTCAATATTTAGACAAAACCGAAGTGAAAAAGAAAACCACCTTCAATGTCACCGTTTAATAGACCCCAATAGACCCTTGACTTTCAACTTTGTTTGCATCGGATACCCTACGGCTGCAGTGCGAGAGACGAACAAAAATCGGCAAGAAACCACCCTGTGGGGGTCCGGGAAGTCACGTGATCTTATCAATGGATCTCGGGGAATGAGGACACGATCGGCTTTTGTCGAAATTATGTTCTATTCGCTCTTTTGATGCCTTTTCCCCTCATGCAAACAGATTATCGAGATAACATCAAAGTTTCGAAGACCATAGTGCCGTTTCAATAAAAAGTGTTCGAGTAGCCAATGAGAGAAGCCCGGCAAGTCAACGGGTCCTTAGTGCGCGATTTGGTCGAGATTTTCAAGTCTCCAATGAGTAATTGAAAAGGGTACAACGTTGGTTTCAACCGGGTATGTATTGTACATACGATAGTGGGTCTCTGGAGCTTTGTTGTCGGCACCTGAGCATCCAAAGTATGCATTGTCGTCCACCTGGATCCATCCTCCGAGCCCAATTGGTCAATAGATGGATTGTCTGTCCATCATATCACCTGTCTGCTGTCGAACGAGACGAGACCAAGTGACATGGTAGCTTGAAAGTGCAACTTCTAGCAGTCTCCAGCAGAAAACATACTCTGTATCAAGTTTCTGCCGTCGAGTACTTGCCCAGGTAACTATAGTATTGTCTGGTACTGTACATCACTTTCACTGGTATCTTCGTACATACACAACTTGCACTGTCTTCAGTACATACAGAACTTGTCTCTTCTTCAACCTGCTAAGGGATTGAAATATCAGTAAAATTAGTCATATAACACTTGTTCGTCTTATGACATAACAACTATCGACTCTGGAAACATATATCAGCCATTTCTACCTGTACAGTCTCCATACAACCATGATAACAACAGAATGATCACTTTTCCACCCCCACTTCGGATTAATAATCTCCAAAAGTTGCTCACCTCACTCATACCAATTATTAATATGATTGATTTCTGCTTCCCCCTTGTTTTCTTCGTTTTCCCCATCAAAATCCCTATCTATACCCTGTCACCAATTACTTAGCTCTACTCAACCCCGCTACGCTCATATACTTAGCTTGTCCCAACTAAACACCCTCTGTCAACACCCCCATTCAACACCCTCAAAAACGTCCAAAAAGGTCCCAGATTTTTCGTACCATTCAAAATAGCTCTTTTAAACAAGTCCATATCAAATTCCATTCCCCAACCCCCATATATCACCACAATATGCCTCGTTTGTTTTCCCTCTTTTTTTCCCCCCAAACCTTAAAAAATCGCCACTATCACCACTCCAACATACCCAGCGAAACCCCCACAACAACATGGACCTGAGACTGGTACCGACCAGCCGCGCGCGGGTCAAACGGCTGATCTCACGTGAGCCGTCGCCGCTGCAACTGCAGCAAAAACGAAAGGACGAATCGAGCTTCGCGCTCGAGGAGATGCTTAGTCAGCGCCCTCCGACCGACGTGCGCTCGATTCTCAACTCGGCGGTCGACGCGCTGAGGAAAAAGCCGGAGGCGGCGGCGGCAGCCGGGAAGTCACGTGAGCTCCAGACGGGCTCGACCCTGTTTGTGGAAATTCAGCCGGCGCTGATTAACAAGCTGCAAGTTTCGACGCAGTTTTTGCTGGTGAAGATTGATGATGGCGAATTCTGGATGGAGCGGTTTGGCGGCGACATTTGGGGGGTTTTCGAGCGAAGCGCGGCACGTGATAAGCAGACCGGATCCCGTGGCCAGCTGGACTCTCGACCCCGTGACATTTCACATGACGACACGGAGGACACCCAGGAGGACACTCTGCCAGATGGTCAACAAGACACCCAAGAAGATACACCAAGACAGGATATTAGTCCACACAAATTGTTGGCCCACAAAACATCTACAAGTCACGTGTTAGAACCGAACCGTTCTCGCATGCATTCTTCCTCACGTGATGATATTCTTTCCCGTGCTCCTGTTGCCTCTAGCAAGTCCTCTTCCACTACTAATACCACTACCCAGGATGGTTCATTCACATCTCTAATTGCATCTCTACCACCTCCTCAACCGACGTTAACCCCCTACATTCCTCTAAACCTGACGAAACCAGTTTCGGCGCTACCATTGCCATCAGTTTCGGTCTCTGAGCTCCTTCTGTCGTCCTACCGGACCCAGCTTTACTGCTGTCGGACGTCGCTCATCTACTTTGCCAAGGCCATGTCCAAGTCACGTGCTCTGTGCAAGTCCACGCTCGAGAAACATACGCAGGGCAAGTCTCGTGTTTTTTCCGCCTCCCAGATGCGCAAAATGTCGTATAAGCTGTACTCTCGCGAGTTGGCCAAGCTCGTCCAGCCACTCAATGAATGGTCTCAGGTTTACGAGTACCACGAGTTCTGCAAGATGATGACAAACACAAAAGACGAGTACGTGATCCAGTGGAAAGACAGACTGTCTTATTCGGTTTTGTCCGATTCGGAAAAACTCGCAGTGGAAATATCTCTTCTCAAGTTCAGAGAAATGCAATTACAGAGTATTGTTCTGTTGGAACTGCTGGCAGTGGCTCCGGTGACCAAAAGTGCTGACGCTGCTGAGACAGTCAAACAGATGGAGTTGGAAAAGCAAAAGAAGAAGGAAGCAAGGAAAATGGGCCTCTACAAGTCCAGACGAAACAAGGCAGCGGTGGAACAGGAGGAGGCTGCAGAGGAGACTCTGGACTACAAGACTCTGTTGATCCAGTTGTTTTCCAGCATGTGCATCTGGCAACAATTGTCGGATTCAAAATCTGATCACGTGCACGAGTTTTGCAAGTCCGTGGTCATTCCGTATTTCTCGTCACGTGTTCCGGAGGTGGTCGAGGACTTGCTGAAGAGAGCAGGCCTCGAGAGAGAAACTAGACACATTTCTGGTAAGCAACAACAACAACAACAACAACAACAACAACAACAACAACAACAACAACAACAGCCGCTGAAGCAGAACAACAAGCCGCGAGAGATCCCATATGCATCGCGCGACTCGCCTACCTTGTCACGTGACTCAACCGTGACACCGCGGGCCAACTCTCCGTCTTTTTCACGTGATTCCGACACGTTGAATTCGGACATCAGCACGAGTTCAGGTGTGTCTCGGGTAACCAATTCTAGCCGCGCAGCTCGAACAGGCTCGGCCCAGGGAGTCACGGGATTACTTAATAAGCCGCAGGTTCGGGGCGGACTCCTCACCTCTTCACGGTCATTTGATTCTCGTACTCAGGTGGGCATGCGGTTCAAGGGCAGTAAAGAGAAGGACAAGGAGGAGGTGAAGTGTACAAATTCGGTTGCCGGGACCACAACGTCGGCTACAGCGGAGATGACGACGGGCATGTTCAGAAAGTCACGTGACATCTCCGTGGCCACAGCCTCTTCTCGTCATTCGATGGCGGCCCAGTCTCAGGTGGCTGCCACTCCCGTGAAGCGGACTAGACCGGTTTTGACCTCATTTACAGCCGAGCCGGACAATCCATTCATCAACGACAGTCACGTGGTTGACGAGTCTCCGTTTGCCAAGCGGATGAGAGGGGAGAGCACTGGTCCCAGGAGAAGGCTGGGCCTGGGGGATGGCACTTCTGTTGTTTTCGATAGTGCCAGAAGAAAAAGGGAAGGTAGTGAGAATCAGATTGATGACTCTCCTGTTCGGTGCAATCGCTACTCGGTTGTTATGGAGTCTCCTACGAAGTCTAGGACTTTAGGTGTGGGTCATGGCAACTATGGCGGCGGTGGTGGTGGATTATTTTCAAACAAACCATCCAGGATGTTTTCCACTACCATAAGGCCAAGCATGGCTGCTCCAGTGGCGGCCCCTGCTCCTGTAAATGTGTCTGCTACTCCCAAGAGACGGACTCAGCCCACGTTGACGAAGGAGCAGTACCCAAGGGAGGATAATCCGTTTTACAATGGAACCGATGATGCTGTGATGGATACAAGTCCTACTAAACGGGTTTAGGAAGGGAGGATAGGATTGGACGGAGAACGGTCCTGCGTGACCCTATCGAGAGCCCTCAGCAAGCCATCGGAGATCACACTCCTGCGCGGGTCAGTCATGTGTTACCCTCCTATCGAGAGCCTTCAGTAGGTGACCCTAAACGAGATGAACTACCTTTTGGAGTCGCTATGTGCTTAGAGTGACTAGCGATCCATCATCCGATGTGACTCCTTCCGTTCTCAATGACTCCGAGTCGTTATCAGGACTGCATAAAATCAATTGGTCTTCCACACCATGGTAAGAATAGACCAGTTCAGTATATACATTTAATTTATTCATGCATTTTTAGACACTCCGTGTGTCTTGAAGAAGGCCCAAGAACAAAGAGTGGGATCTGCGCTGCAGACACCACGTTGCAGAATTCTGTATGGGTTATACGCCGTTGATTCTTCATCGATAGTCGACTCCCTTGTCAACTCGCGCCTACCTCCAACTCGGTTCACCAAGTCCTCCAACTTGATTTTGCATCACCTTGACGTGGCTCCGGTCGAGTCCCCAAACGAGTGACTCTGGTCGGTCTCTGGTCTCTATCGTCGGTAGGCCAGTCTCTGATCTCTATGGTCGCTAGGTCAGTCTCTGGTCTGTATGAGAGGAAGAAAGAACTTAAGCTGACCTGAAAAGCATTCGACTACTGTACTCGAACTTGACCAGCTTCTGCTCCTCAAATGATTTCCTTAGCGACAACGTGAGCAAAATGATCGTCAATGCCCCATCACAGCTGCTGATGGCCAGGTTGGGGAGTTGTTCGAGTGTCTCAACCAGAGCCAGACTCATACATCAAGGCTGATTTTACCAAGGGAGAGAGGAGGTGTTCGTCAGTAAAGGACAGGATTAGTGACATGGCGGATACAGGAATGTCGGTTCAAACACTTTATGCTGGTTCCTTCTAACATTCACAAAGAGACTTCAGCGAGATGATGACCGAGTTCTGGGGGCTAGATGAAGGTGCAATTCGCATGAGCAGTCCTCGGAACCCCAGAGTGGTTGTCATTGGACCGTTGTCTGAATGACTGTCAGTGTCGTCGTCGTCAATAGGACCCAAAGGGTATTCCATCTACTAATGCCAACTATTTCTAGTTGGTTTGTCAACAATGGGAGTGACAATATTATTAAAATAGTTAAATTTTTTGCAAAATGAATTAAAATATTTTAACAAAATGAAATGAAACATATTTTCTAACATGAATGACACAAATTTAAATACATTATTAAATTAAAAGAAGAATTAACCAAAAACAACAAATTTATTATTTCCACACCAACTCTCTCAAATCCCACACAAACGCACAATAATTGTAGTAAATATTGTAAAACAACAATTTCCTTCCGTCCACACCACCCTATCCCCAGTCACGTGACCCCCGTTTTCGGCATCACTTCAGCCGTTAAGTTGGGTTTTGTTGACATTATTTTCTCCAGTTTATTCACATCAAGTAACTCTAACTGACTCGGCAAAAATCGGCTCATAAAAAAAAATAAAAAAATTCTTGCACCGATAACGGTTGGTATCAAGATGATCGAAGAATGCCCCGATTGGCGATTTACAAGCACCAGATTGTATCCGTAGTACCATAGGTGGCAACATCGTTTTAATATTAGAAACCGACTCACTACAACCCGTTCTATCATCCAATATTGTCTTCTATCCTGCGATAACGGACATGTGCATGACGAAGTCGGTTGCCTGGGGCAAGAAGTGTCGGGATTTGACGCCGGCAATGGTGGAAATGGTTTATATTTGGGTGAGTTTTTGTGTGCCTTTTTTGTGCGTTTTTGGTTAATTTTTTTGTTATTTTTGAATACTTATCTACCTTTTCAATTTTCAATTTTCAATTTTGATTTTGATTTTGATTTTGGTTTTGATTTTCAATTTTCAATTTTTTCAATTTAATTTTTAATTTACTTTTATATCAAAAGTCATGCCGATATCGGAAGAGTTGATCTTTGTTGGAGTTTTCGGAAAGCCGGATTGAAATTTCGAGAGGATGGTATTTCAACGACTCCGACAAAAATGAACTACTTTGATTCTCGGTGACGTTTCTGTGGACCTAGTTACACGTATTTTTACCGCTGCTACACCGATATCGGGACAGGAGTAATTGGCTGGAGTGCAATGCAGATAATGGGTCCCGATAGCCGGGGGAGGACATGTGTACAGTAATGGGTTACACGAGTGATGTAATGGGACGACAAGAGCAATGTAATGGGACGACAAGAGCAATGTAACTGGGACGACAAGAGCAATGTAATGGGACGACAAGAGTAGTGGCACGACAAGATCGATGTCATGTGATGCCACACAAATGGAGTAATGGCATGACCTGTTTATTGTTGTTGGTGATGCATGGTTTTTGTCGTGCCATCCGACCAATCGGATCAGGTTATGAGTTAATATACTTGGCCGAAAGGTGAAGATATGGATTGTGTGATGGGGCCCACGGCCGACGTGTGGTGACCACCCGTGCTCTGTAACGGCCATCATTTCTGCTGTGGTGACCACCCAGGCTTGTTCACTGGTTCCTTCTCCTCACAAAATAAAGTTATGACTCTACCTACACCACCACCTTAAAAACAACTTCCTTTCCTCCTACCGCATCTTCTTCTCCCCACAACATGCTTGGAAAACGATTTGTGGGTCCCGTGCTGACCCCCAAGGGCGCTCGGCACTCGTCCATCAGTGCCCTGGCGTACAAGACGCTCCACCGAAACCGATCGCAGCCCAAGCTGCCCGTTATCGAGACTCCAGCATGGAACGCCAACACGGCGGTTTCTTCCATTCTGTACGAGACCCCGATGCCGTCCAAGGCGCCCATCAAGGCACACGTGTTCAACTGTCTGGTTCAGAACGAACCCGGTGTTCTGTCGCGAGTTGCCGGCACTCTGGCGTCTCGAGGCTTCAACATTGATTCGCTGGTAGTGTGCAACACGGAGGTTGCCGATCTGTCGCGAATGACCATTGTTCTGCGAGGCCAGGATGCCGTGATCGAGCAGGCGCGACGACAGATTGAGGATCTGGTGCCCGTGTGGGCAGTGCTGGACTACTCCAACGCCTCGATCATCAAGCGAGAGCTGCTGCTGGCCCGAGTGTCGATTCTGGGCCCCGAGTACTTCCAGGATCTGCTGACCCACCACGGCCACGAGTTTGAGGACGCCGTGCTGCAGAACGACTTCCACCCCAACAACATTGCCGCCTCCGAGGCTCTGCGACACAAGCACCAGTACCTGGACGCCGTGACCAAGCTGGCCCACCAGTTTGGCGGCAAGATTCTCGACATTTCTGAGCGAAACGTCATTGTCGAGCTCTCGGCCAAGCCCGAGCGAGTCTCCTCCTTCCTGCACCTTCTCAAGCCCTTTGGTATTCTTGAGGTGGCCCGATCCGGAATGATGGCCCTGCCCCGAACTCCTCTTGAGACCCCCGATGAGGAGGACATCAAGAAGGCCGAGGAGGTGGTTGACCAGACCTCTCTGCCTCCTGGTTAGACGGTGGTTGAGGACCCCAAAATTGAATAACGGATGTAGTAATATAGCATTAGCAGGAGTTGACGTGGTGCGAAATGTAGGGAGCAGTAGGAAGTTGTTGAGCCAGGCCGTGAAGACGAAAAGAGACACTTTGAGTGTCAAATATGAGTACTTTACCAGCACTCAGACTATTTGTACTTGTATTAGAGAAGAGGTGTTTTTTTAAAAAAATTGACTCGTTATTTTTAATGCCGTGTTTTTTATTTTTATTTTTATTTTTATTTTTATTTTTATTTTTATTTTTATTTTTATTTTTATATTTTATTTAGTTAATACTTTTCAAAAAGTTTGATTATGTTTTTTTTTATTCCGTGTTTATTTAGTTATATTTATATTTTTATGATTTTATTAAAAATAAAGACAAGAGTTCCAGCCAAGAAATTTCAGAAGAGAAAAACGAACATTTTGTAGATATCTCACCACTCGTCATTATATAGACCCCAATTGCCACTCCATCCCGCCTTCATAAGTTTCCCAGCTCCCAGGAACTCAGAAATCATATTATTTTATCAATTGAAGACTGAGCTTTCGGATTTTCGAAACTGCAAAAGGATTATACTGGTGGACTCTGACGACTATTCTGATTCAAATGACCCCAGAAATGTCTCATTTGAATTTCTTTTGAGCCACCTGGAAATATTTCAGAATTCACCTTCAACAAAAGTCTAAGTAATTGTTGTTGCTGTCGGTAGAACAGTAGCAGATATTCGGAGTATAGATAGAAATGAGATGAAAATGATATACTAAATCGGTTGTGAATATTGGCATCTCGACCTTTAAACATGTTTTGTAGCTCTGGCTCTCTCATACCGTCGTTGAGGGTGTTCTGTTGGAATCGAACAGAAGGATATTAACTATTTTCAAGTAGAATATTGAGAAAAGAAAAAAGAAAAAAATTAGAATGAAAATAAGAAGAATTAAACGATGTATAATTAAAATAAGTAGAATGAAAAAAAAGAAAAATAAATCTGATTCACTTGAAACTGGTTGTACAACTATTACAATGGTAAAATTGGAGTGTTGAAATCTTCAATATGGAGAGCCGATTAAAGGAAAATGATGGCGGTACATTTTATATTCGCACAAGCTGCTTAGTACCTATGTCATCTACCACATTCGGTATGGATTTTTTTACAATAGACCAACTTTTGAACATTTAGACCAACTCAACGGACTCTTCTCCTTCACTGGCCCTCTTATCGTCTCCCTTGGATCGTCTTTGGCACGTTATGGTCTCTGGAATGAGCTATCCACTAGCCCGGGTCTAGTATGGAATGAGCTATAGATGAAGTAAGCCGGGTGGCTTTCTTGTTGTGCTACTGTGCTTGTAGTGTTTGTTTTAGTTTTCTATTCTTTTTCTTTTTTCCTCCACAGGAATTCACCGGCGCTTCACAGTATGGTGCTGTTCCGGTCCCCGACTCGTAGATAGTTCAAATCAACTTAGGTCAGCCCATATACTGCGTCACATGACAATCACATGACCCAGCTCACTCGCAGGAGAGCTCACATGATCACAACAGGAGTCGTTAGTCTGCCTACGGTTGTAAGTCTAGCACTACTGTAGGTGAGAGTGGCAATATGTCCGTCAGATTGGAAGTAGAGCGTAGAGAAGGGTGATTGTACGGTAGGATTCCATTCACGTGACGCTACATTCACTTGGCGTCTGCTTGTACATGTATTACTCAGAGGACTGGTGATGCTGAGATAATCAACGTCAGCAAGCCTCAATCAACAAGCAACAATCAACGTCATGGGATCTCACTGCATCTCACCCCGGCATTGGCTGATTTACGTCGCTAGTGTGCTTCTAATTATAGCTCGATTGGGTCATTTAATGGAGTCACTTCCGCTGCTACTGTAGCCACCAGTACTGTACGAGTAGTCGTTCGTGCCTATATATGAAAGCAAATCCAGAGAGCGGAGTCGAGGAAACGAGAAAATGAAGGAACTAGTCCATATCTCCACCAAATAGCCCGTCTCCAACAAGACCCCAGCTGTCCAACGCCCATCTTGTCTCATTCTGGATAAAGCCGAGAAAAGAAACAACCGGCAAAAGTAACAAGTCAGAAAAGAAATAAGCCGAAAAGCAACAAGCCAGAAAAGAAACAAGCCCAAAAGATACAACCCTCAACCACCCATCGTGCACCGGAGGCTAGTCCGTCTTTGGCTCCAGCTTTGGCTCGTCTTTGGTCCAGCTTTGGCTCGTCTGGCTCCAACCTTGGGTCCAACCTACAACTCCATAAACCTCCTCGGACCTGCAAAAAGCCCCACATGTTGGTTGAATTGAATTTGGCAATCGAGCGGCAGTATCGAGACCCAGCCAGTATCCACCTGTTGACTAGTTCACACTGTCGACTGTAGATCCTGCAACATATGACAACTAATTGCCCCACAATGGACCCAAATCTCTCCACCCACCGAAAAGCTGGAAAAAAAACCGACTTTTTCAAACCATCTTTGACTCCGCCAAATTGACACCTGCCAATCTGACACCTGAATCTTTCTAAACAGTTCGACCCCGCCAACAACCCCACCAACAATCGGTCGGTTGGACTGCAGAAATCTGCACCCGGCTGCACCAAAACTCTCGTTAAGATACTCCACTTTCCGTTTCGAGACGCACAAACCTTACATCATGCATACAGCATATAATCAGACATATTTCAGGCGAGATCATGGGGCTGAGTTTCGGTGCCCACACTGCAAGCCCTTGAAATGACGGGAAAACAGCCAATCAAAAAAAAAAAAGGCAACAGAACCGCAGAGAACGGTCACGTGACATAACCACACCTTGCCGAATGGTACAGCTCACGTGTTTCCAAAATCTGTTTTCGCGACTGTTGCTCTGCACTTGGATTGTTCCACTTTTTTAATTTTTAATTCTTTTTCAAAAAAGAAAAAAAAGAAGAAAAAAAATTCTGCCAAGAAAAACCCTGCATCTCATGTATCCCAAACTATCACGCAATTGCCTTGGATCAGGTGGTGGATGTGCGATATTGTAGCAAGGGATTTGTGGAATGGCGCTTGGAATGGGACGACGGAGCACGTGACTACAGTACGACACACGTTTCGCGTACAGTATGTACTGCACCTGTCGCGTGTCATTTCCGCTGGCGTTTGGAGGGTTGCACGTCTTTGTCAGACTGCCAAAGGGGCTCATCTGGTGGAAAACACAGGTCAGGTATCCATAGTCAGTCTCGGCAATTCCTGGGCTACAAGTAGCAGGTGTCGTATTCGTGTCAGTAGATCCCCTTCATGGAGGGACAGGATACAAAGTGGAATGCACCGGAGGTTTTGAGTGGATGTGGTGGATTCCGGGAGTTGGATTTGATTCTAGCGGCGTTTGACTTGGATCTTCGGTGTTTGAACCAGTTGTACAGGGTCTGAATGAGTTCACTGACTGCTGACTCGGTTCCACATGGCCTCTCGTTTTACATCGTTTCCACCAGGAACACCCGAAAGAATTTGCAACGCCCGAACCAACCCAGGACGACCATTTTGTATCCCGGACATCCGCCTCAATAACGGTTGTTGTGAGGGAGTTTAACAAGTAGTCGACTGTATCTACTGTTCACTGAGTCAGTTGAGTCTATGAGTCCCAGAGTAAATCAACGTTCACGATATCACCGGTTCCTGAGACATGTACAGGGATACACGGAGTTGGTGCTTCGTAGGAGTGTGCCCGGAGAGTAGAACTGCTCAATCCTCTACGCTGGCACCAGACGTACATTCAATGGTTCAGTTCAATGGTTCATGCGTTGTAGGACAGGTGGAGTTGTCCTCCTTCTACGCTCCCTAAAGTCAATCAAGTCATAATCATAAATACATACATCTGTCTATCGCCACTCCTGGTGCTGCTGCTGGGACTGCTGATGCTGCCACTGCGGCGATGGATAGCCCTCTTGGTAGTGGCCGCTGTTGTACTGCTGGTGGTACTGCTGTTGCTGGTGATGCTGCTGTTGCTGGTAGTACTGCTGCTGCTGTTGCTGGGGAGACACGTTGCCGTAGAAGCCCGGCCCAGGGTAGCCCCCGTACTGGTTCTGGTGGCCCGGGGACTGCTGCTGGGGCGGGGGGAAGCCCGTGCTGGACCGTCGTCGTCTCTCCTGGGGCGACTGGGGAGGACTCAGCTGAGAGGCAATCACAGGGCCCTGTTGAAGGTCGCAGCCAGCGTTGGCCAGCTTGTCGGCCAGTACATGGGCCGGTGACGCCTCCTGCATCCGCACAAACTCCATGTGCACGCTCTTGCCCTGCTGGCCCAGCTGGGTCAGCAGCTTGTCGAGCTGCTGCAGCAGGTCCAGATTTTCGACCTTTTCTCGGGCCTGGTTGGTCCAGCCGGCGCGCTTCCAGTTGTCAAGGTTTTCGTTGACGGTGGAAACCAGCCATTTGGAGTGGGTGCTGACCGAGTATGTGGTTGTGGGGGTGTTGTCCTGGAGGAGCAGGGTCACGAGGTGGGAAATGGCGGCGAGGTCTGCTCTTTGGGTCGTTTGGGCGCCGTCCAGACGCATAGACACATTGCGGGGGTCTTGGAGACCGAAAACAATGGCGTAGCCGGCCTTGGCGAACTTGGTGCCGTTGTTTCGGCAGAGGCCTTCACAGTAGATGGACATGTGTGAATGGGTGCAAAGTGCGAACGAAGTGGCTGTTCAGCTGTTGGTGGTACTGGTGCAACTGGAAGAACTGTATCAAACGCTTCTGAGTCGTAGTCGATTGATGACAAACTGCGGGTAGATAGTTCAGTGGCAAAGACTTGAGAAAGATGAAGTCTGTGGAGGTAGTCACTGAGGTAGTGAGTAGTGTTTTCTGGTGGTGAATGTCTGGGTAACGACTGTCTGGGTAATGACTGTCTGGGGCTGTTTGGGTCTGTGACTACTACAAGTAATGAGTAGTAATGTCTGTGCAAGTGTAACTGAATAATCGCAAGACCATCTGGCACCGGCCAGGGCTATATATAATAACGAACTGGGGCGATATTGGGGTTTCCGAATTGGATAAAGTTGGAGTAAGATAGAGTTTTGAGTTAGTCGCTAATTAGGTTTGGTAAACCTTAAGTGGGCAACAAGTCGGTTCGAGTCTGGGGCCAGGTGGAAAAACTCAGACTAGCACGAAAAGAACAACGGAATGTGGTTCGAGATGGTTTTCAATGGCTGTTCTGACGTTTCCAAAGGTGCTGAGAACGGCTGGATCAAGTTTCGAGTGGAAAAAACCGCCAAAATATGTCTGTTGGACGCCCCTTTCCTTCACCCTCCCCCCTCCAAACTGCACTGCCATGTTTCTTGTACGCTACAGTAGGACAACTCCAAGGATAGACAGAGAGGGACCGAGGTCTTGGAATCTCAGGAATGTCAACTGCCACGCCCTTGGCGTAGCAAGCGGATGATTTGGGTGGGTACAACAACCAGTAGTCGTTTGATGACAAATTGGACCTCATTCAGCCTTTGGAAAGATGATACAACAACCCCAACGGTCTCCCTAGTCTCCCTAGTCTCCCCAGGTCTGCATCTCACTCATCACCTCCTTCATCCAAACACCCATTGCTCTTGCTCCTGCTCCATCTAGGAGGTGCCAAGACAAGCCGATAGAGCACACATGCACTATACCATGTGCGCCCGCCGTCAACATGTACATGGTCTGGCCATAGCCGAGTCAGAAGAGCCGAAAGCAGCCAGCCAACAAGTGTTTGCGACCCCCGTCGTCACTGCCACGTTTCATAAGACCGATTTTGGAAGCGAAAGATGGCGTTACGGCATGACCACGTTCCAGCATGTCCCTTCTTCCTTCTTCCCTTCCGTGTGGTACGTGGTACCGCAATACCGTTCCTGAAACCGGTTGTGTCACGAACTTTGCTGCAGCAGACCAAACCGCGTTTGCCAGTCCGTCTTCCTCTCTTTCTGTTTCTTCTTCGCCTCTCTTTGTGCCTAGTGGACCCTGTTGAGGCTGTGTAGATCGCCAACTACTTGTAAGAGAACCACGAGGCTGTGCACAAACAAACAGAAACGTATCCAGCGTGCGCTCGAAGCTCGGCTCGCCGCTCTATTTGCTCGTGCGATATTGGCACACCAGCTGAGACAAGACATGGCAGTATCAAACAAACCGCCACGGAGTTAAGAATGAAAAATTAATTTTCTTAAATTGCTTTCTTCAGGAATCGAACACCGGGGTTAGTGACTAAACCCGAGGGCATGGGGAGATATAGCTGGTGCAATTTTTTCTTCTTAGTAATCAATTAGTCAGCCCATTTTGTGCAACGACACATTGTGGTTGCGGATGGTGCTGACTAATCCCCACTTTTTTATCTCCCATCCACTTACTAAGCTGAAGTTGTGTGTTCAATTCCGGGTTGTGCTTACACGGAAATTGGGCAATTTGCCAGTTTGTCAAAATGCCACCCCGCTCAGCTTGGAACCTTCACGTGACTTTCACGTTCCCGTGACTCATACTTTTCAACTCACACTTTTCATAAACATAAAATGCTCGTATGTACCACTACAGTCTGCATAAACCTGCATGTGCAGTACATGCTGACATACTCGTTTTCTTCGGCCCAATCCGTCATTTGTTTACCAAACCACATCTGTTGACGCATACCAGCATGCGTTTACGAGAGTGCGTCTGCAGATACTTTTTGCCTAGTTCTGGCAAGTGAAGGTGATATCTGAGTAGATAGTATGTGGGTAACTACCTATGTACGTGAGTGGCTAATCACGTATCTGGCTAATCACGTATCTGGCTAATCACGTGGTTAGCTAATCATGTGGATAATCACGTGTGTGGCTAATCACGTGGATAATCATGTGGATAACCACGAGATCTTCAAAGTCACATGCCTGCAGGTTCAATCTCTCGATCATTGGATGATATCTGCGTCGGCAACGGGACCTACCTGCTTATACTGTACCTGCCTACAGTCGATACATTTACAGGGGAGAAGCGACATTACGAATGATTGCAGGTGGTACAATTTGGAGGTTCCGCCGCTCCCGGAAACAACAAGACCGGTATTGGGACTCGGTTACGGGACTCCATCACTAGTACAATCTTCTCTGTGATGGGAGACGATAGATACATGTTCATAGTGTTCAATGTCTTCAAGTGTCCAATGTCTTAAGTGTCCAATGTCTTAAGTGTCCCTTGAGCGGTGACTCAGGAGTCATATCACATTTGGAATTGAATGGGTAGCACACGGCCTCAGTAGACTCTGGATGGTCTCGATAATCTTGGAGACAACAGTGCAAGAGTCAATGGAGACCCAGAGAATTATCCATACTCACTACTCGCTCTGAACTGTTAAGAAGGTGATAATTGATTAAAACTATATAAATAAATGCAATTCCGTGTCTTCCTCCAAGACTTTCCTTTTGTAAAACACCCGTCAACTAGAATTAAATGAGCATCAGAGCAAAGGCAGCAACGGCAATGGCGCCGAAAGAAGCCTCAGTGACAACTCCAGTGTTGGCCTGGTGAGCGGTGGTGGAGGCAGTGGCCTGAGAAATTGTGGGGACGCCAGAAACAGAAGCAGAAGACTCGGCCTCAGTCTTGGTCTGAGTGGGGACAGGCTTGGAGGTGGTGGGAGCCACAGAGGTCACAGGAAGGACGGTCTTGGAAGCGGGCTTGGAAGCAGGCTTGGAGGTGGCCACGGTAGAGTTGGCCACGGGTTTGGGCACCTCAGTCTTCTTGCAGGCATCGTCCTTGCAGGAAGTGACGGTGGCGAACACGGTGGAGCTGGTTCGGTTGGCCGGCTTGGTCACGTGGGTGGTCACGGGAGTTGAGCTGTTGGTAGAAGAAGACACTGCGGAGGAGGTGTTCTTAGCAGGTCCAGGCACCAACACAGGGATGGAGAGGGTGGAAGAGGTAGTGGGAGCCGCAGAAGAGGCAGCAGAAGAGGCAGCAGATGTAGAAGGAGCGGGAATAGAAGAAGTAGGCTCGACAGAAGGGGTAGCCTGAACGGAAGAAGCCTCAGAAGAAGTCTTGGAAGAAGCCTCAGAAGGAGCCTCAGAAGGAGCCTGAGAAGAAGCCTCGGGAGAAGCCTGGGTGGAAGAAGCTTGCAGAGCTCCAGTGCTAGGCTTATCACCCTGGTCGGCAGAAACAAGATCAAACTTGGAGCCATCGGCAGGAGGAATCACGGCAGGTCGAACGGGATGAACCTCTCCGTTCTGTGCCTTGATGGACTGCCAGGTTCCGGATCGATCAGAATACTCGTAAGCATCACCGGTAGAGTAATCCTCGACGTTAACGGACTTGATGAGCATGGGGTAAGGACCGGTCTGGTAGTTGGTTTCTCCTCCGGCCCACTGGATGGTTCCGGGGTTGTTGGTGGGGTCTCCTCCAGCCCAGACGCCCATTCGGATGTTCATGGGTGACTGGGGGAAGCCATGCCAATCGTTGGAGAGCAGGGTTCGGACCACCTGGCCGTTGATGGTCCAGGTGATCTGTTCGGAGGTCCACTCAATGACGTAGGTGTGGAATTGGCCCGTGGGGTTGCCAATGCCATGGAACTGGCCTCGATCGTAGGTGTCTGTGTTTCCCTTGACAAAGAAGTTTGTCTGGACCTGGGTGTTGTCGCCTCCGAGCCACTCGAGGTCGATCTCATCGAGGTCGTCGCTCTGCAGCACAAAGGAGGACACGATGCCCACGCCGGGAGCTGCCTGGATCACGGCCTCGACACGGCCAAACATGAGATAAAAGTCAGACTGCAGCGTGGGGTTGTCGCCCTGGGTCTGGACCCGCAGAGACACTCCCTCGGGGGTGTATTCGACCCGGTCGGGCTTGAAGGTCACGTGCCAGTCGCCCTGTTCCTGGGTGAAGTCGAACATCTTGGCTCCGCCCAGCGCCGGGTCCGGCTTACACGTTTGTGTCAGCGGGTTGCAGGTGGAGTATGTCTGGCCCAGGGCGGTTGTGGCCAGCAGGAAGGTGGTCAGAGCCTTGAACATTGCTGTGTGGGTTTTGTAGGTGGTATGGGGGAAGTCGGGGGAGTTTATGGGTCCATTTTGGGGGGGGCCCGCGACCGGGTTATATAGACCCTAAGGTGGAGTGGCTGGTGGATGTGATAGAGTTGAATTTTGTGTTTTGTGGTCAAAGAAAAAAAAAGGTTTATGCTGGTTGGGTGATGGTATGCATATTTGTGCATGAGGTGAAAAGTATAAAAATAATGATGTCATTGTAGATAAAATGGCAGCAATAGGGGCGGAAATGGGAGGCGCGGAGAAGCGGGTGGTGGCACCAGAAGGGGCTGAAGCGATGATGGAGAGCTATTTGCACTTGTCTGCGGTCCAAAAATAGACACGTTAGTTGGAAAGGGGCACAATGGAACTAAACCAGACGCTCAAAGGGGTAAATGGAATTGCAACTGAAAATGGAACTGAAATGGAGAAACGGCTGCCGGGACTATATTGGTAGGAGGCAAAAACAGATGGATTTGGTGAGTGCGAGTAGAAAGAGGTGTTGTGCGGATAAATAAAAATTTATTAATATTAAGTAAGTGCAATTGGTTATTATTCAACATTTTTGTTTTGTTTTTGTTTTGTTTTGTTTTGTTTTTTCTTCCAGAAATAGCATACCGAGCTCCACCCCAACTACTGTAGACTGAAACGACGACTATAGTGCCCATACACGCTCGTACACCACTCACAAATCAAGCTCACTAGCTCGGTGGTATTATAAGTCCGGCATAGATCAGCTACTTGTCGACCACCTGCCGTTTGCTGCACTTTTGATTTCATTTGGCCGTATAGAAGAAGTTGTCTATGAATCTATGCCATAGAGTAGCTGCCAGTGCCACCTGAGCACACCAACCTCTCACCTCAACCTCCAAACCTGGCGTATTCCAAACTTTGGCCATTCTCGAAATAGCCCCGTTCTCGAAATAGAACTCCAGGCTTTGCACTAATATTCTTAGCGTTACACAGGGGTATTGAGCGTGATGGGTGGTGAATTGGTGGTTGATTGGTTGATTGGGGGTGTCCATGCGACCATTGTTCAGTCGATTAATTCCATATTTCAAATCGACTATTTATCCGAATATTGCCACTGCCCACTCCCCAACCCGTCGCTAGATCGCCGTTTCCCGTCATACCCCAGATAGTATATGCGAGGCAGACTTTGACGCTTGGACGCTCTTGTTTTAATTTATTTCTTTTTTGAATTTCTTTTTTGAATTTCTGTTCCTAAAATAACATTTCCAACCGCCTTCCTATTCGGGTAAAACATCGCCAGTTTTCGGAGACACTGGAGAACACAGCAGACAGCCAGAATGCCCAGAGGGGGCCGGAATCGGCCATTCCCCTGGACCAGATCACGTGTGGTGGGTCACGTGACGCAAATTGAACCAATATCCGTCCAAGGGTGTTTTTGGGTGGTTTTTATCCAGTAAATCCCTCATTATAAACTGCCACTAACTGCCACTAGTGGCTGTACGCGCTATAGCCAGCACCCCAAAGGCTAAAATGCAGGGCTATTAAGATGCTCCTATTTAATACAGATGCCAAGAGGTATTTCAGGCGCCACTTGGGTTCGGGGCTCCTTATTTGCGCATTTCTGGCTCGATTTGGCGCCGCATTTCCTGTGCCATTTTTGCGCAGATTGGGTTTGGGCTGGTAGGCAGAGAAAAAGAAAGAGAAATAATACAAAAGAGAAAAAGAAAAGAAATAATACAAAAGAAAAATCCAAAGAAAGAAAGAAATAATGCAAAGAAAGAAAGATAACAAACGCGGGCTGGCTAGATAACCTCGTTTTAAGACCACCAGGACCGTTTGAGACGTGAGATGTCAAAACCATATCGCGTAGATAGAGCGATGGATACAGGTGCACAGCCGCCGTATCTACAGAGGCCATAGTTGATGTGAGCTAAGATGGATGCTGAAAAATAGTTCCGCATTTGTACATTTGTCACTCTTTCACAATACAATTGCATGATAATTGCACGATACACTGTAGATGCATAATTGGGGGTAGTATAAGGGCAATTGGGGTCGAAGATGGTATACTATACAGAACCGTGAAGAGATATGCTATACAGAACCGTCAAGAGATATACTATACAGAACCGTCAAGAGATGCTATACAGAACCGGTGCGAGTGTCTGTGGAGATGGAAATTCACGTGATTTGGAACCGGACTGAAAATGCCCTTTATTCCCGCTCTTGGTGCTGGCACACTCGCCACTCCACTCCCCCTGAGTTTACTGCGGCTCGGATATTGAATTTTAATTGTTCTATTTTTAGGAGTGAGTGACTGTCGATGACTGAGTCGAGATCTGTGGTCGATAGGTAGGATCTGTGATCAATGTTACGGCGATTCTACTGCTCTTTCAAGGATCACTGCTCTTTCAAGGATCACTGCTCTTTCAAGGATCACTGCTCTTTCAAGGGCCAAATGACGACTTGGGGAGGAGAAACTAAAGAATGAAAAATAGATTATATGGTGAAAAATGATTATACGTGAAAAATGATTATACGTGAAAAATGATTATACGTGAAAAATGATTATACGTGAAAAATGATTATACGGTGGAAAATGATTATACGGTGGAGATGTCTTTGACAAGGTGATACTAGACAAGTACAGTACAATTGACTGTTTTCTAACATATCATCAGTCTGAATTGCACCTGAATGGGACATGGGGGACCAGCCCGAATTCCATGTAAAACCACCGTGTCTCCTTCCTTCAGAATGCTGGTTAATAGATACAAGCTCAGAGAGTTGGAGAGTTGAGACTTCAACTCGAGAGCTGAGAGTTATGGGAGTTGAGAGTTGAGAGTTAAAAGGGTGAGAGTCACTCTCGTAGTTGTACTCGTCTCTCTAGTCACACTTGTCTCTCTAGTCACGCTTGTCTCTCTAGTCACACTTGTCTCTCTAGTTACACTCGTTCTACTCCCCCTATTCGTCCCACTCCCCTACTCGTCGTATTCCAGAGATCTCTGTCTCTTCACCTGTGCTATCGTAGAAATGACGGTCTGCACTCTTCCCCCTGTCTCCTACTCTCCCGTACTCTTCCTCTCCTGTCTCCTACTCTCCTTTGCTGCGGATCTCGTGAGAATGTATGCTCGGATGCAGTGTCCGAGTGAATGTTAGGCTTGGGTCGGCCAGACTTGTTTGCTTTTGGATGTTGCTTTTGGACAGCAGACAGGAGAGAGGTTGTTGCGTCCTGAGCATCGAGGAGTTCATCCAGGGACAGGTAAGCGGGGGCAGGTCAGCCAGGTATAGGGTCAACCATGGACAGGTAAGCCAGGGCAGGTTAGCCAGGTATAGGGTCAACCATGGACAGGGTCATTGACCATTCAAAATGCTCCAGACTCTTGACAAAGTCCCTCTAGGAAGATTGCTCTTGATGAAGACGTGCTGAGACGCTCAGAGTGAGACTCTCAGTGAGACTCTCAGTGAGACGAAGACAGCCTCAAGAAAGAAGTCGCAGAGATGTTCAGAGTCGCGATACGGTCACAGAAATGTCCTGAATACGTGAATACGTCAATATGAATTCGTGAATACGTGAATACGACAATACGTGAATACGACAATACGTTCTGAATACCACTCAGAACAGCCTCTCTGCCACAGGGCTAGTCTGAGTGTCTATGTGCGGACTCTCATAGTAGCTCTCTTGTCCTACTCGATGATTGGATGGAGAAGACTTGGATGAAGGTGACTCAAGCCTGACACTGTTTATTCTGGTGTTCTGGTGGTTCTACTCGAGCTCTATCGACTCCGACTACAGTCAAAGATTGGCTGAAGGAAGGACTACAGGGATATATCTGGCCATCAAGAGCCATAGAAACAGTAAAACATCATATATAATCATAGAAACAGTCAAAGATGTTATACAACTGCTTTTACATTTCTTTTATCTTCACTGTCGCTACTGGTGCTATAAAACACCGCATCAAATGCAGCAATGGCCGGTCTGAGGGTGCTTGTCTTCCTACAGTCTCCGAAAGTCCATGATAGAGACATTTTGCCTGAGATTGACCTCGTATAGAGATCTTCAAGTGGTTTGTACTGCTTCAAGCTCTGTTGTGGGTTGTTTTTTTCCCTTTCCCTCCTTCCCCCTTCTTTAGTTAAGTCTTAGTTGGAAAAATGTTGTGCTGGGGGTCCCTATTTGATGGTACAAAAGAGATGGTATTATAAGGAGTATGGAACGTAATACATGGGACCCAGTTTGATGACTAATATAACCAAATAAATGCCTGTTGTCATACAAGTTTTGAATACTTGGGTGGTTTTTGAATTCCATTCTTCAGTGCATTTAGTGGAGATATACTTAATAAATATCAACTTTTGTTAAGACATTACTTAAAAAAACGTTGAGAGGGTCCGGGGGGCTGTTTGGGGGATTGCAAAGTCGTAAATACACGTAAATCCGCGCTTTGACACGGTTGATTTAGTATTGCTGGTTATTTATTTCACAACTCCTCATATCACACAAGAAGTTACTACCGCATAGACCTCTTTGCTGGAACCTGTCAGCGAAGACCATTCAATTGGCGGCCTAGTCAACTGCGAGGGACTAGGCAAGGTTGAGAGAATCGGGAAGATGGTGGAAACTCCATGTACACTCCAAGTACATACTGAACTGTACAGTACTATACTTTTAGACATGAACTGACTCCAGGCTGGTTGATCAAAGACAGTTTCGCAGATTCACACAATCCCACAAACAATACTTCATCCTCAACTGGTTTACACCGGACTCTTATTCAGTTGGGGGACGAACCAATTCCACTCAACACTTTTGGCAGTTGACAGATCGTGACAGAAAGAGAAAAGGCAGACCTGATGGGGGAGAAAAGAGCACATTGCTTTTCCAGTCTGAAGATCGATCACGGTTACAACGGGCGGCTTTGGACCCAGAAGGTTCCACGAACGTTTACTCAGACTTGCCTTGTAGGTGGCGGTGCTGTCTGCGGCGACCCGTAGCCCCAGTAGTGCCGGGAGCCTGCTGCGAACAGCGACTTGAGCGACGAGACGGCAGTCATGGATAGCGACTCAAGCACTCGCTCCAGCAAACGTCCTGGTACACGGTCGAGATCCGGAGCATCACAACAATACGCCAACCATCTGCCTGGAATATCCAACAAGGCAGCCGAGTGTGGGAACGGAGGTAGAATTCTGGATTCGCGCTGCTTCTGCGCCGCCGCAGGCTGATTCGGTGTTGTTTGTACCTTTGCAGTGCCGGTGATTTCGGTCAGTTCGAAACTTGGTCGCCACTTGTACACCAAAAACTCGCCTGTAGGAGCCGTCAAATCTAGATAACCGACAACTTGTTTGGCTGTATAGCTATCTGGCGTTTTGACAGGGCCTTCCATTGTGTGTACTAGACTCAGGGTCTTTGTGTCGTAGACTTGGTCTTTTTTGGACGAACAAAGTCCACATCCAGAGCTACAACCAACACTCAGGATTCTGTCTGAACTTGGAGGCTGCTGTGTCTACAGGAAACTTGTGTCTCTATGGCCGAATCGAGGCACGAGCTTGGACTGCTGTGGGATGGAGCTGGAGTGGGAGCTGGATTGTTGAAGGAACCGGAAGAGGCCGTCAGCACGATGATCAAGATAATGCCCACACTTCACAGGAGATAAGCGTCGTCGGGTTGTGCAGAGATGGTAACAGTTCAGGCGCACGTCTCTTTGACGTTTCTGTCGTAGTCGTTAGAAACACTTGGGCTTTCACAGCCTTCAGCAATGTTTTCATCGCACAGTGTGAGTAAAAGCCATTATTGCACAGTTGCAAAGCACCGACTCATTATCACAGCTGGTACAGAATACCACATACTGGTGATAAGAGCTTGAGGGTCTGAGTAGAATTCTGTATTCCATTTGCTCCTCAGGATCGACTCCAAGTGCAGTAAAGTACACGAGGCTTGGAGATTCAGAGATAGAGACTCAGGGACAGAGGCTCAGGGACAGGGGCTCAGGGAAAACTCAACAGATGAGAATGCTAGACACAATGGGTTCCTCCCTGGTCTTCAAAACCATTGCAACAATGCTGTAGCCGCCTTGAGTTGGGCTTCATCCGTCTTCCAAGATGCGTGCCAGGTAGAACATGCGTCGGGGCCCTGTTCCGGAATAAAAGCAGTTATCACTTGGTTTAATCAGGTGGCCAGTCATGAATGGTTTGAAAGCAAGTGTTTTCTATTCACGTTGTCTGTTTCGGGTCTGTGGCAGTCGTCTGTGAGATGACCGTCACCCAGTTAGGAAGGCGGGTCCACCTCATCAAAACCTCAACAAAAGTAAGCAAATAAATCCAGCATATCCCAGTGAGTAGTGGTGTATAAATAAAATTAAATTAAATAAAGAAAATTTAAAAGAATAAAAATAAAATAAAATAAAATAAAATAAAATAAAACAAAACGAAAATGCCGCCCCCTTAACAACCAATAAATACCGCGGTTTTCCGGAATTGGATTCCACAACACGTACCATGCTGGTGCCTGCATCTCGCCTCCCCCTCAGTGCCTTGTACTAAGAGATTTTATTATTATTGATTAATTTAATTAATTTAATTAATTTAATTAATTTAATAAAGATAGGTTTTTATTGTTTTTTTCAATAAAATACCTAAACAGGTTTTTACCATCTTTTATATATTATATATTACATTCATCTATATTCTTCATTCATTTTTATTCATTCTTCCTTTTTATTTATTCAGTTATATTCATTTTTTTATTATTTTTATTCTTTATATCATGACGTACCCCACATGCGCTTATAACCGAGTCCCAACTTAAGCCAGTTTTAGTGAATGTCTAATTACTCCACCTCAGCAACTTCGAGTCCAGACATTGCTCTAGCAGACGCAAAAGACACGCAATCGAAAAATAGACACCACCATCGTCTCCGCCTCGTCGCCGCCATCACTCCAATATGTCCAGCGCCCCATTTCGAGCCCTCTTCCGATCCAGGCCGGTCCTTCCCACTACCCTAACCCCGCGCACTGAGTCACTTTGCCAGTACCGAGCCACCGCATATCTCAGGTACAAGTATTATAAACCCTTCCATCTCCGACCTCTCTCCTACACCCGTCAAATCAACATGTCTGCCGTTCCCTTCAACACCGACAAGGCCCCCAAGCCCGTGGCCGCTTATTCCCAGGCCGTCAAGGCTGGAGGTGAGTACATACGAGGGCGAGTACAATTACGAGTGCAAAGCACGAGTGTTGTTCGATGCCATTGCACAGACTGGTTCAGTGAGACGCAATGCAGCCCAGAGACTGCGTGACGTCTTTGTGATAGTCATTGCTAGGCCATGTTCATGTTCATGCCATTGCCGCAGACAGGTTCAGAGTGACACAATGGACTCCAGGGACTGTGTGACGTCTTTGTGATAGTCAGCACAGTTGCTGCCGCGCGACGCCACCCAATTGTCTCGTCCATGTGGATCGGTCAATTGAGTGATATCGTAATCGCTATTGATGATGCCTGCATGGTGTGACATTGATGCAGACGTCGGCAGATGACAGTTGCGCATTGAGACTTCGGGGGTGATTCGATTCGGCTGGATGTGACTCGATTGAGCTAGGCGTGACTCGATTGGACTGGGCGTGACTCGATTGATCTTTCCGATCCTGTCGCTGCAAGTTGTCATTGCTTGTCATTGCCCTGGACAGAGGATAACCTTCCCTTCCTAGAATGGCGTCATGTCTTTAGGTTCCCGTGGTCTACTACGAGCTTCATTGTAGACGTTGCTCCCGTGTTCTCAATCAACATCGTGTCCCTCTGTCTTGTGTCGTGGACACGACTGTCGCATTGGTCTTCATGGATTGATTGTCATCGCTTGCGACAGCTATTTGTATCGCAGATTTGTGAAGGTTTTATGTTGCAATCAGTTTCTTCCAATCCGCGGTTGTCCGTTCGATACCTGTGGCTTGATGTGACTATATGCCAGGTTGTCTGCTCGAGAACTGCGGCCTCTCACTACCCACTCTCATTACCATACTAACCTAGGCTTCCTCTATGTCTCCGGACAGGTCCCCCTCAAGCCCGATGGATCCAAGCACGAGGGCTCTCTGCAGGAGCAGACCGTCCAGGTGCTGGAGAACCTCAAGAACATCATTGTCGAGGCCGGCTCCTCCTGGGACAAGATTGTCAAGGTGACAATCTACGTGACCGACATGGGCAAGTTTGGCGAGATCAATGAGGTCTACGCAAAGTACTTTGATCAGCACCGGGCTGCCCGAACCACCATTGGTGTTGCCGCCCTTCCTCTTGGCTTCCAGGTCGAGATGGACGCCGTTGTTCTCGAGTGAGATGAACCTCTGGCCACCAAGGCCATGCTGTAAGCGTCTTATTATTAACAACGAGTGGAGTACAAGACAACGCGGTACATCTTGTAGAGTTGATACAATACAATAGTAACATTATCTATAAATAAATTGTCATAGTGTGCGTGTATCGTCACACACTGCTATGATAGTATCCGTTGAAATCCAGACGCGTGGTCAGAAATTGCACATCTTCGTCTCTCACCGTTCGCAGCACTCTCAGCAGTGAAACCACCCCCTGCTCGAACCCTCTCTGAACCAGAGCAATCTGTTCAGACAGTGTCTCCAATCTGTCGTCGTAATCGCCGTCGGCACCGGTCAGAATCTGGTACTGGATCTCAAACACCCCGTCCACAAGTCCCGACATTTTGATGGCGTGTTTGAGCAGCGAATGGAGATCGGCCACCAGATTGTCGGTGTGTAGCAGACCCTTGGACATAATGTCTTGTAGAAACTGCTGGTGGAGGTTCTGCAGTTCGTCGACCGTCACCTGGGTCACCAGCTTGTGTTGTAGCTTGGTCCAGCTCGTCTCAATCACCTCGAAAATGATGTAGTATTGCAGCTCGTTGATGAAGTGGATCATTTGGGCCATGGCCAACCGCAGCGAAGGCCAGATTGTCGACAGCGAGTTCTGCGGGTTGGCAAAGGACTGGATTCGCATGCGTCTCCAGCCATTGTTGAGCGCATGCGAAACGCGTTTGATTCGCCACAAAAAGTTGAAGATTCGAAGATAGGACTTCTTCTCCATGGACCCCATCAGAATCCCCTCCAGCGGCGGCTGTAGGTGGTACTCGAGAGTGAACACGTCCCATCCAAGAGCTCCATGTCCCAGCTCGAGGATTCTGGCGTCCAGGTTTCGCAGAACCCATTCCTTGTCAAACCGCGCGTTGCTTTCGCGAATCGACGCCTCCAGAGCAGATGTGAGGTCGTGTCTGAACAACGTGTTGCTTGGACGCGCCAGAGTAGGGCTAATGTTGTCCAGCAATGTCTGGAAGAAGTCTCCCTGGCCAATCAGAAGATAGCTCTTGATGCCCTGGAGATGATCGTCCAGATGGAACTTGTCGCGAAGCACAGTGTTGAGGTAACTCACCACCTCCTGATAAATGGAGTCCACGAGCTTTTTGAGCGACCCACAGACGCGTAGATCGGTGATTTCTTCGGCCGTCAGCTCGACTTTGCGTCTCTCGACCCAGTTGGCTAAGCCGCAGTCCACTCGCACAAAATAGAGCGACTTTCCGGTCGCGAAAATCTGTTTGGCAACTTTTTCCGGTATGTACTCGGGAATGTTGGACTTGTCGAACGTGAACAGCCCGCTCCTGTCGCCTCCTTTACCCTGTCTGATGAGCTCCTGGTACTCGGCGTCGGATTCGGACGTTCTGAACGTGACAAAGAAGTCGCCATAGGGATCGTTCAACACTCCATGGCTCAGCCATTGCCGAAGAATACCGTTCCAAGAGGCCGAAATGAGAATGAGAATTCGGGAGGCGAACTTGGACACGGTTTCCTCACCGTCAAACGTCAATTTGTACACCACGCTCAAAATTTGGCCACCCAATAGCCCCGAACAGTCGCGAAGTAGACCAAACAAAACACGTAGCGCCAAAGTGGCCTCTTTCAGCAAAAGAACACACCTACGGAGAGTCACATCGCCCTTGTTGCGAATCTCAGATTCCAACACAGAAACAACCCCCAAATAGTTGCGTAACTCCTGCTCAACCACCCCCTTCAGAGCTTGAGCCGTCAGACCAGATGTAGGAGTATCTAGGTACTCTCTAATCTGTCTATACAACAGCGCTGGTTCCAGCGCCTCACTCACCAGACTCACGAGCTGAATCGGCATGTTTTTGTCCATCTCAATGCCCTCGGCAGTCCACTCGTATGATTTCGTATGCAGTCCCTGGATGATGTAGGGCACGTCCAGTAGTAGAGGAGTCGACCACGGATCTTGGAGTGGATCCATGGTCGTCGAAGTGTTGTCACGTGACATTTTCGCCGCCTGCTGCTGTTGCTGTTGCTGTTGCTGTTGCTGTTGATTTTGTGTCTTCTTGTGATCTCCATTGATCTCCCCCAGCACCTCCTCCAACACACTCAATCCGCCGCCTTGCAGTCTGTCTTTGAGTCTTTCCAGTGGTTCTACCAGCGCCGGGCCGTTTCCAAACTGTTCCAGCAGCATGGAGATCACGTTCAGAAAGTTGTTGACACCTGGCAGGTACTCAGGCGCCGCTCTCTGGACCCTGAGCAGCACCTCGTCGTACTCGGGGCCGTTGGTGTGGCCCGCCCAGACCATGTCGTGCACGTGATTCAGAATCTCGTCGTAGTCCGCCAGCGACAGAACCGGGTCCCGCGGCAGGATTTCGTTCAGCAGCCAGTCCAGCGCGTCTCGATGGTCCATTGTCGCAGCAGTTGTGAATGAAAGGTGCTGAGAGTGATGTTAGAGTGGTGATAGAGTTTGGGGAGATTTTGGGGAGTGTTGAGAACGGCGGGAAAAGTGGATAAAAACGATGGTGATAGTAGACGACGGATTGTCTCAATGGAGAGAACATGATCCTTGTTTTCAGAAATGAAATCCGACCTGTGTTCGAACAGATAATTGACAATATCTGTTGTTAAGCAACCCAACTAAGTTACTTGGAGATGTGAACTAAATCTTCAGCGGTGGAGAAGACGCGTTGAAACGAGAAAAATACGCGTTTTTTGGAGCAGAAACACAAGAAGAGAGTCGAATAATACTATCCTTCTCATTTTTTCTTGTATAAATAGGTCTCATTTCGCATTTTGAAACTTTTCACGGCCACCTTACTTCGCGACATACATAACATTGATCATAACTAGATGGATATTGGTATTACTGAAATCATCACTACATCATTAAGACCGTCTCAATCTGGTGGTCATTCTGGTACCACTTTTGAATCTCTAGCTTCATTTTTGCGTGATTCAGTTGAGACTTTGGCAGATCGGAGGTGGTTGGAATACAGACACTTGTATAAGTACTTGTACACGTACAAGGAACCGTTCCTGTCAAAAGAATCTCTTTTTTTCCTCGTTGTCAGCTCCTTATGCTCTATTTCTTTCTGTTTTCCCTCTTTTTGTTCTTTTACTGCTCTTCTCTACCACCCCGATATGTCCAGTCCATTCTGGTACTATAAGGAAGAAAAGAATGTCTACAACCTCACAAAACGACCAAGAAGAAAAGAAACCGGCCCATTTCCTGATTTCTGTTACGTGACACACTTCAATTGGATATATTTTGCCGTTTATCTAGGCTGTTCTACGACAGTCGAGTATTCTAGAGTATACTGACACCAAATCAACCCCTCCAGCTGTTCTGCAAGCACAAGTACAGACTCAATGTCCATTAATAAGTACTCTTGTGATCTGCTCTTGCTTAGTTAACTCATAATTTCCCCAATTGAGCCCCCAGATCTGTGACGACCTTGAACATGTCGCAAAAGCCGTTGCTCACCACTAAGGAAGCGGATTTGAAGAGGCTGGCGACACTCCAGCTGCCGTCTCCCATCTTCCTCTTGCACCATCTTCACCTCGCCCCATATCTGGACGGCTGCCTCCTTCTTCAAGGCCCGCAGCATTTCCAGGCCGCCATGCCAATGTCGGACACGAACAACATCTGGTCTGAAGACGGGGAAGAGGGTTCAATCCGATTCGTACACTCCAGACTGTCGAGGTTCAGCAACAGGCCCCCCAAAACCCGCCGCAGCTGCACAAAGTCCTCTCCTGGTCGTCTTTGTACATTTTCTCGTCGCCAGGCCAAATGGGCTCTTCTTCGAACGACAACCGATGTCCGTACGAGTTTGGGGAGGAGGCACAAGTTGGTTTTTTTTTTTTTTTTTTTTTTTTTTTTTTTTTTTTGACAAACAGCATATCCTCTGAGCTCAGCCTGAGTAGTCTTCATCGTACTCGTCGTTGTCGTTGTGGAAGTAGTGATAGTCATCATCTTCCAGATCCTCCTTGGTCTCATTCTCATCAAGATTGCAAATCACAATAAAGGGAAACGTGGGGTGTTTTCTCAGGACAGAAATTTGTCGAACCACATCCTAAAACTGCCGATACTCGCTTCCCTTGGTGTAAATGTGATCTCCAGCCTTGGCCACTTCATAGAGACCCGAGTCGGGTGCTAGTTGGGGCACAGGTCGAGCACCGGAGGTCTTTGAAGACTGGACGGGGCCACTGAGCATACAACGAGCTCAAGTTGGTGTCGCAAGTTTACCAGCTGACACAGTCGTTTCAAGACGTGCGAGAACCATCTCATTGATGGACGCAACACAATCTTGGGGCCATTTCCCATCAGAGGCAGAATCAGGTCCTTGGGGTGATCAAACTCACACATGTGCATTTTCCCCGTGAGCAGGTCGATCACGGCTTGACCATGCCGTTTGTCAATGGCCACGTACCGGTCCATTCGGTGCTCCTTTTTGCCCTGAACAATACCATGACGCTCGCGCTGGATTCGGGATAGTCATGATAGTGCCCGGTGGGGAATCCAACTCGACAGGCAGAGAGATTCTGGAAGTTCTGGGGCAAGTTCAAATGTCCATAGAGCAGGTACTGAGCGTCCCCCAACCATTGTTGGCCCAGATCCGCCTGGTGCACAGCTGAAAAACCGACCCTCAATCAACAAGAGGTGAAAGTACCCGTGGTACCGTTGTAGGAGACAAACGAGTCGATGCCGGTGTCAAAGAACTGGTAGTCCCGAAACGGAAGTTGGAGGAGGCAGGTAGCAGATGACAATGAGTTTCATTCGCTTGGTGGGTTCCACGTACCCGAGGTAGGTGTACGGTTAGGCTGTATCCAAGTACTTCGTGACTAGAGTTCCGGCTGAGCCGGGCCAATTGATTGATAAGTCTTTCCGTGCGATCCCTGAAGCAGGGTTGGCACGGCCATCTATGAGGGCGCCCTCCCGGTCAGATTTTTCCCGTTCGACCGCGGATTCGTCCCGTTTGTTATCATACACGTTCTGCATTCGAATAGGTTGTAGTTCTCTCCGATGCACGTGGCCCGCTGCTTCTTGTCTGCGGACGCCGAGATCTGTAGCGTTCTCAGATCAAGCTCGATTGCGGCGGTTTGGAGTCCTAGAAAATCGCACTGCAAGTCGCCAGCGTCTCTTACCCTTGTCTGGGTAGTTGGTACTGTCCGTGGCGTCCACAGACACAATGACGGGCTTGGAACCATGGTCGCTTGGAGGTCGATCTTGAACTTCCCCCAAGGTGTCGCCGTTTTTGCACGTCTGGCCGGATCATTTGGTGCACAGAAACGTACACTGAGCTACGTGTCATTTACGGCGTCTGTGTCGTTTACCGAGAACCATGGCCCGCGGGACTGCACTTTGGGGCGCACCAGAGAGTCGTCTAGTGAGTTGATTGTGTGGAATAAGTGTTTCTGAGCACCACGAGCTCCTCCAGCACTCATCTGAAAAACAGCTTTTGTGGGCCGTGTTCCGAGGACTGTTCCATTGCTGTTTTTGGAGTGGTTTTGAAAAGAGGAAGCAAGTAAAAGTGCGTTGGAGCGCTTGTTATGAGCTCGCGTTGGTTTTTGGGTTGAAGTCGATAATTAATTTCGCGTTTGTCTCTCTTCGCGTTTGTCACTCTCGCGTCTGAAAAGGGCACTTTGGGTGTTAAGACGGGGTATTTAGACGGCATTGCTGGATCAGCCGGACACCACGAGTCGAATGGTGCGATTTTTATTATATGCTGTCTTTCAAATATCGGCAGTTGGCGACCTCTCAGTGCATCCGACTCGCGTTTTCAAAATTAAAATAAATAAATAAATAAATAAATAAATAAATAAATAAATAAATAAATAAATAAATAAATAAATAAATAAATAAATAAATAAATAAATAAATAAATAAATAAATAAATAAATAAATAAATTTTTAAAAAAGGAACAAAAAAGAACAATTTTTTTTAACCAGGATAGGGGAATTGGGGACGGAAATTTACAGTCATTACGGTGACCTCTCAGCGAAAAATCACGTGACTTGCGTACGAACTGAGCATTTCATGTGTTCTCAAAGTCGTAATACTTGTCTCACAACTACTTCTCTAACTGCATTTAGTTGGAATTAGTTGACGAAAAAGTGCGCTGGGGGTTGCTATCTTGGTCTACAGAAGTCGTGGGGGAGAGAAAAATTGACAAAAAGGTAGCCAGAGTGATACATTTTAACTAATACCTGAAAAATATGGCTACTTGTAGTAGTAATATACGTGGATAATCGATATTTGAGTTAGAATTGTCAACTTCTCCAGTTGAGACATTTATTGACATTTGTTAAGTTTAAAACATACGATAGCATTGAGATCTACCATGACCGCAAGAGCTGGCTGATGGTTCAAGTGTCCGAAAATCACCACAAGGAACAGGTATTCACAGTTGGTTATCATCTCTTAACACAAAGTCTACAAAGAGTGTTTAGAAAAGATCAGATCAGTGACTTGGATCGAGATCGTGGTTCAGGTCTCAGAGAGAGAGTGTGCTGAGCAAAAGTCGCTCAGAAAGACAGACAGAACTCGAACAAAAGTCGGTCAGCTGTCCATCGGAATCAGTCTGTTGTTTGTGACTTATCATCTTCAACAGTATCCAAATCAATTGCTTAGTAATCCAAGACTTGCTGCTTTTCAAGCAGGTCTATATCCTCCTTCATCTACTACAAGTACAGTACAGTACAGTACAGTACAATATTGTAATATCTTTCTTATCTGTGCGGCTCATTAATTGATAAGAAAGCGTAAATGTCTATATAGCTACTTTGGTACATACATTCACTCTCCTCATTTGCACTCAACCAATGGGATAATCATCAACAGCTGCGACCGAATCGGCGAACTCACGGTACAGCCACGTGGCCAACATTTATTTTCCGGCGTGGTTTCCACGGCTTGACGGCACGGCGAGCGTTGTTACCGGTGGTCTTCTGCGGTTGCGGCGACTTGTTTGCACGACAGAAGAGAAGAGAAGAGAAGAGAAGGGAAGAAAAGGGAAGAAAAGGGAAGAAAAGGGAAGAAAAGGGAAGAAAAGGGAAGAGAAGGGAAGAGAGACCATTTAATATTTCTTGGGACTCTCGCATTGCTTTTAACCGATTGAACTGGTTTCGTGGCGCTCCTACAGACGCAACTACAGGACTACTGGTACGACCGCCGAGACTATTGACACGATTACTGACAGACCGCTGATACCACGATACGACTACAGACACAAATACCGACACAAATACCGACACAACTACTGACACAATATCGACACGACCGCCGAGCACTGAGACAGCCTAAGCGCTTCAACTCGATAGCTGCTAGCACTTTCTCACTATTCTTTCTACAGACGACCGCTTCGGCATCTTCAACAATGCAGTAGGAGCGAACCTCTCTCTATACTCCGGTCACCGCCGGAGTAATCTATTCGTTTCTAGAAGCCGGTAACTGTACCGTGGACAATACGTTGCGTCTATCCCGCCACAACGGGTCGACCTGTTTCTCTTTTGACACACCAGCCATCGTTCTCAGTGTCGTTACTTATATCAAAGAGTAAGCTGGAATTTGCAACATGTAACCGCTCCACATTTCTTCTCTTGAAGGCGGAACTCGCGCCCACACCGTCACCAAAGAGAGGAACAAAGTGCTCCCTGAGAAACCACGATCAGACCATGGTCATTTTCTGTCCCATATCCGCGGATTGAGACTACTCTTCAACGACAAGGAAGAGGACTTTCTTATGTCGAGCGACGAGGACGGCTGGTTTCCGGTCCACTTGTATATGCTCAACGGCCTGTTACCCTTCGTGGAAAGAAGTCAAAGACTGAAACAGCGGGACGGGTTTTGTGGACTTCTACGGCAAACAAATCTTGGCTTTAGGCAGAGACGTGGAAATCTGCTGGTGGTGTCGTCCATCTACGAGATTCCGGAATTGAATCGCAATGAGAGGATGGAGAAGAGGGTTCGAGAGTACGGACGGTCAGGTGCAGGAATTATGTCCGCCAGATACCGAGCCCAACACCTCTCGGGCATAGAAGATTCACTGGTCGCAATTGAGTGTCGAAAGCAGTGTGTCTCTGTTGTGCCAGGCCGTGAAGCTCACGTGAGTAACTGGTAGAGTAGTTACAAGTAGGTGCTACATGTTTAGTATCATGCTATAAAATACATTTGATTATGCGATGTCCTACTCTGACCCAACATGTGAATGGCGAATTCTTGAAAATGGAGAGAACAGCGCCATCCTTCAACACAATGAAGATCGCTAACTCGATGCTGTTCGCCAAATCAATGCTAGTCGTCCTCGGCAGCAAAAAAGTCAGCATTCTTCCTCACAAACCCCAACTTTTCCATCTGCTTGGGATACCTCAGCGTATTGAAAAACTGTACCAAAGCACGTAGCGCCACCTCCTGTGGGTAGGCATCATCGACCTCGGAGGTGACACTGGTGCCCACCAACCAATCATCTCTCAGATCTAACTTGCAATTGAGATAAATGTGCGAGATGATATCCATGTTGGCGTACTTCCATTTCCGGCCATTGAAGGGGATCTGCTCTTTGAACAGGTTCCAAACCGCCTTGTTGAGATCGGGCTGTCGAATAGCAAGAGCCTTCTTCAACGTATCGCTGGGCAGCTCCGCAACCACAATGATTCGCTGTGTCTTCTTCGAAACAATCATTCTCAGCGTCTTCACCAAATTAATCGCTGTCTGAATGTACCGCTGATTGAAAACGGTCACCTGTTTGACATTGTGGGCTGTGTTGGGAGACACGGGAGTGAGAATGGGAAAGACCTGGTCAAAGTCCCGTGCGTCGGGATTCTGACTAAGCATCATGCTTTTGTAGAAGAACCCCTTGCTTCTGACCTCGGTTCGTCGCAGCGAAGCCTCCAGCGTATCGTGGGCGTAAAAGAAGCGGTAGACTAGTAGGAAGAACCGCGTGTCGAACAGCAGTGTGGCGAAATGCTCAAACTGCATCACGTGATTCACCCTGAACCACTTGGTCAGCAGCACAATAACGCTGGAAACTGCCTTGAGCGAGATTTCCGAGTTGCGAATGTACTCCAATTGATCTCCATCAAACTCGCCTTCTCCATCCGCGAAAAAGACAATGTTGGCCAGCAGAAACTTGAGAGAGACCGCCACAAACGAGTTGAGATGCTCGAGAGAAGACGAGTAAATGCTTTCAATCTTTTCCAGAGGTGTCGCCTGTGAACAGTCCAGCGATAACTCTCCAATCATCTCGTCGACCGTCAACCAGCCCCGTTCTTGACGCATAAACTCCTTGCGCACCTCCCAGAGCTGTTTGGTGGCCACGTCTGTTCTGACACGGCTACTGAACAGCTCAACAGCCTCCTTGATACTCTCCGGTACCGTGTCTCCGTCATCCGAGGGGAACAGAAACGGAAACGACTGGTTCTTCTGGTACACGGACCGTTTCACCTTTTGTCCTTTGGCTGTAGTCGTTGCTGGAGTCAGAGGAGGAGAAGGAGCGGGTGTCGCAAGGTGCACCTGGGGCGCAGGGAGTTGGGTATTGCTCTGCTGCTCGTTGAGAGGCCGCGGCACGTGAACGAACGAGGATAGAGACTGTTGCGTGTCAATCTCGGGTGGAATAATCGATTTGGGGGGCACAAAAGATGGATACCGAGCTGTCACGTCCTGCCTGAACGCTTCGTAGTCGATAGGGGACGCCGTAACAATTGGCAGCGCCGGATCCTCCTCGGGAATGTCGTACTTCTGTCGCTGGGCTCTTGATGTGTCTTCCAGGGCTTTTTGGTCTCCCAATTCGAGCACAAGCACCTTCCACAGCAGTAAATGCAGCTGTTTGAGCGATACCACGTCCTGGCCGCCGTAACGCATGCGCGCGATGGTGGCAATGAGTTTTGCAGGCAACTCCGAAACCCCAGGCACGGGTTTGTGACGTTCCAGAGATGACAGTGTGATATGGTAGAGGATAGTGAGACATGTGGCGACAACGGGGTCGTAGTAGGTGGCCTTGGATGCCACCATGGCCACCAGATCGCCCAGCAAGTCGTCCAGACGGGAGGAGAGGGTGTCAATGACGCGCGTCACCACACTTCCGTTAATCAACATATCACTACCGGAATGTAGTCGCTGAATGTGATCTCGGATGCCAATCGAGTCTGCAAACAATCCCTGAGCAATATACAGCAGACAGCTGAGCTGAGGAAGACTCAGAGGACCAGGTCCGGTCTTCACCACACATTCCAGGTATCCGTCTGGTCCCAGGCTCTGGGCCACGTCATCACCATCCCAGGTCCTCAGCCCGCTTTCCACGCCGTCCTTGTAGCTGTACCACTCCTCCAGCTCGTCGACAAACGAGCCTCCCGTCACAGAGTACTCGTAGCAGATGCGTGGCGTGTCAGTGAACTCCGGCCCTTGGGCTATGCTTTGTGTGCGCGCGTCGAGCTCGCTCTGGAGCTGCGCGTCGGTGATCTGATCCGGCGGTGGCGACGAGTCCGACTGCAGCGGCGGAATTCCGTCGGTCACGTCCGGTTCCATGATGGGTGTGATGCAAGAGTAGAGGTGCGAGTTTTGCGGATGCAGGTGTTGCGAGGGTCGCGGGGGTGGAGGGTCACGTGAGCAATGGGGGGACGTGACACGTGATTGGGGTCGGGTAAAAGTGCCGCTGTGTGTCGATTGGCGGTTTCACGGGGTCACGAGGCCGTTTGCGTCGTCCGAATGGTGTCACTGAAAGGTGTTGTGATCTCGTTGTTATTACTGCATACTGCTGATTGATAAGGTTGACTGATGTGGGGGAGATGTGAGAGAGTGAGCAGATGAGGGGGTTGGGGATGAGCAGGATGGTAGAAAGCAGGTTTGAAAGACGGAGAAAGTATGAAATAACCGGTGTGAGTCTTTTCCGCGTCTCAATCGGCCTTCGGGAAACGTCAGGGACCTTTTTTCGCGGTTTGGGGAGTGCAAGTGTCAAAAGGTGTCAAGATCACCGCGACTTTGTATGATATGGGGTAGAGTTTTGTACGTTAAACGGATTCAGCAGGGGTTTATTTGTGTATTTGGACTTTTCTCCTTCTTTTTTTGGTGCTTGAAAGGCCTTTGGAAGTGGATGTATTTATTGTGTTGTATAATATGTTTCATGGGGAATCGAACTTGGGACGTAAGTTTTTCAGTATAATTTTTTTCTTTTTTTCTTTTCCTTATTTTCTTATGAAGTCAACTACCACCCCAAGTAACATTGTTGGAGAGTAGTGAGACTAAAAGAGCCCAGAAGAAGTCTGATAACAGGACAAATACGGTACTTGAAAGGCGGGGATTTTTAGGAGACATTCTCGCACCGCAAGAAATCCCCCTCGACCTATATAAACCGTCGTCAAACCACTCTGCGACCGCGTTTCAACCATCTCTTCGGTTCGCCTCCAAACTCTAAGTTCACAGCAAGATCATATATATTTTTATTTTTAACCACCGCCTTTTCCTGTCATCTCACCTCACACACCTCCAGACATGCTCGAACAGAACAAATTCAAGACGAAAAAACAGCAGCAGGCATGGAACAAGACGCTGGCCGGACGGTACTACAACGCCATGGTCAAGCGGCCCTTTTTGTTTTTCGGACTGCCGTTTCTGACCACCATCTACGCCGCATCGGTGTACTTTGCTGAGTTCACCGCCTACAGATACGAGATCCAGGACGGCAAGGTCAAGGCGCTGTCCGAGGAGGAGGCGCTGAAGCTGGACAAGGGTCGCCGAAAGGTGGACATGAAGGAGGAGTTTTACCGTCTGCAGCAGCTCGGTAAGCAGGACGACTGGGAGCAGGTCCGAGTGCCTCGAATGAAGGGGGAGAGTGACAATGTTTTTTAACGGGAATGAGGCCATGGACTGTCATGAATTGTCATGAATTGTCATGGATTGTCATTCCACCTCTCCACTCAGCCAAACGGCGCCAAACGTGGTATCGAACCGATTTTTGCGATCCCAGCACCGCGCCGCCTGCGATATTTATTTGTATATATTGAATACTACTGAATGCTTGTATGTGGCGGCTGGCGTAATTGTCGATTGACCCAGTACTCTCTGATTATCACTGAACGTCTCCAGGACTCACAGATGGTCTTTGGCAGATCAGAACAGGAGGCTCGCGTAACATGGCTGGAGACAGATCACGGCAAGAGCGGCTTGGAGGCACTGTGGACACTGGCTCGAAAGGCGATCATAGCGAAATGCTGACCGACTATAGAACGCGTGCAACTACAACTCACTCATTCGGCTACTCATTCTGCTGGAGAAGTCTTGACCTTGTGATTGTCCCAGGCTCACGCTGACTGCGTGTCTAGACCATTGAATGGCCACTTTAAGAGGAGTAAGAAGACTACGACGAACTCAATGGCGCTTCGGTTTCTCACTGAGAGTTATATCTTCATTCTACCGTCTTCTGAGTAGACTGCAAGTTCAACTGTCTCTCCAACCAATCAATGCCCTTTTGCAGAATTAGTTGACATCTAGAAACAGTCTCTTGGCCCATGAATCACTCCGTTTGATGCAAACATGAGGCAGCTACATATTGTCGCATTTCAGCGCTCTTCAGCGCATTTCGGCGCCCTAATCACGGATGAATGTGGACAAGTCGACGAGAAAACGCCCATCGTGGACGTTGGCTTGGAAAAACATGGACTACAACGACGGGACGACGGCTTTTTCGTAATGGAACAGTCCCCAACCCTCATAAACAGCGGTAGTCTCTGTCACATTGTTCCCGTCTTCTTTTGCCTGCTTCCTGGCATCTTTGGGGGTCTGCTGTCCTAAAACTCCGGGACCCAAGCCTCCATCCTCAACCCCTGTCTACCTGCCCTCTGACCTCGTGTTTTTTTTGGGGAATCTCTTGAACGTTGCCTTTTGGTAGAGCTGTACTCAGCTTTGAAGTTGTCATACTCCGGAACTCGGTGCCAGTCTTGTGGTACCTGGAGTTGTCTAGGGTGGTTCAATCTCCACGTCTGCCGTCTACACAAGATCGATGAGGGCTTCCTGGCAGTGTCAAATTGAGATTGAGTATGGTAACAAGCATTATGGGCCATATCAGGATGTAATCCTCTTCTTTGCGAGTCTTTGGGCCTTTTCCAGTTGCCGCTGGCATATCTGTATCGCTTGAGGGGTGAGCTCAAGTCTATCACAGTCTGTGCAAGCAGTACAATTCAAACACCAGAAGCGATTATGTATGCCTCAGATGAGTGTCTGCCCCATGAAATGTCACGACAAACCTTTCTTACCTTTCTCCGCTCCAAACTGATACCTTCACGGCTCTTTCTTCTTCGATCACGGAAGGTGCTCAGGAGCGAGTCCTCTTCTGCGACGACAGTCGATGGACCGACGAAACTCGCTGGATCGACGAGACTGTTGGTGAAGTAGGACGATCTTTGTCCATGTTGAGCCACGAGGCTGATGTGGAGGAGGGAGTTGAGGAGGACGGTGATGGGAACGCTGCAACCGAGCGAATGCGTCCTCGCTTTGGTGGTGTATACGTGCTCCTGGCGTTGTCTCGCGATGAGTGTTCCTGCTCCTGAACATGCTGCTGGAGAGGATGATGATGACGACGAACGATAACTACTCTGACCCGGCGACGACTCTGATCCGACGACGACTCTGATCCGACGACGACTCTGCGTGAGCGAATGACCCGGGTGGACATCTCGGTATGGGGATTATGGACGGCCCTGGTCAAGCCTTCGCTTTCAAGAGTGGAAGCTCCACGATCCAAACACTTGTAGCACTTTTGAAAACCATGAGATACCTTGACACTTACTGCAGATTCTGTCTCTTCGGTACTGTACCAGAACATCCCGAGATTTGCCGACTGCATAACTGGAAGAGTCGGAAAGTTGATACCAGAATTGCAAGGTGTATAGCTGTGAATCATTACAATCAAAAAAGCACCTTTGCTGACAGAGACCAGATACAGCACAGTTGTACGACAGAGGATCATGAACACTAGGCTACGATGAAGACGCTATGCTACGACGACACTAGGATACGATGAAGAGCTGGTTACCGCAATGATGGGACATTCTTGCAACCTAGCTGATACTTCTCTCACCAATAACGATGCTGACGATTCGCAGATGGATAGATACTTCTGAAGCAGACTGAGGAGGTTGCGATGGCGTGGGAATACGAGGATGAGTACGACTGCAATGATGAACATGTTTAGGAAACACTACTTGTGCTACAAGTACTTGAAAAGTACAGTACATACTGTTCTTCCAATCTTTGTATGTGAGTGCCGAGTGGTGTAGTTGGTGAGAGTCAGTCGGAAGTGATTTGGCAAAAGAGGTACTGTGGTTGTAGTTGTAGTTGAACTTGAACTTGAACTTGAACTTGAACTTGAACTTGAACTTGAATCTATACTTGCACTTGCACGTGTAATACCAGACTACTTCCGTGTTCAACTGTGTAAATAATAATCCTATGAATATATAGAAATTTATTGAATTGATGAGAAGCACTGCATGTGTGGTTTTACGACAAGGTGTTTTTTGAAGATACCTGGTAGGGTACCACAGGCCAGTTCCTCACAATGATGAGAGGAACCTGTCGTAAAAAAGATGTCCATCCTGTAGAGAGTTTTATTCACTGATCTAGTCTCGTTCTGGCGTCACGCCCTTCAGACGACACGCCCGTGCCACACCCCTCTGGTGTCCCTAGAAGTGAGTAAGTGGTTACGTTAACTACATCTAATCCATAACACTCATCATCTTCAATATATTTTCTGTCTATTCGGACTGTTTTCGTGTGTTTCCTCTAGCTCCCGGACCTGGTTCTGATCCCATGCACCATCACCTCGGTGACTCACGGTGACTCGCAGGACTCAGCCGACGACGGGTCGTTCCAGGTCACGTGAGCATGCTAACAGTCACGGAGAATATGGGTTGGGGGTTGACATTTCGGGTGGTTCTTTTTCCTTTTTTCTTTTTCTTTCTTTTGTAATTTTCGCCGCATTTTATTTATTTTATATTTATTTATTCATTAATTTAATTTAATTTAATTTTCTTTTTTCTTTTCTTTTTTCACCGCCGAACAAACGCCGAACAAAACCTTCGGCCTCATACTCAACTAAATCCAAGTAAAATCCCAACCAATTTCTTAACCCTTCTTTAGATGACTCAATTGAGTCACCCGCCCATGCACGTTTGGAAAACTCTGTTGAACCCAACAACTGACATGAAAAGATTTCCACCACGATATAAAAGCCCCCAGAGACCCGCTAGCCGCTCCCAAAGACATTCATGATGAATTACGCGCGCGACAACGACTACTGCGAGTCCGCCGACGGGCAAATCGGCTCGTCGGACTCAAATGAGGTGTCTGAGATGGGTCACAAGAAGGAACTTGAACAGGTCTTTTCTACCGCCACAGCATTCGATCTCGAGTCAGAAGACACGCAGAAAGAGCTGGACCGCATCTATCGCAAACTGGACCGTCGAATCATCCCGCCTCTGTGGATCCTGTACTTTCTGACGTCATTCGGAAGCAGTGCTTACGGAGTGGCGCTGACCATGAACATGGACAAGGGCCATTCGCTGTCTCAGACCCTGAATCTGTCGGCCCACCAGCTCTCGGTTGCCTCCGCTCTCTATTATGTCGGTTACATTGTCTTTGATGTGCCCATCAATCTGGTGATGACCAAAGTGGCCCCCCATGCGTGGTTATCTCGTATCGTCATTTCCGTGGGCGTTGTTTACGCATGTTATGCGGCTCTGAACAATGCCGGTGGCGTCATTGCCATCCGTCTCATTTCGGGCATCTGTGGAGCCGGCACTTGGCCCGGACTGGCCTACTATGTGTCGTTGTGGTATCCTGCTCACCGGACCGCGCGACGTATCGGCTACTATTTCACCGCTGCCCAGGTGTCTGCCGCCACCGCGGGTCTGTTTTCCGCCGCGTTCCAGACCATTGACGGCAACCGTGGCCTCAAGGGCTTCCAATGGTTCTTTCTCGTCTACGGAGTGTTCACCGTCACTCTAGGAGTCTCCCTACTGTGGTGGTTGCCAGGCCGACCGTCGGAGTTCAACGATCTCTACGACGAGTCCCATAAGATTGACCAGTTGGCCAAGACGTCGGTTCTCAAGTCCCTGCTCAACGGCACCTTCTCCAAACACCCGCTTTCTCCGCTCGAACAACAGTTGCACGCCGCCGACATGTCTCAACGGTACCTCAACGTGGCCTGGACTCTCAAGGACCTGCTGAGAGTGTTTATGGACATCCGAATCTGGCCGCTGGTCATTATGTACTTTGGAGTGGTCGGAACCGGCTACGGTATTGTGGTGGCCGGTACCTCTATCATCAAGTCCACCAACGAGTCTCTGACCCCCATTCAACTGTCTCTGCTTTTCTGTCCCATCTGGGTGTGCGATCTTCTCGCCATTCTTGCAATCACTCCGCTCTCTGACCGCTACAAGAACCGGCCGCTGTTTTTCTGCGCGTCTACAGTGGTCATTATTGTTGGAATGGTCGTCAACACCTATGCGCCTGGGTCGTGGCCCCGATATGTGGGACTACTTATCACCGGACTCGGTCTGGGCCCCACAGTGCCCATCTGCATGACCTGGGCGGCTGAGATCTTCATGCCCAAGTACCAGGACGTCGGGGTCGCCGCCACTTCGGCTCTAGTTTCTGGCCTGGGAAATCTCGGCAGTGTCGTCACCACCTACGCACTGTACAAAGGCTGGAGTGACGATGTGGACCGGGGCTTCAAGTACTCCAATATGACCGTTGTTGGCATTTTGGGTGCGTCGATTATTGCCGCTTTGCTCCTGGGCTACACTGAGAGGAGACGGTTGCGTGGCCAGCAATGAGCGCGACTTGGTAGTGTTTGAATTGGAGCTGTGAAGTTGGCTACGGCGCCCACCAACTCGCTACGAATAATGATTTATGATATAATGATAATGAGCTATGCTGAGTGAATCGTGGAGGAATGACGTATACTCTACAACGCACCGAATGGTGACAAACGACAGAAACTAAATCCGAGACTACGGTCAAATCCCGTGGCTACTTGCGTTAGTTTTGCCCCATGGTGAACCTCGAAAGCATGCGAGACTTTTGAGAGTATAAGAAAAGATGGAGACAAGTTTGTATGAGCCAAGTGGGTTAGAATTGTCTAATAAGACAGAGTCTGTTGGAAGTGCGCTGATCGGCCATTGTTCACGGAGTTGCAGTGGATTTGTTGGTTTTCGGTGGTACCCAAGACTCAGCACTGATTATAGAAACAAAGGTGTTATCTGAGGAGATATAAACGATCATCATGGAGCCGATTTGACCTGAAATCCATTCGCGCCATTTTCGAGTGAGTCGGGGTCACTCTTTCCTGTCCTCAGTGTGAAATGATGAAGAGGGATGGATGGAGTAGTCGACGATACGACTTTCATTCGCCCCATCGAGCCAATATCAACGAGTTGGGATGTAGTCTCCAATGGCGATACAGGCTCGATTAAACGAGTCGACAAAACTTGTGGCCAACCACATTCACACCGATTCTGAACAGTTACGTAAGAATATAGAGACTGTTGGCCCCGATGAGACATTTCACTAATCCCAGACTGAAAGAATCGAATTTTTTGCCCAGAAACCACTGTTGGCTACAGTCTTTTAGGGGATCATTCATGTGCCAGTATTGTAGAAGGAGTACGCTTTTTTTTGTACTTTTGTGACCATTGAATCTTTCATGAAACCAGCGTTCTCAAACTCAGTTAAAATTGTCATTGTTTCCGTGATAATTTATATATTTATCTCAAACTCTGTTAAAATTGTCATTATTTATTTACTTGAAAACATAACGTTCATTCCAAATCTAGTAAAATACCAATTATATATAGTTGGGATTAAACAGAAATAAAAAGCCATCCAGTCCCGTCAACAGTACAGATTTGAGGGAAAAAGGTTGAAAAGTACTTTCTGCAACGGATTTCAAGTATCCAACAAAAATATGAAACACAATATATGAAAAAATGGGCCATTTGGAGACTCCTCAAAACCCCACCCTCTGCCGTGCGGCTCGAAATAATCACCGAACTTTGAATGGGAAATTGATAAGTAATATGGAAGTAGAGATCAAGTAATAGGTGGACTTTTGGTTGACATTTTTAAGACACTTCCTTTTCAATCTGAAATCCGTTCTCCAATACCTCAAATGTGCCCAGCACTCATTCCTCATATATCGGTTATAACGGTCTTCTTGTAGATCTCCAGTACAGTACTAGTCTTGTAGCTCTCTTTCATTACAGCCCTTGGCTTGTAGATCTCTCTTCCACTACACCTACACCTACAATATACACCTACACTTACACCGACACCTACAAATACGCACGTCTTTCTATTGAGCTACGACCGCTATATATGAGCCAGAACCGGAATCTGGCCCGTGTTAGTGTTGGAACTGTGAGCTGGAACCGTGAGCTGGAACTGTGAGCCGTCCGAACAGTCACCATGGCCGTAGAACATGTATGACGCATTCGCGGCCAAATCACCTGCCAGTGATCAGTAACCTACCAGATTCCGCATGTCTAGATGTGCTCACAGAATAAAATCTGGATCCTCCACCACATGAACAATGAAGTCATCCAGGTCCAAGTGTCCCTGGCTGTAAAAGTCGTCGGGCCCCTCCTCCAGCAATGTCAGGTGGTATTCGGGCAGACCCCGCAGCTTGGACGCCAGCATCTGCGTCACGTCCTCGATGATGGCGTCGTGGTCGTACTCAATCGACTCGGGGTCGTCGTCTTCATGTTCGTGGATGAAGTAGGCCGAGATTTCGTCCTGGCCAAAAGTCACCGTCAGCTCCATGATGCACAGGTTGGGCGACTTGAAAAGCGTCGCCAGCTCCTGCTCCTCGCGCTGCTTCTGTTTCTTGGTGGCGCTCATGTCAATATCGGGGTCGGAGGATAGCGTAGGTGGTCAACTTGTGATTGCTAAGGCGGGCAGTTGATGAACCAACAGTAAACTCAGTTGGAGATGGTATGCCACGGTCCACAAATGTCTCAAACACACGCTGTAGATGAGCAACAGACAAGAGAAAAGATACAATCGACTCGCACAATCCAGCTGAATACTCTGAGCAGACTTTCACAGCTCTATATATACCCAAACACCGGCCAATCGAGCCCGCCAAAATGCAGGCATCACCATGACGTCATGCATATCTGTGGTCATGAGGTTACAAGCACAAGTCACGTGGGTTTGAGACAGAACGGCGAGAGTCGGAACAAACGAGCCAGCCCACACCACGCGACCTCGGTCACGTGATCACGAAGACGGAGACCGCGCAGTTATGAACATGTGTCTGTTTCGGCATTATCTTGCTGACCGATTGCGTCACGTGCTCTAGTGCTGCCTGATTAGGTGCGCATTTTGAGGCGCTCTTTTTTTAGGATTTGGCACAGACGGAGTTGACAAGTATAAATGTATGGAAGGATCCTCCTCTTTTCCTTCTGTTCTTTCTTGTTTCTTCTTACGAGATATTTTTGTCCCATCTGTCGTCTGTTTGAGCTTTCAATGTCACCAGGAAGCTCATCGGTCGGGTCAAATAAGGTTCAGGGCGTGATGGATTTTATCGGGCAAGGCCGAATCGAGTTGGGAGTGACAAAACTGAATGAAATAAGTGAGAACAAAATAAGAACAAAATAAGAACAAAATAAGAACATACAGAACAAAAAAAAGGAGAAGGACAAAATGAGAAGGACAAAGTGAGAAGAAAAAAACAAGACTTTTCCTTTTATCAACTTTTGGTGGCATCGGTTTTCTGAACAACTGAATCCGAATCCGTGCTGCGGGTATAACATTGTTCTTAGCTCTTAAGTATGCACAGTATGTACTGTAGCAGGAATGTGTCCCTAGAATAAAGAAACATATATATTATATACTGTACTGTACTGTAATACTCAATAATTAGTCTCCCAACAAAAATTAACGACTTCAAGTATCATAAACTTGACATCCACTACGAATCAGGAAAAGAAAATCAATTGCACGGATCATCTTCCCAGAGTTTTTCACCTCAATTGTCCACAGAATTTATTGCTATATAATCTTCATAGATACGTAGGATTGAAATCAGTTGATGAAAGTGGTCTACATCTTTACTACCGTGATGTGGAAAGTGGTATATACTGTTGAACGTAATACCTGGTGAATTAATACCTGGCTATTTCCTCACATAATGATGAGATGTCACCACATAGTGATGAGAGGAATCAGCTGGGTCGTAGACGAGATGTCCATCCTGTAGATAGTTTTATCCACTGATCTAGAATCTCTTTTCTAGTGAATGAGCAAGCACACACCAGAAGGGTGTGTGCTACTAACGGAACGTCGTGTCCCTAGAAGGGGGTTGTAAGTTGTTAATTAACTATATCACATCAATAATACTTATGATCTTCAATATATACTTGTACATACTTGAACCCTATGCACGGACTACTTACAAATGTATGTAATGAATCATTAGAATAAAAAAATATAAAATATTATGTTATAAAAAAAAAATGAAAAAAACAAATACAGTACGTCCCCCGAACCTCTCTGAATGACACACTCCTTGTATTTGTAACACAATTACCTCATAAATCCAATGCAAAAAAACTAATATATGTATTTCCTGATCGCAGTTGTACTCATCCCCATATTCCCACGCCATGTCAACGTTATGCGAGTCCGTCTTCACTGTTGCAATAGTCCTTGCCAAGGTATATATATATATTTTGTATAGACTTATGTTTTTCCAAGTATACACTTGAGTTTTGCTTAGTTTACTCTTTTATTTTTTTAAAGTATTATCCCAATTTGGGAAGTTTTTCAAGTGGTACAGTACATACAAGCTTGTGAATGGGACCAAAACGAGAAATTTTCTTTCCATCAACTTATCACGACTTTCCTTACAATGTTACCCATGTATAAATGAGGTTGGGTCCATTCCACATGCCTCCCGGAAGTTACGCTAACCCCTTATGGTCCAGTATGGCATCAGGCGCGTATCTCCTTTGGTAGACGTCACAGCGTCCGGTTACTTGACACTTCTATCCCTCACTATTCTACACCAACTATCACTCTCATTAACACGTTTATTAAGCGGGTGAGTATCTGACTCACGGCAACTGACTCAATGGCAACTGACTCAGCGATCTGGTTGACAGGATGGTCCCATAGACTGACTCAACTGCGAGCTCATTATCTCAACTCAACCGAGAGAGGAATGTCTCCAACTACGTCAACCCACTGCTCAACTGTGACGAATGTTCGTCAACACCAAAAGTTGTACACTCTGTACGCAAATCCCCTCTGGCTCAAGTCGTACTCCTCCTGGGCGATTTCCGCCTTGAGCTTCTCCAGATCCTTCTCTCGTCGGCCCGTGTCGATGTCAATCTCGCTGATTTTGAGAATTCCGTCTCTTTTGACGAGTTTGTAGCCAATTACAAAGGCCAGAATCACCGGAGCAGCCAGATAAGCCATGAAAAAGTCCTCGGCGTTGGGCTTGCCACCCAGCGGGAACAGCGCGATCCAGAACTGGGCAATGAGCACGAGAATGTTGAGTGACAGACCCACGTACGACCCGTAGACGCCAAACCCGGCGGAAAACGTCAGCTCGCCGGTATCTCGACCTCGGTACTTGAGGGCCTGTCGGAACCGGATGTGGGCGAGGTTGATGGAGCCCCAGACCACGACCGACGAGAGGCCGGAGAGCGCCAGCAGCCAGTTGAAGACGGCGCTTCGAACTTCGGCTCCGGCGGCCGAAATGAAGGCAAACAGCGAAAATATCAGCACCACCGCAATGCCGACAATCGGCCGGCCCTGTCGGTCAATGTAGGCAAACATTTTGGGCGCCTGGCCGGCTTCGGCCATTCCGGCGATAGTCCGGGAAAAGGCGTACACTCCAGCGTTTCCGACCGACAGCACGGCGATCATGATGACCACGTTCATTACCGAGGGGAGGCCCTTGACTCCGGCCAGCCGAATGGCAATGACAAAGGGCGAGGCCGTGGCGTCTGCCGACGAGCTGCCGTTCAGCAGCATCTCGTTGTCGTAGGGCACCAGCAGCCCCACCACCGTCAGGGCGACAATATAGAAGAGACAGATTCGCCAGAAGACCTGTTTGGTGGCCTTGGGCAGCATTTTGCGGGGGTTTTCCGTCTCTGCTGCTGCCAGTCCCGCCAATTCGGTGCCGGCAAACGCAAACGCTGCAGTTACAAACACAGAGCAAACGCCTTTGAATCCGTTGGCCAGAGTTCCGGGACTTTTCCACAGTTTTCCGCCCTGATAAGACGAAAAAGCGCCGTCTGAAGGTCCTCCACCGGCGGCCATGATGATTCCAAAGATGATGAACCCACAAATGGCGGCGATTTTAATGATGGAAAAGACAAACTCGGCCTCGCCGTAGCCGCGGACGCCAAACAGATTGATGCAGACAATCAGGGTCCAGAAAATGATGATCCACGCGGCGGTGTTGATGGATGTGCCATTGATTTCGTTCCAGAAGTTGACCGTCATGGCTGCCGCCACCAGCTCCAGTGGCAAAATGACAAACCAGCTCATGACGTAGTTCCACGCCATGGCAAAGCCCCAGCCGGGGTCGATGAAGCGGGTAAAGAGGGTGAAAAACCCACCGGAAACGGGGAAGCAGACCGCCAGTTCTCCCAGCGCGTGCATCGTCAGCAGCAACATGACTCCAATGATACCATAGGCGATCAGCAACGCCGCAGGACCACCCTGACTAAGCGTGCTTCCTGACCCGATAAACAACCCGGTGCCAATGGACCCACCAATGGCAATCATCTGCAGATGCCGGCCCTTGAGGTTTCGTTGTAGGGGCGAATTGGCTGTCTTGAGAGCGGTGATTTCCATGGGAGTCAGACCGGTGAAGTCCATGTCGGTGGTGTCGGCCGGCCCAAAGCCGTATTTGAACCGTTGCCAGGCATTGGAGGGCATTACTTCCACCTGGCCGGTCACCTGGCCGGCCTCGGAAGTGATCGAAATGGACTCGGCCTGAACTGGTTTTGTTTCTGACATAACAGAAGATGTTTGAGTGGGTGATTTCGGACGGGTAGGGGAGTTGGCAATTCTGCTGGTCATATACGCTCTCCCAGTGGACATCTTATCTCTGCCAAGAAATGGCATCTGTCAGAACCTCTTGACAACTCTTGACTACTCTTGACAACTCCTGACACCTCCTGATAACCCCTGATGTCATTGTCTAAACGATGAACAGTCTTGTTTGGACGCTGAAACAATGTCAGATGTCGACAGTGGATGCATTTGACATGCTTCTGAGGTCGTGCCGTGGAATTTTGTCGTCTGATCCATGGTTTTGATCTTTGGATTTACATCTGCTACGATTCAGATTCCTTTGCCCCTCCCCCTGCAATCGTGGGCTATCTCTAATCAGCAAGACCTGAGTCACGATCACAATCAAAACTGTCTCGAAAACAACCACCACACAAAGCTCTAGCTCCGGGTACACTCCACTAGGCCCCACAGCCGGTTCTCAATCCCCCTAAAACTAGCTCTCTTATCAAGTCTTATCAGTTGTATCAGCTGTATCAACCAACTCGGCGTGAGACGCTGTGTGCATGAACAGCTGTTACTGAGTCAATAACACTCACACACCGACCTAACTACGGTCTCATTCTCAGATTCAGCAATCTCTCCTCTCTCATCTCTTCTCTTCACAACTTGCCCTACTCACAACCAGCTCTCCACTCCGTATTGTTCATTACAACGCGCTTACGGATTATACGAGACAAGAGACGCCACGGCATGCACTAGTCCACCCTTGTATCTGTTTAGATACAGATTAAGCAGCTGTCATCCGTGAAACTACAAGCCTTGGACTGCTCTACGATACTGGACACTCCTAGCTCTTCTTCGAGCTCCAATTGACCACTCTCAGGTCTTTTGTCACCTCTTATGGAAACTTCTTGTATTTCCACCTCTATTTTCATCTCAATAGCTGTAGAAGTCTAGCCCTCACCAAACGCACTAACGCTGTCGCGCTCCCAAACTGTCAAAATGACAGTCGTGGAAGGAGCTGGCGGAACTGCCAAACGCACAGATGACAGCTAAAGCCACAGATAACGACCACATATCAGAGATAAGCCGCTTCTACAAGTACAGTAGAGCCACTATACGCTGACATCGTTCATCATACGAGTGAACGTAATTCATCACATGTACTAAATAATTGATGCCAAGAGGAGGTCTGGCATGAGCCCTTCGGACATCGTCATTCCGTTCACCTCCTAGAGCCACTTTCAACCCCACTCCTTCACTCCTCCTCAATAGTTTCCACCTCCTTTGTATCCGAATCCAAATATCCACCAATAATACTGCCCACACTCTGCTTGCGATCAATAGGAGACTCCTCCACAGCAGAAGTGGGAGCAGGCGAGTAAACCGAAGACGGAGAAGAAACCCCAACATCGCCCTCTGCTGCCTCAATGGCAGCCTCCACGTCCACGGCTTCGGAAAACGGCTGCTCCCTCATGTGATGTGTGGCGCTCTTGATCACGTCAGGCTCGGAAATGGATCCAACCTCGTAGGGATGTTTATGGGTTCCCGACTTGATCACATCGGGCTCAGAAACTGTGTACTGAGGTCGCTCTGACGTCGAAAACCGCGTCACGTCGTCATTACTGTCGTATAGAGCATTTTCGGGATTGCCAATGTTAGAAGCATGGTCCACAGGATCAGCAATCCCCTTGTGCACAGACTTGGAAGTAGTGTCCACGGGAGAAGGAGCGTCATGGGCAGGCTTTGCTTCCACAGAAGAAGGCGCGTCCCCACCATGAACTGACTTGGTGGTAGTCTCCACAGGCTCTGGGTCCTCATGCTTGGGGCGTCGAGCAGGTCGGCTAGGAACAGGAGGCTCGGTATTTGTCGGCTTCTCCATGTTCTCGGCATGCTCTTCAACCTTTGAAATGTCAGTGGACGAAGATCCATCTCGAATGACATCCACATGCGTCGTAGGGTGCCCAGCAGTGTCAAGAGCATCTCCAAGTCGCTTTCTCACCGCATGCACGTGACCGTCATCATTCTTCTTTGGCTTGCCAACAGAATGGATGTAGTCATCGTGAACAACGTGCTCTCGAGCGTCTTCAAAATCGTCATCGGAAGAGTCATGGGGATGAGTCTCTCTAAGGTGAGCATGGTGGGCCTCGATCTTGTGTTCTAGGTCTCGAGACTTGGATTTAAGATCATGGCCCAACTCCTTCAACTTCTCCTCGTCCTCGTGAGTCTTTTCCTCCACAGCCTTCTTCGCCTTGGGGACCAGCTCCCACACATCAGAAATGACGGAGCAAGACCAGGGAGACACTGCAGAAGATGGGAGCTTTCGCTTGGGTCCCTTGACTCGGCCTCGTCGAGAGGCTCCTCCAGATCCAGCTCCAGAGCCCTCTTCCTTGTCCTTCTTGTCCTCCTTTTCCTCCTTATCAACACCAATAGGAGGCAGGTCATGGGAGGCTCCTCCACCGGCCTCGGAAACCTCCTCATCCTCCTCAACCTCCTTTTTGGGCATGGGCGCCCCGAAAACCATTGGTCCTCCGGCTCCAAACATGCCATCTAGGCCCTTGGCAAGTGCAGAGATCTTGTTGGACCTCACAGGGACTCGGGGCTTGGGCTTGAACTCCTTGTCCTTCTCCTCCAGAGCAGCCTGGAACGCAGCTCCAATCTTGGGCTTGGGTTTGACTGGAGGAGGTCGCTTCGCAGGCTTTGCAGGTGCATCGGGCTTGGCGGACGAGGTAGACTTAACTTCCTTATCCTCGTGCTTGGAGGTGGGCTCTTCAGTCTTGGCCTCCTTAGCGGTCGATCCGTCAGTCTTGGCCTCCTTGGCCTCAGTCTTGTCGGCCTTGGGCTCCTTGTCCTCAGACTTGTCCTCAGACTTGTCATCAGACAAGACCAAATTGTCGCTACTAAGACCAACGCCCAGAGAGGAAGACGAAGTGTTGTTTCCAGGTCGCTTCATGGGCCGAGGAGGAATAAGAGGCGACTTAGAAGAGAGGTTTGAGCCCGTTCGAGACACAGGTTTGGGTCGTGCAGGAATAACGGGTGATTTGGATGCCGCCGAGATTTCCTTTTCCTTCTTGTCATCCTCATCATTCCCAGTGACAGCAGCAGCAACAGAAGCAGCAGCGGCGGCAACACCGGCAGTGGCAGCGGCGGCAGCGGCAGTCACAGAAGAGGTGGCCGCAGCAATGGGAGTGGCTGAGTCGGAATTGGGGTCCTTGACGTCCGTCTCGGTCTCCTTGGTCTGCTCAGCGGGCTTGTCGTCGGACTTGTCGTCGGACTTATCGTCGGGCTTATCGTCGGACTTAGGGATGATCTTAGCTGGTTCCTTGGACTCAGGGAGAGACTCATGTTGCTCCACCACTTCCTCCTTGACCTCCTCAATCTCCTCTTCAGCAGCTCCAACCCCAACAGCAGGTTCCTCGGCAGCAGGCTCGATAATAGCCTCAATCTCGTCCTCCTCATCAGCCAAAGGAACAGGGTTTTCCTTGGACAGATCAAGAGTAGCTTCCCGAGCGGCAGAGAGGGATTCCACGGATTCTGAAGCAGACGCCGACCCAGAAGCAGCAGCCGAAGGTCGCTTGGTAGGTCGAGAAGGACGCGCGGGAACCCTAGGTTCAGAAGGATCGGAATCCTTCTCCTTGAGCAGTTCCAGTCCCACGGCATCAAGCCCAACGATGGGAGCCTCCTTGTCCTTCTCAAGAGCTTGTTTTCTCTTCTCCTCCATTGCAACAGCATCGAGAGGCACCTTTCGGTGAGCAGAAGCAAACTCTTGGTCTTGCTCTTCGTTGTTCTCCTTGTCCTTCTCTTCATTCTCTTTCTGTCTGAGAGCAACAGAGTCGAGCGGAACAGAGTCAGAAGCTCTATTGGCAGCCGGAGCAGGGGTGCTGGTGGGGAACTCCGAGGCCGCGTCTCCAGCAACACCTCCACTCTGTCCCTCCATCATCAAGGCAATATCGTCCTTGGGTACAGCGGCCTTGATGGGAGGACCTGTTCGCACAGCACTGGGGTCGGAGGCGCCCTCAGTAAGAGAGTCATGCAAGAGAGCCATGTCGTCCTTGGGGACTCCCCGGGGAACATGTTTGTCCATGGGTCCCAGACCAACCTCGATGCCCATCTGTTTGTCCTTTGCAATTCTCTCTGTGAGAGCTTCTTCGGACTCCACAGAGGTTTTCTTTGGTCGCGAAGACGGTCTTTGGGGTCGTTCGGGCACAGACGGCTCAATTGGTTGGAACGGTGTTGACGAAGCCTTGAACTCTGCTTCTTCTTTCTTCTCAAAATCGGCGGCCTGTTCGGTCGTCATTCCAGGCTTAGTTTCGGAGGTTGTACCTGACGACAATGGAGCCGGACGTCTCGCGGGGGGAACGGGAGAGGGTCTGAACGAAGGCCCGTCGACTTCTTCAACGTCTGCTGAACCCGAGGAAGGCACAGGACGTCGTGCAGGTCGCGAGGGAATCGACGGTGTGCGTTGCTGTTGCTGTTGCTGTTGCTGTTGCTGTTGCTGTTCATGTCGGGAAACTCGCTCCTTATCCTCATCTTCCTGTCGATGCTCCAGCGCCGCGGCTTCTTCGGTGGTCATGCCCTTCTTGGGGATCTTGACGTTGAAAGATGGCTCGTCGTAGGTCGCTTCCGTGACCGGAGTCGGCATGAAGGAGGCCTGGGGCGCTTCAGAGGAAGATGTGGATGGCGTCACGTCTTTCTTGGGGCGTCTAGAAGGAACAACAGGGATCTTTTCATCTGTGCCATCAAGCTCAATGGGATCATGTTGAGATCCAGAACCGAATCCTGACCCTTCGCCGCTCACAACATGCACCTCATCAGTCTCCACCACAGTCTCAGGCACCTCCTGCTCCACGGCGGCAACCGCGCGGTCGTGTTCGCGCACAATTGGCTCGGCAACGGGCGCAATGGGTGCGGTATCGGGCGCCGGACGTCTCGACGGTCGTTTGGGCACTTCCGGAGTGTCGTTTTCAAAGTCGAATGTCTGTGTTAGAAACAGTCAAAAGGGGCCTGAAAAGTCCCCAAAGTCCGGAAAAAGCTCCAAAAACGCCCTAAAACCGACCCCTCCGTCGGCTTAGTCAGCTTACTCACCTCCGATTCGCTCATGGTGGTCGTTTTTTGTAGTTTTTTCGTCGCTTTTCCGCAAAAATCCCGCTTGCGTGGTTTTGCTGCTGTAGACGTGTACTCCCACACTAACATATGCACGATTGCGTACTATATTTGTAGGGTTAGGGATTGACGAATTTGGCCAAGAGGGGGGTGCCAGGGGCGAAATGAGCTGATTAAAAAAGGAGAACGGTTCAGCATCGAATTTCGGGCGAAAATATCATGTTTTGGGGCGATAATTGCGCCAATTGGAGCTCGCGGATGCCAATGGAGTCGTCAAGTACTATTTTTGGGCGTCTTTAACCTCGTTCAGATGGACTGTTGTGCATTGTCTTATTCGTTTTTCAACAAATCCGAACAAGAATAGTTGGGAAAATAGTTACCATAGTTGACCAAAAAAAAAAAAAAAAAAAAAAAAAAGTCAATATCCGGATTGGCCCGAATAGTTAGGTCCAGCAACAGATGTCCGCCTAACGTGGAATGTAGAGGAGCCACAAGGAGCCAGCGGGAACGCGAAACTTGAGCTCAACTCCCACAAACACATTGGTAGTTCAAACATGTCGATATGATGATTTTTGGTCCAGCAGGTTTTCCCTCCAAATCAAGCAACCCCACGCGATCCTGGTTTGTAGATGCAGATCATGTGACCTGGGACCTAGGAAAGGGCGAGGCGGGTCTCAAAAAATGCCCAAAAAATGCCAAAAAATGCCAAAAAATGCCCAAAAAATGCCCCCCACAAAAACAACAATATTTTCCGATTGGTCTTGTGCTTCCCGGTCTTGCGGTGTCTCTGGTGTCGCTTGCGTCGTCGTCATGTAGCGAATTAATACCCACAATGATGGTTGCTAATCGCGCGACTCCAGGCAGCCATATTTAGAAGAGGTGTGTTTGGGGTGTTTTTGTGAACAAAAGATTTTTGGAAATTCGGGAAAAATGCTCAAAATTCACGATAAATCGCGACGGCCACAACGGACCACAGTCCGCATTTCTCACCCCGGTGCTTCGCTCGCCACAAAACACTCCTTCCCCACACATATTTCAGCCCACCCAAACCTTGTGTGCAGTGTGACGAAAGATTTTACCTTGCGACCACAAGTAGCTCGGTTTTCTTCCACTCGCACCACACAACTTACACACACACCAGAACTTGAAACGTGAGTATTTGCGCGGGGTCGGGGAAGCGGCGAGTATTCGGCAGGCACGAGGGCAACCGCTTAGGGCGTCCGGATCACCGCCGGCTGCCGATGGATGAAGATGGATCGTCGATGGAAGCATGAAGAAGGTTGGTGGAAGGACTAGGTGGCACTGTGTGTGGCAGTGGGCGTGTCATGAGGAGTGGAGTGTGGGAGTAGGGTGAAGTGGTGGCAGGTTGGTTGTGATGACTGTTGTTGATGACGTGGCAGACTAGTGATTGAGAAAAGGTGTGACGAGGATGACAGTCATCGGCTCTGCGTGAGCTGTCTGTCTTGTCACCCTCGGCTTGTGACTCCATCGCCGCACTTGATCCGCAGCTTATTAGTACGTCATTGTCGTATGACTGTACCGATGAGGTGAGAAGGGGTGGAAGGAGGACAAATGCCGTTGTACTCTCGATACCGCCACACACACCCGTGCACACCCTCACCACACACGGCAACGCTTATGTTGCTGTCGATGTTCTCCCCGCGCCACTATACCGACCACAGTCACTGTTGATCTCATGAGTCAAAATGGCACGACATCAACTACATGCTGAGCACAGGGTGCGATCACCCGACCTGTTTAACTGCGGCCGTTTTTTGAAGTTCGCTATTCCTCGCAATTTCACCACCTCCATTCACGATCCCGTCGCCCATCTCTATCCACTAGCGCTGATCCACATATCACACGACTCAGTTGGTCGGCTGACCATGCCACGTTGATTCGTCGATGGAAGAAAAGAAACGTGCGACGATTCACCTTGTCGGTGGACGAACATCCTCCCACCTCGCTGACGATCCAACTTTCTATCTGTGGTGGATCGGGCGTGGTTTCGGCGCCTTCGGTTTTATGTCGGTGCCTTCCTCGTGCCATTCGACGTCACTATGTCGACATACAAGACTGGTACAAAAAAACACACAAAAACGGAAACAACGTCCACCGTTGTTGATGATTTCGATCGCTGCTTAACGAGCCAGATGTTTCCCTGCATTTGTACCCGAACATGACTGTTGTGACCCCGTTCCAGCACTTGGACCATACTAACCCAGATGTCTGAGCGACCAAAGAGAAGCTCAGTAAGCCGAACGGCAGTGCGGCCTGCCAAGAACTCCACATCGATACTAGACGAGGAATCCAAGCGCCTCAAGCAGTTATATCCCACACAATTGGTGACTCTCAAGGAGTTGTTCCCTGACTGGAAGGACGATGACCTGCTGACGGTCCTGTCGGACACAGACGGCGATCTCGAAAACGCCATCATTCGCATTGCCGACGGCCACGCCCAACAGTGGGGTGAGGTCAAGAAGAAGGTGCCCAAGGAGAAACCGGCACCTGCACCAGCAGCAGCACCCACCCCGGCGGTGGCCCAGCAACATTCCACATCGCAGCAGCAGTCTGTTTCCACTTCACAAAAGATGCCTCCCAAGGGCCCACGAGCGGACCGATCCGCCAAGGTTGGAGGCACCTCTGCTGCTGGCGCCAAGCGAGCCCCCACCGCCGCTGCCGCTGCCTCCAAGCGTGCCCCTGTGGCCGCTGCCATTCCCACAAAACCCGTTGCCGCCCCTCCTGCCGCTGTCGCCGGTGCCGCTAGTGCAGCTAGCACCGAGCACAGAGCTCCCAAGGCTGGCTCCTGGGCCAGCCACGTCGGCGTCGTCGACAGCCAGAAGGAGTCCCACGGTACCCATGGTGCCTCTTCCGCCGCTACCGCCGCTGCCGCTGCCGCTCCTGTCTCCGTCTCTGCATCCACCGAGTCTGCCCCTTCAGCCGACGTCGGTTCTTCCGCCGCCGCTCCTGCCCCTGCTGCCCAAGCCAGCAGCGCCCCCGTCGCCGTCCACCCCGCTCCTTCTTCTGCACCCGCCAAGAAGTCCTGGGCGGCCATTGCAACCCCCAAGGCTGCGCCCAAGCCCGTGGCCCCCACCCCTGCTGCCCAGGCCGCTCCCTCTTCTTCCACAGATGCCCCCGCCGTCCAGGCCGCCCAGGTGGCCGTTCTGGAGCAGCAGGCCGAGCAGGAGGCCGAGCAGTCCGCAGCCGCTGAGCAGGCCGCTGCCCCCGCCGACGCTCCCGAGGCAGTGCAGGCCGCCGATGTTGCGGTCGAGGAGGCTTCTGGCGAGTTTGACGAAGTCCCCAAGGGTCCTCCCGGCCTGGACAAGTCTGTTGGAGGCAACCGAAACCTCCCCCGACGGCTCAACCAGAACGAGGCCGTTGTTCTGCCCCAGGGTGCCGCCCAGGTGGACCAGGTCGGCGTGCAGTTTGGCTCGCTGAACCTCGGCGGAGAGGCTTCCGCTACCCAGGTCGCCCAGACTGCCGCCAAGGACGAGGCTCACCAGCCCCCCGCTGAGGCTCCCACTCAGCCCAAGGCCGAGGCCGAGGCCGCCGCCGCCGCCGCCGCCGCCGCTACCCAGCAGCAGCAGCAGCAGCAGCAGCAGCCCCCCACTGCTCCCGCTGCCGAGGACCAGCAGCAACAGGAGCACCCCGACTATTACCAGCAGCAGCCCTACGGCTACAACCCCGCGTACCGGTACCAGCAGCAGCCCGGCCAGAAGCAGGGCTACGAGCAGCAGCAGCAGCAGCAGTTTGCCCACTACTCGTACCCCGGCCAGTCTCAGGTCGGCTTCAACTCCGGATTCGGAGCTCCCGACATGTTTGCCGGAACCGATATGCATCGAGGATTCTACCCCTACCAGCAGGGACAGCAGGGTGGTGCCCAGCAGGGCCAGACCGCTCAGCAGGGTGCCCAGGGTGGCGCCCAGGGTGGCGCTCAGCAGAGCCAGGGCGACTACCGATCTCCGTTTGAGAACGGCACCCCCTCCGCTCCCTACAATGACAAGCTGTACTCTTCCATCTCTGGTCAGCAGTCCAACACCGCATCTCCCGCCGGCGTTGCTGCCACCCCTGTCCAGCCCGGAGGCCAGGGCCAGCAGCCCCCTCAGCAGGGTCAACCTATGCCCTACGGTGCCTACCAGTACCCTTACTACGGTAACATGTACTACAACTACCCGTTTGCCGGTTTCAACCAGGGCCCTCAGGGCTACAACTCCCCTTCGCAGCAGAAGGGTTACTACCAGCAGCAGGGCTTCTATAACCAGCCAGGCGTGCCCCAGCAGGGAGGTGCTCAGGGCCAGCAGCACGCACAGATGCAGGGCGGTGCTTCCGGCGCGGAGTCGACCCCCAACCAGGGCTCGGCCACCCCTGCCGCCGCTAAGGACGATGCTGCTGACTACGTGCAGTCCAACGCGTTTGGTGGCAACATGCCCCAGGGCGGCTACAACTACGGACAGTATTATTCGCAGTACAGCCAGCAGCCTAACTCTCGACCTGCTTGGCAGTAGAGTTGTAGCTAGCTTTGCAGCTACCTATGTATGAATGTATATTAGTTTTGGGTATATGCGGAGTTGTAGAGGAAGGCGATTGACAACAGGTGGTAGTTTGAGTTTGTAGGAACTGATATTTACAAGAGCATATGACTTTCTTTCCCAACTATTTTGACCTCTTGTCTGATAATCACTGGATTAGTCGATTTTTTGTAAACTAAATATTTTCAATTCTTAACCAATTCATCAACAAACTGTGCTTAGACAATCGGAAGGAAACGTCCATATCTCGAAATATTAATACTGCAGTGAGGATTTATTTTAACGGTTTTGTTGGATAATCGTAGATATATCAGCGAATGGTTTATCTGGAAAAGCCCCACCGTTTTTAGAATGTCCAAAATGGACCCCCAGCATGACTTTTTCCCAACTAAACTCCAAGTAATTTCTGTTAACTACAGTTCCAGTCGAACGGTATACACCCACCATGCCCATTGGAGTGCATTTGGGGCGCTGAGAGGGCCAATTGGTTGATGGCGAAGATATTCCACGTGAATATATCCGCCTGTCTCAATATTATCATCTCTTGTCGCTCAATGGGTCACTCTGCCGGGCTCGGTCCGTGCTTGTAAGTTGACTAGAGAGCCAATTGGGCCTTGAAAGCCAGTTGGGCGTTGAAAAGTGGATTGATTGGTTTTTCTTGATTGTACAACGGCCTCGACATGATTGGATGGGGATTTGAGAGTTTCTGGAGGCGGTTTTTGGTGAATTTTGTTCTCGCAGAGTTCCAGACTGTTCCTGAACATGTATCATAGGAGCAGTGAAACTACACTATGTACACACTTGAAGTGGAGTAAGTACCTTTCAATTTAGTCCTAGAGGACTGGAAGGGGGAACTTGGACTCTTGGTTCGCTGAATTATCCCAGAGCTGTTCTTTTTCCGACGCTGCTGGGTCTCGTAGACACACTTGAGTCAAGTGAATTGTCCTCGCCAGGAGAAATGAAGTCGGACCTGGTCGGCCAAGTTGGAAGAATAATGATGGAAAATGGAACCTCGTCCTCGTCTTGACTGTCTCAGTCCTCTTTCATACTTTTCACGTCTCATGACCCTGAGAGCTGTTCCATACATGAATATCAAGTCACATATGTATCCGTCTCTTATGGTGACTAGATCGTGACAAATGAGAATACGTCCTCTCCTGAAGCAGATATCGGGACCAGAACCTGTTACCCCCATCGATCCAGACTGTGGAGCAACCGTGTTTGCGAATATCAGAACGATTTGGGCTGTCGGCGAGCGTCTGAGAGCCCCAGAGTAACCAATGCCATAGGCAACTGCACCTGGAGACATTTCCGGTTCTTGCTCTATCCACGTCTCCAGTGAATGATCTGACAAATATCAAAGAAGGTACGAGCTTCGCAACGGGTCTCTCGAAAGTGTGAAATATACGCCGAAAGGGGGTTTTATCACTATCAATTGAACCCCCTGGATCAGCTCGTCCCAACCGTACCCTCAGAATCGCTCCATGGCTCCTGTGGCAAGATCTGTGTCCACTCGACGAAACCAGGAATCCGAAAGTGCTTTCTCCCTTCAACTGATACCAACAAAAACTTGTCCATCCAGATACCTACGGGGGCCTCGTAGTACTTGTTTAAGACGGCACAAGCGAGTTGCACAACCAGCTGTCCTTTCCAAGCCCCAGGGCGCCGACAACTTCACAGCGTCGCCATATTCGCCGAGCGACACCTCCTCAACCGCCAATCGAGAGTGGACCACCCTTCTACAGACATTGTCGAGAGATGACGAGTGCAACGGTACAACCGGTACAACCACGAGGGGCAGGAGCTGCACCAGATCCACACCAACGCCACGACCCAGTATGAGGTCGACATGACGTACAGGCACTCTGTTGGACAACATTCCATACAAGCAAACATTCCGCCGCGTCAAAAGCGTCAAAAGCTGCTGCAATGTTTCGACCGGCGTGGATGTTCGACCACATGGACATTATCAGTTTCAAGACGGTGATCGGTCGTGGATCGCAGTGTCGTTGGGTGGATGATGATCCTGGCCGTTGAGCGGATCAGCCCCCTACCTACTGCCTGGCTCGTCGCAGCCATCACCGTGAGCTTCATCGTGAAGGCCGTCATGTGACAAATGATCAAGGACCGTCTGTGTGCTGCTCCGGATTCCAACAACCCCAACTTCTGGGACTCCCGATCCACCCCCACAGCCTATGTTATCAACCAGGTCTATGCAGCAGACAGGTTTATGACTGGCCGAGCTCTGCTCAAAGCCTTCATGTTCATGCTGTGGATAAAAACAAGTCGCGACTCATTCCCGGCTACCTCTGCGGAGCCATTGCTGTGGACACCCTCATGTCTCCAGCCCACATGTTCCCCCTTCGCCCGACTCCATTGGTCTGACCCTGGTCTGTTCCACTATAACACCCTTACTACTGGTACTATAACACCCTTACTGCTGGTACTGTGGCACGATTCGCGGAGAATTCCGGCGGCTGGGCGAATCGAACCCACGCCCTACCCTAATCCACCCCGAGTTTCAACCCTTACCCTGAAACTCAATTGATAATTTAACCAGTGAGATCCACCCCACACCAGACGCTTCATCTTCTCCAACCACCACCATGTTCCGACAGATCCGACACTTTTCCACCTCCCCCCTGGTCCGAAACAACGTGTACTTTAACGTGTCTGCCAATGGCAACCCCCTCGGCAAGATCTCGTTCAAGCTGTACAAGGACCAGGTGCCCAAGACGGCGGAGAACTTCCGAGCTCTGTGCACTGGCGAGAAGGGGTTCGGTTACGCCGGATCCTCCTTCCACCGAGTCATCCCCAACTTTATGCTCCAGGGTGGTGACTTCACCAACCACAACGGTACCGGCGGCAAGTCTATCTACGGCCAAAAGTTCCCCGACGAGAACTTCAACGTGAAGCACACCCGACCCGGTCTGCTGTCCATGGCCAACGCCGGCCCCAACACCAACGGCTCCCAGTTTTTCATCACCACCGTCGACACTCCCTGGCTCGATGGTGCCCACGTTGTCTTTGGCGAGGTCACCGACGGCATGGATGTCGTCAAGGCCATTGAGAAGCTCGGATCCAACTCTGGACGAACCTCTCAGAAGATTGTCATTGACGATTGCGGTCAGGAGTAGACGCAACCATGAGTCATTGTCCCCACCAACGCAGTGGCCTGTGTCCTGTGTTATTTAGTATATAGTAAACAAGTGTTATCAAGAGCATGGATGCCTGGTCATGCTACTACATGGATCTGGCATGACAGCAAGCGCAACGGTTGAGAGCAGACGGGCTGTAGATTGGACTACTAGCGGCGGCCACAGCTGTTTATAGTGGCATTGTAGAACCATTGTTTCACCCAACCTACTCAACGTTTTCTGAAACGGCCCGAGGATTACCAGAACCATGGCATGTCCGAATCGGAGTTTGTGCTGGAGACAGAGTACTCGTACCAGTAGTCACTCGAAGGTTGGACGCCTGTTCCGTAATCACAGTCTCCACGGTTGCAGTCAAGTTGTCAAACACCATGGTCAATCAACATTCGTTCAATCAGAGCGATGGAATGAACTCACAATCACAAACTCCATAGTGCACTTGACATTGACCGGAGGTGGTTCACAGATGATACAACAGAGTATCTGGCCAGTAGATGGACTAAACCACCTCGGCGTTGTAGCATCACCTTGAGCTGAGGGAGACGGATGTACGATACTGAGTCTCCCGAGATATCGTCAACTCAGCCTCATGTAACACTACTGGCACTCGAAAACTGCTGCCACTCGAACCCTAGAGTCCATCGTTCTACATCCCCACCCACTCAAACAATCTGCATCTAGAGTGGAAAGATGAAAACGCACACCAGAACTGCCTCAGCACTATGCCGTTGAGCAGGAGTGCTCGTATGGTATGGAGATGGAGAAAACGAAGACTCTGTTTCTGCTGGAGGAATCCTAGGAAGATAGAAAGCCCCGCTGGAACTCAGCAATCATAGCTTTCAAAAGATCACCAGCTCAACTCAGGGACGGGGTAATTTGCCTTCGAGTTGTGGGTTTAACTGGGGAGTACTGTCGCTGTTAGTACACTGTCGCTATTGGTACACTGTCGTTATTGGTACACTGTCTCTATCGGTACGATGTGAGCAAGAGTAGTGTTGTACATACTGTTGTTGCGTATGAGTTCGATGTTGGTATCGTTCTTTGAGCACGAGTTCCGTGCGAGTTCAGGGGGGGTTCCATGCGAGTTCCGTGCGAGTTCCATGCGAGTTCCATGCGAGTTCCATGTCGGTAGCTTTTATTCCCCTATCGCCGTTCAATTGACGCTTGTCTGGGGGACTTGGAGCTGTTTAGGGGCGACAAGTCCGGGATGGGGGGAGATGTTGTGGAATCATGTTTGGAGTTTGAACTAAGCAGTTTGAACTCAGCGGTTTGAACTCCGGAAGTCGAACTCAGGGGTTGAACCACTGGCCGCTGTGTTAGAGACTGTCGTACGCCTGGACAGCTCCTGTGAAATGTTCTAGAGGTGTGGTGGAGAGTTGAATTGAGTTGAGAGTGAGATTGGATGTCGCCAACTGTTCTGAAGTGCGAAAGTGAGATGCCGCAGTTTTTCAATCTAGTTCTGTCAGCCCGCTTTGGAACGGAGCGTCAGCTCAACGGAAGCCGTCGATTCGCAGCCAGTTGAACACCACGACGAGCTGGGGTCACCGAGCGCCGGGTTTTCGAACGGGGGATAGTCAACCTTCAAAAAAAAACAGATCCATTTACTCTCGTCTCTCTTCATACTTGTCGCCAGCTCATTGTCGTCAGCTAGAACATCTCTGTGCAATCTGGTGCTCCATCTGGTGGATAGATCCAGAATTCTAAAGGGCTCATCACCGCCATCATATTCCCATGTTCAGAGTCAACTTCGCATCGTAATGGTGAATAATCTTTGACCTGGGCCAAAGGCGACAGGAAATCAAAACCATTGCCAGTCAAGGCAGATGTCTGCAAAGTCACGGCACCTAGCGACCGTACGGAGAGTACCGGGTGGGGTGCAAAGGAGCGAGGGCGAGACCATGACTGTGAGCATGAGCGCAATAGGACATGGTCAACACTGGTCAATACTGCGGAAATGACCGTGACACAGGCGTCGGTGGTCATTGCAGTGTCTGTGATCATTGCAGTGTCTGTGACTGGGTCTGATCTACAAGAAGTAGCTGCAGTCAACCTGAAGGTACAACTATTCATAGATGGACTTGTGTGGGTCGACTTCGTCGTAGACCTCCCTCCTGAACATTGAGACGAGAGGTAGCAGTCGAGCCTGTAGCCAGAGCAGGAGCAATCTTCCAGGACCACATGACCAAGTGGAAGTTGCAGGGAATGATTTGTCCACACACCGCCATGGGCTCCTTTCGAGTGTAGGAAAAGTGTTCATCGTTGGAATAAGATGAAAGAGAGCACCAAAGTCTTCTTTCCACGCTCTTCAACAACCGCAGAGCAGCCGCGAGGTGGATGTTCCCCGAGATACCCGTTATTGACAAGTGCAGTGTACTGTCCTGTACTTGTATGGTATGTACTGTACTTGATCCATGTTGACATGATTGACAGTCGGAAATGATGTAGACCCAGTCGTACTCTTCTTAGAGCTGAGAAGCGAACCAGATGATTGTTGTTTGGTCTGAAGAGACTGAACCTTTCCAATCTTGTCATCAGCCCGAGCCTTGTACTTGTACAGGTATACACCCCCGGATTATGTTGCATAGTGGTGAGTCAGGGTCAGGGGAAACCGCCCAAAACTGCCCAAACCCGCACAAACTGCCCAAACCCGCCCAAAACTGCCCAAACCGCCATCACCGCCCTTATTTTCTGACGTTCTCATTAGCTATTACCTCCAATTCTACTCTTGCAGCTATCCATACTTCACGATGTATGATACATGTGCAGGGATGTACTACACCTCAGACTGTGCAGCGACACCAGACTCTCTACACCTGACTCAGCGACACCAGACTCTGTGATTCCAGAATCTCTACACCAGACTCTCTACACCAGACTCAGTGACACACAACGGCCAGAGGAGCAGTTCTGTTCACTTTCATCCAGTCACTCTCACCGCCCTGCCAGACATTGCTCCAGATATTGGGCAGACACGCCCGACTTGCCACAGACGTGCCACAGGCAGGTTGAAGAATCAGCTCATTCTCCAAACCGCAACTTCAGCTGCCTGGAGAAAGTCCACTCCAGAACAAAGGTCTGAAACAAGCTTAGACAAGCTTAGACAAGCCAGCCAGACAAGCCAGACAAACGCCTAGTGCGACTCAGGTGAGACTCAGGTGAGCGCCAGCTCCTCTGCCCCTCTGCTCCTCTGCTTCTCTGCTTCTCTGCTCCTCTGCTCCTCGCCCTCTCGGCTCCTCCGCATCGGTCCACGCACGTCTACAGGGTAGGTTTACTTCCGGGAACCTAATGAGCCAGGGAGGTTGGACTTGCTCGAAGAAACAAACGTCACCAGTTGGTGGCCGGAAACGTCGGGCACGTCAGCGAAAGACGGGCGGGGTAAGTCGACGATGCCCTGTCGATTCGTGCAGTCGGAGCCTGCGCGGCGCGGACACCGGCTCTGCTGGCGCACTTTTTGGCCTCTAGGAGCAAGTGGATGATGAGAACGAGTGGCAGGCATGTGAGAGCGAGATACGGAAGATGGCCGAGAATTGGCCGGAAAGCTCCTGTTAATGCACGGGACTCAACCGCCCTGGCCAAACGCTGATCAACAAGGCCCACCTACAGTGGTACGAGTACAAGTACGAAAGTGGACAAGTGGTGAGTTCGGTGGAGGTATGTTATCGACGCCGGGAAATGGACACGGAAGAAGATGCAGTTGGACTCTGCTGATCTTAGCGAGAACTCTTCTTGTGACAGAAGCAACATCTAATGCTGCTCTAGACATTGCCATGTACAATACGGTAGTCTTGAGAAGATGAAATGTGTTTCACTAGACAGAAAAAGTGAGTTTCGAACCGACAACTGGAAGAAAAAGACAAGGACAAAGTCGAACCCGAGATCATGAATGCTCCACCATTGTACGTATCTACTTTATGTACGTGCGTACTTTCCTGTAGTATCATGTAGTTGCTCCGCTTCGCTCCTAGTTCATCACGTGACCAGCCACCTTGGCGGTTCCTTGTCAGTTCCTTGTCAGTTCCTTGTCAATTCCTTGTCAGTTTCTTGTCAGTTTCTTGTCAGCCCCTTGTCAGTTCCGCTTCACAACCCTCCTCGAAACGTGCTGTTCTAGACCCTTCTACTGGACTTCAGATATGCTCAAAATATGCATATATGACACTAACGAGCGTTGATCCGGCTGAAACCTTAAACTTCACTTTTGTGACCTTAAAAATACAAATGAGTACAACAGCTGATAGACAGCGACACAGTGCCATTAACGACAAATAAATCAATGCGTTCGACTGGTCCAATCTCCACAAACATAATGATACTAATTTCGAACTATTTCGGGCAACTTTAAGAAATGTCCATTTTTTTCCCATCTCCCACCCACCCACAACATCCGCCTTGTCATACCCACCACACTCGCAATGTCACCCCACCCACAACTCCCACCATGTCCCCGCAACTCCCACCATATCACCCCACAACTCCAATGTCTCCTCATTACATGTCCCATGTCATTTAAGGCACCCACAACGTTCAAAGTCCTGCCCTGCATCATGGAACACAAATACAGAAATACTTTCCTGATCACTGACTCCATCTCTACATATCTGATAGGATGAATTGATGATTGTCCCAGTAATTCAAATTAGTTTGGTATTTCCCATTTTTTTTCCAATTCCAATTTTAGTATTTATTTTTCTGCAATTTTTACAGATTCAATATTTTCTTGCAAAAACTTAGAATTTATTACATGTTATTTCGCTAATGAACTGAAAAAAAATACTTGCGCATACTCCACAGTCCCAACCATGTAGAAAATGTCAATCGAACCGGTGGATGAAAAATACTCCCTCTTCTATTAACAAATTGCTCCTATAACAAAGCCTTCTGTCAGCTGATCAAATTATAACACCGGTGTCTTAGATCGACAAGATTATAACTCCGACCTTGTCTCGGACCCTCCCCCAAACCCTAGCCTGGAACTATACGTCCCTACTAGTAATCCCTAACCACCAGAGCCAGATCCGGCCCGTTCCTTGCCCGGATCTGCCCTACCCGGAGGAACACCTGCCCGGTTTTACCCTAACCCACGTGAGGAAAAACCAAGAACCCTAGCCCACAAGAGCCCTAACCCACGTCCGGCCAACCCTATCCCCCTTAGTCCCCCCTCTCTGGATGTGCTCTCGTCTCGGAAGTGGATGTGCCGGAGCAACATAGATTTAGGTATTTGTGTCTGAGAAAGGTGACACCAAGAGATAGGTCTGGCGAAGAGAATTTGGACAAAAACTCGGCGGAGTCTAATCGAAGTTCAGGTTCTGAATTTCCTTGATTTTTCGGTTTTTTTCTAGAAATTTTCATAGATATTTCATTTCAGAGATTAAAGTTCTGTTAGCCGCCGAACAAAGTATAATTTGAAGTTTTCTGACAGGAAAACGTGGAAAGCAACATGTTCAAAAGACTTAGGGTAAGAAACAAGATATTTTTAATTTGTATTGTAACACCACAATCACTATAGTCGCACTTTAAAATTTGTTTAATTTTTCCTGAATTAATTGAAAACAAATTTCACGAATTTGCCTGACTCACGGGCTGAGTCAAATCAGACATGGTGTTAAACTTTACTATAAACTATAATACACACGGCACCGCCACTGTGGCTAGTGCAACCTAAATCGGCGTTTGCGCAGTTAACGTCAGATCAGACCATTTTAGAGTTTACACAACAATATCACTAGCCACTACCAGCCACAACACTCAAACCCTAAATGGAAAATCTGCAACTTTAAATCGGATGTGGCAAAAACCAACTACTGGACGGTTCGCACTTTTTCAACTTTTTCAAACACAGAAAATAAATTTCATACTGGCAGACTCGACACATGGACTGCATGTAGCGTGCATACTCATGTCTACATATGCACACAATATGCACGCACCCAACTATCGGGGGTATTTTTAAGCGAACAATACAAGCGAAAATATTCGCCCAGAAACATATTCGCTCAGTTCTACATAATGCTACGGGGGTGGTCACTGAAATGCGGGCGTTGCCAAGGATCACAAAGGACCTTTTTCCCCGGAGGTCGCTCACCTGACGCACTTTTTAAAGGACTGGCAGGCGAGAAGAAGCTTACTCAGCGTCGCCACGTGGGTTAATCAGCGCATTGTGTGTGGGATTAGTCAGCGATCAACCAAATGAAACAGACGCCCCTATGTTCGACACCTTGCCAAACGTATGGGTCAGCAACCAAACAGAACATTCTAGTTACTACGCGCCACTGGCGCTTTTTCCATGCATAAATTAAACTGTGCGCCACAAAACCCGTGATGAACGACTTACATAATAGTTTAAGCTCTCGCCTCTAACCGATTTAAGGTATTTGCAGCGGCATTTATGGGCTGTCAAGGTAGACGTCAAAATAGATGAAACCTTATGAAAAGGACACGAATCAATTCAGCTGGAGTCAATAAAGATGATTCTACAGCCCAATCTCGCTTTGAGATTCTCTTAGTAATCACATTCTTTGTTTTCCCCGCGCCAAGTAGAGTTATAGAAGCGTATAGATTTTAGAGTTCCGTTTCAAGGTTCAGGGAACTTTTGCCTATTTAGGCTACGAACATAACCACAGTGCGGCAGAATGCATCAATTCTGCGGAGGAGGGGCTGCTCTGGAACTTTTTGCCTTTTTGGGTAAACCAACAGAAATGCCGACACACAAAACAGCCAAATCACGTGATGCATTCGAAAGCCAGTGGTGGCGGTGGACCCAGGATACTTTTTTTTTTTCGACGGTGGGATTATGCTGGGGGACTCAGGCGTCAGCATCACGGACCGGGGACTACAGGAAGGGTGAGTATTAGGGCCTAGGGTAAGGGTAATGTCTCTTTGGTTACCCGCAATAATATCTCCGTACCCTAGGGCTTTCGGATCGGAGGCTAAAGTTTAAAATACCCGAAAATAGAAGCTTGAAGGGAGTTTCCAGGAGTATGAATATTGAGTTCATTTTGATTCTGGGAAAAGATAGTCAAAGCAGCAAACAGTAGTTATGTATTTCCATGGTGATTTCCCATGTCCCTAATTTATTTATTTTTCCATTATTATCTCTGTAAGTCGGATGTATTTTGGATTATGTTATTAAACCCTAACCTAATATGAACATTAGTCATGCACAAACTCATCGATCTACTGTATTGCGTATCGCATAATCGCACTTAAACGAAAGTCAGGAAATAGCGGAGATTTTGAGGGACCGCTTTGTCATCGAATTTTGGGGCTGATAATTACTTAAAATTTTCTGCTTACTAAGTATAATGTGACCCGTATCGATTGGGGCTATTTGCACATTTGTAAATTTCACAAATATTTGCTAAAAAATTCGGCGCGACGTACACCAAACAATACCCACCCTTTCAGCCACAGCCGCACATGGAAAGGTTTCCCAATGCGGCCGCTGGGTTAGGGTAACAAGTCCTGAAAGAGGGGTTCGCGGTTTGGGTTGTGTCAGTCGGTGAGCGTCCGCCCGACAGATCACGTGTGAATAGAATCAAGGTTTGGGTCACTTTGTAGAACCTTGTTTGTAGTTGCTCTCAAACCTAATGCATTTGTGATCAAGGTTCGGTTGTGTCACGTTTTTAGGCCCACATATATACCTGGCGGTCCCTTACCACCTCACTACATCAACGACTTCACCCCACGACATTCTCTGACATTTTCTTACAAGACAATGTTTTACACCAAGCCCGACCCGGTGGTTGATTATTCCCGCCTCAAGGACATGGACATGTATCCTGAGTACGACAATGGCCAGAACATGGGCTTTTCCAACATGAACATGACCGATCTTTACGACGGCGGTCTTAACATGTCGTCGATGGCGCAACCCGTGGCGTTGAACCAGATGGGCAGCATGGGCCCCATGGGCTCTTTAAGTAACATGCCCATGGGTTTTGTGTCCCAGAACCAGCCTCAAACTCAGGCTCAGGCCCAGGCCCAGAGCCAGAACCAGAATCAGAACCAGAACCAGAACCAGAACCAGCCTCAGAATCACAACACCCATGTTATGAGCGATAACCACAACCATACCCACACCAACAATACTCACAACACCAACGTCACCCACAACACCCCCTCCATGGGTGGTCACACAACCTCTGTCGGGGGCCACGACACCAATGACTCGGCCCATGTTGGGGGTCACGCCAGCAATGTCACATCCCCGACCCCGGCAACCCCTGCCTCCACATCTTCCGTACCCGCAACCTCGCCTCAGATTCCCTTCACGGTCGCGCCACCCGCACCGTCAGGCAAATATGTGACCGATGACGAGCGATGGCAGGCACTGGTCGACCGAGACCCCGAGGCTGACGGCGCCTTCATCTACTGCGTCACCAGCACCAAGGTGTACTGCCGGCCCACGTGCTCGGCCCGGCTCGCGCTGCGGTCCAACATTGTGTATTTTGACACCATGAAGGAGGCTGTGGCCGCCGGCTACCGCCCCTGCCGACGGTGCAACCCCGACGTGAGCGAGATGAACTCGCAGCGACGCGCCGTGGGCTCCGTGTGTAACCTCATCCACTCGCTGGAGCCCGACAAGGTGCCACGTGTCAAGAAGCTAGCCGAGTCCGTCGGCCTCACGCTCTGGCACTTTCACCGTCTCTTCAAGCGGTACACGGGCCTCACGCCTCGACAGTACATCACTGAGTTCCACAAGCGAAAGCGCCTTGGGCTGCCGCAGTTGCAAGTCAGCAAGGTGGTAACCAAGAAGAGCTATGAGCGACAGCAGCGTCGCCAGGGCAGCAACGGTTCCACGCCCCAGCAGTCTCCCCAAGTCGGCGCCTCTTCGCCAGCCGGCGAGGTGGAGGCCATCAAGCTCGAGACCCCCGTCGAAACCGTCCAGCCGCTATACTACGACAGCAACGGCGTGACTCACAACGCTGCCAACGTCGGGGCTCACAGCTCCAATGTCACTCACAACACTAGCCATGTCGGAAGCAACGCAACCTCCGCCACGAGCTCCATTGCCACTCCTCTTTCCAACACAACGTCACCCGACACCTCGACGCCGGCCCAGGACTCGGCATACATCATTGCCCACGGTTCCAACGCCAGCAACGCCGCTCCTGTGGTTGCTCCGGGGCCTGCCACCGGCTCTGGCGACAACTGGATCAAGACGGAGCCCTCGATGGATTTTATGCCTCGGTACGAGCCGCGGTACGACCAGTCTATCTCCATTGACGCCCCCATGTTTATTCCTGATGGTAACGAGTATCATCACAACGGGGAGATGTTGGGTGACATGTGGGGGACTCTCTAAACCATGTGAGCGTTTTTAACGCAAACTGATTGCGTTGCGATATGATTCGTGGTGACGTGTGAGATGAAAGATCTGTCTCTTGTTGTCTGTCTGTGTCACCTGTGTCTGTGTAACCCCATGCACATGCGGTGAACATGCACATGCAGTGAATATGTCAATGCACTCCACATGCACGAGCGATTGTCTGCAACATGCCACGGAATCCCAGATGCCAACTTGCCCTTGGTGTCGAATATAACCATATTTAATTTATTGCATATTTATTTATCATATTGACGAGGAGCTTGTAAAGGTGGCGGTGGGTGATTTTATTTGTTAGGATTTTGATCCAAGTATTTCTATATATTTTTGTCTAGTTCGCCAAAGTCCAAAAATCGCATTCAGATGGGGATAACAGTTCACTCTTCGATTCAGAATGAAACGGCAATGACTTTGATGTACTAACATCCAGTCTGGAATCAATAATGTTGGTAAAAAAAGGGAGATCTGAAGATGTCGTCAAAGGGTCAATATGGAAGAGAAAAGGTAACGAAATGTGTCTGAGGCTGGTCAGAGAGACCAGGATAATAGATTGGTGTAATAATATCAAAAACGTGTAGTTCAGAATATCAATCTAGGAGCAGTTGTATGTTCGATATGGACTCTAGCAATATTGTATATACACCAAGATATTCTGTGACAAGTGGTGACAACTGGTACATGAGTCGAGTCAGAAAGAATCCATGAATTTATTTATGCGAGTCCATTTCTGAACTCCTTTGCAATTCATGTCAACATATCTCCATGTATTCTGTAATAACGTGAAAATATCAGCCATGTTTCTCACAGTATGCAAAACACAAGATTGTCTCTAGTACTGACACCATTTCGTCTAATCGAGATCTAACTAGTGCACTCCAATGGGACACGCCTGTATAACTTCTTGATCCGATCGCCGTGATCCCTTGTTCACTTGCGACTTGCTGGTGTCACTTTTGTTTCACAAGACATACAAGTAGACTCTGTAGCTCAGGTGGCGACCGGACGAGATATCAAGGCGGACGGGATGTATTGGTGTCAGGGCGATTAGGAGACGAGGTTGGGGTTGGATTTGAGCGGATTTTATTGAAAACGGTTGTTTTGGAGATCTTTTAATTTACATGAAAAGTCAGCCAACTTTTTTAAAATAATTACACCAAGTAGCCCATCTAATTTACTTCAAAAGCCAAATAATTTACTCGAACATTCAAATAATTTACCCGAAAATCCAACTAATTTAGTTGGAGTTTGTGACAGAAATGAAAAAAGAGAAAAAATAGTTTTTTTCGTTACATAACCACTCTTATCCTGGACAGCAGCATCGTCTGTATATCGAGTTTGAGGGTTTCGATTCAGCCGCCTGGAGCTGGGGGTAGGTATGCAGAGAACAACCGCTGCATCTATCGTGCATATGCATGTATCGCGCCTGTGCATGTATGGTGCCAAAAGAGAGATGGGGTAAAACATGATGAAAAAATGAAAAATAAAAAAATCAAAACATGGAGGAGATTACAAGGGCGAAAACAGAAGGAAATGGGGAAACTGGACAAGGGGAATAATGGAGATGGAGGAACAACAAAGAGGGTCAAAAGAGCAGCTGGTGCCGTCTCAGAAGGAAGTCCTAGAATGGTAGGTACTGTATGTACTGTGTAGATCGTTTGAAAATTAGAAAAGCAAATCTCGGGGACATCATGGCAGAATTAAAACATGAAATTATTTTCAAAAATTAAAAATTAAACAATAGAGAAATAATATTAGAATTAAAAAAAAAAAACCCAGTTAAAGGATGAAAACGGTTAAAAATATAATTGTTTTTCCAATTGTGACAATTTCCATTTCGACTGGAAACATGACCAACAAACCTCCAACACCGTAGCCGAGCAACCTGGTCCAGCAAGGACTACAAAAATAGCCCTTGTTTTGCCCGTCTTCTGATGGCTATAAATTTAGACTTTTGCCGAGGTTAAAATGATTAAGGAGAATGAGGGGGAAAGAAGGAGGTATTTTCTGGTTGATTCTGGAGGAAGAAAAGATGAGATGAGGCTAGGATAATATTCAGCTGATGATTCTGACCTCAACTTCGTTTCCCCCGTTTCGTTGCGATTCTTAGGTATCGGTTTTCATTTTTTTCATTTTTTTCCATTTTTTTATAAAATTAATATTTTTCTCTCTTTTTCCCTCCCTCCCTTTTTTTTTTTTTTTTTTTTCTTTCCTCTCTCTTTTCCCATTTCAAAGTCTGTATCAATAGCAAGAAGATATCATAACATGGGAGGGGTTATGATATCGAAAATGGATCTGCCTGGAGGTTCTTTGTTGCGTGTTGAATGAGATTACCACATATTTGTGATGTAGAGATTTTATTTAGTTTTATTTGCTATTTGTTTGGTTGTTTTTGATTTTTTTTTGATTTTTTTTGATTTTTAATTTTTTTTTAATTTTTTTTAATTTTTTTAATTTTTTTATGACTTCTCACCACTTTGCTTTTTACCAAACTTTGCCCACCCCTTACCTTAGTCCCAGACCAAAGAGGAATACGACACTAGCGTGGTTCGGAATGTTAGGTTGCGGACTTGGTGGAGTAGATGGCGGCGATTGCGGTTGCGGTTGCGGTTGCGACAGCAGCGACGGAGGAGGGGTGGTAAAGAGTACCAAAATGATAAAAAAACGCCGAGTTTGAACCCCTCCAAACCTCCCCCCAAATCCCTCTTCCCCCTTGCATTCATATCAATATGGGCGCAAAAAAATCGTTTTAATTTCCCCAATATTACTCCTGGTATGCGCCAAGAGGTCATTTTGCACCACAACAATACCACTCAAGAATGCAGAATGGACACGATGACAGCCCAAAGGTTTTGTTTTAGCAGCCAAAAAGAAACAACAAGCCGATTTTACCCTGTCCACCGAATTGGCCGATTAAACAGCGCATTTCAACTCTTGCTAAACACAATCTGCGGCTCCGAAAAACTGCCGAGACTCGCAGATTCGAGAGTGGCGATTGTCTGACTTCTGACATGACACCCTCAGCCGTCAGTTCGAACCCTCCACGCAGAGTTTGAACTCAGATGAGCAAATGCCGGATTTTGCCGTTTGCGATTTAGTCGCGGGCACTGGTGACACCTTGTGTTGACAGTTGCCGTTACTCTCTGGCGCAGACTGGTATTTCCCGTTCCAGTCTTGGTCAGGGTGTTTGATCCGGTAACAGTTCGGTCACGAACACGCTTGAACGGAGAGAACACGCCATATGATGGGATGGGGTAGTATGAGGGGTTCTGGGCGGTCTGAGTGGTCCTGGAATGATCTGAGTGGTCCTGGAGTGGTCTTAGTGGTCCTGGAGAGGTCCCAGTGTCCCTGTTGTGGTTAATTCCGCAACTAGAGCTTGGCATAACTAGCCAGATAGAATATGCGGTCCCTTTCACCTCGCCAGCTTGTTTCTCACTTTATCAATCTCCTTGCCCCGGTGGACACATGTGCCGAGTGAGACAGTGCTGGAATGATGATTGGAGAATGACTGAAGTGCGGCCGGAGTACGACTGAAAGGGGTACACTGAAAGGCGACTGACGAGATTGAAAAGAGACTGGTGAGGGCAGTAGTCCCTCAGAATAGTCATTTATAACAGTCAGTCATCCGGTCGCCCAGCCAGATTGACGTCATTAACTCAAGATTGGCGTCTTTGACTCTCCGGTAGCCCGCCATTGCCGCATTAGCGCCAATAAAGCACTGTCGCTCTCCAACGTACGGCGCGGGAATACGAGCTGATTGCGTGAACTGACCGTGTTGGGTGATCAGCGGAGGACAAACGGAGAGACAGATCAGTCGAGGCGTGACGGATTCTAGTTTGCCAGACAACTCAATCCATTCTAAGCCCTAAGTGGGTTTAAATGTCGATTTGTGACAGAATCGTGACGGTTACTGGTCGATTTGGAGTTCAGTATGCGATAGTACCTCAGTCTTTGGAGACCACATTATCCTTCTTCCAATTCTCCTTCTTCCTGTCCTCTACTCATTCACATTCCCTTAGGGCTTCAGAGCGACACTGAGTGCTGGACGTATCCACAGAATGCAACCGACTATCATCGGCCCGACTTTCTCGAGTGCAAATCACCACAACTCAGCTAGTTTCAGCCACAGCACAACCAAAGCCACAGCCTCAAACCCCAGCCACATGATTTAGATTTCGCTAGATTTGGTAAATGCTGCGATTCAGCTAAATTTGAACTTTTAGCGAGATTCAAAGTTTCAGATGGTGGACTGTATATCTGAAAAAAGAAAAAAAGCGGCGAGATAAGCGGTGGTGATGGCTCAAAAACAGATAGATTGTAATCGCAGTTGTTGGATTAATCATTGTTTGTGGTTTGAGAAACACCAAAATAATAATAAGAAAGCACAGAATGTGGCACGTCAAGGATCCAACAGTGTAAACGAGTTTTCGTAATTGTTCATCTAGACTCACCCATCCCCATCTTTCATCCTGGACCGAATGGCAGTGCTGCACAGGAATTTTACCGCAACCAACCCAAGTTTCGGTTATCGTACGTTGCGAGATTCGTCCCTGTCTCCATTTCTTTCCTCATACTTGTCGTCTTCATCTTCCACTTAGCCATTTGACCATAGCATTCCATGTGCGCCGGGTCTGAGCAACCGCTGTGCTACCTCTGGTCCAGAGAAATGACCTGCACTGTTCTTCTGGCGTGTTGCAGAAAGGACAGGCTGCTGTACCATCGAACCCAGCATGAGCTGGGAATTGGATCAGGTAACTGAGCGAATCGGATAGTTCAACCGGTCTCTTGGATTGAGTGCGACCTGGATAAATGCAGTCTTTACTTAGTCGAAAGAAGTGCCAACAACGAAAAAAGATACCCAGAAGGACTTGCGATTTCCGACAGAGAAAAACAGGATGGGCCGGTTGTGACTGCAGATGTCGCAGATGTCCGCAGAATTCCACATGTGCCTGTTCTCTGACCCCAATAGTGCAATCTATCAGTTCTGAGACCTCATGATTGAATCTTCCAGTCGTGAGAGAAGGTTGAATTGGAGGGTGCGGAACGCAAATGTAGATGCAGAATCCCACTGCTTGGTGCCTCTAGCACCTCTATTCCCAGACACCACCCAGTCCTGTCAGAATCCCACAGCTAGCATCTCTAATCACAGACCCCACTCAGTCCTGTTAGGATCAATATTTTCGCCAGGAAAAGAAACTGAAGTTGGTGATGGAGATGATGAAAGAGTTGGTGGCGTTTAAGTCGTTCTGGAGTTGTTTCGGAGTCTTCTGGGGTCGCTGTGAAGTCATTTGGAATCATTGTCCGGCTGGTATTTGACCATAGCGGCGACCAAGTTGGTCAAATCGGCGGGGGGTCGTCTTCTCGTCGATTTCTTGACCCTTGCGACTCTCGCACCGTCGACGATGTAGTTGCCAGCAGTCGAACGTTGGTGTAAAGTCGTGGTGTAGAGGAGTGTCATGTCTCGAGTTAGGTGTGGCACCTGCGTCTGTAGTATACAGTGTAATCTGACCGGTCAAGTGCACTGTACAGACGATAGTGAAGATGTCGCAAGTCCTCTTTTCGTTCTCTTCCTCTTGTCCATCACTTTTGCGAGTCTGTCTTAGATAGAGATACTGACACCAACACTGCCGCAGATAGCGACACAGATCCAACAACAACACAGACTGTGAGTTGGGAACGAGTCTTTCAAAGCCCATAACCAGATGATGACCAGATGCTGATACTGACACCTTCGCTCAGATATCAGAGGGGATATCACGATACTAATAAACAAACAAACACCAGCGACACCAGCGACACAGCGACATCACATACCCTACTCCTTTGTGATATGACAGTCATGTCGTGTCACAACCAGAGTCGGAGAAAGACAGTGAGTAGCCAGAGAGATGCAGGCAGAGATACATGTAATGACACCGAACTCCCTAGCAATACCAGAGGTGCATTGGTGCCATGGCGTCACACAGATAAAGTCACCATCGATACCACAGACACTCATCTATGGACCCGTGTCATCAGACTCTGAGTCAGTGAGAATGAACGACTATTGAGATCTGTCACAGTAATGGGTTATTCCTGACATGTCCATAGTCACCCATCACCATGGTGGGATGTTCCTGACATGACCATTGTCATCCGCCATCATGGTGAATTCGTTCCTGACACACCATTGTCACCCGCAACCATGGCGAGTTCCATTATTACACACTGATATCTGGTATACCAAGATTTCAGACACAGTCACCGACATGGCAATAACCACCGACACAGTGACACAGTCTTGTCAACAGTATCGACCATGTCCTCTTGCGCTCATGAGCAACAACCCCAACCGATGGTCACCGTACGTTCGCCAGAGCCGGGATTGATGATATCGGGAAGATAGAGGAGATGTGTGTGGGTATGATTCTGTTATCGGGACCCAACTGAGGTTGGAGTGCTTATGAAAATGGACTTCGACTGGGGGAAGGAGCGCTTGAATGAATGGAACTCAACAGCGAGCCAGGTGTGTGGCTGTTGTTATAGCTAGAGAGTCGAGTGGAGAATCGATCGGAGCATATATCTGTTCTATCCGCGTGGCTGTGAACGTCTGCTGTCTTCTGGTAACAGTCTCTTCTCAACCAAAAAAAACAGTCAATGTTGCCTGTGTCTACTGTCTGTGACTTTCTTCCCACGTCGCAAAGTCAACGCTGTGCGGTTTACTGTCGTCAAGTCTGAGACCGTTTTCGATACCACGGCATGCTCATCGCTCATTTCATGACAGAGCCTGATACATCTGATCCTATCACCAAGCTACTGTACTGTTTTATCGACAAACATCTTCACTTACACTGGTACTCCTGCTAATAAATATTTTGTGGGACTACACCACGTGCATCACGTGTTGTTGTTGAAGGGGTTATGTGGAGCTGTCCTGTGACAATAACCGCGTCCCTAGGACTTTGTCTATTGCTGTGTGACGTGTAGTTTGAGGTGACATTGTACACGGGTGAGATGTTTTCCGCTCCCGGCACCGGCGACATCTGATGTGCTGCCGTTAACACCGCTCAAACACCTTGTACAAACTCGGCATCGAGGTCACCACCACCACTCCCTCCTCCACACTGGAATGAGCAATGTAGTGGTCTCTCATTTTCTGAAACAGACCCACTACCAGGGCACTCTGGTCCACCGAGATGGTGAAGAGGTTGGCAATCGCGCGACACACGTCGTCGAAGCACTTCTTTTCATTGTCGTAGTTGCACTGAGCCAGCTGGGAGATGAACTTTCCGAGCTTTGCCACGTCGGGTGTGTATCCTGCCAGCAGAGATGGCAGGGAAACCAGCTTGGAGCCTTGCAGACCAATGTTGAAGTATTCAGCCAGCATCTCCTTGTTCTGGAGCAGAGTCCGTGCTTGCTTTTCTGTCCACAGATCGGTGAGGTCCAGGTTCAAGTCAAACGTTCCATAGTTTGAAAAGCCCTGGAGCGCTCGCTGGTAGAAAAAGTCATTGGAGAGCCGGGCATAATCCACCAAGAGAAGTTGGAGTTCGTACTGAATACAACAGAGTCGTTTTTGCGGGTCCACAATGCCCACAAACACGTGGTACTTGATGATTTGCGTGATCAGAGCCGAGTGACTAGCTGTGTGGTCGTTGTAAAGGGTGTGGATTGATTTCAGGCGCGTTTGTTCGTATTGACGAGGGTTCTGGGTTGAGTCCAAGGTGGATGTGGGGTCAGGGGACTTGCCGGGTTGGGTCTCTTGGGTCTCGTGGTTGCGTGGTTCGTCTCTTACACGGGGTTCTTCTCTTACACGGGGCTCGTCTCGGTCACGGGACTTGAACTGTGACAAATCGACGGTCCCCGTTTCGTTCAACCTGACCTTCTTAAACGGCAGGTGCATCTGGGAGTAGTCGGTTCGGTTTTGGGAGTGGGGGTACTGGGGGTTTGAAGGTTTGTGAGCGGTGGACAACTTTTTGGCGTCGACCACGTCGAAGACACGTGACTCATCTATTTTGCTCAGCGTGTCGTCGACGAGGTTGCTGAGAAAGTCAACGATTTCTGCCTGGTGCAAAAACCGCACTTCCTGTTTGGTGGGGTGCACGTTGACGTCGAGGTTCTCCGGGTCAATGAACAGCGACAGGTAGACGAAGGGAAAGGCTTTGGTGGGCAGATAGCGGCTGTAGACGGCCACCAGGGCCTTTCGTATCGGCTCGCAGCTCACCAGGCGGTTATTGATGAAGATGATAAATGTTGATTTGGTGTTGGAGTAGTTGGGGTTTGAAATGAGGAGCTCAGGGGCACGCGAGAGGCCAATGTTGCTCAGGGTGGATATGACAGACTCATCGGCATTGTCGGTGTCATCTTCAACCTCCACCAAACTGCCACTGACTCTGGATCCATAGACCACCCGGATTCTGTCTCGTTTGGAGCCCTTGAGAGTGAAGAGCATGGAGCTGTCATTCTGTCGGCGGAAGGAGAATTCGACGGAGTCGTTGTGGATGCCATATCTACTCACCACATCGACGCACTTGGTGTGGCAATCGGCCTTATTCAGCGCCCGTAGCCGTTGCGGAGTGTTGAAGAACAAATCCTGCACCGTAATCTGGGTTCCGGTATTACCGGCCTGAAGCGCCTGCTCGCTGATCTCGCCCAGCTCGTACTTGGCTCGAGACGCCGCTGGCTCGGACCGCAGCTTAGTGATCACCGTCACGTGACTCACGTGCGAGATGCTGGCGAGCGCCTCTCCTCGGAATCCAAATGACGTCAGTGTGCGCAGGTCGTCGTGGGTATCGATTTTCGACGTGCACCAGCGTCGACACAGCAGCTTGAGGTCGTCGGGCGCGATCCCCGAGCCGTTGTCGGTCACTTGGAGCAACTTGACGCCTCCATCTTTGGTGATCACGTCGATACGCGTTGCTGCGGCGTCGATCGCGTTTTCAATCAGCTCTTTGAGCGCGTTTTGCGGCCCCACCACGATTTCCCCGGCCGCAATCTGGTTGATTGTCGTGCTAGACAGTTGGTGGATCATATGGTGGTTTTGGTGGTGGTTTTGGTGGTGGTTTTGGTGGTGGTTTTGGTGGGTGGTAGTGGCGTCTTTTTAGAGTTGCGTTATTCGTAATGTTAGTTGGATTTAGTTGGATGTAGTTGAACTTTAGTTGAACTCAGGATAGAAAAATCACATGGAATAGGGCCACAGAAGAAGATGAAACCGGCTCAAATATTATCCAGTTCACGTTCAAACTCTTGTATTATTCTTTTCTATAATCGATTGCCCTCCAGGTCTGTTCTTTTTTTTTGTTTTTTTTTGTTTTTTTTTGTTTTCTTTCTGCATATGTTCTATGGTTCCAAGCTCAACTAAAGTCTAAGTAAAACGAAACGTTCAAATCGGGAAAACGGAAGATTTTTGGAGAATTGGGGGGAAAATTGCATATGTTTCTGCAATTGATATATTTTACGCGTCGTAACATACATTTTGGTACTACTTTCATTCTTCTGGCATGTTTCCATCTCCAGATATGCACCCCCAGCGGAATATTTGTTCAACTAATTCTCAACTAATACCCAGACCTAAGTTGTTTTATTTGAATAGTGGCTGAAGTGTCGATATTGATACCATTTGATAGTTCTTGTTTAGGTGAGTATGGAAATTACCTCTCAAAGCCACTAACATGTCTCTCTTGAGCTCTCTGATGGTATTTCTATCACCTCAGGGACTTGACACAACAGGGTCATGGTTCATTGGCTTCCACGGGACGAAATTACAAATATTTGCTGGCAATTCGGAGCTCCTTGATCCCCCCAGTAAGAATATGTGCTCAGATCCCGTCCACAGAGAATATATCACAAGTTGGACACTTTGTCAGATGGTCGTGGATTCTGCAGGCGTATGCACTACACCGTGTTTGGCGATACTTGAGGCTCCGAGCAGTTGATCAATTCTCTCTGTGTATTCAGTAAATAGCATTTCTGTTCTTTTCCAGACAAAAGTCGTCGCTGGAAATCAAACTAGACCAACAGCGTCTCGCAGATGGCTGCGGGCACAACGTGGGCTGACAACAGTCTCCAAAAAAAAAAAACTTGTGGTCACGCACCCTCACACCCACACCTTCACTTGATCCGAACCCTCACTTGATCCGAATCCTCACTTGATCCGAATCCTCACTTGACCCGAATCCTCACACCATCGCGATGAACCATACTAAAGGAAGACATCTTCGGGGGAGGATCAACCACCTCCATATCCAACTCAACGGTATCGAACTCCTGTACCAGTCTTACCAGGGTGTAGCTGGCCTCCATGAGCGCAAATTGCTGGCCCAGACAGATTCGAGGACCGCCGTTGAACGGCAAATATTGCCATCCTTTGCCCACTCCCTCGTTCCATCGCTCTGGGCGGAAAATGTGACTGTCGGAGCCGTAGAAATCCTCTCGCATGTGTAGAGCAAAGACCGAGTAGGCCACTTTGGTTCCTCGAGGACAATAGAGAGGAAGCGAGCCGTCAGGACCGCCGCCGGTCGGCAGAAACGTGTCTCGCACTGCCACTCTCTGGTTCATGGGTACAGAAGGGTAGACACGAAGGGCCTCGTTGATGACCGAGCGGACGTAAACACACTTGCGGAGCTCGTCGGAGGTCACGGGGCCGTCGGAAAACGTGTCGGTCACCTCCTGTCGCATTTTGTTCCAGATTTCGGGCCGTCGCGCCGACTCATACATGATCCAGGCCAGAACTGCGGCGGTGGTGTTTCTTCCCGCCAATAAAATGCCCAAAAGTTGGTCGCGGATGTATTTTTTGTCGTCGCAGACCTTGACCAGCTGGTTGGAGATGATGTATCGGTCCGTATCCTCCTTGTTCTCCAACGCTCGCTCCACATATCCGTCAACAAGTCTGTGAACCGTGTCGATACTGTCTCGGTACTTTTTGTTGGAGGGTCGAAGCAACCAGTAAAACTGCTGTAGCCGCAACCGGATCGCGGTGAAGGTGAAGGCAACCTTGAAGGCCTGGGCAAACGATTCGGCGTTCTCACCCTGCTGGGTCAGCACGTTGAACGACTCCCCAGTGTCCTCTGACTCGCTTTTGTCGTCCTGGACGCTCAGCGAGTTGGTGCTTTCGCCAAACAAAAAATCGCTCGCCGAGTCCAACGTGAACTGGAAAAAGTACTTTTGGCAGTCAAATGATTGGACGCCGTAGCCACGGAAGACGTTGATCAGGCGGGTCACGTGCCGCTCGAGATCAGCGACGTTGGCGATGCTGTCGCGGGCAAATTGAGGTCGCAGCATGGCTCGCGAATGGGTCCATTGGTCTCCTTCCACGGAGAAGATGGCGTTTCCCAGGACGGGAAACATGGCCTTTCGTCGGATTCCAATGCTCCAATCCTTGAAATTCGTCGCCAGCACCGTTTTGATCAGCTCCGGATCGCAGGTGATGATGTTCACCTTGCCCAGCGTCCGGGTGGGCAGAATGTAGCCGTACTTTTGGAAGTTTTGGTTGACGAAATCGACAAAAAACGCACCCTTGGTTCGATTCAGAAACTCCACAAACTGCACCAGACCAAACGGGTTGCGCAAAAAGTTGTTTTGAACCTGGATATCCGCCACCTTTTGCCCGGCGCCAAACTTGCCGCTCGCAAGCCATTTTTCGTACGCCCGCTGTTTGCGTCGGTAGTAATTGAGCCGCTGGTGCAGGAAAAAAAACACGCAGCCGGCGAAAAGCAGTGGTAAGAGCATTTGGAGTGGCCGTGTTCAGTAGTCGGTCTATTGGCGGTCGTGTGGAGTGGTCGGACTATTTATGGCGGCCATGTCTCAAAAAACCAAGGTTTAGGTGGGCTTGTGGGGTATCATCAGAAAGGTAGGAACGTTCGGTTGAGTTTTTGAGACGGTTAAGATGGTTAACAAGTAGTTTGAGTCTGTGTGATTATTTATATCATTCTTTTTGTCGATTTTCCGTCTTTTCCGTCTATTTTCCGTCGATTTCCCGTTTTTTCCGTTTTTTCCGTTTTTTCTGTTCTTTATTCGTCGTCTTTCGTCCCCTTTTCATCATTTCTCCCGCCAAAAAACGTCGCTCTCATCACTCGCCCCAAAACAACTTCCACCGCCTCACCCAGAAACCTCTGCATCACGTGACTCTCGCCACATACCGCCATTTTCTCCTCATAACCTCCAACCCCGCATTTTACCCATTAACACATGCATTCCCCGCATTTGAAACATTTAACATTTCATATCCGAAAACCCTATTAGTGATCAAGCCGTGACTGGGGCCTCGGTAGGAGAAGACAGGGTCGTTGCAGAGCATTAAAAAAGTGGCCGTTCGATAGGTTTCATGTTTACGAGTATTCTGCAAGTTTCAAAATCGAAATCGCAGCATTTTTCGGCTAGTATCCCTCGGCTCAAACAGGGACATGCTCATCTACCCTCGTCACTGCCACTTGAGCAGCTCATGGAGGATCACAGTTGGTCTCATTTGCTCTTTTGCTACCTTTCTGTTTGTATCCTCATCTTCAGCCGCTTCTTCAGCCGCTTCTTCAGCCGCTTCTTCTGCTACAGCTTGGACGGATACCCCCAAAGAGATCCGTCACTTACAATGGCCCATGGGAGCCGGCCAAGAAGATGTCTAGTGTGGACATCTCCAGATCTAGCAGCCTATCTCTTCCGACAAAGGTCGCCATGACTGTCCAGGACTCCCGAGTAACGCTAGGGTGGTATAATTTATATGGTCTTGTAGTGTGTCCTAGGGTAGAATGGTTCTGGTCCACATGTTTGAATCGATACAGAGGACGAAACCGAAGAGATAGGAAACTGCTGACTACTGCAGTCTGCAAATGAGTCGCTCGATAGCTTTCCCGGAAGCCCGTGTTTAATGTTCATATTGCCATTAAAAGTCCGAATACATCTACTGGACCCACGATTTCGTCTCTTCTGATCTCGTGATGAATCTTCAGTTTGAACTTGGCGAAATTGTATGGAAATGAAGACTCTAAGAAGCCCTTTTCCGGGAACATTCCAGACCCAACAAGCAGCCGGAGTGGATGGTATTTTGTTCAGGGGGCTATAGAATACTCTTATTCATCTTCCTCCTCTTGGTCTTGATCGATCCGCCTTGAGATCGCTAGTTGTTTTTACTAGTGTATTCCAACTAGTACCATTCCAACTGGAGGTTGATTGAGCTTCTAGAAGATCAGGCTCACATGGAGACGCTGTCACTTCGCCGACTCACCCACTTCAGCTACAGTATTACCGCACTTGGTCCGTTTCTTCCATCTGCCAAGTTCCCTCGGCCCAAAAACACGCCTGGAGATGTGGAACGCAGCAGATTGGTAAAGCCGCTAGTTGAGGTCTTTCTGAATGGGTATATTGGCAATTTAGCGGTTCCCCAAGTGTTAAATGTTCATATTACGACTTTTCGCTCAATGACGGTATTGTATGGAGACGTACCTGTCTGAGAGCGGTAAATGTGGGTTTTGAAAGACAATGAGAGACAGAGACGGTTTTGAATGGGTTATTCGACGTTACCGTTCCACATTTGCCTCTTGGCAAAGGTCAATCGGTCTCTAGTCTCTATTCAAGTCTCTAGTATCATCATCTAGCTGCATTTAGAACCAATATCGGCTTCTAGAACTTGTGCTAGAAATCAGCAGTTAAATACAACCGTCATTTTCCCTTGTTGCCATCCCCAAATGCTTCCTCGATTCGACTTCTGCCCCAAAATCCCCCACATTGTTGTTTTGCTGCTGGCTTTGTCAGCCATGGCTAGCAGTGCCAAAATCGCCAGTCCGTTTGTGGACTTTGCGGTCCAGCCGCTCCAGGGACAGATGTGGGACCTATACACTGCCCATTTTCTATTGGACACGACAGGTGGAGTCTCTGTCGGCGACTTTTTTGTGTTTTCGCTGGAGAGCGACAATGAGCTGTTTACGCAGTCCTACGACACGACAATCTGGTCTGGAGACGTCCAGGTGGGTAGACTGAGCTCCGACGAGGCGTGGAACTTTCGATTCGACTTTGCTGAGTATGTTGAAAGACACCCTGATGCGAAGATTTCATTTTCCATCGAGTTTTATTTGGCGGAGCTGGCGCCCAAGTCGGTCAACAAATGTCAACTAGAGGGGAAGAACATATTCAACAAATACACTTCACCTTTTGTTGACAAAATCAGCCAGTCCCAACTAAATCCCAACTCGGTCAAACTAAAACTGAAGGATGAAACCAAGGAGTTTCAGGCGACTCTCTTAGTCGAGAAACTGCAAGATACCGATATGAAAATGGTCAGAACGGCTCGTGGGGTATTATACACGCAAACTATCATGTTTCACAAGAACCAGCGTCACTTTGAGCTGTTTCTTCGCACTTCTCCTGGTCAATCTTGGGTCGACTTTTCCAGTCCCTTTGACAGTTTGTATTTTGTCGACAATGACGGCAATGTTGTTGATTCCGCCATCACTGCCCGTCCACGTGTTTCGGCTTCCAGAATCCACCTCAAAATTGTCATCCCCTACATGGACGGAGTGGCCGGGATTTTTTTTGCGGCAACTACTCGACTTGGGCTCGAGCCGGGCGTGGTTCATATTTGCGCCACAGTAGCTGCTCAGGGCGAAGCCGCCACGCGGTGCCAGTCTCTCGGGTCGGGTCCGGACGGGGTTCCCGGCGCTCAGGGGTGGGTTGTTGGGGGCGAGAGTCTCGACGATGCCGAAAATCCATTTCAGAGAAGGAATAGGCAGTTTAAGAGAGATATCGAGATTGGCGATTCGAGCGACTCGGGCAGAAACCCGTCCAATGGCAACAATAACGGCCAAGGAAACGCTCCCGGGGGCTACTACGGTCATAACAACGGGTTGGGCAATGGACATCACAATGGCAACAATGACGGCAACAATAATGGCAACAATGACAATGAAGCTGCGACGGGATGGAGAGAGTTGGCAAGTGTCACAAGACCTGGTCCTTGGGTAATTGGACCTGGTGATTCTGTTGCGACGACGGCATCATACTCTCCAGGTTCTCCGACTCTTGGTGGATCGGGTTCGGGTTGGGGCCTTAACCCCGTCCCCACCCAACCCGCCCCCAAACCGATTCCGCCACTTCCCCGAACCCCTCTTCTGAAAACTACGGTCCCTTCTTTGGCCTCTGCTCCGGTTTGGGTCACTTCTCCGGTTTTGGCCTCATCCCCAGTCACAGATATACCCCAGGCCAATCTCGCCGGGTCTCTGCGAGTAGCTGTGATTACATTGTCTCTTCTGGTCTTTCTTGGTTTGATTTTGGTCTTTTGAGGTTGAATATTGATTGTGAATGTTTTGGTACAGCTCTGGATGAGTTGTAGCTGAGTCGTAGCTCTGTATCTTTCTGGAGTTATGGACTGCTTTATCGTCGCGAGTATGACCAACATACGTTCCTCTCCGACTTTGCCGACGTTGTCTGGAGTTGACTTCTGAACTCACTACCACCCATCACCAACTCGACATGTATTTAAATCAGATTCATCTCTTTTTACCACATATGTTGTAGTGCGCAATGTACTAAATCTCAATGCATTTCTGAGGTGCTCTGGATCAACAGGAGATGGACTATCGACTTGAACCAGGGTCTAGGAAGTGGTACAAGAATACATTCACTGAAGAGATGTCTTCTCATAATTATAGAGTGACTCAGTGTGTGTAACGAACTCCATGTCAGACTGGTGGTGATGAAAAGTGTTATCTATCAAGTCAGTAGGACTTGCCAGCACGGATGTGTCAGGTCTTTGCGGGGGTTTCTCTGTCCTTTTCGCCGTTACAATGAACTGGAAACCATTGGTTATCCGAGTAGGTCTGTTTCGAAAACTGGAAACCATTTGTCATCCGAGTCAGACTCATTCCCACATGCACCTGAGATGAGCTAGTGCGTTGATTATGCGAGATAACGCATGTCGAGTCTTGGCGAGCTCGTTTCGGAGGTTGACAAAACTTTATTGGTTCATTGGAATTCCGACGGACCTGGCCAGACTGTTTAATCACCCTCGAACTGTCTAAATTGACCAAAAAACGTGCTCTTGACTGAGCATTCGAACTGTTAAGCAGTAGGTAAGTGATTACTCGTAGTTGGAATGGCTCATGGATAGTAAATGCTCTTCGAAACTCAGACCGCTCAGGACTGTAATCCAGAAGAGGCAGAATAACAGACGGTTTTCGCCACTCTTCCAGACTAATACTTGTATGTTCGCAACCTCCGAAAACTTGGTGTGTAGTTGTAGTCAAATGAAAGAGATACCGGACTCATATCGAGACAGAGCAATAATAGAGACTTTGAGAGCATTCCCAGGGGCCAATTGATGCCTTCTGATGTCAAATGACTCTGAATATCGTCTATTTCAGTCTCTCTCTGGCTTCCCGGGTCTGTTGTGGTCATTCCCATTCCACATGGGCACGAACCCTTGGACCAGCGGAGTCCACTAAACGTTCTAAAACGCCCCGTAACAATCCTCAGAGTGAAAATTATTTTATCACGATCACCAAATATACCCTAGTCTTCTTTCATTGTTCTTAATCGAGCCCAGATCGGTCCTGAAGTTGTTCAAGCCGTATTGATACTACTTGTACAAGTGCCGACAAGAACAGTACCGTACAAGTACTTGTAGTTGTCCGAATTGGCCCAAATAAATCTTCCAAATATACACTAATTGAAGATTGACTTGTGTTCAAGTCATATTTCCACTGAAATCAGTTGCTCAATCACTTGTGGTTCCAATATGTCACCCATATACAAGTAGAAGTACTGTACTTACTGTTCTTGCACGTCCAAAAGTTGAACTTGAAATATGACAATAGATCGAAATAAAATCCGAATCGTCTGGAATATTGTGTCAAATGAATTTCCGAACCGAGACAAGTCGAACGGTATCACTGAGCGCCCATTGCTGCTCACATATAATCCCACAATAAGAACCAAAATACCAGGGCAAATTCTCCTCAGAACAGCTCAATCTCGCTTTTCCGGTCGTAGATGGAATGAAAATGGTAGGATAATCATTAATAATCTTCATGAATTCCCTTCATCTGTAATATATCGGTATTCTCGCCGTTCTCTATACAAATTGGGTGTCAAGTAAATATCAACAAAACGTAAACAAAACCCAAGTAAATCGAAAAAACCCTATAATTAAATTAAAAAATAAAAAATAAAAAATAAAAAATAAAAATAATAATAATCCATTGACCCAGATTCAAACCCTTGTAGTACAATAATCATATATAATATATAAAATGTCAGAACTAGTGCAATAAGATGATATATCATTATATATCATTCTAGAACTTGTCCATCATGCTTATCATTCATTAATCTACGCATAACATTGAACCGAGATGGATTAATCCTCCACCGATTCAGAACTCGATTGATTATCCATCGTTCTCCATAGACAGTTCTCCATGGATAGTCCCCCATCGTGCTCCATCGATTAGTCCCCCGTCGAGTTCGCTTACCCCCTCAGAGCTCGCAATCTCTCGTTCAACGAGTCCTCTACCTGGGCCTCAGCCTGGATCTCCCGGGGCGCCGCCTCCATGTTGTGCTGCAACTCGAGACCCGCCTCATCAGCCACCTTCTGCAGCAGCAGGTCCACCTCCTCCTGGGGCCGGGCCTGCGAATCTGCAGCCATAGTCGCGCTCTCCATGTAACTGGCGCTCGCGTCCATGTCCTCAAATTGCTGCTCAAACTTTTCCATTACCATGCTGATCTTTTCGAGATTCATACTTTCCATCGCCCGGTCCATTCCCTTGACCACCTGGGCCATGTTGCCGGTGACAGAGCGCATGGTCGTGGCGGTCTGCACACGTGATGCCACAGACTCCACTCGGGACGCGAGCTTGAGTAGGTTGAGCCGCTCGGATCGCTTGCGCACCGCATTCTGGGCGTACAGAGCAGCAATGTCCTGGTTGCCCTGCTGGATGGCCTTTTTGACCTTGGCCTTTTCCGATTCCTCCTCCTTGGCGGCCTTGTTGGCCTGACGATTGAGCTGTTTGGCAGTGAACTAGATTAGTAACGGTAGCGAGATGCGAATGAATTAATGCGAGTAAGAATTGGCAGCAAGAACTGACAGAACTAGCTGTGACACGCTAACTCAGTCACCTTCCAACGATTGGAGCCGGCACAACAAGTAGATATCCGTCTTGTGAGGGCATGGGGTGTACAGATGGAAACAGCAGACCAATGGACTGTACCAGTGTAAGTCCTGATGAGACTCTGAATATCTACCAAGATCAATGCGCCCAAACTAGTGCCTTTGCTGTAATGGCACTGTTAGTCTGACGCGGATATGTCGCCAGATCAGGACTAGATATCACAGGCCTGAAGAGATCTTCCATTAGAGCTAGCGAGCTCCAGCAGATTTTCGCTGTAGGGACCGCCATAAAAGCTCGTCTGTTCACTGTGGGGATTGCCATCGGAGCTAATCTGTCCACTGTAGGGACATCCACCAGAGCATTGTTCGATTGTTGCGTTTTGATCTGATCTTGTTTGGAATTGTGAGTGGCCAATAGAAAGTGAGAGAGTTGGAGGTGTGCTGGAGTGCAATCTGATAACTATAGTAACCATGGTCACACTGCTTACTCTGGACACGTGACTGAAACTGACAACTGACATTGGCACAACTGGGTGAAAGACACCGTAACTCACACCAGATCATAGTCACCCCTGGTCATTACCACAAGACCACCATTCATCCGCGCAGTCACAACCAAATCAACCGCAACCGACACAAACTGCCCGCTCTCAGCTCCGCTCTCAGCTCCACTACAGGACTAGAAATCACCATTCGACCCCACTGCTTTCATGTCCATAGTCCACCTTCCCGCCGCCATCCGACACAAACGTCCGATTCCACGCCTTCCAGGGGGCACAAAAACACCGTGCATACTCACTTTCAGCTGGAACAACGACTTTTCGAGCCCAGACATGTTGTTGTGGTGGTGTTGTAAGGAGATGGAAAGGTGAAGTGAGCGACGGCGATAATGTCAGCCCAGGGTTAGGGTTGAGGTAAAATTACTTGATGTGCGCAGTTGGGGGGGGGATATTAAACGAGTTGTGGAGAAGGTAGAGTGATTGAGGAACTTGGAAAATGGGTGACGTAATAGATTGAAGTGGGCTTTTTCGATTTTTCTTGTTCTGAGTGCAATTACCTGTTCTGAGAGAAGTCTTGTTCTTTCAACTAGACTGTTAACTAAATCCCCAACTAACTAAACTATTATACTTGAGTTTTTTGGAGGTTGTGTGTTCGAATCTCGGAATCTGACATTTTAAGCACACTTCGAAAAGTCGTTCAATTTACATCAGAATTGTTTTGATTTTTGATTTGAAATGTGTAAATGAAATATGGATTTATTAACCGCTTCAACCGCTTATTTTTACGGTCTGACTTCCGTTCTGGAGCGGCCTCTGAGTCGCCTCATTCTCACAATAGTAAATCAAGTAACCCTAAGTATACTTGACATGTTAGTTACAATAGTTACAGTTACTTCTCTTCCTCTTCACAACGACACAGATATTGATACAGATACCGATATCGATAGTGATACCTCACAAAACCGACACAAACACACGATCGCCGCCCACATGGATTTTTTACTCAAAGACAACTCCTTTCAAGACTATGGAATCGAGCTAGCTCGCAAGGCGGGTTCGGAAATCAAAACATTCGCCACCGAAGAACTGCTGCGTCAATGGACCGATAACGTGGATGATTCAGTAGCCCCACCAGCCCCGAAGCCCAACTCGCCGCTCGTGATGCCGTTTATCTTACTAATCAAAGCGACGTTCCTCGTCCGAGATATGGCTGTGTTCATCACAAACACCATCTACGTGGCTCTGGTGCTTCCTCTAGACATGTCGTTGGTGTTTCTGCACTTTATGGCATCGGGAATGGCCGGAAACACGCCCCAATTTTCCAACATCTTGCCGCTGCACCTCTCACGCGATGTTCTCTGGTCCGGAGTGCCCGTCAGCACAGGACGAGGGTGCAGAGAACTGACGCTGCCCCCATCTCTGGTCACGGTCGACTCTCAGGGCGGCCAAGTGATCCGGGACAACTCGCGGTCTCGTGTTCGTTTCCCCTCGTCGGGTCTGATGGGCGCATTGACCCGATTTTTCCGACGAGTTCCATTTTTCTCCCGGGCTTTTCCGCAGGTTCAAAGGGTGGAGTCTACGCCGTCTGTTGATTTCCACACAGCAATGGGTTCTTTAAATGATGCACTGAACTCACAGTTGATCCACCGTGCTGCTCCCGTCGTTGTTCAGAAGAGTAATTATTCCAGTTTATAGGGCTAAGAGATGAAGCGGGGAAGGAAGCCCAACGAGGAGGGGGGAATGAGCTTTTAGGAAGAATTCTACGACTCCAGGAAGGTCCAGACTGGTGTTCAGATTGTTTTGTTGTCACAGCATGTTGGGTCCAGATGAGGTCGCCTAACATTTGGTGGAGGCAGAAGTATTGAGACGATCTCAACGATCAAATGATACCATAATTTCTGGCTGTTAATAAAGCTACGATCAACCAGCTTTTGGGGGTAAGAAAGGAGAATGAGCATAACTCGGCATAAAATTTGCTGACATGTCGACAACATTTACAACTGCGGATTGGATCAGATAGATGACGGGGCAAAATGACGGATTGTAGTGTTCAGGGTGACAGAGATTAGATCAGAAGGGTTTAAAGTGACGAGTTCGAGTTCAAAGATCTGAAGGAGACATAAGAGGAGACGTCATGCTCCTGTACAGTACTCGCATCAGAGTGGCAGAAACCAATTAAGTAGTACTTACTGGTCAACAGAGGTGGACAGTTAGACAGCTGACTACTAATGTATAAGATTGACGGTACTGATGGACAGAAGGAGAGTCTGATAGTTGGGCGGGTTGTACTGGAGTTGTCTCCAAGAGTATCTCTCGATTGAGCTGATTTAATAACTCTTCTGGCTAGAGTACATACTGTGGCCATCCAACTGATTCCACTGGACTATACAACTATCAATTCAAGCCAAGAAGGCAATGAATGAACGCGAAACATTCTAAAACCGTCAGTAAACGGCGGATTTCAACTGTAGTGCATCTCCCCATGTATTTCAGGAGAGATATGTGGCCACGTGATGTCACATGGTCGATGAAGACGGGGGGATGGAGGGTTGATGGAGCAGAGCAGCTCAGCTGCAGTTCCCAGTGCCGGCATAGCCTGTCAAAGGTAACCTGGTGTTCCGAGAGTTCATGTCGGCAATTCCACCGTTTTCTGGTCTCCTCCATCATTCGATATGACTCTGGTCCTTGAAATACCACCGTCTGAGTTGGAGAACTGCTCATTAATCCGATCCAGCAAGTCGAGTGACCAACGAGGACGTCAGCTTGCCTGCCAATAGTCACCAGGACTAGTTTTCGGTCAAGTCATTACCACAAATAAGATCTGAATCTCTGTGCCCGCGTCCACGTTTCCACATCTATCTCCACTCAATCTACCGTCATGGCTTCTTCCGGTTCAGACGTTTGTACTGGATAATGAACTGAGTACACATTTTTTCAGAAAGCCCTGTCTGCGTGACAGTCATTATCGCGACAGGGTCAACTACGGACAGAAGGCCCAGATTTCGTGTTCAAATGTCGTAGCACAGTCCCCTTGTCTGGATCTTTCCTCAGATATTTTCACACAACTCGCACTGGATCCACACACAGCAGTATGGTATCTCGGCACTTCAAGTGTCACTGGTAAAGGGCCCTCAGCCATAACATTTCCATCTGGGTTAGCAAATCCCTTGACTCCGTCTTGAGACTTTTTGTCAAGTAACAGCAGAAACTACGTCATTCTCCGCCTCTGCCCTTTCGGAGACGCAAGGACCGGTTCGGAATCGTTGCCGAAGATTGGCGATCGTTTCCAAAGAGCATTCGATACCCGACGACCGCGACAGGAAATGATCACATGATTTCATCTGATAACTTGAGCTGGTGACAAAGATCGTGTGCATAATCCAGTGAAATCATCCGGTGATACGGAAAGTAACGTGTCTCCTCCCTCCAAAGGTCCTCGTCGTTCGACCAACGTCTGTTGAGTACAATATGCATTTTATCGGGACAAAAACTGCTGGATGGGAATCTTGATTCTATACCCCATCAGTAATTGAACCCGCGGTTTTTCTATCTGACAAACTCGTCTCTAGCTGTCCGTCTGAATTGTAGATCTTGGTTTGAATGTGGAACTTGGCTGGATCAACTCCAACTCGGTGGACACTCATCCGATGAACTCCAATAGTTGACCTAGGTGTTTTAACGGCCCCTCTTTGTCTTACCCTTGTCATCATCTCTAGATCTTGTTTCATCTAGTGCTTCCGAGACACGGTCGAAACAGGCGGCGTGGACTTGGGCTATCAATGCGGTTCCACAACAGCTCAACACGGAATGAAAGGTCTCCAAAGAATCCAAGACTTGAAAAAACTGAAGTAATGGAGATGATAAATCCATTGACCATCAAAAACCGCTCCTGGACAGCCAATTGATTCCAAACACGCCCGGCTCCAGTGGGTTGTAAGGTGGGGGCAGCAGTCCACAACACTGACACAATTGCTGACACAATTGGTGACATGATCGTATGTATTTTTTTATATAGAAGTTCATTCAACCTGCGTCAAGAGGTTCAAATGGTGTCTTTGAAGATTTTTTTTTACTAGCTATTACAGGTTTGTTACAAATAAAACTGTCTGGGGTTGCCATCTCCTTAATCGACGAGTAATGAGGGAAGATTCATGAAGAATAGTGTAGATAGCACCACTATTCCAATCATGAAGAAATACCCCAGGCAATTAATGTACCTTCTGTTTGTCTTTTAATCGAGTCATTCCTGTTCAAAAGTTCATACATGGTCTAGTTTTGGTGTTAGCGCGACTAATGTGTCTCAAGCTGGTAAAAAAGAGGTAAATGTGTATAATTCAACCCTCAGGATATAATTCGACCCCGAAAAACCAATTTCAGCATTTTTCCCTCTGTTTTTGCCATTTTTCAACATTATTGTCAAGTTTGGAACATCCAATAACTTGCTTCTAAAATACCCAGAATAAAAACAGAAAAACCAGAGACATGTGCTTGTACTGAAGATGAATTGCTGTAAAATTGGAAAAGTCTAGACCATGTTTTATTTTTCAGGTACAATTAGCGGTGGAAGGTTGTTGTTTTTTTTTTGTTTTTTTTTTGTTTTTTTTGTTTTTTAATTTAATTTAATTTAATTTTTTCCCCTGTTTTTTTCTTACACACACAAAAAAAGAAAAAAACAGTCGGGGCTTCAACAGCTGTGCTCCGATTCAAAATATTAATGCCCGCAAAATGCTCAAATTGTGCACGAGATTGGCGAAATAAATTGGTCTTTTTTGTTTCTGCATATACATTCATTTAAATATATTGTCTGTTCTGAGGGAAGCACTGATAACTACTTCGTTCAACTACTTTATTTAGATATCAACTAAACACTCCATAAAACTCCATTAAACTCCATTAAACTCGACTGTTGAAACCTCCCAAACTCCAATTATACTCCAGCTCGAATCTGACTCTGTTAATTTTTACACGAAATTAATTTCCAATCTGCACCCCAGATATTTCCCGTTTGGGGTAGTATAGACGGAGAGAGGGAGGGCTGGATAACAACGACGATGAATGGCGGTTAATCACGGTTAATCACGGCTAATGACGGTGAATGACGGTGACTAAGATCTCATCGAGATCAAAGTGTGCGTTTCGACAACCTCTTGGACGACTACGACTTCATCCCTCGCCTCGAGTTGTCGATATTACAAAAGCATTTCTGTCAAGATATCGACGTCTCCAGCCTCATGCCCTATACCCCATCCCGACGCTCCGTTTCACAATTTTCCTCATTCGTCAACCATACAAAACCTCATGGCCACTTTTTCAGATTCCCCGATAAGTCGTCTAAAGTATATATAGACCGACTTGAGGAACAGAAAAGAGCCCAAAAGCCTCAGCAACAATGATCCAACTACTCACGCTCGCTTCTCTGGCCTCAGCGGCTCTTCTGGAGGCCCCCATTGGCTACCACCAAGTGGCCGGACAGAACTTCAACACCGTCAAACTATCAGTGGGCTCGCCGGCCCAATCGCTGACTCTGGTACTCGATACGGGATCTTCAGACACGTGGATGCCGGCCCCAAATGTGTCCGGCGCTCTCGATTCTTTCGACCCCACAAAATCATCAACATTTGCCTACAGACAACCCCAGCAGTATTTCGCCATGAGGTACGGGGACGGGGCCTACGCAGGGGGCCACTGGGGCAGTGATACCGTGTCGGTGGGTGCGGCGGAGGTCTCCGGCATGTCTGTCGCCGTTGTGGTGGACACAAACACAGAAATTGGCACCTTTGGCCTTGGTCCGCCGGAGTTGTCGTCTTCTTTGATTCCCAAATTCAACCAGCCGACGTTTAGTTACGATAGTTTTATGGATTTGTTGGGGAGATCAAGTGGAGGATTGAGCGAGTCATCACAATCCTTTTTCCTGGATTCAGCTCGTTCCACAATGGTATTTTCCACATGGCTGGCCGGCTCTGAACGCACCGGAGTGCTCACTTTTGGCGGTTATGACAAGAGTCGATACCACGGAGAACTGAACTGGGTGCCGATTGTTTCGGGAATTCATTATCAGGTCCAGAGCGAGACTATTGCAGTCAATGGCGACATCTATCCTCATCCTGGCATCTATCATATTGATACCGGGGCTGAGAGTCTTCATCTGCCGCAAAAGTTGTTTGAACTAGTCGTACGGCAGTTTGGAGGAGCCGTCACTGCCGGCGGCATGATTCCTTGCAATTCGTCTCTTCCCGAAGGCTCTATCACGTTCCGATTTGGCCACGGGTACATTTCTGTTCCGCTTTCCGACCTGGTCAACCCGCTCACTTTTGGAGGAAAACCAGCGCGGGACGAACTTGACCGCGAAATTTGTCGATTCGGAGCTCAGCCAAGCTCTGCCCTCGTTCTTGGAGGAGCCTTTTTGAGATCGGCATATGTGGTTTTCGACTGGGAAAAACAGAGAATTGGTCTGGCCCAGGCTAAGACGACCGTGGGAGATTCGAGAGATTTTGTGGTGGTCAAAAGGGGTCTGAAAGGCGCCAACAGTTCGACAATGGGTCTTCCCCTTCAGGCCAACGAAGCGAGAGGTGTCGATAGATCGGGTCTTCTTATGGTCGTTGGAATGTTGTTTCTTTTTATGTAATTTTGGAAAATAGTGTCATGTATAATTATTGGTGAAAAAAGTGGCAAAGACATGATGGGGAGATGAAAGTGATACAGATAAGATCTGAAAAGCGGGGAGATGATGTTGATACAATAAATATATATATTTCTATATATATTTTTAGGCTACATTGGTCAGATAAAGGTACAGTACATACAGTACAATCTATTGAAAAGCTACGGAATGTTTCATCAGCAGCAACGATAAGGGTAGTTAGGAGACAGATATGAACATGGAGACTTCGATTATGTATTTCACCCAGTTTTGTATACAGAATGAACCAATTTTTTCTGTCATATATTGAATAAAATGTTCAAAATTCAGCTAGTTGAGCATTTGATAGGGCCCAAATCATTGAAGGGTGCTTATTCATTGGTTTCGGGGAGCGAATTCGACCAAAGATGGCTGGATATAATAGTTCAATCCGGAGTACAAGCAGATATTTAAAAGTCTTTACTTCAACGTGCAATATGAAAAAATAATCGATGCAAATTTCATAGCAGCTTTCACTATACTTTACATAACCGGGGAGATTATCTACTACACAACTAATAGGGATCTGATTGAAACCGGGAGTTGAGCAATGAAATTATCTGGTCTTGGTGATTTCAACGATATCTATAAATTCACAATTAAATAACGGAGAGACTCAAAAACTTCAAGTCATACTTTTCTGTGGCCTCGAAATTAATTTGAAGGATTATTTTGACATTATAAAACAGTGTCAGTTTGGAAATTGACTAAATGGATTAGAAAAATATCTAATGGCACCAATTTGGCATCACGTGATCAATATATCACGACTATATTTATTTCAGCTGACTAATGACGATTGTGTGGGGCGAATCAACCTCAGCAAAGAGACTGGAGTCCTTGAGAAAAGCCAGGGCAATTTGGAGAAGCGAAAGAGGTTATGAATCACGTGAATATAGTGGAACTCCTGAAGAGTCATTCGCGGGTCTCCACGTTTTCCGGGTTGTATGATCCAGACGACTAACTCGGGATGTTATTCGCACAGTATGGGACAATCTTCATAAAAGTTGTTCGAGCCGTTCTATGTAACTATCGTTGAAAGAAACACCAGTATTGCACCAAAACTCTTCTTTCAATACATTTGTCCTCGAAGAAATACAAGATCCCGCACTTGTCAACACCCTCAGACGACACCAATCACCTACATGCTGTACTCGACAGCCATAAATAAACAATCTATAAACTATGAATATACGAATGTATCATGGAGTACCAGAATGAAATGGGGTAAAGGGGAAAGAGACTGGTTTCGTGAGCACAGGGCTGTCCAAATATCAACAGCCGCAGCGCCCACACCCTCCCGGTCCGACTCACTACTTCTGCAGATGCGTCGACTACTTGTTGAGTTCCGTCTCCTTCAAAATATTCATCCCCTCCAGGGTCAAATTGCCCACAGTTGTCTCCACCAGCGCATCCACGGTAGCATTGAACAGGATTGGCACAGAGCCCGCCCACAACAACTTGCTGGCCACCTTTCGGAAGATGCTGCTGTCAATCACCTCCACGGGAACGTTCTTGGCCTGCACCTTGACATTGTACACGGTCTGGGAGCCCTCGAGGCCCTGGAACGACTCGCAGTCATGCCATTGTTGGATGTGGGCTCGAGCAAAGAGCTGGCCCTCATAGTAGAGGTCATTCACGCCTCGTACTTCAAATGGCAGCATCTCGGTCTGGATCTGGACATTGGAAGGCAACAGAATGGTCGTCTCCACATCTGCATCAATGAACACAGCTCCAGAAGATAGAGAAGCAATGGAAACATGTGTAAACGAAATGTTTCGCAGTAGAGACTCTTGTCTGTCAAGACCAGGAGAGTCTAGAAGCGCCCAGAAATGAGAAAGAGTGTCTGTGAGAGGTCCGGGAAGACGGGGCTGCTGGGGAGATAGGTGGGTACTGTACAGCGACGAGTTTCCATTGATGAAAGCCGTCATAATTTTATCCAGAGTGGAAAGTCGTTGTTTGAGGCCATCGTCGGAGTCAAGTTCGCCAAGGCTGGATTGGGCGAATTTGGGGTCAGAGACAGATCCAGACAAGAGTCTGCTAAGTCTACCGAGCACTCCAACCCGATGGGCCTGCTTGTTCTTCTCCTCATCCTCTTGGCACTCCTTCAACACCTCGCCGCCCTCCTTCATGTCAACTCTCACCTGGATCTCATTCTCGCCCTTGTGCAAATGAAAAGCAGGACTGGTGGCCTCGCCGACAATCACATAGTCCCCTTGAGGCTGGCCCACAAGAATCTTGCGGCTGTTGCCACTGCTCAAATCTGCCTCGCATCGTTTGTGAAACAGGTCCCATTTCAACTCCGGGAAATCTAGCTGGTCCACCAGCGACGTCTTGAGAGCCACCTGGGCGTCCACAGACAGCCTCCCGGGCTCTCCAAACACCCGCATGCCCTTGAGCTTGTAGTCGACAAAGTCCTCCTGGTCAATGTCCTGGTTGATGGTCTGCTGAGAGGTGATCCAGTAAGAGCCCAGTCTCAGCCATCCTCTTCCCAGGCTGATTTTGGCAGTTCCAGAAAGAGTGAATGGCGTGCCGGCAAGCATGAGCTCTCCAAGACGAGCAATGGTGTAGGCGTCGTAATCATGGAGAGTGACCACGGTGTCAATGTCGTTTGTCGCGCTGGGAGACGTGTTGAGATTCAGCTGCGGAACATCCACCAGAGTCACCTGCTCGTAGATGGGCAACGTATCGTTGGGGAAGGTGACACGTGTAATGGTCATGGTTGTGGGTTGGACCACCACATGATCCAGCAGCTTGGCGCCCTGCTTGATCAGAAACCGCGCCAGGTCATGCTCCACCACCTCAAAGTCCATCTGCAGCTCTCCCCTGACTGCTACCGCGATTCCGTCCTTGCCTATCAGGTCCACGATCTTTGTGTCTTTGACCACCATTGTCGTGTTGTCCATCAGGTCGTGCACGCCCAGAATCGAGCCCCGCACCGTCCCCAGAAACACCACCACCGCCACCACCATGAGCAGATACTTGGGCATCTCGCAAAACCACGGGTGGGAGTCATGAGTCCACCACGAGAATCGGTGGGGCCTGGAAGAGCCGGAAAGCAACGGAGTACGTTCACAGGGGGCGTCTGAAGGCACTGGCGCTTGATCCGAGTCGATCGGAGCACTGGTCGTCGAGTTCATGCTGTCGTAGATATAGCAACAAAGTGAAGATGGCGGGCAGTGTTGTAGTGCATGGCGTGCATAATCTAGGGTTAGGGTAAACGAGAGAGAGGGAGGGAGGGGGGCACTTGTTACCAAAACAAAGGTAGGTCTAGATGGACGCTCCAGGCGGGAGACTTTTAGGTCTCGTGACCTGAATATTGCGCTCTACCCCGTCCAGCGTGGCCTTTTTTTTCGGTTCTTTTCCGCCAATTATTTTTTGTTCGATTTATCATCTCGATTCTAGGTGTATGATTACGTAAGGTTGTTCCAGAGTTCGAATCTTAGTTGGGGGGTTGTTTACTTAGAGTTAATGCCGAGGTAAGTTGGGGGAGGAGTTGAGGGAGGAGTTGACGACGACTGTAGTTTTTCACGTAGTGTGTTGGTTTGGCTGGGTTTTGGTGTAGATGGTCTTGATGGTTGTTTCTCTGGTCCCACCAATTTTCAGTCGATTTCTGATCTTGGAACATCTCCAAAAGTGTTATCTCCGTCCTCCGTGGTGGAGTCATAGGAGCTACTATAGTGAGAGTGAGAGTGAGTGTGAGACATGTTATTTTGATTGGCGGGGAGGTTGTGTTGATTGATACGAGAGAGTTTGCTACCGACTGTGAGTTCTCAAGCATCTTAATCGTGTTTAACTGTCGAATGAGAATGAGACGTACAGGTTATGACTGAGGAGAGCGGAAACGCCGAGTAATTGGCCATTGAGAGAGGAAGCGGGTCGAGAGAGCAGATAGACAAGTAAAATGGACCATTTGAAGGCGAATGAACAAGTAGTCGGGTCTTTTTTTATGGAGATATGGACGTGGTTGAACGGAATCATGTGGTTGACATTTGAAAGATAGTAGCGTCAAAAGTGATCTTATAACAGTTGAGATATACGGATGTAAAGTACATCATTCTGATCAGCCCGTTCATAGCTCTCATGATACACTACTCTCGTTTCCAAAAAATGGTCTGAAATTCACTCCTTGAACATACATTGTCTGATACAGTACTACTGTGTACCATCAATGCTGCTTCGACGAAAAACGGCCAAATTGCACATTTGGATAAACAGAAATGCTCGTCTGGTTCTGCTGAGGGCAAATACGTGTACGGAATCCGCATACCACCTCTTCCCATCGAATCATGGCCAACTCCCCAACCTCCCCCTAACCGACCTGACTAACCCCGCAACCTAATACACTGGTTGGCTTCGTCGAGATCGGAGGCAAAAAGTTCACGTGACAACCACAGAGCGTACACCGGCACACACGTGTTCCCCAGGACGGTCACATGACCGTGGCTGTGGCCGTGTGTCTTCTTCATCCGGCGTTGTTTGTTCTGCGGTTCCTTGTCTTGGTGGCATCAGCCCATATGTTTTTGATGGTTGCCCAACCCAAAAATAGAAACGTTATGCAGCGATCTTATTTCGGGTTTTTGGCGAGTTTATGGCGGCGATATGGCGAGTTTATTTTAGGAAAAACCAGAGTTGGTTTGGAGTTGGTGATGTTGATTTGGAGCCGTTGTTAGGGCGCTATTGGAACGCCGACAGTTTTATCGAGCTTTACAACAATTTCTGCACATTGTTGTGTTTTCCGCATCCGTTTTGGGGCCGTTTAATGTCGGCAATTGTCGCGCGAAATTTTGGCCGATTTCAGACATAAAAGGTGTCAACAAGCGTGGGATTTTCATCGCAGGGTCATTAGTATAGAGGTAGTATGCCTGCTTCGGGTCGTTCTGAAGCATCCTGTGGTTGTTACACAATCATGATTTGCAGGTGACCCCGGTTCGAACCCGGGATGACCCCATTTTTTGTTCTTTTTGGGTGTAAGCTGACTAAGCGGAGCCGGAGGAGAGCATGGACGGGAGCTCGGACAGGAAATGGGAGCAAGAGTTATGGGTTTCTCTTTATGGAGTGATTCGGAGTGATTGGTTTGTTTGTTTGCAGCCAAAGTGTCGAATGCCGGGAAAAAGTGACGTGAAATGAGGTCAGATGAAATGAGGTGGCGTGAGAGGAGAGATTCCCCGTGATTCCCCGTCACCTCGTGATTCCCCGTCACCCCATCATAGAGCCCTTTCAGTGCCCTTAAAAGTTCTCACAAGTTGTGTTTTCTTTGGAAGACACTCCAGAACTCCACAGCAGACCAGAAACACGCAGTTGCACTCCAGGACTCCAGACCCGGACTTGTTGCAGATTATGAGTCTCATCCCACGGCTTTTTCGAGTCTTCACACAAGTACGCGATCTCCTCATTGTGCTTGTACATGTACAGCCACTACTCTGTTTTACTTGACCCTTTGCCGATGGTATTACTAACGGTCTATAGCTACAAGTAGTCCGACCGTTGATACACCATCAGTAGTTGCTTCCTGACATGAACCCGTCGTCAGCGGGGGATCTGAAACGTTCAATATCTCGAAATTGCGACTGAGCTGGGATCTCAGACTGACTCAGACAAGGCTTGCAGTGGGTCAGAGAGTTCAGAAGGATGGAGTTGGTGGAGAGTTGATGGAGAGTAGCTGACGGTCATCAGTATTACTCGCAGAACATCCAACCAAAGGACAAGGCTTCTCCTAGAGTCCTCGCCGCCGGCTAGCGCATTGCTGTTGTTGGTGGGCCGTCCCTATCGTTTCCCCGGCACCAGTTGGTAGGTGTGTATTTTTGTGGAACGGTATGCCTGAGAACCACACTTCTCGTCGCTAGACGGCTCCTGGTCTCTACGTGGTCCCAGCTGTACACGGCAAACGGGTGGATGCGTCCCCCAGTCCATTCTACTTCTGGGGAGTGCCACTTCTCCCATGTCGACTCCTTGACGAGTGAGTCTTCCTTCTTTCTCTACGAGCTCCATGTCGGAAAATTGTAGGCAAGTCGAGATTCCTGGACATTGGTCCACAACAGCTGTGACCTACAACTGGTAACTTTTTCGTCACCTGGCATTTTGGAAGATGGACGTCGTAGTTACATCATGCTGGGAAACTGCTCCAACTCGAAATGGTGATAAGTGCAGCGGAGTTGTTACTTTCGTATAGGTCATTGACATGTGCTTGTGACACCGGGTCTGCAGAGATCAGTACTGTGTCTGGAGAAATCAGTACAGTACTGTACACGAAGAATTCACTCTTTCGGCAGTACAGTGCTCTACTTTTACTGTAGGTCCAAGTGAAGATCAACAAAGTCTGTGGACTCTTGCAAGGACAATTTTCCTATAATACTCACACTTGTACTCCTTCTGAAGACTCCAACAACCCCAACATCAACCTCAGCAGACTATTCAGCTACAATTTGACTTCTTCTGGGTCTTTCAGGTCGGGGACCCATCTTTCCACGTGACTCCCCCGTGAATCCTCGTCTACAGGACTTTCATAGTCCAGACTGCAAGGCTAGCCCGAACCAGGGCCCCTGTGCCACTACTGCTACAAGTAGTTGACAAGGGAAAAACCAAACAGACCGCAAGTGGTGCTGAACAGCGGGTGAGACGGATTTCACTGGAATCTTCAGAAAAGTCATTGGATCCAGTGTCTGATCAGGTTACATGTTGTGGAGGCGGTGAGTACACACACCAACTGCTTACTAACCCCAGCTGACTAAAGTAACTATCAACTAATTCCAACTAAAAGACCTAACCCCAAACAAAACCCCTAACCCAGACTAGCAAACTCCTAACCCAGACTAACAAACTCCTAACCCCAACTCCAACAAAAACCGGTCCAACTAAACTCAAAAAAATTGCTCCAACCAGTATGAATGGAAGTAATACACGCGACTGAGGTCTGGAACGTGCCCATCACGTGTACCCGTATCCTGTCCCTCCTCGCAACTCCTGAACACTACGGTAGTCTCCCCTACTGGCGCTGTTTTGGTGTTACCCAAATTAGTTACATGCATTGTCCTTGTCTGCATCGAATAAAATGTTTTTTTGATTTTTTTTCCGGCGATTTTTTGTATTGACCATTTTTTCGTTTTGGCGATTTTTGTTTTTTTATGCATGGAACAAAGAAAAGAAGCCTGGTCAAAAGCCGGGCTGTTTGGAACTGGATAGGGGTGTTCTACAGCGGCTACTGAGATAACACGGTGCCTTTTCCTCACTCCCTCACCTTTTCCCTTCATCTCACCTCTTTTCCTACCTATCCCCTCCACCCCCCCTCCTCCTGCACTACAAGTAGTAGATGCACAACAGTAGAAAACTCGGTCGATATGGAAGATGAAAAGACATGGACTAGACCACCGAATCCAAGCTCTTGAAGCGATCATTTTGGTGCTACAAAATACCCGAAACTTGCCGAGATGCTGGGCAAGAGCAGAATTCAGATGCTCGCCCGTCATCATCGGCACATGCACGCTCAGAAGTGAGGAGAGTTGATATGGTAGTAAGGAGGGTTGACGGTACTCATTCCGTTTTGTTTGACCCAGTGGATCTACCAACCCTTTAGCACGACTGCTGATCAACATTCGTGTTATGGGTTGATGAGCATTCGAGTTGGCGAACATTTGTGTTGATCAACTATCGTGCTGATATCGTGCTGATGTCGTGCTGATATCGTGATGATGGAAATTCAAGTTGAACTACAATCGTCCATTTAATCGCGCTGATTACTGCGCGGAAACAGATACTGTCACCAACTCTCACCAACTCCCACTAGCTCATTGCAGATTCGGACTCAAAGGTGCCCGAAATCGACCCACTGGTCTCCAAGAGGTCTCCAAGAGGTCTCCAAGAGGCGACCCACTGATGTCCAAATCGACCCACTGGTCTCAAATATTGCTTGGACATCTGTTGAGCCGCAGAACCTCCAACGGTCGTGTCAACAGCCGCGTCGACGCAGACGTAGGCAACTCTGCAGACGGAAAATCTGCAGACGGAAAATCTGCACGGAAAAACTGGATTTTTGGAGATGATAAGGCATGACTGACCGCAATCGACATTCATTGCAACTTCTCCAGTCGTCTCACTGTTCCGCTCACTGTTACAGTCTCCGTCTCCGCTTCAGACCTCCTCCAGTCTCCATTCCAGACCTCCTCCAGTCTCCTCCTCCAGTCTCCACCTCCAACCCCCCTCCAACCCTCCACCTCCAATCCTCCACCCAGACCCACCCACCATTGCATGCACTCGCACTACCCCTACACCTCAACAAAATGTGCTTGCGACAAGTACAAAAATGCAGCAGGCATCTTTAGTTGCAGATGCAGAATGAAGTCTGTGCTATCCACGATGCGATAGCGTGCAGAGCTGGACCGAAAATGATAGTAGCTCTTTTCATCTGAAGAGTACGTACTAACGTTGTCAGGTAGAGCATGTAAATACCGTTCCGGCCAATTGTTCATTCTCTAGTGATATCTAACCAGTAATTGTGTGTGTTTTGCGAATATCACTTTCTGTTTAATTTAGAAACTTACTTGGTCAACAAAACATCCCAATTAAACCCGTTTAATATTCCAACTAATTTAAAACCCCGATTGAGACAGAAACGCAAATATCTGGAAATATTGTACCACAAGTTGTGAATATTACGACAGTTTAGTTTAGCTTTTGTATTCTGTGCATGTTCTTGCTGTATTCATTCTGCTGAAACACGCCGGAATCACCAAAATAGGACCCCCAGCACCCCTGTTGTCCCAACTAATTCTAACAAAACTAGTAAAGACAAAAAGACTTGACTTTTAAAGATGAATGTCAGGATTATCCGTATCACAGAGGGCGTGCGTCTGCTATGGGTGGTGGTACTGACATATTCCAGCAAAATGTTCATATGCTCTACCGACTACCAACTACTCTACCTACTGTACTCTACCTTCTCCACCATCAACTCTACCTTCTCCACCAACAACTCTACCTACTCCACAAACTACCTACCTCACAACTACAATTGAGAGCTGAATGAGATACAATGGTCCTCAATGGTATCTTATTAACCCTGGTTGGTCCGATATTCACCCACCGACTCCTCTCTATGTTCGGATGTCTACAGTACTGTACCCTTCTGTCAGGCTCCGAACACAGCGCTCAAGAAACTGTCCAAGAACGGAATGATCTTGAATGACGAATCTAAAGCCAGAAAAAGAACCCACGGTCACTCTGGAACCACAACCAGATCCCACACAATGGAGAAACTGACACTGTCTGTCCATCAGTACTCCCCTCCACCAATTTCCATGGCTCCTTGACCCGCAACCAGCACCATGTCCATGAACCCATTGATGTCATCCTTCTTGTCGAATCCATATTGTCGACTGGGTTTTTCAAGTGTGATCTCCGATCGGTTGGGTGCCAGAGAGCTGATCTCAGAGCATTCGTTTCTGCAGCTGCACTACAGTCCAAACAGTCTCTTTCAGCGTGTCTTCAAGCTCGTGGTCCAGTGACGATAGCCATGGTTCGCGAGTGACTGAGGAGGAAATTGTGAGATGAAGAGTTCGACAGTTGTCAGTTAGACTGTTGTCAGCTCAACAGTTGTCAGTGTGACACAGTTGCCAGTTCGACAGTTCAAGAGTAGTTCAACAGATGCCAGTTCGAGCTTCAACTACTCTCAAATCACTCTCCATCTCCCCAGTTGACATCTTTGCAAACGCCAGTCATTTTCTGACAAGTCTGGAGTGACTTGGCGTGCTCTATAACACGGCTCCACATCGCCAATCAGCGGCAACAATAGACCTAGACATACTTCTGACCGACTCTTGTGTCCGCATCTGAACCGGGTCACTCGGAATTGCACCACCACCCAGTGGCACCTGCCAGCAGGAACACCTCTTACTCGCCGGCTATGCAATATTGTGTCTCTTAACTAGCCTCCGTGGTGATTGCAGTTCCACATACTGAGTTCTGGCACGCCATTTAATCCAGAATGTTCACGATGACTCTGACGACCAAATGGAGATCTAACAGCAGCATCTGTCCAGTACAGTGCAGTACTTAGTCGTCATCGCTGGCTACCATATGGAACATTGATACAACGTCAATCTGACAAGATCTGGCAACGATCTGGCAACGATCTGACGTTGATAACTGTGACAGATCCTAACGTTAACATCTGCAACAAATCTGACGTTGACATCCGCAACAGATCTGACACACGTCTACACCTGCACGAATCTTATCGTCACCTTTACGACTACTTGGCGGCCTCTCCCTCGACCTTCCGGATATGACCGAATCTCCACCCCCTTAATTGCTCTTTATGACAATGGACGTACCCCAGAAAGGCAGCCAGCCTCCAGTGTCGATCTTCTAAAGTGGGGTACATACGTACATACTCTACGTACATGTCGAATGTAGCACTATGAGGTGGCTCGTTCACGTGCACCCCGTGTCACGAGATCTTGAGATCCATGGATTCTCAGATTCATCTCATTTGACCGCCACGAACCTCCTACAGCGTTCATTCCCCCCATCCCCACAGTCTCACCGGCCATCGCAAATCCCACCTTATTTTTGGCTCTGGAGTTGCTTTTTTTCCCTGAAAAAAAAAAGATTTAACATTGTCACGTCATTTAAGTTTATCTGCCCATGTCTCGGAAGGGATAACCAAGTGATAATGAGTCACGTGTGGATGGGCTAGGGACAATATCGTGGGGATAATATCCCTGGGATCATACTGACGCTTCCCCCCCTTCGACAGTTCAAACCCTAGCCCTTGTTTCCCAAACGGGGCATCTACCCTTTCTCTTGACCCAAACTGGGCACCGGTCTTTGTCCAGGGTTACGGTAGGTCGACCTTCTGAGAGCTCTGACTGCATCACTCCAAACCCCACATCTTGGCACGCCGCAAATAGAGGCATCTTTTACGAGACGAAATCGGAGGTCGACAACAATGGTGGAAGTGGGTGTTTTTCCGCCTAAATGACTGCCACGTGGGGACTTTGGCAGGGTTAGGGCGTCAGCCCGACGAAGGTGCCCGAGCGAGCGGGTTAGGGTCCAGGGTCCAGACGGGTCCTAACCCTTTCTTGCAACATGGTTAACCCCACACCACCTTAATTGAGAGCAAGATGTTGCCGCAAAGGTTACCCTCTGTATAATTAGAGTTTCAAACCTTGATATTCATTCGCCGGCACGTGAGTTGATACCGTCAAGAGAGGGTAATATACGAGTTGACATTGAGTGGATTTTGTGGCAACAAATTGTTGCGGGAAATCACGCGCCAAAAAAAAAGTCGCAAAAAAGGTGGCAAAAATGATCCGCAAAGAACCTCTTCACGACTTTTGTCCGCGTGATTCCTGCCGAGGTCCGAGCCGAACAAACAAACACCTCGTTAAGCCGACTCTCTACACTCTCAGCCGTTGCCCGTTAACCCCACTATACATTGCCGTGACATTGTCTGGATGTTTCTTTGTGTCTTTAGAAAGCGGGCGGATATGTGTCAAAAGATAAGAAAATTAAGAGTAGGATTCGAAGATTGAGAATTGGATAAAGAGTATAAAAAAAATGTAAAATTAAAAATTAAATTATATTAAATTCCAAGGAAATTGTTAATAAATCACAAGACTCGCTTTTGACACATGTTTATGGTGGGTCCCCCATGTCACTGATTTCCGCTATCTTTCCACCAAATTTTCCCCACTGGGGACCTAAAAAAATGACTAATAATTTCCATTTTGCCCCTGGTCTCGCTTGCCTAAATTCGCTTCACTCGCCCCTCTACGTTTTGGATGCACATGTATGATACATGCACATGCATGCATCCTGCACATCATAGTAAGGTTTAGCATTCGACTCCCTGTTGCATCTGCATTTACAGCTCAAAATTGGAACATGCAACTTTACAGACAACACGCTCCAACGTGCGATGAGAGACACGAACGGGTCCTGAGATGATCGAGAGTGTTATGTCTCTGAAAAGGGCGGTCGGTATTTGGGTTAGGGTTTTGGATCTCTTGGCACCGCTCAGCTGACCCCCTGCCACGTCGAGACGGGTTTTCACTAGTGTGGGGATTTTGCCAAGCCCAGAAAGTGGAGGTGGGACAAAGAGACTTTATTTAGATTTGGAATTTAGATTTGGGATAAAAAAAAAGAATTTTGGGGATTTTCTATAATTTATGGGTTGTATTGAGATCACGTGAGTAGGTTATTAGAGTGGGTAAGCAATTGTGGGGAAATGTTTGATTTTTTTGAGACATTTGTGTGTATTTTGTTATTTTTTGAATTATTTTAGAAATGTTTTGTATTTATTTAATTAAGTATTTTAATTATTTTATACGCAGTCCTGTTTAAAAATTGTAAATCGCAAAACGAATAAACTTTTGGTCAAACTCTAAATTCAACTGTTTGGGAAACAACAACTTGGACCATGTCAGGCCCACCAGACCAGACCCAAGTACATATAAAGGTGCGTAGTAGCCATCTTTTTGTCTCCCCAAACTTGGACAGTCGGATTGCTTGAAACCGCCACACAGACAGGAATCGAAAGACACTACGATTGCCATCGCTACAGTCCACAGACTTTTCATCGCCACAGTTCACAGTCCACAGACTTTTCAGTGGATTTACGACTCTACAGACTCTACAGACTCTCCTCAGTCTTTTTGCAGACTCTCTTAGTGGATTTACTAACTCTCCAACTCCCTAACTCTCCACCACCTTCACCATGGCATCTCCCCTGATGGCTCTGCTGCCTAAAGATGGCAAGCAGCACCCCGAGCTGGCGACGCTGATTGGCGCGCTGAACCCCCTTCCCACTGCCAAGCCCGGTGAGAATCCCTACCAGACGGGAATTCTGTCGATTCTGGAGATCCCCAAGACGGCGGCGGTCGGCACCGGTATTTCCAAGATGCTGGCGAAAACCAAGTTCTACATTGGCAACGACATTCCTGAAAACGTGGTCAAGTATGCCATGACCACCCAGGCGGCCATTTTCGGCGACTATCCCACCTCCAAGGACTACGCCCCCTGCGGTGTGTTTATTGCCGTCTTCGCCATCATCGCCATGGCCCACCTGTACATTTGGTTCCGCGACCGAATGAAGGGCCACAAGTTCTACCTGTCATTTGGTCTGGGCATGTATGGCCTGCTCCAGGTGATTGGATTTGCTCTGCGGCTCGGATGGTCCAAAGATGTGACCCGGCTCAATGTCGGCATTGCCTCGCTAGTCTTCAACATTGCCTCGGTGCTCATTGTCAACATCATGAATGTTATTTTGGCCCACCGAATCTTCACCGCCCGACATCCTGAGACGGGCTCTGCGTCGTGGTTTAACGCCATCATGAACCTCATCTACTTGCTCGTCATTGGAGTGCTCGTCATGGCCATTGTTGCCCAGGTGGTGCCTTACCTGTACTACATTGACGAAAAGCACTACACCATGTGCAAAAAGGTTGTTCGAGGAGCATCGGTTCTCGCCATGTTGATTGCCTTCTGCGGTCTGCCCATTATTGGCCTGGCATACATGTTCAAGCCTGGAGCCCTGGTGTTCCTCGGCAACAAGACTTCCAAGCATGGCGGTCCCGTGACTACCGTGTCGCCCACCTGGATCAAGTCATTTGGCACCTTTTCTTACACCTCCCCTCCTCCTCGTCCCATTTACCGGGACCAGGCAGACGGCAAGGGCCATGCCATTCGAATCATGCCCGTGCGGACCGCCGAGCACCCCGAGGCTCCCTCCATGACCTCCAACATTATGCTGATTCTAGCGTCGTCCATTCTGCTGACCGCCGGTACCGCTATGCGATGTGCGTCCACTTTTATTGAGGAGAAGGCCGTGCCCGGTGAGATGAACAGCATTTTCAAGCCTGTGTGTCTGTACCTGGCGTTTGGACTGTTTGAAGCGCTGGCCAACATTCTCTATCTGGTTGCGCGGGTCGATCTGCGATTCTACATTCCCGACATGGCCAAGAAGGGCACTGGACCCGTTGATATGGAGGAGAATCTGACCGATGGCAAGGCCTCTCCCAGTCATCTGGAGCAGGCCAAGTCGGTCAGCGAGTAGCATAGAGCTGAGCATTAATAATCAGTAATGTATTTATTGCGGGAACCCCGTAGCATAGCCTAGCGAGTGGCTGCGAGTGAGCTGTTTGGCAGTTGGTGTTAGTTAGTGAGTTATCGCTGACATCACCAACTCCGACTCCTGTCATCTCGTATTTCGTATCCATGTCTCACCCTAATGTCAGTCTACGTTTGAGTTGAGACATACGAGAGCTAGATCGGTGGAGTACGAGTTGTAGCATCAGTCACGTAACTGTGAGTAGAGTGATTGTAATTGGATATAGATATAGTATTATGGGTTCGGTTCTATTTTTTTTGCTTTTTCCGTGGCATTTTCGCTGGTTTTTCCAGTGTCTATTTCGCTGGTTTTGGTGATAAAATCATTTAAATTTTAATTCAACGAAATGGCCCAGAGATATCGTTGTTCTAAAATTGATTTTAATAATATATATATAGCGGGTTACTGTCAAGGCGGAATTAAATGTATTACTCTTGAGTAAAAAAAAAATAGTAGAAATAAAGAAAAAGTAATTATTAAAATAAATAAATAAAAAAGCTGTATGAATCATTAGAAATAAAATAAAAAATGAAATAAAAAAGAGAATCATGAGTTTGTTATCATACCCATCTTACCCATTTACCCATCTCATTGTTTCCAGCACGAGCTTTCTATGTTCTCGACCGAATCAGCTTTCCAAGTGACCTCACAGCTTCGATAATACCAACCATCATCTGACAAAGATGTTCTAACATTCCAGTATTGTTCCGAGCAGTTGGACTTGGACAGAATTCAGCCATTTAATGGGCGACACTATCGACACTTGGCCGAGTTGGTACCATTACGCTGGTGGTTTCGTCAGCCCCTCAACGTCGCACAATCTCGGGGAAGTGACGTCAATACTTGTAAGAAGAATGTGGAAGTATATCATTGTGCGATCACGGTCCTGACGGTTCATGTAGATGTTGAAATTTGATCGACAGGGTAATTTTTGGTTTGTTTGAAGCGCTTTTCACAGAGATCACAAATCTAGATGATTCCATTTTTGTCGCCAAAATATGCCAAAACAACAAGTTTAGTTGGAAACAACACACTTGACAAATGGTGTCCACACAACTACAATAAGAGACACAATGGTCCATATATGGACACGAAGGAACTTTTCTGGTGATAAATTACACCATCAATAATCCATTTTGAGCTCCATGGTGGTCAAACTGAGCGTTTTGGGTGAGATTGATAAGTTGCTTAAATATCAACTAAAATCCAAGTAGGAGCCAAGTAAAGTTGTAGTAAAAAACGGATGTAAGAAGCCAGCTATAAATCATATGCAGAAAAAAAAAAAAATATGCAGAAAAAAAAAATTGCGGACTTGCAGACGATAGCTAAACAGAATCACTGTCTTTTCTGATTCTGTTTTTTGTTTCCAATCACGTGGTCAACTTCCCCATTCATACACGTGACGTGACTTTTCTGGTCCCATACGTCGTCGGACCAGCCTCGGGATTACTCGGTAATCGCTTACCTAAGCAAACCGTCGTGCCGAAATCTCGTCACATATAACTTGAATCACTTGAGTACAGCATCATCTTCTACATACAGTATACTTCATCCTGGAGATCTAACTAACCCAGGCCTTGGGATCTGGTCCTAGGGCGGCGCTTGCTTCGCACGTGCCTCCAGTTGGCTCTTCATCGTAAGATCCCGTGATCACCGGATGACTAAGTCCCTAACATGTTATGAGTCGATATGAAATCTTTATATCTAACGGTTGCGGCCATATCCTGGTGAAAATACGGCTTCCCGTCCGATCAGCCATAGTCAAGCACCAGAGAGCCCAGTTAGTATTGTAGTGGGAGACCATATGAGAATCCTGGGTGCTGCAATCTTTTTGCAGTCCAGTATATAAGCGTGGCGAGGGGCTTGTATATTTTTATTCTATTCTTGTTCTATTTTTGCTCGATTTTGCTTCATTTTTGTTCCTTTTTTGCGTATATTCATTAATTATATCTGTTATTACTTGGTTAGCAGAATTAGATAGTAGCTCTTCTGAAAGGCACTATCCTGTGAATTATAAATAGAGAGAGTACGTCCAGGTGGTTACAATCCCTTTTTTGACGCTTGTCTCACAATTTATTACTCTCTCCATGATATCAGCCCGTGCCTAGTTTTGACCGGACTAGTAGAGGGCTGCTAAATGCTGTATAGACACAGTCACTATGGCTTTACTCCAAGGTATTGTTCCATCTGGGAATTATTCTGCCGTTATGGGTCAATCTTTAGCCAATATCTTGCCAACACTGATACCACCCCTGGCCGGATGAGAACTGATCCCTTTGGTCTAGATGTATGCTTACTTTGAAAAAAGGGTATCTATTTGATACTAATCGTGCCTGTAGCTGTGATTTTGAACTCTCCATGGCCAACGAGCCGGTTTTGAACTCCTCGTGGCTATGATCAACTGTCGCAGTTCTTCTTGGTGCTTCTTCAGTCCTCGATGGTCTTCTTGGGCCCATTTCACCAGGAGAAAGTTATTAGACAACATATTTTCCTTTTTATGCTAGTATGGGGAATGTCATCGCGCCTCCATCGGTAATGAGCACTCGCCTTACACCTATTGACTCCACCAGTTTCAGTCCTACGTCTTAAATTCCTGTCGCCGTGGCAATAGAAGTAACAGATGCGATGGTGCTATCACAGATGGAAGAAAAAGTCTTGTTTTCTTCAGTTTGGCATGTCCAGGTCACCTGGTCAATCAGGTTGTCGCTGTACTTCTTATTATTGGGGCGATAAGAGATGACCTAGGGGATGTTATCGTCTGCAACCGGTGGATGTAGTTCTTTTTCTGAGTCCCATAGATCGTAGAGTTGCTCTATTTCTCACGAGTGTAGTGGCCAAGATACCAATCTACTCGCTTGTAACAAACTCCAGAAGACATATTCATGATTTGCGGACTCTGGACGAGCTCCACCCCATTCCGGACAAACTCATACTCACTCTTATCACCGGAAGCACTTCATCTCACCTCAGACGAACTCCTTATGAACTCTGACAACCTGAAAAGAATCTCTTCTTTCCTCAACAGTGAAAAAATCATACGTCTTTTCACCCGTTTGATCTCCCCAGTGCCACTAGTTACCACTTGTGGCGAAACATTGTCCTGTCCGTATATCACTCCTCTCCTTCTTGTGGTATTATCCTAATACTACTCGTAAAGCCAAACTTGGTTCCTCGACCTAGTTCCATTCCATCAGACGTTCACGCATCTCCTCAGCCTCAGCCCATTGTCGCTTCATCGTTTGGGTCGATCATCTCCTAGACATCACTCCATTCGCACTCCTGCTCATCACCAGCTACTCGATCTACGGCTACCCATCCATTCTCCTTACTTCAGTCCACTTCAGTGCCTTCAAGCAACCTCATTAACCTCAAGGCATCTTCCTCATTGCAACTCCCTTCAGGACCTAGTCTATGCCATACATTGTTAACTGAAGAGTTGATTAAAAGCCTCGATAATCGACATAGAGTACTTGAGCTCGACCTGAAAGAGTCTTATCGCATTCTAGAATAATACTTTCCGTACTCTTCATTAAAAACTACCATACTGTCTGTCAGACTTTGTCTTGGACCTGTCTGTTAATCTTCAAATGCACCTGGGGTAACCAAAACCAAAGAAATTCGAGCTTCGACTTGAAAAGCGCAATAATTATCGTCTCAAGTATCTTTTAGGATTTTTCACAAATCATTTCCGGCCATTTTTGTAACCCCAGGCCAATTGTCAAGTATATTTTACACATTGTTTTAAAAATATATATAAAAACAAGTCAACCATTGTGGAACACATGAAACAAGTTTTTGTAAAAAAGGAACCGTTCAATAGATAATATTCTTCTCATCATTTTAATATCTAGTGAAGCCGCCATATTTCTCAAACTTGATAGCGGGTCAAGAAATCGAAGACCACCAGAAGGTGACCAAATGTCAGATCGAGTGCAAGTACAAGTACAAGTACAAGTACAATACAAGTAAATACTTGTATGTGCAAATCATTGATCCATTTCATTCCTTAATCAATCACAATTGGTCACGTGTTACAGCAAGTCTCCAAAGACATACAGTATCCATTCGACATTTATAACATAGAATACAATAGAACCATTCGTGTACTTGTACAAATTTTCCCCATCAAATAAAAGGCAGTCACGTGATAAAAATTGATTATAACACCAATAAAAACAACAAATCAGGTGACTGTCTTTGAATCTCTAGCTTGCTACACTCCAAGGTGTCAAGTGACTACCTTGGCCAACTATAGTATGTACAAGTACAATACAAGTAATGAAGGGGGGTAAGAAAGGGTCTTTTTGGAGACATTTCTGATGGCTAGACTCTCAAATGTCTCAAATAAAATGTCTCAAGTCTCCAAAATCTCTCAAACTTGTGAGAGAGTCGGTTTTTGTTATTTATTTCTTTTAGTTTTTTTTTTTGTGTTGTGTTTTTAATTTAATTTAATTTCTTTATCACAAATCACCGACTCAAGACCACCCATCCAGATGTGGAAATATTCACTGGCAAACTCCGGTCTCGACCCGATTCTATGGTTACCTGCAGACAACCACAGTCCAACAGCTGACTCCAACAACACAATCAAATGGCAAGGCCATTGTGGACTGTATTGTGAACTATGTATTGTTTAACTAGTCCATATCTGTAGTCTGAAAACAAGTGATTGAGCGAAAGCGGGATTTAAACACTCGGTGATCTTACGAATGAGACCCTGAAACGTTCAATGGCACATGTATTACCGTCTTCTCCAGTATCCACCACTCTGCTCCGGAAACGACGATTTCAATGCTCTTTTCAGGTTAGTCATGGAGTTACTCCAAATCCAGATATATCACGTTCAAATTGGTGGTAAACATCGAACTATTTTTAACTCTTACCAGCTAGAAGGCGGCGAATTTGTTCTGGCGTGGAAAGGGATCTAGACGGAGGCTTGAACGGGGGTTTTATTGTTTTTTTCGGTTTTTTCGGGTTTTTCGGTTTTATCTGATCTGTTCGCAATGATTACATAAGCAGCGGAGAAGGTAGTGGTGTTGGACGACAGTTACAGACACAAGGGGCATACCAATCGATTAGCGAGCATGAGATCTCTCGAATGGAAGGGGTGTTGTATCGCTGGAGGTGGTTGGATCACGTTGTAAGTGTGGCTAGACAACAACTTTCGGAGAATGTACAAGTTGCAGGAGAAGATGAAGATCATTGGAGGGTACAGAGCGTGAGATTCGATGATGTGGATTCGGAGTTGTTTGGGAACGTGATTCAATGTAGTATGTTTGGTCTCTTCAATGAACAACTCACAAATCACCGAGTTGAGAACGTACAGAGCCAGCTGTCTACGGTCCCAAAGAGAAGGACCTGTGAACAGTTCGGGAGAGGCCACAGACTGGTTTGGAGTTCATTTGAAGGTCTGGTGTAGTTATTCGCTGTTGGGTCATTTTTAGGGTCACTCCAAGTTAATGGAAAGAGCAGTGTAACCATCTAGACCCTTCGAATCTGGCCACTGCTGAACCAGAAGTGTGATTTCTCGTGTCTGAGCTCATAGAAAGATGCTCGGATCTCAGAGGGAGCCATCTACAAGTACAGTCGGTTCTGTACCGCACTAAGGCTTGATTTTGAGACTCTGACTTTGGTTCAGAGTTGAGCAGCATCTTGAGTCGTTAATGATCGTTGTGAGTCGTTCAGAATCAGTGGTAATCATGAGGGGTCGTCGAGAATCGTACAGAGTTGTTTCTGAACCATTTCGAAGCCGTTCAGAGTCGTTTAACCGCAGTTTGAGTCGTTTCAGAGCGGTTCTCAGTCGTTTTTGATCCATCTCTGAATGATTCAGAGCCGCCTAACTCCTTGTGAGCCGTTAAATCGCGAATTGAGCCACTCTGAGCCGTTGATTCTTCCATTTGTGGCCCCTTCACCATCTCCTCATCTCCTTCCTCTCGTCGCCATCTCCTTTTCTCCTCTCGCACCTCGCACTACTCCAAACCAACTCACTGACTACATCCCAACAGCGATCTAACCAACGCCGCGCAAGCAAACAGACACAAAAACAACGTCCGCGCCGCCGACCACGTCAGCAGATCCCGCTCTCCTGGGTTTTGTCGTCGTTTGCCGCCTTTTGCCGCCGCTATTTGCAACGCCGCCACACTCAATGGCCGAGCCATGATGCCGTCGTCGTGTCTTTTCCCAAATAGGAAACCGGGCACCAACCCTAGCCCCACAACTGGAGTACTCAACTCGGCGAAAAATGGGCCAATCGCCGCGGGAGAAACGACAATCGGCTTGTTTTGACTCAATTACCTCACCAAGCGCCCCTTCGTCGCCGCCATACCTCCGCAACACCCCCTCACCGTCCCTCCCTCCGCCCCTCTGGAAACTCATAGAACCCCAAACCTTATTTCCGATGACCGCAAACTTTAGACTATACAGGCGAATCTGGGTGGTGGCACCAACCCTTCCTCTTCTCCATCACCCCCCCCTCAATCTCTTTTTCTCCAAATGTCCAACCAGGTTTACTTTGACGTGTCCGCCGACGGCCAGCCCCTGGGCCGAATCGAGTTCAAGCTGTACAACGACATTGTGCCCAAGACCGCCGAGAACTTCCGAGCTCTGTGCACCGGCGAGCAGGGCTTTGGTTACGCCAACTCCATCTTCCACCGAGTCATCCCCCAGTTCATGCTGCAGGGTGGAGACTTCACCCGACACAACGGAACCGGAGGCAAGTCCATCTACGGCGCCAAGTTCCCCGACGAGAACTTTGAGGCCAAGCACACCCGACCCGGTCTCCTGTCCATGGCCAACTCCGGCCCCAACACCAACGGCTCCCAGTTCTTCGTGACCACCGTCCCCTGCCCCTGGCTCGACGGCAAGCACGTTGTCTTCGGTGAGGTCACCAACGGTATGGACGTTGTCAAGAAGATCGAGTCCTTCGGCTCTTCTTCCGGCGCCACCCGAGCCAAGATCTCCATCGACAAGTCCGGTGAGCTCTAAGCGGCCAGTACGATACAATCAGTGCTTAGTTAAATATTATTGTCCCGGTTAATCCGGAATTTTGACCCATCAACGTAGACACAAACATGCGTGGAGCAATTGGCTTGAACCTTGTGGCACAAACATGTCATACGATCAATTGTCCTAAACAATTGTTCAAACGCACATGCTTTCCCTTTAGCTGTTTCTTGTACACTTGTATCCTTTGTAACATGACACAAAAAGTACTTTACTGTGCTGTGCTTGTATTGTATGAGCACCAATGTAGCCTCAAGTCTCCAACACAAGGTTATATCGTTGAGCCTAATTTTGGTGGTAAAAAAAAAACGCCCCTCTCGACGACAACGGTGGTAATTGGGGCTTTTCTAGTGGAGATATGCTCAATTTGAACCAGAAAATCAATTCTACAGCTCCGATTATAGATTTATTCGTTTTTGTTTTGTCTCTAAAACCCCGATATCACTGCTTTCGATCGTCGTGCGACCCACACTCATGCGCTTCTGGCAAGTGGAGCTAAAATTTAGTGGCAGCGATCTTTGAATGGTCGCAGCTCGTTCAATAGGCACGCTAATGAGAAGCCAACAATGGAATTGAGCTCTACGAGTCGCCGAGAACAACTTGGGATTTTCAAAATTGTGATTGGTCCATTCTTGGTGAATCTATCAACAGCTTCACAGCCACGTGCTGCATATGCAGTCTTGCGTCGATCAACTGCTCGAAAATGGCTGCACAGTTTTGGGCCCTGGGAGCGGCATTTCGGGGGCGATTTAGCTGAGTAAGGCCAGACGCGGTCACTACGTAGGGGGGTGTGATTACATAACCGGTGGTTTCTGGCGTTTGTTTTCTTAGTCATCGGCAAATGTGGCATGTTTACTGCTCCATCTCACTAGGCTTGCTTTCAACGAGGCTCACAAGGTTGTGGAGTGAGACATGGCTGGTTGTGCCGGGCGTTAGTTGTGTAATTGGATTATGTAATCGGATCATCTACTCCCGTGAGCGGGTGTTGGTTATGGGTGTTGGTTATGTAATCTGAATACTTATGTGAAGGCTACTGGACGCTGTGGGTCTGGTGAAGTTTTATTGCAAGCACATCCACAATTATGACTACATTGAACCCAGTCTAAGTAAAATGTCAACTAATTGGTGTGTCAAGATACACGGATTTCGTCAAAAAAAGGATCTTTTAGTGCTGAAAAAAAATCTGGATTAGGATAGTACGTACAATTCCCAAGTGGTCATTCAGAAATTGAAATGGTATTTTGGTAGGATTTCTGGAAGGTGGAAATGACACACCCAGTGACTTTTTGTTTCAACTAATCTTTAACTATAGTGACATTGTTTTTACTTTGGAGGTCTGTTCCTCAATGAGAGTCTTGAGATTGTGATTTGATTTTTATATATTTTATATTTTATATTTTATATTTTATATATTTTATAGTTTATATTTTATATTTTATATATTTTATAGTTTATATTTTATATATTTTATATATATTGAGAAGAACGAACCCCTAATGATTCAATCATCTCTCATTCCAATTCCTCTTGACTCACCGGTAACTTGACGAGGAGAGAACCAGCGCCGAAAATGAGAGCACTTCTGTACAGTACATACTATAAAGTGATCATTGTGATTCTCTCAATGGAACTTTTTTCCAAATGGAGTGACCATATCATCCACTAATGGCTACTTAACTATCATGTCACATCAAAGTTCAGCTCCTTTCTTCTCCTGTAGGCAGCCCCCACTGGGTAGTGAAGGATAGGAACCAGCGACAGACACCCGGAGACTTCTTTGTTGCTACTTGATACTCTCTTCATTCGGGAAATCAAGTAACACTCTTGTTCCTGTCACAGTATGTGTAGAATGGTCGGTCTGAGTAGCCACCTGGAGTTCACCTAGACAATCCACTTCATACTGATCACAATCAGAGAACCAGAAGGGTAACAATCGCTTCGCCCAAATCCTCAGCTCTCACTCGCTCACCAGCCGTCAATCACAAACTATTAATTAACTATTAGATACATGGTCCATATTATACCGTCTCCTCACATTGTCTTAATTCCACAGAGGAACAGGCTCACCGACAGCCTTGTAGGTGGCAATGAAGTTCACAATGAGAATCAGCAGCAGAGCCACGGCAATAATCAACGGACCAATGGGATTGTCCAGATGCTTCTCGCTTCGCTGCTTAATATAGTTCAGCCGGCTCATGTAGGTGGACCATCCCCAGATTCCGGAAAACAGAGTCAGCGCAAACAAAGTGTAGGCAACGTAGGTGGCAACAGACTTGTCGACGGCAGCCTGCACGGAAGAGTACAACGTGAAAGTCAGAGCGGACAGCAGAGTGGTGATATGGAGCCACTTGTTAAAGGTTCGCTCGTTAGCAAGCCACACCTTGGTCTCGACCTTGACAGGACCGGTGTTTCGGATGAGAACGTCGGGCTTGACAACGCCGGGAGGAAGAACAACTTCCTCGTCCTCGGAAAGCGCATCGTCCAGCTTGGGACCAAAAGTTCCCAGGAACGGGATCGAGTACTTGTGCTTGAGCGACTTTCGGTTCTTGGGTCGCCCCTCGTCGTCGTCAGAGTCGGAGTCGTCCTCCATGATGGTCACCTTCTTGGTAGAAGAAGAAGGACCAGCAGGAGTGGTAGCACCCTTTCGGGGAGAAGACACAGAGGCGGCTCGAGCACGCACAGCGGCAGTCTTGGCCCGCTCCTTGAGTTTCTTAGTCTCCTGCTCAAACGCCTGCTTCGGATCAATTCGGATATCATCCTCCTCGAGGACAGACAGCCACAGAGGCAGGAAGTTGAGCTTGTCATCCTCACCGTACAGAGAGGCAATACCCTGGATGAACTTGGAAAATTTGGGCACCTCCTTGACCAGATGCGACGACGTCAGTTCGTCGATCCACTTGCCGTGCTTTCGGTACACAGACGACGAGGTGATGATCGAGTTGCCAGTGTCAGCGGTGTCAACACCAGGTCGGTTCTGGACTCGGAACTCCAGAACGGCGTAGGGGAACTTGGAGTACTCGCCCTTCCGCAGCACCTTCTTTGGGTCCGACACGGCGTCGATGTCGGTTCGATGCCAGTTGTTGGGGTCTCGGATAGGTCGGTCCTTGTCAAAGGCGTCCTCTTTGATGAAGAGAATGTCATTGTCCATAATGACTCGCACTCGGTTGTCACCAGGGATCTGGAAGGCCGTTCGAGTGTACTGAGCTCGGCACACGGGCTGCAGAGAGTTTTCCCGGATAAAGTCCTGGATGTTCTCCACAGACTTTTCGTAGCCCTCGACTTGATAATCGGGCACGTGCGAAGATTTCATCTTCTGGACAGTCTTCTCCATGTGGTAGGTTCCGTTGATGAAGCCAGCAATGTACTTTTCCTTGATGGGGAGTCGCTCATCGCCGCCTGCGATGGAGTGGTCGACGGTTCGCTTCTCAATGTAGATCTGAGAGTCCTCGTCGGAAGTCTTGCCGGCCCACTTGAGCCGCAGAGAGGGAGAGGTGTCATTCTTTTGTAGCTTACCCTCGTACAGCTCAAAGTCGGAGTTGTCAAAGTAGAGCGACGTCAGGGTGGGATCAACAGAGTCCTGCGAGTCGTTCTGGTTGTTGTAGACCAGAATGGGAAGGTGACGCAGAATTCGGGTCTTGACCTCCATCAGATTGTCGGAATGGACCCAGAACTTGTACGAGGTGTAGTTGAGATCCGAGTCGTTGGTGTATGACGACAACTTGGCGTTGATGGACGCCGACTGGCTCTGGGGAGCCTGTTCTCGAAGGAACGAGTAGACAGCAGAAAGCCGGTTGATAAGCGGCGAGTAGTCTTCGCTGTGGAAGGGCAGGGCCTTGAGTCGCACCTGCAGCAGAGGCTTAACCGAGTACTTGGAGTGTAGTCGGTCGTGCTTCTTGACAATCTTGGTGAAGCCGGTGAAGTTGATTCGGGAGAAGTGCTCGAGCTGCTGGGCGCTCTCAAGAATGTCCTCGATGGTGTGCTCCAGGTTCACAAGATCAATCTCCTTGACCTCGACAATCTGCTTCTCAATCTCGCCAATGGCGTCGGACAGCTTGTTGTACATGTTGGTCTGGAACGAGTACACCTTTTCGAGATCGGAGTCGAGCGCCTGGACGAAGCGGGTCTCGTCGGACTCAGACCACTCCTCCTTGTCGTTGGGCACAACATTCTCCCGGAGAAGTCGCTTGAGCGAGTCGTAGTTGATGTAGTGGTCCTTCCACGGCTCGTAGATTTCGTTTTGAAGGCGAACGCCGAAGAGCATCTGGGTTAGCGGGGTTCTTTGCTTGAGGGTTTCTAGCCGACCGAAGCTCGGTTGGACGAGACTCAAGGAGTAGAGCATCCTCGGCACCCCGAGGACATGATTGGCTAGTCACAGACGAGTTGAACAATAATAACGACATGTCAAACCAGCAACTAAAGTGCATAGTTCTGGTGGACACAGATGCAGGGATCAGGATCACAGCAAGGGTATATGAACAGCGTCGGGGAAGATGTGAGATGTGGTCGGACATCGAGTTTTCTTGGGAGTCGCATACATGTACGCAGTCACCCCCACTACCACATGGAACACTGTACCGCAAGGACACTGTAGTTCCATGAGACATACCTGGATTCAGGAAATGGTTGTACGAGGAGACCACAGTCGAGATACGAGGCACTGGCATCAACAGCTCCGACACAAACCACTGGCGTCAGCTGTCGACACCATGGCCGCCATGTTTCTGTGTTTTGCTACCGTTGCCATGTCTCTCTGTCATCAACACCTCGCCCCTGTGCACTCCGTCATCAACACCTCGCCCCTGTGCACTCCGTCTGTGTCACTAACCCCCCAACGTCATACTCACTTTCAATACGGTTCTGATGATGAAGAGGAATTGTCGTCGACAGTGTCCCCCAAGTTTAGTGGTTGGCGGTGCATAAAGTTTGTGTTAGTGTCGACAAAAGGCCGATTTGGCACTAGCGGAAAAGCGGCGATGAAGAGACGTTTTGAGCGCCTAATTTTGACACAACGACTCCAAAGGCCCGCAGCTGTGTTTCGCCGTTTTCCGAATGCCGACATCTGTCCTCAAAGGCCCTATTCGACGACCTTCAACAGCTCCCCGCCACTGCCGCAAGATGCCAATATAGTTTTCGTATCTGACAGAAAGTATCACGGGCAGGAATAGGACCCAGTCATAATAGACACTTATAACGTCGCCGAGAGAAAGACGAGACGAGATCCAAGATGACCATGACACACTAGAAAACGGGCGACTCCCGGTCACCGGACAATCCCCCCGAGAGTCTCCCAAACATCCTTCAATCGCGGCACCTCCCAAATCGTATCGAAAAACCAACCGAAACTCTGTTCAAACTGCATCCTCAAACAAGAAACAAAAGTGATTTTTACAGCTTCAGAAATCCAGAGTGAAGAGCTGAGATGAATACAAGAACAAGATAATAAAACGGATATTGGCACACTTAAATACAACCCTCCACTCCGAGCCCCACTCAATCACGTGACCCCAAATTCCGGTCCACCACTCTTCTTGGTCAAATCACCTCGCACAATCGTACATATCAAATGCAGTTGTCCACCCACGTGTTGGCTCACCACATTCATGATTGGAGGGAGGACGCGACGACATCGGAGGGACCGTGAGAAGTGAGGTTAAGAGCACAAAAAAGGGGGATTATTAAGTACTTTTGCAGCTGATGAATCCCAAATAGAAGGAGTTGATTTCCCCTGTTATTTTTCCTCCATTTCTGATCTCCTATCTTTCCGGACTTATCATATTTCAAATTAAAAATTTAGAAACATCGAAACTCCAACTATTTTTTATTTTTTATTGTTCTAGCAGTGAATTTTATCGAAACTAAAACAATTATAAAAATCACACACTAATTAAAATCAATAAAAACACTCAACGAAACCAAACAAGAGAACAAAACTACAGCATTGCTCGTCAAACCACTACAAAATCCATATATATCACGTGACTCCCTTACCCTTCTCTCTCCCACCAACACTCTGCTGACTAACAAACTCTAGACTGCAGAAAACTTCACGTGACGGCTCCATCTCATCTCATCTCACCAGCACCACCACATTACACAAGAATGGGAACCAGCGTTCCGGAGCTGAAAAACGTGAGTACGGCAGCTAGCCAGCGGGATTATTTTCGGTCACGTGACTAACACAGTACATGGACAAGCGTCTCATTGTCCATCTCAACGGCGAGCGTAAGATCATTGGTGTTTTGCGAGGATATGATGTGAGTATTGAGGAAGGAGAGTACGATGATGACCGAGGTACTGATGGATAGTCAGATGGAGTAGTGACAGAGTCGAGCTGTTTTGACTAGCGCTGGATTGAGATCTGAGATGTGTCTCTACGTCTAGAGACTGACAGGTAGAACGAATCGACTCAACCAGAGCTCTACCACAGAGATATATACCTGGTGGTTGGACTACTGTCAACAAACTGGATATGAGTTAGCTGGAGACAACTGGACCTCCGCGAATGCCGACACATGTCATTTCAGCTCGTTTCCTACTCGGTCAATTCTTCTCACATGTCTGGCTGGTCAACAAAATCCTGCTCTGTCTGAGTTGTTTCTGAACATCATCTGTCTCAATGAACAGCCCGGGCCTTTAATGACTGTCTTCAACGAATCTAGACACAACGGATTCCGCGCATTATTGGTCTGTCAGCCGATTTTCGACTTCATTCATCTATGATGCTCCCACTACCGCTACGTACTAACTCAGGCATTCCTAAACATTGTTCTGGAGGAATCTGTGGAGGAAAAGGCCAATGGAGACAAGGTACAGGCCGGCATGGCTGTGATTCGAGGCAACTCTGTGGTCATGCTGGAGGCCCTTGAACGAATCCAGTAGACCCCGTCTACCTTGTATAATAAATTATTCAGTATTAGCGATGTGAAGGAGATTCTCTAGAGCTGAGGGACACTAGCGCAGTCAGAAGTAACCCCGCTGGAACTTGAGAGAGAAACGTAAGTAGTACCAGAAGAAAGCTAAGACGACTGGCCCGGTTCGGTTCAGGGCAACAGATCTGGAAAAAGGGTTCCTTGATAGCTCCAGTTCATTTCTGATTGGCCGCCGGTTGAACACTCGGGACCGAGTCTGCTCCACTGGTACATTCGAGTCGGTATTCCTGCTTGCCTGAGAAAGAAAGACCTTGAGGATCTTCTTGGTATCCTTGGCGCACCGGTGCTGGGAATCGATGGAAGTCACCGTCGGCTCCATATAGCCCAAGTCCACTCGGGATTAGAAACAGCTGTAGCAACAGAAATCCCACTTTGAATGTCAGTGAGACCCTCAAGCAATTTTGGCGGAACCAACAGCAATCTCAGCAGCGCCGAAGTAGGAGATCGCCTAAGAACTAAAGAGGGGAGGCTGGCCAATCCATGAGAGCACGTGATAAAATTCAAAGCGGTCACATGTTGCAGCTCTAGGCGAGCACGTGATGACCAGGACGACAAATGAAAGGGTGAAAGAGAGAAGAGGAAGATTCGAAGCATGACAATGACAAACAATCTTCCCTCAAAGTCTCGTGATGAGAAAATCCCACAATCTGTTCCAAATGGTCCAGCTGGTTTCGAGATGGTGGTAATGTTGGTGAATGGGGCTGTGAGGGCTCAGCGAGAGCAGAACATGTAATGTGATATATCACGTGAGTTTCCAAGTCCGCCTACTGAGCTTTATCTCTCTGTTGACATCGATTCCGATCTGGTGGATCCTGTGGACTGGAAACGTACTGGTTGTTAGGTGGAAGCCATGCTGATCATTATGAACCTGACTCTCTGGAGGTTTTAGTCGAGTGTAACAAGTTAGGAAGAGAGTCCATCAAAAATTATTCAGCATCTTTCCAAGTACCCAGTCCCTAGATATGTAGAAGTATTTGGTCACGGTAGGCGTGCCGTATCGACCGGGCTGTAGTCTGTAGAGACGAACTTACTAGGATACCAGAACAGGGTCTACTGTCATTTGGTCTTCTGAGAGTTGGGGTTCTGTCCAGAGCTGGTAGAAGATTGATAACTTGCCCCAGATTCTGTCTGCGTCTCGACCAATGGCCATCTTATGTTAAGGGTTCATGTCTTCAGGCAAGGTCATCGAGTCACCATAGATGATCCCCCACCAGTGTCGCCGACGAAACACCCGGTCGATTCAACGCTAGACAATCCGTCGACGATGTTTTACTCCGTTTTGCAGCGGCTCAAATAACCGCCCCACCAGTCTCTGACATGAGCATATGGACATCGGAAAACGCTGTAGAACATTGTAAAACAGAGAGAAACCGACAATAAAACACAGGACTTTGTTTCTGTTACTTTCTCTCAACTCATCCTCAACTGAGTAGGTCTCGACTAGAGAGATCCCCCAACAGCCAGATAGGCAACATACTGATCTGCTCGTTTCAGTAAAGGGTTCCTTCAAGAGTCAATAAGCCTTAGGAGACAAAACCGCTCCCAGTGGGGAAATACTTGGCCAAGAGCCCCTAGCAGACACTGGAGATGAGAATCCCCCGTTGGGAATCTTTGAGGATTTGTGTCATTAACGACCCAATTGAACCGCTCTGGATACGTCTTATTGAGTCCCCAACACCTGTCAACACCGAATACAAGACAGTCTAACCGCCAGTCGTCGTAGATCTGTCCTTAAACAGTGCACAACATAACACACCGATCCGAAAGTCCGAAGACGTGAGAAGTTCGGAATCTTGCGTCGAAACAAAACTTAAGGACTTGAATCAATATGTGGGTGATAGAGAAGAAAAAAAATCGATTGCACTGTCCACTGCTGAAGCCGAGTGCATGGCTCTATCTGAGGGTACCAAGACTGCTATGTGGCTAACTGAGGTCTATCAAGACTTCGGTATTCCCATGGAACCTAAAGCTGTTGGGATCCTAGTTGACAACCAAGCAGCGATGCATATTTCTAACTATCCCCAGTTCTATCCACGAACCAAGCTCATCAAGCGACGATATCACTTTATCAAAGAAGCTGTGAATAATAGCGAGATTACTGTGTCATTTGTGGGGGCTGGCAACCAACTCGCTGATTTTCTTACAAACCCACTTGTCTGGACCACTCTCAATCCTACTCTCCTAAAGATTGGAATGAATGCAAAGACTGGATGTAGTTGACACTTTTAACGAACCAGCCTAGAGGGATATTCAAGATCATAAGTATTATTGATGAGATATAGTTGATAACAACTTATAACCCACTTCTAGGGACACCACGTTCCATAGTAGCACACACCCCTCTGGTGTGTGCTTGCTCCTTCACCAGAAAGAGATTCTAGATCAGTGGATAAAACTATCTGCAGAATGGACATCTTGTTTACGACCCATCTGATTCCTCTCATCACTATATGGTGACTTTTCATCATTATGTGAGTAATTAGCCAGGTATTACCCCACCAGGCATTACCTTCAACAATAACCCCCACCCCACATAAGCGAGAACTTTATAAATTGTTTTTGCATTTTTCCTGCGGCTTATTTTTCGATACGAAATCTTAAATGTTCCAACCTCTTCATTCTGGTGTCTCTCGATATCCCCCAAAACGCATCCAAATTGAGTTTTTGAGGTTGTTTTTTGGAGAAACAGATGGTATCTGATTACTGAGCAGCTTTTTTTTTCAATGTGACGGTCAGATTAACTGCAACAGTCGTATGGAGAAGTTGTTGAGTCAATATTATGTGGCATCATTGGTCTCCTACTTCATGTAAAAATAAATATATATGAATCTAGCAATATCTTGTTATGGATACCTCATGCTTCGCTTTGTGCCTGTGAACGACTAGCACTACGAGATTCTACTACATCTGCTGCCACAATATCATGAATGTAAAGAAATGAAACAATAGCAATGACTCATACAAGCCTTACCAACAGTACATGCTGCTTAAAGCTAGCCATATGAACTTCATCATGATATTACTTCCTACTCAAGTTGCCTTATTGTTCATCATTTCATTTTTCAAACACTAGTCTTTATGACAGTACCACTATCCGCTCTAAACACAATCATCACATTAATACTTGATATTACAAAGTCTAGACTATATGTCACTTTCATTCCTGTAATTATTACATTATCACTTTATCCTTTTTGTATTATTGGAATTGATTGGGATTCTCAAACTTGCATTTATGGCATCATTTATGGCATCTCTCTAGATCCACCGGAAAAGTTGCAATCACCCTGATCCATGTGTAGTAACTGGTGGCATAAGCACCAGTCTCAGTTGTCAGCCACTTTCCTACCAACCTTCAGTCACACCCATCCTCCAGCCACTCCCATCCCCGGTAAAAGGACCGTTGTCATGTTCCAGCTCACTGTGGCTAACCCGTTGGTGGACATCTTCAACTGGCAAATAAACGGCCAGATGAAGAAAAAGATGATTTTTGCAACACCTGTGATCTGCTATTCAAGCTGTTGGAGCGAATGATGCCGAGGTGATCGAGAAACATGCTTTTCTCCACCTGTGGTTGGCTGGAACGCTGTATACCTGAGGAAACCAACTGACGCTGTTGCCTGAGATCGTCGACTATTTGATGGTCGAAACGTTCAAATAGAGCGACTCAGTGAGGACAAAGTCTGGACAATAGTGTCACAGCAACGACACTGATGCGAAAATGTCCTTAGCAAGACCGGACTCCTATTTACAACCAGATTACATCTTCTGGCGTTCTCCGGATGTCAAATGAAGGGTACGTGCCAGTTCATCTCGCATCTAATTCTTCCGGGAAGGTGTCTTTTCAGCTGTCGAGTCTCAAGATCTGTTTCTAGTAGTTCCTAGCGCAATTGAGTGTCTCATGTAGAGCAGTCGCTCTTTCTGTCTTCTTCGCGGGAACGTCCATCTCATAGAGATTCTCCAAGTCCGCCTGGAGATATGCTACATCTGATTTCTGACTCTATGAATGAAATGTCATCGACGTGTAGTCCAAGAAGCACTCAAAGTGAAAAGACATGCTCTGTCTGGTACGGTTTTCGTTTGGTGGGTGTGGTGAGTGTAGTATGGTATGACAAGAGGGGTTTCGAGGTGTTCCAACTCTCAACCGAAAGGGAAACTTATCGTCAATCGACCTCGGTCCGCTCGAAAGGCCGCTAGATCGACTCCGACTAGTAAGAGTGCGCACATCTCCGATTAACCAACCGTGCATCGTCATATGAAGGAGAAAACGCCTAGGAATTGAATTGTCTACACGTCTTCGATTGTCACTGCATACCCACTCACCATTTCAGAAGGAATGTTGAAGGAGTATGCATTGAAAGAACATGACAAGATCTTGGCAGTCTAGCGACACTATTTTTGCTCGTTCAGCTCCACTTGGCATCTGGTGAAGTTGGTTTGGACATTAGCGGAGTTGATATGTGAGTGTGAGATCCATCTCACAACCCCTTTCGAAATGTTCACTGTTTGTCATCTTACAACTTCCACCATATTTACCACTTCACCACTTCACCACTTCACCACTTCACCACTTCACCACTTCACCACTTCACCACTTCACCACTTCACACTTCACCACTTCACTACTTCACCACTTCATCGCTTCACCACTTCACCACTTCACCACTTCACCACTTCACTACTTCACCACTGCACCACTGCACCACTGCACGAATTGAAACATCTATTATATCTATGTGGTCTTTTTCCTCCTCTATACTATAGCTATCCGGTAGCTATGCCTTCTGAATCTCAACGAAATGGGTTTAAATGTAGGCCGCAGTGGTGACACTGATGGGGGTACTGGTGGGGTCTGTGACGAGAATCTTTACCAGCTTGTCGGAGGCATTGAAGAAGTATTCAAACGGTCCGTAGATCCAGTCGATCAACTGCTTTCGGAACCAGATTGTGCAGAAAATGAAGAAGCGACAGAAGGCGTTGGTGTGCATGTAGTTGTCCTTGTCGTAGGCGTATCCGTAGCAGAACTGTTTGTTGAACACGTGGACTACTTTTCGAGGCGCCAGGTGGTCTTCTTCGCCGGTTGGGGTGTTGCTGGTGGAGCCGCTGCTCTTGTATCCAACCTTGAGTGCCACGTCGTCTTCCAGTTCCTGGGTCATTTTGGCGGACTCCATGAAACCAAAGGTGACGACAGCTCGAAACAAACCGGGGACCGAGGGCACCGGGACGATAGAGATTCGGTCTTCTCGTGGGACTCGGGGAACGGTGGCAATGTGGACGGCCAGCAGCACCACGTGGTCGGCCAGGGTGGGGAACGAGTCGATGAACGTCTTGAGCATGGCCGGGACCGTGTTGGGCGATCGTAGGGTAAACTTGAGGTTGGAATAGAAGATGACAAGACCGGGGTATCGTCTGGTCGACACCGACGATCCGTTGATGTCCAGCAGCGGCGAGTGGGCCGAGTCCGAATCTGACACATGGAAGTTGACCTTGTCGGCTGGGTAATCGGTAACGTGCCCTCCTCGGTATTTGAGGCCGTTCTTTTCATCGATGGGCTCAATTTCCATGGACTTGTCGCTGAGATCGTGCTCGACAATCTCGGACTCCACGTGTTGGCCTTCAAACACCCGCGGTTGGCCTGGGTGGGCCACAGAAAAGGTCTGGAGGTTGGGGCAGGTCGGAGAGGTGAAGAGCTTTTTGATGTTGACACGGTGGTCAAACTCGTACTGGATTCGCATCTGGTTGCCGTACTTCCACAGCAGCATGATGGAGATAAACACGGCGGACATCATGAGCGGGAACCAGGCGCCAGACGGCACCTTTTTGACCTCTGCGGCGACAAAACACATGTCCATGAGTCCAAACGACGCCACCATGAACACAGACCAGAACCAGTGCAGCTTGTGGCAAAAGTACATGCTGAAGGCGATCATGACTGTGGTGATGAAGAAGTCCAGGGCCACGCACAGACCGTAGGCCGACGACGTGTTGTTGGAGTTCTGGAAACCAATAGCGCACAGAATGCAGGCCACCATGAAGATGTAGTTGAGCATGGGAATGTACACTTTTCCTTCGATTTTGGCGCTCATGTGGCACACGGGGAACTGGGGCATACATTCCAGGGCCATGAGCTGTCTGGAGACTGAAAAGACTCCGAGAATAATGGCTTGAGAGGCAATGATAGTGGACAGAATCGCCAGAACAAACATGAACCAGTACAGACCTCCTCCGATTCCGCCAGGAATGGACAGGTAGAAGACGTTGGGCATGATGGAGGGGTCGACGAGAAGAGCCGCGCCCTGACCAAAGTACGCCATGAACAAGGGTGGATACACACAGGTGATGACGGCGATACGAATGGCGTTGGGGGAGAAGTGGCCCACGTCGGCAAACATGGCCTCCGCTCCTGTCAGCGCCAGAATCACGTTGCCCATATTGTCGATACCTCCTCGTAGCAGGTAGTCAAAGGCGTACTTGGGGTTGGTGGCGGTGAGGATCTTGGGCTTTTTGCAAATGTTGATGATTCCAATGACAAACAGCATGGCGAACCAGATGAAGACGATGGGGGAGAATACCATGGCCAACTTGGCACTTCCCACCCGCTGTCCCAGAAACAGAATCGCCAGAATGAAACACGAAATCAGCACCACGTAGTGCTTCATGTAGGGCACGGGCTGTTCAAGACCCTCAATGGCAGACAGAACCGACTGGACCGGCGTTAGCATTCCGTCTGACATGAGAAACGCCGAGCCACAGAGACAGCAAATGATGGGCAGGTACTTGAAGAGGTTCCACGCGGTCTTTTTGAACCACCCGTAGTTGTCTCTGTTGTGCCGGTTGTTCATCCAGGACGCCTGGGTTTCCGATTTGCTCAGCATGTCGAGCGAGTCCTGGTCAAAGTCGACTCCGACCGGCGCAATGTTGAGTTCTCGAGCCAGTTTGGCGTAGATGGCGACAATTCCTCCCTCACCGCCATTGGGGCCGAAAATGAACACAATGATGCAGTACTTGATGAGCACTACCAGAGTCAGGCCCCAGAAAATGCACGAGCAGGCGCCCATGATGTCTTCCTCCGATGGCGTGGTGGCAAAAACCGAGTTTAGCGTATACAGAGGCGAGGTTCCAATGTCTCCATATACGGCTCCCAGGGACTGGAAGGCCAGGTAGAGGGTCGCCCGGAGGTTTTTGGGACCATGGTGGTCGGCCACGGGGTAGGAGGAAATGGGGGCCTCTTCGTCAGAAAGGTAGTTTTGAGCACTAGTCTGAGAGTGCTCAGACGAGTTGTCTGAGGGAGTAGACACTGGGTTAGCGTTGAGCAAATGAGCGTAGGTAATTTGTAATGGGATGACCAAATGACTAAATGACCAAAAATGGGGAGGATTTGCAACTAGATGGACCAACCACCGGACTAGTAGCACTATTTACCATCTAAACATCTCCCTACACATGATCAAATCACGCAAGACGCATATCTGGGTTGCGTTTACGTCCCATTTGGGTCCCGATTCGGTCGCCCAAACAACCTCAAATAAACTCTCGGCTGTTGGAATGCCGCACCGGGGCCACTTCTTGGCGGGCTTGGCAGGCTTTTGACAAGCGTGGCCAGATGGAATGAAAGTTTATTCGGTAAACAGGTGGTCAAGGTGGTGAAGGGTGAGTTGAAGGGATGTTCGAGCGACGAGAAGTGGTCCAAGCGACGAGAAGTGGTCCAAGCGACGAGAAGTGGTCCAAGCTTGACGAAAAAGTAGTTGAAACACGCGAAAAAGTAGTCGAGAGACCACATTGAACATTGAACACCTTCAGACACCTTCAGTCTCCAATCAACACCGTCAACACCCTCAAACACCATTCATTGCTCTCATTTCAGCTTCTCTTCCTCCCCTCCTCTTCTCATACTCACTGTATCTGTCGAGTACTGGCTGGTCGAAAGTGTGAGTGAAAAAGTACTGTACCGATGGATATCCAGATCCGAAATCGACACCGGAACCTCACTCTATATATCCCTGCGGTGGCCGCCTCTCTGCCGTGGACACGAGCCAAATGCACAAAATCTTCCCTTTTTCCTTTTTCCTTTTTTCCTTTACGTTTGGCTTTTCTTTTTTTTTTTTGCAATTTTTCCTGTCTCAGACTCCACTGAGACTATCGGACTTTGGGTTGAGTGATTTGCAACCAGAAAGACAAAGTCGAGGGAAATTGAACAGAAAATAAGTCATGTGATGGAGAGAAACTCCTCTGGTCAACTGGACATTAGCCCGTGTCAAGTGATTCGGGTCTTATCCGATTTTTACTGGATTTTTCCAATTTTTTTTCCAAATTTCCCTAAATTTCCACCGCTTCCGCCCCTCGTGTCATTAAATTTAATACCAAATTCACCTGCAGACAAGGCTGGATTGGAATATGTCGACAAGTTCGAGATTTGGAATAAAAAATATTAGAACATTTGAAAAATCAAAAAAAATCAAAAAAAAATCTTGGGGAAACATTACGGCCTGGAAAAAGAATTATCGACGGAGGAAAAGCACACATGGACGTGACAACCACCGCCTCCCAATGTGACACCCTGTAAACTCGGAAACTGGAGCCGCTAGACCCGCCTCGTCTTTGCCTCCCGTTTGGGACAAGTTTTTTTTTTTTTTTTTTTCATAAACACATGTATATAGTCTCTGTGGGTCCTCCGGAACATTGCCGCGAAATACTGTAATATTGATGCTGGGGATATAATAAATAGCCCGTTTTGATCCTCAGGCACTCACGCATCTCGCCATCTACTTTTTTTGTCAAATTCTCCAATCCCTCAGTCTCCTAGTGCCTCTCTAAACAGCCCCCAATATGATTCGTCCCAGATATTGCGCAAAAAGCAAAAATTAGTCTCGACCAATCTCCCAACAACAACCTTAACAGTAATCTTAACTAACTCGCGGCCAAGTACTGAGGCTGGTCAAGTGGAACGCGGAAGAATTTTTTCAGTGGAATAATCGGGCTTTTTTTGCCGCTACGAGTCATGTGATGGATGACTCATAATGGCAGAATATGCGGAAAACTCTTGACTTGTGCTCGTTGCCTCTGGGCCGCTCTCAAACTATACTGTCTTGGACAGTTGTACGCACATTGTCGGATGTAACATGTGGTAGAATGTACGGTAGTGATGGCAAAAGCAAACTGACGACTTTGAAAAATGTTTTTAAAGTCACATGTGACGACCTTTGGTGAGTGTATCTGCCAGTTGGCAGTTTAATACTCGTCTTAAGCTGTGTATTGTTGAATAAAGGACAGTACAGACACCGGAGAGGATCGGTATAGAATGGGAATGAGACAAGGTATCGAGAACGGAGTTGATTCAGGGTAATTTTTCACTCCATTAAACCACTATGGAGAACTTCCTGCGCTTCTTGGTTCAATATCTACCTCATCAAGCCGTTCTATAGGAAGTAGCTAAAGTCAAGCATATCCAATCTTACAGCCCCCCATTGTGGGGTTCTAGAGCAGTTAGAAACTAATGATAAAGGAGTTACTGAATGTCACGTCTCGTATTCCACCGGAATCCTCGTATTCGTCAACTTCATCTGTCATCAATGACTGTTCTTTCTTTGTCTCCTTACTTGCAACTCTCTGGCTGGTCATAGTTGCGCAAGAGTCCATACAATCACGTTTTTGGGGCTATTTGGGCGTTAAAAGTTGCTTCAAATGGACGTGAGTATCCCCCTTTCTCATATTTTTCCGCATAAAAGTGATCATTTAGGCAGTAGTATATTTTCCCGATTTTTTTAATGTTTTCATATTATGTCTTGGCAGCCAAATAGGGTGGAAATTAGTGCACAACGTATTCACATGTTCTGACTCCCGCAAGAGTATCGGCTGGTTTCCGTCGCAGTTACCCGTCTTTTCTGGTTACCCTACGATTCTACGAGTTACAGTGTGTATTTTTTGGCAAAAGTATGATTGGAATGAGACCGAGAAAGTTGGGTTAAGATCGTGACTTTGCTAGGCAGCAAAAGTGGGCCAATAGAAGCGGGAAAAAATGGAGGAAAAATAAAAAATTACGACTGGATTTTTTTCCACAATGTAATGATGTCAAATTCCAACCTTTTCTGCCATTTCCGCATCTCGCTACCACTTCTTGTCGGCCATCATTAAACTAAAACAAAGTTGCGTAAAGTGTGAGCCAAAACTAGGAGAAGATCCGGAAATCGGGCGGTTTTGAAGCTTGCCTGCGGCTCCCGAGCTCCAAAGCTCTTGTCCCCGGACAATTCTGGCTTCCACTCAGGTCAACAGAGCGTCATGCGCCCCAAGAGCGATTCTGGCGAGATATCTTGGCATTTAAAATTCAAAGTCCCCCTGGACAATGACGTAAAGGCACAGTAGCATATCGAGCCGCGTGGTAAACAAGCTTGGAGGCGCAGCCACGGCCGCATGCCAAGAGATGCGGATTGGGCCTTATGCGAGCTAGAGCGAAAAAAGCACAGACTTTTCCCTTTCCCGCCCCAGACTCTTTTGGGAATCTGACAGAGCTAATTACAGTGAGGGATATCAAGTATTGCAGTAGAAGGAGCCAGATTTTGGGGGAAATAATTACATATTTGGAATCCCCAGACTAGGGGCTTTCGAATGGACCGTTACACTCTCCAGTAGAGCTCCTTTTCATCCCCCCAACTGCACTGAGTAGACTGCTTTTCCTGCAAATATCTGGAAACCCAAATGGGGTCCCAATTTCCCCTGCCAGCCGGTCCTGGAAGTGAGACGTGACGATCTCGTTGCGGGGGGGCGGAAGGAGTTAATGGGACGGAGAAAAAAGAAAAAAACATTTATATTGGTGTCGTCTTGTAGCTCCACGTGACTTCTTTTTTTGTGGATTTTTCCCGCCGTTTTTCATTCATTTTTCGCTCCTCTGGAGCCGTTTCCGCACACCGCCCTGCAAATCTTCGCGTTACATTTCTTCCATATGCCAAGTGAAGGCTTGCATTTCGGTGCATTTTGGTGCATTTTGGTGCATTTTGGAAAGCCTATTTACGATATACATATATAGGCTTTTGGCTTGTCTTGACGCTAGTTGGCCACCAATGGCGGCTAAAGGGCTTATCTGGAATGACAATGGGGCCTTGAAGTTGCCTCGTGTCGTACGCGTAATGCTTTTTTTCACGTTTATTTGCCAAGCCGGGGTTAGAGATAAGCCGTGTGATTGACAGAGGTACGACTCCAGCGGCCGTGCACTTTATTGGCTTGATTGGAGCTACAACAATGTCCATCGTTTGGACAAGATTGGCACAGCCGAGGCTGCGACCGCGGCTTGACTGTACCACTACACGTAGGTGTCAACTGACATCTGAGACATTCTAGCGAGCATAGTAACGAGCATACAAGTAGTGAGGGATCTTAGTGAGGGATCTTAGCGAGGGATCTTAGCGAGTGGAGTAACTTCATACTTGTTCTCTCCTTCACTCGTACTGTAGTGGTATACCTCAGTTTCATTGGTATCTTCTGCACTTGTCTTCTACACTTGTATCCTCCGTATCTTCATACCTTGAAGAGAAAAGTGGAACGATATCTTCACAGTCAATACGGGCACGTGGGAGTGATGAGCTCGATATTTATTGCAGTCGTCAATAACATTGTTAGCAAGCTGTCCTTCGATGGAGAAGTGGATACGTGGACATGGAGACGGACTGCAATGGGCAGATTGACCTGAAAGTTCCGTTCACCCCTTCCTGAACCGCGGAGACAATTCCTGAGTATTCGCCGTTGGACGTACGTCCCAGACTTCCAGTTTGTCGCTGTCTTGGATGGAGAATGACATGTCCTGGAGCTATTGATGGCACATACAAGCAGTAGAATTCATTCAATAAAAAACATTCCACACACTGACAGTCTCCGGGAAAGTATCGCCTCTCCCCTTCCAGAGCAACAAGAACTAGACCGTTCCCTTAACACGCCAATTTTTTGTAAAAATAGTCAGATAATCGGATTCAAAAAACGCTGCTAATTCCAATGATACCAAGTTGTACTCATTTCCCTGTTCTTTACGTAGTTTTTATGAGTTGTTGTAAATCAGTCTCGCGCCCCCTCGCGCCCACTTAGACGTCTCCAAACAAACTCCTACACTTTCATCATGTCAGAGGAAGTATCGTAACTCTCATACAACAGTGAGTTCCATCTGATCTGTCCATGTTTGGTATCATTTCACTACCCGCGATCTCCTAGTTCCAATGATACTACTTGTGTTCCCCTTCAACTGTTCCATTCGTAGCTGCCAACCATAGTCCACTAACTACACACACAGTTGAGCTGGCAAAAAACGGCCAAAACCAGGAATCTCGCCTCCTTCTTCTGATTACACACACACCAAAATCTCCCTTATCAGTAGTCTCCTTTCCGAGTTGGTCGCAGCTCTGTGTGTCGCCGCCGAACTTAATCCAACCTGAAATGTACTCTGCCACTTTCTGAAACAGCACCATGAGCAACGAGAAAGCCGTCTCGAACCACCACCAAGACTGGTCCAACGAGGACCTGGAATCCGCTCCCCTTGTCAGCATTCCTCACGTGACCGCCGCCTCTCGGCACACGGACTTTGGGTTCTACTCCGCGACTTACACCACCCTGCTTGCTTTTCAGACCAGTGTATACATCACCGCAGCTCTTGTGGTTGTTGACCGTGTCATTTACACAATGTGCAACGACGATCATGACTACCCGCTTCAAAATCCCAATCTGCACACCGTCATGATGAGGTGGGCCAATGCGTTTGGGGGCCAGTTTTTCGCCATGCGGTCGTTTGTGCTGTTGAAATCGCAGTCACGTGAAGGCCACTCATTTCTGGTGATTGGTCTGTTTGCGATTCTGGGATTGGTCTTTACCATGGCCTCTTTTCTTGTTCAGTTTCAGGAGGTCTGGGCGGAGTGAGGCAGCCAACCACTCAGCAACAGAAGCCAGAGGCACAGATGCTGGTCTTGTCATCTGACTTGCTCAGAAACCAGACGTGTCATCCACTCGCCCCTTGACCGGTTCAGATGATCTCTCTCACACTCCCACACTCGCACTCTCATACATGACCAGAGGTTCGACTGAGTGTATATTCATAACTAAATTATCTTCTTTATCAAGTAACTTGGTTGATTTTAGTTCAAAGACTAGAGCATTATTAAGGTTTAGATACCCGACATTTCGCCGATGTTGTCAACATCTTTTTCAGGTAATAAATTGCATTTTAATGGATATGTTGATGCGTGATTCCATTGAGTCGGGATCTGGGTACATTTTGATGTATCTCCCTTGGCTATATCTCAAATAAGTTGAAAACAACATCAGATTTCAGGATTCCACAAACACAATTTTTTTACTTTTAACTTTTCGGCCCGATGGTTTAGTGGTATAATTCTCGCTTAGGGTGTCCTGAGCAATTTGCGAGAGGTCCCGGGTTCAATTCCCGGTTGGGCCCTTTTTTGGTTGGCTTGGTGAATCGGGTCTACTTTTTGCTCTGCTGTATGGAACTACACTGATAATCATAATCAAATTCATTCACATATCATAAGTCGTTAGTTGTCGTCGTCTCTTGTCATAATCTCGTCTCTCGTCTCTCGTCTCTCGTCGTAGCCATGACGCCATTACTTTTTCGCGCTGTCCTCCTCCCGCTGCTTGTTATCAGAGGTGATTCGAGGGTCATCTGCAGGAATGATGGGGAAAGGAAATTCGTTTCTCATTGTGGTGGTGGTTGTGTGTTCCGCCGAATAGTAGATGAATGTAGATGGTGATAAGTGGAGCGTTTCGAATCGGTGGAACAGTTGCAGTCGGTGAAAAGTCTGCAAATCCTCTACTGTATTGATCTCGTCATTCGCAACCTCTTCATCTCTTATATATACTCTCCCGGTCCCCACTTGAAACCCCTCGCCAACCTTTCAACTGCAGGCTGACGTCAAAAAGAGAGCCTGACAAAACTGCGGTGCATCGATCGAGCAACAATCTGGACGTTGCCGGAGATAAATAGCTGCCCCTGTGTACATGTTTGCTGTTTGCTAATGAATACGGACTCTCAACTCTTTCTCTTTGGTGGTTTGGCGGTGGTATATTGCAGTAATTAACGTGGTCAAAACGGTGAGTGGACCTGAACCTGTAAACCCCCACATCCATGCGGTGGCCTATCGTCAAATGCCGATCATAATCAGACAAAAAAACTCGTAGCTAATCACAGCTTCAGTTTCAACTGTTCCTGCAGAATCCGTGCAAAGAGGTAGTGGAAAACTACGAGAATGGCTCTGGATCGACTCCAATAGCACACGTACTCGCTCTATAGTGGTAAACCGGACCTGTTCTCACGTGATGTCGCTGTTCCTTCCATATCCTGTTCCGTCACTGTCTCTCACGTGATATTTGTCACATGATATCGCCTGCTACTCGACCAATCACAGCTTCTCAAAAGGTGCCCTTGCTGGTTCCTCGATTGGGTTTGCGATTATGCACGCAGGATGGCGGGGCTGTGCAGGCTTGCTCTGGAGTCACGTGAACAAACAAAGAGATTGTGCAATGTCGGTCGCCGGTCACGTGAGTCTTTGTGAAGCGACAGGTGATGGGCAATGTTACATCCGGCTGTGTTTTTGAGGAGCGAATCAGACGGGGTGGTTGGTTCACTGGACTTGGCGATCTTCCGACGTGTTTCAGGTCTTTCAATCGCGGAAGAGGTGACAGCGGGGGCTGTGCGGCGGTTACGGGGCAGTTTTGAGAGGGCTTTTCAAGAGGTCGGTCAAGTATTGACATGTGCCAGTCTCCAGGAATGTGAGTGGAGTTGCGGTTCCCTGTTGGAGGAACCAGAATGTTTGGGACAGCTCGATGTGTGTCCTGCTGAACTACAGCTGCCCCTGTTTTGGCACAATGACATTTCCAGGAACTGGTGTAAATGAGCTTCCTGATCATCACCTTTGGAGGTTGTCGAGCACTGGATGGGGGCCCCAAGTTGACAGGATGACAACCTGGTCTTTCCTGAAAGTGGTTGAGAGTACAAGAAGTCGACTATACATACTGTGTCATTGAAAGTATCGTCTGAGTTGACTGTTCTCCAGTCACTGATTGGGCATTTGTCTTGATTCCACGACTTTGTTAGATGTTATTCTCGGTGTGGACAAAAGTAAATATCTACAGCAAGGGGACATCCAGAGTGACATTTTTTATGAACCTCCGGAAATGAGGAGATTTCCTGTACCTTATTAGAAGCGCTGAATCTTTCAACTTTCCGATTTGTCATAGCTCCTCTGTGGAATGGGTTGGAGAGATTGTTGATTGTCAAGGATTACGTTGATTGAGAGAAATGGGAGGGATTTGGCGGAGATGAAAACATTACAGAAAAGATAATAAGCTGTCAGGAGTCGCTTCTGGTCTTGTACTTTTTCAGAACCATTTGTGAAGAAGTTACCAGGAGGCATGTACGTGTGTAGTATGAATAGATCCATATCAAGACATCCAGCGAAACGATACAGAACTGGCAAGTTGATAGAATGGTATAATTGGACATTTGGAATTCATTAAAACTTTCAGAAATGTAATTGCACATCTACAGCGTGGGTTATGTCATATGTTTGTATGTGCAAAGCCGTTCCATACAATCTTCGTGTAGACAATGCTACAACTTTGGTGAGGGAAGAGAACTTTCAAGTGAAGCTTTCAGTCGGTTGGAACCGTGTTTGTGTGCTCAGACTTGAAGCACCTTTCGCTAATGTTGCCTTCAGGCAGTGATTCTAGTGTGGTTGACATGGAAACTAGCCGTTTACAGAATGGTGAAAAAAATGACTAATCACTGAGGAGGTAAGAAGGAGACTTTCTAATCTACAAGCTTCTCCAACTCTCTGATTGACCCTTACCCGTGTTCAACATGTTGAACGGAAAACGTTGACATGGCTGAACATATTACTCCTGTATTGTCTTCTGTTCAACTTGAGTCTCGTTGCTTTGACCTCCTCTCAACTCCAGTGAACAATTCTGAATCAACTGATGTACAATTATCCACTACTTGACATACAACTATCGCCATATGTCTTGAGAAAAAATCTTCCGCACAAACAGATCATCTAAAAGGACCCTAGGTGACGACACAGAGATCTTGGAAGAATGCCGACACTCTCATTGAAACCGTCTCCACTGTAGCAGCACTTTGATGGTATTACATATCCAAAAAACGAATCATTGGAGAAACCTGTGCTCGAACCCCTTCATACTGACTTGAGCCTTCAATCCGTCAGATAATAAGCTGGAGCCGTCTATGGAGTGATCTACCTCATCGTGTTTAACACGTCTTCCAGGATAGATGGCGAAATACAAAACATACTATCACACTCCTCGCACCCACTTTACACTACTAAGGTGTCGTTATTTTGGTCGTAAACCGGAGATTGGCACCTCGAGACGGGTCCCCACCAAACTCGTTAAGAACGGCAAGATCGTACATCTACAAGTATGAGAAAGACGCTTGAAACAGGAGACCAAAAAGATGAAGAACATTTTACATGCACAAAAGAACCAGGCAGCCACTTTGCAGCTGGGAAAAAAAGATTACAGCACCCAGGATTCTCGTATGGTCTCCCACTACAATACTAACTGGGCTCTCTGGTGCTTGACTATGGCTGATCGGACGGGAAGCCGTACTTTCACCAGGATATGGCCGTAACCAGGGCTGCGCCGACCCGGAATCGAACCGGGGGCCCATCGATGGCAACGATGGATTTTACCACTAAACCATCGGCGCTTATTAATCGAAATTGTGGAAGACCGTTAGATCGAGAGGTCTGATTACGTAATAATGAGTAATGAATCATTAGAATAAATGAAATGATTACTAAGTGTATTTTAAAAAAGCGCCCCCACGATTACTAAGTCTATGATTTATTGCGCCAATTACCCGGCTTACTAGGTATATAGCTGTAATGAATCATTAGGAGTCGAATATATAGAAAAGATGATCAGAAGATATAGTATATAAGAGCCCGTTGATACCATAGAACCATTGGGGAGCTCTGCTGTCGTCTGCTGTCGACATTGATGTTGCTGTGTGAACTGATTCAATTAAGTGATAGTACTGTATCGTAATGGCAGGTCTCAATCGCAGTCTAATTCAATCGTTCACTTATATATCGGTTGTGCTCGTTTCGATCATTTTTTTTCTTCTCCTACTCTGTATATGACTATGGAGAGTCATCAATCGTCATAGAACATGTCGTTCGTTGTAATCACCTGTTGTGGAAAATACCACCCAAGTAGCAACACCACAACTCGTGACAAGGACGACTTCGGGGTCACTCCAAAACGCTCCCTCGCTTCTCCTTATAGCTTGAAAGCAGTCACATCAATCCCCACCAGCCCCGCCTTGCTCAACTTCTCCATCAACGCCTTCTTCAACACCGCTCCATCAACTCTCGTTTCGTACAGCGAACACACGTTGAAAATGGAGGCAGATAACGCCGCCGGCGACATTTGCTCGGCATGCTTTTCCAACAAGGACTGAAACTGCACAATGGCACCATCTGTATCGCCAGTCGAGAACGCGGCAATGGCCTCCGTGTTTTGAACCAGAGGGTTGGACGAGTTCGCCGATTCCAGAGTCGAGTTTGCGTCGGCCACATTGTCGCTAGCCAGCGAGCAAATCGCCATTAGAGTAGCGACCACAGCGTCGTTCCTGTCTCCCTCCTGCTTCTGAATGGTATCAAGAACGCCCTTGGCCTTGTCAAAGTTGCCGGTTTGGAGACACAGAATGCACAGCAGATACCTGAGATAGGAGTAATGAGCCTCCAGAGGAACACTGCTGTCTGTGCCGACCATACTGGAGACATGAGAGATGGCATTGGCGTAATCCCCCATACCAACCAGTACAGCCGTGACGTAGATGCCCAACTCCACCAGTCGTTGGGCCCACAGTTGAGTGTCGTCCTTTTTGTGTCGCATAATCTTTGCCTCTCGTGCCAGACTGTGGTACTTGAGGATGGCTCCGTGTGTATCGCTTCCCGAGGCCAGTCTGACTGTCAGCACTCTGAGCGACCAGGGCACAATCGATTCCCGGTCCCAGTGGATCGAGATCTCCGGCTTAGCTGGGGTGGTGGAGGGTCCCTTTTCCGGAATCAGCCGGTACAGGTCGACATTGAGGTCTCCCAGCGACTTTGCTTCGGAATGGGCCACTCTGTGGAAGTTGGCCAGAACGAGACACGTCAGCCGGGTCTCCCATAGTCCGAACACCGTCTGGGCCGTTTCCAGATCCACCGCCGTCGATTTCATGTCCGTGCCCATCTGTGTCAATTGGAGTGCGACTTTTTCTGCCGCCAGCTGGAACAGCCGTTTGTCAACCAGCTCGTCGATCGAGAGCTCGCGGTCCGCCTCCGTCACATTGAACGGCTCCGGCGGGTCGAACGGCACCAGTTTTTCAAGCTGCCCCGGCGCCAGGATCTTGCTGATGTTGAATGACATGGTGATGTGGAGGTGGTGACAAGTGAGTGCCAACGTTAGAGTTGTGATAAGGCAGGTAGATGAATATCGCGAGGAGGCAAGACGAGTAGTTGGCCAAAAAAAAATTGAGTGGAAATATAAAACTCCATGTTCTTGTTCAACTCCACTGGTGACCCGATGGCCAGTACAATTCAATTGTGTCTTGCCGTCGACCGCAGATCGGCATGCTTATGTAATCATGTCAGAGACCGGGGGCTGGACTGAAGCCGGCTTTTGAGAAGAGCTGGACAGCTGTAAGCGGGTTGATCGGGGACTTGGCCGTTTTTAATGATGTCGTCAATTGTTGGAAATCGTTGTCGGAAAAAAAAAAAAAAAAAAAAAAGAAAAAAAAAACTCGTACAAGGTACTTATACAGAGCCCAATTAGATGCCCTAAGAATCATAACGGAAGTTGATATGAAGGGGGAAAACATGTAGGAGAACTCCTTGCACTTGAAAAGACCTGAAAGGTCCAATGATTCCACCAATGGTTGATAGAAAGGCAGATTATTTATTTATTCAAGTAATTTGACCCCCTCAGTCACTATATTTCCTCCTCCTACCAGTTCTCTACAACCTCCTCTCTTCAAGACAGAAGACAGGATGCGTTCTTACCCCGGAGAACAAAGATACAAGCCAAAGAGCAGCTCGATTGCGGAGTTTTGCATGACTTTATGACTAATCACCTGTGCTTCGACATCTACATCGGTCAGGTTCGGTGAACTCTGCCCTAACTAAAAAGCCAACTATCATACCGTCTAATTAAGAGTTCTTAACAAAACACGTCAACTGGCCACTCTTCATCTCACTGTTCAGAAATACCACAGTCACATGAATGGTATCACTCGACCCGTCCAGTGGTCAGGCCCCACAGCCCCAATCCCCCCGATAACGTAACCAACTTGTCTTGCCATCCCGGGTGCGTTCTGTCACGTCTTTCCGTTCTTGAGTTACCTCGGCAACGGCGGTAAACAGTTTCCAGAAAAAGCCAAAAAATCAGACAAAAAAGTCAGTTAGTGAGTAGGAAAAAAGCATGCAACCGGAGCAACTGAAGGAATGATGGTCGACGTGTGGGCGGGGCGAAGGAGTGATCTCACGTGACCACCTTCCGTTGCGGGTCGCAACACGTGCCATGTGCAGTGGTGCCGTACAGTACAGTATCCATGTGCTTTTCAGGTACAGTACCACGGGGACAGTACAGTAGGTGACGTGAAAGCGCGTCTGAGCCTGTCTTTTAGTAATCATCAACTCAGGCACGAGGTGGACAGTTCAGATCTTGCAATGCTTTTTTCGGACTGAGTTCTGAACCGAGTGTATCTGGGATGGTGCGACGGTGAAACATGTCTTGTGTTTGGTGTCCACTTTGGTGTCCACTTTGGTGTCTCTGCTCCGCTCATCTGCCGTAGGTCTTACCGTCGGCGTCTCAATAACGCAACTCGAAGCCGCCACAAGACTTCTCCATCTTCCTTCACATGCTCCTCCAGTTGCCATTTCCATTCCATCTGACACATGGTTGGCAGATCGGCGATCCATGAATGTTGAGCCAATGAAGCGTGGGGAGTTTAATGGAGCTGAACAGAGACACGCACGGACATTGCAGTGTGAGGTGGTCCATTTTTCAAGTCCAATACTGTCAGATGGAACTTGCGGATGGCGTTACGGGATGGGCGTTCACCTGTTTGGTGTTCACCGGTTCGTTCACCGGTTTGGCGACGTTGCAACGTTCTGATTTCCACGGCCTTGAGATGGACCACGGACAATCTGAAGAGATCTCGTCCCGACACAAGTACCCCAAGCCACTATCCCATCGTTCGTACGCTCATGTCTGCCATGATAGCTCCACCACTCATCCCAAACGCCAAAACAGACAAACCGCCGCACAACGGAACAGTACGAGACGAACTCGCGCACCCCCCATCACAAACCCATTGTATGCTTGCGGTTCCTGAGGAGGACACTGTAGAGTTGCCCACGGTACTGTGCTGTACAGACCGTCCGCACGGACAGTCAGGGCGCAAAGGGGGATCTGCAACTGTGTGACGTCAAATGAGCTTCTTTTTTTTTCTTACCCGCTCCTGTGGCCTTGTTTCAGGTACAGTACAGTACATGCACCGTACAGTGTCGGCACCCAAGACGGCGCAGATACGACCGTGTCACGTGACCCACCACATTGGTGTGTGTGTGTGTGTGTGTGTGTGTTTTTCCGAGTTGAAATGACGTTTTGGTCAGAAGTCGGCCTCTTTGCTTGTGATTTCGCCTTGCGACAAGCGTGCAGAAAAATGAGTGGTAAAATTAACCTCTGTGTTTGGAATGACCCAGTACGGCATGTTGCAGCCCCAATGGGGAGCCATGTGCATATTCCTTATTGGCGGTGGATGGGGCGAGGGTCGATAATATCGGGCGTTGCGGGTGGAAAAGGCCGGGTTTTCGCGCACCTTGCGGCTCGTGGCGCCCCCAGGAACCCATTCCGACTTGCGCCATCCCGCCACTGGCCCTGACGCACGAAACAACACGGTCCAGACGCCGCTACTTTAGCTCCCTTTGGAAAGCCAAAAATGCACCGTCCCCAACGTTATGCGCCAATCTTAATAGTCTAAGTTTGCGCCAAGGGGGCCAGCATGTATGGTACAATATACACAGCCGTTCGGAGTCACTGGTGTCTTTTTTTCTTTTCTTTTTGACATCATCACCACCGCAGCTGTCAATCTAGTCACTCTTTTTTCCACAGCTCACACGCTACAACCCCCGCCACCGCTACACGCGCCCCACACTCCTTTGCTAAACCACCGAGTCTCTATCGAGTCTCTACACGACTAGCGAGTCTCCATACGACCCCAGTCACCACACTCCTTTGAACCCACCGCTCTTTTTGACCGATACCCGACTCGAGACGCGTCATCGCCGGACGATGATGCTCACCAAAACACTAGTAGCCCTGGTGGCCGCGGCACTGGCACCCCACACCGCAGCCGGCCACGCCCACCACGCCCACCATGATACCCGAGACGTGTCGTCCGCCGCCTACGGCCCCGCCCCCGGCCACCCCCGTTTGCTGTTCGACGAGGCCGAGCTCTACCAAAAAATGGGCATTCTGGGCGACCGCGACACCGTCAACGTGACCGAACAAGAGCTCCATCGACGAACCATCACCAAGGAACACACCCGACACTCCCACCACGAGCACAAGAAACGAGGAGGCCAATGCGCCTTCCCCACCAACGAGGGCCTTGTGTCTGTGGACCCTAGCGGAGAAAACGCCGGATGGGCCATGTCGCCTGACCAGCCCTGCGAGCCCGGCAAATACTGCCCCTACGCCTGCCCCCCCGGCCAGCTCATGGGTCAGTGGGACCCCAAGGCCACCTCCTACTCCTACCCTCTGTCCATGAACGGAGGCATGTTCTGCAACAAGAACGGAGAGATGGAGAAGCCCTTCCCCAACAAGCCCTGCTGCTACGAGGGAACCGGCACCTTTGTGGCCCGAAACAAGTGCGGCAAGCAAGTCTCGTTCTGCCAGACGGTTCTGCCTGGTAACGAGGCCATGCTGATCCCCACCGAGGTGGGGTCCGGATCCACCGCCGTCCTCGCCGTCCCCGATACCAACTACTGGGCCGGAACCGCTGCCCACTTCTACATCAACCCTCCCGGAGTCGACACCGCCACCGCCTGTGTATGGGGAACCCTCAACAACCCCTGGGGTAACTGGTCTCCCTACGTTGCTGGAGCCAACCAGGACGGCAACGGAAATACCTTTGTCAAGATCGCCTGGAACCCCATCTACCTTGAGCCCGCCACCCCCTTCCGAAACACCCTGCCCAACTGGGGTGTTCGAGTCGTCTGTGACGAGGGATCCAACTGTAACGGACTGCCTTGTTCCATCGACCCCCGAAAGAACAAGGTCAACGAGGTGACCGCTGAGGATGCTGCCCAGGGAGATGGCGCCTCGTTCTGTGTCGTCACCGCCCCCAAGGGCTCCAAGGCCTATATCGAGGTCTTTGAGATTGGAAATGATGGCAACTCTGGTGGAAACGGTGGCAATGGTGGAAACAGCGGCTCTAGCTCTTCCTCCTCCTCTGCCCCCGCTTCTTCCTCCTCTGCCCCGGCGTCGTCTTCTTCTGCTGCTTCCACTGGCATGAACACCATGCTTGCTCATGCCGCTGGATTTGCCGCCGCTGGTCAGGTTGAGAACCTGGAGAACGTGGAGTCCTCTTCTTCTGAGGAGCCTGTCTCCTCTTCCGAGGGGCCCACTTCGTCTCCTCCCCCTCCTCCCCCCACTACCTCCAGTAGCACCCCCCCTCCTCCCTCTACGACCTCGAGCAGCACTCCTCCTCCCCCTCCCCCTACGACCTCAAGCAGTGCTCCTCCCCCTCCCCCTACGACCTCGAGTAGTGCTCCTCCCCCTCCCCCTACTACTTCCAGTACTCCTCCTCCTCCTCCCCCTACTACTTCCAGTACACCTCCCCCACCTCCTCCCACTACTAGTAGCACCCCTCCTCCTCCTCCTCCTACTACCTCTACTACTCCTCCTCCTCCCCCTACTACTTCCAGTACTTCTCCTCCCCCTCCCCCATCGTCGACCTACGTGCCCCCTTCTTCCTCTCCTACTTCTTCCTACGTTTTCCCTTCTGCGGAGCTAGCTAAGGAGATGGCCCAGCTGATGATGTTCAACGCCGAGTCTGCCACTGTGGTCTCTTCCACCTCTTCCACTAAGGTGTCGACATTTTCTTCGTCCAAGACCACCTCGACGTCTTCTTCGTCTTCGCGGTTGTCTTTGTCGTCCACCTTCAAGCCCACCATCAAGACTGTCGCTCACCTACGAAGTCATGACTCGGCTGCCATGAACGTGGCCAACAACGGAACCGTGGGCGTGGCATCGTCGTCGTCTACTCTGGCCGCGACCTCTGTCTCTGTCCAGGAGGCTCCTGCCGCCCCCACTCCTCCCCCCGTCACTGTTCCCCAGGGCGTGGCTACTATTGAGGTTTCCGCCAACACCTCGGGCTCTTCCAAGCTGGCTGTGCCGCTTATGACCCTAGTGTTGGTTCTGCTTCTTTAGTTTGCTTGATGTTTGGGTAGGTGTTTGTAATATTAATGTATAATATGATTGTAATGTAGGTCTTTCTGTTCACTCGCCGATCGTGTCGGCCGCCAGTCATGGCCTATCGCACCCGGTCTCAGAGGCCTGACTCAAGTGAAACTGAAACAGCGCTAACCGGACCATGGAAGACATTGTGAGACTAGCGTCAGTCTGCTTGAGAGTTGTTTGATCAAGTGAAACGGTGTTTCAGAAATTGGGCTAACTTGAAACATGAGGCGCCTGGGCACTTGCATTGTTCCTGTTCCAAACGGTGAATGGTGGCTGTTGGAGAAGGTCGCGTATCTCGACATCTGCAAGTCTAGACAGCAGTTTCAAGCCGGAGCTCAATCGAGTGGAGCGATATAGAACCGGTTTGGCCACATCTACAATACGAGTACGAACAACACTCGAACTTGGTTCAGTCCTCAGACTGTAGACACTGTAGTTTGACAATATCATGCCGAATTCGGTACTCTTACATTTTCTACTCTTGCACCCCTGTCAATCTTCCATCACATCATATACGTTACTATTCCTATTGTATCACTGTTGTATCACTAAAGTTGTGACGAGTCAGCCATGTGCAGACCATTCGGTCATGTATAAATGGCTCATCCAGTTGCCTTATTGGCGGCTTCATTCGGTTGTGGAGCTTTGCTCGGCCACCGCTGCTTTCCTTGGTTCGTTACCACTCGCTCTCTCCAGTAGCCCGTCCAAAAACATAGTCCTTTCTGTTGACGTTAACAATGCCGTCTCGGAAGGTGAACTTTCGGTTGTTCTTGACTCGGTGGATTCGGTCGTAGACACAGAGAATTGTATTTCCATGGTTATCGTCCTCGTCTTCGTTTCCGCTCAGATTGTCGTCCGATGAGTCGTCGAGGTCCGAGTTGAGTTCATCTTCGTCATCTTCCGCGCCGTCTGTTTGTGGCACCTTGAGAGTCATGACTCCGTCCACAATCTCTCCCTCAACCATCACCGTCTGGGCTCCATCCGTCTGCTCCAGCTTGACGGGGTTGCCAGGCTGTCCGTTGCCCTGGCCACCCTGGTGCGAGCCTGGCAGGACCAGACCGGGCTGTGGCGGTGTGTGTAGCGAGGGCATGCCTCCATATCCCCCGTCGTTAGGAGCAGCCACAGGAGGTTGTTGTTGTTGTTGTTGTTGTTGTCCTGGCACAGACACCTGGCCCGGTTGATGCTGACCCGACTGGCCAACTGGCGGTGGTTGTTGATACATGAGCTGCTCGTTGGCCTCGGGCTCAGGAATCGAGTCCCACGGCATCTGTGCCACCTGCAGAGACGACAACTTGGTCTGCCAGCCCTCCTTGAGCTCCTGCAGCGTCATTTCGTCGATGCCGTTCTCCTGGAAGTCATCGCGGCACTCGTTGATGACCGCGTCGATCACCTTCTGGTAGATGTTTCCCACAACCTGGTTACTCATTATGTCGTAGTGGCGAGGCTGCGCTTATGTACAAAAGGCATGGGAGGAAATCGACCCGGGTGCATGACTAAGCGATAATCGGTTCACGGCATTAATAATCATGGTCGCAGCGTGCTGACTAATAGAAACGACACCCCAATAGGATGGGTACCAAACCAGAACCAAGCTCGAGCCTCTATTTATACTACAGTACCCGTGCTTGTCCCCTTGCGCTCAGGCTGTGGTGAGGAGAGGAGTTCAGGTGCCGTTTTTCTCCGGGGTTAGGGTTGTGATGGTGTGGCAGGAAAATGTCAGCAAACTTTGGCTGCGTGGGGGTGCTTATTATTCGGTCGTGTGGCAGGCAGGAGGGATATGGCATGAGTTGGAGAACGCCAGGTGGTTGTATTTTTTGGGTATTTTGGTGGTTAAGTGTGTTAAATACAAGAATTTCTAACAAAATGCACTTTTCAGAATGTCTTTTGAACAAATATTGGTGGAATTAGAACGGAGGTCTTTGTAAGTAGAATGTTAAGTAAAGTTTCAAGTGAACGCGATGCATTTAGTTCAGTCCAGACAGTCCTGTAGATACAACATAACTCGCTCTTCAGCAGATGAATAAAGACCAACTTGTCGTATGAACAGTCTAGTACCTGTCATAAGCCATGTAAAGTATCTACTACACCACTTGTACCTGTACAGGTATCGAACTGAGTCCCTCAACGAGTCCTCACGAGTCCCTCAACGAGTCCTCACGAGTCCCTCAACGAGTCCTCACGAGTCCCTCAACGAGTCCTCACGAGTCCCTCAACGAGTCCAACCGCGCATCGACAGGAATAACGGAAAATACCGTCAAACGACCACAAACACACCCACTGTGGCCACGTCACCGCCATACACCACGAAAAGGTGCGTCTGAGGCCTCCGCTTAGCCTCGGACTCCGCACAGACACGGCACTGCTACCGACATGCAGATGGAGATGGTGCCGTAGCGCCGCTGGACGGTTTCGCGCCGGCGAGACTTGGTCACGTGGTCCGAGCCCGTCACGTGGTCCTAGCCCGTCACATCCCGCCGAGCCCGTCACGTCGCATCGATCCGGTCACGTGTCTCCGCCTCGCCTCCGCCTCCGCCGACCCCTTTGGTCCCTGCCGCCGCTATTTAGCTGCTCCCAAAACCACATAATCTCCACCAGCCACATCTTATCGGGGGTTAAGCTTTGTTGGAAAATACCAGCCAGAAGCGTACAATCGGTCTCCAAACAGACCTTACCTCTTACACCACACTTGCGACCATGAGAACCCGACAAACACCCCGAACGCCCGTGCGAGAAACCGCCTCCCTGCCGGACATGGACTCGCTGTCGCTCAAGGACGACTGTGCACGAGCCAAGCGGTTCTGCGACTTTATGGACACCTCTCCCACCACCTACCACGCGGTCCACTACCTGTCCAAGGACCTGGAAAACGCCGGGTTCCGTCCTCTCAACGAGCGGGACTCGTGGGAAGACGAGTTCCACACCCACGACAAGTTCTACGTGACCCGAAACGGCTCCTCCATCATTGCGTTCGTGGTCGGTAAGGACTGGACCCCCGGCAATGGAGCCGGAGTCGTTGGCACCCACATTGACGCTCTGTGTGCCAAGGTCAAACCTATCTCTAAGAAAACCCCCGTCGACGGCTACACTCTCCTCGGAGCCGCGCCCTACTCCGGCGCCTTTTCCGACACCTGGTGGGACCGTGACTTGGGTATCGCCGGCCGAATTATCTGCCGAGACGGCAACAACAAGGTAACCTCCAAGCTGGTCCACGTGCCCTACCCAATTGCTCGAATCCCCACCTTGGCCCCTCATTTTGGCGCTCCCGCCAACCCTCCCTTCAACAAGGAGACCCAGATGACCCCCGTCATTGGCCTCACCTCCTCCAAGGAGATCTCCGAGCCCACCGAGGATGAGAAGCTGTCGCCCTTGGTCGGCAAGCACTCCATCGATCTGCTGCGAACTCTGTCCAAGCACTCCGGCGTCGCCGTCAAGGATATGCTGCAAATGGACATGGAGCTGTTCGACACCCAGAAGGCTGCTCTCGGAGGTCTCAACCAGGACTTCATCTTCTGCCCCCGAATCGACGACAAGGTGTGTACTTACACCGCCGTGCAGGGCTTCATTGAGTCTGTTCCCGACATGGACCCTCGAGCTCTCAACATTGTTGTGTGCTTCGACAACGAGGAGGTCGGATCCAACACCCGACAGGGAGCCCAGGGAGGTCTGCTTGAGTCTGTCGTCGAGCGAGTCATCTCCCACGGCATGGACGCGTCCGTCGCCAACCTCGCCGAGGAGTATAAGCGAAAGACATACGCCAACTCTTTCTTCTGCTCCGCCGACGTTAACCACGCTGTCAACCCCAACTTCTCCAACATCTACCTCGAGCACCACAAGCCCCAGCTCAACTACGGCATGACTCTGGCCGTGGATCCCAACGCCCACATGACCACGGATGCCGTGTCTCTGGGCTTCATTGAGGAGGTTGCTCGACGCGGAAAGAACAAGACCCAGTACTTCCAGATTCGAAACGACTCTCGATCTGGAGGAACCATTGGTCCCTACATTTCTTCCTCCACCGGCATGCGATCCATCGATCTTGGTATTGCACAGCTCTCCATGCACTCCATTCGGGCCACTATCGGTTCCAAGGACGTTGCTCTCGGTACCAAGTTCTTCAAGAACTTTTACGAGCTGTGGTTCGGTGTCGACGAGGAGTTCAACAAGGGAGGCATCTAAGCCGACGACAATACATGCATACATTATGAGTACAGAATTTGTAGTTTGAAAGTAGCTCTGTCTAATATGTTATTACTACAATACACACTTGGGTGAACCACCTCAAGTACACTATATATACACCCCACCCCACTCCGACTGGTAGTCAACTTATGCTCTCTCCTACTTCAACTTGGGATAACTAGCAGCCAGACCAAAGTCCCTCTGCAAGATGCTGTACCAGTCACAAAAGGTTTCCACCACATAGACCACCTCGTTGCGGGTCATGTCGAAACACTCGACCCAATGCTGTTTGCCCCTAGCCTTGGTTTCCTTGTGGTAGTCGATGGGGATCTTGTGGTGTTTGGCGGCCCAGTAGATGGCCGCCAGGGCTATGGTGTTTGTGGAGAACATGAGACAGAGGGGGGTCTTACACGAATCGGTCACAAACTCCCAAGCTGTCTTGCACACCTCCTTGACGTGATGAATGTCGAGCTTTTTGACGTAGTAGCTGAGATGTTCAAAGGGCGAGTCCAGAGTCAGGTCGAAACACAGAATCTCCAGAAAATAGCCCTCGCCGTACAAAATGCAGTCCCGCCACCTCCAAAAGTCCTTGCTCTGTTCGTCGACCACGGCTCGATGGTCCTTTTGTGCCACCTTCACCAGACAGATGCACACGTCTCGCAAGTGGCGGTTGGCCTCCTCCACTTTGGTGGCCAGAAAGATGCAGACAGCCGCCGCCTCAAACGGATGCTTGGACTTGATGCTGTGGCGCATGTAGAACCGGTGGAAAAAGGTGCATGCGGTGTACACGGCCATGTGAGGCAGCTGGAGCAGCTTGGCCACGTTTCCCAGGAAGTTGATTCCCTTGGTACGCATCATGAGCTCTTCTCTGAACGGCATGCCGTCCTTGGCCGAAGGAGACGCCTTGGTGATGGTCTTGGCAGAGTACTTCCACGTGTTGTAAGTGGGGGGCGGTTGTGACGACGGTGTCTCAGATAGAGACCGAGCTGGCGTTGAAGAGCCTCGAGACTCAGCTTTAGCTGATGACGGTCGCGATGTTATCGAGTTGGACCTCGAGTGTGTGCGGGACGACGACAACGTTGAGCCATGTTTCGAATGGCCGTTAGTTGGTTTTGAGTCTGATCTATCTGACTTGGTGTCGTCCGTCTTGACGTCTGGCTTGTCTGTGTTGTCTGTGTTATGTGTTTTGTGGCTCGTCTTGTTCTCAATCTTGTCGTCAGCATTCACCTCATTGATCGAGTCGTTTTTGTCAGCCTTGTCGTCAGAATTCGCCTTCTGTTCCACATCCTTTGGTGTATCCTTGGCCGTGTCCTTCTTTGTACCTTCCTCAACACTCTTCTTGTCTTGTCTTGTTGTTGTTGTTGTTGTTGTTGTTGTTGTTGTCGGTGTGTCGCCCTGATCTGGCACCCGAGAGCCGTCATCCAATGCAAGTTTGTTCGCGTTCTGGTCTCTGGCCTGCTCGGTTTCCACCCGCTTCGCCTCCTCCTGTTGAACAATGCCCGTGTCCTTTTCCAGGTCGCTTCGGCCGCCTCTGGGAGACTGCAACTTGCGCGGGGTGCTGGCGGCAGAATGAGGATCCACCCAGTCGATGGTACGCTTCTGGGCGGTCGTGGACATGGAAATCTCCGCCCTGTTGCCCACGGCCCGCTTGATGAGATCTTTGTCCGAGTCCATCGTGTGGGTATGTACGCTTGAAGCCGGTTCCTAGGGCTAGCTCTCTGTCAGGATGCTGGAAAGAATTTGGGTTTGGGAAAATATACAGCCACCGGGAATCGAACTGGGGGTCGCGTGGAATTTAAAGGGATTTTTTTGTTTTTGCAAAAGAATAATTGGATAAATTCACTATTAAATGGATAAATGAGGAGTAATGGAAACAATCCGCCTTTCCAGATCATACAGGTGAGATATTTCCACCAAATGGTCCGTTGGTGAAGGGAGGCGACCCCTTGGGAACGAGATTTGCAAAAAAACCCACACTATGACGTGATCAGAAGGCACCTGGAGCACTCCGAATCCGCCGGACGACATCTCTCTTATGATCTCCACCATGTCTAAGCACCAGCCATTGACCTCATCAGTTACGAGTCGTCCGCTTAACAACCCTGCAGAATCACCATGCAGAACCAACGCTGACATGAATCGCACAGTGTAGACAATGACTCGGACCTGAGATCGGTCGGACAACTTGTTGACGTCTCGAATGAAGTCGACGTTGCTGAGAAGCCAGGAAGCCTGGAACCAAATGGTCTCCTGGTACCGCTTCACAGCGTCCAGAAACTTGGAGTCCTCGAGGCAGAAGGATCACCTCGACCATGCCCTTGATGAACTGCCGAGCTTCCTCAGAGCCAGTGGATTCAATAGGACAGGTAAATGTCCAAGTTCTTGCAGACTCTTACGAGGAACTACGGATGTTGGTAATGGTTCTGTCCCGGACCTTGTTGAGCTGCCAAGCAGAGTCGATAGCCATGGTCACAAACTGCAGTGTCTCCGGGCTTGGCCTGGCCATCTTCCACAGCTCGGTTCAGGTGATCTTCCGAATCCGACGCTATACGTGGGGAATCCGATGTGTACGCGCTCTTTGGTGTGGTGTTCCTTGGTGTTCCTTGGTGTTCCTTGGTGTTCCTTGGTTACTTCATGCTCCTTGGTGTTCCTTCATGCTCTTGGTGCTCCCTGGTGCTTCTTTCTTCTTCCTGGGCCCACTCGGGATTGTTCACTCGTGATAGTTTCAGCTTGGCCTGACAAAAGATGTCCGAGGTCCGAATCTGGGGATCAGGCCGAGGTATGGCCAAAGCTGCTCTACCACCGAGGACACTGGGTCCACACCTAGAGACAAATCCAACGGCCGGTTTCTGGGAGAGATTGGCCTGAAACATTACATGCGCGTTGCCTTCTTACTCAGACTGGCTGATCATTCTCACTCGCGTACGCGCAGGAGGCCGTCGAGTCCACTGACGCCATTATGAACCAGCCCACGTGCTGTCTGATAGCGGCTGAAGACTGGGCGTTCAGGGCCCTCGCTGACAAGTGCGGTTTCGTGCAGACCGACACCTTCTGTCAGGGAGACAAGGCGGTGTATGTTTTTGTTCGGCCAATGAATGGTCGCATCCGGATTGGTGGACAGCTCCTAGCACTTGTGTAGCGTCTGTGGCTTGATCCGCTTCATGGACATTTACACAAAGAGACGGGCTTTCAGCCATTGCACAAGTAGGGAGAAAAAACGACCCACCAAGAAGAAAAAACGACCAACATCTGATAACGGCATGTTATACCGGTTGAGTTGTCGCAGATGACAAGATAGAACGTTAAGAACGCCTCGTGGAACTAGGATTCCACCCCTTTCAGGCGGCTATCTTCCTCTCGGCTCTTCCCCTCGTCTGTCGTGAATAATTCTTGACACCACCGACCGAACTAGCCCATATTTTGGCACCATTGCGAGCTCTCAGATCTACTGTAGCCGTCAGACGTCAAGTTTGTGGCACTAAGCAGATTGCAATAGACGGTATTTATATGAACGGAGATAGGGTCGACAGCATCGACATATGATGAGGACAAACCTCTTGAATCGGCAGCAGGTTAGTCCGATCAGATCAACCGAGAAACCGGTACTGTACAGGTAAGAGTACAAGTACAAGTACCAAGACTCCCAGCAAAAGACACCATTCTTAGCGGTATTGCGCTGTAGGATCTCACACCTAATCAGTCTGACAGATGGATACTAGCTTGACACATGAATGCTGGTTTGACAGATGAATACTGATTTGACGCATGAATACTGGCTTGACACAAGGCTATAGCTGGATGCAAATGGCCGATCGTCACACACTTATATATACCAGCTGCGGAATTGTGTGCTATTTTCTCAACCATGGCAAATGCCTGAGTCCTCTCTATCTACCAAATCCCCCTCCGCCCGCCCTCTACACCCCTTTCCACAGTGGGAAAACTCGCTGACTTTGTGACTGACGTTGAGCATCTACCGGAAATGCATTTTCTGGAGCCTAGTCATTTGTTTTCCGATTGTCATGGACGGTTATGACGGGTTTCTGATTCCTTCCTTCTACGCAATTCCTTCCTTCGGACGGAGATTCGGCGTCCCGCTGCCAGACGGCTCCTACACAATCGAGACCAAATGGCAAACAGCTTTCCTGGTTGGAGCACCCATTGGCCGAATCACGGGAGCTCTGGAGTCTGTCATTTGACCGACAAGTACGGTTGCAAGAAGGTCAAGTTGATCCCCCTGATTCTGTTGTCAGCAGTGGTGTTTCTGGTCTTCTTTGCAACCAACAAGTCCATGCTGTGTGCTGGCTGGACGATTTCGGGGCTCATTTGGGGAGTCTTCAACACCATGACGCCGACCTATGTTCCTGAAATCTGTCCAGTGAGTCTTCGAAGCACGTTTGCAGCTGCCATCAACCTCTCATGGGTCATTGGCCAGCTCCTGGCGATTGCTGTCATCACCGGCCCCGAGCCCAAACCCAACGACTGGCCCTACCCAATTCCCATGGCGATGCAATGGGTGTTTCCAGCCGTGCTCATTCCGATCATTCTGTTCATGTCCGAGTCTTCATGGTGGACTCTCAAACAGGACGACGAACAGGGATCTCGAAAGACCCTCGAACAAGTCGTGGACAAGATGTCGACATTGACGCCTACATCGAGTAAATGTGGCAGACAATCCAGGAGGAAGACGACTCGGGAAAGTTTTCCGACTGCTTCAGAGGAACCGATCTCCGACGAACAGAAATCTGTTGTCTCAGCTACTCATTCCAGCCTCTGTGTGGACTGTACTTGCTGCCCTACGCTGCCTACTTTCTGAAACTCACAGGAATTCCTCAGAACGTGGTGTTCAGAATGACGCTGGAAATCACAGGCTTAGCAGTCATGGCCTCTCTGGTCGCCCCCATCATCATTATTCACTTCAAACGAAGAACCCTGTACATGGGTGCTCTCGCCATCATGGCATGCACATTGTTTGGAATGGGAATCACAGAAATTTTCGATACTCCGACTGCAAAAAGGGCCGCCGGAGTGCTCATTTACGTCTGGGTGGGCACGTACGACGCCACTGTCGGCCCACTGACCTACGTCATTGAGTCTGAAACCTCGTCGGTCCAACTGCGTTCCAATACGTTGCTCTGGCTTCAATCTCAAACTCCTTCATGATGCTCCTGCTCCATATCACGGTGCCATACATGATGAACGAGATGAAGACTGATATGGGGGCCTACTTCGGGTTTATCTATGGGCCTTTTTGTATCGTGGCCATTGTTTGGGCCTATTTCCGACTTCCCGAGCTCAAGGGGATGAGTTTCCTTGAGTGAGAGAGGCTATACCAGGCAAAGAAGCAGAGCAAGCAGCTCGAGAAGCCACCCACAACATTATCACTCGAGTCTCCTGCAGGATAAGCAGAAGCCACTATTAGCTCCATCTCTTTTTCTTGAAATCAATTGCAAAATAAATGATATGTATATGGCTAGAACTCGTACCCAATTAGACAGAGCAGCGTTTGTGGGACACAGGTTAGTGGCGAAATGGTTCGGCACTCTTGATGATGTTCATGAGATACACGGGCGCAATATCGCTTCGTGGCCGCACACGTCGCCACATGTTGAGGGCCTTGATCTTTTTCGCTGCAAGAATGGTTTTGAGAGCCAGAGAGCCCAGAAGCGGGATATCGTGAGATCAGACTAGAGGGGCTAGAGCAAGAACTCCACATGCAGTATAAAAGTCCATGGGGATTATCTCGTCGTTGAAGAAGGAAACCTTGGCCTTGATCTGCTTGGAAGGCTGGAACAGCTTCATCAAGTGCTAGCTGTTCTTGATGGACAGATCCACGGCCTGGACCAGGACAAGTTCCTGGCGGAGTTATCCGACGACCACCCTATTCTAATCATCTCCACCAAGGGCCATTGGTGACTCTTGAGCAGCACAGAGTGCCCTCTCCAACCTGGACGGTTCCTCAGGGGAAACCTCTGTTTGCGACTCTATGACAACTATCTGCCAGGATAATGTCAAGGTGCCTATTCACTCGCCCATTGTGGCTTGACTTCTGGTGCGCCGTCGAAAAACGCCCCGCTTTCCTCCTCGAACATCTTCTAGTCGAAGTCAGAGAAACACCAAGATAGGCAATGGCCCGCTGAAACACTCGTGCCCACACCATCCACGTGTACTCAGTGGTCGAGCTGGCCTGCTCATACCTTTCCTCTGCCATGGCGTCTCTGGACTGGAGCAAACTGAGGGGAGGGGATGACGGCCCGAGCCATGGTCATCATTGTAGCTGGTGGGCCGGGTATCTTCATTTTGGGCGACTTCCCCAGAAGGGCCTACTTGGCTCCCTTTGGTCGTTTCTTGACCATTGTATTGTATTGCAACTGCACCAGTACTTTTGGTTGAGTCGAATATATTGATGGAAGAAACCCGTGATATATATACTCTCTGAAGACTCTTTTTTTTTTTTTTTTTTTTTTTTTTTTTTTTTTTTGACGACGCGTCAATAATTTTGTGGATAGTTGGAGACACAGTTCTTACCTCTACAATAGCCAGATCTGCCAGTATATGATAGATACATAATGTTCACGTGATGATCACAAGCAGATTGTTTTCTTTTCTTTTCTCTTCTTTTCTCTTCTGTCTAGCTAACTCCAAGTTGCATGTGAGTACTTTCCATCAACTTTTCGCGTTTGTTAAATTAAAATCGTGTTTAAAAGACGCGTTCCAAAACTATGCCCTTGATATTTTCATCATTTGGGCTGCTGAGAGGATCTAATTTATACCATACGAAAGCTCTCAAAACACCGGTTACGAATATCCACTTTTCAGGTTTATATCTCCCCTGTGTCCGATGTTAACACACTTTACTGTTCAGCATCAGACTAGTTGAAGCGTCTTGAAGTGTGAACATTTGTTACATCCGTATCGCAGAGAAATTCACTATTCACACCTCTTGTCATCTCCCGTTTGAATATGGGCTCTGATCGCAACACTTAGTCATGATTTGTAAGATGTTTGGTGAGCCTGTACAAACAACCAAGGTCACCGTAATAGGACCATCTATCGTAATAATGGTCCAGTGAATGGCATCAAAGTGTCATAGAGCCATAGTAATATCAGTTTATATCAGCTCGCGTTGTTCACAGATCCGAGAGCACCTTCTCTCGTCCAAAGTTGGTCAGTCTAAAAGTCGAGAGGAAGTCATCTCTGGCGTGGTAAGCTCCACACATTCGTCTGTTTCCGACAAAGCCCTTTCTTCCATGCAGAACTCTCCAGTTATCAAAGATGAGACACTCACCAGCCACCAGCTTGCAAACGTACTCAAACTTGGGGTCGGTGAGAATGCCGTTCCACTGCCGAATGGCCTTGTAGAACTTGGGCACATCTTCGGGGCTGTCCCAGGTATCCATCACAGATCGGTCGTCGTTGTTCCATCGCACCTGCTGCAGCTCTCCGGTGATGGGGTCGTGGGTGAACACAGGCTGGGGAACCTCGGGGGTGATACACACGCTGTCCTCTCCGGCAGAGTGGGCCGGGATTCGGACCCGAGAAAGCAGCTCGTAGCCCTCCGGGTTGAGTTTCTTAAACTCCTGGGCGGCTCGGAATCCGTCTACCAGCATGTTTTCGCCACCCTTGCCATCATGGTGCAGACAGTGGAACAGCTGCAGACCGGGCGTGTCAGTCCAGTAAGTACCGTCGGTGTGCGAGGCCAGGTGGAAGTTTGTGTAAGCAGTGTCGTTCATGGCGAGATCGGCGGTGAAGTCCCAGAAGCCGCCGTAGTGAGTATGTTTGATGTGGGCCAGTCGCTCGCACAGCTTCTCGGTGTCTTCGGGAGTGGCGGGGACTCCAGACACGAAGCAGAACCCGTCGGCGTAGATCTTCTTGCTCCATTCGGCCAAGCCCTTGTCGGTCTTCATCACGTCTTCGAACTTGACAGTGGGCTTGTCGGCTTCGATATCGGCTGCCAGCCAGTACTTCTTGCGGACCTGCGTGTCGAGCTGGGCAGGGCCGGTCTTGGTCTGGGTCTTGGGCTTGGAGTAGTTGTGGCGGTTGAGCCAGTCCACGGGGTAAGAGGACACGTGGCCGTCGTGCTTCCAGGTCACGTCCCAGTTGTCACCGTTCAGGGCAACCTTGGAGGGCTGCACGTCTTCAGGAATGGCAAAGGTGTTCTGCAGACGCTGCTTGGTCAGCGGATGGTAGTGCTCCTGGCATCTGCAGTTGTCTCGCAGCCAGATGTTGTGGAACGAGCCGATCGAGTCGAAAGTGGTAGTGTCCTGGTTGAATGACATGCTGATTAGAGAGGAGCTGTAAGTCGTACGTTGTACACTGGTGCGTCTGCTTCATCTTACGTGGGGTAGAATATATATGTATGCTGATTGGGTTTGCCGGCGGGAAACGGACTCCGAAAGATGCCAAAAAAGGTAGGTTCATGCGTTTGTCTGGGGAGCTGAAGGGTAGGTTCCGTGGAGGGGCTATGAGCGGCTTCGGGGGTGGCTTTCGGCGGAGCCTAGTCCTAGTTCCGAGTGGACTGAGTGCGATCCTTATCGAGCTGATAAGAACCAGATCTGATAGGTATCATGCAGGGTCGACTAGCGAGATCGTGAGAGACGTGAGGGTTGACGACATTGAGGGTTGATGACGACGGGTGTTAGGAGGAAGAGGTAATGGAAGATAAAAGTCCCTGTGCCGGCTGTAGCCATCATCTGGTCAAATATTCAACTCTGGGGGATTCTTTGGCAGTTTCAACCAGCTGCAGACACTATAAGTAGGGCCGAAGATGTCATAGCAGACAAAAATGAGACATAAAAATGGCATAAAAAGAGCAATGTATGGTAGTCCTGTCGCCTTATTGCATAAACAGCAGTAAGTCTCGGTCTCGTGTACTGTACAACACTACAAGAGCCTGATCCACCGTCTACCGCCCAGTCCGAGACTCTGTAAACACGTCTAGAAGACGCTGCCAATACGATTCGGCACATTTGTGACTTTCCAATGGTTCGCTAGTGATACGTCATCTACTGGTCAGGATTTCCGTTCTAAGGCTACAAATACGGTACTTGTACTGGAATAGTTAGCTAATTGATGCGACGGAGACGCTGATTTTGATGTCTGCCGATAGACCATCTTGGACATGTAGTCTAGCGTTGAAGAGTGAGTGAGTCTGTGTGTTCTAGTCGCTGGTATTCGAGGGACGTTTAAGTACTTATGTACTGTCCTCGATCATGGACTGAATGATAGTGAGGCGCGGATTACCATCAGCCTCTGAAGGAGATGGAAAGTTTGGCTGGAGCAACTGGACTCCGCCTAATGTAGCCCTCGTTGTCCAAGACATAAACGATGTTAGGGGACTCTAGAGGTCTGGTACAGTACCCCAGCTCTGATTTGATATCTCCGTGCTCTCCAGGGGCCGAAATCTCGTGCTAATAACGAGGCAGCACTGTCTCCAAAAGATGTGCCAAGCGAACAATCCTGACTGATGTCAGGTTCTGGACTCGGCTAGCATAGATGGACATACCCTGTCCATTGTAGTGAGCATCGCTTTGTGATGGTTCTATAGGTCAACTACCGATTACCCAGCCAATAAATCACGTGGATCTTCATCGAAAATCCAGACTCTTCTTGAGCATTGGCTGTTTTACACTATCTATCTTACTAGCACGGCTTCTAAGGTGCCATCTTCACCTGTCCGTCTCTACATGTCACATCACGACGACATTTTGCAGCAGATTTTCAACTCGTTGCCAGCTTCCTAAACGGGTCAATGGGGGACTGAACCTGCCCAGTAGTTTTTTACCTACTACTTTCTCGAAAACAACCAGGCTCTGGAGGGACAGATTGTGATTAGGGCGCGGTCCGAGGGACTCGTTTGCCCGTCTTCAATCTCGTCGACTATTGGCATCGCTCTAGGAGACCCTTGAACCCCATGGGTTCACACCAATCCATGTTTTGTGACATCATAGACGAGACGAGGGTTACTGCACCTGCTTGGCCTCGGAAATGAGCCCAACTATGAACCCAACGGTTCTGGATCTGCTCTCGACTTGCAGCGGAGGTAGAGATACGTCTGCCATCATCTCTTCTGAGGATTCAGCTACCATCATCTCTGATGAACAGTCTGCTACTTTGTCTGACTGTCTACCATTGGAGCAGCTTCTACCTCCTCTGAAACCTCCGAACTCACTGCCGAGATCTCCGCCACCATAATGGCCTCCACCTCTGGAACTTTGAAGAGTCCTGTCTACTGTGAGTCTGTCTCCAGAGTCTGTTTCCAGAGTCCGCCGCATCTACTGGAGCAGCAGCGACCATTGACCTCCATTGTAATCTCTTCTGTCTTGCTTTTTCATTGCAGGAAAGTCGTCTTCTTCTGCCTCCTACTGTAAGCACGGAACCTGTGGGATACTGTATGTGTTCTGTCAATTGCCAGAGATTTTTCCCTGTGAAACCGTGACTGCCGAAGCTGTTCATTGAGACCAAATCATTGAGACCAAATCACAGAGACCAAATCACAGAGACCAAATCACAGAGACCAAATCACAGAGACTCGAAATCACAATCACTGAGACCCGAAATCACCGAGACAGTTTCCAAACCCGTCAAGGAGAAAACTACCATGGCCATATGGAGACTCTTCTATTGTCGCGTCCGTCTTCACAGGTCTGACTACCCCGACTCACCACTACAGTCTCCGGAACCATTGTAGTGACTGGACCTACTGTCACCTCGACTTCTGTCAGACCCGCGTTCTCCAGACTGATCCTATTCCGTCCACTGTCTCCAAACCAACTCTGGGTCCAAGATGAATTTTGGAGTTCTCGCTCTTGCTTTCATGAGGGTATAAGAGATGGATGAGATCTAAAACCAGTTGTCTGGCAGTACGTACCGTACTTTGACAGCATGATTCTCAATTGCAAAGAGCCATGTCTCCGATTTGCTACGGTAAATGAGAGTCATACCCGCTGTAGACCAGACAGCAGGTCGGTTTGGACAGACAAGAGGGTCGGAAGCAGACAAGTCAGTCAAGGCGGTAGAGTCTTGGAGTCATCAGTGTACCCTTTTGACGTCTACTGTTGCTTAGTTTGCGACTTCTTCCGTATCCGAAGCCACACTTTGATCTCTTCTATCTCTTCTATCTCTTCTATCTCTTCTATCTCTTCTATCTCTTCTATCTCTTCTATCTCTTCTATCTCTTCTATCATCTACATACAGATCTACATCTACAGCACTTGTAATGTACCTCTTCCTCTACCTCTACTCACGGAACTCCTACCAAGTCCCGCCTCCAAAGCCGCACTGGACCGGTGCCGGCACCGTGACGCTCTTTGTTGCACCCACTACCCCACCTTTTGGTGTTTCTGCTGGCGTCTTTTTTGGCGTGTGTCTACAGTAGGGTGGCTGTTTAGTGTGTCCGAAAGATAACGCGGCAACATTCCATTGACCAAGGAGAAGAGAATATTATCAGATGACTCGAGTTGCTCGTCGGGTGAATTGTCGGGTTGAACATGGTCATTGCACATGATGGTTCGTCTGAGCTCAGTATCGAGATCTACACGGTAAGTACATACGATATTAGTACGATACTTGTATGATATTAGTACGATATTTGTACGATATTTGTACATTTGTACGATACTTGTACTGTCTACTCCATACTCCTACAATACGTGTAGACGATGGAACAACGACTTTGTCCGGCCGAATATCTGCCGCAATCACGTTTCGAATCCTCACTGCTCGCGCTAATTAGTGTCTTGGAAATGTGTACTCGAACTGGCGAGTCTTGCGGCAGGAGATGATCTTTGAGCGGATGTTGAGTATAGTATACAGTACAGTACAGTACAGTACAACCAGGATGTAGCGTACTTGCATCGACAGTGGGATTCTGTACTGTAGCTAACAGCGTTGTAGTGCAACTGCGGATTCGCCATACGTGGCATTGCGAGGCTCTTCGGAGTCGGAAGTTGTTTTGTAGGTCCTATGGTGGTATGTGGTATGGTGGTCTTATGGTGGTTCACGTTTGGCCCTAAGGTGGTTCACGTTTGGCTCCTTGCCGTTTCCATCCGGATAATAAATTTTGGACTTTTGGATATATATATTTTTGACTTTTCGGTCTTCTGGACTTATTTTCTTCCCTTCGCCCTTTTCCAGCCGCGTGAGGGGATCATCCCGAGATTGCACAATAGCCCAGTGCAGTAGCCACACGTGGGCGGAATGGCGCCCGTCAGGTGACCACAACGTCAAAGGACAATCCGCCCATGTCGCCCGAGCACCAGTCGCAAATGCCACCACTACACTGCTCCGGCGCTCTGGTTTTTCCGGAACAAATACAATATCTCGCAGCACCTTGGCACTAAAAAAAGAAGTAAAAAAGAAGAAAACATAAAAAAAGGAAGAATACATAAAAAAAGAAAGAAAACATAAAAAGAACGAAAACATAAAAAAAAAAGCCTGCAGAGAGGCAAAGCTTTCCGGAAAAACAACAAAACCGGAGAGCAAAAATGGACGCGAAACAGAGCGAGCGGCGGCCGGAAGAAGCGTGCTATCTAGCTGGGGGACTTGCGAGCACAAACGCGCCGCCCGCAACACAAAGACACTTGTCCTAACGGTTGCCGGAGGCATGTCACCATGTCATGTCACACGCCCCATTCAGTCCCACGCTGCTCCCCACCCAAAACCCAAATTGCTATCGCACATATTGGGGCATAATAGAGCATAATTTAGGCTAACCAGATCGGCGATAGGCAAGTTAAATAGATGGATATACATTTGGCATATTGGCCTTCATCCTTTCCAGACATAGCAGAGACAGTGAAGCAATACCGGCAACACAAGAGGTCCGGAACAGTCGACGCGCAAACAAACATACTCTGCCACTACACCTAGAGCCAAGTCTCGTCTCGTCTCACAAGTCGTTTCACCAATCAAATCCCCTTCGTCACCACCTCAACCCCATCCCATGCTCCTACCTCAGGAAATCTTTGAACAGATCGCCTCACATCTCACCTGGGCGGACCTCAGCCGACTGTCGCAGACATGCTGGGCGCTGCATGAACAAGCTGCCCCGCTACTGTGGAACACAATCGGACCAGGCCACTTTGCACAGACCCCGTCCACCGTGTGGGACTACCACGATCTCGTGGGCCAACATCCGACTGCCCGACCAACATACACCGTGTCCAAGACGGGTCTCAAGTTGCAACTGCATGGCAACTACGTGCGCAACATCCAAATCACGTCTTTCGAGAAGCCCATTCTCTTTCTGCTCGACCGACAGGCTATTCCTGGAGTCAACCAGATTGGGGTCCGGTTCTACGGAAAAAAGCCGTATTCCGATTTCAATGAGCGGTTTGAAGTCGGCATGAAAATCAAGGGGTGGCGAAACGACGTTCACGTGGACTTTATGCCTCGATTGTCCCGGTATCTGTTGGAAAACCCCTCCGTATCACTTCAACTGCGTACTAATGACCCCACAATTCTCTACGAGATTCTCAACCATAATGTGTGCTCGCAGGTGACACTTTTCGACTGCCAGCTCGTCCGAGGAACGGTCTTGTTCAAAAACCTCATCCGACCCTCGGTCCTCAAACCCATCTTCATCTGCCAGTTCTTGCAGAGAGCCACCAACCTACAAACCCTCCGTCTGGCCTACGATCCCTACGGAGTGCTTCTGGATGAACCTCCCCACCCCCCCTTTCCCCTGGGTCCCTCGGAGCAGGATCTGGCACTGGTATTTTCCGGCCTAACAAGCCTGCAGACCCTCATCTGTCCTCCCTCCATGTTCTCCACCCTCAGAGATGGAGCTTCGTACCCTCCCAATATGCGACGACTCATTGTAGAGGCCGCTGAAAACTTCAACGCAGCCGCCTACCTGCCTATCGTCAAGTCCATGCCTTCCTTGAGACGAGTCGATATGGTCTGGGGAAAGAACTCGGTCCAGGGCATGGCAACATTTGCGCAACTCTGGGAGGCATCTGGAGCCGGACGAATGATTGAGCTGTGGCAGTATTGTGAGGCCTAGCTGAGGCTAGCCTGAACCACTGCTACACATTACCCTACGGGGCCTGTATTATGAATGAATTATGACTTGATTTACGCCGTCAGAAGTACTTACTGAAGGTGAACTAGACAACCGCCTTCCGACCCGTGTTCGAAACCCATGTCTTCACGGACTACAGACCTTGACAAGACATGTAGAAATCTTTATATTCATACTACAGACAGGAAATCTTCATATTTCTACTACAAAAAGGTTGAAGACCATGTCCTCAAAAGCTCCAGTAACACCATCAAACCATGTTCCAAACCTCCAAGATACACCTAAACTGGCCCATTGAATTCTGCGACAGTGATTACATATATCTGCCATCTTCATTGACTCATAATACTTCTCCATGGCCCCCAAAAAGCCCTTTTTGAGCTTGGCTCACGTGATATTTTCGGCCCGTCATAACGGGCAAACACCCCATTGAACTCTGTAACGGATCAGTGAAGGGTCAATCCTCAAGATATCCCTAGGTACGAGCGGGAACCGCTCGTCCTACTCTACAGAACAGTACACCAATAGTACGAGCTCCGGAAGTCGTATAAACATAACTTCACTTACATACTTGTGAGTGGTGGCTATATATACAGGCATCTCAACCCTAACTCTGTAAAGCACGTCACTATCCACGTGACCTAGCCACGCGATACCAAGTATTCATCCATAATGACACACTCATGACGTCCTCCGGACGTCATCATCATCCAGTCACGTGCCAAGGCACATGACTAATCATAACACCTTATGACTAGCTTCTGAATCGTTACAAACTCAACGGTTGCGGCCATATCCTGGTGAAAATACGGCTTCCCGTCCGATCAGCCATAGTCAAGCACCAGAGAGCCTAGTTAGTATTGTAGTGGGAGACCATACGAGAATCCTGGGTGCTGCAATCTTTTTTTTTTTCCTTTTTACTCTGCTATCAAGGGGATATCTGCTTTTAATCTCAGTAAATATAGTTCATGCTCTAACTATAGTTACATCACAGCATCAGTAACTTTGTTAGCATTAATCCATCGTTTTAACGCACTAAAGTAATTCTACAAGACAGTTTGAACATAATGACATAATTAAAATACAACCGAATTCACCCCTCTCCTCCAATCCTCCTAACTAAACACATTATCTCCGCCTAATCTCTCTCCCTCCTCCATGTTGGAAAACCCGGTGAAATGCAAAGGCCGATGCAACTCGTGGTAAAAGGCCAGGGGAATGTCCAACTTGAGATCGTAGTCGTCATTCTCGTTCCACGCAGTGCCCATAAACGTGTGGTTCCACACATCCGTCTCAGGCACCACAAAGAAGCCACACAGCTTGTCAGTGAGCAGAAGCTGTCGCGGCGCTCCAAAGGCGGTGGAGTAGCCTGCAGGCTGGTCGCTCACCAAATCAGTGTTCTGAGCACCCCAGGCTAGACCTTCCTTGGTCAGAGCATAAGGAGAGATGCTGACCGATCCAGGAGCAAACGAAACAACCATACAGAGACTGCCCACGGGCCATCCGTACTCCTTGGACAGCTTGGCGGTTGTGGTGACGTCCACAGGCGACATTTGAGGAGACTCTAAAGCCTGAGTGTGGATCCATCCCAGAGGCTCCAGGCCCTCTAAAAGAGGAGTAACTGGAGGCTTGAGAGGCATCTCCACACCTCTGTACGAACCCAGCTGAGGAACCAGAACAATGGCATGAATCTCTTTGACCTGGTCATTGTCTGAAGGAGAAGTTCCGTACAGCAGGGCTCCTACCTGGGTTCGAACATCGGCGATCTGAATGAACTTCTGCAACACGTTCTTGGGGAACACATAAGTGTAACCCTGGTCGTCGGACTCAGAGTACTCCACAAACACTTTCTCAGCTCGAAGATGTAGGTTGGCGGTACTGAGAGCTCGAGACCGCCACTCAGTCTTGCTCTGAAACACCTGCTGCTCGTAGTTGGACGTGGTTACCACCACCATTTCGTCTCCATGCACGTTTTGAGACTTGGTCTTTAGTGCAGTCACCTGAGAGTCTGTCTTGTTCTCCTCAATGTCCTGCAGCTCCTGACGCTTTTGAGAAGGTGCTTTGATCTCCTGGCCCAGAATAATATCTCGAATCTCGTGCTGAGTCAGCGACTGGATGTTCACATTGTTCTTCTTGCCGTAGTCGTTGAGAATCATGTCTCGCAGCTGATTCTCCACGTGCACCCACTGATCTTCTGAGAAGGAAGGCCACATGTGATGGTCAAGAGTCACAACCGTGTGATCGGGACGCAGAATGATCTTTGTCTTCTCATGGTTGACATGCATACCTCGCAAAATGAGAACCAGACGAGCAAAGGCAGTGTAACTGGAAATTGACTTGAGCCAATCGTCAAAGAGATTGAAAATAACCATCTGCGACTCAGTTGCTTTGAGAATCAGATCTCCGAGCTTCTCCACCTGCAGAGCAGACTTGAACGGCAGCTGGAGCTCCGACGGCCGGATGACCGTGTTGGGGAACTCAAACAGCTGCTGCTTCAGCGGCTCAACAATACTCTTTCGAGTGACAATCACCTGTTTGGGCTGCTCTTCCTTTGGAAGAGATCGGATCAGAGCAGCCACCTCTTCGGCCGCCTTCCATTTGGCCAGCTGAGACAGACGCTTCTGACCGGCCCAAGTGGACGTGTGAACCACCTTGAGGAACAGCTGACCGGTCTTGGGGTTCAAAATGAACACAGCACCGTTAAGAGGCTTGTTGGTAAAGTTGCCCTCAAAAGTGGTATGAGCAGCGGCTCGGTAGACGTTCGAATCGTCCACGAAGAACTGCACCTCGTTGTTGAATAACTCCTGGTAGTTTTGCGAGTTGAGGAACGCTTCCTGCGGCTGCGACTGATACAGCTGCAGGCCCTTTCGGATTCGTTCTCGCAGCACAAACAATGCAGGGTTGGCCTGCATGATTTTGGACATGGCAGGACGCATGAGCTGTTTCAGACCGGGGAACCAGTTGCCATAGGCGTCGTACATGTTGTACGCAAGATCAATGCCAACCATGGCTCCAACAGGCGAGGGGTAGACAGACACTCCGTCGGTGGTGTACTCCAGAAACTTGGCTCGAGTGTACCGACTGATATCGTGCGAGTCGTAGTCTCCGTATCGAAGCTGCACGTCCAGCCAGAACTCGGACGTTTGAGCGAAATCCATGGAGTCGGACGAATCGTTCAACAATGAAGGCTTGCAAACGTTCCACTTGTAGGCCGACTTGAGCACAATATCAGCACACGAAGAGTTCATCTTGTACGACTTTCGAGGATGAATTTGTTCCTTTCGAGTCTCACTAATCTGCAGCGTCTCCAGCTCTCGATCAAGCACCTGACAGATATCAAGCACCACCGACTCGTGGATTTTCTGCCACAAATGGGCCCGGAAAATCTGAATCAGCGAAATCTTGAGCGTGGGGATTTTACCATGCAAAAAGATACCCGTGAGATCCAGCTGTACCAGGAAACCAACGTAGACATTGGCTCGGTTGATGGTAGGAGACCACCAGAGAGTGAAGCGTCGATTGGGAATCTGGTTGAGACCAGACCGCTGGGCGTTGGTCAGCTTCTTGAGCTTGAGTTGGTCCTCGAAGCCAGCGGCCTTCTCCCAGAAGAGACCTTCCCAGTTGTCGAAACCGGTACCCTTGAACAGAGTGTGTTCCAGAATCGTCTCAATGCCACCCAGTGCCTGGATGACGTCTGTTCTGTATGTATTCAGCGACCACAGCTTACCGTCATGACGCTGAGACGTCCACCAAAAGGGGTTGACTCTAGGGATGGAGAACTGTCGGAACTCCGTTCGCACACGGTGACCCTTATCGTAGGCCAGCGTATGTCTGTCCTTCTGGAACAATGTGTTGATTCGAGGCAGACCTCGGTCCCACGAGTCCTCTAGATCCTCCAGAGACAGACGCCGGTTCTCGGCCTTGGCCTCGGCTCGTTTGGACGCATACTCGGCCCACACACGCTGCGAGTCGGTGAACTCTGCCTCCCAGGTCGTCAAGTACCGGAAAATATTTGGAATGATCTTGTCTTCGCCGTGAACATGAGTCATACCAGCTCGGAAGTGGGTAATGCCGCCCTGATCAGACTGCTTGGACCACCGCAGATCACTGGCAGGGATCAGAATGTGAGAAGCAGAAAACATACCCAGACCACCAAGCTCCTTGGGGGTGTAGAACACGGCAGGGGGGAAACGAGTTGGCATTTTGGAGTTGAGGCCAATCTTGACACGAGTTTGAATCTTGGTCTCGCATTTGACCAGGGTGTCCAGAAGCTGCTCAGTGGCGACAGCCGCCTCTCGATAATACGTGAACAGCGAAATCAGAGCAGTGTTCCACTTGTTGGCAATCTTCGTGAAGGTGGTGGAACCAGACGACATGAGAATCTGTCGAATTCTGTTGTTGAACCGCGCAATATCGGCATCAGAGACGCGCAAGAAAGCATACGCAGTTCGCTCCTTGGTAGACTCGTTGGTGAGGTTCCAGACAGAGTCCTTGACGGGCACAGACGCCACAGTTCGACACTTGGGCAGGATTCGAACCTCAAAACCGCACATGGAAAACAGCAGATTGGGGTTTTCGCTGGAGTAGACAGAGACAAACGACTCAGACCACTCAATGGACGTCATGGCTCGAGGGAGTCGGTTCTGAATTTCCCAAAACGCGGCGCGTGCAAGATTCACGTCGGACCGCATGAGCCGCATTCGAGAGTCACGCGGCCAGCACTTCTTAGTAGGGAAGTTAACCACGTTTTCAAAGTTGGGGTCCGGGTGCTCAGTCAAGAACCGATGAACCAAATCCGAAGACTCGTCCTTAGTAAACCGGAAGAGGATGTGGATTCGGTCAATGTACCGAGAGTACGCTCTGATAGGATGGTCCGTCTCCACAGCGACGGAGGGGTATTGCATGAAGTAGTTGGGCCGTTTGGGATCACCAGCCATCTGAGACGCTCGAGTGAGACCCAGGATGAGCAAGTCAGCAACGAGACCATAGTACTGAACCACAAACGACGAGAACTGCAGACCTCGCAAAAGACCATAGTTGTTGGTGTGAGACATGTCTTTGTAAGTGAGCCGGACGTTGTTCTTGGCAATGATGTACTTGGCCAAGTTCTCGTCCATGATCAACCGGAGCAGATACTGCAAAAAAGTAAAGTCAATCTTCTCCCAGATCTTGCTCAGAGAAGTCTCCAGCATGACAGTCGATTCTCCAGCGTCAGTCTTCCAAATGTTGTCCAGATTGTTGATGCCCTGGCACCACTTGTACACGAGCAAGGGAGGCACTTCCGAATCACTAGGCTTGATCCAGTTGGGGAAGAGGCCATTCTTGTCACCCTCATACCACAGATACTGGTCCAGATATGCGTCAGCAATCTTCTCGGTGGGGTCAATGTCGTACACGGGAGTCACGTGAGAGTAGTGATCCATCATCTCCAATCCCACGTCCTTGAAACCCTCGTTACGCACAAAGTTCTCCTTCACCTGTCGCAGAGTCTCATGAGGATTGTCATAGGCCTGTTCTATGTACGCCATTTCGTCTCGCTGGCTCTGGTTGAGACGTCCCTTGGAGTTGAAGCCCTCCTTCATACCCTCCAGCGCCAACACCAGCAGCTTGGTGTCGTGCTTGTAACTGGCAGGAGGCATGGAGATGGTGGAAAAGTTTCGTGACTCTAGCCAGTTCACCATCATCTGCTGGATGGCCCGTGCGTCATTACCGTCCCAGTATGGGCCGTCTCGCAGGAAGTTTTGTTGTCTCTCCTGCTCGGACTTGAGCCACAGACGAGTCAGACGGCCGAGATTCTTCTTGGCAAGCGTCTTGTCCACAGTGGCGCCTCGGTTGATTCGCTCTCGGTTGTAGTGAGCAGCAGCCATCCAGCCCTCAGCCTTGGCTTTGACGTAACGTAAGATAATGTTCTCGATGGGGGCAGGCATACCAGGCACCTTCCACGGCACGTTGGCCTTCCAGCACCGCCAGGCCTCAGATAGATGCTGCAGAACAGTCTTGGTCTTGGCCTCCTTGATACCCTCAGGAATCATGTCCAGAATATCCTTGAGAACCGACGCTCGAAGCTCGAGATCGTAGGAAGATTCGACTCGCTGCTTGGTGATAGTCTTGGCAACGCCCTTGGAGTGACGACCCTCAAACTGACGCGCCAGAAGGTTTCCCAGCCACCGCTCAAGAAGGGGGATGATTCCACGGAGGAAAAATAGCCACACCCGCCAGGCAGGCTGCCAGAAACCACAGCCAGGACCCTTACCGATAACGACGTTGAACCTGTAGTAAACCACGTGCTTCAGATCCTTACAAGTTCGAATCTGGTGCATCACCTTGTACTTGTATCGATAAATACCGGTGAGCTGGCCCAGGTGGTTCAGGGTGTAGTAAATACCATCGGCCAGCTGGAAGGCGTCGACATTACCGAGTCGGAATTGAACCTGAGCGTCCACAAGGATTTTAACCACTCGCAGAATCTCACGCATGAGGTGGAAGGCATTTCCAAACCGAGACTTCTTTCGCTCCTTGGTAGTAAGTGTCTTTGTAGGCTTCAAATTGAAGTTGTAGTCCAAATGCAGGTATGTGAGACCCTTTCTGTGAATCAACAGGTTAAGCATGTTGAAACCCTGTCGACAAAGCTGTAAACCAGCTTCCACCCAGTCAATTTCCGTCTGCTGGAAAAACTTTGTGTTTCTCAACGACTTCAGCAATCCACGCTTCTTTTGAGTGACTGTAGACTGAGAGGTCAGAGACGTCAACACGTACGACTTCAGTAGCTTCTGGTAGGAAACTCGCACCTTGATGGGGTAGCCCTTGGGAGGATGCTGCAGGTACCAATCCTTGATAAGAGCCACGTCCTGAGCACGCACAGTAGGACCGGAACGTCGATCGAAGGGACTGGGAGCATGGTAGAGAGCCAGAGCTGATGAAAGCTGCTCGTTGACAAGAGGAACAGACTCCAGGGGAGGTGCGAGAGGTCCAAGATCTTCGGAGAGATCAACGTCCACATTATTATCGATCTTCGACCTCGTGATCGGAGCCAACTTGGGATCAAAGTAGTAAGGAGGCAGATCAGGATCCTCAGATTTGACAACAACTTCCTGAGGGTACGAGTACGTCACCAGTTCCACCTTTCGAGGCATGGAGTTGTACACATGGGGGAATGCCACCTTGTGTTCTGTGGTGATCATGTTTCGCACAATGATTCTGTCGATGGCATTGAACTCACCAAAGTCCTCATTGTCGGGATCCAGGTCTTTGTAGAGAGGCTCAAACTTTGGACCTCCCGGAATTGCCATATTCAGAGCCTTGGCGGTGTAAAAGGCTTTTTTGTCAAACAGGTAAAAGTAGTTGGGGTCGGTAACATCGGGAAGAAGAGGAGTGGCAAGTCGATAGAGAGTGGTCAGCTGCTCAACACTCAGTCTGTACGACCGGTAGGAGGGCCCGTTGACCTTGAGTCCGTCCTCGAACAGCGGTCTGTGCTCGTAGAACCAATCCACCACTGCTGAGTCATCCACGGGACTCAGGTCCATCAAAATGCCCTCTGGGGGCTCAACATCCTGAATGTTTTCTGCCCAAGAAATCGGAGGCTCTTCGTCGTCAAAAGGAGGGAATCGCATTCGTTTGAAGTGTCGTCGGTCTCGTTTTTCTCGTCGCATCATCACCCACATGGTTGCCCATTGGGCTGTGTACACCTGAGGCACGACTCGGGGGATCTCGTTCACGAAAGTGATGGCACCAGAAATGTGGTACAGCACCTTCACCTCTCGAACGGCCTCCCAGGGCTGGGGCATATTCTCCAGCAGCTTGATCACACCGTGGGGCATGAACTTGAGAGCTCCGAGGTAAGCTCGTTTGTCGGACGCAAACTTGCGCGAGCTCATATCTCCATGGTCCTTGATGAGTTTTCGCAGGTGCTCCGGAGGCATATCTGCCTTGGACGAGTGCACAAACGTCGACTTGCCGGACTTGTCGGCAAACTTGCGCTTCTGCAGCTTGAGCCATCGCTTCTTTCGGGCTTGTAAGAGAGACGATCGTGAGTCCTCAGCAGGTGGAGGAGGTGCACCTGGAGGAGCTCCCGGAGGAGGTGGAGCTCCGGGAGGGGGTGGAGCTCCGGGAGGAGGTGGTGCTCCCGTGGGGAAGCCTGGTGGCGCCCCTGGTGGTCTGAGACCTGGAGGGGGTGGTAGTCCAGGTGGCACTGTGTTAGTAAACGAAAGCAAGGGTAGGAGGTCTGAACGGACCCCATAAGCGAATCAAACCGATGGTGTGACAACTAATGACGTGGCAATTTGATGAGTGGCAAACACAACCACGTAGTAAATACGCTGATGGTCTGGTGCCCATGTCGTCAAGAGTCTCTTCATGGTATGTGACATGACATGATCTGAACCAGAAACAGCTCAGTATCGAATATCCCCATCGATGACGTGGCACGTTCACGCATCTCGGCTGGTTATATCGCATGACACAACCACCGTCGCACTCTCGGTATCCACATCCAGCCCATGTCCATATCATGTAGGTCGGTGTTGATGTCATTGCTGAGGTGTCTCCATTGGCGCCGTGTGGTGGCCGGGCGGTTCTTCTGCCACCAAACAATGTGCCACTTCCATCTGCGCCACTTTTGCGCGCTCGTACTCACTCTTGTATCAACCTCTAGAGCTGATCAGGCGATGTGAATGTGTAGATTGGAAATGATTTTTGAGTTTGGAAAAAAGGTGTTTTGAATTTGCTGCAGGCTAAGCGGATATTGGGATGATTTAATCTGGGAATAAAAGACAAAAAACTTGGAATAAAAGATAAAAAACTGGGAATGTTGAAAATATTCAGATTTATTTGATTAAAACAGGTGGAGATGAAGAAGAGTCTTTGAAACTGTTTGGGGGACTTTCAGAGTCCCTTCGAGGGTGAAGAAATGAAACATTTCCACAATGACCAGCAGTTTTCTTGGGGTTGCTAAAGCGGTTGGATATAGACACACACGGACTGGTACTCCAGTGATATTGCCGACTTCAAGAACTTGTACGACATTGGAGACTTGCTAAATCGTCACACAACTGCCAATACTTCACTTGTACAGCACTTGTACCCGTGCCAGCCTGCTCTAAATATATGCAATAATCTATCACTGACCCCTAAGAGACTCCTTGAGATAGCGAGGCCCACTTTTTCTTCTCAACTCCTTGCCCCAGATGATCATGGGAACTGTGAGAATCAACGGAACGAGCGAGAAACAGCCGGCCATAATGTACACGTTCTGAAGACCCATCCTTTCCTCCCATGGACCCAAACAGAAGATGATGACCATGGCCAGTCCGTTTCTGACCACAATCACGCCAATGAAGGCGTCAGCAACAATCTTGTCGTAGCAGTCGAGCAGGTAGGTCACGACTATGGCTCCTGATGATCCGAATCCGAACATAATGATGGCAAAGCCGATTGTGGGGACCATCCAATGCACTCGGTTGGCCAGAGATGTGCCAAACAGAAAAACGCCCACTGTGAGCGAAAAGTTGGCAAATACGAGACTGTAGAGTCGAAACTCCGGCTCGTATATGCCTTTGTTTCTGTTGGACAGCCATATGATGGTCTTGTCGTTGAACCAGCCTCCAAAGACAGATCCGAAGATCATGCCGACGAAGGGGGCAATGTTGACGTTGCCAATAGCTGCGGAGGAGAAATTGTATGGTGGCAGCGCGAAAGAATTGGCACTAGTGGTAGCAGCCATGGACAGCCACGTGAGCATGAAGCCGTACTGAATGGCAGAAAATGCAACAATGGGATATGAGATCAGCGTGACAAACGGAATGATCATCTTTCGTCCAAACTCCTTGCATCTTGCAGGAGTATAAGTCACCAGAGCCAGACGCTTGGACAGTGGGTTCATCTGCAGCTCCACGTCGTTGTCCAGTTTCGGCTCTTGAGGAAGATACTTTGTAGCAGCGCCGCAGTTTTCCTCAGAGGAGTCCTCCTCAGAAGAGTCCTCCTCGGTGATGAACGTCTGTTCAGGATTAGTCAAGTACTTGGTCTCCTCAAACAAGAATACTGTCATGAGAAACTGCCCGCCCGCAATTATAGCCACAATGATATAGACCCATCTCCATCCGAGGTTGACGGTGATGTATCCCGCGGGCACCAGAATCAGAAAGTTGCCCACGTCCACCACAAACATGTAGATGCCGTTGAAGGTGCCTCGCTGGTGCACAAAGTACAGATCGGCGACTGTCATCTGGATGATGGTTTCGGTGATGCTAACGGCCAGACCCTGGATCAGAAACGAGCTGTAAACCTCGCCAATGGAGTGCATTCTGGACTGCCAGGCAGCACATGCCACGACGAGGGCCGAGGCAACAATGTAGACGGGCCGTTTTCCAAACTTGTGGGCAAACGGGATCAGAAGTGGGCATCCTAGCCCCAATCCTGCCACCGAGAAGGCGTATGTGTTGTTGAGCTGGTCCAGGGTCCATCCAAACTCCTCGATCCAAGGGCCCCAGAAGACTGACGACACACATGCGGAGGTGAAGGCTATGAGGGTAAAGAAGCACACCAGAACGAAGTTGAAGTGTTTGCGCCACGGCGGCCAGTTGAGCGGCTCATTCGGATCCGACGACGGGTGCGGTTGCAGCACGATAGTTTCGGCTTCGCTCTCAAGCAGCACCGTTCCAGGCGGTTCTCCATAGATTGCCATGGTGTGATGGTTGAGGAGCGGACGACGGCGTGAACCGGCATCATCACATCTCCTCTGGTACTCCTCATATATACCGTCTCCACCTTGAAGGATGCGACTCTGTTTCCGGCATAAGGTGTCCACTAGCCGTTAGCTTAGCGTGAAACTTACAATCACACCATGTCCAATACAGACCTTGGTGTGTAGCCGTGAGATTAGGGCGATCAAGTGTGCAGCTATAGGAGATGAGCTATGATATTCAAAGTGGAGGATACACTGATTGTACAATGTACTGTACTTGAATAATGTACATTCTTCACGTGAAACATGGCATTAATTTACCATACAATTAGACCGCCATCACGAGCATCGACGAACATCGTGTACAAGTATCTACGTCGCTGTGCTACACTTGGGACAGACACGGTGAAAAACGCTGAAAATTTCTCCATTGCAAAATCTTCGGCGCAAAAGTTCCCCAACAAACGAACACACTGCAGTTGGACTCCCGGTGCATTACCACTGCCGGGCGGGTGGGCAGACACAAGCTGGAGGCACAAGAAGCAATCAGGAACCCCGTATTCGCTTAAGAACAACTCTGCATATCCGCACTACTGCAGATAAAAATCCACTTTACGCCTGAAATTATGCTCTTTCAGAAATTTTCGTCTCCAGCAGACTCGACAACGAAAAAAAAGGCGAAAAAAGGCTGAAAAGGCGAAAAGGCGGAAAAGGCGGAAAGGCGGAAAGGCGGAAAAGGCGGAAAGGCGGAAGAGGCGGGAAAAAATTGCAGCTGTCAGAAATAGATCCAATCAGTGATTTCACCTGTCATAATAAAAGGCGCGCCCACATCTGAAGGTGCATCATGCAGCTGCAAGATGGTACAATAGTGCAAATCACCAAAAAAAAAAAAAAACGAAAAAAAAAAAAAGAAGACATCCCCAATAAACGTCCAAATCGACATTCGTTTCAAACGACAAACAGTGCAATATTAGAATGGAAAATCAGCTATTTAAACGAAATGTTTAATCTAGTCAACTTTTCATCCCACAGGTAAACCGATACGGGCCTTGCAGTAGTAGACAATGAAATACGAACATGGCCCATCTTTTTTTTATTAAACCTAGCCCACTTGAAATGGCCGTTATCGCACTGGTGATTTTATCGCTTGGTGGTAACCCTCTCAATCATGTGCTTCGTTTAAACGCTCGTTCATGATTTCACGCTGCCTCCCGCTCCTGAATAGTCTTGACTATCGCTCTGGCCTCCTCCAAATCCTGTGGACTTCCATGAGTGTACTCCATGGCGTACCGTAACGCGCTAGAGAAGTTTCCCTGATCGAACTCGTATCGAGCCAGCCAGATTCGCGCCTTTGCAGTCTCGTCAGTCACTCCTTCAGCCAACTCCGTGCCCAGACACGCCTCCATGTACTTGGAAGCCATGCGCTGATCGCCAGTCTTTTCGTAAAGAGCAGCGATACGATAGAATACGGTGGGATCATTGTCCTGAACCGCCAGGGACCGCTTGTAGCCCTTGATAGCCTCATCGTATCGTTTGAGCTTCTCAAAACAGTTACTCAGAGCCTGCCACATTCGAGGATCCATAGGCTTGAGAGCTGTGGCTCGCTGGTAGTAGTACAGCGAGTAATAATGCATATCCAGCACCTCATAGGCCTGTCCCAGACCATACCATGCACGGTAATCGTTCTGATTCGTGTCCACAGCCCGTCTGTACGACTCGATAGCCGCATGTGAGTTTTTGAGCTCCACAAACTCATGGCCCATCAGAGTCCACGCAGAGAGACAGTTTCGGTTGAGCGTCAATGCCCGTCGGTAGTAGGTGATTGCCTTTTCGTGGTCGGTTCGCAGCGAGTAGTAGTTGGCGATGATGCAGCATGTTTCTGGTCTGAACTTGTCAGTACAGGATGCTAACTGGGCCAAAAACGACAGCTTCGACCGCTTCTCCATTACGTACAGAATGTTAGAGTACGCATCCATGTCGTCGAGTCGGTGGGGGTCCAGGTTGATGACATGGTCGAAAATCTGTTCGGCTTCTGCGTATCCAAGGTTGTGGTAATTGAGCAGCGCCTTTTGGATCGTCAGGTAGTGGAATTGCGGGAAGATGGTTTCCAGCTCCTCAATGAAATTTTGGACAAGATCAAGCGGCTGACAGAAAACCTGGTGACACACGACAATGAACATCTTTGTGGTGACCAGCTGTTTGGGCAGTCGTTTGACAATGCTGTCTAGTCCGTCGATATGCGACATGCAAGTGAGAATCTCCATCCAGCAGCTCCAGTTGTATGGTTGGATCACCAGGGACCGAACCAGCACCTCGATCGCCTCTTTGTAGTTATTTTGCTTCGACATGACCACTCCGTAAAGGTACAGAAGGTAGGGGTCCTGTGGGAATCGAGCCAGCAGCTTTGTGCACTCCTGGATGATGCTGACGAGCTGGTTGTTGGTAGTCACGCCGTCAGTGCTGGCCAGCACGCCCTGTCCCTCCTCTTCACGTCGTTTTTCGCCGGCCATGTACTGGGCGTACAGACGCAGAAAGTTGGGGATGCTTCCCTTGCAGTCCTTGAGGTGGTAGGCACACCGGTCGTATTCCTTGGTGTCAAAGTACATTTTTCCTAGCAGATACTTGTCTGTCTCGGTGCCTAGCTGGCTGTAGAAGTCCATACGGGCCTGTGCCAGAGAGTCTGGGTTCTGTGGATCAAGCTGCAGCCCGTCCAATGCTTCTATGCACCATTTGGCCGATTGGTACAGACACAGATCGGAGAAGAGCACGGACGCGTTGCGCAGATTGGTGGCCAGCGACAGATTCGAGCTGGGTGTCATTTGGCGCGTGGTAGCGGAAGTTGTCGCGTTTTGGTGGTGATGTTGTGAGGTGGTTTGGAAGGTAAGTTTGGGGGTGCATGTGAGGAGTACGAGTGGACATGTGAGGAATGGAAGAGGAGGGGTTCAGCGAGTGTTGTAGGCCCTGCAGAGGAGTATTAAGTAGTCTGGGTAGTATTTTGTTGCCTGAATTGGGGCTTGTCTAATTTTTGCGTCCATATAACAAGTATTGGCAGATCTACAGTCAGGTCTTCAAGTCAACTATTTACTTAAGTAAAAACCACAAGTAGTTGTACCTGTACTTGTAATTGGTAAGATTTTTTGGAAAACCCAATAATGGTGTAATTGGTTAGATATTAGTCAGGTAAAACATTACTAAGGGCCCACTTGCTTAATCAGCAACATTCAACAAATTCAACTATTTTTCACTTCAATTAAATGGTAATTTACTGAGATTAATGGTTCATATTAATCTGCTTAATAACATCAGCCCACTCAATGCATCATTATGCATCTTGCAACACCATTTGAAGCTGCTCAGATCGGCTAAAGAAACGACAGGGAGGAGTTCAAAGCAATAAACACGGACCTGTCCAGACTCAGAAACGACTCAGACAGTCAGAAACGACACCGACACTGACCCGGACACCGACACCGACACATACAGCCAGACACCGACATAGCACAGCCACTCAACCGCTTTTACTCCAAAATGCTAGCATTGTCCTTGCAAGAGACGGTAACGGCTCTACTGCTCCTTTTTCTCACAACATACATCATCTACAGCTTGATTCCGTCAGCGCGCGATGCTCATCCTTTGGTTGTTCTTCAGCAGTCCAATCTCGGCTCAATTCGTCAACCGGGGGAATCGGGGGTGTATAGATCGCATTTCTGTCCCCATGGACTTCCTCTGTTGAGAGGCCTTCAAATTCAGGCCGATAACTACAGACTGCGCAACGGAAACATGGGCGATCTGCTGGAATTGGCCTCCGATACCGTGAGCTACCAAAACGTGCGTAAGCTGGGCTCGTTCCTCAAGCCCAACGTGACCATCATCTGGGATAAAAACAGACCCGAATTCGTGGAGATTCTGTTTGCTTGTGCTCTCTACAACCTCTCTGTGGTGGTCATCAGCGATGAGTACACTGGAGAGGCCCTTAAGGAGGCAATAAAGGTATCCAACCCTGGCATCTTGGTCAAAAATGGCGAGTTTGGAGTCCTTCTCAACGATACCAGTTACGAGACAGTCAAGAACACTTACTCCGAGGAGGAGTTTCCTGCACTGGACGAATCATACGGATTCCTGGGCTTCCCTGTGTCAGACATTCACAGAAAGATAGCCATCAAGTATTACAATCACGCCAATATCGTCGCAGCAATTGTCGGACAACTGAAGGGATTCCCAGCAACCCATGAAGTGACACAAAAAGATACAGTCTACTTTGCAGACGCATCTATTGGAAAACCATTCCCTCTCGTCCTGTACCTGGCAACTCTGGCTATCGGGGCAGGTGTGGTTACCGAGTTGGATCAGGCTACAATTGTTGTCACTACTCAGGACAGAGTGTCGCGACTCCTGAGCACAAAGCTGTCTTTATGGCAACGGTTCAAGCTTTCTCGTGCAGAATCTTCTCTTGCAAATGGATGTCTGAACAGAAGCGGTGTTTTGACTGAGTATTCCAAATGCAGAATGCTGTTCTTTGCTGCCCAGGAGCCTGCTCTGACTTCTGTGCAGGTAGGCAAGATTCGGGCCCTGACAGGATCTCACATAGTCTACTCTCTCATGTCGCGTGAGTGTCTCTCTCCCGTTGCTCAGACCAACATCTACGACTACCGACTGATCAATGGGGTTGTTTTTGGACCCCCTCCCCCCTGCTTGGAAGGCAAGGTGCAAAGTGAGAGCGACGACAAGGTGACCAAGGGACAATTGGTTATTCAGAGTCCGGCTGCCGACAAAGGTTGGCTTGAGACCGAGTATTTTGGTGAATGGGGAGCTGATGGCGCTTGGAGGTTGAAGTCGTATAGTACATAGTAAGTACATTAACCATTACTGTAGTCATCATAAATTATATATGTACATTACTGTTTGGGGCCTCCGTGGACGTTGGTAATGGGAGGTTCTGCGGGTTTGGACACGCCAGGTTTCGGGTTGAATACCGACTTTGGAGGCTCGGTCTTGAGAGACTCGATTTTGGGCTGCTCCACGGGCTTTGTGTCCACCTTGGTGCTCTTCTTTCGCGAAAACACGTTCTTGAACATTCGACCGACGCCTCGGGTAGTGGGGATGAAGATCCATCGGGCAAAGGGAGGGGTCAGGAGCAGGGAAATGGGGATTCGGACAGGCAGAGTGGCCTTGACTAGAGCGTAGGCCGCCGCACCCTGCATTACCACTCGGGCCGAGTTCTCCATGTTCAGAAAGGACCATCCCTGGGTCTCCAGCAGCTTATCTATCACGGACATGCCCTTGACAATGAGCCAGTCGGGCAGTCCTGGAGGCACGAAGTCGTATCTGTTGAAGTACCACCATAGGCCGAACAGCGGAATGATGGCTGTGATTTCGTGCACAATCAGGAACGACGTGACGTACGACACGGGGGCGTTCTTGAACCGGCGGGCGAGAGGCCGGATGAACCGGGGAATGTGTTTGAGAATGGGATCATTGTCGTCAGGGTGGGGTTCTCGTTTTCTGAACAGAAACGTTCGGGATCCTGCCATGGACGCCGGGTTGGAGAGCGGCGTCAGCGTGGGTCTGGAGAGCGGCGTCAGCGCGGGTCTGGAGAGCGGCGTCAGCAGTCCTCCATTGACCTTTGGCAGTGTTCGGAAGGTGGGTCGGAGCATGGTTGTGAGTTGTAGCAAGCGAGACGCCTTGTTCATGTGAAATCTCCATGCACCATGCACAACCTGTGGAATAGATTAGGTTTCACTGGGGTGGAGATTGGTGGTATTATTTGAGGAGCTGGTGCGGGAGCGTCATGAGGAGCATTGTACAAGTGCGTGTGTGTGGTTCTGATTCTCTGTGGCTGGTTTGAGGGTTGTTTTTGGAGGCTAGAGGTGGTGGGAGTGGGGGTGGGGGTTTAGTTGGAAGTTGGAGTAAGACTGTGGAGCTTAGTTGGGAAAATGGTTGACCAGCGGCAATGTTAAGCTAAATGGTGGGAATGGGAGTGGGAACACCCTACCTAGGAGTTGAGAGCGAATCCATATCCTCTTCCTTGGTCCGGAGAGGGCATTGAAGAGGCTCCGAAGGGTTGCATGTTTACCGCATAATCCAGCACTCGAAAAAGAGTACCTATTTTACCCATACTGGCGCTGTTCGTTGTTCATGAGGCAGCCTCACATTTTTTTGGTGTTTTTTTTTTTTTTCATTTTTTTTTTCATTTTTTTTTTCAATTTGGTTTAGTGAGGCTGAAACAAGTCAGGATTCTGGACATTTTCAGTGCGAATCAAGTCACACGAAGCCCGCCCGAAATGGACACGTCTTTCATCGCTCTCATCACTCTCATCACTCTCATCACTCTCATCACCCTCATTACTTCCTAATCCCATTATCAGATGATTACTTCACTATTCTGGCAGACTATCTCCATGTTCCTCCTTGCTGAGGCTGTCGCGCATTTTCAATTTTTTTTAACGTTTCGCATCACACAGCTGAGACGCGCAGTTGAGATGACGGTTGGAGTATCGAGATTGCAACTGCACTGGCCAGGCGTCAAGCCAATTGAGGCTGTCTGACGAACGCAATGTGGCGATCTAGGGAAAGCGACATATAAGAGACGCTGGGCCTGTGGGTGTGTCTGCCAAAGCTGCCACTACCGTCTCTCAACATGACCAAACAACCATCCTCACCAACTCCACGACGATCGAGAAAGGGCAAAGAGATCTGTACCGGATCTCCGTATTCGAGTTCGGACGACGAATCCCCAATTCCGAGTCCGCGTCGGTCCATTACCCCCGACCAGCCTTCATTTTGGAGGTGTGCCGACGAGCCTGAGACCTACCAGCCAACCGTTTCTCCTCGTTGTACTCCGAAACGAAGATCTGTTTCTGCCAGTCCCTCGACTCCTGGAAACGCTCGTGGAAGACGCTCAAAGTCGGAATCCCCCAAATCGCTCTTCAAACCTCCCAAAAAGTCGCCCAAAAAGTCGCCCAAAAAGTCTAGGAGAAGCAAACTAATGGGGTTCTTGAACAGCCCCGTCAACACGTTGCACCGTTTTTCAAAGTCGGAAAAACCGCCAAAGTCACCAAAGAAGAAGAGTACCAAGCACGCGCTCGCTCCCATCTCCGGTGAGTCAGTCAATGGGCGAATAGAGGCCCTGAAAGCCCACGCCGACCAGCCAACTCCGTCAACCATCTCGCCGATGCGGTATGGTATGCTGTCGCCCCCATTTGTTCCAGGCGGCGAGGGCCCTTCTTCCCAGACGAGCCGCCCTGCAGTTCCATCTCATGGAGACAGAAAGAAGAGCCTGATTGGAAAGATGGACAAGGATACCGCCACCTCCGAACAAGCACTACTGGAGGAGCGTGAGCGGAGGAAGCAGGCCGAGCGAGAAGCCCAGAGAGAAGCGCAGACAGCAAGACAAGAGGAGCTTGAGCGAATGGAGGAGGGAGAGGCAGATGGCGGAAATGGCGGCGAGGCTGAAGTGGAGAGCCCGGAGGAGAGACGGGGGGAGACAGTGGTGGAGAGACGGGAGGACAGGCACGAGGCTCGTTGGAATGAGGATGGCCCCGGACACATAGGGACTGGGAGGGCAGACGCTTGGAGCGCAGTTTTGAATCGGACTACTGAGCAACCTGAGAGTGATGACCCTGCCCACGTGAGTGAATATTGTTTTCGTTCACCTATGGGCTATCGTGTTCGCACAACTGGAGTTCTACAGGGACCCCCAAGCCCGAGCCCGCCTGCTCTGGACGGATGGCCCCTGTTGACACTACCACCACCACCACCACCACCACCATTCCCACAACTGCGGCAAGAGGAGCAGCCTACTGATGAATATGAGGCAGATCCCCATCAAACCCATGAGATCGAGACCCCGCCGCCTACCGTCGGAAGTTCGGAGAGGCGTTTGGGTGATGCAATCAGATTGAACCCGCCATATGATCAGGGAGAGGACCAGCATCGAGGGGACCAACCACCAGCACAAGGGCCGGGGAGCTCTCCTTCTGAGCAGTTGAGCCGGGCTGTCGAACAGCTTCATGTTGGGGAGATGGAGAGGGTTGTCGTGGGCGACCCCTCGGGGGTGGTAGACCAGCTCGATGGAGATCAGCAACAGGGCTTTATGGAAGATGTCGCCGTGGTACCCTCCCAAGACATCCCTTGTCGGGTTTCTACGCGAATGAGATGTGATCATCCCGATGACAGTGACAATGGCTCCAGTTCTGACGACTCCAGTTCCGATAATGGGGACCCGAGGGATGCGGGGGATGGAGACGGAGACGGCGGAGAAGGAAGGAGAGGCATGGAAGACGACGATGAACATCGACAGAGCGAGGGTGACAATAAGGAGCCGTTCCCGCCACAGCCAGCCCATGGGGACGGGAGTGGCGACAATCCCCCCGGCGATCCTGTCGTTAGCCCACAGTCCCCAGTCACCAATGCCCCAGGTCCTCCACCAGACGATCCTGTGCTTGTCCCACAACCCCCAGTCGTCAATGCCCCAGGCCCTACACCAGACGATCCTACCCTTATACCACAACCCCCAGTCGTCAACGTCCCAGTCCCTAACGTCCTCATGCGCTACGTTGACTTTTACCGGCATACATTAGCTGTCGACGATCCCGGTCTTCCGAACAATGTATCTCACGATGAGTCTGTCCCAGGTGAAGGGCCAGTCAATGCGATGCATGTGACTCATGGTGCAGTCGTGGATTCAGTTCAGGATCCCCTGTACACAAGCAACAGTATTCTAGATGCCATTCACGCTGAGTTTGGAACTGTACATGATGGCATTCGCACCTTGGCTGCTGCTCTTGACGGTCTCATTGAGGAAGCCCGTAGAGCTGAAGTCGCCAGACGAGAAGAAGTCGCACGAAAGCATCTTCGTGATTTCGAACGGCGCCTTAGTATTGAAGATGCAGCACCTGGTGGTGATATCAGTGCTGTGGAACGAGCTGCCATAAACTCCATCACGACAATGCGAAACTCAGCTCTCCGTTCCTTGGAAGCAGCTCGTGTCGCCGCCAACCGCCAAACAGAGGGGACAGCCAAACGGGTTGGTAGGGATGCTGTTGACATCATGCGTCAGAACGCTGAAAATATTGCTACGGCTGCAATTTCTAGGGTCGAAGATGCAAGGGGCGGTGTTGTGGCGGCCGTTCAACAAGCAGGTGAGCATGCGGTTCGGGCTCTCCATGAAGCCGTAGCCGAATTTCGGCAAGAGCTCGCTGGCACCCAGCCCGGTGGCGAAGCTGACACCGATGGGTCCCAGAGGCTGCAATGTCGAAAGCGTTCTTATCCTTTCGAGTACGAACCCGACGGCGATGCCAGGATGGCGATTTGTCCCATGAAGAAACGTCATGTTGGCGAGGGTCTAAACTTTGCCCGCTACAACTTGATTGCCAAGCATCGTGCTCACCAGAGGTTGGTAGCAGCATCACCATCCTATTGCACTGGAGCGGAGGAGAATTTTGGAAATGTGCTGGATATCTTTTTGATTGAGGGAGTGTGTCACAAGGGAGCGGCGGAATGGGCTGAAGAAAGTTATGAAGACCAGGAAAAAAGGAGGCAGCAGATACTGGCTGAGCAGAAGAAGAGTGCGTCTCGCCATGTCAAGTGGTTGGAGAGTTATCTGCAGAGGCAGAAGAAGTTGATACCTGAGTTGTTGAATTGTTCTGTTGAAGCACCATTCAGTGATACAAACGTCCAAGATTTGCTCAAGGGGATTGAAGACGAGATTGTATCGGTTAAAAAGGAGAAGAGGAAGCTGAAGCGTTTCCTGCGGGCAAATGACCGAAAGAAATGGAAGACCAGCATTGCCAGGCGCGAAGTTGAAACCGCTCTGCAAGGCCCTACAAGTGGCAGTGAGGTGTAAGGAGAGGAAAGAATGTCGTATTTATGTTTTGAGATCGTGTGAGTGGATACTTCTGTAGTGTTTTGTATAGTTATGGTAAAGATTGTGATACTGTCGAGATCGGACGATGTTTGGAGTCAGTGGAATATGAACCTGAAGATGTAGTTTTGAGATGAGATGAACCAGTACAGTACATACTGTACAGTAGTTAGTGGTGGAATACCAAATGAAATCGCCAGTGATTCATACTTGTTGTGAAAAGGTTCCATTTGGAGCTGATCCCGATCACAGCAACATCTTTCAGAGCTACCACTGCCGTCCAGGCCTACAGTAGCCAAAACAATAACATCCTATTTACATATATACAATTTTTTTCTCACTCCTTGACCACCTCGTCACACCGAGTGCAGAGAATGTCCTCGGCGGGGGCCGTGAACTGCCAGCATCGCGGACACTTGCAACCGGCTGGGGTCTTGGCAGTGGCAGTGACAAGAGTGCCATCAACCTCGCCCGAAGCAGCGTAGCTCCATTCGGAGGGAACTTCAGTGTTGAGAGAGACACCAGAGGTGATGAAGAGCTCGGCAAGCTCACCTTCGTGCTTCTTGAGCAGCTTGTAGACATCCGAAGACTCATCGATGGTCAGAGCGACATCACAGCCCAGAGAAGTACCAATCTTCTTATCGGCTCGGGCCTGAGCCATCGCCTGCAGAACAATTGATCGAGCACCTTTGACTGTGGCAGTATCCTTGAGGAGCTCAGGGGAGGTCCACTCGGGGGCAGTCTCGTGCCAACCGTTCTCGTAGGGACTGTTACCCTCGAATCCGGAAAAGTTGTGCACCTCCTGAGTCAGAAGAGGAGTGAGAGGAGACAAAATAGCCAAGTAGGTCTTGAGAACCTCAGAGAGCACGTAGGCGACGGACTGACGACTCTGGGAAGAAACGTCGTTCACGTAGAGACGCTCCTTGGCAATGTCAAAGTAGAAAGACGACAGACAAGTGTTCATGTGGTGGCTAATCTGCTGGTACACTCGGTTGAACTGGTGCTTGGAATAATAGTCCTTGCAGGTGACCTCAAGTTGATGAAGATCTTGGAGAGCGATTCGGTCGACGAGATGCAGATCAGCGTAGTTCAAGTCCACCTGTTTGCCGTATCCCAGATTACCGAGCAGGAATCGAAAGGTAGTTCTGAGCTTTCGAGTGAACTCGCCGACATGCTTCAGAATGACAGGACCAATGGCTACATCGTTGGTGAAGTCAGATTGAGCCACCCACAGACGAATACCGTCAATGCCAAGAGCAGGAAGGCCCTTACCACCGTTGATGATGGTAGAGGGGAGCAACACATTGCCCAGTGACTTGGACATTTTGTTTCCCTTCTCGTCCAGTAGGAAGCCGTGAGTGATGACAGACTTGTAGGGAGCAGTGGGAACCGCCTCCGAAGAAGTACTAATCTTGGTCAGCAGCGACGACTGGAACCAGCCACGATGCTGATCACTGCCCTCAAAGTAGACATCTGCCTGCTTGATACCTCGGGCCTCCAGAGTTGATTTCCACGAACTTCCAGAGTCAAACCACACGTCCATGGTCTCAGTGCCTCGGACATAATCATCAGCGTTGAATTTATTGGGCAAGAATTGTTCCACGCCAACATTCTCGTCGAACCAAGCGTCAGTTCCAAGCTCAGCGATTCGATCAATCACATAGGAGACTGTCTCGACGTCCTCCAGAGGTGCGCCAGATTCCTTAGAGTAGACGATTGGAATGGGAACACCCCAAGATCGCTGTCGAGAGATGCACCATTCGGTTCGTCCATTGACAAAAGCCTTGAGTCGCTTTTCCCCAATTTTGGGAACAAACTCAACCTGATCCAGAGCCTTGATGGTGTCCTCCTTGATATCATCAACATTGGCAAACCACTGAGGGGTAGATCTGATGATGATGGGCTTCTTGGATCGCCAGTCGTAGGGATAACTATGCGTGTAAGACTCCTTCTGTAGCAGCATCTTGTTTTTGGTTGCCAGCGCAATTACAGCCTTCTGGCCCTCACCAAGAACATGCTTACCAGCGAGATCAGCCAGCTTTTCGGGAAGGTCAGAAGTGTAGTGACCCGAAGCATTGACAGGAGAGTAGGGGGCAATGCCATGGCCCATGCAGAACAGGTAATCGTCCTGACCATGGCCAGGAGCAGAATGAACCATTCCCGTACCACTCTCGTCGGAAACATAGTCGGCGTGGTAAATGGGGTGATGGGTGTCAGTGAGGGGGTTAGTATAGGTGGAAGAAGTTAGTTCAGAACCAAAGATTCCATCCCCGACAATCTCCAGCTCGCCCAGCTTCTCAGAAAGAGACTCAACCAACTTTTTACCAACCAAGAGATGTCGACCAGAACATGTCTGACGAACGACAGCATACTCAACGTCCTTATGCACGGAACAAGCCCGGTTAGCCACCAGAGTCCAGGGAGTGGTGGTCCAGATGACAATAGCCAGATCAGGGTAGTCCTTGGTGACCTCAGCCAGGGTGTCGGACTTTTCGTTGAGAGGGAAGGCCACAAACACAGCCTGAGACTTGTGCTTGGGGTTGTATTCGAGTTCGGCCTCAGCGAGAGCAGTTCGGGTCTCCCATCCCCAGTAGACGGGCTTGATCTTTCTGTACATTCGTCCACGGGTCAGTAGTTCCTGGAAGATCCGCAATTGCGCAACCTCAAACTCATGCGACATGGTCAAGTAGGGGTTCTCCCAGTCGCCCATGATCCCCAGGCCTCGGAATTCGTTCCGCTGGCTCTCAATGGTATCTGTGGCGTGCTTCCGAGCCATTTCTCGGATTGTATGAGCAGGCAGAACAGTTGCAGCATCAGTCTTGAGCTTCTTGCTGAGTGTCTCGAGCGCCTTGAGCTCAATAGGGAGACCGTGGCAGTCCCAGCCAGGCACGTAGTCGACTCGCTTGCCGGAGATCAGCTGGTATCGGTTGATAATGTCCTTGGTGACCTTGTTGAGGACGTGACCCACATGCAGAGCCCCGTTGGCGTAAGGGGGGCCATCGTGGAGCACAAATGGTTCACGCGACTTGTTGGCTGCGTTCCACGTGTACAGCTGGTCTCGCGACTGTGTCAGCAGCTCCTCCAGAGCAGCAGGTTTCCGTCGAGGAGGAAAGTCGGTTTTGGGAAGCAGTAGGGTCGCTGAGTACGACTTTTCCGAAGCTGCATTGTCGGTGGAGTTATAACGGCACGTGATCGAGAGTACTGTCCGCGAGGGCGTCTTTCCGACCAACCCGGCCACTTTTCTGACTCTCAACATGACGTTACTGTGTAGTGATGTGAACGAACAGAGCTGTGAAGAATCGAAAGTTTAACGCTGATCTGGGGTTCAACTGGAACTCTAAGTGGAGGAGTGATTTAGATAGGAGTTTAATGAAGGTGGATGGGTGAGAAAGACGGAATGAGTCGGAGAAAAGCGCAAGATAAAAGTTATGGAGAGACTAGTGCCTTTAGCCCCAAAGAACTGCACACTTTTAGTAGATTAGACACTCCGTAACGTCGTTAAAAGGGTGTTACTTGGTTGTTGTTGTTGTTTTTTTGTTTTTTTTGTTTTTTGTTTTTTTTTTCGTTTTGTTTTGTTTTGTTTCTCTTATTTTCATGATCCACCACCCAATCGCGGAGCCCCGTAACTTTGTTCAAAAGTTGAGGATTTTGATTCTGAAAAGTCCATCCTACTCCTGACAATTAGGACTTTTTTGTCACCAAGTACTTGCACTATTATGACGAAATATACCCCCTGTAACACCCTTTTTTTAACACCTGTAACACGCTTTTTAACACACTTTTAACACACTTTTTTTAATATATTCTAATCTCAAAAACACGACATTTTTCACGTCTAAATTTGCTCGGTTCGATCCCCCCCGACCGCATATTCTCTCCCAAAACTCTATTGCTGTGAACTGAAAAATTGACTGCAGTGATCCATCATCTCACCACACAATGATCTCTCGACTAGGACTACGAGGCATGGCCACGACGGCCAAGGCCGCCCCCAAGGCACCCGTGTACCCCGCCGGCGTGCCCGCTACACGTGACATGTTCAAGAAGCAGGAGTCTCGAAAGACCTATCTCATGGACCGGTACACTCACATGCTGCGAACCAAGTCTGTGTTCCTTGTCTACCACCAGAACGCCCAGCTGTACCGGGACCAGGCCGGTCTCAAGGCCGCCATCAAGGCTGCCGGTGGCGAACACAGCACTATTGCCACGTCACTGATGCGGGCCACTTTGCGAGGTCTCAGTACCGAAGACCCTCTGTCGAAACAGGCCAACGCCGAGCACAAGAATAGCGTCCATCCTCTGAGCCAGCTGTTCAAGGGGTCTGCCAGTGTCGTGTCTTTCGATAAGCTGGACCCCCGAGCCGTGGAGAGCGTGATCAAGCTCACTGACCGAGTCGGCGACCGAATGCTGCTTGTGGGAGCCTTTGTCAACGGCCAGACCATGTCTATTGACGAGGTGGATGTGCTCAAGAAGCTGCCTTCCATGGAGGATCTGCATGCACAGCTTGCCGGCCTTCTCACTGTTCTCGGTGGAGGACAGCTGGTCCAGGCTCTCGAGGCTCCTGGAAAGCTGCTGTATCTCAATCTCGATCAGCACGCCAAGGGCGAGGGCGAGGGGGAGAAGAAGGAGTGATTGTATATAGTATGCGTGGAACAGCGGGTGAAGAAGAAAAAAACACCGGCATGCGCAATAAATGTTGACGTTTGTATAGAAACGGCTGTATAACGGTTGTAGTGACGGAATGGCTAATGGTGAAGAGCCATAGTGGTTCTCACGCCGCCATTAATGCTGGTCCACAATGTATGTCCTTCATTCATTACGGTAATCTCCACAGCTCCAATAAACAATAAATTAAATATATTAAATGTGCTACTGCTCGAGAATATCTCTGATGGGCTCAGCCTGGGCGATAAAACGACTCAGCGAAGCATCCAGCTTGTCCAGGTCGTTCTTTCGCTTGTTGTTTTCGTCTACCAACTTGCTTTTGTCTCGGTTGAGCTCCGTCATGGTCACAAACAGCTGCAGACGCAGATCTCGCTCATCCTTGAGCCGCTCGATCATGATCTGATGGTCATCGAGGCCCTCCGTCTTGTGTCGCGATGCGAAATCGCCCATGTCCACCAGCTGTAGATCTTCGTGTGTCGATTTGAACCGGTTGCAACCTTCAATGCTCTGTCGGAGATGCTCGTGCTGGTACTTGATGTTCTGAATGTCAAGTTGCAGCAGATCCAGCGCCTGTCGCTCCTTGTTTGTGTCCTCCTTGGCCTTGTTGATTTCCTCCTGCGCAGCGTAGTTGGCCACCTGGAGGTTCATCAGAGAAGAGACCAGCTCGATTTTCGCCGTTGATTCCGTCTTGCCACCCTCCAAATCGGAATACAGCTGCTCTGCCGTGCTCTCCAGCTTTTCCAGAATCTCTTCAATGTCGGACATGTGTAGTAGAGATGGTGTATCGTCCAAACTGTGCAGTGGTGACAGATGAAGTGAAGGAACTTAAAACCTGTGGATAAAAAAATCCGAATGTCTGTTAACAGGTGAATGAAGGATATCGGAAGATTGAAACAGTATCAGAGAGTAAAACTTGTCCTTTCTTCCCTACCTCCATTTCCAAGTGGTACCCCGGGCCCAATACCCCATACATTGGCATCTCTATCACTTATCTTCAGCTTAGTAAATATAGTATATGTCAAGTATAACCAAGTAATTCAGTTGATAACCCAAGTAAATCATTTGATAATCCAAGTAAATCAGTTAATAACCTAAGTAAATTCAGTTGGTAAAAGAACTTGTATCTACTACACTGCACTGTACTGGTACAACATCAAGGAAAAGACCCATACATTGTATCAACAATGAAATATGACAACCTTGGAGCTGAACCCCATGCTCCTCACTAGTTAGTATGTACATACAGATGCAGCCTCCATTGTTGTTAAATAGGCCCATTACCACATCATGTAGTCGTAGAACAGCAGCAGAAACGCCAGGAACAAACTAATACCGATTATCATGCGCGACGCCTTTCTGTTCCTGCTCTTGGCGCTCTCCAGATTCTTGTTAGCATCTCCAACATCCACAGTCGTCTGGTTGGCATCGTTAATCAGCGACTGGATTTTCTCCGATTGACTGGCCAGGTGCATGGTCAGCTCATTCTGCATCTCGGAAATCTCGTAGAGCGACTTTTCGGCCTCGTGCACCTTGCCCAACTTGCCCTGTAGTGAGTCCAGTAGTTCGGCATGTTCAGATTCGAGTTGCTGGATCATTTCAGGCGAGATTGTCGAATCGAAGGGCTCCGACGTCTTCTTTTCGTTGCCGTCCAATGCCGTGTTGGTTTCCCTCTGGTCACTAGCACCCAGTGCAGGAGGCCTGCCTATCACGACGTTGTTTCTGCTCATGACTCGTTCTCGTTCTCGGGCCAAACGCTGCTCCTGCATGGTCTGTTGCATCTCGCTGACGGCTCGCAATCGGTCGTTCAGATACCACAGCACCGCATCTCTGTGTTGCTGCTGGGTCTTTTCCACTCCCTCCTGCAGCTCATCCTTCATGAGTGCGCTCAGAAAGCCGCCCTTTTGCTCTTTTTTCTTGCGTTTTTCGTCCTCCGTCCACTTTTCCAGCGCCCGGATCTTGCGCGTGAGATTCTGGACCGCAGACTTGGTCTCGTAATCCACCTCATCTCGCTGCTTGTCAGTCATATACGTCGATTTTGGCGCATTGGCGTCGTTGGAATCGCTTGAATCAACTCGCGCACCGTACCGCAAGGCCCGCGCTAGCTCCGATTCGTTCCGGCCCTCCTTCAGCGTGCGCACAGACAAGTACGACGGTCTGACGTTGGTGAGAAACGTCTGCAGCTCCGAAATCAGACTGTTGGCTGTATCGGCCTCCTTGTCAAAGGCATGTTTGGGCAGCCCCTTCTTGGGCGCGGTCGGTCCCACCAGATCGAAAAATAACGGCGTCAGATTGGGCATTGCTCGTTTGTGTGCTACTAGCGATGGAGTTGAGATGTTGGTGATGATGATGTGGTGGATTCGCTTCGTGCGAGTGCTAGGTCAAAGTTTATTGCTCCGTGTGGGGAGCATGAAGAGGTCGTGTAGAAGGAGACTGGAACAGACCAGACGGACGAGACGCTGAATATATTCTAAGTCAAGCATGCAGATTCTCTTCTATCTATTCTTTACGACATAGTGTTTGTGGTGGTCCATTTACATACATTGTGGGGCCCAGCACCTGTACATTAGGAGTGGCGTTTTCCCGATGAACTTTTTTTTTTTCTGCATATACATTCATTTAATTATAACTTTGCCGTGAAAGAATAACCTTTGAAATGAATGTACGCTTACACGAATATTACTAATTAAACACGTTTAGTGTCATGGTCCAACTTGGCACGTACCTATTTCCAGTAAAAAAATCATAAAAAAACCTGGTTCAGTCCGTGTTGTATGTTGGTCCACATAGCTTCGCGTGTTTGTTCGTTCATCGGGAAAACGCCACTCCAGTCTCCAGTTCTCTAATCTCAATCCTTCCATTGCCCTCTTCATTTGCATTGCCTTTGAAAACTTCTCCTTGTGGTTCTTCTTCGTCATTGGTTTGGTTCTGCGTCCCCTGTGGTGACTACGCGCCCTGCTACGCTGTTCTCTCGGTGGCCTCGGCCGCCTTTTACGCTTGCTACTGTGTCTACTCTCGCTCATCGTGAAGTGCTGGCGGTTGTCCATCGTAGAAACACATCTGGGCTTCCTTCAGGAATTGAAGCAAACCCTGTTGGACATGTCCCAGGGTGGCGTCGTCCCCTGAGTACCGGAGGGATCTCTCCATCTTCCAGATCCCATAAGCCAATTCCCGCAGATATTTGCGTGTCTTGACTTGTTGATGTTTCCGGGGGGCGTCACTGTTCACATGCCCTGGGAAAGAGGGGAGTACTCCACATTTCGACTCGGTAAAGATCCAGTCCTTTAGAGAGTCCACTGACGGAATCTTCATCCTGGTCAACATGGAAAGAAGAACTTCGCACTTGCAGAAGATATGCTCGTGCAGATCCTGAATGATGGCCTTATCACAGAGCCCGCATCCTGGATTCTTCTTGGTGAAAACGTGGTCGTCAGGGTATCTCCATTTCACGAGCGGAAGTCGAGATATCCGCATGAGGTGAAGAACTTGTGCTTTGTTGGCGTCGGCGATGTAGTGTTTTCGAAGGTCATGCATTACCTCCTGCCAGACCATGTCGTCAGAGATGCCCCCGTAGTCGCTTCGTTGAGTCCACTTCTTCGGTCGTGCAAGTGTGTGTGGGAAGTTTGGCAAGTCGGGAGACGAGGTCTTGTGAAACATGAAGTTCTCTAGAGTAAGTGGTCCCATGCTCCACCGGAGGTGGTCGATTTCCGCTGTGGACACCATTCTGACCGGATGGTATCGTCTCGCGGCTGCGATGTCGACGTGTGCTTCCCGGAAAGATTCTGCTGCTCTCACGTTCACCTGGTTTCGTTCCCAGATTCTGTGATTAACTGTGTCTGTTGTAGAGGGCTCGTGATCTTCTCGAGGGTTGGCATGTTCCGCGGTGAGGGGCTTGTTGAGCTCGAAAGAAGCTCTGATTGCGTCTCGCATGGTGGGGGAGGCTGCGTAGCCCCAAGCTTGGCCTGTCGGAAAGCGGCAGTCGACGCGCTGGTGTGGCTTTTCCTGTGTGAGACTGTGAGTTCTGCTGTAGAACTGGAAGGTGCAGTCCCAAAGGGCCGGCGATGAGCCATGGAAGAACCTGTAAGCCCGAGCGGCCTTCAGGCACACCATGAAACGTCCCATGTCCCGCAGGTTCAGTCCTCCTCTGCCTACCGGAGTTTGGATGAAACCATTGCTGAAGGTTTTGCGTGTTTTGTCGGGTGATAATTTGTTGATCTTGTCGCACGCTAGTTCGTTCAGCTCTCGGATGAAGGTGTTGTCGATCTGGCTGACGTAGGGTCCAAGGAAATTCAGTTTCGAGAAGAAGTAGATGTTGATCATCCACGCCTTGCTGTAATAGGGGAGACCCCATAGTGAAAGGCGTCGCAGCGACTCCTTGAGGTCCTCCTTGATCTGAGCGTAGTGCGTGTCCAACCTTTCGCGATTTCCGAAGTGTACTCCGAGGTACCGGAAAATGTTGTCAGATGTCCGGAGCGTCGGGGCCTGTCGTGTGTTGTTGTCGGTTGGCCAGGTGGCGTCAATTGTTCGCTGCCATTCTGCGTCAATAAAGGTTAGTGGAACAAAACAATCGGGGGGGCCGATCTTCTGAAGCACCGTCTTTGACGGGTTTAGTGTGAGGCCTGAGACCCGTTGGAAGAGGCAGAGCACTCTACCAACCGTGGCCACGTCCTGGATGTTGTTGAGGAACACCGCTATGTCGTCCGCGAAAGCCGACACCTTCATGTGTCCAGCTGCCACTGCCTCCGGGTGAGTAGGGGGTTGTGGCGGCCTGTGCCCAGTGGTGTGGTGGTGGGATAGTGGCAGGCCTGGGGCCAGTCCAAACATCTCTCGGTCCAGACGACGCACAAGTGCGTCTACTGCGATGATGAAGAGGGTTGGAGAGAGAGGGCATCCTTGTCTCACTCCGATCTTGATGCGGACTGGGCGAGATAGGACACCTCTGATGTTGATTCTCGTTACTGCGTTCTGTTGTACAGCTAGGATACGGTTGATCATCAGTTCCGAGACACCCACATTTCGAAGCGTCTTTATCACCCAACTCTGGCTGATAGTGTCGTAGGCTTTCCGGAAGTCCAGTGATCCTACGACCCAACCCATGTTCAGCTGGGAGTAGGCGTTGCAAAAATGATCCATGGTGTCGAGATTGTTAGTGATGTGTCGACCCGGTACGAAACCGTTTTGGGCGCCGTGAATGCTGTCCGGAAGAATGTTCTGGATGGCTTTGTTAATGAGCTGTGTGTAGATCTTCACCTCTGTGTTGATCAAAGAAATAGGCCTGTAGTTGGAGATGTCGGCCTGATCTCCCGACTTGTACAGTAGTTTGATGATAGCGGTGTTGCGTTCGGTGCTGATGGGCGAGTCGGCTCCAGCTTCGTTGTAGACGTCCGTCATCAAGTCCCCCAGCTCATCCCAGCAGTCGCGGTAGAACCTGTACGGGATGCCGTCTGGCCCTGGCGCGCTGTTGTGCGTAGACGCCTTGATGGTATCGAAGATCTCCTCCTTGGTAAAAGACGAGTCCAGGCTTGGGTTAGCTGTATTCACCCTCCGGGTTTCTTCGGGGAAGAGGTCTAAAAAGGCGCTGTCGTCGGTGTCGTTGATATCGGCAGCTCTGTCGAAGATGTTGTCAAAGTATCGAGCTGAGATGTCGCAGAGAGAGGAGGTGTCGGTCTTCACTCGGCCTTGGTGGTTCCGTAGGGAGTGGATCTCCATCTGTTGCTTGGATTGTTCGACCCGAGCATGGAGCATCGGGTATGGCTCGTTAGCTGGGTAGGCTTGCCAGTCTGAGGCTGTTGCCATGAGGGCCTCGCGGCGTCTGTTGTCTGGGTGGTTGGAATCTCGAAGTGCGCGGTTTTTGGCTTCCTGTTGGATGGTGACCTTAATGTTTTCTTTCAGGCATTGCAGCTTCAGGCTGGGCTTCAAAGGACCATATCGCTTCAGAATGGATTTGACGTGGAACTTGAGCCAAGCAATGTACTCTGTATCAAAAACCCACCAGGGCATCCTCCAGGTGCCTGGGCCTCTGTCTTGTCGCTGGGTGAGGTTGCCAAAGTTAAAGACGAATTGGACCGCGTGGTGAGAGGACTTCGTGATGTTGTGACCCTGCTTGTTGGTTACCAGTTGTGTGGATTTGATCCACTGTGAGAGTGTCGAAGAGATGTGCAGCTGATCCAGGCGCCTGCCAGCTCCGCGGCTGTTGTTGGTGTGAGTGTAGAGGCCTTTTCTGTGTTTGCTGATTAGAGTGTAGGTGTCTAGTAAGTCCCAGTTAGCTAAGAAGTCCTTAAGGTGAGTCGTCACTTTTTCGCCAATCCTGCCGTCGTTGGAGGCGACCGCGTTCCAATCGCCTGCCGCTATCAGGGGGTATTGGCAGGGATGGAGGCGTAGATAGTCGTCTAGTGACTGGTAGAACTGCCGGTTAGTGAAGGGGGAGGCTCCCTGCTCGTTTGGTGCGTATACGTTGATCAGCGATAGGTGTCTGTCGGTGCCTTTGATGTGCACGTCGGCCAAACACAGTCTGTTGTCTAGGGCTGGGAAGTATTCAAAAACTGTTGTAAAGTTTGTGATGGTGACGTTGTCGGAATAGACTAGCCCCACGCCGACGCTTCTATTAGAAACACCAGCTGTGGAGCCGAGGAGGGTGTAGTGTCTGCCCCCCGGGTAGGGCGAGTTTGAAATGATTTGTTGAGCGGTTTGTAGGGAGGAGTCCACCCAGTTCGTCTCTTGAAGAAGGACGAGATCGGGGTAGTGAGTAGTTCGAATAATGTTTACAATGGTGTCGGGTAATCGGTTAAGCGCTTCCGCCATCTTAAAACCGCCGATGTTAGCCGTGATGACTTTAACATTCGGAGATTTCATTTTGGCCTGGGTGCTCTTACATGGGGCTTTAGAAGGGGTGGTAGTAGAGGTGAAAGACATGCTTACTGGTTCTGCCCCGGTCGGAGCATTGTGTCCACCTCATGGAGAGTGGTCACCCTAGGGGGGTTCGGGGGACTGTTCGGGGGTTCTACAATCTCGTCTACCGAGCTGAGTGTCGCACCGTCGTGGAAAACTTTGAAGTGGCATGTAGACAGGAATGTCGGGCACCTCCCGTCAATGAACTTTGCTACCTCCTGAGAAGGCAGCCAGCAGAGTCTGTTCTCCGACCTGTCCGGGTTCAGGATTTGCACCGGAACCTCGCTCGAGGCGGTCTGGAAGACCGCAATGTGCTTCTTGCCGAGCGTGGTGTGAGAGGGCTCGCCAGAGAAACTGGAGGTGGTGTGCCCTCCTCGGGGTCGGCCCTCGTGGATACTTCCGGGGGGGGGTTGTGTTTGGTTGGTCGTGTTGGGACTGGTGTGGTCGTGGGGAAGGCCGTTGTTGGTGGCCTCGGTGTTAAGCGGGGTAGCGGGGGGAAGAAACTGGGTGACATCAGGGGCTACTTCAGGGTGAGCAAGTGCGTCAGGCTGGGTGTCAAAGCCGTTCATGGATACGTCAGCCTGTTCCGTTTCCTGGTCGTCGGGAACTGTGTCTTCCTCGGAGGCGGGGATGTTGATGGGTAGATTCTGAGTTCCATGCTGCTGGTTCGTAGAGGGCAGCTGGTTAGTTTGCTCGGTCTCTTCGGGTGTGTCCTCTCCGGTTTTGTCGCTCAAGACTTCAAAGTTGTAGTAAGATCGGAGGGGCTTCTGACCGGTGGGTTGGGGGGACGTGTCTCGAGTCCGTCTATGTCTAGGGGACTTAGTGCCGACGGTCTCCCACTGGTGAGTAGCAGGCGTGTGGTGGAACTTGCGAGTTTGGACCGGGGGCTCCACGGTGGATGGGGCATGGATGGAAGCAAGGGCTTTACCTCTCTGTGGGAGGGTACCCTGGTGAGCGCGGGTGCGGAAGATCTTGGGAGTGACCATGTCTTTCTCGGGGCAGGCCTCCCGGATGTGCTTAGTGCTCTTGCACTTAACACAGATGTTATCGCCGTTGGCGAAGTGCATCTTGATCAACTTTGAGCCGGTAAGCCTAGCCTTGGTGGGATCCAGGTTGACGAAGAAGTCGGGGATGGTCTGGGGCAGGGTGGAGCCTAGGAGAGCACGAACTGCGATCACAGGACCCGAGATGTTCTGATGGTTGGCAGAGGTCATCAGAAGGGTGCCACTCAAGAGGGAGGAACCTGGAATGGCCTGATCAATGTCTACGTCGAACTGGTTGAGAATAGCGTTGAGGTGGATCTTGAAAGCATCCTCCGTCTGACGCTCCATCTTCATGTACGAGGGTAGGTTGAAGTAGTAAAGTACTCTTCGTCCAGCAGGGTTAGCCGAGCCCTTCCTCATGATGCGATAATCTTGAGTATTGGCCTCAACAATGAGACTAACTGTCTCCAGAATGACAGCCATTCGTTGTTCGTGGGGGTCAGTGAGGGCGTCCGACGTCAGGTAGTGCCAACCATTTCCCACTTGGTAGCAGTCTTCAGGGTCCTGTTCTAAGTTAATCTGGTCGATCAGGTGGGGGACGATGTCTAGGTTGTGCCTGGACAGGTCAAACTCCGCCAGACCAACCTGACCCTTGATCTCGTCGAACTTTTCGATGACGCCCTCGAGGACACTGATGGTGTCCTTCTCGTCGACTTCAGCGGCGTTATCGAGGTGCTCGAGGAACATGGAGATAGGAAGATTCCAATCAGGGGTGGCGGAGCGGTCAAGAGCTCTTCGGAAGAAGTTTTCCTTGCTGGCTACATAGGACACGTTGAAACGGCCGGAGGTATGCCTACCATTCGGCGCCGCAAGGGGCTCCGAAATTCGCTCCTTGTTGAGGTTGAATTTGAGTGTGGAGGGGTTCGATGTCAGGAGAGCCTTGACTTCGGCCTTGCTCTTCCAGGCGTTGAGGGTGATATTGTTGTCGTTTTTTTTGTCGTTTTTGTCGTTTTTGTCGTTTTTTTTGTTGTTTTCATCGTTTTTGTCGTTTTTTTGGATTTTTTCAATGTCGGTTTGGTTGGGGGTTTCGGTTGAGGTGGCTCCATCACCTCGCGATAAATCAGGAGGTGGGGGGTTCGGAGCGCCCAAGGAGTTACCCGCCGAAGCTTGGGCTTGCGCTGTTTCCATGGTGAACGTTTTTTCTGGTCGCGCTCGATTAATAGCTCTTGATGAACGAACAAACACGCGAAGCTATGTGGACCAACATACAACACGGACTGAACCAGGTTTTTTTATGATTTTTTTACTGGAAATAGGTACGTGCCAAGTTGGACCATGACACTAAACGTGTTTAATTAGTAATATTCGTGTAAGCGTACATTCATTTCAAAGGTTATTCTTTCACGGCAAAGTTATAATTAAATGAATGTATATGCAGAAAAAAAAAAAAAAAAAAAATTAGTGCGTAGTATACATACTGTAGCACGAAGGCATGAGAGGGGCCAGAAATAGTACGATATAGATGACAAGAAGCTATATATACAGATTATGAGGAACTCACGTGCCATTATTGAAACAGGTTAGTCATTATTAGTAATCCAGGGACGTGAAACGGGGTTAATGAGCGTTTGAGAAAGATCTGGTTTGTCGACCAAACGTGAAGTATTTACAAAGTACAATACATACAACTATACTTAGAATATATGGAAGACATTTAGTAAACGATTTACAAAACATGCTACAGTAGGCGTTTTTGTGTGACGAATATTGGTGAGTACACAGAACCCCCCATTTGTAACATGCATTCACAGTTCATAACACGCAATATGCATCCGAAACCCCGTCATTCAGCTACTTCAGGCGCTTTCTCTACATATCGTATTACAGGGCTGACACGACCAACAAACCACCCACTCCATCTTAAATCAGCTGCATAAGAGATGGGGTTTGGCCGCACCAAAACTGAAGTTACTAGCTTTTTTATCACTTAAAACTACTTTTATGACTAAGCAGTCTATTTCTTTCAGCAGCATACGTTTTTTTCTGGCATTTTGATTGATTTGATGCTCCTTTTACATGTGTTTTCCGGCTACTGTCCTTTGGTCTTTATTTTTTTATTTTTTTAAAGTTCACGCGACTCGGGTCTTTCATCCTCACCATCTATCAAACAGGACAATGATGGGTATTTTTTGAGCTTTTGTTGAATTTATTTTATATAATCACAATTTATGACTATTTTTCATTCAAATTGAGCCCTCAAATTCCCTCGAATCTCCCCAAAACACGCCCAAATTCCCTTTTCAAAACGCAACTGGTATACCCCAACTTTATTTTCAACCTAATCACGTAAACGCGATTTCAATTTATCTTCTCTTGCGCACGCACTTGTTCCACCTCTTGACACACACACACACAAATGACCACTCTCAACGAACAAGGATACCTCGATCTGTGCGCACGCGTGATCGAAGAGGGTGAATCACGTGACGACCGAACCGGCACCGGGACTCTCTCTCTGTTTGCCCCCCCTCAGCTTCGATTCGATCTGTCCAACGACATTCTTCCCCTGCTCACCACCAAGCGAGTCTTCTACCGAGGCGTTCTGGAGGAGCTTTTGTGGTTTGTGGCTGGATGCACCGACGGCAAAAAACTGAGCGAGAAAAACATTCACATCTGGGACGGAAATGGATCTAAGGAGTTCCTGGAAAAGGCCGGGCTGGGCCACAGACGAGAGGGAGACCTGGGACCGGTCTATGGCTTCCAATGGCGCCATTTCGGAGCCGAGTACAAGAATTGTGACACGGATTACACTGGCCAAGGCGTGGACCAGCTCAAACAGGTGATACACACTCTCAGAACCAACCCTCACGACCGTCGAATCATTCTGTCTGCATGGAACCCCGCCGATCTCCCAAAGATGGCGCTTCCTCCCTGTCACATGTTTTGCCAGTTTTATGTGTCGTACAAAAACTCGGAACGAGGACGTCTGTCGTGTCAGCTGTATCAGCGATCATGTGACCTGGGTCTTGGAGTCCCCTTCAACATTGCCTCCTACGCTCTGCTCACCCGAATGATTGCCCAGGTCACCGATTTGGACTGTGGAGAGCTCATTCACACCATGGGAGACGCCCATGTGTACAAGGATCACGTGGACGCACTCAAGCAGCAGATTGCTCGAACGCCAGGCCAGTTCCCCAAGCTCACTTTTGCACGAGATATCAAGGACATTGACGGTTTCAACTACGAGGACTTTGTGCTCGAGGGATACAAGCCCCAGTCCAAGATTGAGATGCAGATGAGCGTTTAGGCAATGTCCGCAAGTAATGAATTAATGGTATTTAATAGAGCCGGGTGAGTGCGGGAGATTGTAGAGACAATGGTGATACACACATGATCTTGGTACCAAAATGATGGCGATGATCCAAGTAACATTACAGGGCTTGTCATGTCTTCATTTAGAATCGCAACTGACAATATGACCACTTTCAGGTGTCTTCGACCAGCTCAAGATTCTGCCCAAGATTGCCCATGTTCGTACCGAAACGTCTCAGCCATTGGTACCTCCGACAACAAGATCCAGCCCAAGATTGCCGAGGTATGGGTAAGACTGCCGAGGTATGGGTAAGACTGCCAATGTCTCTGTCTCGTCACTCTTTCTGGCGCTATCGATGCCAATGGCGCTCTTCAAGCAGTTGTTAGTACATCCAGATATCCTTGGGACAGTGGACATTGGTCTGCAGAAACAGCCTGGTTTCAGCTTCAAAGTTGATAGTCGGGGTCGAGTGTCGTATCGGCTGATCAACTGAGATGGCGTCTCTTACCCCGAGTATCGTTCACCACTCGCCTGGTAACTCGAGAGTCTGTAAAGCACGATATCTCCGGTTCTCCAGAGTATAAGGGTGTTAGACGCTGCACGATACGTGCTCGGTGGCAACACCCAGTCTTCAAGAGGTGCTAGAGATGGACTTAAAGATGCTTCTATGACGTCAGTAGTGGATCTTCAGAGCTAGGGTACTTGTACGAGTGCTTGTTTCAGGAGAGTTTATGAAGAAGGATACCACAGCATGGCCAACCGTCATATTCTCAGAAAGATGGGAGATTGCTGTCGTGTTCCTGGACTCAACTGTGAGTCAAAAACTCCTCAACAATCGTCATCGTGCTTCATCACTTCGAGGAAAGAACTCGGCAAGAAACTCGACAAGAAACTCGACAAGAAATTTGACAAGAACGACAAGAAACTCGGAGGTAACTCGAAAGTAACTGGCAACAAACTCGCAAGTAACTCGGAAGAAACTCCAGCGGCAGCAACATGTGAGACGCCCTGTGGAGGCGGGCTTCCAGAGACAGTAAATGCCGTGTCCAAGGTGTTTCTGACAGTCCGCTGTTGAAGGGACTCTACTAGAGAACGTCCACTCGGTCTTTTCACTGGTCCAAATTGTCAGACAGGGACAAACACCGTCAGAAGGTTGACTACAGCAATTGGTCACTGACCGGCCGGCCAACTTTCTGTCTCCAATGTAACACTGCCCTACCTGCGTCCATTAGGTACGGTTATACGCCTTTGACTGGAACTGCAGGGGTGTCGTTCTATGATACCGGCACCGTGCTCGTACAGTCGTTTCTGCACATATTGGAGGAGTTCAATCAATCGACGACACCAAATTCAAGTACCCTCGATATGTCATACCGCCACCATTGACAGTGGGTGGTGGTACCAACATTCAACCCTCTTCTTCAGCACTCATGTCTAGAGTTCACGGCGACGATCAGAGTATAACCCTGAGCGTAACAGTTTCGAAACCAGCCATTATGCCCACCTTGACACTTGCTTTTTGATTTTGATTTTTGATTTTTGATTTTCGATCATGCTAGAAAATAGCCGGGCAGACGGTATAAATACCTCCGAGACCCGCTGTTCAGCAGCTGCCCCGACACCACCAACATGATCTTCTCTCACCTTGTGCTTGCAACTGTGGCCGCAGCTGGTGTTGTGCACGTGCCTCTGACGGGTCGAGCTCTTGATGACGTTCCCGAGGTTCGAGACTATCTGTCTAAGCGAGCCTTCCCCGACGGCGTGGTCCATGCCGATCAGATCATGGGCCAGGTCTTCTACGAGACCTATCTCCAGATCGGAACCCCTGCTCAGAACCTTTCATTCAGTTTCGACACCGGCTCGGGCAACCTGTGGTCTCCTGGAAAGAACTCCACCTCCTGCGAGGCTGGCCAATGCCGTGAGGACACTATGTTTGACATTTCTGCGTCCGAGACGTGGAAGTTCAAACGCACCGGCAGGTGGTGGGGTGGCAACGGCATCTTCGGATCAGAGACGGTCCGCTATGCTGGCCAGACTCTCAAAAACTTTGAGTACTGGGTCTCCACCGACCAAATGAACAACAACTTTGGCATTTTCGGCCAGTCTGCATTTAAAGACCCCTCGGTGAGCTTTGTCCAGGGTCTGGCCCACGCTGGTAAGATTTCCCGAGCCGTCTACTCCCTCAACTCCGAGGCCTCCATCACCCGATGGAACCTGGACGCCCCCAAGTCCGAGTGGAGACGAACCGTGAACAACGTCTACTACGGAGGCTATGACCAGGCCAAGTACCAGGGACCCCTGACCGCTATCGACGTGGACCACTACGGTGGATACAAGATGCCCATGTCCGGATTTACGGTCGACGGGGAGTTTGTCGACGATGGCAAAAATTACACCGTGGTTCTCGACACGGGAGGACTCACTCTTCAGGTGCCCAACAAAACCGTGGGGATCCTCGCCAAGAAGCACGGTGGAGAGTGGTCCCTCAAACACGACCGATGGACCATTGACTGTGACGCCAAGCCCGTGCTGACCTACGGATTTGGATACACCCAGATCGACGTGGAGTTTGACCAGTTCATCAAGAAGGCGGTCGGTGGACCCGAGTGTCTGATCCAGCGAATGACCTTTGCCTCGGACGACCAAACCCAGCTTCTCACGGGTCCCCCTGTCATTTCCAACGCTCTGGTCATTTTCGACAACGACCGAAACCAGATTCTGGTGGCCAAGGCCAAGTACACCGACGAGTCCAACGTGGTTGAAATCACCGGAGACATCCCTGGAGCTGTTCAATACAAGGACTTTCTCGCTGGTAAGCCTCTTCCGGGAGACAAGTCCGCAGTTGCTTCTACTCTTGAGGTCAAGGCCACCAACGTCTAACTATTGTAACTATTCAGATTCTCGATAGATTTTTCATTTTGCAGACATGAAAGTAGTGTATTTTTTTTTTTTCTGCATATACATTCATTTAATTATAACTTTGCTGTGTATTGTACTTCCCTTTACTTGACTTTAATTACATACTGAAGTAAAAATGTGAGTACAGTACTTGTAAGTAGAGTCGATACCAATACGGTATCTACTGTACTCCACCTCTTGACTATAATATATATTACTTAATTAACAATGAACTATGACATCTCCTTCACACACAGTCAGTACTTGCGCTCATAGTCGCCCTAATGAGTCAGTCGAGCAACAAAGTTGGCGCCAATGGCCAGGGCCAAGACAATACAAATGGCAGTGGGGCCGATCTGGTCGTCGTACCGGATGGCTCGCTTCCGTCGAATGTTGTAAACTCGCCACAGGTACATGCCAATGGAGTAGAGAATGGTGATGACGGCCGAAATGAAGAAACCAAAGGCGGCCTGGATGGCCAGACGGTCTCCGTAGTTGAGCAGGGTGCCGGCAATGGCTCCCAGAAGAATGCCAATCTCGATCCACGACAGGAAGGTTCGCTCGTTGGCAAAGTAGACCTTGGGCTCGACTCGCACGGGCACGGAGATCCGCTTTCCGGCAGGAACCACGACTCGGGTGTCAAACACGGTTCCGGGAGGCACCTTGGAGAAGTCGTCCTTGCCAGCGATGAAGGTGTCCTTGAACCAGTCGCTGGCATTCTTGAGCGACTTGAGAAGAGCATTGTCTCCACCAGTGTGTCCGGATCCAGAACCCAGGAGGGGCGTGTTCTCCGTAGCGTTAGGAGAGGTGTTAGCAGCGGCAGAAGAAGAAGCAGTGCCGTTGGAACTAGAGGCCACAGCGCCGTTTCCGTTGAAAGAAACGTGGCCATCGGCTCCTCCAGCTCGCTCCTCTTCATCTAGGTAGTTGCCCTCGTTGTCGTCGAGATCATCAAGATCATCGAGCTCGTCGGATCCAGAAACAGACGAGCCAGAAGCCACCTGGGCTCGTTCGATACCCTGGAAGGTGGTGGCGGGCTTTCGAATGTCGACATCCATCTGGGGAAGCCAGAAGGGAATCAGATCAACCATGTCGGGAAGCAGAGTGGCACAACCGTGGATGAACTTGGAGAACTTTGGTACGGCCTCGACAAGATGCGAGGATACAAGCTCTCGAACCCAAGCGGGAGGCTCTTGGCCAAGCTGAGTCTGCAGCTTGACTTCGAGCACAGCGTAGGGGAATCGAAGCACGTCCTTCTCAGGGAGTTGGTTGAAGGGCCAGTCGACACCAATGTCCATTCGTCGCCAGTTGCCGTTGGTTCGGTTCTGGCCGTCAAAGTTGTCTTCTCGGACCATGGTGAGCTCAGTATCCAGAGAGATTCGGACTCGAGCGTCTCCCGGCAGCTGGAAGGCGGTTCGATTGTAGAAGGATCGAACGACAGGTCGCATCTTGTCCTTGATGACTCGGTATTGCACCTCTCGAGCCAGAGCCTCCAGCGACTCGATTTCCTTGAGACTCTTCTTGCCGTCCTTTCGCATCTTCTCAAACGCCTGGGGCACGGTGTAGTCTCCGGCCATGAAGTCGTTGACGTGTTTTTCCTTGAGGTTGAATCGGGCCTTGACGGACTTTTCTCCGGTCCAGTCCTCTCGATGTGTTTTTCGCTCGACAAAGATCTGGTCGGACTTCATGCCTCCGTACCATCGCAGACGAATGGCCTCGGCACCCTCGGTCTTCTCCAGACGGCCCTTGTACAGATCAAGAGGTCGGTTGTCGTAGTAAATGGAGGTGATGGCAGAGTCCTCGGTCTCAAACTCCTTGGAGGCGTTGAAGACCAGCACCGGCAGATGTTTGAGGATAACCAGCTTGAGCTCGGTGATGTTGTCGGGGTGGACCCAGTACTTTGTGGTCTGACGCACAAAGTTCTGCTGGCCTCCTCCGGCGGCCGAGTCTCCCTTGACGGGGTTTCCTCGGGTTCGGACCAGGTCGTACAGCTTGGACAGCTTTACCACCAGGGCGTCGTAGTTGTCCTTGAAGAAGGGTCGGGCGTTGAGTCGGGCAGAGAAGATGGGCTTCACCGGCCACTTTGTGTGTTTGTCGTGCTTCTTGATGATCTTCTGGAAACCCGTGTAGTTGAGTCGGGTGTACTGGGCGAGGTCGTGGACGTCGGCGATGATGTCGGACAACAGGTCCTGCAGGTCCAGGAAGTCCTGCTCCACGGGGGGGTTGGCTGAGTCCAGACGTCGGACCACATCTTCGACCTCAACCTCCGACTCCTTGATTCGTCGGGCAATCTCCGCGGCCTTGACCTTCTGGAACGTGAACACCTTGTCGAGCTCTCCTTCGAGCTGCTGCAGGAAGTTCTTCTCCTTCTCGTCGTCCCATTCGGCGCCCTTGGCAATGCCCTTGTACAGAGCCTCCTTGAGCCCGTCGTAGTCAATGTAGCAGTAGTAGTAGTCCTTGATCAGGCTCTGCTTGAGCTGTTCTCCGAACTTCATTTTGGCGGCGTGGGGTCGTGACGGGGCAAAAAGCTGGTGCAAAAAACAAAACTAGCCGCTCAGGTTCAGTATCAAAAGTCGACGACACTCTTTTATTACCAAGTAGACCCTATTGAGTTGGTCGACGACAGTATCAAAGTTTATGCACACAATTTATGAAGCTAGAGCTACTTGCACTTGTTTGGCACGTGGTAAGGCAGGACGCTGAGAGGCAAGATGAGGAGACCGCAAAACCCGCCGGAGGCCAGCCGAAGAACGGGCGGGGCGCGCGCGACATTGCGGTCTCGTGCCCCATTGGCGTCCGCACGCGCCCCGTTTTTCTGTCCCGACCGTCCCCGACCCGTCAAGATCCAATCAAATGCACAATCGGAAAACGTGCTCTGGGGACGCATATTTGTGCATATTGCGAGCCAGTTCAGTATCAGACTGTTCAGTGTTTGGAGAGAGAGAATGCGTGTGTGTGTGTGTGTGTGTGTGTGGTATGGTGGTATTGGAGCGAGGTGACAGGAGTTGTGTCGTTGTGACATTATCTCACATATATAAATATCTCCATTTCCGCCCTATCCTCGTCGTATGGCCGCAACTGTACCCGCACATCGACTGTTGACCTTCACACAACTGACGTCCACACAACTGACATAAACTCGTAAACTCCAGTCATCAGAGTTTCGGTAACACGGCCCCGAGTGTGTCAGAGGTGGGGCATGAGTGTCATGTCAGCGGTGGATGAGTGTGTCAGCGGTGGACATTTCCCGACTGGCCTATGACCAGTGGCCCTGGGCGCTTTTGTGCCATCTTTACAGCGTCCGACTGCAGCATGGACGACACACTCTTGTGGTGTGGTGCTGACACAGTTGGCCGTTTGCTCGAGACCAAAACAAGAAACTAACCACCTAAACCGATCTAAAAGTGACACTGTTGGCGTCTAGCCCTGAAAAAAAAAGTTTCGATTCGATCGTGGGGACTTTGGAGACTCGACAAAACCGTGGAGCAACGGGGTTTTGTCCGAGATAAAGAGGTCTTTTTGGTGGTTCCGACGAGAGGATCTCAGTGCACTTGGCGGATTTCCCACACCCACAGCCTCTTGGGTAGGCCTCCCAGCCTTTGGCACAACCTTGTCCAAGCAGAAGCTGTGAAAATCCACTAACGCACCCAACTACCGCATTCAGCGGTTTACAACGGCTGTTGGTGAATCGCTCGCCGCGATTACATGGTCGAGCAACTACTGCACTCGCACATATGACCATGTTCTCACCCATCAGACGCTATGGTCTGCAGCAGCAGTGCACATATCCGCCGCTGTCTCCTGTTTGCATCTTTCTTTTGCTCGTATGGCGTATTGTCCAAGTCAATGAAAAAGCCAATCTCGACGATCACCACGATGGAACGGCTCTGATTGGCTCGGGGTCATGTGACTGGTCTTGTTGGCGTCTGTCGCCGCTCTGTCGCACCTCTATCTCGGTCTAGATTTATCATAGGTTTCACTTATGATCGCTAAGGAGTGGACAGGGAGGTTGTGTAGTCAGTAAGATTCGGTGCGAGTATCAGTACGAGTGCAGTACATACCAGTACAATACCAGTATTGCCTTCTTGCACCATGGTTTCCCTCTCTCAGTCACAGGCTTCAAGGGTAAATTCCATCAACTCGAATCGGCTGTGACAACAAAGGGAAGTTTTCAAGCTGACGAAAAGTTCGACAGATTACAGATTCGACCGAACATTGTCTACACCACTCACCTGGGTTGGAGAGAAATGAGAGACGCCATCGTAGACACGGCCAAGGCTCCCGATTGGTGGCTCTTCGTCATACTGATCATCATGTTCGTCCTATTGATTGTGCCAGTCAAAGTGTTTCCTGTAGACACCCCTGTTTGGTGTATTGTTCTTTTCATGGGATTGGTTCCTGTGCGCTCTCAATGGGCAGTCTGAGCCCATGATTGGATATGCCATGCCTGGGCGGTTCATGGCTGTCAATCTCTTCAAAGCAAGCCCAAGAGTACCCCCAGATTGATCTTCTGGCTGCTACTCTGTGCCACGTTGGTGAATGGAGTGGTTGTATTGGACGTCATTGTTCACCTTTCCTGGCCAAACCACCTTCTTCACCGCCTCGGTTGCTTGGGGCGTTATTGGACCGGCGAAGACTTTCGAATAGTATACTATGAAGTGGATATTCTTGTTTGGATCATGTGTCGGACTCTTCTTCTACCCAGCTGATGACCAAGTGGTGGCCCAAACACGCAGACAGAATCGACTTTTACCGATGCAAATACCTCTACTTCAACCCTCCGATGTTTGTTATGGGACTTGTCGACGATTGGGCAAGTGACCTACAGAGTCGGAGGTTTGTATCTCGCTCTGCCGAATCTGGCATGGTGGAGAAAGTGTGCTTACATGGAGGACATCATTGTGACTGGCATCGCCCTGTCGGCAATCATCTTCTTCTACTCGGTCCAACACCATCCAAAACGGATTGGTGGGATAGTGGGGTAATAACGCAACGTTGTTGGAATCGGATATGATGGAGAAGACATTCCTCCGAATGCACCGCCCTCCAGAGGGCCCGGATACAAATCAGGAGTCCAAGTGGGTGAGAGTGGTGGGTGAGAGTGGTGGATGAGATGATTGGTGACGCCACGGGTTCCGCTGCTGCTCCTAGTATGTCGTCAATGGGTTGTATTCAGAAACTTCAGCGGCCCGACCCTCGTGCAACCAAGATCATCATCTAGCTCAGTCCGATGCCACTGTCGAAACAGTGATTGGTTTCAAGCATGTGGTGATTGATCCGGGTCTTTGATACACTCCGGCGGAGGATAACGTGATTGTCATTAGTTCAAGAAGTCTTTGAACACTCTCGAAATGCCAGATGGCTGAGGTAGAAAGACCACAGCCTTGTGGATGTGATGAACAGTCGCAGAGAGGGCGTTTGAAAGATCTACAGACTCAATGGGGTCCGTGTCTTTGCGTTTCTGTCAGGCGTAGTTGATCTGGTTTCGTAACGAATGGCTATCCACATCTCTGCTCGGGGTGAAGCACAACCAATGAGTATCATGACAAGTGACGAGCAATAAAAAAGGCGAGCAATAAAAAAGGCGAACAATAAAAAGAGCAATGAACCTGCATGAATGGCAATTGGACCTTTTCGACAGCAGAAACCGAAAGCACCCCTTCTACTTTACACCTCTACTCTCCCTACAGTCTTTCCGGTACAGTACAGGCTCTCTGGCTTGTAAGCAGACCATGGTCGTGTGAGCGAATTTTGTTCTCCCGATGAGTCTCCAAGACTCTGGTTATCGGAACGCCCCAAGCAAGTGATGTAAGTTGTTATTGTTTTTGTTATACACTTGTTCAATAGTTGGTACATAGTGTACTTGTAGTTCAACTTTGTTCCTCCTACACATGGCCAAATCAGGTTTTGTAGAGAATCTTCAAGAGCATTCAAAACCACGAATATTGCAGCTACGGGAAATCTGAAGAGTGCATCGTGCTCCCAGCCTCTGTAGGAACACGTCGATAGCTTCCTCGCCCTCCTAGCATCAACGTGAACCCACATATGGGGCCCTCCTATGCTCCACTCCAGCTGGCTGCGCGTCCAAAACAGGACCCTTAAATATTATGGGCGGTGAAAAATGAAAAATGCACGAGAGTGTGAAATCTCGTTGACGGCGCTAAAATCGTCGATAACGGAGACGGCGAAAAGAAACGACATTCGCCCTGGCCCGTCGCCGCACACATCCACCGCCCCCATATTATTAATCACCGGGTTTTTTTTTATTCTAGGGTTAAACTCGAGGAATCCACACTACAGACTCTCACCACACTAAAGTACCATGTCCAACTACCGACGAGGCGTGGGCAGCTACTCACGGATGCTAGGCGGAGGCACCAACCCGTTTGCCGCGTACACTGCCCGCAAGGCCAAAACCAAGAAGCGCGTACTCGACAAGTACGAGATCATCGGCTACATTGCGGCAGGCACCTACGGACGTGTCTACAAGGCCCGAAGCAAGGATCCCGGTGACACCAACCAGTACGCCATCAAGAAGTTCAAGGCGGACAAGGAAGGCGAAATGGTGCACTACGCGGGCATCTCTCAGTCGGCATGTCGAGAGGTGGCTCTGTGTGCCGAGCTGGACAACAGAAACATCACCAAGCTGGTGGAAACCATCCTGGAAGACACGTGTATCTACATGGTGTTTGAATATGCAGAACACGACCTGCTGCAGATTATTCATTATCACAGCCATCCCGAGAGGAAGCCCATTCCTGAATACACCCTCAAGTCGATTCTATGGCAGCTTCTCAACGGAGTCTCCTATCTGCATCAAAACTGGGTCCTGCATCGAGATCTCAAGCCGGCCAACACCATGGTGACGAGCGACGGAGTGCTCAAAATCGGAGACCTGGGCCTGGCCCGCCTGTTTTCCAACCCCCTGCAATCGCTGTACTCGGGAGACAAGGTGGTGGTCACCATTTGGTACAGAGCTCCTGAGCTGCTTCTAGGAGCCCGACACTACTCGCCAGCAGTCGACCTATGGGCTGTGGGCTGCATATTTGCCGAGCTCCTGGCTCTCAGACCTATTTTCAAGGGAGAGGAGGCCAAGATGGACAACAAGACCAATGTGCCCTTCCAGCGAAACCAGATGCAGAAAATCATTGAGATTCTGGGATCTCCCCAGGAAGATGATTGGCCAAGTCTGAGCAAGTTCCCCGAGTACGAGTCGCTCAAGCAGATGAAGACCTTCCCTCCCAATCTCGAAGCCTGGTACCAGAGTATCGGAGGTACCAACCAGAAGGGCTTCCAGCTCTTGTCGCGACTGTTGGAGTACGACCCAGCCAAGCGTCTTACCGCTAACGACGCCCTCTTGCATCCCTACTTTACTGAGGCTCCCAAGGTGAGTCAAAACGTCTTTGAGCGACAGGAGTACAAGTATCCGCCTCGGAGGATCTCGTGCGAGGATAGCGACATTAAGACCATGACGTACCAGGGAACCAAGCGGGGTAGTCAAGGAGGAGACAACTTGCATCCTAGAAAGAAGCAGAAGTAGACGTTTGACTCAGAGGGCACCCGAAATAATCCACTTTAGAGGGTAGGTGGTGGGTGACTTTTCAACTGAGTGAAGGCAGTGGCTGTGTCAAATGAGACCTAGAAATGGTGAAAGAGACTATCACAATCCCCCTTTTCTCTTAAAAGACTAGAAGAGCTACGGCAGCAGTCCAAACACTCCTCTCGCGGAATAGTGTCGCCTCATTCTAACATGAGCTCTGGAATCTACAATGAATTATTTATTGTTTATGTGAATTTGATCTCAGTATCTGGATGCTAATACGAGAGGACAATAGCGCCATCGCAGTCACTATCTAAGCACCAGAAATGCACACACATTTCTCTTGGACTTACAAATACGTCATACAGCGTCACCAACCGCCCTAACCTCTTCCACGCATCCCCAGCAACATGTGGAAATCTTGGTGCAGGAGGTGGATTTTGCAATTGTGGAGGAAATAATGACATGGGACAAGTGTTACAAGTCTCATTCTGTTGCTCTTGTTGCCAGCTTTCGTCTGGTATATTTGGATCTCGATCTTCATGTGTGATGACTCAGCTGGCAGGAGGTGAACAATTTTGGAGCGGCCAAATGCGCCACACTGAATGCCGCAAGAATCGGATGAGAACCGTAGACATACTGGCATGTCAATTGAAACTGTGGGTGTCTACTCGTGTACTCTTCTGATATATAATTATCGATTTTCTTCTTCCAGACTGGAAATAGCTCAGATTCCCAACTGTCCCTCCACCTACCTCCCTGGTTGTCTCACAAGGCTGAAACTTGAACTGGGCCATCTTTATCAAGTATAAAACCCATTGTCACCTTCTCTGTCCCCACAGACCTTCCAACGGCTTCTTTTTGGCCCCGCAAGTTCATCCTGAAGCCCCCCACCCACCTATCACGAGAATAAGCTTTCTGGCAACAACCCAAATAAATTTATTTGGCAAGCGAAAAAAGTAAAATCAAACTTGACCATTCAACCATCATGGGCGTATTCATTAAACAGGAGCAGCTTCCGGCTCTCAAGAAGTACAAGTGAGTATGGATGTGGCGAAGTTGGAAGAACGGTCACGTGAGCTCGACGAGTGGTGTTGACGTTCACTTTGACAGTCCTGAGGTGGAGATAATGACGTACTACCAATAGTGTAGGGGATGAGGACGTGTTGGGGTTGTGGCAGCAGATACATGGTCATAATATATGGCTGTCTGTTATCTAAGACAAGTGCCGGATCGATCGCGTGGATGTATATCCTAATCTACGCCAGTGGTTCATGCTAACCCAGGTACTCCGCCGAGGATCACTCGTTCATCTCCAACAACATTCTGCGCCCCTTCTGGCGACAGTTTGTCAAAATCTTCCCTCTGTGGATGGCCCCCAACATGGTGACTCTGTTGGGCTTCTTCTTTGTCATTGTGAACTTCATCACCATGCTCATTGTTGATCCCACCCACGACCGCGAGCCTCCCAGATGGGTCTACCTCACCTACGCTCTGGGTCTGTTCCTTTACCAGACATTTGATGCCTGTGACGGATCCCATGCCCGACGAACTGGCCAGAGTGGACCCCTTGGAGAGCTGTTTGACCACTGTGTCGACGCCATGAATACCTCTCTGATTCTCACGGTGGTGGTGTCCACCACCCATATGGGATATAACATGAAGCTGCTGATTGTGCAGATTGCCGCTCTCGGAAACTTCTACCTGTCGACCTGGGAGACCTACCATACCGGAACTCTGTACCTTTCTGGCTTCTCTGGTCCTGTTGAAGGTATCTTGATTCTGGTGGCTCTTTTCGTCCTCACCTTCTTCACTGGTCCCAACGTGTACGCTCTGACCGTCTACGAGGCTCTTCCCGAATCCATCACTTCGCTGCTGCCTGCCAGCTTCCTGGACGTCACCATCACCCAGATCTACATTGGATTCGGAGTGCTGGGCATGGTGTTCAACATCTACGGCGCCTGCGGAAACGTGATCAAGTACTACAACAACAAGGGCAAGAGCGCTCTCCCCGCCATTCTCGGAATCGCCCCCTTTGGCATCTTCTACGTCGGCGTCTTTGCCTGGGCCCATGTTGCTCCTCTGCTTCTCTCCAAGTACGCCATCGTCTATCTGTTTGCCATTGGGGCTGCCTTTGCCATGCAAGTCGGCCAGATGATTCTTGCCCATCTCGTGCTTGCTCCCTTCCCCCACTGGAACGTGCTGCTCTTCTTCCCCTTTGTGGGACTGGCAGTGCACTACATTGCACCCGTGTTTGGCTGGGACGCCGATATCGTGTCGGTTAACACTCTCTTCACCTGTTTTGGCGCCACCCTCTCCATTTACGCCTTCTTTGTGCTTGAGATCATCGACGAGATCACCAACTACCTCGATATCTGGTGTCTGCGAATCAAGTACCCTCAGGAGAAGAAGACTGAGTAATCGAGTCCCGACACGGTCCAAAAGACATTATATATAGACAGAAATAAATTTATACATTGACTAACGAGTGAGTACAGCAGTGAATGGCAAGTCACCAGCCACAAGACAAGTTCAAGTAAGTACAAGAACAGTGCGTATCAGTAGATGCTGTACTTGCAACGTGCTTCTCTGTCAATCTCAGTCTCTCATTTTGTCTTGTCTCTCTTCAACTTTCTTCTCTCCATCACCATGGCATACACCTTCCATTATGATGTTCCACTATGATGATGCAAGAGATGTGTAGAGGAGCATTCAGAAGCTGAAAAGGCGGAAAACGACCCCTTCGAGTGCTCAAAAGCCTCATCGATTTGCTTGCACAAGTACTGTATAAGCATTCATTCTACAGCTACTCCGGAACGATCGCCTCTATACTCTCCTTGAGTTTTGCCGCAATGATCTACTTTAGATCCGGCTTATATCCGGCCACTACACGAGATCATCGGAAGGGCCCAAAGATGATCCCTCTACATGGAAGTAGACACACGCACATGACACGCACGCGCGCCACCAGCAATCAATCATCGCAGTTCGGTCGTCCTTAATCTATATACAATTCCTTAAGCGGTGGCAGCGGGGGCCACGGCAGTGGTAGCACCGGGGGCAACAATGTCGTTAGAGCCCTGAGCCAGCTTCATCTCGGCCTCCGTCTCGTTGAGCTGCTGCTCGGACATGATGGACAGAGCCAGAGGAACACCAAGCAACAGAGAAGAAGAGGTGATGATGTAGATGGCCTTACCGCCGAAAGAAAAGCCAGCAGAGGCCCAGTCGTAGATGGTGGAGGCGGCCTTGGAGGCAAAAACTCGATGCTGAGGGGGAACAATGTCCTTGAGAGCAACCACTCGCTCGTAGATGGTCTCATCAATGTCAAACTCATCATCCTCATCCTCCTCAGCATCCTCGTCGTCAGATCCAACGTCCGAGTACTCCTGCTCGGCGGCCTCGGCGGCGGCAGCAGCAGCAACCTGCTCGTCAAAGAGCTTCTGGTCGTTTTCGTCGTTGATAGCCGTAAGAGTGACCATTGTTGTTGTGTACTATGAGTGTTTTTGCGTAGTGTGAGATTTGCTGTGACAATTAGCGATACAAAGATGCACTGAAAAAACTCAATTTCAAAGACAGGGTAAGAGCGTATGGGGAAGCTTAGAGAAGCGAGTTGGACCTGTCGACTGCAAAACCCTAACCCGAAACCCGCAGTCGAGAAAACCCCAACCCGTACTGTTACTGTACTCCACACCTATCACGTGCAAGTTGGGCTGGCTGGCTATTATTCGATTCTGGAGTGATAACGGCTATTAAACGGGTTACTTGGGATTCCCTGTGCCTTCTCAACCTCAAACATTGAACATTGAAGTGGAATGTTCGAAACTTCAAAGGACTATACAAGGATACTTGTTTAGTAGCAGTTTATCAGATCGCCTTCTCGAGCTCAACTGCCATGATTCCGAGACCAGTACAAGAGTGGAGAGATGATTAATTTTGAATCTCGGAGCTTCTTAATAGCCCAGATGTAGTTTGAGGTACCCTTGAAACATCAGCTTCCATACAATGTGTTTCTGGATGAATCTCGCCGTCAACTTTGTGCGATGTACAGCAGACTCCAAAGGCTTCAAAGGGCTTTAATGGGCTCCAAAGGACTGAAGGACGTTGCTGGACCTTCTATTACACACCGGGTGTGTCTATGTGCAGCGGTATCTATCTTCTCTGTCATTGTAGTTGAATATCGTTCAAGAACATGTCTCAGACTAAAGCCTTATCATGTGTAAATTGAGAAATGCCGGTAGATTATAGAAGTGACAAATCATTATTCGAATAGAAGGAGTTACTTCTATTGCTTTCATTCTCTCAGGTTTAATATCACCCGTTGTATTACTTCAGAAATCGTACAGTACAGTACATACCTATCTCTACACGGTTCAAAGCACAGCCACACCACCCTGCGAAATGCAAGCAAGCAAGATGGCGTATATCATGCGTCCAACAAGGTCCCAATCTCTTGTCCGTTGCTTCTTTCTGCCATTGTGTCTTTCAACCCCGCTTTTGGTGTCACTTTTGGCCCCCTTTGACTAGATAACTTAGCTGAGAGCCGTCAAAGTGTGGGAAGGGTGTTAGTTGTGGTCTGTACTGTACAGTTAGAAACGAGAGGGAGGGACAATGCAGATGGTGGCAATCAATCGTGCTGTTGTACAGCAACATTTTCAACCAAGCAGCCCTTTAGGAGTGTCCCAATCGTCACCCTTTACTCGACGAACCACCCCACCATCCCACCAACGTATCCATGTCTCAGCCGCTTGTGAGACACAGTTGAAACTGCGGGGTGCGCTACAAGTAGCAGATGGTTCGTGGTTAATGCGAGTGATAGCTGCTGTCGAGATATTGTCTGCGCTTTAATCTCGCCATTGTGCCTGACCGAAAAAAACGAGGGGACAGACATCCATTGCCAGTGGGCAGTTGACATAGAGCAGATGTGTATGTGAATACTGCGGAATCGGGGTCAGTCAACCCTCTACAGTCTCACCTGCCAACTGAAACACAAGTTGTGTCTCTCACTGTTCTCGTTAATGTTGCCTGTGTCACTTCAGTATCTGACTGGGTTTAGTCTGGCGCAAGTTGAGTTGGTGGGGGAGCACATGTTACTGTAGACAGTTGAGAGTAAGAGTGCAGTACATACCATACTCTACATGATAATGGAGCTTCTACGAGAGAGCAAGACTCTGGACAAGTCAATTAGTCATCCAAGAAACTCTCACTCCACTCACTCCACTCACTCAACTCACTCATCTCGCTCGACTCACTTTCCGACAACTTCTGCTTCCCCACCCTTGACTCTAAGTCAATATCACTCCTAACTATCAACTCTTTGTGACACTGCTTATATCGAACTGTCACCTTAACCCAAACATACCCACCTTGATATCACTATTTATACCCGGTCGATACCAGTCCAGTCACTCAGTATCCATACAGTTTTGAGGCGCACACGGCATCCGGTATACCTGCCACAATCAGTAAATCCCAACTGACACAAGGTACTAAAGCCATACCACACCAACCCGCGAGCGCGACACAAAGACAAACAAGACACCACAGAGACTTCCTGATGGTGGCGCAACTGGTCAGCTACTACTTGCGAGCCGCCGTGGCTTCGCCCAAGCTCCTCTACGATCATGGCATGCCCAACGGAGAGGTCCTGGACATGGCCTATCTCACCGACGAGCTTCTCATCAGTGCAGGCCCCACCAACGACTACCGACGCAGCTTCTACCGGCCCGCTACTGCGGAGCTCAAACAGTATCTGGATTCCAACCATAAGGACGGCTGGCTAGTGTACAACTTCCGAGCCGAGCCGTCGGGCTACGAGGACTCCGATCTCGACAATCGTGTCGTCCACTTGCCCTTCAGAGACCACACCCCTCCGCCCTTCTTTTACATTCCCCTGTTCATCGAGTCCATTCGAGACCACGTTGGCGGTGCCAACCCAGCCAAGCGAACACCTCCAAGCACACCCCCTCGGGCCCCGTCCAGTGACTCCGTGGACACAGATACCTCCACACGCCCCTTGGCCCCTTCCCAGTCGTCACTTCTCGAGGGGATTTCCTCGGACCCTTCTCTGGTCCCCACCACAGACGTGTCGTCGCTTCAGCTGTGGGAACGCAGCGACTCGGGACGGTCCCACTCTTCGGGATCGGACGACACCAGCCTGGCATCTCAGATGTCGGTTAACTCACAGATGTCGCAGGTTAGTCAGGCGTCGTCCCAGTCCCAGATCAGCCGCATCTCGGGCTCTCTGCAAAGCTCCATCGGGTCCACCGTCTCTGCACCAAGAGTGGCAGTTCTTCACTGTAAGGCGGGCAAGGGACGATCGGGGCTCATGGGATGCGCCTTTTTGGTGGCTGAGCGGGGCTGGTCTGTCAAGAACGCCGCCGACAGCTTCACTCGGGTGCGGATGAGACCTGGGTTTGGCGAAGGGGTCTCTATTCAGAGCCAAAAGCGCTACCTCAATTACACCTACGACTGGGCTCAGGTGATTGCTCGTCAGTACAGGGATATCAAGGTCGACCTGGACTACATTCGGGTGTGGAAGCCCCAGTATTCGGACATTGTCATCACCCTATCCGACTACGAGAACGATAGTGACCGGGCCGAGTACTCTCCCTCTGCCATTCCCGAGGTCAAGAAACGATACATCTCCAGCCCGGAGGACCTCACGAACGAGACGGACGACTACATTACCTTCCGGCCCAAGGAGACTGTGTCACTAACAGGTGACTGTCGAGTCAAGGTCAAACATGTCGTGGCCAATCCGTTTAGCCTTCCTCTTGTGGATGGCCAAGGCGATGCTTGGTTCAACCTCTTTTTTGAGACCTTTCGAGTTCGGGAGGGTGCGTATGACTTCCACAACACCGAGGGCATGTTTTCCGTATCGTGGAGTCACATGGATGGGTTCCGGGGCAATTTCCAGAAGGGAATGTGGCTCTGTGAACGGGTGGAGGTCGGGTGGAGGGTCGCCCAGTCCCAGGAGGGCACCGTCCAAGAATCATAGACCATCCGTATTGCTATAGCTTGATATTTATTACTGGTAGAACCGATACCCTTGTTGTGTATTACTGTGCGTTCCTATTTAGCCGGAGCTACGCTGTAGAGCCGCTCAACATGGGTGTGATGGATCAACGGAGTGTGTTCATTCATGTGTGATGCGTTTTTGTTTCTGACGACTCCGTAGGACATGTTTGATGGTAGTTGGCACGACTGTGGTTCTGCTGGAGCAATTGCATGACCGTTGGGGAAATTTAGCCGCCCTTTGCTCGTTCGTCAATCTTCTTCCACGTAGCCTCAATGATTTTCTTGACATGGGCTAGGGCCTGGGAGTTGGGTTTGTTGGCCTTGCAGCTCAGGGTGTTGTAGGGGGGGTCAATCTGGACCTCTTCGACTGCGAGGATGGATTTTCCGTCCCATCGGCACGGCAGGGTCTTTGCAATGGCGTCGTAGATTTCCTGGCCCTGCTCGGTCACGCCCACGCCCTTGTTGGCCTGTTTTCGCATCTCCTGGTTCACCACGTCGCCCTCTCGTCTTTTGACGGCGTCCAGGTCGACGAATCCCACCGGCGAGTTGGTCTCGAACGCCTGGGTGGACACGGCTGGGGGAGCGTCCTTTTTAGCCCGGGCAATTTCAGACCACGAGTTCTTGGGCTTGGCAGCGGGGGCAGAGGTGGCGGCAGCAGCGGTCGGGGTCGATCCGGGGGTAGACTTGGGTTTCTCCAGCACCACAACCGACTTGATCAAAGGGGTTCGGACGATCCGGAACTTTTGGGGGGACTCCTCCAGGGTCACCGTCTGCGAAAGCGGGTCGTAGCAGTACACCGATCCCGTCACCTCGGTGAGCGCGGTGGTAGTCACGCGGATCTTGTGGCCAATCGTCCAGTCTATGGTTGTGGTCATGGCTGTGTGTTTTGTCGGGATGGACGTTTGTTTGTGAGGTATCCCGAGTGACCATCTTCACCACTATTAAGTTCGTCTCCCAACAGGCGTGCAGGAGGGTGCATGAGTGGGTGGAATCGACAGTTGGTCTGTTGGTTGATATGGTGTATAAAATGCGGGTCTGGGCGTTGATTTTGGTTTATAATGTTTCTCGCGTCTTCTGGGGAGTTTTTTTGAGTCGTTTACTTGGGTTCTGGGGCGTCCTGGTGACGTGTATCTGCTGTTACGAATGCACTAACAAATCCAACTAAAGGCTAACTAATGGCGATCTTCGTTCCAAGTACGAGTCATGACCGGGGTTCGAATTGTCAGGTCGTGCAGACCGGCATTGAAGAGAAAAAAATCATAAAAGCAACTTGTACTGTACTGTACAATTGCATGAGCGGTGTCAGAATCGCATCAACACGCCAGAATCGCACCAACATGGGTAACGGAGAGAGCCGGATCGCCCCGGAGATTGTAGCAGAATACGCATCTCTGAAAGCCGCTCAGGAACAACTGATGGAGGCAAGTAAGCAGCTGAACCAACAGATCGACGAGGCCTACGAGGCCATCGTGCCACAGTTGCCGGACCCTGTCTCCAGGGACGAGTGCGTTTCCGCCATGAATCGGCTCATTGAGGAGGACAGGCGATTTTATGGAAAATGGGCTTCCAACAAGCAGCATCTGGCGGTGCAATTGCAGGGTCATGCCGAACGACTAGCGGCTTTCGAGAGACACTTTCATGAGCACAAATTGGAGTCACAGTACAGAGCACCGGTGGAATTTTGGATGCGGCAGACTCGTCGTGAAACATATACCTGGAGAGAGCGACACAAGCCGGTGGACCGCGCCCTCAAGCTGCAACTGGCGGTTCAGAGCTTGGTCGATAATCAGGATGAGGACATGAGACAGTGGTATCTGGCAGAATGCATGCCTTTTGGGAGTCATCTCGACAAGAAACCGAGCTCGAAGCCTGGGGTAGTCGTTGAAACCAAGGAATCATGCCTTCCATTGGAAATAGCCTCTCTAATCTACGCCAATTGCGACCTTGAGTCGTGCTTGGAGCTCAGACAGGCCAACTCGTTTTGGTACAAGGCTTTCAAGCAATCGGATGACGTTCTTGAGAATGTTTTGGCAGCTCGATACCCGTGGTTCAGACTGGAGGGCGACCTTGAAACCTGGGGGGATTGCATGTTGGTTTTTGTGAAGCGTCTGGCAACGTGGAATACTGCAGAGAACTTCTCCGATATTCAACTTGTACGCACGGAGCCAACACCCCAACGTTTCATTACAGCGACTACTCTGGGGTTTGGTGAAAAGCCTCCGAGTGGCTTTTCTACGATACAAACCCATAATTCCGCCTGTCTCTCTTACAATTGTGGAAAGTTACATCTGAGCCATAGATCTAGCTATGCTGTTATGGACGCTTGCACTCTTGAGACGCGATTTGGAGACTGGGGTCGTTTTTCGGTGGTGTCCACCGTGTCCACCGATGAGGAAACAATCTTGAGAGTCGACGGTCTGGAAATCACGCTCCCAAAAACTATTCGCGAAGAAGATCTGCAGGATTGGGAGGGGCTGGAATCCCCGGTACTCGTTCGAAATCACCATATTCTGGTGAGAGCGCGAGACATCGTCTTCTTGTTCTCACTTGAAAAACCGTTGCACTACGAGAATTCATTCATCTACGCTGGAGGCGACCCAGGCAAGGAGGTGGGACATATCCACTTTGCCAAAACTCAAGATAAGACCGTGGGTGGCCTCCACGACCCCTTTTGCGACGAATTGGTTACGGTTCCCCTGCCACTCCAACACCTGGAACCCACAGCATCTTACAAGGGGCTCATTTGGTGCCGTGAAGCAATCAGTTATACCAGTGATGTGGTTTTGGTTCCCACATTTGTGGATCTGAAAGCACCGACCAAAATATACTATCGACGCGATAGATGTCTACCAATCAGCGATCCTTGGAACTGGTTGAGACAAGCAGGCACATCAGGAAATACGCACATTGTGACCGCCATGAGTCCCCAAGGTCTCACGCTGGTAGACTTGGATGCAGAAAGTGTCACGTACGTCTTAAAGCCTGATTATGAAGCTGTGAATGCCCGTGGACGCGCTGGTCGCGAAATGCTCCTTCCTGGCTTTGATGGAAACAAGTTTCAAGTCTGGTACATTGAACATGAATCCGTCAAGCGGTACAACATGGATGTCTGGGGGATGCAAGATGAGGATCAGCTAGAAGGAATATGGGACCTTGATACACTGTGACTACTACAGTAGTTCACAACCTGGTCTCATTACTACCCATCTCCACAAGCACTATTGAGGATGACTCCTGTTGAAAAATAGCAGAGACTTACTGATGAGAACTTCTGGTTGGGGATACAGACTAAGAGAAGTCGAGAATATAGCTATTGGTGATCACTAAGTTGCCCATCGGTCTGATTTGAGTTGAATCTGGACCAGCTATCGGAATAAGACAAGTTTGAAACCTCCTCAGATGACACAACCATCAGCAAGATGACCTCAGGGAGTATTACGAATACACCCATTCCTCACTGGCTCGTCCCATACCTCCAAATTGCGACTCGAGCGATGATCATCAAGCTTCACATTGAGAAGGTCTGGGGACTGGTTTCTGGGCATAACATCTGAACTTGAAAGATGAGGAAACTCGTCGGAGGAGGAAACTTGTTAGAGCAGGTAACTCGACAAATGAAGAAACTCGACATGGTTAAGTAGCATTGAGGAGGAGCAAGTTCGACCAAACATGTGATCCAAGCGGCTTTGACAGAAGCAGGTGGATAGAGCGAACGGGAGACAAAGTTGAGAGACAGTTAAACGGCAGTCATTCAACCTTGGGGAAAGAGACTACAGTATGTATTGGCGGACTTGTCACGAATTGTTGAAGGAGCAAGAACATGTCTACAGGAAACCAACCCCTGGTAAAGCTAGAGAACTGTGGGGGCTACAGCCGAGAACTGTGGGGGCTACAGCCGAGAGCACTGCTATGGGGCTACAGTTGAGAACAATGCTAAGGGGCTACAGTTAAGAGCAAGGCTACTCTGGTCTCCTCAAAGGTACACATGTCCAACAATGGTCCTATTGAGTCTGTTGCCTACCATCGCCCTTTTTGGCATGCTTAGATTGGAAGGTTCACAATATCTTGTTCATACATGTCACTCTTTACTCTACATAAATATCTACTTGGTCTGGTGCTCCTTGTGCTCTTTGTCGTGACCGTAAGCCTTGGTACCATAATGGCCGTTGATACAGATGATATCCTGAGGTCGGTATTCCTGCTTGCCCGACAAAAAGACCTTGAGGATCTTTTTGTTACCCTCGGCGGACCGGCCCTGGGCACCAATGGAAGTGCCGGAGATACGGGGAGTCATGGCGTTTCCCCCGCTGTACTTGTTTCGCATGGTTCTCCAGGGGTGGTATTTGGGGGCAGGCTGGAGAAACCAGACGTCTCCGCCGTATGCTCGGATCTTGCCAGACTTGAGGGCTTTGGCAATGTCCTCGGTGACGCAGATGGCTCCTCGGGCGGTGTTGACGAGCCAGACTCCGTCCTTCATGTGGGAGAAGAGCACTTTGTTGAAGAGACCCTTGGTGGAGGTGTGAAGGGGACAATTGATGGTAACAGCGTCACAGAGAGAAAGCATCTTCTCCAGAGACTCGACTTGTCGGCATCCAATTTCCTTCTCGACGTTGGCAGGCATGGGCTGGTAGTCGTAGTAGAGGAGCTCCAAGGGGTTGAAGGGTGCAAGTCTCTTCAGGACTCGCTGCCACCAGAAATGATCTGCTCGTGGGCAGCGACAAGTTTCGGACCAGCACCAGCATGGTCATAACAACGTTCTCAGCAACGGACTGGACGTTGAAGCCGGTGACCTCGAGTACGGCAATGTCTCGGGCGTTGGCTGCGTCAATATTGGCGTGGTCCGAGCCGACACCGGCGGTGATGTAGATCTTGAGCCTCTTGGCCTTGTTAATTTACTCCTTGTTGATGTAGCCGGGGTGGAAGGGGGTGGTGATAACTACGTCGGCGTCGACAATCTCCTTGTCGAAAACGGAGTCGGCTGTCCTTCAAAGAGTTGGTAACGAGAGTGTGGTCCTGTTACTCTAGCCAGTCTCAAATACCGAGCTCGTTCTCGGTGCATCCAAGGAGCTTGAGCTGGCGTGGGAGGACAAGGACTTTCATATTGGTGGTGTTTGTGAGTAGATAGGAATAGAGAGGATTTGGGGTCCTTTTTATTGTCATGATCACCATCTGGAGCCCTCCTTGAGGTGTTCAACTTGCAAGCCAGCGGGTGTTTCGACGGCTGTGGTGCGACTCGCTTATTTTCTCGCTAAGAACCAGAGGCTCGATCGTGAGTTCTAGCGGGGCTCCAATATAGCAAAAACAGACCAAGTTGGTTTAAATAGACACATTGAGACTGCACCAATCGATTCCCGGTATTTTCAGCTATTGCTTACTAACATCTTTCGACGGTACGGGCGGCATAATTTCCAAGTCGTGAATGAAATTTCAAGCCGCACTAATGTGCTGAGACGGTGTCTTAGAATAAGACGCGAGATACGCAATGCAGCTCAATACATTGACAAAATGAGCCTGGCTAGTTCCGACGACAACTTCTGCTCCGACGATATCAAGGTCTGCACACCTCTACCACTATGGTGATGAGAGAAGACGGAGAAGAGAACGAAGAAGAAGGATGGAGTCTGACGGGTAAAGAGGGAGAAGGGGCTCCCATGCCCCTGTAAAGCAGCTCAAACTGATGGATATCAAACACACCCTGACGAAAAAGTATGGAATCGGAGGCAAGGGCGACAAAAAGACGCTCTACTACAATCTCTCCTTGATTCAGTGGCCGTGTTTCTGCCGGCTGGCTCTTCTACCACAACCAGTCCGTCAAGATTCCCTGCTCTTCAAGGAGCGGAAACGGTATTCAACAATCATAAGAGAATGTATCGGGGCCGTCTCTGGATTTGAAGCTCAAGGACACTGGTGGGAGACAAGCTCGAGTAGGTGACGCCACTTGCTAAGATGCTCAAGGGATCCGAGATGGTCTGCTTTTGTCAACCACACCGAGTACAAGGTGTCCCCACGTGGACGGAAAGAATGCTCTACAGGTGGCCTGATAATTTTCAGCCAGCGCCTTGCCCAGGATTGCTGAATCTATCAAGGAGGTGGCACCTAGCATAGATCTCCCAGGTTGTTGGATCGAGAGAACACGAGGACGTCTTCAACAACGAACTGGAGTTTTCTGTTCTGCGCAAGTTGACTCTCAAAAGCCTGGCGTGGTGGAAGAAGAGGAGAGCTCGTCAACGGACTGCTGCCACTGCGAAAAGCAGACGATGGGACCTAAGCAAAGGAATAAGGAGGATAATGTCTCTTGTTACGACTCAGACGAGTCAGACTATTTTGTAGATGTTGATTCTGGTGGTAACCAGGATCTCTACGAGGAGGGTGTGATTGAAGATGAGAATGAAGTCATGGTCTTCACTCCAGAGCTACCTTTCGATACCACCATGTTCAGGGTACGAACCAACCTCGGTCGTTTCGCTTCGTCCCTTACTGACCGAAAACTCCCCAACCGCAAAGCGGACAGCAGGAAGTGTCCCATTGACACATGTCGAGAGGTGCCGCAACCAGTTGAGTGATGGTACCGCACGAGGAGTTTTAGAGCATGTGTCTTCATTAGATGCTGAAGAAGCACAGCCACCAAAGTCGCTAGTGGCCGCTACCAAAACCAGGCAAGTTGATGCAACAACGGAGTCAACCAGTAAGTGCAGTTTATCCAGTCACTACGGTTCAGCCAGATGAAAATTCAGTTATCGTCATTGACTCCAATGAGAACACACACAATCTCTGGTGAATAGCTCAATCTAGAACTCGATGGCCAACAGGACTAGTGTTGACGAACAGACTCCGCTCAGCCCCTCGTTCCAGCCTCGCACGGGTCCGTTTGTTCAACCTCCTTGGTGAACCCTGTCGACCAAAACATGATGTCCTGGAAAACTCCATCGGTCAACGAGATGCGCGAAATGGCAACTCGACATGGCCTACATCTTCTTACCCGACAGGATATGCCCTCTCTGTAGATCCTCTCTCTTGAGTAGATTTATGACATGGCGGCCCGACATGGTCTGCATGTGCTTAATACAGAGGAGATGCACAGGTTGACGGCCCAGAGTAGACCCCGTATATGCGGTACGTCGAGGTGGCCATTGTGCACACCTCATCCAGTGACTTCTATCATGCATTCGTCTTCCACTTGTAGCATCGTCTTCCACTTGTAGCATACAACCTCCAGTTTCGAACGTTTCGCACCCATCTCCATACAACCTCCATCTTCTAGCGTTTCGCGCCGACCTCTTCGAGAGGTCCATCTCTCGCATCCCGCAGAAGTGTCTCGGCGAAAGAAACCGTTGGAGACTGTTCAGTGAGAGTATATTCCCCCTCCAAATGAGGATCTCTACTCTAGCTAATGAGAACCATCACCATGTCGGCCTTAGGAGACAAGCAATTTATTCATTTAATAGATATCCTGTGTAATACCATTATAACAGAGTAACTGAGCATGGATTTGTCGCATTCCCATTTATATTATCTTCATTCCTTTCAATAGATGACCAACTACTTATTCAAACAATCCAATGGAGCCTACAAACAGATACAACTACCTGACGAGCTTTTGGATTGCTCCCGAGTTGATTAGACGTCCTGATGAGACCAAAGACGTGGCTGAAACTCCCGTGGTAAACCCCTGGCTAGATGTTTCGCTGGGAACGGGTTCTGGGTCTCGATCTAGTCAGGGAAGTCTTGCATCTGATATTGCGCGTATCAAACCTCAGGAGATTGTCAGAGAAAAACAAATGAAGGAACTAGAGCTTGATAACGGAGAGTTTTACCCCGAGTTGGTGGGGTTGCGGTCGGCTTCTCTGTCATACTCTCAGCCTGCTATATCTACAACCGATTCCGGGTTCCAAAAACTCACATTAACGACACTCTTACCCAAGTCGATGGTCATGCTCCTACTTGCTATAGCTTTGGAGTACTCGAAATTGCATTTCCCGCTTGGACTCTCACTTTTGAGTCCCGGGCCCCAATGTCGAGCTGTCGACCGAAGATATTATCAAGAATTGACTCGAGAAGTATCGAGGCTCTGGAGCTTTTCAAGTTCAAGGCCATGAGAGACGCCCGAACCAAGGGTTCCCTGCTGTCTACACTCAACGGAACGAAAACAGATGCAGGACACAGTGTCTGACGGAGTGGCTATCGGCTCTTTTGAACCACAAGCAAGAGATTGAGGGGCGACTGGACTTAGTGGAGACATTCAAGACACGAAATCCGCAATCGTTGTTACAATCTGCTCAAGAGATTCTTCAAACAATAAACGAGATACAGGCACTCATGTAACCTGAATGATATTTTCTCGACAATTAATCATCTCACATTCGTTAAACAGAGCCCAATGCATCATAGTATATAATCACACACGGTACGTTTACCAGGATATTACCAAAAAAGACAAATTAAAGGCATTTGGGCTGAAGAAAAAAATTCTTTGAACAGAGTTTCGATAATGCACACCATTGCTTTATCTCAACCTTAATATACACCACAGTATATATATAATATAGGGAGAAACATCGGTCCCCATGCCTCCAGAGTCCCAATATACTTTTCAGAAGATTGCTCGAGGCAGTGGATTCTGTCAGACTTCCGGGAACAGGAATTCGCAGACCTTCGGAAACTGGAATTCGCAGAGATCATCTCTCGTCCTTCTACCACGTCCTCCTGCCTCTCATGGTCAAGGTCTGACGCTTTTAAAACTAATTATATAACAATATTGTACAATTATTGCTTCCTTCACGGATTCAATCATAAGTTGTCCCTCAGTTCTCTTTCACTTGGTCACTCGTGATGGGCGGTTTTTCTTTGAGTTCAGACTTGCGCGAGAGATGGCTTCTTGAGTTCAATATCGTCACCGCTCATAACCTGCTGAAGGTAGCAGAGTAATACCTGGTCTTCCTCACAGTTTTAAAGGAACTAGCTTGGTCGTAGGCAAAATTTCCATCCTGTAGATAGTGTATCTGATTTTCAAATGGGCAGTTTTATTTCTTGTTCTCATGCCGATTGTTCAACTAAGTCTGCCAACTACACTTTCACCACCACACATCACTACATGTACATTCCACTGCACTGCCAGCTTCAAAAACTCACAAACAACGACATCGAGAGACAAATTCACCTGATATCCCTACATACCGCTGTCTCACCATGTCCCTACCCAAGAACACCCGTGCTGGTTGAGATTGAAATGAGTCTCAAGTGCTGGTTGAGATTGGAATGAGTCTCAAGTGCTGGTTGAGATTGAAATGAGAGTTTCCAGTGCTGTGGTTTTCCAAAGCACAATTTGTTGGGGAATTGATGTTTCGGACAAACATTCTAGAAGCTGTTATTCCGAAGAACACACATTATTCACCAATACTTGATTGCTCAATGTCCACTGGAACAGTAGGTATGATGGATCTCACACGTAGATTCTCACTTCACTTTGTCACTGGCTGAGACCTTTCGAAGCGTGCATGCCTTCTTCTAACTGCATGGCCCTGCCATTTTTTCTTCCGTACACTTCATTCACTCCCTATCCGTCATAAGTTGCTTCTGCCATCACTAGCTACGAATACTACACTGGAACTTGAGAAGTAATTATTAAATGGACTATTCAGATTACGGCCGTCACTTACAGAAGAGCAGCGAACAGGGGAAGAGCAGCGAAGCCACCGACAACCAGCTTAGAGGCTCCATTGGCCTGGGCAGGGTGGTCAGCAGATCCAGTGGCCTGGGGAGACTGAGGGATATCAGAAGGTCCGGCAGTGCTGTCAACTCTGAGGGTGGACTGGGGCTTGGAATCAACGCCGTTGCTTGCTCCAGAGTCTGATCCATTGGAATTGTTTCCATCAGATCCGTTACCGTTTCCGTCAGAGCCGTTACCGTTGGAACCATCAGAGCCGTTGCCGTTGGAACCGTCAGAGCCGTTGCTGTTGGAACCGTCAGAGCCGTTGCCGTTGGAACCGTCAGAGCCGTTGCCGTTGGAACCGTCAGAGCCGTTGCCGTTGGAACCGTCAGAGCCGTTGCCGTTGGAACCGTCAGAGCCGTTGCCGTTGGAACCGTCAGAGCCGTTGCCGTTGGAACCGTCAGATCCGTTGCCGTTGGAACCATCAGAGCCGTTGCCGTTGGAACCGTCAGAGCCGTTGCCGTTTCCATCAGAGCCGTTGCCGTTGGAACCGTCAGAGCCGTTGCCGTTTCCATCAGAGCCGTTGCCGTTGTCGTCAGATCCGTTACCGTTGTCGTCAGATCCGTTGCCGTTGGAACCATCAGATCCGTTGCCGTTGGAACCATCAGAGCCGTTGCCGTTGGAACCATCAGAGCCGTTGCCGTTTCCATCAGAGCCGTTACCGTTGGAACCGTCAGATCCGTTGCCGTTGTCGTCAGATCCGTTACCGTTGGAACCGTCAGAGCCGTTACCGTTGGAACCGTCAGATCCGTTACCGTTGGAACCGTCAGATCCGTTACCGTTGGAACCGTCAGATCCGTTGCCGTTGGAACCGTCAGATCCGTTGCCGTTGGAACCGTCAGATCCGTTGCCGTTGGCACCGTCAGAGCCGTTGCCGTTTCCATCAGAGCCGTTGCTGTTGTCGTCAGATCCGTTACCGTTGTCGTCAGATCCGTTGCCGTTGCCGTTGTCGTCAGATCCGTTGCCGTTGTCGTCAGATCCGTTGCCGTTGGAACCATCAGAGCCGTTGCCGTTGGAACCATCAGAGCCGTTGCCGTTTCCATCAGAGCCGTTACCGTTGGAACCGTCAGATCCGTTGCCGTTGTCGTCAGATCCGTTGCCGTTGTCGTCAGATCCGTTGCCGTTGTCGTCAGATCCGTTGCCGTTTCCATCGGAACCATTGCCGTTACCGTCAGAATCGTTGCCGTTGTCAGATCCATCATTGTCAGAACCGTTACCGTTAGAACCGTCACCATTTCCATCATCATTGTCGTCAGAACCGTTTCCGCTATCAGATCCATCATAACCGCCAGTAGAAGTGGCAGAGGGGGCAGTGACAGGTACGGACTGAGATCCCTTGTTATCGCCGGTAGTGGTGGCAGTAGAGACGTCTGTGTTTGTCTCTGTGTCCTTTTTCGTGGAAGTAACAGGGTCAACATCTGTGGAAGAGCCGGAGCCACCGGTTGAAATGGCAGGAACGCCGCCAGTAGTGGAGGCTCCAGAACCATCAGTGGAAGAGGCATCGGCTCCGCCAGTAGTGGAGGCTCCAGAACCATCAGTGGAAGAGGCATCGGCTCCGCCAGTGGAAGAGGCATCGGCTCCGCCAGTGGAAGAGGCATCGGCTCCGCCAGTGGAAGAGGCATCGGCTCCGCCAGTGGAAGAGGCATCGGCTCCGCCAGTGGAAGAGGCGCCAGAGTCGCCAGTGGAAGAGGCATCGGCTCCGCCAGTGGAAGAGGCGCCAGAGTCGCCAGTGGAAGAGGCATCGGCTCCGCCAGTGGAAGAGGCATCGACTCCGCCAGTGGAAGAGGCATCGGCTCCGCCAGTGGAAGAGGCGCCAGAGTCGCCAGTGGAAGAGGCAGGGGCTCCGCCAGTAGTGGAGGCTCCAGAACCATCAGTGGAAGAGGCATCGGCTCCGCCAGTGGAAGAGGCATCGGCTCCGCCAGTGGAAGAGGCATCGGCTCCGCCAGTGGAAGAGGCATCGGCTCCGCCAGTGGAAGAGGCATCGGCTCCGCCAGTGGAAGAGGCGCCAGAGTCGCCAGTGGAAGAGGCATCGGCTCCGCCAGTGGAAGAGGCAGGGGCTCCGCCAGTGGAAGAGGCATCGGCTCCGCCAGTGGAAGAGGCAGGGGCTCCGCCAGTGGAAGAGGCATCGGCTCCGCCAGTGGAAGAGGCAGGGGCTCCGCCAGTGGAAGAGGCATCGGCTCCGCCAGTGGAAGAGGCAGGGGCTCCGCCAGTGGAAGAGGCAGGGGCTCCGCCAGTGGTGGAGGCGCCAGAGCCATCAGTGGAAGAGGCATCGGCTCCGCCAGTGGAAGAGGCATCGGCTCCGCCAGTGGTGGAGGCACCAGAGCCATCAGTGGAAGAGGCATCGGCTCCGCCAGTGGTGGAGGCGCCAGGGCCGTCAGTGGAAGAGGCATCGGCTCCGCCAGTGGTGGAGGCACCAGAGCCATCAGTGGAAGAGGCATCGGCTCCGCCAGTGGAAGAGGCATCGGCTCCGCCAGTGGAAGAGGCGCCAGAGTCGCCAGTGGAAGAGGCAGGGGCTCCGCCAGTAGTGGAGGCTCCAGAACCATCAGTGGTGGAGGCATCGGCTCCGCCAGTGGTGGAGGCGCCAGAGCCATCAGTGGAAGAGGCATCGGCTCCGCCAGTGGAAGAGGCATCGACTCCGCCAGTGGAAGAGGCGCCAGAGTCGCCAGTGGAAGAGGCATCGGCTGTAGATGAAGCAGGAACAGGAGAAGAGTCGGTCTGATAGTCCTGAGTGGATGAAGTCACAGGAATCATAGAGGTAGCCTCCGAAATGGCAGGAGCGGTGGAAGCAGGAGCGGGACTGATGACGACTGTAACAGTGACATTAGGATCGTTGATAACAATCTTTGCGTTAAGAGCGTTCTCAGCATGACGAGCAATGGTCTGGGCCATGTACATGTTGAAGACAGTTCGTCGGGAGACCTTCAAGTCCTCGGCAGTGTAAGGCTGGGCGGCCTTGCCAACCACCCACTTGATGGCGTAAATTGGAAGTGTAGGGTTGACGGCAGAATACCAATCTCTTCCACTCTCGGCGGAGTATTGCAGCACCAACTGAAGGCCTGCCACGAGCTCATCGTGAGTGGGGGGGATTGAGAGATCCCGGCTGTTGACAAAGGGGACATCAAGACCCATCTTCAGGGCAAGGGCGCCAGCATTAGTGACAATGTTGGCGGCGGCCAGGCCCGGAATGATTTTGGCGTAGGCCCAAAAGATATGGTTGGTCTCAGGAGTCTTGAGGTATTCCAGCTGGGAGGGGTCCTCGGTGACGACGAGGCCAAGGGCCCATCCAAGCATGGTGGCGAGCGCGAGGACTGAGAACTTCATAACGAAAGACTAGGGTGGGGTGAGGATGTTGATTCTGAACTGCAGAGAAGGGATGGCATGTGTTTATATAGACGGGAGCGAGACCCCTGCTATCTTGTGGGAATTTCCAACGTGCACCAGTTCCATTCTTGGAATGTGCGCGCAAGTAAGTTGGTAAAAGATTTCCGAAGCGGGAAGCGGCTGAAGCCGGCAACCCCTGTACGTTCCTGTACTGTGCCAGGCTGTATCTTTGTCTTCACGAGCGTTTGACAACGGCGCGCGCGCTCGTATTGTCCGTCATGTCAAATGTATGTGTTTAACAAGGATATATATCCAGACGTGTTTCGGTTGAACATATTTTGGTATGATAGACTCGAGGTACCAACCACTAGGCGGACTTCTTTCACCAAACAGCTCACGTTCGAAGGAAGTTATCTTGGTACTGTATACAAGATATCGCGCAATCTCTCACGGTCCGCAGACGTACAGTACTCCTGAAAGAAGGAAATTCAGCTCAGCATTGTGAGCAAATGCGCGGCACGCCGTACATCTCGGCGGCGTACATGCGGGTCGACTTTGGGGGGTCTCAGGGGTATTCATGACGGAACCAGGAACAGATGATGACAACAACATCATTTTCCCGTGTTTCCTGGGGACGTTGTCGGTTAGTGTCGTTCCGCCGTGGTATTGACATCGAACCATGTAGACAAGTGTCGACAATCGTTCGACCTTCGAGAAATGTCTAGACGAGAAGCGGAAGCTCCCGCAGGGTACAAATGGCCTGCGTGAGAGCTGCAGGCATACGGACCGCCCTGCAGCGTGTATACGGGGCTTTACACACCGATCTCCAAAGGGGTGCGTCACGGTGCAGGGTCCTGCAATATTTGCATCCAGTTAGTACTGTACTGAGGTCTTCAAATGGATGTGTTTTGGGGAGTTGTGGGAGTAGGAAAAGTGTTGGCGGCAGTTTTAACTGTCTTGTTCGTGTTGCTGGAGTTCACTCCGCGGTTGGTCGTCGGTTTTTGATTCTCTGTAGAAAGACCCCGACTCCGGGTCGACGATGTAGGGTTATATGCAGGCATCTACGGTGGTGGAGTACAAGTAGTGAAAAATAGTGTTCAGGATCAAAGATCCCAGGTACAGTACGCCGTTTGGTCGGGTTCTTAGGGTTCTTATCTACCGGCGGCTGCGACCAGTAGGTGAAGGAAGATCCGGGGCGGCAGATTTGTTTTATTTTTAAAAAATCAGACGCGTTGGAGTCGCAGTTCAATGTGGGATGATTTATTCCTGAAAGGTCAAGAAGGGATAATTTATTCCTGGAAGATCAAGATGCGATAATTTCTTCCTGAAAGATCAAGATTGGACAATTTTTACCTGAAAAGTTCAAGAACGGGGTCTTAGATCTGGTAGCATTCATACAGGGGTGTTTTTGTTCTTTTATTAATCGTTGTCTCTTTTTCCTTGAGGGTCCCCTCGGACCTCTCGGACCCCCCTCGGACCCCTCGTGGGTTTCTTTCCATCCTGTTTTCAGTCGCCAGGGGATAGGAACTTTTTGCTCGTGTGAACCTACTCCACCCTAGTGCTCGCACTTACAGACTCTCTCTACTGAATGCATCTCTGCTGTTGCCTGTCAACTTAATGAGCCCTTCCTCTTGTCTCCATGCTGCCAAGCATTCTTCAGCGACTATTCTTTTCCAGCAGTTCGGCTTTTGATGGCAATTGGCAATTGTAGTAGTGCAACAGGGACTTGAGTTGAAGACCTCCACTGTTCAATGATATCCGGCGTTCAACCGGAAGTTCAGTGGACGGGCGTTCAATGATAACCGACGTTAAAGCTGACGTTCAATGGGCGGGCGTTCCACGCTCACGAACATTCAACTCTCACGAACAAAGCCCCGACATGTTCGTGTTCAAAAAGATCTCGCATAGCCAGGGAGAGGAAAGCCGAACTCTCTTGTTCCCGTGCGTCTTGTTGCAGCAGATGCCGTTAGGCTCCCGTATTCGTCTTAAATTGCTCATTTTGCCGGAAAAATATCAATCTAAAAGACACCAAACCGTTTCAACTCCTCGAAATTGTCCAAATAACTGCTATTTTCCTTCAATTTTGGTTTACTGGTGATCTGGGGAGACATTCCGGCTTTCACAGTCACACTGAGAGCGTCCGGTAAGATAACTACATGACTATAAAAAGCTATTTCATTCATCCGGAACTTCCGGAACTTATGGAAAGACTACAAAGAAGTACTCCGATTCTAATTTGAGACACTTCCTTCAACATTTGTACGTGCGGTATCGTACTCATCGTATCTTGGAAACTTGCTTATGACAATTGATAGAGGTACAACCAATAAAACAGCAGAATTATGAAGTTCAATGTCTATATTGTGTATTGACCCACTTATGAGCAAGTCACCTGGAATATCGCTGAGACTGCGGTTCCTAAAGGCCTCTTTTGGCTTTTCTTTATCTACATTCTAATGAGAATTGATATAGCGTCCTGTGAGCACAGGAAAACAACAGATAGAAAAGATATAAGTCATGTATCTTCAACTTTGGCGATTACTGGGGTACTTTTACCCCAGTTGAATCACTACACAGACTGAGCAACTACTGTCTGACTCTCTATGGGTTTATGTAGTACTGTACTCAGTACTTGTTCTAAGCTGTATGTTACAAACAGATTTGCAATGGAGGACAATCCTAGAGATTTAATGCATTAGAGCCCTTGTATGATGGTACGGCACTCTTTAGATCAAGTCCTTGTACGTCTGAGTTCCGGATTGGGATTTCTCATGACAGAAACTTGTGCTGAACCAACCAACTCCTCAATGTTGAATAGATAATGGAAGATCTCTGGGACTTTTGTATTGTTATAGGCACTTCAGAATCATTCTCTATGAATATATAGATTACCTATACAACAACCTTCGCACCCCTTTTTACATTTCTCGTTCTCCCATGAACCCTTCAGCTCAGACAAAGCAGCAGTACAGCCCACTCATTACGGCAACTCCTTGTGAATCTTGAATAATTCTCTCAAGTTTCCGAAAGCAGCTTTGAAAAAGGCAGAGTACTAGTTTATTGGCTGCAATGGGACTGCATTATGTGGAATAGGCAGGTCTATGGTTCTCAGTAACATTCCATATCCCCCGATATCTTTCTTCGTCTCGTAAAACCATTCCATCTATATCAGCGAATAGCAACCCAATATATCTATGGCTTGTTGAAAAGCACCTTCTCAGACTGGCTCTTTCCTAAGCTGCTCTTTGTGATATCACAACTCAATCACAGCGTCTTGTAGTACAGTACTGATACCATTGACAGCCATCAGGGAAGTTGAGACTGTGTTGGTACTCCTACATTTTATTGTTCTCCAAAACAGCTTTCAAGGCATATAATTACTTGTTGAATGAGCGAGAGAACCAGTTTCACAACCCCACCTGACTTGTGCGCGAAATACGCAACAAATTCTGTTATGAAAACTGTTGAAAGGCATAGCCACAAGCTGTAGACTTGAAATAAAAAAGTCGTTCTAACTATAGTTTCAGTATATTGAAACATTTTCCAGTACCTATGGAGAGAGATCCATATACATCTATATACTGAAACATTACTATCGCATTTCATAGATTCACCAAAACCTTACATTACAACATAAATACGCATACCAGTGTCTATTAAAGCTCATATGATATAGAAACAGAACAGTTCTATCTTATTATTAACTCCACTTGCTTCTACAAACCTCATTTCTGGCGCAATCACATTATCCCTTCTCTCGGCTTATTGGATCTCTCATCCATGGGCTTAATAAGCGCCGATGGTTTAGTGGTAAAATCCATCGTTGCCATCGATGGGCCCCCGGTTCGATTCCGGGTCGGCGCAGCCCTGGTTACGGCCATATCCTGGTGAAAATACGGCTTCCCGTTCGATCAGCCATAGTCAAGCACCAGAGAGCCCAGTTAGTATTGTAGTGGGAGACCATACGAGAATCCTGGGTGCTGTAATCTTTTTGCCCCCCATGAGGTATCAGTGAGTTGGGGTTTTTGTACTTTTTGAAAGGTTCTTCAGCTTTTTATTGCAGCTATTCCACTGCTCAAGACGATTAGAAACAAACTCACGTTGAATCCAACGGCAGAAATATTGCTGACTAAGAAAGGAGTCCTACGTAGTTCCGAATGGCGGACACGGGAAACAAAATTCGCTATCTCGGCCTTGTTCTCCTATTGACTGTTTTCTTTGATCTGATAATATATCCCCCTTTTTCCCCGTGGGGAGTTGTCAGGTGGAAAAAAAAAACAAAAAAAAAGTGCTCGGGTCTGATAAGGTTTTGATAGTCGTATCCGCTTGAGTTTAGTTGTAGGTTAAAACTAATTTTTCGCCTGACAAAGTCACGATTTTCCAACCTCTCTCCTTGTATCATTTTTTCAACTTCTCTTCATCTTGCGTATTCAGATCAACAGATATCATCTTGTTTTGTCCCTCTTTCGACAAGATTGTCTTCTTCAATCGTGTATGCAGAGATCGACACTAATGCAAGGGAAATATGTTATAGATTCTCAACCGATTTCAACGCGTCTTTGTCACCGTTAATTAAACACCTTTTTATTGCTTCTGTATTCGTAATCGACTTATTTCTCGGCTTTTGAAGAGGAATCAGTCGACAACGCCACAATCCTTCCATGCAGCTGTAGAGTCAGCCTACTCTCTTTTCTTCACGAGATGGAGCCATGACGGATAACATTTGGCAATTGGCTGTTGGTTCCGTCTCTCGAATAATGTAATAGGTGAAACTTCCTGTATATGTTGTCTTTTGGATGTGTCCACCTGTATTGTTCAGACAATCTCCAGGGCCTTTGAAGATCTTGATCCTCATCGTATTTCTCCGAAAACATGCCATATCACATCATCTTTCTCGATCACGGTGAACTGGTAATTCTGAATCGATCGGTTGTTTCACGTTTTCAATTGATCAGCTATTCAGTCGGATATCCTGGTTTTTCATCTTGATACTCACTTGTTCTCAACTAAAACTCCAAATTATTTCACTCAAATCCCTAGTAACCCAACTAATTGAAGAAACTCTGAGTTCCACAATAATTTTGCAACTATCTCAATAGTACTCGATGTTTTGTTCTGTCACCACCTAATACCGGCAGTACAATAATATCTAAAAGTGCTAGTAAGACATATCCCCATTCTCCAGCTGTTGAATGAGTCTCTGAATCTATCTCTTACAAGTTGAAAGCTTTGCACTACATAATGAGTCAAAAAAAATGAAGCTGAACCACCAAATGAAACAGCCAAACTCAACTAACAATGAATTTGGACAACGACACATCTCACAGGTGTCAAAATCAACTAAACAACGCTCGTAAAGTCTCTTTCCTTTCTTGTCAACCCCCAATGAGATGCTGGCACGTTTAGCGGGTTAATAACTACTGGATATTGTAATTAGTGTATCATTATGATTTTCCCGTGTTGTTACAATGTTCGTGAGTCTTCCTAAACAAAAGTGCGTCAGAAATACAACCTAGGAGCCCAATTATGAAGAAAAAGTAGATTTTGGTGCTACGATCGTATTGTACGCTTCAAATAAATGTAGTCTGTGAATAAATAGTGTTATCCAACGCACCATAGGGATTACGAAGTTGGGAATCAGGGAGTTGTTTCTGTGCCAAGTGTGGAAAAACGGAGATGAGAGATTGTTTGTGGATAGACGGCTATGCCTCTTGCTGTGTCCTCGACTTTTTGGATCAATAGCATATAACCAGATTTCATCTCCATAACCCATAATCTCCGACGCTTATCAATATCGTAGAATCTCTCAAATTTCCAGCTACCGATCATGTTATTATTCTGTGCAGAATAGTAATAATTAATTCTTCAAGCTGATAAATGTGACTACCGTACAGTACAGTACTTTCACCTTTAGAAAGTCTGAGAAACTACAAAATACTCTTAGTTGTAGATTAGTCTGACTACAACACTTTACTTGTATATTTGTCTCCTCAGGAACAGCTTCCGCCTCCGTCTCCTCCTCCGCCTCCATCTCCACCGCACCCTCCGTCTCCTCCACCTCCAAAACCGCCGCCAGAATCATAGCTGTATCCAAAGTAACCTCCCCCTCCGCCTGCTCCAATGTATCCTCCTTCAAAGGCCTTACCTCCGTAGTGGGTCCATCCTTCTCCCCGCGCTCTCTTGACGCGCCAGAATGGTTTTTTCCTAGGCGCTTCTTGCTTGGCGGTCTCAGTTTCCTTGACGTATAGTGTATCATCTGTAATCTGGCCCTCATCGGGTTTATTAGTGCTCAATTCGGTCTTGTTTTTTCGAGAGAAGCCGAGAATTCCCATGTTTGCAAAGGAGTCTGTATCGGGGCGTCTGTTGATGCCAGTGTTGAGGAAGTGTCTGTCTGGTCTGTCTGTCTGGTCTGGTCTGTCCAAGTCCAAGTCACTTTATATCCACGCGATGGGAGTCGGAAACTGCCTCCAGCCGTGATCGGTTGTACCATCTGACCTTCCTCCGAACGGCTCTCTGGAAGCGGCTAACAGGGTTTCGAAACGTGGAATCAAACGTGGGGTATCGGAGATCCAATCACGGGAGTTTCTTTCTTATCTGTGGGTACGGATATCTTAACTCCGGAGTTGCACCTATCTCAAGCGGCTGAATGCAGCTACTTCAGATAAATTAAATGCCCATATACCTCTCCTTTGTTGCAATATGATTATAAAAAACACTATTTCTTCTGCCCCAAAGAGTCGCCTCATGTTTCCTCCTGCTTCCGAACAAAATTGATCACTTCCGAAACGTCCACCGCTATAAATATGACGTCATGCCAACAAGTCAAAAAAGCTTGATCCAGTTGCCGGTTTTTAAGGTTTCGGCTGTGGGCCCAAATTATGCATCATGTCATCTGGTCTCTTCACGAACATCACCATGTCAAAGCTGTAAAATCTACTAGAAGACTGTGATTGAATATAAGGATCAATTATAGTACAAGTATGGAGTTCATTAGATAGGGTAAGTCAACCTTACAGGAGGTACATACTACACCAGTACACATTTGAATGTACGCAGTCTGATATATGATACCACCAAGTACATACTTTTATAAGTACATACTGTACATACTGTACTTGTACGATATTCATCTCACTGGACGGGGTAGCCAACGGAACTCCATTGCGCGTTGAATTGAAGTTGTTAATTTCGTCGAGACGGGATATCATGACGAACCAGATTGTGGTGACCAGTTGGGTTGCGTATACTTGCTTGTACAGCAGTCAAGTAATGTCATTTGGGAAGGCACGAATGGCATTCTCCAGGTGTACATGAGTGATTAATGTAGTTGTTTTCCCTTCCTCATTGATACCTCTTAGATAATACATCTGGAGTATGCCGCTTATATAATACATCTGGAATATTCCGCTTACATAATACATCTGTAAGTATGTCGCTTACATAACCTAGCTGGTGTATATCGCTTAGATAATATCGAAAATGTTGCATTTATACAACCCAAGCGGGGTTCGAACCCGCAATTCTCGACAACATTTAGCGATGAGGCAGCTCAAAAAAATGGGATAAAGTTCAGACAGCAACGCGACGCGAAATTCATTAATTCACACCACACAATCAACCATCAACCACCACCATGGATATCGCCACGGAATGGACCACCAACGCCAATGAGGCACTCACTATCACGCTAGAGCCGTCCAAGGGCAAGGGCAAGGGCAAAGAGGTCAGCAACGGCTCCGAGAAGAGCCATGTCTTCAACCCCATCTTCACCTACCCCATCTACGGAGATGTAGAGACCATCCTCGGATACAAGAACTTCGAGCTCAATTTGAAGATGGACGCCTCTACTATGCTGCCGCTGGTGACAGTCAAGTTTTCCGACAAGTTGGAGTTTGATGGAATCTCTTTTGACGACCCTGTAGAGAGATTGCTGGAGTTTTTGCCCGAGGAAACCGCCACCGACGAGGCTGAGTGGGAGGAAAAGCGGGTCAAGGAGCTTGGCGACGGCTTCAAGCCGGTTGGAAAGGAGTTTGGTACCTTTTCAGTAAACAGCGAGAAATACACAGTCCACCGGTCAACTCTGCTTGACCCGGAGACTCTCAAATTGCATCTGAGACTACAGATCTTCGTGCCTCTATTCATTGAGGCGGGCTCATACATTGACAACGAGGATGACCGCTGGGAGATTTACATTGTGTACAACGCGGAGAAGGAGATTGTCGGATTCTCCACCGTATACTGCTACTGGTTCTACGAGCCTTCGGCTAAGGAAAGCAAGGCTCCCAAGGACGCGTCGTTGGAGCAGCTCCAGAAACAGCCGTTTTCGCCCACGCTTCGAAAGCGAATCTCGCAATACGTCATCTTGCCTCCTTTCCAGGGCAAGGGTCTGGGAGGGCAGCTGTACACTCTGTTGTTCTCTCGTTTCTACGCCGACCCTAATGTGTATGAAATCACAGTCGAAGACCCCAGTGAAGCCTTTGACGATCTGCGAGATCGATGCGATCTAAAGTGGCTAGCAGACCAGGGATTCCCCTCGGAGGTGTTCCGGATGCTGCAGACCACTTCTGCACATGGAGAGAAGGCTGGAGACAATCGAACTGGCCGAACCAAGGTCGTGGCAGGCGCGTTCTGGACCAAATGGCTAGAGGAGCATCGATTGAAGTACAAGCTGGCCCACAGACAGTTTGCTCGGTGCTTTGAAATGATTCTCCTAGCTTGTCTGGAGGTGTCTAGCCCGACGAAGAAGCGAAATATCAAGGACGCGCGACTTTTTATCAAAAAGCGAGTCTACGTGCGAAACAGAGAGTTTCTGGAGGAACTGGGAGGCAAGATAGAAGTCATGTCCAAACTGCAGGAGACATACGAGTCCATGGAGGAGGATTATGCCCGAATCATGAAACCTGTTCTGGGATATGTCAAGGACGGACTCAAGAAACGAGACCGAAATGATGCTGGCAATGAAGAGGCTAAGAGAGTCAAGGTGGAGTAAATTTATGATTGTATATTATGTATTATCGTATGTACTGGACTGTATAAATGCTTGCCCATAACTTGAATGGGACGTAGTACCAAGTAAGGGGTAACTAGGTCAGCCACCATGGAACCACCATACTCCAGCTATAATCGAGTCCATGTCGTTCTTTTAGACAGATGTTCCGCCGAAATTCCAGTCTCAGTTTGGACTAATAACGAACAAAAGGGGAATCAACGAGATGAGATATCAGCGGTCGAACTGTTTGAGCAATACTGGTATTCTCGGTCAGCCATTCCTCTCACTTTCAACCGGAATTGGGCACACGCTAAAAGTGAGCCTAGTCACTAGACCAAACGGCACCAGCGATGAACCAACTACGGCGAATGATTCTGCAAAAAAAACAAAAACATTTTTGCGCTTTCAGAACGTGTTCTGGCAATGTCTGAACTGTTCTTTCTAACACTTTCCTGATACTAGAGTCATGTTATATAATGTTCTCCAGTTGAACTTCAAGAATCAACCGTTGAAGAATTTCCAATACAATCTTGTAGATGTACTAATATAATGCGTGAATCACATCATCTTTTAGTCCAGTCCAACATCTAGTGTGTATTCCCCACACAGCGCCGTGCACTGTATAAAGATGGGGAACCGGGTCCACCAGAACCAGCCATCACTTTCCATCAGTTGAAACATGAAGATCAACGTTATTGAGGCGGCAAAACATGCCAAAGAGTTATGGCTGAAGAAAGATCCCCGGGATGAAGACGAGCTTCAGTCTGACGTTCAAGTCGAGGTGGTCGAGGTGGAAGAACATCTACTTGAGTGGATGGGAGCCAAACTGGGTATTCCTCCGTCGGATATGGATGGCGGGTATCCGCGAGAAGTCCATTTTATGGCGGAAAAACTCGCAGAAATGTCTCTCGAGAAAGCCCTGGAGCTCGTGAAAACTAATTACGACTACCATGACCATGACAACAACTTTCGGCACGAATACCGGATGGAAATCAAGGGTCTGTTGGACATTTTCAAGGACAGCCCAGTCGAATCAGAAAAAGAGGACCCCGAAAACATTCTTCTGATTCGTTATTGGGCCACCATTTTCGATTGGTGGAGTCCTTACCCCGAGGTACGCTCTGTCACCGATCCTTTCGATGAAACAGACACTACGGTCGAAACCTGGCGAGTATGGGTACTGGGAACAATTTGGGTGGCCATTTCGGCCTTTGTCAACCAGTTCTTCTCTGTACGTTTACCTGCCATCACTCTTGACGCCTCTGTCTGCCAGCTACTGCTCTATCCTTGTGGAAGACTCCTTCAGTATGCACTTCCCGACTGGGGTTTCAGATTCAGAGGCAAAAGGTATACTCTCAATCCGGGAATATGGAGCCAGAAAGAACAACTACTGGCCACAGTTATGGTCACTTGTGCCAACGGAACTCCCTACATTACATCCAACGTCATCACCCAAGCGCTTCCCATCTTCTACAATCAGAAATGGGCCTCTGACTACGGATATCAGTTTGTGTTCATGCTTACTACGCAGATGATTGGTTTTGGTATGTCTGGATTGCTCAAACGTGTGGCTGTGTATCCGGTAAAAGCCATGTGGCCGTCGCTACTGCCTACTCTTGCCGTCAACAAGGCACTACTGGCTCCAAATCGAAAAGAGAGCATCAACGGCTGGAAAATATCACGATACAACTTCTTCATGGTCATTTTCGCCGTCTCTTTTCTCTACTTTTGGGTCCCCAACTACCTCATGAACTTCATGCAGACCTTCAACTGGATGACCTGGATTTCCCCCCGAAATGCAGATCTGGCCATCGTGACGGGCTCAATTGAAGGGCTTGGATTCAACCCAATCCCCACCTTTGACTGGAACCAGGCGACCGCCCTACTGGCTCCCATTACCCTACCTCTCTACACCTCTGTCACGGGCTTCTGCGGGGCCTTGTTTGGAGGGCTGGTAATTCTGGCTCTCTACTACTCCAACAACTCGTGGACGGGGTACATTTCCATCAACTCAAATCGACTGTTTGACAACAAAGGAGAGGTTTTCAACGTGACGAGAATTCTGACAGACTACAGATTCGACCGAGACAAGTACCTAGCCTATTCAACCCCGTACTACTCGGCAGGAAACCTGGTGGCGTACTCGGCCAACTTTTCAATCTTCACCTTCTCCTTTGTCTACACGATTCTCACTGATTGGAGAGCAATGAAAGACGCCATAGTAGACACCGCCAAGGCGGTCAGATACATCCATCGGTCCAACTACTACGGCAAAGTCGACCCGTACTCTCGATACATGAGAAAACACAAGGAAGTTCCAGATTGGTGGTTCTATCTGGTCATGATCATCATGTTTGTCCTATCTGTGGTTCTTGTTGAGGTATGGCCGGTGGACACTCCGGTTTGGTGCATTGTTTTTGTCATTGGGTTGGTTGCTGTGTTCATTATCCCCTTTACCGTGTTTCTTTCTTACACAGCTACAGAACTCACTCTCAATGTGCTTTCCGAACTCATGATTGGATATGCCTTGCCTGGGCGGTTCATGGCTCTCAATCTCGTCAAAGCCCTGTCTGTTCAGATTGCCCAGCAAGCCCAAGCGTACACCAAGGACCAGAAGCTCACCCATTATGCCCATTTACCCCCCAGAACAATCTTCTGGCTGCAGCTCTGGGCCACCCTGGTGAATGGAGTGGTTGCAATGGGTGTCATCCAGTTCCAGTTGGGCCAAGAAAAGCTCTGTGAACCAGATAACAAGATGAAGTTCACCTGTCCTGAACAGACCACGTTTTTCACCGCCTCGGTTGCTTGGGGGGTCATTGGGCCCAAAAAGATGTTCAACAAGTATCCCGTGATGAAATGGATGTTCTTGTTTGGAGCGTGTGCCGGGCTTTTTTTCTTCTTTGTGCAGGTCACCATGCCCAAACTGATGGTCCGATGGTTCCCCAAACATGCAGACAGAATCGACTTTTACCGACGCAAGTTCCTCTATTTCAATCCTCTCATTTTTGTCATGGGAATTGTGGACGGATGGTCCCCCTACAATCTGACCTACAAGGTCGGCGGTCTCTATCTCGCGCTCGTGTTCAACGGATACATTAAGGGACGCTACCTGGCCTGGTGGAGAAAGTACGCCTACGTAATGGAGGCGGCTATTGTGACTGGAATCGCCTTGTCGGCCATCATCATCTTTTTTTCCGTTCAGTACAACCCCAAGGATCTGGACTGGTGGGGCAACAGTGTGGTAAATGCTGGATATGACAGTGAGGGCATTCCTCCGAACGTCCAGGTGCCGGAAGACCCCGGCTATTTTGGTCCGCCTCCCTCCGAGTGGTGATTTGAGGGAGATCGAGGCTACATATCCATCAATGACTCTGCTAGGTACACCGTAATAGTAATCAGAATACCACAGCGATAGCATGTGGACAGAGATAGTCGAGGAATGAGCGGTAGAATGCTGTGTAGATGCTGTGTAGTCTGATCCTTCGCCTTCGGTTTGTCTAGGCAGCTCAATCGAACGCCGAAAACTGTGTCAGAAGGAGCGGAGGCATCTCAGTGGTAGTTGATTTGGATGCCTGGGGATGGAGATGATGAGCGACAGTTCAAAATATTCCCGGTCAATAATAAAAATACTACAAAATATGACATATTTCCAGAATGATATAATCAGTCATTCTGGTTCTGATCGGGTCAAACTACTGTCTATGTTCTGACAAGTCCTGATGACTTGTGACCAGCTTCATGTGCACACACTCTCCTGTCTTCGGAAATAAGAGTTTCGCTTAGGCCCCGCAGTCTTGGCACCTCCTGAAACATGTGATCTGTGCACGACTGGGTGATTCCCATCAGGTTTGTTGTCGCAACAAGACCGGTTGTCACGATCACCGTTCTTTTCTTCGTTTCACGTAATGCTCAGCTCCCGAAGTGGCCGACCAGCCAGGTTTTGTTTTTCTTAAACTACATTTCAGTCATGATTAGCTGGATGCAGTTCAAAAATGGAAAACTTGACGTGGGTGTCAAACCACTAGTTTCCATTCTGAGGGCTGAATTTGTCAACCTGATGGTGCGCTTAGTCGAATCCTCCACTAGGACGCGGAGACTCCTGATGAGTCTGAGAGAAGAGTCTGGTTATCGGAACACCTTCCAGAAAGTGATATATAAGTCGATAATGGTTTTGTTAAATCATCACCACAATCGGTACTCCGCCACGGGCGTTTGAGGTGATTCTCGATACTGGCTCGTCATACTTGTGGGTCCCTCAGCAACTTCAACGGCGGTTATACGGGTGGAGATAGATCTGGAGATTGGATTCTTGAGAGTGTAGATGTGGGAGGAGAGACCTGGACCAACTTCTGGAAGCGTTTCTACTACAATCGCAGACCCAAGGCATTCTTGGAGTGTCTTTCCAACAGCAAGAAGAAGACCCCCGGCTCTTGTGCCAACTTTCCTTTGGCAGCTCAGCAGCAGGTATGATGTATTATGCTGCCTTCTTGCTTTTTTTTTTTTTTTTTGTTGCCGGCGCCGTGTCTGGAGATGGAACTTTCCTGCTTGGAAGCATTGATCACGCCAAGTACAGCGGAAAGATCAGCTACGATACCGCCCCATACCCCAGCACTGGTGCTGTGATCAACCTGGACACCATCACCGTCAACGTAACAGATGTTTCTTTTGATGAGTCGGCCCTTCTGGACTCGGGTTTAATTGTTATTGCCATTTCCGACCCGCAATTCAAGTCAAGGGCTCGATTTTTTTTGACTGCAATACAAATGTCAGTCTCAAGTTCAACTTTGGGCACCATACAATCGTTTCTGACCAATCTTCGTTCCTTCTGCCCTTCTCTTACTTCTCTGGAACCCCCTCCGACACTGAGTGCATGTTTGCTGTTCAGAACCTGGCAGTATCTGGGTCAGCATCGGCCAGCTGTTTCTGCTTGCAAACTCGTTCCTGAAAAAAAAACACCTACTCAGCCCTCGATCTGGATAACTCGCAAATTGGACTGGTCCTAGCAGTTTACACTGAATCGAGTGACGCTCAGACAATTACCGGCATCTTGAGTAATCAGCAGTAGATTGGTGGCTGTTTCAGATGACAGACAGGCATTAGTTGCAGGAAGTATTCGCAGGAAGTATGACAAGAAATGTCTCATCGCAAATTGAGTCTACGGATTTCTGGGCCGTAGCATCATTATCAGGAACTACAAAGGGAGAGTCCAACAGGATCACACTCACATCTACAGTGCAGTAACTAACTTGATTCATTATGCGGGCAGATATTGGGGGGTCTCTACAACATCTCGAACCTTTCGTATGCGGAAAACCGGAGTAGACATCATGAGTAGACATCATGAGTCGAACAACATTGATTCGGTCGAGAATAAACAATTCAGAACTAGTTTCATCGGATTAATTGGAAAAATTCCACTTGGAATGATTCTGGACGTCGCAATTTAGTATTTTACAGAAATGGAGAACTGACGACTTGTTTTGAGAACATGTAACCGTTTGGATATTTCTGATTGAGAATGACTGAGAATTATTGAGCGAGTTGCTATCTATTCACAAATCGGAGAATAGTGAGCAGAAGACCAAAAGAGCAGAAGACGTAAAGGAGTAATACGTGTCTATGAAGTTGATTATAAGGACCAATACTCAGTGGTAATCATTCCTAGAAATACCCACGCACATATTGCGTGGAACCAGCGGAAATAGCTGCGAACTTCTAATAACTTCGGAAACCCCCACCAATAGTTATTATCCTGGTTTGTAAGTAATTTTGGGCCACCCCGGTCATAAATGCGTTTGTTCAGCCAGATACTACGACTCCTCTAATGTTCAACTGTGACTGTGATACTCGGACTCGATATGACCCAAAAGTTGACCCCTTCGAAGCCCTTGACACTCTTTGGCAGTCGTATCTAATTAGATGTATTAACGACAGATTTCATTAGGGAGTAATGGCATGTCTACTCACCCTACGGTGCCTAGAAGCTCTGGATCTTCCCCCTCCAACATCAATGATAGAAGCTTCCTCATCAAAACAATGCTCTCGAGCAAGCCTCATGCATCGCTCGTTACGACACCAGGGAATACGACAAGTGCGCACTCGTCCCACCAAGCAAGAGATACCAATGCAATTGGCCACAGTACAACCCACAGTCGTACATCGGGGTCGGCTGGTGACCCGTCGCAAACAAGCTCCTATACAGCCCGCAATGGTGCACACCGGGTTGGTGCATCGGTGAGCAGATCTTGTGTGCGACGGCTCGGTGGCCGTTGCTGAGCTGTCGCAACTACTACAAGTGGTGTCGTGACAGTTGCCTGTACATGTAGGAGAACAAGAGGGCAGACAGGCTGTTTCAGAAGACCTTCCCGGATAGGTCTGGTGAGATCTTCGGGACCGCCGACTAGGGGTTCGTCTGGTAGATCTCCTGCTTACAGGCCGCGAGGTGCATGCATTTCCCGTGCAGTTTCTAATTGAGCACCGTAGAGAGCATTTGGCCCCTTCCCCTCCCACAGAGCACGCTCCACATGAGGGCTTCTTGCAGACACAGAGCTCTGTTCCACATCCCATGGTGAAGGTTGCCTTGACAGAGCATTTGGGGGTTTTGAACAGCTTGGTTCGCAAACAGCCCGTCTCGTCGCCCAACGACCAGCAGCCCACGCTCCCCAGAATACCACATCGAGGCGAGTATGCCCGTCCCCCGGTACAGACGTTGGCAAAGGTGGGGAACGGAAAGTAGTGGATAAAGGCGAGATAGCCTGCAATCAGACCAATCAGCATTCCGATGATCACGTCGAAGACGTGGTGTCTATTGTCTGAGATGCGTGAGAAGGCGACTGCAGAAGCCGACAGAAGTGGAACCAGGCTGAGAAGCAGCTTCCAAGACCACCCAGAGCAGTCCAGCATCCGGGTTCGGGCGATCCAAAAAAGGACTTGAACCATAGCCGATGTGAATGCCGTGGCGGAATGGGCGGAAGGAAACGACCGAAACCCTTCTTCAAGATGTCCAATGTCTGTTTGTGTGCAAATGCCGACGTTGGAAAGAGTTCCGAATGACGGACGCATCCAGGACATGGGTCTACATCTTGCGAGCATATCTGGCCGGGGGGCTCCCACCAGATTTTTTAGGAGCGATACAATCACAGTTTGCAGGGCGTGGGCCGCCATCAGGGTCAGGAGGATAGCGTGCAGGTCCCAGAGTCGTCTGTGCCATCTATGAGAGGTGGTGAATCCAATGGTGAGTGCAAATTGGCCAATGGGGATCAGAATCGAGTAGATGATGAGAAGAAACGTGGGCACAATGGTGAGGTCGGTCGGAATATGGCTGTACCATAGCGAGGTGTTGTAGAGGTAGAATTCGGCGAAAAGCGGGGACACAATCTTGGCGTATACAAGAGCTAGCGTGGTGAGACTGATGTAGAAGATCCAGTCAATCAAGTAAGACAGCACCGAAGAAAGGGAGATAGAATGGCTGCTGATGGGGAAGAAACACTCGTCTCTGCGTATAGCCACTAGAGTCGATGACGACTGCGTTGAATACGTCATTCTTTAGCTGTGTTGAAAACAGATTTTTTGGAGAATAGTTTTCCGGGGCAGTTTCTTTCTATGTTTCCAGAGATGGTGTTTTAAGGACACAAACAATGCCGAAGCTTAAAAAAAATGTTACACAGAAACAACAGGTATTTTTGTTATCACTGTAGATAAAGTTGAGATTGTGCATTGGAAATGTCTGATAAGATATACGATGATGTTTGAACTTAATTATCTGCAAATCAAGCTGCGAGAGAACGTACAGTTATTCTGTCTTAACACGAACAACCCGGTCGTCATCATCCGCCGCGAGCGGGAAAATGAAAGGAGTGGTATGCCACCTACACTACCACATCCAGAGACGACCCTGATGGTGACGCCCGTCCAGCTTGTCCACCATACCACCAACTTCTTCCGAAAGCGCGGCGAACCGGCACAGCGGTTTCTGCAAGTCTACTACTGACCAACAATTCCAGATGTGAGGAGATATGTCAGGTCTTTTCTCATAAGCCGACTGTTAACCGTGTGGTATCTTTTCTGACTAGTAACACCACCTCTGAACTAAATAGGCCCTACTTTTTGTTTTATTTAGTCATTTTATATTAGTCATGTTCACTACCCCGTGAACGAGACAGACGCAAGAAACAAAAGGAGATCGGTCACCGTGACTCTAAAGAAACGACAGAAATCAACTCGATACAGATACGAGCAGGTTCATTGAACACCAATAACTCGACAATCAGTAATTCCCAACTTCTGTGTGGGTGAATTTTCTCACGTGGGCGCACGGCTGAGAATGTTGAGCAAGTGCAAACACAACAGTTGGACCATGTATACGCCAACCCAGTCTGATCCATCTTCCGGTCTCATGGAGATTGAGGTGTGTTCCTCAGAATGTTGTAGAGATCACAAGTTGTCCAGCCCTGAAGTGCTTGTACATAATCAATTGAACAGATGGGCTCGTCATCTTCAGCTTCAATGTTTTCACGCATTACATAATAGTTCCAGAAGACCTCCTTCCTCATTTCTTCATGTTTCTATCCTTCTCATAGCTCGGGTCATTTCTTCGTATTGACAGCAAGTTCAGAATTCAAGTACTCTAGCTTTTCTAGAAAGAGAAATTGTTATCTTGAGGTAAGAGGATAAGCTGAACGTGATGATGTCCTACAGTTATGTACAGTATGTACCCACTGTGTCAACTCCCTGAGCAAGAATCGAACAACTCCTGCAAGTCGTTAATAAAAAAAAAAAATTCGTCATATTTGGTACCATCTGGCCAGTCATCATAGCCTCCGGTCAAACCCATGGATGTCTGGGAAGTGTTGATTTTAGGCCGATCAACCATTCCCACGCAGAGAATGGACTCCGGTGGTTTCGAAAATGTGCGCTTAACCGCGGTCTTGGATCTTCCATGTGAAAATCGCGATAAATGGGACAGATTATCGTGGTAGCTTCTGAGCTTGAGAGAGACTCGAAGCAGTAGCTTCTGTGTCCAGCGTCTGGACCTTAGCTGAGTTGACAAAAGAGGCTGAATGGGCATTGACCTATTGACATTGATCCAGTTGAAGTGCTGTATATGCAATCTCACATTCCATATGGTCAGCTTGTAGTGTTGATGTGGCAACTGGTAGACATAAATAGATACATCTCTGACTAGATGCTCCAAAAGGTAATCACGCCATAAACACAGCCCCAGGGATCAGGCTAATCCATCGAGGGCTGGTAATTGGTGCTAATTAGCGCTAGTTTAGATCAATTCTAGACCCCTGCAGATGAGCCCAACCAGCAGAAAAATGAAAGGGATAATATTGATATCAATAATTCACCAACCCTGGAACTACCAGAGCAACTCCGGTACTCAAGAGCTTTAAGAACGCCCTAAACGAGGTGGGGAAGATGTGGTCAACTAATAATGGCTCAGTTGGAGCCATAGCAAGACCAACCTTAGTCTCTATAGCACGTGAATGAGATCCCACGTTTGTGGACGACTCGTTCTACAAGAACAGGGGTGCAGTACTCGTAGTAATCACGCAAGAGGGAATTCTTCCACCACCACTTCAATGACTCCTCGCAAGTACTGGAACTCCTTGTACTTGACTCTCAGGTTCTCTTTGGTGTTATCTTCTTCGTCCGAGAGAAACAGAGCATCCGAGGGCTTATCTCCGGAGGGCTTGTCTGCAGCAGATTCACTCAGCTTGTTCATTCCCTTTCTTGTGTCAAAATAGAGCTCTCTGGTGAACAGCGAAGGGCCCTTTTGGTTCTCACTCTGCCAGTGTCCAAAACGCAGCTCTTGAAAGTGTTTGCAAGTCTCAGGCTTCATTGTAATGTTAACGGTCCAAGGGCCGCTTGTGACGCTGCCGGAGATTTTTTTCTTGTGCATCTTGTTGTAGCCCTCCTTTTCGATTCGAATGCATCCTTCAACGATCAATTGCTGGATGTTGGTGCGAATACGAGCCAGGAGATCTTTCAATTGGGCATCTTTGAGTGCCAATCGGGATGCCTTGACCTTGACCAGCTGCAATTTGTTTCGGTGGATCTTTCGGTTGGATAGCGTGCTAGTTTCCACCGCATCGTCGTCGCTGCTGCCGTGGTCGCTTCCAAACGACTCCTCCAGGGCTTCGTCGCGGTTGTACAGATGTCGAGCGTATTGGACCATTGCCTGGCGTCCGAACGAGATGCGCAGTCCGACCGCCGTGTCCTTGTTGATTTTGGCATATTTTTTTCTGTTTTAGCGCGTGCGAGTGAGAGTCAGAGCTGGATCACTTGGGCAATGAGCGCGTCGAAAGTCGAAAAATCGAAAAACAAACCTGACCCAGATCGCAGCCTAGCAATGACCATGTCACCATCTCCTCAGACCTGGACGGACATGTCTCTTGTAGATCACATGACCAGATCACAGGTTTCGATGACAGGTTTCCATGACATGTTTCCATGACATGTTTCCATGAAAAGTCTCCATGACAAGTCTCCATTCCATTTCATCCATCTCCAACCAACCAGACCTCCCTCCGCCTCCATCCCCACCTCTTTGTGTCACTTGATACTCACATTGCCATTGCGCTATTCCGGAGCTTCCACAGCTATTCCACAGTCCTGCTGGATTTGCCGGTTCGTTCTTGCAAACACACAATGTCCTCAGCAAGGTTCAATAAGAGTAAGCCCAAGACTGGTTGACTAGAGTAGTGAACGTTGAGTGGAACTAGTGTATCCAAGTGAGTACAGTAATGGAAGTGGTCCCGCGATGGAGGTCCCGTGATGGAGATCCGTGATGGAGATCCCGTGATGGAGATCCCGTGAGGTAACCCTCCCCCGAATCGAAATCCTGCTTATTAAGCCGCCAACAGTGCTGTACCTGTATCGCCAGATCGCAATCACCGGATCGTACTCACAATCCGTTCAATAACTCATACCCCTCTTGATTTCTCCAACCTATAATACTACAGTACAGTACCGACACTGTTGCACTATGATAACTCGACAGCTATAGGTGGCACGTTGCACTACAACCATTCACTGGTGCTAGCAACCAGTAGGTGCAGCAATTAGCCAGACGTTGCGACCCTAGTGTCCACTACTTGTAGTCGCACAGTAGTGAAACGAAAAAGAAAAAAAAGTGTCCGGAATTATGCTGAATTTTTAATGGCGCAGTTATGGTCAGAACGGAACCAGTCCTACATGGTTTGATTATTAAGCGGAATCAAGTTTTAACATTGGCAAGAAATTAAAAATTAGAGAAACACACACTAAAAATTAAAAAAAAAATTTAAAAATTGGGGAAAAATTAGAAAAATTAGAAAAATAAGAAAAACTAGGAAAAATTGGAAAAATTAGAAAAATTAGAAAAAATTGGAAAAATTAGAAAATTAGAAAAAAAATTAGAAAATTAGAAAATTAGAAAATTAGAAAAAATCAGGAGGAACAAAAAAAACACATGAAACACACCCTTACATACTCCCCCAAACTACACTCGCACAATCACACTTGTACAAAAATACTCGCCTCGTGCCCTGGGCTCGTAACCATGGTAACATATTGAAGAGTGTACTGTAATTAACTTCTGCTCCTTGTCCCATGACCTCCTCCAACCCATATCATATTGTGCGACTAGAATTTGCTCATGAAAATTGTCGGCGATCGATCTGGGAACTGGAAAAAGAAATTCTCGGCGTGACTGACGCCATCAGCTCAATTAAACAGATGCGCTAATCAGAACCACTAATGCTGGTGAATTGATCTCGAACAAGTGAGTCAACCCAGAAACGTCAACTGATTCTCCGTCTCATCCATCAGACAGTAGTGAGACTGTTCCTGTTTGTCTTGCTGGTGGTCCTTCTGTCTTGCCGTTGTCTTTCCGTCCTTCTGTCATGCCGTTGTCTTTCCGTCCTTCTGTCTTGCCCTATGCCTGTGCCCGTCTGTCGGTCTCTTTTGCCGGCTTCCTCAATCAACAAATGAACGTCTACGAACACTTCATGTTAACTGCCATTGTCATGTAGCACATTTAAAACACCACATCTCCATCTACAGTTGCTACCCGCATCGATATCGTACAAATGCTCACTCACTCACATCCAAACAAATAAATCTAATTACTACATAATCATACAGCTCAAACAAACGACTGAATTTCAAAAGCAAGCCAAAGAGAGGGGAGGAGGAAAAGCGTTGTGTCGGCATACACAGACTTAATGAAGCCCTTGCTGCAGCCCACCACCTTTAAACAAACAGTAGTAAAAAGTAGTTAAAAATACAAAAGAGACTTTTCAACAAAAATTAGCATGTCCTTTTCCACGGCAGACTTAGGCGTCAAGAACCTTGCCCTCCTCCACAACGGCGGAAGGCTCGTCCTCGGCCCACTCGGCTCCCTCCTCTTCCTCGTCATCGTAGTCGTCAACGTCAGCTCGTCGGATGGACAGAGTAGGCTTGACGGAAGCCTGGTCCAGAGTCCAGCTTGCAAGGGCGTTCTCGGCATCGATGATGACCTGCTTGGAGGCCTCGTAGCCGTCGTAGGCGGGTCGAGACTCACCGGGGGTGACGGGGGTGTCGTCGAGCAGCTCGAGCAGAGCCTTACCGTAGCCGGCAATCAGAGCGAGCTTCTCGGAGTGCTCTCGGATGGCGTCAAACTGGTAGTTGAAAGCGGCCTTGACCTTCTCTCGGGTGATGTTGGAGAGCTGGGCCTCAGCGACAAGGGACTCAGCCTCGGCTCGGACAAGCTCCTGCTCAAGAACAATAATCTTGGGGGAGTTGGGCTCCTTGTACTTGAGGTGGGCAATCTGGTCGGTGATCTTCTGCTTTCGGTCTCGAGAGGGCTGGACGGAAGCCTCAATGTTTCGCACGGACTTCAGGGTGATTCGGTACTGGTCGTACTTGTCGATGAACTGGTCCTCGAGCTCACCAATCTCGTAGATGAGAACACCGAGCTTGTCGGTGACGTCGGAGACATCCTCGTCAGCGTCCTCACCCCAGAGAGACAGCTGCTTGGCAACCTCTCGTCGCTCTCGGGCCTGCTGCTCGATGGATCGCATCACGTTCTTCTCCATCTTGACGAGCTGGGCGAGCTTTCGGGCGAGATCGGGGCCCATGGAGCCGGCGGCGGATCGTCGGAAAGAGTGGACTGGGTTAGTTATGTTTAATGGGTTGGATAGGTCGGAATGGCAACGGTAGCGGTCGATGAGAGCTCATCGGCTAGGACAGCAAAAAGAGGGGCATAATGGTCAGACGGCACCGGCAGGCAGCACCGGCTGCACTGCACTGCAGCACATCACGCTTCCACACCACAACACTGTACAGTACAGTGTCGGGATTAAAGTTGCATGCATGTTGTGCTTGTCCCTTTCAGGGCGTACTTGTCCCAATCCGTAACCAATATGCGAACCTTAATTGCAGTCCTAGCAACTTTGCTATTTTTTGGCTTGCTGGGTGGGGGCAGTCTGACATTCGGGGCAGGCTCAGTCCACGAGGGCAAAAATAGGGCCACAAAACCAACAACTTTGGACCACAAAACGGACTCGTGACTCGGGGCTAGTGCACGTACAGAAGACGAGTCCAGACCAGTTGGTCCAGTCCAGTAAAGTCCAGTTGTTGGCGTCATTTTTTTATTCTCCAACGAAAATAAAAAAGTTGAACCGCCAACACTGGTCTTCCCCCACGATGCTCCTGTGCGAATCCGCCCCATCATCCATCGACGTGCGGCGTTAAAATGTGGACTGACTTCTCGAGGCAGACAGACATAGACAGTAGGAGAAAAAAAGATAGGTGTGAGAGAAAAAGAACAAAAAGGACCATGCGATCTGTGATTCCTCGTCGGTGTCGGTCTGTCCGGTCTGTGTCGTCTGTATCGATCGATCGAATCATCATTCCCAAAAAACAATAATCCGATTGCGTAACCGGTTGTGTAATCCCCCATGTCTGTGTCTGTGTAACCATCGCCTCTGTGTAACCAAAATCTGCGCAACCAAAACCTGCGCAACGACACCAATGGTGCCGCATTTCCATCTGTGTTCAATCTACTCACCAATGGAACCATTGCCGAAGAATCGTCCGCTCTTAGTAGAAGAGGTGGGAGGAGGAGGGGAGGCGAGCTGAGCAGCGGTAGGAGCTCTGCTGTTTCGGAGAGAGTATGTTCTGTGCATTGTGTTGTGTGTTCGAAATGTGTTTTTAGGTCGGACCTTATCTAGAAAGAAGAAGGAAAAAAGAGAAGAGAAAGGGGTTTGGCTGGCGACGGTGGTCTTGTATATATAAGTGAGAGATTGAGTTTGGAGGGTTGTGCACACATGCGGGTGACCCGGCGTCTAGCCAGCCAAGAGAACAATGAAACCCTGTCCAGCACTGTACAAACAAAGCCCAAACAAAGGGCTACATGGATATTGGACGTGGTTCCAAAGTTTAAAAAGGTAAAAACAAGTCAATATGGCAAGATTGGTTTGCCGTGTGTGTGATGTGGATGTGTGGTGGTGGTGTTAGGAAGGGGAAAGTGCGGTCCAGAAGGGGCTCTGGGGGCCGGTTTGGCGGCAAAAAACACTGGGCGAGGGTTCAGGGGATGCCAGGCCGCGTAATTGTTGAAAAATACCTGCAATCGGGCCCCGAAAACCCCTATTTTTCACTCACGCTTCTTTTCCATTTTTCCATTTTTCCATCCATCACTATTGCTATCACCCTCTCCTCGCACCCCTATTCTCTATTTCCTATTCACCACAGCCGCCCAACATTTGAACTTTATCCTGCATGTAAATTGCATTGCATTAATGTGTATGTATGTGCACTGTACAGACACGCTGTATATAAGACTTGTACAGCAAGTGATGCGCGAAGCTGTTCTGGAGCATGGTGAGGATAATAAAATAAAATAAAATAAAATCGATTTATAAAAAATAAAATGCTGGAAAAAAACAAATCTTTGTAAAATGCAAGAATATATAGGAAAAAATTCAACTCGAATAATTATAATTCATGAGTCCTCGTGGTATTATGAATAATTTCAAAAATACTGCCGACTATTAAACAGCTTCCATCCGCCGCCCTTCCTCATGCTATCTCTCTATCGTACTGTCGACGACATATTTGGGTGTTTTTGATTTACGTTTCTTTTTTCCATTTTTCTTTTTCTTTTTTTTTTCTTTTTTTCCGTTTTTCCCATCTAACGACGAGGACTTCGTTTTCGCACGCAGAAATCGGGTCATTGGAAACCACCGTAACCACCGACAGAACGCACACAGCTCCCCAGTCGCTCTGTCGGCATGCTGTAGAACTACCGGTACAATACAGAATCTGCCGATCAACCAGCCTCGTACTGTACAGTGTGTACGGTAACACGTGCACGTGGTCGATTTTGGCAAATACACACAGTTTCGCGACCTCCCAAACTCCCTACAAGGACCAAGACCCGCTAATAACGTCGCCCATTAGCCCATTAGCTTGCGCAAGACGTGACGTGACGTGACGTGGAGTATTCGTCCACGGTGGTCTCCTACACGGCTCCGCCTCGTCGATGCTGACCACGTCGTTCTCATCATTTTAACTTTCACTATTTAAGTTTTTGTGTTAACATTTACGCTCGAAACTCAAAATGAGAGATGGCATGTCGACGCACTCCAAAGCAATATAGCTGCCTAATTGGGTGCACTCTGCATACATTGATGTGATCCACCCAAAACAATGTCTTCCTTGTGACGTCAACAGCCGTACCGTGAGTGAGGCGTCGGGTGCTCTTGAACAGAGGCGGAGAAGAGAGAGAGTAGACAGGCCGACGTCAGGGTTAGGGTATTTACGTGACGGTGAGGACAAAAACCCCTTTGCCTGGAGAGATGAGTCGCGTCGCTAACCTGCCCGATATCGCCTCTCTTACGGTGTACACCATATTGTAGACACAACATATTATGAGGCATTTCTCGAAGCATATCGAACATGCTGATCATCACAAGACGTAGAGTTGCTGCAGGGGAGAGGCTGTATAGGGACGAGAAGATTGACGGATGATGGCAAGTACAATCAGCAACGTATGCGGCTGGTTTTGTGTATTTGTAGCAATGGTTGGTGGGTGTGGGTGTGAGTTGTAGTCAGATTGCGAGTGGTTTAGTGTGAATGTGATTGAGTGTGAGTACGATGTGAGTAAGATTGCGAATAACTGCTTTTGGTTCTCATTCTGTTGATATTTGCTCTCACTGAAGTATCGACTCCCATTCTATAGTATTTGTTCTCATTCTGTGGCATCGGTTCTCTCTCGTTGAGTTTCGGTTTCGGTTCCCTCTCACTGAAGTATCGTGATATCGGCTCCACTCTGGTGATATCGGCTCTACTATCAGCTCCAGTTATTCCCATCTGTTGACACGTGATTTTAGTCACCTGAAAAACGCCCGATCGAAAGTTGATCCAAGACCCGATCCAGCTATCCAAGGTTGCTATCGTACTGTCCCCGGTTGCTGCACATGGTGATGTTCAACTCGCACAAGTACAGTACATACAAGAGCGACCGTACAGTATATATGTACAGTTCTCTTTGTTTGGACTCAAAAGAACCACCAAAAGACCGTTTCGGAGCCCTCTACGCCTCCCCATTAGGCAACCTCCGGCGCTTTTCGTCTCAGTTTGCTCGAATAGGACAATCCTGGTTGGATTCGGCAATGATAGCAACGGTTGGAGAGGTGGATGGTTACTGAGACGAGTGCTACGGTAACGATGCTAACAGCTAAGATCCTAGCGATACGATTCCGGCAGCTCGATTCTAGCAGCTACTGTACTTGTACTATCTATTGCTGTGAATGTCCAAATTCCATTCTATCCCGTACCGTGTATAATGCCTGTTCTTCCACGACAACAACCACAAACAACAACTATCGCAAACCAAACTACACCTTTGAACCGGCCTCATCCGGGGTACTCGCTCCCTTCGAAAATTCTTGCTTCTTCTGCGCTCCCCACTGTTTTCACCACATGAAAAGGGTGCTCTAAGCAACCTAAATGGCTTTTGCCGAGGCATTATTTCAGGTACTTTCCAGGCACTTTCCAGGTACTTTTTAGGCATTTTTTAGACACTTGTTAGACACTTCAAATACTTTACTATTTACCACTTTTTACACCCTTTCCAGACTCTTTTCACACCCTTTCCAGAGTCTTTTCACACCTTTTCAAGTACTTGTACTGCATCTTTCCCGGCTTCCAGATTCCAGACTGTTCAGTCTCTGCCAATTCGCCCTGGAAACCCACCGGAGATCTCCAGGGCCCGGTAAATCTATCTACAGTACGAATATCTCTACTCATGTTGAGGTTCAACTATTTATCACTATATATTTTCTCTGTTTCGGCACTCGGCCCAACTACATTTACTTGAAAATTACTTCACCCCATAAAGTCAACTAATTTACTTATAGCCACTTACACCGTACTTGGATTATGCACACTTGGGAAAATGGCCTGACAAAAATAAAATAATTAAAAAAACAGAAAAAAAAATCAAGAGCAACAACCAACCATCTCCCAAAACGGCAAAAATCCTTCCTTATGACCACACTACTGTTTTGTTGTTTCTTCTTTTATTCTTCAAATCACGTGAACCGAACACTGGACCAAATGTCTCAATTTCACGCCATGGGACCTCGCTCAGCTCATTTGAGTCTGTGCTGGTTCACTTCCATGTCTCAACGCAATTTTGGAGTATATTCTTTTTTGTGTTTTTGACGACAACCGAACAACAACAAACACCCCATAATCAAAAAATACTACCCTAACCCTGTAAATTGACGTCTTTGGTAATATTACCCTAACCCCTTTTGGTCTTAATCAGTCCTACCTCCTACCCTAACCCACCACCCTTCCTTCTTTTAGTTCATCTTCCCTTTTCGTTTGTGAAAAACTCAAACGCGCCAATAATCCAATAAGCTGAGAATGCAACTGTAAATGCACGTCATCTGCAGTCGGGACGCTAACGACCTCGGGGTTGTCTTTGATGGCACATGACGTCATTTTCGGGCGGAAACCCCGCATAAACTCACGAAATATGCCATAAAAAATCCCTCTTTTGGCGCGAATTTTCGGGAAGTTTTCCCAGTCGGAAACCGTCCATGAATTGTCTCGTATGACCCGTTGGATTGGCTCTACCTTTTGTCTCTCAGCCTTCCGTGTTAAGGTTAGAGTTTGTAATCATGGTTGACGTGTGATGGCATGGGGCGACATTAGTTGGGTAGTATTTTCGACATTTTAGCGGCATTTATTGGTTGTAGCAGCAAGGGCAGTTGAGGTGTAGATAATGAGACAGACCCATGAGTATATTGCAGGTTTCTTTTTTATTTCCATTTTTTCGATTTGATTTATATTTTTCCGACTTTATTTATTTATTCCAATTATATTTATTCATATCTATCAGACTTTATTTATTTATTTTTGCCTATTTTATCGATTTTATTTTAATTTAATTTATTTATCTAATCCAATGTGGAGGTACATTGGCTTGGCGCGTATTGTACAGATTGTCCGTGTTTCACGTCATGCGTTTGTGGGGCTTTTTTGCGGAGCGTTTTTTGATTTAATTTGATTTAATTTTTTTGTGGAGACACGCGTCGCGTCATTGGAACCCTGACAGAAGCAGCGAAGCCCAGGGATATGTACGGCGTGGGGAGATGGTTGTCTGGGCGACCTCGTCGCGGTTATATTTAGAAAAGAAAAATGGGGAATTTGGAGGAATTCGAGCGAAAATGGAAATGGGAAATGAGGAGAGAGGGAAATGAGGAAATTTGGAAATTTGGAAATTTGGAAATGGGGAAATGGGAAAATGGGGAAACGGGGAAATTGGGGAATGAGGAAAATTTGAGGGAATCGTCGAAAGCGATAAGCAATTATGATAGTATTGTATCAACCATTCCGTCGATTGATCGTGTTCTGTCAAAAGCGTGTCTATCAAAAACGTGTTCTGTGACGGGATTATGTCAGCATTTAGAGACGACGGACAGAACGACCACGTGAGTGCTGTTTAATCCTTGATCATCGATATTATAAACCCACAGTCGATCTTACACCTACAAGGACTCGCACAGCCTCCAACCCCAAGACCTGCTCGTACTCGTTTGACCGCCGTATTCTCCAAAAAGACAGCAGCGAAATAATACCGCGAAATGCAGGAGGTGGTCTGTGTGTCTTAGCTGCGATACTTTGCAGTAAATCTGTCTGAGCTCACTGGTGTTCTAGTCGAGGTAGGAGCGGTTCCGAGCCCTATACCGGTTATAAGACCCCAATACCGGTTGTAAGACCCCAACACTGGTTGTAAGACCCCAACACCAGTCCTAATACCAGTTCAGATCCCTAATTGTAGCTCCTACTACAGCCGATATCTTCCCTGGAACGCCCAGACCGCTAATGGAACAGTAGCAAAACATGGGCGCGGGGAGACAAAGAAGTGACAGCAGGGGCCATCAACGAGACCGGCTGTATAAGCAGCCACAATCTCCAAGGTTTAGCGTCGTTTTGAAAGCTTCAGCCGAAGCTTCCAACCTCGTCGCCCGATACGTTCAAGATACGGCTGACGGTAGGGTAGGTGTAAGATCGATGGTGAGCCATCGGAAGGAGTGCGAAAGAAGATATGACGTTATTTGTAGACTCTCACCTCGCGCATGGCTCCAAGGTCGGAATGCCAGTAGGAGTGAGTAGATAGGAGTACCAGTACACTGTAGGTAGGAGTATTTGTACTCGAGGTGGTCGTCAGTGGTAGTAATCGATCGATTTCTGGCTTTCCATCCAACAGTTGGTGCCTTTGATTCCTGCTGAACCCTTGTGGTAAATGTCAAAAAAAAAAAAAAAAAAAAAAAAAAAAAAAAAAAACAGACTTCAGGACGACGAAAAAACATTGAGGCATGTCGTGATTTGGTTTAATGTCTTCTTAGAATCCCCTTATTCGAACGGTCAAGTTGCTACTTTTGCTGGAACTCGAGATCACTGTACCAATACAAACGCTGTGCTGAGGCAGCTCTCCTGGTCAACAATGTGAAAACGAGACTGGCTTGCGACTGGCATGGTTAGAGCAACGGGCGGCTATAAAACCTCGGCCAACCAGTTCTTGACTCAAGTTCATTGTTCGAATTGTCAGCTGGTTCCACGGCCTATGTCTCGGCTGTATGGTAGATGAACTGGCAATCAGATCGGTATTCTGACGGATATCTTCTGTACTGTTATTGAAATGTGACAACAATTCAATCGACTGTACAACAATTCACTCGACTGTACAACAATTAAATCGACAGTATCGCAAATCACTTCTGATCTCCCCATCAATGTCTCTTCTTCCTACGATTCCGTGCCCTCCTCTTCGGAACTCGTACTCGATGTCAGATCTCAACAAGTCCTTCGTTTCTGACCAGTGTTGCAGTGCCTTCTGAGCGTACAGAACCGTTTGGCACAGGCAACACGACTTTTGACCTGGAACCCTGCCGTTCAAGCAGTCATTCGCGGCGCCCAAGAAACGCCATGGGGCACCTCCACTCTCTCACTCAATAAATGCGTCTAAGCCTCACGAGTTTCCTAAACTGACTTCTCTGGCTAGGGAGTTCACCCCGGGAGGCAACCGGATCTGGCACGAACACCTCTTCTGCAGGCATTTCTGGAAACACGAAACAGGTCCTCTGTCATGTCAACAGCAGAGCATCAGGTGGTGGCTCAGAGCTCGAATTAAATATCCCCAACATCTCTGAGTTGGAGACTCGTTCTTGGGTGGAGCGACTTTGGCCTGGAACTGGCTTTGGAGACTCAATTCGAGGTCAACGGGGTCAATTGGATCAAACCACGTCCATAGGTTCAATGTTTTGGATTGCTGAAATTCCACCAGGCTGAAGGTGGTGTGCTTCACCCCAATGATCTCCATCACACCATCACGAGTTGTCATATTCACTTGGTGGATAGGACGGGTTGTGGGAGAGGTCTCAAAATGTCCACCATAATGGCGTCTGTAGAAGTCGCTCGGTCACGGCCGGTCGGATATGTAGCCACAATTGCATGCTGATCTCTTCAACCGTCGTATTTTGCCTTGGTATCTTTTTCGATCAATTTCTGTACCGTTTTTGCCACCGTGGTTGGCCTGTTCATGGGGTCTGTTTTGGGGTTTAAGAGATAAGTAAAACTAGAAAATTAAAAACCAAATGTCAGTTAAAATAGAAATATTATCTAACAAATACTTAACTACTTACACATCACTTACTAAGGGTGGTTCCAACACAACTCTTCTCTCCTCCAGGTGGAATGGAGCACAGCGTCAGACCACGCACTGGCCAGGGAAATCCACCTACCGTGCACTCCAGTACATTCATCACCACTAGCGGGAACACGACTATCCCTCAACAAGATCTACAGCATTCAATTGAGTCTTTCTAGCCTCAAATCTCGATGGAAGCAGATGAACAGACTGAATGGTGACTGAGGTGCCCACCGCTGATTCGAAAATACAGTCTCACAGCAGCCTTTTCAAGTCCACCTTGACGACATTGATTAAGTGATTATGACAACCAAGCAACCCACAAGACCAATAAATCGTCGCTCGACCTTCAACATGTTCCCCCTTTATTTGCTTCTCTCCACCTTTGCAACTCCCGGTAAGCTGTCCAAAGCCTGAGACACTTTAGGGGAGATTGGCACTTGTTGATCGACTCATGCTGTGATTTCAGTGAAATACAACTCGATAAAGCAATAGTCGCGACCACTTTGAATGGACTTTGAGAAGGATGATAATGAAGTGCTCAGCACCCGAACTCACGGCGCGCTTTGAATGGACTCATACAAGATATGGTATGGGCACTCTATCCGCATTACTTTTACATTTGGTCATGGTCCATTCGGAGGGTGCAAGGTGTCTGAGACTGAGTGAGACAGTTTCACCTGCAGTAAATACTGTACTATCAGTGGAATCATTCCTGATAGAGAGCTTCGCAGAAACTGCTAAGAAACTGCTACTATTTGGAATCTGTGCTGTTTGGAGCTGTAGACAAGTCAAAGATTGACGGCTCCTTGACGATCCTTCCTACTTACCATTCAAGACCAAACCACCGACTCTAAGCCCAAGGAGTTTCTGGTAACGCTCAACTCAATTGACATTCATGTCAATGGAACCACCACTAATGCTCTTGACAAGACACGACGACGACATATTCTTCTGGACTCTGGAACATCCCTTACCTACCTGCCTTCTTAGGATTCATTCAAGGAAATAATGTTCTCACAAAGAGGACTCATATGTTTAGCGAGATAAACGTGGACAGTATAGTGTAGCATATCACTTGAAAGCTTTCTGTGAGATGGATACTAAGAGTGTACTACAATGTTAGAGCCATGATCTTCCAGGTAGAGCAAATGGTCGATATGGTACATACTCATATGCACCAAAAGTTCCCGTCAAAATCACGTTAACGTCCTCACCATGCTGATAAATATAATTGATCATTTATCACTACAGCTAATAGCCATCACTTCCGCCTCCCTTTCGCCAGTAGTCAGCAACGGCGTGGATCTCGCCGTTGTCTTCTCTCGAAACAGCATTCATGACCGACCGGGGAATCCAGTACTCAACGCCATGGCCACGGGCCTTCAGCGCCTGTCCAATGCTCTTTCTGCCTCCAATCTCAACATAGGCAATCTCGGGAATCAGCTGATGATGCAGACGAGGGAAAGCCACGGTCTGGAGCAACGAAAGACCGTAGGAGTACTTTCGAACAATGGCCTGAAGAACACAGGTAACGATTCGCGAGCCTCCCGCAGCTCCAAGCACCAGCTCCACGTGGTCCGTCTTCTTGTTGTAAACAATCGTTGGAGTAGTGCTACTGAGAGGCCTCTTGCCAGGAGCAATGTAGTTGTAAATAGAAGGCCGGAGTTCGTAAGCATTGTCACGTGAGGGAATGGAAAAGTCGTCCATCTCGGAGTTGAGAATAACTCCCGTGACGTGATCGTAGACGAGAGAACCAAACAGCAGGTTGACGGTGGTGGTCATGGAAACAGCCATTCCATTCTCGTCCAGAACAGAAAAGTGGGCAGTTCCGGCGGAATCAGACACCTCGTAGGCGGGCTGGTAGTCTTCCCACGGCCGAGTATGGTAGTCGGAGATATTGTTGACGGCCTTGTCGGTCCAGTCTTGAGTAAGGAGGTACTCGACCCGCTTCTTGTTGGACACGTCTGCGGGATCTCCAAGCTCCGTTCGAGCAGAAGAGGTGTACTTCATGGCCTCGGTGAGTCGCTGGATGGAAATGGGGTTTGAATCTCGGGGAATGAGGCCATTGGTGGCAAGTCCCAACAGAGAGAATCCCTGTCTGAACCAGTTGGCAGTCTTCTTGAGAATTCCAACACATCTGCCGGGTGCGTTCGTGTCCTTCTCTCGTTCCTTCTTATCGAGTTCATCGATAATATTGAGACCAACCACCAGAGCAGGGCCACTGCTGGGATTGTTGGCCACCAGAACCTCTCGACCGTAGAATTCGCCTCGAACGGGCTCCTCCACAATTGTCTGGTACTGCTCAAAGTCCTCTAGAGAAGCCACTCCTCCAGCCCGGTTGATGGCATCTACCAGCTTGGGTGCGATGGGGCCCTTGGGGTCGTAGAAAATGGCAGAAGAGCCGTTGTTGGCGATCAGAGTGAGTGTTTCAGCGAGAGCCTTTCGTGCAAGAACGTCGCCAGACTTAAGAGGACGAGCCTTGAAGGGGCTGGCGTTGGTAGAAGGGGTATCAACATACAGCCAGCTCCAGTCTCCGTTTCCGTATGCGGACAGATCATCCTCCGTGACTTCAAGAGCCAGCTCAAACGCCTTGTCAACGGTCCAACCTCGCTCGTTCAGTTCAATGACAGGCTCAAATAGCTCCTTCCAGCTCAGAACGCCAGAAGTGTATCGCTTGTAAGCCTCATAAAGACCGTGAACTTCTCCGGGAATGGCCACGGCCAATCCTCCGAATTGGGCCTTCTTGGGATCATCCTTGAACATGTCCTTGGAAGCAGCCAGAGGAGCCGTCTCGCGGAAATCAAACGACAGATCACGTGTCTTGGCGTCTTTGACAACCATGAAGCCTCCTCCTCCAATGCCACTGCTGAAGCCGTTGACACTTCCGATGCACAGAGCGACTGTGATGGAGGCGTCTACAGCTGATCCTCCTCGTCTCAGAATGTCGGTGCCCATGGTGGAGCATTGGGGGACATCACAAGACACGGCGGCCTTGGATCGGACCTCCAGGCGTTTTCTAGAGGGCGTATAGGTGCCTTTTCTCAGCGGAATGTTGATCTTCTTGTCGGTTGTGTGCAGCAGTCCATCTTGTCGCGACTTTTTGTAGTAGTTGGCATGTTGGTCTCCTGGTTGCCATCCTGACGTTGTGGGGAGTATTTGAATCTCCGAGTGTGTGGAGATCAGAAGACATGAGTACAGAACGACTCCGACCAGAGCCGCGGTGATCATTCGGTTCATCATAGCGTAGTTGGTTGAACTAGAAAAAGTGCCAGACAAGTTGCTGGGGAGTAGTGAGTGAACCTGGTTCAAAAAGTTCAAAAAGTTGGTTGTAGAAGATCGTCAACAAGTTGTCGAGAACTTGCTGGTCGATACAGATGTCTATGTCGCAGATTCACTCCTGCAAATAACTTGCCGGTTTCAAACTGCAGTTTGTGTTGGTACTGACCTGACCTGGGTGGAGTCGTTGCTTGTGGCGTTTGTGTCAAGTGTCGGACTAGATTAAGTACCGTTGCTTTCGTGGTGGCAAGGCGCTAACTGGCTGGATCCTCGACTTCAACTTTGGTATAGATCAGAGATAACCGCCAATTTCCGTTAACCCCGAAGCAATCGTGTGGCTGCAGTCAAAATTATTAGTAATCACTAAACCTAATCCGGTGGCAACAGATCGGTGGCATTTTTCGGCTCGGAAGAGATGGTGAAAGTGGTTTTTGCCGACCCATAATTGTTGTTTACAAGTAGATGGATCCCGTTGGTGGATTACTTCCCTTCCACGACTTCTCCGAGGCAAAACCCTGCCATTTTAGTGGAGATGAGTTTTAGTAAATTACCTAATACAGTCAGCTATAGCAACACATGAAAACAACATCTGAAGTAATATAGAAAAGATCAGCTGATCCAGTTACACAAACCTACTCCAAATGTATATATATATATATATGTTTTTCCCATATTTTTCCCTCTTCTGTTTCTTCAACTACAAACAAGAGTACCGGCACTTGTATACATCCTCTACTGGTGCCGTATACTATCTCGCAGTGCTATCTTGCAGAAATCTGCGGACTCCGAATGAGGGGGCTTGCCACTCTTGTCCATTGTGCATTGTCGTCGAGTCCGGAAAACAATTTTGCAAATTTCCTCCAATTTTTTTTGGTATTGGCCGCCTATGTTAACATACCAGGACAGTTGTAATATTTGTAATTATGGCGATTTTAATAGCTGGCACTTCGTGTGGCGGCTTTTGCGGTGCGGCTTACTTTGATATTATCTGGGGTAGAATATACGTGGATACCAACGATTCTGTGGGTTGGGGCTGGTTGCCCAGGTGACGGCAACGGCAACAACTGAGCTTATTTGGGGGTTAGGGTGTGTCCCGGTTAGGGTAGTTAATGCTAGGGTTAGGTTTCCTCTCTTTTTTTTGTATTCGGGTTAGGTGTTCTGCTTTGGATAATAGGGTTGGGGTTAATGGAATGACGCGCTGCCCCCTAACTAGGTTTAGGGTTGCTCCGATTAGGACAAACTTGCTCCATGTGTAAACTGAACAAGAACAAATGATTGAGGCAGCAACAGGTGTGCTGATCGTGGTTTATAAAACGGTGGCATCAATTTGAAGGCTATTTTCATCTTTTAATCTTCAGTATTCACCAATTATACTCTTTTATTCCTTCGGAAAATGTTACACAGGCGGGATTCGAACTGGTGTGGTGGGTTTCTGAGGCTGATTCTTTATGGAGGTACATTTCCCGGCGTCGATCAGAAGAAGAAATGCGACCAGTAATGTCGCAGTAGTGCCTTTTCCGTAACCCAACCTTTTAAATCCCCCCATATCTTCCGTAATCGCCCCCAATCACCTATTTTCGCTTACCCAGGGCACGACCCCAGTTTCTGAGTTCCCGGCTAATAAGCTTTAGGGTTAGGGCGAGTTGGGAGTGGTTGGGAGGTAACCAAGTCTCAAAATTGGCATATGGTGAAGTGTCAAAATTTGGGAGCGATGTAAAAGCCTCGCATTTTGTGTGGTATTTCCGGTCCCAGCACCACGTAGTGCAGCATATCACAGCACGGCATGTATATCAGGGACCGGTTGATAGGAAACGCCTAATTGGGAGCCCCCCCCACAACACAAAACAGACCCAAGGGAGAGGCAAAAAAATATATAAGACCAGCCGGCCCCTCCCAAAGGTCTTCCTTCCCACACACACAACAAATACTAAACAATGTCTGGGTGAGTATCTCCACACAACACAACACAACACAAGACGACAGTCAACACAACCACAATCACAAACACTTACTAACGATAGCCGAGGAAAAGGTGGTAAAGGACTTGGAAAGGGTGGCGCTAAGCGACACCGAAAGATTCTTCGAGATAACATTCAGGGTATCACTAAGCCCGCCATCCGACGTCTTGCGCGACGAGGTGGTGTGAAGCGAATTTCCGCCCAGATCTACGAGGAGACCCGAAACGTTCTCAAGTCTTTCCTTGAGTCTGTTATTCGAGACGCCGTCACCTACACTGAGCACGCCAAGCGAAAGACTGTCACTTCTCTTGATGTTGTCTACGCTCTCAAGCGACAGGGCCGAACCCTTTACGGTTTCGGTGGTTAATTATTTATATTATATATGATATTGGAATGGATTTATTATACTGAGCGTGTGTGGTAGATGTGGGTCATTCGCTGTAGTGTTTGCCACCGACCGAGCCGAGAGCGGTGAACTGTGTCTGGAGTACTCCTACTGACTCTCGGCCTATGGGTGGTGATTATGGCACGTGTCCAATATAAGGTTGCGTAATGGAATGTTGCATGTTATGCGTAGAAGGTCTGTTCAACCAGGACCACGTGGCACCAAATATTGCGTGGTATGTCGTGTTTATGAAGGCGTATATTTGTTCTCTGGGCGTACTTATGTCTACTGTCGAGTTTTCGTGCAGTTTTTCGAACATTATGTTCCTCCGTGGTTATCCCATAACATAGGCGACCTATTTACATACTACAAACAGCATCACATCTGGCATAAGATAGTATGTACTTGTAAGGAGCCAGGGGATATGTATCGGTACCCACCAATTAGTCAGCAGTGATCAACGGTGGTCACGTGGACTGGTCTACAAGCGCAGTAGTTTTACAATGGATTGTGTAGGTCGGAATGACTATAGGCATGAAGGGGATGAACAGGACAGGACCAGGTCACCGTCACGGGCGACAGTAGTCGTATTGCCACGACACGATTTCTTTAGACTCCTGCTCACTCCGCCTCACTCCGCCCCACTCTGCCCCTCTCCGCCCCAACCCACGCAGTGCTGACACTTTTGATGGACAAGGTAAACGAAACGTAGAGAGCGACAGAAGACCCGCAAACTGGATGGATATCCACGCCATGGCCAGATGGACGTTCCCACGAGCCGGCAGGACGGTTCTCAAGCACACCGTTACCAACAAAGGGGGGTTTCAAGCTTCCGAGCCTCATGCACACTGGTCAGGACTTGGACACATGTTTGACGGGGGATGGACCATGTTTGACACTGTGGTTCTTGGCAGGCGATGGCAACGGTCGAGAGGAGATGGGCTGAAACGGTGTGAGACGCCAATGGCCCTTTATCAGCACGAGAAACATCCGTGTCGCGGTTGTATATGCTCGTTCGCACGCACATATGATGATGACTTCATCTTTATGTCCATATCCTCAACAAAGGCTATACTGTACCGGTGCCGGTAACTGTAGACGGGCTACTCCCGATGGGGTCTCATTCCGTGAGGTATATCCGTGGTTGCTGGCAGGGCCTTTCCAAACCATAGAGTTGAGTTGTCGAGGACAGGGCCAGATTTGAGCTACTGTACACGTATTAACGACATCGTGTGGAGCCAAGAAAAAGAAGCCGAGGCCAAATCAAAAGGAACCGAGAAAAGAGCCATGGACACTATGGACGGTAGCGCCGGTGTCTACGAGCTATTCGGATCACCAGGTCCACAAGATCGGCTCTAGTCCGTCTAAGACGTGGTTCCCAGGCTTGCTTGGTCTCACCAGGTTTCTCTCGGACTACACCAAGTACCGTACCGTACAGTACTGGAAATTGTATGTACTCGTACACCTGTATCGTACAGTATCTCTCTGTCACTGGCTCAACAAGTAGCACGTCAAATATGCATTGCGTGGTTGGAGGGACTCGGGCAAGGTTACGCGTTCGAAAAACGAAAATCAGCTAATGGCCATGTCTCGGGCGAACCCACAACATGGACGGGATAAGCTGGTCCACCTTGCAACGATTGGTCGCAAACGTGCCTGTTGATATATCATTATCGCGCTTCGATCAACTCCCCAACACTCCGTTAAACTTCGGCTAGGTGCAGCTCAACGTAAAACCGTCTGTCTAGCCAGAAAGTCAACTCACGGGAGTGCGGAAGTTGAGTTGAGTGTTGAGCGTGACAAGTGCCACGGCCCTGGATGGCGCTCTGCTAACAGAGGGCTGTGCTGTATAACAGTATAACAACATGTCTCGGGACTACAAGAAGTGAAAAGAGCGCTCAACTAGTTTTGTTCGTAGATAACGTTACCAGATGAAGCCAAACACCTCATGCCCTTGCCAGGTTTGCCAAATGCCGGAGAATCGTTTATTGTGAGATAATCCGTGCGGGAATTCAAACAGTCCATGTGGGGAGCAGCGGAAAATATAAAAAAAAAAGCAAACGGTTCACGTCCAGCCAATAGGAAACGGGTGTTTCCAAGCCCACAAATCTCATAAAAGAGTACACCACGTACACTACAAGTACCCCTACCCCAGACTGCCCTTACCCTCTCGCCACATCCCCAAACCTGACCGCCCCCAGTGCATCTGTTGGATTGTTGGATGCACCTACTAAAACCTAGAACCTTGTTGACCATAACGGTGCGCCAGATATAATTTAATCGTCTGCTCCTGAATGCGACTGCAATTGAGGACACTAACACGTCGGTTTTTCAGGTGAGTAAACGACGGTGGCCGTGGCCACGACAGCCGAGGCGTCACGATGGGCCAGACGAGCACATTCTCGCCGCCACAACCTCGCCAGCACAAGAAACTAACCCAGTATGGCTTCAGGATCTTCAACGCCAGATGTGGCTCCCTTGGTGGACCCCAACATTCACAAAGGTCTCGCCTCTCATTTCTTTGGACTCAATTCTGTCCACACAGCCAAGCCCTCAAAAGTCAAGGAGTTTGTGGCTTCTCACGGAGGTCATACAGTTATCAACAAGGTGAGTATTTGACGTTTAGACTGTATAACAGGCGGCCGCAGTGCAACAACGACCAAAAAGGGTCGAAAAAGGGTCGAAAACGGACACAAAAGCTGGAAAACAAGAGTGTAATACATTCTTACACGTCCAATTGTTAGACAAACACGGCTGTTCGGTCCCAAAACCACCAGTATCACCTATTTTCCACTTGTGTCTCGGATCTGATCATAATCTGATCTCAAGATGAAATTTACGCCACCGACATGATATTGTGATTTTCGGATTCTCCAGACCGAGCAGATTCCAGCAATACCACCACTTGCCCACCTTCAGCGGCCTCTCGGCGCGATTCGCCACTTTCCCCAACGAGTGTTACTAACCCAGGTCCTCATCGCTAACAACGGTATTGCCGCAGTAAAGGAGATCCGTTCAGTACGAAAATGGGCCTACGAGACCTTTGGCGACGAGCGAGCAATCTCGTTCACCGTCATGGCCACCCCCGAAGATCTCGCTGCCAACGCCGACTACATTAGAATGGCCGATCAGTACGTCGAGGTGCCCGGAGGAACCAACAACAACAACTACGCCAACGTCGAGCTGATTGTCGACGTGGCTGAGCGATTCGGCGTCGATGCCGTGTGGGCCGGATGGGGCCATGCCAGTGAAAATCCCCTGCTCCCCGAGTCGCTAGCGGCCTCTCCCCGCAAGATTGTCTTCATCGGCCCTCCCGGAGCTGCCATGAGATCTCTGGGAGACAAAATTTCTTCTACCATTGTGGCCCAGCACGCAAAGGTCCCGTGTATCCCGTGGTCTGGAACCGGAGTGGACGAGGTTGTGGTTGACAAGAGCACCAACCTCGTGTCCGTGTCCGAGGAGGTGTACACCAAGGGCTGCACCACCGGTCCCAAGCAGGGTCTGGAGAAGGCTAAGCAGATTGGATTCCCCGTGATGATCAAGGCTTCCGAGGGAGGAGGAGGAAAGGGTATTCGAAAGGTTGAGCGAGAGGAGGACTTCGAGGCTGCTTACCACCAGGTCGAGGGAGAGATCCCCGGCTCGCCCATCTTCATTATGCAGCTTGCAGGCAATGCCCGGCATTTGGAGGTGCAGCTTCTGGCTGATCAGTACGGCAACAATATTTCACTGTTTGGTCGAGATTGTTCGGTTCAGCGACGGCATCAAAAGATTATTGAGGAGGCTCCTGTGACTGTGGCTGGCCAGCAGACCTTCACTGCCATGGAGAAGGCTGCCGTGCGACTCGGTAAGCTTGTCGGATATGTCTCTGCAGGTACCGTTGAATATCTGTATTCCCATGAGGACGACAAGTTCTACTTCTTGGAGCTGAATCCTCGTCTTCAGGTCGAACATCCTACCACCGAGATGGTCACCGGTGTCAACCTGCCCGCTGCCCAGCTTCAGATCGCCATGGGTATCCCCCTCGATCGAATCAAGGACATTCGTCTCTTTTACGGTGTTAACCCTCACACCACCACTCCAATTGATTTCGACTTCTCGGGCGAGGATGCTGATAAGACACAGCGACGTCCCGTCCCCCGAGGTCACACCACTGCTTGCCGAATCACATCCGAGGACCCTGGAGAGGGTTTCAAGCCCTCCGGAGGTACTATGCACGAGCTCAACTTCCGATCCTCGTCCAACGTGTGGGGTTACTTCTCCGTTGGTAACCAGGGAGGTATCCATTCGTTCTCGGATTCGCAGTTTGGTCACATCTTCGCCTTCGGTGAGAACCGAAGTGCGTCTCGAAAGCACATGGTTGTTGCTTTGAAGGAACTATCTATTCGAGGTGACTTCCGAACCACCGTCGAGTACCTCATCAAGCTGCTGGAGACACCGGACTTCGAGGACAACACCATCACCACCGGCTGGCTGGATGAGCTTATCTCCAACAAGCTGACTGCCGAGCGACCCGACTCGTTCCTCGCTGTTGTTTGTGGTGCTGCTACCAAGGCCCATCGAGCTTCCGAGGACTCTATTGCCACCTACATGGCTTCGCTAGAGAAGGGCCAGGTCCCTGCTCGAGACATTCTCAAGACCCTTTTCCCCGTTGACTTCATCTACGAGGGCCAGCGGTACAAGTTCACCGCCACCCGGTCGTCTGAGGACTCTTACACGCTGTTCATCAACGGTTCTCGATGCGACATTGGAGTTAGACCTCTTTCTGACGGTGGTATTCTGTGTCTTGTAGGTGGGAGATCCCACAATGTCTACTGGAAGGAGGAGGTTGGAGCCACGCGACTGTCTGTTGACTCCAAGACCTGCCTTCTCGAGGTGGAGAACGACCCCACTCAGCTTCGATCTCCCTCTCCCGGTAAGCTGGTTAAGTTCCTGGTCGAGAACGGCGACCACGTGCGAGCCAACCAGCCCTATGCCGAGATTGAGGTCATGAAGATGTACATGACTCTCACTGCTCAGGAGGACGGTATTGTCCAGCTGATGAAGCAGCCCGGTTCCACCATCGAGGCTGGCGACATCCTCGGTATCTTGGCCCTTGATGATCCTTCCAAGGTCAAGCATGCCAAGCCCTTTGAGGGCCAGCTTCCCGAGCTTGGACCCCCCACTCTCAGCGGTAACAAGCCTCATCAGCGATACGAGCACTGCCAGAACGTGCTCCATAACATTCTGCTTGGTTTCGATAACCAGGTGGTGATGAAGTCCACTCTTCAGGAGATGGTTGGTCTGCTCCGAAACCCTGAGCTTCCTTATCTCCAGTGGGCTCATCAGGTGTCTTCTCTGCACACCCGAATGAGCGCCAAGCTGGATGCTACTCTTGCTGGTCTCATTGACAAGGCCAAGCAGCGAGGTGGCGAGTTTCCTGCCAAGCAGCTTCTGCGAGCCCTTGAGAAGGAGGCGAGCTCTGGCGAGGTCGATGCGCTCTTCCAGCAAACTCTTGCTCCTCTGTTTGACCTTGCTCGAGAGTACCAGGACGGTCTTGCTATCCACGAGCTTCAGGTTGCTGCAGGCCTTCTGCAGGCCTACTACGACTCTGAGGCCCGGTTCTGCGGACCCAACGTACGTGACGAGGATGTCATTCTCAAGCTTCGAGAGGAGAACCGAGATTCTCTTCGAAAGGTTGTGATGGCCCAGCTGTCTCATTCTCGAGTCGGAGCCAAGAACAACCTTGTGCTGGCCCTTCTCGATGAATACAAGGTGGCCGACCAGGCTGGCACCGACTCTCCTGCCTCCAACGTGCACGTTGCAAAGTACTTGCGACCTGTGCTGCGAAAGATTGTGGAGCTGGAATCTCGAGCTTCTGCCAAGGTATCTCTGAAAGCCCGAGAGATTCTCATCCAGTGCGCTCTGCCCTCTCTAAAGGAGCGAACTGACCAGCTTGAGCACATTCTGCGATCTTCTGTCGTCGAGTCTCGATACGGAGAGGTTGGTCTGGAGCACCGAACTCCCCGAGCCGATATTCTCAAGGAGGTTGTCGACTCCAAGTACATTGTCTTTGATGTGCTTGCCCAGTTCTTTGCCCACGATGATCCCTGGATCGTCCTTGCTGCCCTGGAGCTGTACATCCGACGAGCTTGCAAGGCCTACTCCATCCTGGACATCAACTACCACCAGGACTCGGACCTGCCTCCCGTCATCTCGTGGCGATTTAGACTGCCTACCATGTCGTCTGCTTTGTACAACTCAGTAGTGTCTTCTGGCTCCAAAACCCCCACTTCCCCCTCGGTGTCTCGAGCTGATTCCGTCTCCGACTTTTCGTACACCGTTGAGCGAGACTCTGCTCCCGCTCGAACCGGAGCGATTGTTGCCGTGCCTCATCTGGATGATCTGGAGGATGCTCTGACTCGTGTTCTGGAGAACCTGCCCAAACGGGGCGCTGGTCTTGCCATCTCTGTTGGTGCTAGCAACAAGAGTGCCGCTGCTTCTGCTCGTGACGCTGCTGCTGCTGCCGCTTCATCCGTTGACACTGGCCTGTCCAACATTTGCAACGTTATGATTGGTCGGGTTGATGAGTCTGATGACGACGACACTCTGATTGCCCGAATCTCCCAGGTCATTGAGGACTTTAAGGAGGACTTTGAGGCCTGTTCTCTGCGACGAATCACCTTCTCCTTCGGCAACTCCCGAGGTACTTATCCCAAGTATTTCACGTTCCGAGGCCCCGCATACGAGGAGGACCCCACTATCCGACACATTGAGCCTGCTCTGGCCTTCCAGCTGGAGCTCGCCCGTCTGTCCAACTTCGACATCAAGCCTGTCCACACCGACAACCGAAACATCCACGTGTACGAGGCTACTGGCAAGAACGCTGCTTCCGACAAGCGGTTCTTCACCCGAGGTATCGTACGACCTGGTCGTCTTCGAGAGAACATCCCCACCTCGGAGTATCTCATTTCCGAGGCTGACCGGCTCATGAGCGATATTTTGGACGCTCTAGAGGTGATTGGAACCACCAACTCGGATCTCAACCACATTTTCATCAACTTCTCAGCCGTCTTTGCTCTGAAGCCCGAGGAGGTTGAAGCTGCCTTTGGCGGTTTCCTGGAGCGATTTGGCCGACGTCTGTGGCGACTTCGAGTCACCGGTGCCGAGATCCGAATGATGGTATCCGACCCCGAAACTGGCTCTGCTTTCCCTCTGCGAGCAATGATCAACAACGTCTCTGGTTACGTTGTGCAGTCTGAGCTGTACGCTGAGGCCAAGAACGACAAGGGCCAGTGGATTTTCAAGTCTCTGGGCAAGCCCGGCTCCATGCACATGCGGTCTATCAACACTCCCTACCCCACCAAGGAGTGGCTGCAGCCCAAGCGGTACAAGGCCCATCTGATGGGTACCACCTACTGCTATGACTTCCCCGAGCTGTTCCGACAGTCCATTGAGTCGGACTGGAAGAAGTATGACGGCAAGGCTCCCGACGATCTCATGACTTGCAACGAGCTGATTCTCGATGAGGACTCTGGCGAGCTGCAGGAGGTGAACCGAGAGCCCGGCGCCAACAACGTCGGTATGGTTGCGTGGAAGTTTGAGGCCAAGACCCCCGAGTACCCTCGAGGCCGATCTTTCATCGTGGTGGCCAACGATATCACCTTCCAGATTGGTTCGTTTGGCCCTGCTGAGGACCAGTTCTTCTTCAAGGTGACGGAGCTGGCTCGAAAGCTCGGTATTCCTCGAATCTATCTGTCTGCCAACTCTGGTGCTCGAATCGGCATTGCTGACGAGCTCGTTGGCAAGTACAAGGTTGCGTGGAACGACGAGACTGACCCCTCCAAGGGCTTCAAGTACCTTTACTTCACCCCTGAGTCTCTTGCCACCCTCAAGCCCGACACTGTTGTCACCACTGAGATTGAGGAGGAGGGTCCCAACGGCGTGGAGAAGCGTCATGTGATCGACTACATTGTCGGAGAGAAGGACGGTCTCGGAGTCGAGTGTCTGCGGGGCTCTGGTCTCATTGCAGGCGCCACTTCTCGAGCCTACAAGGATATCTTCACTCTCACTCTTGTCACCTGTCGATCCGTTGGTATCGGTGCTTACCTTGTTCGTCTTGGTCAACGAGCCATCCAGATTGAGGGCCAGCCCATCATTCTCACTGGTGCCCCCGCCATCAACAAGCTGCTTGGTCGAGAGGTCTACTCTTCCAACTTGCAGCTTGGTGGTACTCAGATCATGTACAACAACGGTGTGTCTCATCTGACTGCCCGAGATGATCTCAACGGTGTCCACAAGATCATGCAGTGGCTGTCATACATCCCTGCTTCTCGAGGTCTTCCAGTGCCTGTTCTCCCTCACAAGACCGATGTGTGGGATCGAGACGTGACGTTCCAGCCTGTCCGAGGCGAGCAGTACGATGTTAGATGGCTTATTTCTGGCCGAACTCTCGAGGATGGTGCTTTCGAGTCTGGTCTCTTTGACAAGGACTCTTTCCAGGAGACTCTGTCTGGCTGGGCCAAGGGTGTTGTTGTTGGTCGAGCTCGTCTTGGCGGCATTCCCTTCGGTGTCATTGGTGTCGAGACTGCGACCGTCGACAATACTACCCCTGCCGATCCCGCCAACCCGGACTCTATTGAGATGAGCACCTCTGAAGCCGGCCAGGTTTGGTACCCCAACTCGGCCTTCAAGACCTCTCAGGCCATCAACGACTTCAACCATGGTGAGGCGCTTCCTCTCATGATTCTTGCTAACTGGCGAGGCTTTTCTGGTGGTCAGCGAGACATGTACAATGAGGTTCTCAAGTACGGATCTTTCATTGTTGATGCTCTGGTTGACTACAAGCAGCCCATCATGGTGTACATCCCTCCCACCGGTGAGCTGCGAGGTGGTTCTTGGGTTGTGGTTGACCCCACCATCAACTCGGACATGATGGAGATGTACGCTGACGTCGAGTCTCGAGGTGGTGTGCTGGAGCCCGAGGGAATGGTCGGTATCAAGTACCGACGAGACAAGCTACTGGACACCATGGCTCGTCTGGATCCCGAGTACTCCTCTCTCAAGAAGCAGCTTGAGGAGTCTCCCGATTCTGAGGAGCTCAAGGTCAAGCTCAGCGTGCGAGAGAAGTCTCTCATGCCCATCTACCAGCAGATCTCCGTGCAGTTTGCCGACTTGCATGACCGAGCTGGCCGAATGGAGGCCAAGGGTGTCATTCGTGAGGCTCTTGTGTGGAAGGATGCTCGTCGATTCTTCTTCTGGCGAATCCGACGACGATTAGTCGAGGAGTACCTCATTACCAAGATCAATAGCATTCTGCCCTCTTGCACTCGGCTTGAGTGTCTGGCTCGAATCAAGTCGTGGAAGCCTGCCACTCTTGATCAGGGCTCTGACCGGGGTGTTGCCGAGTGGTTTGACGAGAACTCTGATGCCGTCTCTGCTCGACTCAGCGAGCTCAAGAAGGACGCTTCTGCCCAGTCGTTTGCTTCTCAACTGAGAAAGGACCGACAGGGTACTCTCCAGGGCATGAAGCAGGCTCTCGCTTCTCTTTCTGAGGCTGAGCGGGCTGAGCTGCTCAAGGGGTTGTGAGATGATAAGGAAAAAAGTGAAGGATTTTGTTTAATTAATTGATTGATGTGTTTTAGGATTGTTGTTGGTGTAGGTGGTGGTATGTGAGCGAGAGAAGAGTGATCTACTCGTGGTGTACAGCGGTATCGCGACCAGACTACAACTATAGTCACTTGTTCTGTTTACTACTTGTAGCTACGTAAATGTCCCTAATGTATATCAATGTATGTTATTTTTCAACCTACTTGAATCTCTTTCTCAGCTTGTCAGCTTGAGAGGTTCGGAGTCCGGAAAACTTGTCCATGGCCGGAGTGTTATCAAGAGCAGCCATGGCAGCTCGAGCTCCAGCCTCCACGAGGTTCTTGCCCTTGCCGGTGCCGAGAATCTCGGTGCCCATGGAGCACGTGACGGTATGCATGACGGATCCATCTGGGTATTTTTCTTCGTTGACCACGTTGTAGACGGGCGCCAGAGAAGCCGAGCCAATGAGAATATACAGCCGATTCTTGGCGGTTCCGTCAAAGGGTTTCTTCATGCCGTGCTGCTGTTCAGCCATGGACGAAATGGAGCCTCCCTCCTGTCTAATGGCATCCAGAAGAGGCTGGGCCAGTTCATAAACCCACTTGGTAAGAACAGCTTCTCCGTCAGCTCCATAAGACAGGTAGACACCCGCCACGTAGGCCTCAAACAGATCTGCGACAATCTTACGTCCACAGAGAGCCTCGTCAATCTTGGGTTTCACCTCCAGGCTCTTGTACCACTTTTCGTACTCGGCCGCGTAGCCTCCGGGGAATGTGTATTTGACGAGCCACATGTTAGCGTCTGCGCCCAGAGTTCGAGGACTGAGAATGGAAACAGTGAGAATATGCAGTTGTTCGGGTGACAGCACGGATGACGCCACTCGCAGCTTGGAAGGGAAGCCGTAGATGGCTGCCCATCGACACAGAACAATGTTGGCAATCACCTGGCCTCTCAGGAACGACAGATGAGACTGGTCGTCTCCAGGAAAGACATCGTAGATGATCTTGGTGAGAATGTTGTTGACAATGGAGTCACCGACAAACTCGAGTCGCTCGTAGGAGAAGTTTCCCGTCTGGTCATACCCGGCCTTGGTGGCCGTCTTATGAACCTCAGAAGCAGTCCCCGTGTCTCCTAGCAGCATGGATCTGTGTGTAAACACTCGTTTAAACAGCATTCCGTCCTTGATCTCGGGAATCAGAGGAGGCCAGCTCTTGCCCCTGTACTCCACGGTCATCAGAGGCTTCAATATCGACGAGGGGGTGTATCTGACGCTGGGGGCAGATATACTGCTGACCTCCTGTCGTACCGCCGTTTCCTGGCCCAGGATCCGGCTCAGAATCGCCGAGCCGCCCTTCTCGTAAATGTCTCTGATTTCCACACCCAATTCACTCTTGGGGTTTTCCAGCAGCGCCAGATCCATCTTCTTCCTGCTCTGAATGGTCTTTTGAAACACCTCCACGGTCGGTGCCACCTTGATGATTTTCTGGAGGGTTTTTTGCAGCTTATCGACCTGTTTGATCAGCTTTTCCGCGTCCTGCTCGCTGTAGACAACGCCATCCTCGCTGCTTTTGCTCTTCTTGGTCTCTGCGGGACCAGACTCCGAGTTTCGACGCTTTTCGCCCATGTCGGTATAAGTAGAAAATGTGCAGAAATAAATTGCAAGAAGGTTACTACGAAGCCTAAATTATGCACGGGTGAATGGCGATGGATGCAAATTTATGCGGCAGTTTTGAGGCGAAGAGACGGTATTTTTGAGTAATAATTGTTCAGAAATCGGTAGAGGAAAACAATGACTACAAAATTGTATTTTTAATTTTGTAATTAAACCAATTATGAGGTCTGTTTAGTGTTGTGTATGAGCTAACTATAATGCAAGTAAATGTAATGAAAGTACTAACTAATATAACCCATTGTAGAGGGGAGATCAAGAGAGGTCGAGAGAGATCGAGAGAGGTCGAGAAATCTCCGGGAGTTTTCAATCTTGTTCAATACCAGCGAGAATTTTGAAGAAACATATTTCCGCAAAGTATAGAGTCTCTCATTATCGATATGCGTGTCTCTTCTTCTCCTGTTAATGGGCTAATCTATATATAGCGTCACTGACCTCGAGGAATTCGAAGGAAATACGGATACCAGACTCATTGTCGTGTATCCAAGCACATCATGTAGTTATATCAAGACAAAAGATCTATTGTATGTACCATCAGAGCATAGATCTTTTGTGCGGAGATCCCCAAAGACGATCTAATCCATACGTCAACATACTCCAACATCATGGTCACATTTCTCTTCTGCAATAGCGGTTCCACTCAAAAAACATTAGTTCAAATAGATCACTATAGGACCATTTCACTTGAAGACTCCGTCTCTCTCTTTCACGTCAGCACACCAGTTCTTGTATTGATAAGTAGCTTAGTATCTCTGTCTGGTATATAACTCGCGGCAGGCTTTTCTGCCACTGTAATGTATGGGATGGAGTCATATTCAGATGATATTCAAGTGTCTTAACATTAATACCATGTCTATAGCCCTATCGTCTATATCTACAAGTCCGGACAACTGGTTTTTGAGACGGTTTCCGACGTTTGATCTGAAGAGGGTTCAAGACTCGGTTTCAAAAGCATCAAATACGTGCTCCATACCGCCTCTCCTTCACCTTTCAATGTCGAGGACCCCGTCAAGGATCTACTGAGCCTTCCGTCAACAGAACTCTGACTGTTCTCAATGTCGTCATCGTCAAGCAATACCTACGCTTCCCACGTGGAAATCACCTCATCGTTCGCAGCCATGCTCAACAAGAACGAGGCTAACGATTATTCCTCCTTGGCAACCGAGGAGTCGTGGATTCCCGTGGCATGGGGAGAAGCTTCTCATAAGGACAACGCTTTTGTATCCTACATGGGCTCCAAGAAGTATGCAGAGAAGGTGGCCTGGAGATTCATAAAGTCTGAGAAGCCCTCGTTTGGCCTTACCACCGTCAACCCCGGCTGCGTGTTTGGTAGTGGTATTGCTCTAGACGCGAAGTCTCCCAACTCCACCACTAATGGGACCATCATTCAGGGTCACTTGTCTACCACACCCGGGCAAGATACGTCCGAGGGTCAGAGCTCATGTGTCTGCCATCGCCAGAACCTCGAAAACCAGCGACTTATGCCGTGTGTCTCCAAATTGTGCAACCAGGATTTGCGGGATACAGTAAACAAAGAGGTTCCCGATCTCAAGGGCAAGACAATGAGTAAACCCGAAAGGAGCTAGACTATGATTGGGTTAGTTTAGACAAGACTGTGAAGGATTTTGTCGAGGATTTTGTCGAGGATTTTGTCGAGCAGTGGCTGTCGTTTCAGGTCTGAGTGGCCCCGAAGCATTGAGAGTAGAGCTCGAAGAACCAGACCCATCGCCGCATACAAGTGTACTTAACGGATTGCTCCAGCATTCGAAACCGCTGAATTGGGAACCACGAAAGCATCTTCAATGACCTCTTCTACAGTAAAAAAGTGTCATTTTACATCATATCTTGTCCACAACTCATATGAATTAACGAAAAGCTCGTCGCAATCCCACCTCCCTGAACATGTCTTTCAAGGTTGCTTATCTGCCACCATTCGTTTATCGAGCTCGCTGTAAGCCGAATTGTCCCAGAAAGATTTATAATCCGAGTCCTCAATCTCTGCTTTGATCCACCCAGTCTGTATTCCATGTCTTTTTCTCTTTTCCAACTCCCATTACGATCCTACCTCTTTGCTCTTGGATCCATGCTGAGAGACGCCTCCTTCACGGATCAGAGATCAGACCTCAGTACCACTACAGTACATACTGTACCCGCATCAACTCGTCCAGACACAGACTACAATACTTGTAGGAGTACTCCATCTCCTATCACTCCAATGAGATGACTTCAACCAGTCAGTCAGAGGTTCTTCGGGACTACTGGCAGTCGGAGTGACAAACACTGTTTCCCGGTACATATAACAGACCTAGATCAGACTCGATAACATCTCCTGTACATCCCTGGAGAATCTCCGTTCAATGCGTGCAAGTGCCTCCTTTCTTTGGATAAAATCACAAGCGTCGCAAGTGCACCCACTACTCACGTGACATGAAAAATTCACTCTTCCCTGAGTTTAATAATCGACATGGGGCGTAGAAAGGGGGGTAGAGTGACTATCTGGAGAAGCACAACGAAATAGTCACTTTATTCCAAGAGCTTTTCCTTTTACCAAGCCCCTGGTTCATCATGTTCATCATGGGTGCAATTTTTTTCGCACGAGTGTGCATTTTTTTTGGGAGTACGTAATTTATGCATTAATATCACGGACAGGAATCGAACCCACGGTCACCGAATTATTGAGTTGTCACATGACATTGGGTCCCAAACAGGAAAGACAGTCACTTTTCACATTAAGGTTCTGGCACTCACGACTCGCGGGGACTCTCACTCTGCAAAAGGTTCCATTTCTCACTTTTGAAGTCACGACAGCCTCGAACCGTACGACCAAAATGTTGATTCCCAAGGAAGACCGAAAGAAGATCCACCAGTACCTTTTCCAGCGTGAGTAGAGAGCGAGCGGGATTTCGAAATTACACGACCGATATGGAGGACATGACTGACGACTTGTGGATGGATGGGACGACCTTTGATTTGCTGTGAACAGACAGCATACGACGACGCATAATGCAACGACCAATCTGTGGTAAAAGGGAGGAGCGATCAAAGTGAAGGAAGCCCGAATCAGTCACAGTCGCTGTCAGAAACACCCTCCATCAATGAACATGTGGATGGTTCCGTCTTGCAACACTTTTTTGCAATTCAAGCAGAAACAAGTTACTAACCATCAGAGGGCGTCTGTGTCGCTAAGAAGGACTTTAACCAGCCCAAGCACGAGGACATTGACACCAAGAACCTTTACGTCATCAAGGCTCTCCAGTCTCTGACCTCTAAGGGCTTCGTCAAGACCCAGTTCTCTTGGCAGTACTACTACTACACCCTCACCGACGAGGGTGTTGAGTACCTCCGAGAGTACCTCCACCTTCCCGAGGGTGTTGTTCCCGAGACCCACAAGAAGACTGCCCGAGAGGAGACTGCTTCTCAGGGCCGAGGTGGCCGACCCGAGCGAGGTCCCCGACGACAGGAGGGTGAGTACCGACGATACAACTCCAACAAGGAGTCTGCTCCCGGTAACTACCAGCCTTCTTTCCAGTAAATGGGAGGATATATAAAAATGTATTATTCATGTTGAGAATTTGTACAGTACACCCTACAAGTAATCCAACCGTGTATGACTGTGTTCAGGGGTTGGGTTGGACAGCTTTTTTGCATCTCATCATAATGATCCCTGGAGACTGTTGACTTAACATCTGATGTCGAGCTGAGAGCCCCAGTCCTTAGCCGTATTTGTGGCATCCCAGCTCGCAGATGAATCACTGATGAGTACAGGATGGCACATCTGGGGTTCATATAGACATTCAGAACATCACGGTACAGTATGTAGTATCAAACGCCACTCTCATGAGATTCTCTGTCTGTTTATTATCTTCCCACAGAGATGTGATAGCACCGTCCTCTTCCCCTAGGGTTCTTTGGCTGATCTATGTCATCAGTGGCCCATTATTATCTCGTCACAAACATTCCCTGACTCTCTGGTCTTCTAGGGCCGATGGATGCGGATTAAGAGAACAGATGGAGGCAAGTTTTGACGATAACTAGATCTTCACAGACAGGTATTTGGGGGAAGGTTGTGCTACAAGTATTTGTAGTCGGCTCCTGGACTTGCCAGATCCACTGCTGACTGTCTACTTGTAGTTGCGGTTGAATAGGAAAAAAAAGGAACACTACCGACGAACATTTTGAGACGACATTTTGAGACGACATTTTGAGACGACATGCGCGATTGTTTTGATATAAGTACTTGTACAAGGTTGAATTCCTCCTTCTGACTGGATTCAACAAGTTTCAACAGTCTCGCAAGTCTCTTTATCAGTACAGAGCTGTTCCAATTGCCATACGGCAGTTAGACCACTCATATCGGACGTGGGAAGTAAACGCCGAAAACCTGGTCCAACACCGGACTTTGAACACGAGGAACAAAAACTACCTATTCCATTGTGAGGACGAGAATGAGAGCAGCATTTCGAGCCCGAAAACACGCATAATATTCTAGGATTCCATGCGCTAGCGTGGTTTTCGTGAAAAGTCTCCATCCACGCGTATCCAGGGTCCGAACGAACTCTATCATCTGTTGCCCGTCACTATCGGATGGGAAACGACACAGAAATGCTGTACGTATGCCTCCAAGGTTGATGCCTCCGTTGCACGAAATCCAAATGCAAACTACTGTGTACTTGTACTGTCTCAACTTTGAGTGTTGTGGTGCCTGGTCTGAATCCCCGTGTGTCAGTTAGATTCCCAACATGATGGAGTTGTACCTGGTAGGGAGTTTACCAGGGGGTAAAACGCCGACCACGAACGATACGGGAAAAACGAGGCATTTACCGGAATGCCCAGAACACGGCGAACATACAGATTGCAATTCCGCCATTATACGACGCTCCAAAAACTCACACCACGTTATCACCGCTCCGCCGAGAAAATGCGATGCATTATGAAACACTAACTTACCCTGTGCCGAAAATAAGAAAATGATGGGTGGTTTGAAATCTTTTTGGAAGAGACATGTACATGTATAGGGAGGCATCATCATGTGGATCCATATGGTCAGCCTTCCAGAGACCCATCAGCGAATACGACCTTCCGTTTGCGAACGAGGCTGTGGGTCTCTTTCTGAGGCCTCCTTGATAGTCTTGTCTGTTTCAGTTTCAAACTTCGGGCTGGTCGGGCTGTACCCATTAATTTAAAGTTGTGTTCCCGAGTTATAAATAGATATAAGTGAGTGTGAAGATGGGAATTGGGGGAAGTGGGCCATAGAATGGGTACTAGAATTGGGGTGGATGGGAGTGTGACCGGGTTCTTTTCGGCTCTGCCAACCTATTTATATGTTTCAATCCACGATACCTTCATTTCTGCGAGTTCTGTACGACGTGCACATTTGGTGCATTGTTCACGTGAGAAGATGAGATTTTTCAATCGAGCTCTTGAATATGGGTCTGGCTACAAGGGTAGGTATTTCAGACAAAACAAGAGCAGTTTATTCTCGGAAATGCGTTGCAAGTCGAGTAGAGATCGTTTGACGCTCCTTGCTTCACTCCACGTTCAACTGTCCACTTGTTCTTGCCGGTGGAAAGTCAGTTGTCGGGCAGAAAAGTTTTCTATGCAGGAACGGATAATATTCGGCTTGGGCGGTCTGTACGACGAGATTTGGGGAGATCCGGAGCAATGGGTTCTCCCCCCGACTGGGTGCTCCCAGCTCGTTTCACTGACCCTGGAGACTATCCTACCGAGAGTAGTTGGAGAGAGACTCGAGGTATTTTGCGTCTTCAGGGGGTTTTCTCCTTCCCCTCTCTATGTCTATCCGCCTCTTAATATTTCTCTCACCATTTACCCTTGACTCAACGGTTTACACGACGACGTGAAAAGTCAGCCGCATTTAGGTGCATCACGCTGACAATTTTGGAGGGTCTAGAACCTGGGTTTTTACTTCATCCAGCACCTACTCGGGCGAAAGTTGGGGCGAGTCTAGAGTCAGCAAGCGGTGTTTGTGGGACCGAGATTCATTTCCGGAGCCGTCTGGGTTGTGCTACATGTTTTTGGGCTGAAATACTCGATGACAATGTACTGTAGTATGGATAAAGAATAAAATTGTATGAAAAAATGGCTTCAAAAAATATTTTTTAAAATGCACAAAACCAGAAAAAACAACAAAACCAACACAAATAAAATCAAATAAAATAAATAAACAAATCAAGCAAATCAAACAAATAAAACAAATTAAATCAAATTAAATCAAATTAGATCAAATAAAACCAACAAAACCAACAAAACAAATAAAACCAACAAAACCAACAAAACCAACAAAACCAACAAAACCAACAAAACAAATAAACCAACAAAACAAATAAAATCAAACCAGACTGTTGCGCGGATAACGAGTGCTGAATTGACTATGAGACTCTCTTTACCAAGCTGATGCCGCGTGTGTTATGGTAACGGGAACATACGGTTGCTGAAAAGAGTGCTTGACTGGGAGATTGATAAAGGAGGTTGTTATACTCGTGCCGTCAGTGCAAGTCCGCCCGGTGGATGAATGAGGTACATTAAATGCAACAAAAGACCCCAAAACAGGAGGCTTCTTCAATTAAGTCGATCGTTCCACGAGCTCTTTCAAGTCTCATTTCACAAGCTCGTTTCTCTCATTCACTGCTTTCGCATGTCATTTCTCTGCTGTGCTCGTAATTACTGTAAATACAGTTATCACGTTTGTGAGGTAAATGGCATGTGTGTACTGCTCCACTACTCTCCAACTAGCGGTGCAGTAATCAATTCGTGGTAAAATTTCGACTGGACCATCTCCTGCGCGAAAAGACCTCTCTGAAGCAACTATATACTCCAATACATTGTCCATTAGCCCTACAAACAGCCCTTCTCCCCCATACTACGCACCTGAAGCTTAACTAAAATTTAACCCCCAGTGCCCTTCACCAACATGTCATCCACAGCACAACCCACACAACCAGCCTAATAACCATGCACGTGCTTCTGACCAACGACGACGGCCCGCCTTCGGACACCTATTCGCCCTACTTCCACTACCTGGTCAAAGCTATTGAGAAATACACTGACTGGCATGTCACAGTGGTTCTGCCCGATACCCAGCGATCATGGATTGGCAAGGCCCACATGATTGGCCAGACCATCACCGCCACCTACATTGAGGCGCCCGAAACCATCGGAGACAAGGTCAAGGGCCCCTACAAGCGAATCCCCAAGGACGTGGACCCCAAGAACGTCTGGACCTTGCTCAATGGTACTCCTGCCACCTGCACTAACATTGGCCTCAACTACATGATCGACGAGACCAAGGGCCCCGTTGATCTGGTCATCTCGGGCCCTAACTTTGGCCGAAACACCACCGCTCTCTACTCCACCACCTCCGGAACCATCGGTGCTGCCATGGAGGGAGCTCTTTGCGGATCCAAGGGTATCGCTCTGTCGTACGCCTACTACTCCCGAGACCTCGTTCCCGAGGTTGTGGCCGAGGCCAGCAGACTCGCCGTCAAGCTCATTTCCAAGCTGTACGAAAACTGGGACAAGGGTGTCGATCTGTACTCCATCAACGTTCCCCTGATCGAGGGCCTTTCCGACAACACAAAGGCCGTCCACGCCCCCATTCTGCAAAACCGATGGAAAGGTACCTTTGAGCCCTGGGAAAAGGCCATTGACCACGACCAGAGCGAGGCTGACGGAAACATCCCCATCGAACCGGACTCTGAGCCCCTTTCTGACGCCCAGAAGGCCAAGGAGGGTTACACAATGTTCCGATGGGCTCCTGATTTCGAGGCTGTGGGCAAGTCTGTTAAGGCCAGCAGTCCCGGTAATGATGGCTGGGTCGTTGACCAGGGCCACATTTCCGTCACTGGTCTGAAGGCCTCCTTCTCCGAAACTGGCATCACCGGAGAGATTACCTTGTGAGTATCCTTGTAGAGTGCTATGTACATTATGTACGTTATATTATTGTTATCTATTGTGTACCTTGAACTGACGAGCCTGGAGCCCCCAGCACATCAGCAACGTTCTAGACGAAACATACCGAGCCAGATAACATCCACGACCAACCCCAACTAACACAGAAACGACAATGCTGCCGCTGAATCCGCCCATGGTTTCCTGCTGACCATCCCTTCCACAGCCTACCTTCACCCTCTCTTCTCCCAGAGTGTCAACAAACACCTTCCCAACGTTCCTGTTGGTACCAAGGGCTCGGAGAAGACATTCCACTACGGAGAGTACGAGGATCTCGACTTTGACAAGCTTGGTTCTCGAGACAAGTCTTACTTTGGCTGCTCTTACATCTACCGAAAGGCCCTCATTCGAAAGCACTATCTGGCCAACACCATTGCCATGTTCCGGGCCAAGAACCCCGAGTCGATTCTCAACGAATCATTCCCTGACACCTTTAACCTCGAGCTGGACTACGCCGAGTTCCTTGATGAGTCTCTGGATGAAGCTTACGAGCTGAGACAGGAGCTGGAGAAGAACGACGAGATCGAAAAAGCCTCCAATCGAAAGCTGTGGATCCTCAAGCCTAGTATGAGTGACAAGGCCCAGGGAATTCGTCTGTTTAGCACCATCGACGAGCTTCAGGCTATCTTCGATTCCTTTGAGGAGGGATACGACTCGGACGATGAGGACGCAGAGCAGGAAGAAGACGATAACAATGGAGTGATAACATCTCAACTCCGTCACTTTATCGTTCAGGAGTACGTTGACAAGCCTTTGATTCTGTCTGGCCACGGGAACAAAAAATTCCACATCCGAACCTACGTTCTGGCTGTCGGTGACATCAATGTCTACGTATATAAGCATATGCTGGCTCTGTTCGCTCCTAGAGAGTACGCCACCACCGACGAGGTGCACGATCTCAGCCGCCACCTCACAAACACATGTCTCCGGGACGACGATACTATCCTCAAGGAGAGTCTGGTGGAGGAATTCTGGAACCTCAAGGGTCTTGAACAGAGCCAAAAGGAGACTGTCTTCTCCAAGATTTGTGAGAACGTCAAGGATATTTTCTTGGCTGCCACTACGGTTGACAAGATCAACTTCCAGCCCCTAGCTAACTCCATGGAGTTCTTCGGTCTCGATTTCCTGGTTGACGAGAACCTCAATGTGCACATTCTGGAGGTCAACTCGTACCCCGATTTCAAGCAGACTGGAGACGATCTGAAGTACGTGGTCGAGGGTCTCGTTGACGAGACTGTCCAGGTTGCTGTCAAGCCCTGGTTCGAAGGAGGTGAGGTCCCTGAGTCCGACTTGCTTAAGCGCGTTCTGTAGAAAGGGGCGATGCGATCAAATGTAATGCAGAATATGTGTAAATAGTGATTAATTCGAGTTATCCAAGTTCGCTACAAGTACGTCTTTCATCTTTAATTCAATGTTTCTACTTATACATACAATACCAATTAATAATAAATACTACTCCTCGGAGGACTGCTCCTCGCTCTCGTTCTCGTTGCCCTGATCGCCCATCTCCTTGCACCATCGGTAAACCTGGCCTCTGAACCGATCAGCACGCAACAGCCCCATTCGCACAGAAGTGATACATCGGATAAACTCCTCGCACCGCTGAAGAGCAATCTGGGTCAGCTGTCGAGTCTCCTCAGCAGCATCTCGATTGATACCAAAGTCTCGGTCGTAGGGAATCTGAGGAAGGGCGAAAAACGGGTCAATCTCCTGGGTGGCAAGCTGACGAGTTCTTCGCGGAGCATCCTCACCTTCCTCCATGTCATAATCTGGCAATTGCATGTTGTCAGCCAGAATGTACGATGGGTCATCTCCGAGAAAAACGGACATGAGCTTCATGAACTGCACCACGTGCTTTTGTTCCTGGCAGATCACGTCGAGCGCTCGTGTAGAGAGAGTTCGCAGTGTTGTCGACGTCATTGTTCGTGCCATAGACTTGTGGTGGGGCAGGTCTGCGGGATGGGTGAGGGGAGCTAAGATCTCCTCCAGCTGGATGCCTCGGTAAGGATTAGAGTCATCATCGTCATCATCGTTATTATCTGGGTTTTCGTCGTTATTGCCGTCATCATCGTCGTTGTCGTCGTTATCATCCCGTCGTCGGCGCTTGTAGAGGACTGGTCTCCGAACGCCGTTGTACTCGACAATCTTGAGCCGATGGTTGCCGAGAGGAGGGGCGGGCAACTTGGTCATATGCACATCCTCAGCTGCCCGCTTCAGCTTGTTTCCTCGGTTGGTTGAAATGTTAGTGTCGCTTTCGTCCGAGTCCGAGACTGTGTTAGTGATTGTAGTCGGTGAGCAGAAAAGACAGCTTTGTGACATTGGGGACGATACAGACCCACAAAATTGAATCCTAGTCAGCAGACAAGCATCGCTAACTTGCTTCTTGGCACCTGCGGGCACGGAAAGTGGGTTGGCAATGGCTTTTGCGTCCGGGGCACACCAGCCATTGTGTCTGTCTCGCGTGTCTATCTCGCACGGTCTGCATCATCGTCAGCTTCGCAGTCAACCACAAAAAGAGCATCGATCTGTGTACGACACGTCCACCTCGTGACATCCACAATGTCGTATCTGGTGTGTGTCCATCTGGAGCCGCTTCTGTCCATTACATCTGTGCCATCGATGTTTTCTTGTGTGTGTACTCACCGTGAGGTTCACGATCAAGGGCGTCTTTGAGACGGCTGAGTTAGTAAGTGCGAGGATGCATGGTTGTCAGAATACTCACATCAAATGGTCTATCGATTTCTGGTCCAGCATGATAATGTATCGGGTAGCTGGGTGGAGGGGTTTTGAGCGGAGCTCCGAGCTGCAACATGGATTGTTCAAACTCTGTTGGGTGGTGCATATGCATAATGTGGAATTTATTGGGAATTTAGCTTGGATTAAATGATAATGATTAAAACAGGGATTAGTTATTTATAAAAACAATCTGCAAAAAAAATGGGGGAAAAATGGGAAAAAATGAGAATAAAAATGAGAATAAAAATGAGAGAGAAAATGAGAGAGAAAATGAGAGAGAAAATGAGAGAGAAAATGAGAGAGAAAATGAGAGAGAAAATGAGAGAGAAAATGAGAGAGAAAATGAGAGAGGAAATGGGAGAGAAAACGACTAGTTGATGCTGTTGTTATTGCTTTACCATACTACACACGACCTAATAGTTTTTTATGTTGATTGACGGACTCTCTCCTATGTAGGAAGTCCAACAAGTTCAACTCATGGTCTGTTGTGATAGCCCTCCTGATCCAAGAGATATAACCAAAAGGGCCCGTTATCATCCAATCTGAAACATCCGCGCACCACATTCACACACATTGTCTTCATTAGTCCATTCATTACTTGCCGGCCGGTTTCTTGACACTCCCACTCCCACATCCCTTCCACACTCGTCATGCTATATACAATCCATTAAATGACAGCGTGGGTGGGGAACTGTGGAACCGGCTCCTCGGCATGCATCAGATAACGCGACAGTTGACAGCTCTTGCCAGTGATAGGCAGAATCAGCCGGAAAGCATCGTTGGAGTTCAGATAGTATCGATGCAGACGTTTGGTACGCACAAATCCGATATTTTCGTACAGGCTCATAGCAGCCGCGTTGTTGACCTCGGTTTCCAACATGATTTCGTCCGCCTTGAGATCCACCATGGCTGCAATCGCCAGGTCAATCAGCTTTTTGGCGATACCTTGGCCACGGTAATCTGTCTTGACAGCCAGCATGGCTATGTATCCTCTCGATCGGCACCCACGGTAGTCCTCCAGCTTGCAAACCACCGTTCCGATGGCCTTTTTGTCCATGGACCCGTCGGCCTGCTTCTCCTCCTCGTCTTCATCAAATGCAAGAAAACAGAGGTTGGGCCATGACGAAATGAAGTATCTGTAGACGTAGACCGAGTAGGGCTCGGACAGGTCGTGGGAGATCATGCCCTTGACACTTTCCGTGTCATTTTGTTGGTTGGCGGTGTCGTACGGTCGGTAGCTGATCTTCACCATTTTTCGGGGTATTAATCACAATTAATGAACTACGTCCCAGCTTGGAGTAGTGGAAAATCAACCCTAACCCATAAATCATTATCCACCATGGTGAGGAGAGAGAGGTAGCGAATTGGGGTGGTTTCCAGACATGTTATCGGTGAAATATGAGATTCAAGCAAATCCTTGTCTGCCTCATTTCCCACGAATGAGCGTTTTTTCACCATTTTGCCCGATTTGATCCCCTTTTGCTCACATGATCTCTTTCCACTCCCCTCTCATTAGTAATCCTCCCACTGAACCTTGTGAAGGTGACGTAAAATTCCAGCACAGGAATAGCTATCGTTTCAACATCAAACATCACCACGAAAATGTCGGATCGAGAAGAGTCTGGCTCTCCCGAGCCTCGGTCCAAGATTGAAGAAGATCTCGAGAGCGACGAGGAGGTGAAGACCATCAAGAGCGAAGAGGTGGACAAGACACAGGACAACGTGGAGGACGAGGACGACGAGGAGGAAGAGGAAGAGGAAGAGGAAGAGGAAGAAGAGGACGACGATGAGGAGGACGTGCGGCAACGAAAGAAGCCCCGACGGGAGCGAAGAAACCAGTTCCTGGATGTCGAGGCCGAGGTGGATGAAGATGAAGAGGATCTTGAGGAGGACGAAGATGGACTCATTGGAGAAGACGGATTCGTTGCTGAGCCTGATGCCGACGAGCCCGATGCCTCGGACGACCGATTCCATCGAGAGATGGACCGGCGACGAGAAGCCATCGCCGAAGAGGATGCCGAACGACTGGCCGATGAGTACCGAGAAAAGTACGGTCGATCGACAGCCAACAAGTACCGAGGAGACAGTGGAGTGATCCCCCAGCATCTGCTGCTTCCCTCTGTCAATGAGCCCTCCATTTGGGGTATTCGATGCAAGCCCGGCAAGGAAAAGGAGCTGGTTCGACAATGTCTTCGAAAGAAACTGTCTCTACAAAAGTCCAGAAACCCGCTGGAAATCATGTCCGTGTTTCAAAGAGATACCTTCACCGGATACATCTACATGGAGGCCCGTAACCAGCAGGCTGTGACTGTGGCTCTTAAGGGTCTGGTTAACGTCTATCCTCAGAACATGATTCTGGTGCCCATCAAGGAGTACGTTGATCTTCTGCGAGCCACCAAGTCTGCCGAGACTGAGCTCGTTCCCGGCGCATACGTGCGTCTCAAGCGAGGAAAGTATGGCGGCGATCTCGCCATTGTCGAGAATTTGTCTGAAAATGGTCTTGAGGTTCGTCTCAAGCTGGTGCCCCGTCTCGACTATGGACGAAATGCAGAGGCTGGAATTGACGGTAAACGAAAGCGAGTGGCCCGAATCCCTCCCCCACGACTCTTTTCTGAGCAGGAGGCTTCTCAGTATGACCCTCGAAATCTGCAGAAGCGTGGCCCCAATGCGTACGTTTACGCGGGAGACGAGTACATCGGAGGCTTCCTGTACAAAGATTTCAAAATCACCCTGGTGAACGCCGAGAACGTTGCGCCCAAGCTTGAGGAGCTGACCCGTTTCAACTCTGAGGAGACTGACGGTATCGATCTGGCCTCTCTTGCCCAGAGCCTTCGAAAGTCTGCCGCGGCTGTCCAGTTTCAGGGTGGAGATGTCGTCGAAGTGTCTGAAGGTGAGCAGACCGGTGTTCAAGGTACTGTCATTTCTACACACGGCGATATCGTCACCGTGGAGGCCACGACGGCTCCTCTGGTTGGAAAGCGCATCGATCTGCCTAGCCGATCTCTACGAAAGAAGTTTGCCATTGGTGATCACGTGCGAGTCATTTCCGGTAACTTCCTCGACGACACTGGTCTGATTGTGGGTCTAGAGGACGACTCCGTGACTCTACTGTCCGATCTCAACAAGAAGGAAGTCACAGTGTTCGCCAAGGATCTCAAGAAGGTGTCTGATATTGGAGGTTCACATCAGGTCGGTGACTACGAGCTCCACGACTTTGTGCAGCTTGACGCTCTTCATGTCGGTTGCATTGTAAAGGTGGAGAGAGACAGTCTGAAGGTGCTCGACCAAGAAGGTACTGTTCGATCAGTCACTCCTTCTTCTATCACCATGAAGCTCACTCGAAACATGGAAGGTCTGGCCACCGACTCCAACGGTTCTGAGATCAAAATTGGCGATACTGTTCGAGAGACCGTCGGTGAGGGTCGACAAGGTGCCGTTCTTCACATCTACAAGAACACTCTGTTCCTCAGCTCCCGATCTCTCGGCGTCTTTGTCGCCAAGGCCTTCAAGGTTAATACCATTGTTGCTAAAGGAGCTCGAACACAGTCGAACTCTCAAGCAACTGGTCCCGATCTCACCAAGATGAACCCTGCCGTCTACAATGCCCGACCTGGCCAGATGGCTCCTCCCGTCATGCCCAAGCAGGGAGGTTTCGACCGTCTCAAGGGCAAGCATGTTGCTATCGGGCCTGGTTCTCAACACAAGGGATGCAAGGGTATTGTCAAGGAAACCACAGACGATATTGCTCGAGTCGAGCTTCACGCTCCCTGCAAGGTTGTCAACGTTCTGAAACACCAGCTGCGAATCTACGACGATTACAAGAAGACGTACCTGTCATACATGGAGTTTGCTACTCCTAGAGGTATGCGATCGGGTGGTGGTCGTCCTGGAGGGCCCCCTGGTCCTGGCGGACCTGGGTCTGGTGGACAGACCCCGTCGTGGGGTGGTGGTGGAAAGACCCCGTCGTGGGGAGCAGGTGGAAAGACCCCGTCGTGGGGAAGCAAAACCCCGTCGTGGGGTGGGGCAAAGACATCGTCTTGGGGTTCGCGAACACCTGCTGCCAATGCAGGAGGTGCACAGACACCCGCATGGGGAGCAATGGGAAACAAAACACCATCTTGGGGCGCATCAGAGTCTCGCACCCCTGCATGGGGCGGGGCAAAAACTCCAGCTTGGGGAGCAGCTGGTGCTGGGTCGAAAACCCCGGCCTTTGGAGTCGCACGTACGCCTTCGTGGAAGTCGTCGTCTGCAGGAACATACGGCGGCTCTTCTTCGCGAAACAAGGGCTGGGAAGATCTCGGAAGCGGCAACTCGGCTCCCACTCCAGGCTACGCTGCTGCCACTCCTGGTGAGATGATGGGTGCCCCTACTCCAGGTGCTGCTCACCATCCTTGGGAAGATTCTGCTCCGACACCTGCTGCCTATAACGACGCGCGAACTCCGGGTGTCTATGATCCTCGAGGTTCTGGACCTGCTCAGGCCGAAACCCCTGCAGCCTGGTCCACGGATGATGCTCCTCGATATGATGATTCTCCCACTCCTTAGTGGGACGTGTGTGTATAATAAATGATTGTGTATTATTCTGCAATATAGATATGAGCGGCTTCCGCGTAGAGGCAATTGTGTGGCTGTTGTACATTACATACTATACTGGTGTAAGTGGTAGATTGAACTTCTGGGCGGTGATCTTCGATTACCAGCGTACTGTACTTGTATGATTAATACCATCAGCGCGTATATAATTACGATCGCACTGTAGGTGAACAAAAAGTAGCAATATCATTGAACAAACAACTGACTTATTCGTTATGCTTTATACCACTCGTTAGCATCATAGCTGAAAAGTTCGAGTCGTTGGTCTCATCAGCTACTCCACGTAACTTGTGGGGAAAGCACCTCTTTGTCCGTTCAACTCTCCCTCCGTCCATCCATCTCTATCGGGCTCCACCACCACAATCTGGTCACCGGCCTTGATCGACAGCTCGGTATCGTCCTGGGCATTGTAATCATACAGTGCGGTGACGTAATCGACCTTTTTGGCACCCTGTTTGGGCGCGACAGGAGGACCCTTTCGTTTGATTGAGAACGCAGACTTCAAGCTTCCACCTCCACCTCCAGAGGATGGTGTGGTGGCACTCTTGGGAGGGTTCATGTCGACATATGAAGCAGGCACAAGTCCGTCAGTGCCATCGCTCTTCCGCACTCGAATCCATCCAGAGCCATCATCGGTCTCAAGAACAGTCACATGCTCGTTTTCGGAAATGAACACCTCGTCGCTTCCCTGAGGTTCATATCTATACAACACCAATGCAGAACTCTCCTTGTTCCATGGAATGGGGTCTCCTTCTCTGTATGTTAGAGTGTCCAGAATCAACTTTCCCGTGCCGCCAAATCCTGAGGTGGTGGTGTTGCTTCGTTTCACCGGTGTCGGTTCCGGAATGTTTCGATCAATCTTCTTTTTGCCAAACAAGAAGTTGTGTCGTTTCTTGATCACAACGGGTTGGTATGAGTCGAGATCCTTCTCACCAGTGTTGTGTTTGATGGTCTCAGTTTCGACTTCTGCAATGGTACGCTTGGTGTCGTCCACCGTGAGACTTCTCAGAGCGTTGATAGACTGACTAAGCAGCTCAAAGTGGTTGTTGGAAGCTGAATCAGAGTCTGCCTCGGCCAGCTTCGTTGCCTTTCGCTTCTCCAAGTCCTGGAAGCCGGCCTCCTTGGACGCAATAGTGTCTTCGAACTGGTGGCTGAGTCGCTGCGAGTCGCCCAGTACAGTATGCAGGTATCTGAGAGCCACATCATCGAGAACCATGTTCTCATCGTCGTGCCAAATAGGGCACGGCTCGTAAATGAAGTCGATGGGTTCCTCCCATCCGTTAGGGGCAATATTGTGCTTGGTGAACATGGCAGAGTCAAGAACGGGATGGTTTTGTGCAACCATTTCAATGGTAGCGTTCATATGCTCGGTGCATCGATTGTTGCATGCAATTTCGAGAGAAGCAGCCTTGCTCAAGAGTCCGTTGAGCAGCTTGACTCGTAGTTCGTTGAGTTCCTGGTATCTATCCAGCAGTTCAGGAACATCCTGGTGATAGTACTTGTCCTTGAGACGGTTGGCGACGTTGATCTTTACAAGATACATATTTTTGGCGTCGTTCATGTCGGCGTTCTTCGACTCAAGCTTCCGTTCCAACTTCTCCTTAGATTGACCAATGAGACCGCCCAGCGCTCCTCCCTTTTGGCCCTTCATCCGCTGGTTCTCGACAGCCTGGCAGGCGTCGTAGTAGCCGTTTTTGGTCTTCTTGAGCAGCGAGTAGTATCCATCTCGGTCCTCAATCAGCTTCTCAGAGAACGTTTGCAGGTTCTTTCGGACGTTTTCACTTTTCAGGGACAGGGCATGGACCTGGTCGGCGATTTGGAGGTTGAGCTCGGACGCCAGACGGTTCTTCTCCTTGGCCAATGTTTCGGTCTGGGTCAAAATTTCTCCCCAAGTGACAAGAGATGCGGATTCAAGAGACCCAGGAGTGACTTCAGGATGTTCTCCGACTGATAGAACGGAAGACACTCGAGCTTTCTTCTCAAAGTACTTAGAACTGAGCGAAGAGAGCTTCTGGGAGTACTCTTTTTCAATGGAGGCTCGTTCTCGGTAGAAGGACTGAACATCCGAGAGGAAGGCGATTCCGTGTTGAGACTGTGTTAGTAAGAACTTTGAGTGAAGTTGCAGAGGATAATGGAGATAATTGGCGCCTAGCCACGTCTCCTCGTGACTCCAGAGAAACCCGTGGATTGGCCCAAATAAGACTCTCTTGGATGCGAAGATGGAGGATATACCAGACAGGGCTTACTATACCTTCATCCGTTGCTACGGAGCCGTTTATAACAGAAAATATCACCGCCAGCTCAAGAATCACACCAATACCGACACTTTCTTATCTCCCCCTTACTCCATACCACGAGTCTTAGTCACATCATGTGGACAGCTCCCTCACTTCCCACACTCACCCAATTGTCCACCTTCTCCCAGCCATCGAGCAGCTCGGTGCCCATGCTAACTTGAACGTCCGCCATGTTGATGTTGTATTCTGGTTCCTGTAGCTAGTGGTTCACGCAGGTTGTTCACGACATGTGGCAGGATAATGCGGGTTGCCGTGGAGACGCAACACGAAACGCTAAAGGGTTACCCGGATTAATATCCGTAGAGATCTGGCAGGTGGATGGAGCAGGAGAGCCGTGACAAGGATGGTTGAGAAGCCCGCATCCAGCTGGATTTATTTAATGTAGTGACGGTTCAATATCACGTGTCCGACACGAAGCATCTCCCTCGTTTTGAAATTAACTTGTGTGGGGAATGTTGACTGGTAATGTAATTTTTCGGAATAAAGCCAGCGTGTAGACATCGATTAGCGGCTGGCGTTTCGATGATGGCAGTGCACGTCACGGGTACAGCCACTTTCGGGGTTGTGTCCCTACCAGAGATGGCGGTGGAGATTTGAAACGATTAGTGACGTTTGCTTAGTCACATTTTCTTAGTCACACTTGCTTAGTCACGTTTGCTTAGTCACGTTTGCTTAGTCACACTTGCTTAGTCACGTTTGCTTAGTCACGTTTGCTTTTTCATATTTGCTTTCTATGTTTGCTCTTTTCATCGCTGGGGGAATGCAAGGACGATGTTGAGTATTCGTATCGAAAAGTAAATACTATCTAAGTAGCCTTGTGAATGTATAGTTGCGTAATTGTTAAAGTGGTAATTAGGTGATTATAGAAAAGTCCAAGTACGATACTGATCAACCTTGCCACACTCAAAGACGGGTAACCCTTAGACCGGGTAATTGCATTGATACGCGTAGAAGGACCGTCGATCGATAAGAGTGGTGGAGGACTGAACTCGGTTTTTGACCGGTCGAGCCTCGGCCTCGTCCTTGAGTGCCTGCAGAGGTTTGAGGAAGGGGAGAAACATTGAATTCGACCATTGATGAAGCTGAAACTGGATACAAGTCTCTTTTTTTTGGTTCTATTCACTCACTGCAATTCCCTGTGCGTTAGAGTAAATTGGTCGTGCTTCCTATATGTTGACATTCTATAAGCGACTTCTGGACAGTGGTGTAAAATCAGCAATAAGAAGACCATGGAAGTAGTGTAAGTTTCGGAACAATTATCAGCTTGCAACAATCTCAATTGGGTGCTGGAGTCCGTCCCTTGTCATCAGAATATTCACCCTCCAGAGAAATTTCTAGAGCTTCGGCATGTGCTTATTAATACAAACTCTAAAATGCAACGCTTAACTGAAAGTATATTTAGCTGATTTCGATTGCTTGTAATTAATGGCTGCAAACAGGCCCAAAATGAAGGTAATTAAATGTAGTGGACAGATTTTGTGGATTTGTATAAACTATTCATTTGACTTTGGCCCTCAATTCGTCACTGGAGAGTGTTACCCACCCCGGAATCGAACCAACACCCCCCTTATTTCCCAAACCCTAACTTTAAAACTACCCTAGATACATACACACAACACTTGTTTTTTTTGTACATCTACCACAACCATCATGTCTGGTGAGTATCACCCCTAATACGTCTCGTTCCAAGCGCTAACACAGTCGATTTCAACACCCTCGCCAAGCAGTTCTGCGAGTTCTACTACCAGACCTTCGATACCGACCGGTCTCAGCTCGGTAACCTCTACCGAGATCACTCTATGCTCACCTTCACCGGTACTCAGCACCAGGGTGCCCAGGCTATCGTTGAGAAACTTGTTGGCCTTCCCTTTGGCCAGGTCCGACACAAGATTTCTGATATTGACGCCCAGCCCGCTTCTGCTCAGGGAGGTGATGTCATTGTGCTTGTCACCGGAGAGCTGTGCGTTGATGGCGACAACCCGCTCCCTTACGCCCAGGTTTTCCACCTGATCCCTGATGGATCTTCGTACTATGTCTTCAACGACATTTTCCGACTCAACGCTTAGAGTAATGCATGCGATTGATATGAACAGAAACGTGAACGGCGTGAAACGACGTGGAACGGCGTGAAACCGTGCGCTTGAAGGAAGCAACCGACACGACAGTTCAAACAGTGTCGGTGTCATGGAACTTGTCTGCTAAGGTAAGCCAGGCTCTGTCACTAAATACACTGTGGTCATGCTGCAAGTCTGTAGTCACCTCTGTAGCGCTCGTATCCCCGATGATAGTACTTCTTTCGCCTCTCGAGCAACACGTAACACCATGTCGCAAGCAGTCTCAATTGGTATACTACTTCTGTAACTACACGTAGATTCTGTAGTTTTGACGGTTTACTCTTACTGGTGCTCACATTTATAGACGTTCCCAATCCGCCACTGAATGATTCTGACAGTCTTGTATCCAAGCTTGAGTTGGCTGGTATCGCAGTATAGCTCATGATACTACATGGTTTAATGGCATGTTGTCTTGGTACGATACTGTATCATACTGTGCTTGAGTCTCGAAAGGCGCATCGGGGGGAAGGGGTTGCCAGTCGAGGAGATCCAAGCGAACGGCTAGATCGCGGATAAAAGAGTGGTCGTCAATCGTGAGAATTGCTGGCATGCTGTGGGCATATGTTTAAGTCTATGAGCTCTACTAGATTCCCCGTGGCTACCGTGAAGAGCTTACAACACAAGTAAATGTGCAGTCTTGCCCCCATTCCACCCATTTCTCTTATGCTATCTTCAATGCTCTTCTCGAGAACCACTCGCCAGTACTTCCATACCAGCAATGGACAAAAGTAGGTCAGTGTTCTCAGAGACTCCTTCACATGTCAATCATGTAACCAATGTCCGGCGTGAGTGCTGGTACTCGTGACCAATAGATGCCTGTCTAGTGTGTGCTATGGTAAGCGACTGGCTAGCCCACATAGAACCCCACAAAACATCTGTCCAAGATATTCTCATAGTTGACCCACGCGTGAGTCTTCATGAACAAGCTCGTACCGTCTCTGCCCGCACAAACCATCAACTTTGGCACTCCTCCAGGATGAAAGTTCAGATAAGGCGTGATATTGTACACTTTGCCATTCAGTACCATCCATGCATCCTCCTTGCTGCGGTGTTCCTTTAGCATATCCTTGGTCACACGTACTGGTCCCATGGTATCGACTCCTCTGAGGTTCTTTCCCGAGTTCCGCAGCTTGGCCCAATCTAGAGGTGAGTAACCAGGCTGTAGAACCACCTTTTCACGTGCCTTGGAGGCTCCACTGGGCTGCGTGAGTCCACCTACTCCAACCGTGCCTGTACCAGGAGGAGGTACTCTGAGGGACGAAGTCGCCGGAAAACGCCCAGGGGCCGGTGTACGTGAAATGTTGGGCTGTGGAGTCGGTATAGGCCGGTTCGACGTTGGCGGAGGCAGTCTGTCTGAGCTTTTCACCGCCTGTGAGCGCTGGTGCGAATCACGCGCTGGAAACATGGTAATTTCGTCATCTGTGGGGCCTGAGATTTCAGCTTTTTTGTTATCTTGCGGCGGCGTCGGATTCGAGGGCGGGTTCATGATGTAATTACCGTGTCTATGGCTGTATCTAGGTCTTAAGAGGACGCGTATGAGTGATGTGAGATTGGGCACATGTTCGCTAGAGATGCACAATGAGTTAGTTTCAGTTAGAGTTGTCCAAGCAAGGCTGAGCATTTTCGTTGAAAAAAAAAAAAAAAGAGATGGACAGATGTAGTTGGCAAAAGAGCATTATTACGTGAAAGAAGATATCTTGGTAAATCGTGTTGGGAAAAAGTCTCTACTTGTATGTCCATCAAGTTCATATACCTCTACGTTACAAACAGGTCCAACGTACGGGGTTTTGTTGTTTAGTTTCTCAGTTAAGAGATTAACTATTCTCTAACAAACAAGCCTTTTCCCAGTACACCTGTGCAAATCCTGAAGAAAAAAAAATTGAAAAAAAAATTAAAAAAAATGATCATAAAAAATTAAAAAATTAAAAAATTAAAAAAAAATTAAAAAAATACACTCTTGTCGGTAGACCAACTGGTACTGTGCCATGTTTAGTACGAGCAAGTACAATATTGTCTCTAAACGTACTTTACTGTAATTATACATAAAAAGTACCAAAAATGATAGAGATATTTTTCATGTAGACACACAGTGCTGTAACATAGCACCCAGAAATATCCATATGGTCTCCACAACATGACATATTGTTCTGGAACCTGCAGCTTCTGTACGAGGGGTTGGGTCACCTTCTTTTAAACGGATCCAGAGCCTCCTTATCCTTCCACACGGCGCCTATTCTTCCCGCCAATGGACACCCCACATTTTTAGCGATATTAACTCCCATGTCTTAGTAATAAAGCGCACTAAGAGGCTGCTGCGTTTGTTGCTGGATATTTCAAGCCGCATGAGAACGTGGTTGTATGGGCGATCACATGATGAGCGGCTTGGCCGGGGTCTGCTCGAGCGACCCGGATCCGTATTTCTTTGGTGACCGTCTCCTTTTTCCCTCAGTTTAATTTCTTTTGTTTGGCAGCCCCCAGTGCAGTTTTTGCATCCCAGTATCGCACACCTACAAACTCCACTGGTACAGGTATTACTTATACATGCATGCGCACCCTTCAACCTTGACTTGTGATCTAGCACCCGGATAAGAACACCAGCAGTCTAATTCTCCAACGGCATAGCGAGTGTTGCAATCAGCATACCACCACCGAAACACACAGTCCACACCCTTGCACATCTACTGAGCAACACCTCTGCTCAGCTTCTCAACCCGAAAACACATGCCCCCAGGGCTGACGACTTCTCATCTTCAGGACTGGCTTTCGTCTGTGTCAAACTCCTTTCTCGCCAGTTACTCGCAGCTCGACGAGGACCTTGCAGCCGTTTCTTCGTCTGTCGCCACCGTGGCCCAACCTCACTGGTGGTCCGTTCTGTACGCTCAGGTAGTGGCATTTCTACACAAACACCTTCTCCCGCAACATAGACCGTCCATATCGACTCTTATCACCACCACCGCCACCACCTCGCTCTGCATCTACATTTTTGCGCCCTCCCTGCTCCCCGATCGCATGTTTTCTGTCTTTAGCTCGCGTTCGAAACGCCCAGGACGATACACAGTTGGTCTGGTGAACCTGGCCAATGATTGCTTTGCAAACTCGAATTTGCAGGCTCTGGCCTCGCTACGATCGCTGCTGCTGTATATTGACGAGGCCATGTTAGTGGGAATCCCCCAAGAGAACCTGCTGAACAACTCGCGCAAAAACAATTATCCGGTCGATGCCAAGGGCAAGCAGTACTTGAGACTGACACGAGCACTGGGGTCCATGATCATGGAGCTTAACGAGCCCGTCAAGAACCCCAAGACTGTGTCCCCGTGGAAGTTTCTTGTTATTCTCGAACAAATCTACAACTCGCGGATCAGTCGCAACCAGCATGATGCTCACGAACTCTTGCATCTCATTCTCGAATGTCTCTCAAACGAGTACGAAGCTGCCGTGAAGGATGGTATTCTGCGACCGGGACAGCACAGCAGTGACAGAGAAAGCGTCGCCAGCAGCTCGATCCCCGAGGCAGACATTGGGACCGACTTTTTGCCTCCTGCAGCACCGACACCCCAGTCGGCAGTCACAGACCCGGAAATGCTTGCATCATTCCCATTTGAAGGATCCACCATCGACAGAATTGCCTGTTCGCGTTGTGGATACCTCCCGCCTGTACAGTCGACCAATTTTCTCGTCTTGTCTCTCATGGTTCCCCAAAAGCGACATGCCAGTCTCACAGACCTCATTGATCGCATGACCGCTCCAGAATACATCAAAGACTACGGATGTGTGTCGTGCAGACTCAAGGCGGTTTCTTCCAACCCTTCTGCATTTATTGGAACCGGGATCAATGGCTCAAAGGCCAAGTACACTCCCGAGCTGGTGGAACAGCTGAGTTCCTACTCAGCCAAGATTGATCAGCTGCCCGAGGAGCTTGAGGAGGCTCTTCCAAAGAACATCACCTCGCCTATCTCCAAATCCACACGGTTCTCAAAGCTGCCGCTCATTTTGTCTCTGCATCTGTCTCGATCCATCTACTCTGGTGACAACGCGTCTCGAAACAGTTGCAAGGTGAGCTGTCCTGAGTTCATTGACTTGTATGAGAGCAATCCCAACGTGCGGTCGCGCGAGGACTCTCCTGGAGAAGAAGGCGATGCTCTTGCCTCGGGTCTCAAATCGCTCAAGGCCAAGAAACGCGTCAAGTACCGCCTGGTGGCCATGATTCGACACAACGGTACGCACTACACGGGACATTACGAGTGCTATCGACGCAAGAACCTCACGTGGTGGAAGGGATGCATTCAGCGATACTCCAAGCGAGCTGGAGGTGATAAGAATGGTATGGAGAAGGAAGGTGGAGTGGCGGTTCCGAGAAGTGGATCTGAACCTCCAGAAATCTCTGTGGACACCACCATTCCCTCTCCATCTCTGTCTGCGTCTCAGCCGTCGCCTGTGTCAAAGGCCGCCGCTTCCACGTCATCTACCAGTTATGTCACTCATTCCAACAGTTCTAGTTATAGCGACCTCAAGGGTCTCGATACCGGCACCACTGAGAACACCTCACCCGACGAAGCCGACGAGGGTGAGGAATCGCAGCTGGTGGAGTCGTTGTACTCGACCCTGGTCTTGAATAATGGGAACTCTACTGGTGGACCAAATGTGGGCAAGTACGAATGGTGGAGAATCAGTGATGATAGTATCTGGGAATGCCATACTAAGGACGTGTTGAAGGAGGAAAGTGGTGCTTATCTGTTGTTTTATGAACAGTGCATTGAGTCCTAAGTCCTGACAGCAACAGTAACACCAAATTGCACCAAAGTGCACTGCCCATTCATCACTTAATCAGCATCAGCAAGTTCCATGGAAATGGACCGGACTATGTACTTGGAGATACTTGCTCTAAGCACATACCAATTGAGCATCCTATTCGACCGACTTTTTGTGACTTGGCTTGCTCCTAAAAGTGCTCCAAAAAAGTACAACAATTTTACTCTATCACCTGGAAACTTGCGCTGTAGTCGTACTGGTAAACTCATACACAATTTAAGACCATGCAGTGCACGTCCCTACATGTTCGATACATATTGCGTGTATGTTTTGGAACATGGCAAAGTGAGTTCCACTTTTACTTTCTCGCTACAGAACAAGTGTGTGTACCAACAGAACACTGAGTCGCCCCAGTGCTAGTTCATTAATATAAGCGAAACATAGATAAAATAATACACAAGCCCTGAGTCGGCTGATTTAAATAAACGAGTCCAGATCCTATTCGATGAGAGGGAGATTACTCCTCCTCGTCGAACTCGGCGGCGTTGGCCTTGTAGGCAGCCTTTTCGTCCTCGTATCGCTTCTTATCGGCAGTAGCCTTCTCCTCGTAAGGGACCTTCTCAGCATCAGTGAGAGTCTTCCACTTCTCACCGAGAGCCTTACCAACCTGGCCAAAGGCGATACCGGGGTTGTCGGCTCGGATGGCGTCACGGTTATCGTTGGCGAAGAACATGTAAGCGGACAGGGCACGCTTGGGGGCGTTGGGGTCTATGTTAGTAATGCAAGTGGGTGGGAAGCCGCATCGTGAAGCATTGAGCGGGACATTGGTGTCGTAACGGGTCAACGACGCGAATGACCGTGCTCAACGGCACGCGAGCACATCACACGCGACTAGACACACGGATCAACAGTGGTGTTGTGGTGACGTTGTTGCCGTGGTCATCAACACATCTGCATGGTCTGTTGTTGTCGAGACAAAAAAGTGTGGCATTGACCAAACAAACTGTCGACAGCCAACCACAACACCATTAATGTCATGTGAGGCAAGCAACAGAAGCTGTTGAAGTGGGTGATGCAGTGGCTGCATCGAGGATACTCACCCTTCTTCTTCTTTCCGGTGGTCTTTCGGGTTCGTCGGGGGGCGGAGGCGTCCTTGGGCATCTTGGGTTAGTATGTGTGAGAAGAAAAGGTGTGTGTGGGCGCGTCAGGAACTATTAGTACAGTCGCGTAAGCCTGTTTGGGAGAAAGCTTAGTTGGGATGTATGGAGCGACAGAGTTTGAGTTGCTATTGTCCATGAGTCGCTTGTGTTAAGCACCACTGCAAATATGCAAACTCAAATCCCGGTCCCAATCCTAATCCACCCACTCAAGGCGATGTCCATGTGTTTGGCTGAGCGGCCGTTGCAACCGGTCGAGCTGGACAGAGAACCTGGCGGGGCCGTTGGGAGCGTCCTGGTAGCCGATAGACCTGATGCACACACGTGTGTGGCACGTGAGATGGCGTGAATGTTGCAGTGAGTGCAAGATGGGCTCCCATGTGTAAGGACATGGGAGGCCCGAGGTTCAGAGTCAGCTTGTCGTCGAGTTGAGCGAGCCACAACATTGCCACCGTGACTGTGAGTAGATGGCAACAGCATGGACATGTGGCAGGCTCAATTGCTCACCACGATGGCCATGTGTTTCCACACCCCATATCACTGTGGGACTTGTATGGTATGAGTCGCAAACCTCGACGACAAGTCGACAACGACTCGACAGGGCGCCACCGCAGCGTGAAATGGCCAGAGGCGGGTCGAAAAGATCCCGTGAACACGTTTGCAACCGTCGCAACACGTTCCCGCGCCACAAACAGACGTGACTGTGTTCCACCACACACCGTACACTGTGGGTGGTGGTGCACGGCCCTGTTGTCTGTGGCGGTTGGAAAAGGCGTGTGTGCAAGTTGCCAGCGTGTCTGTCTCTTCCGTCCGTTGTATCCGAGTGGTCCCCCGTCGTGTCTGTGCCTCGGTGTATCCTCACCGCTCTGTGGTGCGCGGTATGTTGGGCCGCATGTTGGGAGCTTACTTTCAAATTGTTAAGAGGCGTGTAGTGTGGGTTTTTTACACTGTGTGAGGGAGGAGAAGGAGGTTTATAGCGGGCCCACATAGTACCATGCGGGTTGCCTAACAAAAATTGCGTGTGTGAGATTTGGCGTTACCCGGCGAATCTTCTTTGGTGGGTCAACGGGCCAACTTGACGGTTTGCGGTCCGATGGGAAATCCGAAAAGTGCGTTCGACTCGTCGCAATTTTTCACGACGAACCACGTCTTTTTTTTGGCCCCTCCGCCCCTCCACGTTGCTCTGCGGGCCACTCCTCTGCCTGTGGTTGGGACATGAAGCCCGGCTATTGCGGCCCAATGGAATGTTATAGTACACTTTGACCCTTGCTGCCAACAGTGCAAGGCAAAACAACAAACCCCAGAGACTAATTGAGGGATAACGGCTGAGGGAGTGAAGCAGCACAGTGGACGGAAACGACGGGAAAAGAGGGTGCAAACCGGGGTGGCTGAGACCTGTCGAGTCTCTGCGTCTTCACGGTCGGCCAACCGGAGTTTTTTTCGGCTCGTGTTGCCCGCCCCCATCCCCCCCCTTGGTGTGTTGGCGTCCCCATCACTGTCGCCCGTTTGTGCCTTCCCCCACCCACCAGCAGTTGTGCCTCTCTCTCTCTGTATTGGGCGGCACTATCACTGTTACGCTCAATACAGAGTGTGAAAGAAGGCTGTGTTGACGTTACAGCAGAACAATGCTACTGGTACCACAAGCCCAAACCGCCGTGAGGGGAATGTCGGTCGAGCATCAACAAGCCGCGGCTCGGACCAACACTTTGATACGCGCCAACCGCCCGAAAAAACGCCCTCGACACGCCCCACACAGCGCCTCTCCATCCGCCATAGTGGCTCCCACCGATCGCCACATGTGTCTCAACACTGCGCGATAAAGTTGCCCCAATCCAATGAAGACACAGTCCTCTATCAGCGTCAGTACTAAAAAAATAAAGTTGCCGCCCAAAGAGGAAGCTCTCTGCTGCCGGTGACAGGAGATGCTACTATCTCCGTAAAACAGTCACGTGGAGTCGCACCAGTGGTGGGAGGTGACAGGACGTGAGTGGAGGTGAGTGAGGTGCGAGTGGACGGTGGCAGTGGGACAGAAAGGGATACCCTAACCCGTAGGCCAACTGATCCTAGCAGACTTGGATGCATATTGAACCTACCAGGAACGATTATGATACTGACAAGTACGATGCTGACAAGCGGTGAACGATTGCCAGTACAATTCCTCGTGGTGCCGCTTCTTTTTCAATGCCTATCTGAGAGAAAGTGTCTTATGCCCGAGAGTTCAAACTAATAGTTGCTATATTGGTACCGATACCTTGTGTTTATGTTATGTTCCCTAGCCAATAAAGGTCAAGACAACGTAAGGGCCTTCAAGCCGTGTGCTGAGACAGAATGGGTGAATGAAAAACACGATCGGTGAGATCACAGCTGGAGTGCTATGAACAGTGCCGTCACCCTACGTAGAGCCATGATGCTGGTCTGGAATGGTTAGCTTGTGCATGTACACACTCCCTCGAACAACGCGTGAACCAGCATGTACTTGTCCTGTAGACGACCATTCAACCATAGCTTTCATGTCCGTTAAACCATTTTCAGATCCATTAACCATCTTCCAGATCCATTAACCATCTTCCAGATCCATTAACCATCTTCCGGGCCCATCAACCCACTTCCATGTCCCCTCATATCCACCAGACCGTTGTGTCGTGCACAATCAATGCCGCCATTCAGGAACGATTTCTTCAGTGCTCAGTTTGTAGAACAACATCCCCAAACCCCCAACAAAGAACCCCGTAGTATCACCCATTGACCCGTGGCACTCTCCCAGATGTCCTGCTGCTCACCATCAAGTAACTATCAAACACCATATTATTCTAAATACACTATCTAAGCACTGCTAACATCAACGCACGCTTAGGCATGGACGTTGCCAGAGTTGTAACCGTCTCGAGAAAATCGCCAGTTGGAATCTCGCACAAACAGACCCTCCTCGCCGAGCTGCTCAAGGAGACCCCGGTAAACAGCATCGGTGGTAGGGTCCTCCTTGGAAGAGATGGCCTCGGTGAACCACTTTCGCTGCCAAGACTCGCCCTTCTCCTTCTCCTCGGCACGCAGATCTCTTTGTGCCTGCTCAATCTTGCTCTTTTCCGTGTGGATCTTATCGTAGTCACCCTCCTTGATAGCCTCTCGAACGGGAGCCCATGCCCTCTGCGTCTCAAGAGGATCCTGAGCCTCGATAGGCTTGACAGTGAGCTTCTGCTGGTCAGTGGCCATGGAGTCAAAGAAGGGGACACCCTGGTCTCCCTTCTCCTTGCCGTCGCCCTTGTACAGCGAAGACTTACCGCTCCACTGGCCCTTGACGGTGTTGATAACAGCACCATCCTTCATCACCTTGGCCTTGAAAGTGTTCTTCTTGCCGGAGAAGTAACCCTTTCCGGAGTAGCTGAGATCAATCTTGTATCCGTCGGAGGACTGAATAAACGAGTGGCCCTCCAGTTCGACGTAAGGGGACGCGTAGATGATACCCTCAATGTGCAGAGCAGGGAGGGTTACCAGGTACGAAACGTCCTGGTTCTTAAGATGCAGCAGAGTGTGGCCAAACTGCTTGACACCGATAGTGGTGGCGGAAATCGAGGTCTTGAATCCAAAGTAACCCTCAGCGGTCACTCCCTTGTTGTCGTTGAAAATACCAAAGGCAGAGATGGGGGGATGGTGAGACACCTGCTCGGCAGCAAGAACGGAGAAGTCCTCGCCCTCGCCGACGCTCCACTTGCCTGTAAATAGCTCACCGAGGAAGGGGTTGAGAGGCTTCTTCTCGGTTCCCATGCTCTCGTTTCGGGAGCAGTACTGGCCTCGCAGCGTGGAAATGAACCATCTCAGCACTCGCAGAATTCGCTCCTCGCCGCTGATTCCGTCATCAGCAGCGTCCAGGAACAGCTGCTGGCTTTGTGCCCAGTACTGGGTGTACTCAACCAAAGAAATGGGAGCCAGAATGAAGGGAGGGGCGGTGACAGAGGCAATGTCACCTCCGGAGGACGCCAGTCCCGTCATGAACGAGGTGAACGCGCTCAATTGTGACTTGCTGGCCTTGTTGGAACTCATTTCGTGTGTGTCGTGGTGGGGTGAGAGTGATGAAGTGGCTGTTGTACAAACAAACATATGCTGCCCTTGCCCTGGCTATGCAAAGCCAATTTTCTTGTTGGGACAAAAGAGAACAATGTCAACTAAAGCTAAGTAAATGGGCGTTGCAAACAGCAACGTTGAAACGGGGGTATCCACAGGGGTTGAAGGGTGCTCCGAGTATTGTGAATAAGTTATTGTCCGTTTCTCATTGTACATTCATTTTTTTCAAACTTCTCATCACGTGAATCACGCCCTTTATTGCTACCATACCATGCATGCTATATGCTCCGATGCCCTTTACAAAGTGGGGCTGATGGGGAGATAAGTGACAAAAAGACAGGTAATCGGGTGCTCGGTTGTTACTGATTAGATTAACACACATAAAACCCGCCTTTTCCGCCGCTAAATGTTCCAAATGAGCAGATGTTGCCTCTTGTGAGCTCTACTTGGATTTACTTGGCAAGTCCAAACTCCCAACTATCTCCAACTACAAGGGACCCAGTACCCAACGCTAAATCCGAACGCTAAAATTCGGGGGTTGGGAGTCATATACCTCTTTCGGGATGGGGGTTAATCTCAGAGAAAATGATGTTACACTGGCTGGAATGAGACGTGGTTCGGCTCCGTGGTGGTCCCAGATGCCAACTACACTACGGGCGTTCTTCTTTCCCCAAGTGATCACGTGATTCGGATTTATCGCGCATCCAGCGGTTCGGCCACAGTAACTTTTCTGATCTGCTTTTTTTATCCGTTTGTGGCAAAAAACATGATGAGCCAACACACGTTGAGCGAGCCGAGTCACGTCAGCCAGCCGTTGTTACCACTAATTCAGCCGGGAAACTTTTATCCGATATTAGATGAGATTTCGCTAAGCTGAAAGTTCCGTTAGCTGAGTTTTTTTCGAGTTTTTTTCGAGTCTTTCGAGTCATTTTCGAGTTCCTCGAGTTTTTTCGAGTTTTTTCGAGTTTTTTTCCTCGCTATAAACACGACTGGTCATATCATTAATTTTTCATATTTTAATTTATATTTTTCATTTTATTTATTTTATATATTAATTATTTATTTTATAATTCGTCAAGACAGTTTGTCAGAGAAAAAAAAAAAGTGAAGCCCGCTTCTGCATATTAAACCCGTGGTTCTATTGGCGACGCCTTATCAGAGAAACAAAAATAACTTAACGCCGTGAAATTGAACCGACTTGTGAAAAATGAACCAAATCCCCGTCCAGAATGGATCATCGATGGTGCAGTAGAGTGAGACAATGAGCGGGAAGTGCAATGATAGTGAAGCGAGACCGTTGGACTCTGGGTGTACGAGGGGTAATTAGCTACAAGTGCTCGTATTGTAGTGATTGACGGTTACTTGGTAACTATAACGTGTGTTGTGCTCAAGGGGGGAGGTCATTTTAATGCAATTCCATGTATATGAGAGTATATATTAAGATTTTTGTTGCGGAAATACATGCTCTGTCTTAGCTCTGACATATATATCCACTTATTCGTGTTCTTCTCTTCGTACTCTGCCAAGATGGCAGGATCGTATTACTAAGCCAACTCTGTGATGAGAGCATGTGCAGATTAGACTGTGTATTGTTGAATTTGGTTCGACCCTGTGATCGAGTCTTCTTGTCTCGTCGCTTCATACTCCATATTTCTTCTGTGTACCGCTCCTCTGGCCTCTGCTCCCAGATCCTCTCATCTTCGCACCTCCAACTCTATCATGCATGAACATCACCATTTTTGGTTGGCTTCTCATTTCATTTTCAAGTCCCGATCTCCCACAGCACAACAGCATGACTTCGATAACGGCGCTGCTACCAGCTCCGCGGTACCCGACTCCGGGGCCGAAAATGTCCATTTTCACGACAAACGCCGTGTCGATGGCCAAAAACGACTCTGTCCCGAAATACGGCTCCCGAACCGACTGGAAACCCACATCCCAGGCCGACTTCAACGATGGGGGAGCCTATCCGGAAATTCACATTGCCCAGTACCCCCGAAACATGGGCAAGCCCGGCTCCGTGTCTTCCAACGCGATTACTCTCAAGATGGATGCCTCTGGGTCTGCTGACTACTCGTTAATTGCTACCCAGGGCCATGCTGCTGATCGACATGTTCAGACGTCGTACGACTCGCTGATTCCTCTGAGAGAGCGGATCGACGCCGGAACTGTGTCGCTTGAGAAACCAGGTGAAGAGGCAGAGCAATCGACAGCCCTGGCTACTCAGGCAGCCTTCGATAAACGTTTGGCCGCCAACGACAAGTCTGGCACCAAAAACAAGTCTGATCCTCAGTACATTCGATACACAGCCAACAGCATGATGGGAACTGAGGGTGGCGAATCACAGAAGATCATCAAGATGGTTGATCTCCCCCAGGATCCCCTTGAGCCACCCAAGTTCAAGCATACCAAGGTTCCAGGTCGTCCTGCGTCGCCTCCTGCTCCCATCTTGCGCTCTCCTCCACGGAAACTCACTGCACAGGACCAGAAGGATTGGGCTATCCCATCGACTGTATCAAACTGGAAGAATCAAAAGGGCTTTACTATTTCATTGGACAAGCGTATGGCTGCCGATGGACGTGGCTTGGAGGATGTCAAGGTCAACGAAAACTTTGCAAAGTTCAGCGAGGTGCTGAACCAGAACGAAAAAACTATGCGGGATGATATTGGCAAGCGACGAGAGATGCAACAGCGGGTGGCGGAACGACAGGCCCAGGAGCAGGAGGAAAAACTTCGAGAGCTAGCACGTAGGGCTCGACAAGAAAGAGAGGTGGGCGATGAGAGCAAGGGTAAGGAGAAAGAGGCAGATGGAGAAGATGACAGAGGCAGATCCAGAGAGAGACTGCGCTCTGTGTCAAGAGATGGTGATTCTGATAGATCTCTATCGCGGTCATTGTCTGCGTCTGATCGATCATACTCTAGATCGCGGTCTCCTTACGAGTCTAGGTCCAGAGGTAGATCGTACTCTCGGTCAAGATCTCCCGAGTCGCGTTTCAGAGGCAGATCAGATTCTCGATCTAGATCTCCTGGGTACGAACTGGAACGAGCAGCCAAGAAGAGAAAGACGGAGCGCCTGGAACGAAAGAGGGAGGCCGAGCGGGACCTGCGACTATCCAAAATGGGCACCCAGCAGAAAATCAAGCAGCTCGCCAAGGAGAACAGCCGAGATATTTCAGAGCGGGTGGCCTTGGGCGCAGCTCAACCTCAAAAACTGGCAGGAGAGGCCCAATTCGACTCCAGACTATTCTCCAAGAGTGGATCTCTTCAGCGTGGTTTCAACGAAGACCAATACTACGACAAGTCTCTATTTTCAGCTCAGGAGGCTGTTCAGTCTATTTACAGACCCAGTGCTAGTGGAGACAGTGTGGCGGAAGATACCATTGATCGACTCGAGACCGAGAAGCGATTCGATGTTCTGGGCAAAGCTGGAAAGGGATTCGAGGGTGCTGATGGTGAAGAACGTGATGGTCCCGTTCGGTTCGTCAGAGATGAGGAGTGATCCTTATGCCCTATGGCTGTTGAATTGTTCCGCATTTGGACCTACAAAACGACTGTCCGGACCTAGTGGTTAGTCCGGCAGCGTCTCTACGTCTATGGCATTTGCTTGTATACCACATGCCATGTAATTTATAAATTATTTGATGTAATATCGAGTCTAGATATTGTGCGTGTTTCCGTACAGTATGTTTCGCCATCCAAAAAAAACGATCATCTTTGCGCAACCGCTTTTAAGAAAGAAAGAAAAAATGTTAAAAAAAGAAAGAAATTCAACAAAAATGGTCCCTAGCAGGATCGAACTGCTGATCTTCGCGTTGCAAAGCTGCTATTTCTTATTAGCACGACGCCTTAACCAACTGGGCCAAGGGACCGATTTTTGAGGTTTAAAAAAAGGTTGATCGTGCGCTCTAAATAATGGATCACGTGACTCTCAAAACCTTAAAATAAGGGGAAAATGTTAATTTGACATGTGATTGTTTATGGCGGATAAACGGATTAATATCGGCCTCGCATGTGAAAGGATGGAATGTGACGTTCATGGCAGTTCGAAACACGTCATGCGTGTGCGTAAATCCCACTTTGATTCATGGCAGTATGTGTTCCTCGTTGACCACAGCTTGTGTTTCTTGACGCACTCGTTTGTGACCATTGAGATGATAACGGTACATACCGTACTCGTAGGATTGGCCCTGATAATCACGTTGGATAATCGGCTTGGGACTCTGATTCGCGTGTCCGTGAAGAAGATCATATAATACGATGCAACCTTGGGTGATGTTAAATCTATCTTTAGTCTTGTTCATGTCGTGGAAGCGATCGGACAACTATGGCCAGTGGTTGAGTGTTAGGTGTCAGCGGTCAGCAGTATGGACGAGTGCATACCAGTATGGACGAGTGCATACCAGTATGGACGAATAGGGGGCGAGTTGTGCACATATTCAATATAAATACAGATGGCACTGTAGATGTCTATTCGTCATCTCTCACCATGAAACTAAACATCATCACTGTGCTTCTCTTTGCGGTAGGAACCACGGCAACCGTGGATCTTCCTCCGTTGCCTCCTCTGATTGTATCGCTGTTGCTGGATATGATTGGCGCCAAGCAGATGAATCACACGGTGGCAATGTCTCAGTCGACAACTGCTCCTGTTGCCACTACAAGTACCTTTTCTACGTCCACTCTGCCTGCATCCACATCAACTTAGCTGCAGGGGCAATGCTGAGGTTGAGCGATTGCCTTCTCTCTCGATGTAGAGATGCTACGAGCAGCTCGAGAGGACCGGAGGACATAGGGACCATCTTCTCGGTGACCGCGTTTGAGGAAAAAAATTCCATAATACATGCTCGTTTTCCACGGATTAAATCTGATTCTGTCACTTTCACATCTCCATTAGAGTTTTACAAAGGGTAAAAACTTGCAGCCGGCTACCCGTTGAAGCTGATTGTTGAGCATGTGAATGCGAGGATCTTCACTAAAGTCCATCTGGACGCACGGAAGACGGGCTGAGATGGGACCGAGAGGGGACCGAAGTATCAGTATTGCGGCCATTTGGCGGGTCGTACGCCATCAGCATCTGACCGGTCAAAGTGGCAAAACGCACCCCATACCCCTCATGACGGGCTAAAAACGAAACGGCTTGTCTGGGCTAAAAAAACAACAGTCTCTTGTGCAGACCCTGTTGTCACATGCGATGATCTTTGCCTTGTTGAGCTACTCCATCTACCGATTCTGGTAAACTTAGATGGCCTTTAGACCTTTGCACAACCAAATATATATATAGATGGATAGAGGCACTGAGATGGAAAGAAAAACTACTCTTCTTACAGTACACACAAAAACATCAAGATGAACACTTTGCCCCCCGAACTGTGGCACATGGTCTTTGGCCACCTCGATGGCCCCGACGTCTGCCGCCTACACACAATCAAGCCCTTCCACGAGCTGCTGGAAACCTCGTCCGACTGTTTGTGGAGCCCTCTCGTCGACGAAATCGCCCACTACCCTTCGACCCTGCACACCCACAAGTCCGCCAAGGCTGCTCTGATGAACCTCGCCAGCAATAAGGAGTACACTGCGTCGTCCAAGGCAGTGTCGCTTCTAGAAACCACCTCATCCATCCCGTTTGACGACTCGGATATGTCTCTGGAGGACCTCAAGGCCGACTGTGGCTACTCCCACTCGTGTCTCAATGGGGACACCGTCTACATGTTGTTTTCCGAGATTGGACCGGCCGTGCGGATCTTCAAACACAGCGCTGATGGCACCAAAACCACCGTGGACGTGCCCCATGTGTTCGAGAAGGACTTGCTGGTCAAGGACGAGGACCCTTGCGAAGAGCTGGACCGACAATACGAAATGGAGTGTCTCGGTCACAACTCGGAGCTTACCTTTGTTCGACAAAAGTATTTTATCAGCGGACAAACCAACCACTACTATGTGGACTGGACACAAGGACAGCTACGACGGCTGGATCTTCAGAGAAACGACAAGTCCGAGCTCGATCTGGCCACCTACATGCAGTGCAGCAATGGTCAGTTGTTTGTCTTGGACGGACATACTCTCCGAAACACAAATACCAACTCGCTTGTTCCTGTTGAGTTCGACACTCGGGCCGGACAGCCCGAATTCGCTCACTCCACCTCGAGATACCTGGTGATCCGCCAGAGCGATAGACTTTTCCACGTGGATACGGTCCAGAGAACAGTGAGCTGTTAAACGTGTTGTATATAGAGCGGGATTCCGCAATTATTTATTTAGATTAATGACTGATGATTTATGATTTGATTGGATTGAGACATTTGGTGGTGGGTCAACGGATAAATAGAGATAAGGAGAACACGGGGTCTTATTGTGGGGATCGCGCGGAACAATGGATTATCCGTGCCGTCTAACTCCATCTTCACGCTACACCAGCGCCCTGTTGCTATGCCAAATTCTGATGATCCCGTCAATCAACCGTGAGCTATATCACGGCTATCTCTTGTTGAGCAAAGTTAATCGACTTTTGCAGGGGTGTGTTGGGTAGATGTACTGTGCAATTGCGGCGTTTCATCTTTGTGGTGTACACAGCAGTATCACTGCTCCTGTAGTCTCTGGCCTTTCTGATAAAAGTATGTCTCAGCCAGCAGTCCAAAACTGAGACGTAATCCAGAAGACGTGAGCTTTAGGCGGGGTCGGGCGTTATGGGTAATAGTGAGTTGGGACTGTTGCGGACAATGTTGCGGACAATGGCACAGCTCAAGGTGTACTTGTAGGTAATCATCGTGTCGTGGTTTGTTGGTTAGTGTTACAGAGACAGCAATTGGTTTTCTCATATATTTTTCGTCTCTTTTGATTCAATCTTTCTTCTTCCGTTCCCATATGATACAAGTATGCAGTACATGCAGTTATTTTTCACGAACATGACCTTTCAGGTCTTGTACAAAAAAAGAGAACTATCCATGATGCAAGCATATCACTCCCCATCCCTGGTTTATTTGTTGGTTTCTCATCTGATTTTATTGTCTCCATGCGCTATATATTCACTCTCCCATCACCATTATTGTATTATTGCACGCCTGTTTTTAGGTTGAAACGAGTATGGGCCGCGATGCACATTCCGCCACTAGAATGTGCCAGTATGCAACACAGTGGTGGAAGGTATAGACCCATTTCGACGTTGGTGTGACAACATACGAGCGTCGACTACAAGCGGACGATTCACGGATGTTTACAGCACTTTTACAAGTACTTTTACAAGTACTTCTAAAAGTAGTTGAAGGAGAGTTTTACTTCCCGCTGCGATTATGCATTTAAATTATAAGCGATAATATGCATGTAAAATGATCCATCTATATTTGAGCTGCTACCTACTGTACAGTACATTGTAGGTCCTGGGCGACTCAGGAAGAAGCAGAGAGGAGTCCAAGATTGACCCTAAGCGCCGAAGAAACTCAACACAGTGATCTACCCATGGCACGGTACGGCTTCTCCGACACATGATACACACGCACTGGCGACTTGGTGTGTCAATTGAAAATACTCAAGAGCAATAAAAATGTTCCCTCGGGGAGAAAACAAGAGTACATACTGCTCAAGTTACAGTAATCGACAGGTTTGGAGTGAGGATCCAGTACGTGTAGTTTGGCGAGGATAATGATGCCTGCGACACCTACAATTCCATTCACAAGTGGAACTCTACAAGTACACAAGCCTTTGCAGACAGGTCAAGAGGACAAGAAGTCCGATGAAGAACATCTGCAAGTAGGAGAGGGCCGACTAGTCTTAATATTCCTACTTGTGGGGAGGAACTTACGCCGGCACGAGACACAAGTGACAACTGGCTGCCGCGGGTCTTCGAGAGATCCTTTCCTGACAATATGACCGACCTTGGGAAGAACAGGCTGGTACGAACTCTGAACAACAGGAGTATTGTGAATTGCATTGGCAGACGTGTTGATATATCTCTAGCTTAAACCCATGAATGGTGCCATCATACAGTGTGCTCCATTCGAGTTAGGTACAGTACATTGTACTGAACTGCAAGTGGCCCTCGACATTGAACCTGGGGCAGAGTGGATGTAGACACAGAGTGGTGATCACCGACCTGGGGAGTGTCTTCTTAGTGACCGCGAACTGATTGAGAGTCTGATGTCCAAATAAGACCACATCGATTGGGCTGCCTCATCCGAAAGGTCTGATTGATGCTGGAGGGATACACCGGGCCGCATCGCTGAACAGTTTGTTCTCAGAAGTTTGTCATTGAATGATATACGACTAGTTGCTGATAACGCAGCATTTCGACGCTAATTTCAAGGAGTCGTCTCGTTAGGATAGCCAAGATTGCGTTGACACCGGCCAGTGAGCTACAGTGAGAAGGGCCAGTGTATGGGGCACATGGCCAATATTTTGGCCACTGGGTTAAGCTGGAGTTGTCTCTTAGAGATGAAAGCAGCCCAGGCAGGAAACAGCTCGATTGAGCTCGAACCTGCTTTCTGGTCGCATGCTTCCCAGAACACGACGAGCAAACAAGTGCAATCTCAAACATTGCAGTGATGGATATTTTCAACACTACCCTGAACCTGACAGATCCCGAGATCACAATCGCAAGATATTCTCCCTTCCACTCGAGGGAGAGATCCCTGAAGGTAACCAATCTCTTTGACAGCAGACCTGACCATGGCTTGACTTGATTTAAGCAACCCCAGTGACCTATGAATCGACAAAGGAACATGCTTGTCTACTCCTCACTCCAAAGATAGCGAATATATGGGGGAGACACAGTTTATATAGTATTTGTTGGCGACAAAAAGCAATACAGTTGACTTGAGATGTTGCAATTCATCTACTACTTTATTTGTAGCAGTCAACGACCCCAGATATTATTTCATTGGACTCTTGAAGTCCGAGTTTGGTAGCAACCGAAGATATCATGCACACATGCACATTATCTCGCACTATCCAGGCTACTGTACGCAAACCGTTCCGAGAGACTACATACAATAACTGTTGTCTCTCTCTGGGTCTCGCAAAGCTTCGTGATTGACCATCTCTCTGCTAGTTTCATTTCTATACGCGATCTGAAAATGTAATCCTTTACTCATAAATTGTGTGTCCTGGTCTACCAATCAACAGAGCATAGAGTACAACGACCGTGCCCTATTCATCATATAAACTGCAAAATCAGCCCGCAGAAGCCATTAATATTCAATCGACTATGGTGGTGGTGTTCCGATGCTAGTCAGGGCACGTAATTCTCACATCATCAGGACAGCCAAGAAAACGCAATTCCACATTCCGGAACCAGTGAGTGATGCAAACTCACAATATCCTCGTCAAATGGTTCAACTTTGACATCACCAGCTGCTCTCTGGGGCTCTGAGGGCTCATCACTTGCCATTTGCATTCTAATCGGACAAACCGACTTCTGTAAGTCAGCTCAACGTAGACCTTTGGTCTTTTCTCCGCCTATCACTCGCACTCCCGCCGCCATTGGAGCTCTTGCCCCTGTCACAATGAACCCCTAGAAGGGAGGCATGCTCAGATGAACCCAGGACTGATGCATTTATAACATCCTCCTTAGGCCTGGGTGCCTGGCTTGCCTCCACTATACTGAAAACAGTTAACTATGTACCAAATATATATGTAGCCACTAGAAGCGACTTGTGTAGTGTATGGCCAAAGAGCAGTTCAAATGCTTAGAAGCCCGTAGTCAGAATATGCTTATTATTAGCTTATTCCCGCTCAACAACTAGCCAGTCGTTGACGCTGGAGCTGACCTTGGCAGGCTCAACCACCTCATTGGCCTTGATTGCCACATCGTGTCTGCTCTTGAATCCCTTGGTGTCGGTCAGAGTCACATTGGTCAGATCAATCTCGCCGGCAGGAACGTTTCCCTTGAGTAGCTCCAGCCAATGTACGTGACCCTCGTACACCACGTCGAGAGCCTCAGCTTTGTTGAGGAACTTGCCATCGAAGGCAAAGTTGTTAGCAGGCTTTCCGTCAGGCACCTTGTAGTACTTGAACCAGTCGTAGATGTCATTGAGAACCGACTTGGACACGTCGGAAATGTCGTTGATCTTGGCGGCTCGCGGGTCTCGAACGTCAATGGCGATAATCTTCCAGTCGGTCTCGCCCTCATCAATAAGACCTAGGGCGCCGACCACCTTGACGGTCTTGACCTGGCCCATTTTTCCGAGAGCCTGGCCAATGTCCACAACGTCAATGGGGTCATTGTCTCCCTCAATTTGGGTCAGGCTGTCCTTGACATGAGGGTTCTCCCACGTCTGGGGGATAGCTCCGTAGTTGTGACAGTAGCCGTGATGGGGGTAGAAGTTTCGCACAAACCGAACCCGGTCCTTCTTCACGTCCTGGGTGATGGGATTGAGCTCGGCAGACTTTGAGATCTCCATCTTGGCGTTGCTCCATCGCGGAACCTCCACCACCATGTTCACCAGATCGCTCTTGGGTTGCTCAAATCGAATCTTGCCGCTGTCGGGGTACACGGGAATGTCATGGAAGGCGGAAATGGGATCGCCAGCCTCGTTCTCAATGTACAGCTTGAAGTCCTTGGTGTACAATTGGCCGTTGGTTCTGGTTTTGTACGACATGGCTCGGGTGACCTGGAAAGACGAAAAGAAGCCAGAAGAGGAGGTTTGGGCACAGAAGAAGCCAGCGCCGGGGCCCCGGAGCCGCGCAGAAATACGGGAGCCTCTCAGAGGACGGACGACCTGTCGCAACATGCTGTTTTGTGTAGTGTGGTGTCTGGGTGAGAAGTGGCGACCAGAAGAGCTGTGCAGTTATGCACGCTTGGGACCAAAGTTGGTGGTGCCTGGAGTGGGCTCACTACGTGTGTGTTTTGCGACGAGTATTGTAAGACAGGTGTATTATATTATTATATAAATCAAATTAGGCAGTCTTAATGACTCATTTATGGCTTCTTTAACCACTCAAAGGCGTTTCCAAGCTGCTAGGTAAGACGTCTGAAATCTCACCAGATACGATAAAGTTATCAGCCGATCGGAGATACTTCGGGGTCGGAAGTTGAGAAGGCAAAATACAACAACTAGACTCGGTGAGTGGCTGGATTTATCGGTGGTACGATGGGAAGGAAAACACTGATATTTCCCTTCTTTATCGGAGTTGATCCAGCGCTTCGCTGGGGTAAGACAGTCGTGCTGCAATCCCCAACAAAAATGTAGATTAAATTTTTTTGGTTGACATTTTGTACAATACTTGAGAATAAGTCAATATTAGTTGAGATTAGTTAACTCGAGCCAGTTAGGGGGGGGGAAAGAGATATCATAGGGTCCCATACGATGGTGAAAATTCAAATATCGGGGTCTAAACAGCCTCAATACTCCCAGTATCTACTACCCTTTAGATTTCCAGCTCGAGTTCTGCCGCTATCTCGTCTCAATGACACCTCTTTCTGACCACTAATGGAGCTACAGTATGTGTATCGTATCGCACGGCTCGAACGACCCTCCAGCCACATTATACTGCAAAAGCAAATAACTGCAGCTCCACAGCATAATAAAATATTTTCGAGGCCGGGTACCGGATAAAACAACCGCACATATGCACAAATGAGAGTCTGATTTAATTACGACTTTTTTACGATATTTTACCCTGTTTTACGATATTTTACCATGTTTTATAATATTTTACCATGTTTTATGATATTTTACCCTGTTTTATGATATTTTTGTATTTCCATATTTTACAATATTTTACGACAAAATTTCAGAATCAAAGCGCGTATACAAATAAATACTCGTACCTCTTCTACTTGTGCTATAATCACTCGTTTAACGACACCTATGAGCTCCCTTTTTACGTCTCTTCGACAACCCCTATTTCTACTTCCGTTGCAATATCTTGCAGAAGTAACCGCCACCAACGGTTATGGAAAAAGAAACAACAATATGCAACAAAGAAACAAAGAATGACATACAAGTGCTCGTCGTTGTGTGATGAGATAAATATTATTTTAAATAAATAAACTGAATTGACCTTTGGGTCTTGGTTCATAGTGGTGGTATCGTACAGGCCGTGTAATATCGTCTTTGGTCTACTCTGGCTTCTGAGCGTAACACGCCATGAATTTGTAGGCGGTGTTAATTTTGGCTCCACTGCCTCTGTCGGCCATCAGTCGGCAGTAGTCCTTGCGCTCCTCATTGTTGAGGTTTCCAAAATGAATCATGAGCGTCGTGGAGAAGAACATGGTGAGAAGATCAGTTAGATCTCCGACTCTACCGCCCCAAGCTCGAGGTAAGGCAGTGTACGCTCTGTGGATGTTGTGAAACCCAGCAGCGTTGAGATGTGAAGCGACATGCTGAGAGGGCTCGATATGCATTCGTCGAGCACGTAGAGCGTTGGTCAGCCGAGACCAGTACTTTTCCTCCAGAGGATTAGGGTTGATTTGGGCAAAGTCGCAGATGAGCGTCTCGATATATCCTCCCGGTTTCAGCACCCGTCTGAGTTCCTTGAACAGGGGCACCCACTGGTCACTCTGAATCAGGTACCACAGACACTTTGCGGAAATGATATCAAAGTAATTGTCTGAAAACGGCAGCTTATCCAGAGATTTACCGGTCACCTGAATGTAGTTAGCAGGTCCTCCTCCTCCTCGTGACTGCGGGACCGTTCCCAGCTGCCACTCGTAGCCGTAGACCATAGCGTCGGGGAAATCGAAGGCCAGTTGCCACGACCACTGTTCCTTTGTGATGCCCTGGAACTCGAGCACGTTTTTGGTGTCGGATGAGTTCTTGAGGGCCAGAGAGCCTGGAGAGAAGAGCAGGGCTCCATGGAGAATGAAACGAAGCGCCATCATGCCCCACAGTTCCGCGATATCGGACTGGTAGCCCTCAAACGCAGACTGCTGGTACTGAATCCATGCTTCTCGTCGGGTGGCGGCGTAGATGAGTGAGTCGGACTCCTTGGAGTTGTTGAGGAACTCGGTGAAGTAGTTGTAGTAGAGGTTCTCTGTGCTTTTTTTGGTGACCGGTTTGTACGACTTGCGTTTGTTGTGTGCCGACGAAGAGGCTGCCGTGATGGGCGTCGGTGGCGGCATGGGCGCATTCTGTGCGTTTTGTGTTGGCTTTTGCGAGTGTCGAGAATGCGAGGATCGTTCGGAGTGCACGGACCGGTTGGAGTTGCCGCTGCGGGCAGTTGCCACTGAGGTGTTGGAGGTCTGTCTCGACAGCGAGAGCTTTGACGACGAGTCCGACACGGTGGTCAGGCCGTCCCACATCATGTGGCCTCCTTCTGTGCGCCTGTGTGGGCCCTTGACGAAATAGGGGGCGTTGGCGGCCGACCCCGCGGGTCCATTAGTTGTTGATTGTTGTTGTTGTTGTTGTTGTTGTTGTTGTTGTTGTGTCTGGGACGGTGGTGGTTGTTGGGCCTGGGGGGTGATTTGGTCCAGGCTGCTGGATGTGGCCGAGGCAGACACGGTCTGTTTGACCGGCTTAGTGGACATGTTCGTGGGGTTGGAGTGTGACGGGTTGAGCTGGCTTGACGGTTGGGGCGGTTGGGACGAAAAAGTGGGCTGCTGGCCGGTCAAGGAGGAGTGTCTTGATTTGGACGAGTTTCTGGAGGAGGGGGAGTGGTGGGAGGTGGAAGAGGAGCTGGAGGAGCTGACACGTGACGAGCCCTTGCTGGTGGCTGACTTGATGACAGCCTTGAGCGAGTTTGACTTGTGCATCATGGGCTCGCCGTTGCCGTTTTGGTGCGCCTGCCCACTAAGGGCATTGTGATGGCTCTGCAAAGTCGAGACACTCGAGTTTCCCATCTTGTTGGTCGGAATGAAGGCTATAAAGCCATTGTCGTCGTCGTCGGACGAGAGATCGGGAGACAGCGGCGATCATGGGGGGTGATTTGGTCCAGGCTGCTGGATGTGGCCGAGGCAGACACGGTCTGTTTGACCGGCTTAGTGGACATGTTCGTGGGGTTGGAGTGTGACGGGTTGAGCTGGCTTGACGGTTGGGGCGGTTGGGACGAAAAAGTGGGCTGCTGGCCGGTCAAGGAGGAGTGTCTTGATTTGGACGAGTTTCTGGAGGAGGGGGAGTGGTGGGAGGTGGAAGAGGAGCTGGAGGAGCTGACACGTGACGAGCCCTTGCTGGTGGCTGACTTGATGACAGCCTTGAGCGAGTTTGACTTGTGCATCATGGGCTCGCCGTTGCCGTTTTGGTGCGCCTGCCCACTAAGGGCATTGTGATGGCTCTGCAAAGTCGAGACACTCGAGTTTCCCATCTTGTTGGTCGGAATGAAGGCTATAAAGCCATTGTCGTCGTCGTCGGACGAGAGATCGGGAGACAGCGGCGATCCGTGGACCAGATGGAGCTTGGATCGGGGAGTGGAGGGAGGGTGGAGTGAGGCGTTGACGCTGCTATTTGACCCGCTTGCTGACACTCGAGCTCCTGCGGGCCCGTCCAAACCTTGCTGGGTGCAACCTTGTTTGTTGCGGGGTTGTGGTGCAGGGGGGGCCGACATGACAGAAGATGCGGAGGACGACGGAGTAGGCACCCGGTGTTCAAAGTCGTGAAGAGACACGGACCCTGTGGCGGTGCGCGGGCCGAGGCTGGAGAAGGACGACGACCGTTTCGATTCTACGCTGCTTAGCGACGTGGACGACCGGTTGGTGGCGCTGCTGGCGTAGCCAGGGTTTCGGTGCTGGTGGTGGTGCTGTTGGTGACTTGCCAGTGCAGGAGCCCCCAGGGTAGAGTTTGAGATACGAGTTTTTGGTTTTGCGGTCTGGCTGGTAGACTGGAAGTGGCCGGGGTCTGGTGTGGGCAGCGCGGCGGGCGAGCCACCATCGCGCCTTTTTATAGACGCCTTTCGCAGCACGTCCAGGTCCTGTTTTTTAGTGACAAACGTGAATAGGTCCGTGGAATTACGGTTCATGGCTATGTTAGCTAGACAATCGAGGGCAAAGGGCCAAGGGCGAAGGGCGAAGAGCGAAAATCAAAAATCAAAAATCAAAATCAAAAATCAAAACCAAAAAAAAAAAGCCTGAAGAAAGACAAGGAGAGGGGAATGTAAGGGAGAAGAGCTAAGACAGCCAATCGATACGATGGCACCCAGTGCGAGAGAAAGATTCAACAAGACTTTGGTCCACTATTCTCACGTGCGGTGAGCCCATTCGAGAACAAAGAATAGCGTCACTTTTCTCCCCAACGGCCACAAAATCTCCTCCCCATAACTGCGCTCCTCATCGTGTCTTAATGGAAGGGCTAATTTGGGCCCGAAAAGTCCAATAGGCTCAGCAGCGGCCTCAGTCAAGCAGCAGCTACAAGGGCAGTTTAATGAGGTGTTTGTCGGAGACTTTCGGGAGACTGAGATACGAGTGTACTGTCGCAGACGGGCGTCTGATACTTTGTGCTAGAAGCTGACTGTTTGAATACCATGGATGGAGGCTTTTCTGATGACCAATCAGTAGATACAGTATCATGTCCTATCGTAGATAGGACGTGTTTTGGAAGCGATCGTGTCGTCTGTGCAACATAAATGTTCGCTCAAAAACAGCCCGTCTCGTGTTGTCTGGGTCTCTAGTGTCGTCTGGGTAGTGTCGTCGGGGTCCCTAGTGTCGTCTGGGTCTCTAGTGTCGTATGGTGTGGTGTCTCTGTCCTTGTGTCGTGTCCCTGCCTCGTATCGCCCTGCTTTTGCCTGTCACTATCACACCCTGCAAACGTCATACTCACTGAAAACAATCCGTCCAAAAGTCGCGTGCTTGGTGCTCGGGTCGTCAGTCGCGGTCGGTCCAACTAGAAAACAGTACAGAGGAAACACAAACGCACACGTCACGTCCAATACCACCCACCATGATCTTCACCTCTTGATCGACACGGACTAGCCCCTACGTGATACACTACCATCAGAGTTCGCGCCGTGGAAAGACAATGACGGTGTGTTAAAGAATACAGACACTGCTATTGGGAATGCTCCTACTACCAATAGATCCATCGCATTGAGAATTCCATTTCACACACTCGTCCACTGCGATACGTACGATAGCTACAATAGTCCTTGCCTTGTACCACCAACTGTTTTGGCGTCCAGGGCCTACCTACCCCAACTTTGATATTACTCTACTCCACAACTGCACGAAAAATAGCCCAACAAGACGACGCACAGAAAGAGTGGACTAAAAATACAGTAGTCAGGTCAAAGAGACGATCGAGTAGCGGCCCCTCTATGCTATCGGCACACCACAAAATATTGAGTAATTCAGTTCAGTCGCGACAGACAGAGACACACTATATTTCTTGCTGTGGCGCTGAAATTTTGTTTCCATCTTTTAAAATATATATATATTTTTTCGTGCAAGATTCACATGCTTTTACAGTTCAGGCTGCATGTTGCACCAAACCCAAACACTTAAATGGCCCTTCTAAATTACGAGTCAAAGGCACAGGCCGCTAAAATCGGGTTATTTTGGCGTTTGCACTCCAGGGACCAATTAGTAAGGGGACTAGCTCGCGTTTTGATTACTAAGCCCGGTATCATTTTCCCTCCAATAGCCGATTTCCCACCGACGATCTCCACACACCGAGCTCACATGTGCATGGAAGCGACCCAATCCATGTGGGACCGTTTTTCGCTTGGGTTGCTTTAATTACGAGACAATAGGCGGGACTGGAGTTGCACGTGACGTCTGTAGAGTTTGGCGAGGTTGAGAACTTGCAATGATTCGGGAAAATTGCAAGTATTCGGGGCACTGCAGACTGGTTGAATACGTTGTAGAGGTTAGGGCGGCGGAGAGAGTAATCTCTTGTTCATCTTTTGTTTCTGCAGCTGCTGTAATATAAGACCAGAGGTGGTTATTTGGAACTGCATGGATGCATTGTTGAGTGCGGTACTTGTACGAGCACGTTCAATATATATATACTGTATATATATATCGGGTGAAAATCAGGAGAAATTGAATAAAATCGGAAACCGTTTGAAAAATAGTCTACAAGTATAACAAAATAACAAAAGGTGGCAAGGTGGCAAGGTCGCAAGATCTCCTCCGCCTGAATGAATGTTGTTCGGAAGCCGATCGGTAACTTCTTCCGACACTCTAAAGATTCTAATCCCAGTCTGACGACAAAAATTGCTTGATTGCAGGGGGAACAAGTGGTAATACCAGTATCGTTCGGAATGTATTGTATTGTAGGATACTGATTATATATATATAAAAAACCTTTTGCGGTACGAATCAGTACTTGTACTGGATTGAATAGAGGCTTCCATTTAATTGTGTACGCCAAACGAGAAGGATTTGTCTCTTATATGAACAGCGATGAGAACAGTGGCAAGCTTGTATCTACCGTACAGTATCGTACACTGGTAGAATATATTATTCAGCATGAGTTTTGTTGGTACCGTATTTGACGTGTTGATCTACATACAGTACAAGCACATTAGCCGAGGATGAATACAGAAGATACAGTAAAAGCTGGGGTCTCTGTAAAATTGATCTGGTTATACAGTACATATGACGTAGAAGTATATTGTATTGTACATCTTGCACTCGTACCATACAGTAGTATTGTACATACTGCACTCGCATCTACCACACTCACCACACTCACCACACTCACCATACTCGTATTTCGGCGAATGATTACACTTTGCAAGGTTCTCCTGGAAAAGAAATTATCTGACCGTGCTGTGTCTGTCAATCCAGTCAATGTCTCGGAAGGACTTTGCAGTCTCAGAAATAAGGTTGCAGATTTTAAAATTATACGGGTCTGGTTTTGACGATATGGTCAAGAAATGACGAGGCAAAACCACCCAAACGACGATCGGTCGCGTCTTACCCGTTTGAGCTCGCTTCATGTACCCAAGCCCCATCTGCTGAAATCGCCCCATTTCTGCGCACATCAACAATGGCGCACGCCACCCCACAAGGTTTGTCTGCGTCATGCATCTCTTTGTACCTTGTCTCCACTTCATCTGGTAAAGTGAACGTCATGGACCAGTGCTATATACACGTTTGACTACAAGTAGTGTGGCAAGCTGCTGCTGTTTAGCCAACCCGAGCAGCCACAAACACATCTCCATTCGCGCATACACTGTCTGTTGACGCCTGTTGACATCTGTTGACGTCTGTTGACATTGTGGGGTGTGTTATATGTATCGTACTAGTACCTACCGGTGACGAGTACCGGTATGGGTATGTACTGTACCCCTCTTGTGGATGTCCCTTAATTTGGTTTAATTAAATGCTGCCGGGGTGCCAACTGTTGAGGAGGGTCTTTGGTCTTTGATTCGGGGTTTGCAACTTCCCCACGTCACAATTGGTTGCAATTCTCCGTCTCTGTAGGGCCACCGGTATCGATATGTTTCATCGGGGTTTGTAGCATGCGGTAGTGTCCAGATGCTTGAAAAAGAAATAATACCGTATGTACTGTGCAAGTAATTACAGTAAAAAAATATATTCACGCCCAACGCCCGAGAATGGCCAATCAAAGCGTGCGCCGGTATCTCGTCGATACGGCCATTGTTGGCATCAGCTGTCGTGTGTGCAGGGTGCGCTGCTTGGCGGCACCTGTTCGGCGGTGTTTGCGTTGTTGAGGACAGGACGCAAGAGTAGAGGCGTGTGGCAGAGACATCTACTACAGTAGCGCGGTTGCCACAGGAATGTCTCTGTCGATGATTGACAGCACAAGCCACTGGCACTGGCACCGCGGTGGCGTCGAGGTCGCGCCACAGCCCATCGCATGCACTTCTATGCATAGATCTGGACTGAGTCAGAGACGACCTCAGTAGCAGTATATGCTCTGTAATTGGGAGTTTCAAACGCCGGAAACCAATGCACTTGGCCCCTTGAAACCGAATCTGTCGTCTAAGATTTCCCGCTTCTCTTTTTTCGCCCTATTTTTTTCGGTATTTGAATACATACTTGTCTCCGTTTGGCAGACCCTCAACAGTCCCTCAATTCCCTTAACTCCGCTGACAGTTATTATGCTGCACCGAGCGACCCCTACCCTAACTAAAAAACCATATGCCTGGGACTACTTGAACGTTGGGTTTTAAGTTCCGGCATGAGCTATTAACACCAGGTCGTAGTCGTAGCTGAACGGGTAATATCACGCCAGAAAGGGTGTATCTGGGTCACAAGTGGGCCTGCCCCGAGTCTCCAGCTTCCTCCGGGTCTCTGGGTCCCCTCAACCCCCGAAAACTTGCTCCCAAAGAAACCCATCTCGTCTGCACCAAACGGACTGCATCCAAACTGTATTCTCAGACTCCAACATGACAAGATTTCGGTGATTCAGACGACAACAGTATTGAACTCTTTGAGCACTGTGCGTATAGAGACCAGAGACGGAAGCGACACGAACACGAAAAGTACGCAACAGACTCGTCTCAGACACATCTTCATTGGACGCAGAAACAACACCCAATCATTACACAACAGCAGACACATACACCAAGACATCAACACCACCACGCGGACAGACATCTCACGGAGACAAACAAGATGTCCAAAAAATCGACCTCGCCGCCGTCGTCGCCATCGTCAGCCGGCTCGTCGTCCAAGCCCAAAAAACCTGACCCGGCCGTACGCAAGACCAGATCGAAAACAGGCTGTTTGACATGCCGAAGACGGCGGGTAAAGTGCGACGAGGCTCGGCCAACGTGTATGAATTGCATCAAGGCTGGCCGCAAATGCGACTACAACATGCGACTTTCGTTCCGGTCGGGCCTATCGTCCAAGCTCATGCAGCAGATTGGGAAAACAGAGGTGGGCGAACAAGTGATGGACTTTTCGGATACAGATACCCTGCGGTTTGCACACACGGAAAGCGTGCCGGCCAGCTCACAGCAACCGCCGCTGTATGTGAACTTTCCCGTCAAGGAGGAGTCACAATCGGAAGGCAGGCTCGATCGGGAAGTCCCTAGATTCCAGGTGGTCAAAAAGGAGGATCTCGAGCATGAGTGGAGAGTGGAGACGGTGACGGAGGGAACAGTAACCGAGCTGGCAGACACAACAGATGAGCACAGAAAACAGACCGGGGAGGTCCCAGTCCATCAGCAACAGCAGCCTGCCCCTGTGGTTTTCCAGGCCTACGAGCCGGATTGCAAACAACCAAAGACAGTGGTGGATGTGCAAGTCGAACAAGTGCCGCCTCTTCAGCGCGACATGCTGCACTATGTCCCGTCAGCGACGGAGTCGCCTCTGTCAAACCCCATCGCCATCTTCCTGCTCAGAGAGTATGTGTACAAGCACGGTCAGGGTATCTCATGCTACGACAGATACAACGTGTCTCCTGCGTCGATCTTCGATGATGTCAACCACCACAGCTTGCGGGGCATTTCAAACTTCTGGACCTTCGATGTCCCACTGGCAGCTCTCACCTGTGATTTCTTACTACATGCCGTGCTAGCTTGGTCGGCCTTGAACCACTCCATGTTCGCCCCCGAAGACTCACAGTACAAGCTGCTTGGCATGGAGCATTACCACACATCCATTCAGTTGCTTTCATCTGAGATCCGCATGGGCACCTACAAACACAATCCAATGCCTGCTGCTGCCACATGTTTGATTCTGGCATTCTTTGAGACATATTGTGGCGATCTGGGCAACTGGTTTAGACACATGACCGGTGCCCATGAGATCATCCGAGAAACCACTCTGTCTGAGCTATCTCATATTGGAGAGGTTCACTCCGTTTTCGGCCTCCAGCAGCTGGAGTTGTTGTATTCATATCTCCGTATGGATATCATGCATTCTATAGTGGGTGGAACCGGAACTTTTGCTCCCTGGCAGTTTTGGGCTTCGGTTCCTTCAAGAGTGGCGTCCAACCCTGCAGTCTATGCAAACGACGAGATTCTCAAGATATTTGCACGAATCTGTTTCTACATTGAGGAGGAGAATGTTCGAAAGCGGGGCGGCACAGTCCAGCAGTCGAATGAGCGATTCAACGAGAGTCTCAGCAAGTGGAAAGAGCTCAAAGACATTATTGCTCAGTTCAGAAACACATTTTCTGGTCTTCTGGCACCCCAGCCTCTTCGTGGACCACCGGAACTGTCTCCCTTTGGTCCTAAATCTAACCGAGCCAGTTACCACCATGATCTTGTGGCAGCATTTCTCGCTACAGCTGAAATTCTGTTGCATCGAATCGATCCCAACGTGCCCGTGATGGGATTTGCAGCAATTCCGTTCACAGCAAAGGCGTGTATAGAGCCTATGCTGGAGGTGATTCGTAGCCTGCCGGTCTCTCCCAAGTCGTTTATGGTGTCTGATATTTACACCACCGACCAGACCGGTATATGTCTGAGTCACGGTGAAAAGCTGCAGATACTATGCTCTTTCACCGTGCCTTTCTTCTTGGCAGCTGTTCAGGTGATGGAGCCTGCTCAGCATGAGTTTGTTGCCTGCTGGTTTCAGGATATGTACCAGAGTACTGGTTTCAAGACTGCTCTGATTATCAAGAACTCGCTGCTTCGAGGATGGTCCGATGCGCGAAAACGAATGGCTGCGCGATCTGCTTCTGCCTCTCCCGCGTCTGCTTCTGAGTCGCCCGAGAGCGTGGTTTCCCCCGAGTCTTCCACCTCTTCTGTTACAGAGGGCAAACCCCGAATCCGGATGGATAATGGTACGTTAATGGGCTACGATGGCAAGCCTGTGGACTCGGTGTCTGATCCAGCCAACCGGGTGAGATTTGCGCATGGAGTTCTTGGGGACACGACGGAGATGATACAGAAGTTGAAACTGAGCGAGAGTGAGAGTGATGGCCACAGTCCCCAGTCGCAGCAGGAGCACCTGTGATCGAAGCATTTGTGGACATGAACAAGACGGTCAAATTGGGGAATTTGCATCCTAAAGTTTACCCACACACACACACACACACACACACACACACACACACATCCAAATAGACTAACTTGATTGTATAATAATTTATTAAAGCTGCGCCATTGCGGTGCATTGACCGAGACGGTGATGTGGGTTTTGGGTAGTTTCAGATGGCTATATACAAGATCAGAATGTACATCGCGATATGGAATTCTTACTGGTAATACATGAAAATGACTGGTCTTCGCGACTCGCCATGTTTGGTATGACAGTCACAATATCTAGTGTGTTTCTTACAGGTACAGTACAGTACATACATGTACATGTACGTGCATCTGATACACACGGTACGTATGTGGTTTCTGCCTCATGTATATGATATCACCAGACTGTGGAAAGATTGTATGAGGCTTGGGTGAGTGTGGATGGGTATTTATGGAAGACGAAGGGACACCAAAAGTACCACAATTATCATGTTTGGAATGTCTTCGCAGCCGCAGAAAAAGTGTCATATCTGCCACTTGCATTACTCACTCGCCAGCTACGACAAGCATGTCAAGAAGTGCGAGGAGATGTACAACATTCGGTGGAACAGGGAGAAGGAGGAGATTCAGCTGGACAACAAGAAGACGACGTGACTGGGGTTGGTTGAGCAAGGTCGATTGGTTTGTTCCTGTGGTGGTTGGTGGTGGTGTTGGTGGTCCCGGTTCCACGTTCGAGATGGCAAAGTTGGAGGATATGCTTAAGAGGAGAGCTTTCGATATCCTGTGAAGTGGAGCAATTATATTACAAGTATATTGGCTATTCTATCTCGTCATGATGTAGTTGACGTGGATGAAGTGAAGTACAACAGAAGCAAATGTAACTAATTTCAAGTACAGTACGATACTAAACGAGTTGTATCCACCTCTGTGTCATTCAATTGGCCCAAATATCAAGTTTCTATGAGACTGCTCCTCAGATCATACTGGCGCTCAGGCAAAGACGAAGACTATACGTACGAGTACATACTACATCTTTGAGACGAAAGCAAATATCTACCTACAGTACATGCCTTCAGAATGTCGCTACAAACCGTCAGAATCTCAGACCGTCCACCCCATCCCTTTCCACAGCTCAAATACGTCTTACATCAAGAGTAACATTGCCATTCTTCAACCGATATACAAGTCTTCCAAAAGTAACGACCATCTGGACTGAATCCTCTTCTCTTCGAGAATATCAAGTTGTATTTCAGCTGACTAATCCTGGTCAAACATGAGATGACGGCTAAAGACCTACCGCAATCTTACGCCTACCGGTACAACTTCAGCTAAACAATTCCTTCTCATGTTCTCGAGAATGTCCTGTTCAATCGAAACGAAAGTTCAGGTCTCGGTTCCCATATGGCGCTACTGTGAGATGACACTTGTTTTGTCAAAACTGTCTCATTGTCTAACAATGGGATCCCATGAACCAATCATCCTCCACCCAACCGCTCACCGACCCAGCCGCATTTACATTCCTGATCTACACTTCCTAAATCACATCCAAATCTTGTTGGTGGCTACCCCGGCTTGTTGATCAACCTCGGTAAAATTGACTTTAGAGATGCACACTAACATATGATTTTAACTCGCTGATAACGTAATCGCGATGAGCTCGCCTACAAGATACAAATGATGGGAAGGCCAACGGCCCGGGATAATGTACAGTTTTCTGCTTCGTTCATACATTCATAATTATTTTAATAACTCCTCCCACAGCGTTTCCTAAGAACGGCTTATAACGAAAGATGAGTTCATCTCCAGGTAGTGGTGCACTGCCGCCTGATTAGGCAGAGGCAGCAGCGGGGACAGGCAGAATCTCTTGCTGGATGGTAACGATCTCGGGGTGCTCGGCGGCCATCTCAATGTCCTTCTGATAGGTGATGAGCTTGTCTCGCATCTCCTTGATGGTTCGGGGAGGAGAGTCGGAGTGGTAGACAGAGGTACCGGCGACAATGACATTAGCACCAGCAGCTCCGGCGTCATCGACGGTCTGGGGGCCAAGACCACCATCGACCTCGATGTTGAGGTTGGGGTATCGCTCTCTCAGAGCAGCCACCTTGGGCATCATGTCCTGCTGGAACTTCTGGCCTCCAAAGCCAGGCTCCACAGTCATGACGAGAACCAGATCAAGCTGGTCAACCAGAGGGTAGACAACCTCCACCGAGGTGGCGGGCTTGATAGCAATGCCGGCCTTCATTCCCTTGGCCTTGATGGCCTTGATGACCTCCTCGTGGTCGTAGCATGCCTCGTAGTGGAAGGTGTACTGGTCGGCTCCGGCGTCGGCCATGGGCTCGACCCATCGTAGGGGATCAGTGACCATCATGTGGCAGTCAAAAAACGCCTCGCCCTTGAGAAGTTCGGCTCGCAGGCACTTGACCACGGTGGGGCCAAACGAAATGTTGGGCACAAAGTGGCCATCCATGATGTCAACGTGGAGCCAGTCCGCTCCGTAGTCGACCATCATTCGCGATTGTGCGCCGAGCTTGGCAAAGTCTGAGGAAAGAATAGAGGGGGCGATGATTGGCTGGACCATTGTGTATGTATGTTTGTGAGTGTGTATTCGTGTTGCCTGTCGTCGCGGTGTTTATGTCGTGGGGTTGACAGTGGCGAAAAAGTGTTGAGTTACTGGGTAAGTAGAATTTTTTGGGGCCAGGTTTTGTGTTGTGCGGTTAGCGGCGTTTGACGTTTGACGTTGACGTTGACGTTACACAGATGCAAGTTTTAGTGTCGTTGTGTGTTTGGATGTGGAGGTGGGGAGGAAGAGAAGAGGAGCAAGAGGTTGGTTTTTTTATGTATCAGCTGTCACTCTATATCGTGGTGTTCAGCTGACCGTGTCTATATAAAGGCGCCTGGGCCCCCGCCATGACTAATTTATGTGTCCATGCATGAGGGGTGCGACTATCGGCATCGCAAAAGGGTAAGACAAGCACGCCTGTGAAGTTAGGTTTCCGAATTGGGGAGGTTCCGACATGTGTCGCAACCCTGTCGCTTTTCCCCAGCGTGAAATATGGGGTAAACGCCCCAGACTCAAGATTGGCGAAATTTGGAGAAAATTCGACAACAATGTCAAACGCACAACGCTACATGCAGGGGCGGGAGCCGAATATGGGAGCAACCCAGGTGGCAAAACCCATGCCCCCTCCCCCCGCCTGTGTCATGGTCGCCGGCCGACACACACCGGGCCCGGGGCGCAGGTTCACCACCACCTCGGCTTGCTCTCGATCGCCAGCAATGTACAGTACCTCAATATAAGCACAGCGTTTCTCTCTCCCACACCACGTCTGCAAAGCCGATATCGCGCTTCATGCAAAGGGGCAGGGCAGCTGAGACATGGAGAAAACGTGCCGAACCCTCTGGAATTATCGTGAGAATAAAGATTGGAGGAGATGCCGATAAGCCGATAACACACATATCCAACGAGCCAACATTCGCCCTTGCAAACTACACCCTATGAACCGCCCAGATCATAGATACAGAGATGTAGCTTAAATTGCTCATCCAGACTAGTGACCCCCACGAGCCGAATAGACACCCCCACACTCCACGGGAGGCCCAAAACAGAGGCCTAGAACCAGAAACGCAACCGATCCACCATCATCAGTCACGTGAGCGTGTTTCACAACAAGACAAAATGTCTTTGTTGCCCTCTGCACTGTCAGGATACGGACTGTAGATGTAGTTGCAGCTGTTCTGTTATCACTCTTTCGATCAATACTAACAGCAACTGTTCCTATCATCAATAGAGCAACCGTTCCATGTGCGGCAAAGAGTCGTCCTCTTACGGACCCTCGGTTACGTCCCTCTTCGTGTCATAGACACATACCCTACGCATTCTCACCCAACAAGTTTCGCACATTGCTTTTTTCGCATTTTCATGGAGCCAAATTTTATTGTATTTTTTAATTATCGTACAATTACACCGTTGCGCGCAATCCGAGCCTCGGCTACCCTAACCCACAGGCCTGATGCAGTCCCCAAACCCTAAACCCATGGAAGAATGCAGCAAGCAACCCTTAACAGTAGTCTTTTTCGAGCAAGAAATGTTTGCCAAATTATTTTATTATAGTCACGTGACTCTGAATTATTATAGTAGTTTCAACTTTTTTCAAAATTCAAAAAAACCTCCCGGTGGCCAAGCTGGTTTAAGGCGCGAGACTGTAATGGTATAAATTGTAATCTTGAGATCGGGCGTTCGACTCGCCCCCGGGAGATTTTTTTCCTACGAGATCCGCTTTGGCAGTACTGTAGTTACTTATTTTTTTTAAAAAAAAAATTATGACTAAGCTGCAGATAACTATTGCAAGTATGGGGATGTGGTCGTTTGAGAATATTGTCTAGTTAGTGTACCGTAGATGATCAGATCGAGTGATTATCGATCCAACGAATGGAGTTTTGATTTCGGTGAATCTATGTTTTTCAGGAGAATAGTTGTAGACATTGTAGAATCATTTTCTGAGCTCTTACTTGTTGTACCGCCACTTATATTATCTGATTTGCATTCTACTCCTATTATTGAGCGATACAGGACGTTCAGATCGCAGGCTAATGACGGGTACGAGGAGGCGAAGGCATACGAGCAGGCGAAGGCATACGAGCAGGCGAAGGTCTGTATGGGTTTTCACTATGATGAAGAGATCAACGTTGTCACCTCAAAACAACCACCAGTTTCCATTCTGAGGAGCAAATCCACTCGGCTGAATTTGTCAGCTGAATTTGTAACCTGATGGCGAGCTCAATCGAATTCTCCACTAGGGTGCGGAGACTGTCCTGATGAGTCTCGCTGTCAGAGAGCAGAGTCTGGCTATCGGAACGGCTTCCGGCAAGTGATATGTGAGTGGTTAATGTATTTGTTATATAAAATTTCATGTTATTCAACAGGAATGACAGGGTTGGAGGGACCTTGTTTCATGGCAGTAGGCCTGGAACCGGTTGAAACAGGGGATGCCATGACTTACGTATTTGGATGAGCCAAATAAGAGCTCTGTGAGAGCTGTAGTACATACTGTTACCAGCTACGTAAACAAGATGCTCGAGGAGGGCAAGGCGTCATCGACTCTGCGTTCACGGTGCCGTTCTCCGACGGGGAGGGCTTGCTCATATGCTTGGATTACGGTGGTCCGAATCAACAAGTGATGAAGCCGCTCGGGTTTAGTAATGCACTGTAGTTGTGTTGGAAGATGGTAAGGGCCGGAGTCTGGTCTACATCCGTGGCATTCAGGCCTTTGGTGGACGGTATCAAGGCAGCCGCGGGCGCACTATCTGACGTTGAAGAAGAGTTTCTTTGGAGTCGCTGGTAGCAACTAGATCACCATGAGATGCTCCGTCAACTCCGAATCAGCAGTTAGGTCGAAGTGGTGTGGCTCTCTCCAACCAAACAACTTGGGTCTGTAGTTCTAATGCCACACTCGTACACTTCCGATACTTTTCATAGCACTCCTAATACGGACGCAGCTCACTATTTTACCAACCTACTTTGGACGTCCAAGTCCGGGATATTAGTACGCAAGTGGATATAAAAAGCGACTCCGGATTCAACCCGTGGCCCTGGATTACCACCTTGCTTTCACCGTATCTACATCCCCGGCTTAATAACACTCCTCCTGTGTTATTATCTCACTTGGGCTGTCTCAAATAAACTCACAACACATCACCGTCGAGTATGCTGCATAGCCAAGATACAACACCATCGCCATATTCATACAAGCACCGTGAGCGGCACATTAACAGCAAAATCGACGTCAACCGCGACCCTTTTTTTGACCACTAACGACACATAAACATTGACACCCAAAACAGCATGTCTCTACGACCCGACGAAGTGGACGTGCGGATTTTGGAGGAGAACCTGCTGAAAACCAACACGCTGGTGGAAAGCATGGTTGCGAGTTGCCAAAAGATCTCCAACTCGTCATACAAGGCCGAAATCACGATCGAGCCCATCTCGGGCATGCAACGACGAATGCAAGTCTACGAAACCAACCTGAACAACTGCCTCAAGGTGGTGGACGGCATCAGGGACTACGCCAAGGTGACGGCAAGAGAGGAGAAGATCATCCGACAGGGCCCCGAGGCGGTGGGTCTGCCTGCCTACGTGGCGGCCATTCAATCTGTGATTCGAGTCAACGACGAAATCGAACAGCGAAAACTGCACAGCATTCCCAAGGTCAAAGAGAAGGCCGTGGACCTGGCTCGAATGGGAACGTCTGGTCTTAAGGAGAACCTCGCTACCATCCTCAAGGAGGAATCTAACCCAATTGATCCTGTTCCTATCCTGGCTTCCGGAAAACCCTTTCCTCTGATGAGTCCCAAGAACGCAGACAAGCTGAACGAGTTGATGGGCATCGTGGCGCGATTCTCAGCCCGACAAGACAACACCTACGTTGACTCGCGAAGCCGGTATCTCGCCATGTCTCTCTCTCCGGTAGCTAGTAAGGTGAAGCCCACTGTTCGAACAGGCAAGGCTCCTTACGACAAGCAGTCCAACGGCATTCATATTTACGCTGAGGCACTGCTGAAGATGTTGCAGGCAGAACACGACAACCTGCGATGTGCCTTTCCCAAAGACGAAGCACGTGTCAAGCAATACTTCACGCAACTGGCACAGACTCCTCTGCAAACCTATCAGGCTGCAGGAGAGGAAATTTCAAATCACGTGCAACGCAACATCTCGACCGACGCCCTGCTCATTTTCGAGCTTATTGAGGGCACCGTGGCTCTGAAGCGAGGCCTCGAGCCGCTTACTAACTCCGCTGCTCCTCTCGATCGCCTAATTCAGAGCAGTTACAACGTCTCTCAGGGCGTGTTTACCGAAATTCTCAAAATCTGTGAGGCCAGAGTACAACAGGTGATGACCTTGCCGTCCGACAATGGTGTCTGTGACGCTACAGTAGAGGTTATGAGTCGAATCCGACGGTTTGCCGAGTATAAGGACTCCGCAGTGCTCGCAATCAGTGGTATGAAGTACCAGCAATGGATCCCACAGCCCCGTCCAGCGTGGATGTCGACCTTTTCATCCGCGCCGGCAGGCTACACGACAACCAAGCCTCAAGAACTTCTTTCGGCTGTTTTCTCAGACTCTATTGACGCCTTCTACGTGACCTTGGAGATGAAGGCGAAGCAGCTGAACCCTAAGAAGCCGTCTCAGGTCGGCTTCTTTCTACTTACTAACCTGACCCTGATTGAGCGGTTCGTAACGAAATCAGAGGTCTACAAGGTTCTTGGAGGTCAAGGACGAGAACGGCTGGAGAAGCTGCGAAAGCGAGGTCTTAACCTGTTCCTGGAGGGCTGGAAGGCTACCGCTTCGTTGCTTATGGACACCACGGTGGTCAATTCCAAGGGTTCCCTTTCTTCCAAGGATCGAGAGCTGGTCAAGGACAAGTTTAAGACGTTCAACGCGGACTTTGAGGAGCTTGTCAAGAATCATAAAACTTACACCATCACCGATCCGGCCTTGAAACAGCTTCTGGCTAAGGAGGTGGCGTTCATTTGTCCCCTCTACCATCGATACTACGATAAGCATATTGGAGGAGACTTTTCCAAGAATGTGGACAAGTACATCAAGTACGATAAGGCGCAATTTGATCGGGTGCTGCAGGAGCTCGGAGACTAATAGCCTTGAGTTGCCAAGAAGTGCTCTTGGTTGAGTGAGTCACGAGCTGTGTCTTGGTGGACCGTGGGCTAATTTACTCGTCGATAGGCAATAGCTTGTCATGGGCTTCAATCAAGCGAAGAGCTCTGCGTCGTCTTCCCTGTTGATGATAGCAGATGGTGATGTACTCAGGAGCGAGCGGTGGGTGTATATGGCACAATGTCTTTACTTCATTTAAACAATACTGTAAATTAATGTCTAATGATGTTAATCAGAGCAACCAAACAATCAGCTAGGCTTTCAGTAAGTACTGTCGACACGGGACATGAAGAGTCCTCTGCGACATTAGCTCTTAAATCCTTTTAAAGGTGAGTTGCTTGCAGGTGGAAAGTCACAGGTATGGTACTGGCTTGCTATTTGTACTGATTATACGATCGTGAGTGAAAAAAAAAAATACGACAAGATTATTGATAATGTCTCTTTATTAAATTTCAGGTTGTTTCAATGCGAGATATATCAACAGGGTCCTGGTTTCACTAGATGAAGCTTTGAGGTGTGCGATTGCTTGAAGTTTGCGGTATAGCTCCCGTGTACAGAAATTCTACCTGGGTCTTGCAATTGAGAATGAGTACTTGCAATTGAGAATCAAATGGACTTGAAGACTCGTTTAAATGAGACCATTGTTGCAAATACTGTAGGTCGAGAAGCACTCAGTTTCTTGTACCTGTGCTTGCTTGTAGTATACAGTCTTGAATCTGCTGCACTCACACATCCATGGATCAGATGGTGGTAAACATCCTATTAAACCAATCAGCAGTTTATATCTTCCAAAGTATCCATATCGCCACTTTTTTCACTCCTGTGATACACAGTGGACACCTCTGGTAGCTGCACAGTATGTGGAGTCAACATCGTACTCTCCCCGTTATTGGGCGAGCTGTCTGATCCCACCACTTGCTGACCGTGGAAAAACTACTAATGTCTATCACACCACTTTTTTTCTCCTTTGACGGTCTACAGTAGTTCCGAGCACACCTCGGTCTAAAACTCCGACACTAGCTGCGCAAACTCCGAACCGACGGATTGTCAGCTGTACAAGATGCGGCAGTGCTAAAAAAAAAAAGAAGAAAGGCGTTAGTCGGTTTAGTGACGGTCCCACAATCACCCCATATTGTCTGTATTCCACGGCGCCCATTTGTTTAGTTTTGTTTTGTTTTGTTTTGTTTTCTTGTGCGAATATTTCTCAAATACCCTCGGTTAAACCTGCTTCGAATTGTATATACCTTCCTCTCTGGGCCTGATGCATTTCATCTCATCACCTGGGCCGGCTAAACCTGCTGTTTCGGATTCCGATATTGAACCTTGGGAGCCACCCGAAAGCAGCCAAGCATCGCCATCGCATGGTGAAAAAGCGAGTATCGATGGGCCCGAGGCTTTGGCACACTTGTGGGGTGATTCTGGAGACCCTTGATTGACCTAAATGGTGTTTTTGGCGAGTACTGTAGCTTGATTCTGCGTGGTTTCGGGCCTCTTAGAGCTGGAGCCCTCGTAAAGTCGATTAAGGTGAAACATCTTAGTAAGCCCGGAGGTGGATGAACATAACTTGGTCGGTAGGGTCCTCTACAAACAATATGATTCAACACAACCAACCTTGGTGACGCTGCTGCACCCCACGTTACTTTTTCTGGACCCTGGGGCCTGTAATTATGGAAGGAAAGCCGTGGGTGGAAGGCATGTCAACTGCGGTCGGAGATGTCGGACCACTAGTGGGTCTGGGTCTTGGCGTGACGCTTGATATGGCTGCCCTGATGGCTGTGATTCGCTACTGCTCGCTCGGATGGCTTGGCCCTTCACCCTTGCTCGATCGAGCATTCTTATCGTGCCAAAAGCAATTCGTCTAGACAAGAAATTTGTTGCATGAAACCTGTCGCGCGACTAAATGTTGATAATGCTGATGGAAATGGAATGAAGCCTGAGTGTCTGGAATATGAACTGCATGCATGGTTGGCACCCTGTTGAGGCGGAGGTTGCAAGGCGGTGACCAGGCCAAGAGCCGTCGTGGGCGGTGTGCTTTGCTCGCGCGCACGGCTCTAACAGTAGCGTTGAGATCTCCAACTAGTCCATAAGCGGTCACTGTACGAGTGATCATACCACCGGTTCTCTTGACGCGCTACTGTGGCTTACCCAACCTACCGGACAAGTACCCTGATGAGCCATTATCAAGCTTAGCGATACTACAGGTAGCACCAACCCCATGTCTCACAATAAACGGGAAATGGAATATTTCTTTTTCGGGACTATGCACGTGTCCATGAAACAGCAGGACTCGTTGCTTTTGCTGGTTGCCGGTCGTCGCAGCTACAGCATGGGGTCCCACCAACTCATGGCGTGCGACGGAGTCAGACGGGGACTGCTTCGTTGTGTGGACAGCGAGCCCTGCAAACGGCTGTGAAAATATCCCAAAATCTCTGCCGAAAGATGCTCCCACCGACTATCGAGGTGGTTCGATATGATTACCGCTTCCGGCAAGACGGTTACCAGACTAGTGAGAAAGAGGTTAAGGTCAAAGTATGGGTTGACAGCAAGGCGTGGTGTACTTGTAGCTACAGTATGTACCCTAAATGTACGCCATAATGTGAGTCAAGGAGGTATCGGATGCCTGTGAATGTGCGTCACTGGATCCACATCCCGTTCGCAAAAGACCCCGTCTGTTGAGCGGATCGGTTTGGTTCGCTCCCCCACCGCTCGGCTACTACATTCCACCTCCTCCTTTCGATCACCTGTGTGTTGCTCAGAGTACAAAGCAAAGCAAGGTCCGTTGTTAACGTTGATGCAGGTACCGTGATAGACAAGAGAGAGAGAGCCTGACAGGATGCAATAGTTGCAATAGTCCCAAAGCCCTACCGGCACTGTACGTGGTGTGCGCATGGGACGTTAATCGGCTGATTTCAAACACTCTCTCTCACACACAAAGACCGTAGAACCGGTGCGTTGGCCCACGCAGCTGGGTTTGTGGCACAAAGAAACCACCCGAGTGGCTTGTTGTGGCTGGTAGACCCTGTGGTTGTCGCGATTGCTCATCCTGTCCTGTATCGCAACATTGCTGTCTGGGCTCTTGGCAAAATGACGCTTGCTAGCTACGATGGGCCAGGGGTGTACGTGCACAGGTAAAAGGCTGGCTTGTAGGGATGAGGGCGATGAGGTCTATATTTTGAGTGTGGGCCAGGCCCAAGAAAAAAACAAAAAAAAAAAAAAAAGAAAGAGAAAACGCAGAGAGCTGCACAACCAAAAAAAAAAAAATATAAAAAAAATTACCCACTGCTCCATCAGCCGGACTTGCACTTTTTCTTTGTGGAAAGCGAACCCAAAAATCTTGCTCATAGCAAAACATTTCCGTTTTGAAGGACATCCGAAACCTTGCAATAACTGCTTGGCGTGCAGAAAGGTCTCGGTTGGTGTTGATGGGGGCATGGTAATGGTGCTACTGTTGACGTGTAGACGGAGGGAATCAGGGGGGTTGCCACGGGCTCGAAACCCGCTGGGTTTTGGGCTAAAATCACGTCCTCTCCACTCAGCCTCGGATCCTTGGAACGCGATTAATGGATTGACCGCCATCTAAACGAACCCAAAGTGGGGCATCCGCCTAGAACAAGTAACGCACTATCTGCAAGGGAGGCAGAAGTTTATCCGAACGATAGGATGGAGATTTGGGCCTGTTGGAGGCCGAATTCTGGAGATATAACGGGCGGAATCAAATATTGAAGCCCGAAAACATTGATTTATGTTTTTTTCAGAACCACTTTCCTACCAATACTGCCGCGTATCGGACTGCCCAAAATCCACTTGCTGCATCCCCAGATCGTCCCATTTCATTTTCACTTGAGCTTTCACTTTTCGTTCTGCACAAGAGATAACACACTTTGTGTCAAGCTCTTGCGATTATATGTGTATATGTATATATATCAGCTCCTCTCCCGGTTCTTCATCAGACAAAACAACAACTCCTCAGCTCCTACAGACACACAGCTGCCACAGCTCTTACAAACACAGCCACCAAGCTCCGCTACAACACTCCCTCTCTCTCAAACCACCCAAACATGAACGCTGTCAACCGGACCTCGATACCCGAAATCTACTACCTGACTTCGCGCGCACAAATGAAGCTGACCAAGGAGTCTGTGCGACCTGATCTCAAGCTGCGGCAACTCGTGTGCCATGCCAACCTCGTGGACAACCTGCTGGGCGAGCTGTCTGCCCGACGACAAAAGCAAACAATGGTCAAGCTGTCTGAGGATGCTTACGATTCCGTTGCTGTCTCTTCCTCTGATGACGATGAGGATGACGACGACGACTCTCCCGATCTGTCGGACTCCTCTTCTGATGAGGATGACGCAGAGTACATGAAACAGCCCAACTACACCTACCACCCCTACCAGCAAGAAATGCTGTTTGAGGATGCCTCCAGCGAGTACAACGAGTTCAACCCTCCTCCTCTGTACTCGGTTATCAACACTGGTATTGGAGCCAACTAGGGGACCACGGCTGAAGGAGTCAACCAAAACTAGTACCCTCCTCACCGGAAAACTAAACAATGGCACAGTTGCATATATACACTGACTGCAAGCCACTGGACATCTGCTGGATGGATGTCAAACCATTATTTATTGAGCATGTACATAGTATGAGTCGAATCGAAGTTGTGTTATTGAACCCCTGGAACGCATGGTAGATCCAGCCAGCCACATTTGGCATGATCGTAAAAGCAAACGTCTTTAGAATTCGATTATTGATCACCGACACGCGCGTCTTTATTAATTAGGGTGAGACTCTTATGAAAATAAGCCTTCCTAATCGGACATCTCATTAGACCAAAACTATCGCACTTAGCTACAGCAACGTCTTTTTTGGCCGGTCGGCGGATTTTCGGCCTCAATTAATCGACCGTCGGTATAGGGCCATAGCTCAATCAAGAGCAACTTTTGTGGTAGCTGGGACAGTGTAGCACGTAAATACTGTACGTCGCGTATCTGACAGATCGTATGTCCCCTGAGGCCTCTTGTTTGTAGGCGGTTGGGCCTCGGAATGCTGGTACGACTATGGCCCATACTCTTATGCATGCACCACACGGCTCACCAACTTGCTCTTGAACAAAACATCGTCAGATCTGGTTGGGGCGTCTGAAACAGAAACAGGAGACGGATCTCGGGTAGCGCGTGCTACTCCATTTCTGTGAGACATGGAGTGCTCAAGTCCGTGAAAATCCAGCGCATCTGGTGTTGAAACATGGTCCCATTTTATCCAAGACATGGTCTGCTGTGTCCTCGGATGTAGGGTCGGACATGCACGATACAAGTCGAATGCACACCTGCAAGTGCAAACGGTCCCAGACCGGTTTTTTTTTCAATCCGAGCAAATATCTCCGAAACGACACAAAGAGAATGTCAGCTCATTTCCACCCACCAATTGCCATGTAGCGGTGCGGTAATAGCGGTATTGATAGTAAAGAGTATTGATATTTACAGATACGGTTCAAAGCTTGATTTTAGTGTTGGAAAAAAATGTCCGTGGACGATGCAAGTATGCAAGCAAGTACCTACGAGTACGGTCGGTACTCGCAACAAGCAAAAAATGATTTCTGGCAGGATCGAACTGCCGACGTTCTGCGTGTTAAGCAGATGCCATGACCAACTAGACCAAGAAACCGGGAATTTATTTTTTTGAAAAAATATGTCTATATTATGTGAATGTTGGTTATGTAAGCTGTAATGAATCATTAGAATAAAAAAAAAAGTAGGACACACACGAGAGTCACCACAATGACATCAACTAGACGAAGCGTCAACAAACCAACCGACAGCGCCTCGCAGCGCACATGGCATAGATTCAGAAGTGTATGATTTATTGAACGCCAATAACCCGGCTTACTAGGTATATAGCTGTAATGAATCATTAGAATTAAAAAAAAACCGGTACTACTTGTAGGTATATACATGCAGTACAAGTACTGTAGCTGTAATGAATCATTGGAATAAAAAAAGGGAATTTGCGGCGGGTATAACATTGTTTGTTACTGTAGTCTCAACCTCAAGTAGCTGAAATATATTTCCTCGAAGAAAAAATAATAATATAAAACGGCAATAAAAACGGCTTCTTCTTTAGAGAGGTTCGCGGAGGTTCACTAAAGTTGATTGTGTGTGATTTCACAGGTCCAGCGCGTGTCTAGATTAGATCATGTCGTAATTTCCAGATACTACAATTTCGAAGCAGGAGTAACCCATTCGCCGAGTTCCGAAACATCCGTACAGTATACTTGCATTATGCAGCTTGTCCTGATGCTGACACCTCGAGCTCGTATAATCCACCATCAAACAGCAACATCACAGAATACCCCTTGATAGCAAATGTCTGAGATGAAAGACAAGCTACAAGCTCTTGTACTCGTACTACTTCGCTTCTCATTCAAACGTGAAGGACCACCACGTCGCCCTTCGGCGCTCCGTGTCTCACTTGGCGGTGCATAATCTTGATCGCACAATAGGCACGGCTTGTAAGAATTTCAAAAAAAGACAAGACTGCGGGGTTCTGAGACACAACCAACAAGTTGTGGATTGCTATTATTATAAGGAAGTGAAGATCTCGGATAATCTGTCTGCAGGATTATAATATCACTTTTGTCAATGTGGCGAACATAGAAACTCAAGCGAGCGAGTCAAACCCCCCAGTTTGATGCGACAGTCTCACCTCGAGGACAAGGGTAATAATGTCTCTTTTATCCATTCAAACTTGTCCGTCGACGCCTTTCGATGTAGTAATCTTGATTGCTACTGCTACATTACCCACCAGTTGGCTTCTTGCTGCTGATACCATCCTTGATGGAAAGATGATACACTTCCCGCTCAAAGTCTGATATACTCCTGCGTTGTCGATCTTCCACTTTGTTAACTACAAGAGGCAAAAGTGCCAATTCTAATGGACTTAATGCGAAACTTGTGTGTGTGTCCCCAGGGCAGGGTTCCATTACCCTGGGTCTCAGATGGTTGCTCTTTCAGACTCCTCGAGTTGCGAGTATGAATCTGCATCTTTGAGAATAGGCCAAGATGGAGCAAAGAAATATTCTTTCATCTTTGTTTCAAAACATACGTATGCCGTTTGACGTCATCTTCCATTCCGCACCAACTTCGATTTCCCCTGTTTTCCGATCGCTTGCTCACACTTCATTAATACGAGGCACGTTTGACATGCATCGATAACGGTAGAGAAGCACTTGCAAAGAGAGATGCAACATGACGAAGATGGGCCGGGTATCCGCGGCAACACTGACATTCAACTATGCACGAACATTTTTACTCTGACCATCGACTCAGCTAATCTCTGGTGATCACGATGATCAAGGAGCAGTCATTAAGCAAGATTGTTACCGTGGACCCCGTAACCATAGTGCCGCAGAGACAAAAACTCGTTGAACTTTCCGAATCCGTTTTGCCAGAATATCCATCCCCGAAGCTGTCCTAGAACTGGTCCAGGTCTGCTTGTCCCCGCGTTCTTGTGTCTTCCTGTGCTCCCCGTATGTCTTGTATCACATGGAATGTATGATGGCTTGTGATCAAGAACGGCACTATGTAAGAGCATTAGGATCGAGTGAACCATTCGCTACTCTGAGACGATCCATCCTGGTCTAAAGGACATTATACACTCGTCCCCGGTCTTGCTTCATATGTATACATGTCACTGGAGTTATATCTGACGCAATACCCTGATGACATACTCAATTGGCTCAACACGGCAAGTCCTAATCCATTGCTCAGTAGCCTCATGATCTCTACACCCTTTCCCACAATACAGGTTGGTTTTTCTGAAAACCCTTCGGAAAGCTCAATAATCCTAAGATATATTCATTATCGAGAATATCGTTCCGTGCTCTTATCTGAGAAATCGCTGGTAAACAAACCACATTCTTCTGACAGTATCCCTCGCCAAATCCCCCTCTCTACATCCATAATCAACATCATCGAGATCCCGGTTCCACTCTCTGACACGCTTGCCAACCAAACTAGGACCAATGCTTCTCAACAGATGAGTGTCACAGAGAATGAGTCCTACCTTGGTATTGGTCTCCTCCACAGAAGTGCAAGGCAGAGACAAGACTCGGTCAATTCGTCCAAGAGTTTCAGTAGCAATATCCTTGGAGTTCTGTCGCTTCAGGCCCAAAGAAGCCCGTCGTCGACCCAGCAATGTACCTGTGAACCACTGGAAGACCCACCAAGTGACTGAAAACGACGGAAGAGCAGCAATGATTCCAAACACCAACTCCTGACTCTTGAGGATCTGATCAATACCGGAGATGGCCACCTCCACGTCCACCTTGGTCTTCTGTACCTGTATCAACAACGAAGTGATTAGAGAGCCGCCAATTAGAGACTTGACGGGAGTCATGATCTCCTTCTCATACGACTTCAGCACGGGAGTGATATCTCCCTGCTGAACACCCTGTTTGACCTGTTGAATGTCCTCCTTGGTCCAATGAAGCCCAGGAGGAGGAGGTGTGTCATTCTCGACCGCAAACTGCACAACCATACGCTCGAGAGAGTCCATATCAGCCTGTAGAGCTCGCTTGGAAATGACTGCAATCTGGGATGAGTTGTCGTGTCTAATAGTGTGAATGATTTGCTTGATTGGGGAAACAATCCAATTCTGGAAGAAGAGCTGGATGGTTGACACTACCGACGTTCGGAACCAGTCCACAATCGCCTGCCAGTTGTGGAGAAACGAAAGCAGAGTGAAGACAGTTGCCACAGACCCCACAATGTAAGTGGGCCACATCCGCACCCAGTACGACGGTTTTCCAAACTTGCGAATATCCTCCTTATGCTGTTCTGAGTGATCTGACAACAGTTTTGACAGTTGGATGATCTCAGTTGCAAGACCAGTGATGTCGGTGTCAGATTTTGTAATATCAAGGGTTTTAGTCTCCTTACCTGATCCCAGAGTCTGTGTCATTGCGTCAATGCTTTTGACGACGCTCTCTTTCCAGTTCTGTCCTGCCGTCGTCGTGATCTTGGGCACCCCCTCATCCAGGAACGAAGAAGGGCCTGTGTTGGATGTTGAGAATAGTGTCGTAGCAAGTCTACCGAGATCGGCAGCGTGTGAGTTCTTGATATGTGCCAATTGGGTATGGTTCTCTCGTGCCTGGCGTCTCACGGCCGAAATGGGAGACAGCAGTAGGCTTGTGGCAAACGAAAGAGGCGGTTTGGACATGAACACAGACGTTCTGAACCGCAAGGATGTCTCGTCGTGCAGAGAGGACGCTACCAGAACCCCCCCTCCGCTCTTTACCACCTCAAACAACTTCTTGGCGGTCAACTTGAGTCGATCCCAGATTCGGCCCACGGAATCATATCGTTTGTAGATGTCTCTGGCGAGCGATAAGATTCGAATGGGGCCGGTCTGAACCAACAGCATTGCCAGTCGGTACCACGAGTCGTGAACATCCTGCCAGTAGTACAGATCCTGCGAGATGGGTACGGTCTGATCCACAAGAGTGTCCACGACATTGCCGTACATGGACAGCGCTGCAAACGTGAGCAGAAGGAATTCCGAGTCCTGAGAGTCTTCTCCAGTACCGTCCTTTTCGCGCACCCTGAGAAACTCGTCCATTGTCTGTGTAATGAGCTCCACAGACACCAGTCTGTCGTTGGAGGCTTGGGGAGGAGCCACTGTTCGTGCCAGCCGAGCCAGCGTCGCAATGTAGCTGTTTTTTTCGTCCAATTTGGCCGTCAGCGGTGGCTGCTGCGCCACAGCCAGTGCTGAGAACTCGGCCAGCGTCGTCCGAGTTATCGACAGCATTTCAACGTCGTTGTGGTGATGAGCAATCGAGTGGTGAAGAGATTAGGTGGATTGGGTTAGAGTTGGTGGATGATAGTGCAGAGGGCGTTTGCGGAGTGACGAGAGAGATGGAGGTTGTGGGCTCGCTGTAATATAAGGGGGATTACTGGGTTGTTGTTTTCTTCGTGACTTTCGATTTAATTGTATGATTGGTGCTCGTGTTTGTGCTAGTTTTGGCTCTAGTTTTGGAGTTGTTGCATCATTAACTATTTCTATTTACTTGGTAAATTAGTTGAATGTTTTATTTTGTTAAGTATGTTTTAAGTATAAATTTCTTTAATTACTATATCCTTGTTAGGCTCTCGAGTCATTGGTGTTGTAACCCAGAGGTACACTTGAGGTCATCAGTTTCTTCCTCGGGTGCCACAAGTGATAAAATTTCTCAGGCTGATGAACGGTACTTTTACTGTAGATGCTTTCGCCATAGTCAGTTACTCCACCAGGTACAGAACATTACTTCAACGGTTCTTCTAATGTCTTCTCGTACTCTGACTGATAATAGACGCTTCGGAGGTCCTCAATGAGCTCCGGATACCTTTGCTAGCATGATTAAAACGACGGTTTCTCTCCGTCTTGGTCTCTTCTCAGGCTTATTTACCCTGGGTGCTTTTCTCTCCTCTTACTGTCCCATTCAACAGGCTGTGAGCTACCAGCATGCATTATCGTTGTCATCCACTCACCAACATGGACCGTTCACTGGCGAGAAGTATCTCCGTAAGTTCGTTCGGCTCATACATTGTGAACAAGAGTGAGGATTGGTTGATCATGCCGCTAACGTATGTAAGACCAACTGTGATCTGATATCTTCTTCAAAACTCGAAGTTGAACTAACATATTGGGCCCACTATTGGTTATACATATAGAGGATGGCAGTTCTAGTCAACAAGTGATTCGAATGTCGAGGGCACGTTCGCAGGCGCTGAAGAAACAATGTTTAACAGCGTGAAGAAGTACTATATCTACCGGGCCATTTCCACATGTTTCTCAGGTTATAAAATGATGAGGAACAGAGGTTGCGCTTGTTGATGCTTCCCAAGGGTTCCAAATGCACCGCGATTGTGTTCAACAATGGCACTTTCTTCATGATGAAATTAAATATCCCTGCCATTCTCGTTTTCAAGGAGTATTGGAGCACTTTCAAGATGGCCAAACCTCCAAATGGTTTGTATAACCTGATTTCTGGACTTGTCGGTAGGCCAATCGCAACCCCAGGGCCTCTCAAGTGGTGATTTAATATCAAGGTAGTCTCTTTAGTTGTCAAATCTCTTTGAATAGTACCCATTGAACCTTTAGAAGCTGCAACGTGAGTGGAGACTCTTTGACACTGTTCTCTGTGTGGTTATCTTTGCGGATATCAAACTAGTTAGTGTTGCACTACGCGAGTTAGAGAACTCGACGGCTTCCCAGCTGGTTTAATATTGTTCAACTTTGGTCACTTCTTGTCATTATTCTGATGAGAAGACAACCTAACCCATTCCACAGCTTTCCAGTCTGTCGCCAAGCTCACAGAGTTGTCAAGCAAGTTGGATAAGTAGGACCTCCTATACCTTTGCCAGATTGCACAACCAGGAAAAGATGTAGAGAAGAGCTAGCAGCAGCACGTTGATATTATCTTACAACTCCAGAGAACCATTTGAAGTCTCGCTCAACATCAGGACTCAAACAAGTCCCGAGGAGCAATTTCCACACGATAGCTGTGACTAGGAATATGGAGTTTAGGCACACCACTGGTCTATTGTTTTGAACAGCTCTTTGAAAATTCTTTTGGAGACGAGCACCACCCTCTTTTGGTAGGAAAGATCAAGTACTGTGCCCAAGCCTGTTGTCTTGCGCTCCAGACTGACTGGCAGCGACTTTTCGCCGATACAAGTGCTCTGAATGTTGGCGGTCAGTAAATAACGGACCATGCAACAATTATTCTGATATTTATAGATTATGCAATAAAGACGTTGTTTCAGAATCGCATCTCTTTCCTCCGATGTTGATTCGAACGTCGATCTCCTCTTTGGTGGAATTTGCGGAGAAAAAGAGCATATGGGGGAAGTGGACAGTACATACTAATGAGCTTGAATGGAAGTATTGAGGGCGAAGTCAGCGATATTAGCTACATTACTTGTGCAGCATAGAATGGACTTGGTTGGGTTACAGACAAGGAACGAGAACGAGAATACACGCTTGGTCGCACTGCTCAAGAACACTTGACAGTCGGAAAATTGGTACCAAAATGACTTGAGTTGATAACAACTAATATGGCATTTCCCAGAACGTCACTAACCCCTCTGACGTAAGTGCTCCCTTCCACATGCACGGACATCTTCTGAAACATATTGAGTGGACTGAGACATATTGAAACATATTGGCGCTTACAGTTTTCCAGAAATTGTGGCAAAAAGAGAAATATCCTCCTCTCTGGTCACGGTCACGATACAGTGACACATTATTGCAATCTGATGTCAGCATACACTAGCTACTGTACGGACCTGCGTCTCGTCCTGTACCCCTTGCATAATCTAGGCTAGCGGACGATCTATTGGTCACGTGAAACCAAAGTAGACTTGATAAATGAGCTTTTATTACTTGTGTGTTCAGTCTGGGGAACACTTTGTTTTCTCAGGAACTCATCGCATGTGTTCTAGAGACAGTACGGCGTGCTCAACAGAAGTATGAGTGCAGTGCACACTATATAGACGACTCGATATAGAGAAGCGCGACCCGGTCTCTAGAGAATATCTAGCTCCATCTCTTGGGTATTTCACGCTCCACTATATTGTTAGACTCGCTGTAATCCTTTACATGTCACTTCCAGGCCAGCGTATATCACTCAGTGGCTCCCGCAGTTTTCGCCTTCTAGTCTTCACGTCGGACCCCGATGACCGGTTTAGCCGATTTCAAAACGTCTAGCTCGATTACAAGTGGAGAAAACTAATCTACCGGATTTATCATGGAGTTAGTCAGGGTTTAACGGGGTGAATGGTACAGTCCGGAGATATTTGAGATTAGAAACTTGTTTGACCACAAGAGAGAGAGGGGATTGACGTTAGTGTAGTTAGTGGCAATTTCAGAGACTTGTCACAGTACAAGAGCGAAGGGTCTACAGTCGGAAATATCCACGTGTGGGGCTATTGTTGCGGTATTTGTGCCCTAGTTAGTGTGGTTTCAGAGAGGAGAAGGTGTCTATGAAGGACGCAATAATGACTCTTTTGGAAAGGAGACTTGAAACACAGATGTAGTTTCAGTAAAGGGATGCCCCTCCAGCGATTCACAAGCCCCACCTCTTATATCTCTTCATATTCCACATTCATTTCTTCTCTTGTCATCATTGCGCACTTCTTCGGATCAACTTTCGAACGTTTCTCTAAGCAATACTGAAGAGGACTTTTTTTCACAGTCGACTCAATAGTCCAAGTGACCAATTGGTGATTCTTCGGAGCCCCGATATTGGACTACTACCCGGTAGTATGGGTCTAGTTTAGTGCTACATGTGGAGAAATCCCAAGATAGCGGCTGTGCAACCCAATAATCCCTTTTGGGATGGGGTTTTTGAGTAGCAATAATCGCAACGGGCCGCCGGTCGCTCTAGAGCAGAAATGCGCTCGAAAACGGCAAGGCGTGACCTCCATCGCATGGTGTCGTTGTGTGCGGCGAGAAATACCTCGACATGGGGGCGAAAACAGCAGCTGCAAGGCTGAAGTTGTTATGCAAGACAAAACGGCTGCCTCAGGGTCTTCTCCACAAGTTTGATTTCTGTAGCTTTATTGAGGGGTATTACGGGGGGGAAATGGCTATATTCAGCGCTGTAGAGGAGATTTTGGAAATCAAAAAACTCCAGAGAACTCATCTGGTCGGTCTCATCAAAATGACATCAAAATTGATACTTTTTCTCTAACAAAAACGCACCTCCCCAAGTCCCTCCAAGTCCTGCCGTGCTTCTTTTTACCACCCCCCCAAGAGGATGTTGAACTCTATATGGATTTGACTCCCACATGCCTCAACATTTGGACCTGCTAGAAACCCACAAGCGACTTCTCCGTCGCCCTCAAACTCTGCGGTGGCGTTGACATCGGAGGTTCCAGTCATGTGACGATTTTTCAGCCCCATGTCTCACGTTGTGCGAAAGTTGCCGACGATCCACCACTTGTGTCACCTCTAGAAGCTTAAGTAATTCACTCATGCCCGGTTCACCATAACCAACACACCACCGTCAAGGTCACATCACCGCCACTCGCCCCAAAACCACACTTGAAATGCTCCCCATCGCCCCCTCCGTCCATCTATCCCGCCTATTTCTCCATCTCAGCCCAAACGAGCAATTGCAAACACAAAAGCCTGTGTCTATATATTAACTACCACTCAAGTTGGGGACATAACAGATAGAGTTCCCTTAAAGTTTCGGTTTTTTTTTTTTTCTCCTTTTTCTTTTGTCACCTTTTTTTTTGGCTCCTTTTACTTCTTGGACCAATGTTGTATAGAGACGGGTAATGTGATCCGGTCACGTGATAGGGGGGTGGTCTTTTTCCTGTTTGAGAGCAACCTGGAACGGGACGAAATGGCGCTAAACGTTGGCTACGGCCTGCTGAAGGTGAAATATTTTCACACATTCGGAATTATAGTAGCAAGTCTATATTATTCATTGCCAAATCGTGAGCTGAAGGAGGAGAGTGTATGGTAGTGGCGGGAGGATCCATGTCGGTGAGTTTTGCTCCGATTGGGATTCTGAAAAGTGCGTTTTTTCGAGGAGGCTCGGTTTGGTGGATGGATGCGGTTTCGTTACAGGAAAATTGCCTACATCCCCTCCACCAAGGGACCCGGGTGAGTCATCATAGGAATACTCCGTCGCAACCCAATTTGAGAGGCATGGAAATCCCGTTCGAGCCTAAGTGATCCGTGGGCCTTATTTTGGCTAGATGCCCACTTTCGGAGCAATCAGCTGAGTATTCTTAGAGTTGTGAAGGGGGAGGTAATTTGGTGTGAAGGAGTCGGGGGAGAATGGGTCGAGGGAGAATGGGTGGCAGGAGCACGGAGAGAGTGTCAGATTGTACGTCATCGGCGGTTTACACGGTGTGAGGGGATTTCCTAGCTTGTTTGAGTTGGTGTTATGATGTTATGGTGTGAAGGAGTCTCTAGGGCTCGAAAGGGGCTTCAACTCTGGGAGTATTGCTCCTATTCGGCTCGACAAAGCCCCCGTTGTCTTCTCCGGGTCGTAATCTATAGAACCAATCTTTTTAGATACCTCCTTCACTACCAATTGCTGAATAAGAGCCCAGTTATTAACTTCAAGCAAGCAACCTACACTGCTCTTCGCGTCGCAAAAATGGAGTGGTTCTTGAGTCACCTGAATCTGAATCAGTGTGTCTCTGGAGATCCGCGCGCGGAAGGGCGCGGTCACATGACTCATGGCTCTGTCACGTGACCTGCCATCACTACTTGCTGCCGCCGCTCTCTCTTGCTCTTGCTCTTGCTCAAGCGGTTTACAGTTACACATGTCTTTAGAGTGCGTAGGGCTCTTCGTTGTAAAAACGGCTTGGGCAGGATTTTCGCGTCGACAAAGTTCTGATAATTGTACCATCATGTGATAAATGGACAATCTGATGCCAAGAAGGGGATGCTTTAATTGTGCAGGTTTTTCGGGATGAGATGGTGGGGGAGATTGTGTTCCGGCTGGACAATGAGGATTGATTTCCTCGGTTTCGGCGGCATGTTCTTTTGTTTTGCAATTCCGCGTCATTTTGCCATTTTAGCCCCTTTTTTTCCGTCGAGGTGCAAAATCCAGATTGATATCAATTGAATCAGTTTGTCACTCCATTTGTAATCTGGCACAACCCTGCGGTGGGTAAGTTGCAATGTCTCGGACTAAACTGGACTAATTTCTTCTCTAATGGCTGTCTCAAGACATGTGGGGAACAATACGGGGGGTTGAGCTGTTATGCGGAGCCCTGGGGAGGTCTGAGAGACCGTCTCCGCAGCTTTGTTGAGTCCCGCCACGGTTGATTAATCAGGTTTGTTTTTTCGAGTTTCCAAGCCCGCTCAAACCACCTCCGTCCCGCATCCTCTCCATGCCATTGTCACACTTCAATCTCATCTCATGACCAAGATAGACTCTGACCTTTCGCTCACCACTTGTTCCCCTTGGGGATTGGGCGTGTGAGGTATTATATTCCAGCCTGAGTGATGCAGTCCGCTGCATATATTTGCATGTGCAAGGCACACCACACGTTGTCGTACTCTTAATTAGCAACCCACGGGCGGCTGACGTCCCACTATCGTGCTTGTATGTATGTTTGATGGCTGTAATAGCAAGACGGAAGACACTGTAGCAACCATCATCGAAAAAGCGACGGGAGCTCGCCCAAGTGTGTGCATGTGACGGCAGGAGAGAGACGCTTAGGGCGAGCACAATGGCGGTGGAAGCCGTTCTAGAGCTCACATTGTATCCTTCTACAACCACTGGCACTAGTCTATATTGGGAAACCTGTCATGGGATCATATCTCCGAGCTTGTCGGATTTAACTTGGGAGCAAAATGGGGAAGCGAGTGAGCAGGCCTTTGGGCGAATATGGGCGGGAAAATCGGGGGAAAATCGGGGGGGGAAACGGTTCCTGAGCAGAATGTCGGTATGCCGGGGGCCTTTAGGGACGGCTTTTTTTTTCATACTCCCACGCCGACCGACGATCTCGAGGCCCCACAGTCGTATCCTAGACAGTACCTTTTCGTGGAGCTAACAAAGCTTAGCTGGGTCAACGTTGAGGGGCCGTGCGAGGAGTGAGTAGTCAGTGAGTAGTGATTGAGTGAGGTGGGTGCTTAGTCATGTGTGGGAAAAGTGTTTCGAAAATGGGACAAAACTCCTGCTTATTAACCAATTGTCCTGATATGGCACGTGGGACCCGCGCACGCTCCAAAATATCCGCTCCACACCGTCGCTTCCACAGGCTCTTCGGTGCACCCACACACCTCCCTCAGGTCCTCGGTCCGCCTGAATAATTTAGCTTCACATGAACCCAACTCTAACCTAAACCGGGGTAGGTAGACAATTTACTTTTGCAAATGGGCAACGGCAAAAAGCGCCGGGTGACCTCGTGGGGTGTTAGTGTGGGACTGTAGGAGGTATATATAAGGAGTTTGGCGCCCGTTTTTTCGAGCCCCACACGTTTCGGTGAGTATGAGCGGCGGCAGATTCGAGCGTTTCCGGTTTCCGCGGCTGGACGAGAGCCCATGATGGGGGCTCCCACCACCAGCAATCAGGGCCCTGATTACACACCCACCTGTAATGTCATGCTGTTCATCGTGGTTAATGCTGCTGTGTGCTGTGTGTGTGTGTTGTTTGGCGCTCATTGTTGCGTTATGCAGCGTACACCACAATATTGGAAGCTTATTAGCCTTTCTATTTTTTCGTTTGCAAGGCTTAACAACATTGCTGTGGAGAGGGATGGGGATATGGAGGCCGCTGGAGGGAGTCGGAGAGGCGTTTTGGAGCGGCTTGGCCTGGCGCCCAGCTCGCGAAACGCACCTAGGACCCTTTGGCACGCCGAAATGTGCCACTTTTCAGTCTAGTAACGCCTTACCTACGTCATTCCATGCATGCATGTTTGCGCCTTTTTTCCCTTGCCCTTGATCGCCACACAGTACAGTGCACTGTACAGTGGAGGTTTTGGGGGGGTCTTAGATGGGAGCTAAAAGCGGCCTAGCGGTACACTAGTGGGATTGTATGGAGTGGCATGGAGCCTAGGTGGAGCCTGACAGGACGCACGACCGGCTAGCCCGTGACAGACGATGGGTGGCTCCTGTTGTCCACCGCGTACAAATGTTTGGGCCAAAGTCTTGTCAGCCTTGCTTGCGAACCTAATTCCCAATTTTGTCACTTCGCACCCCCATTGATCGAGCCCTAACCCCTGCCCATCAGGCAATCCAATTAAGCTCGCATTGTCTGCCTTGTTTAGTTTGGCTCCTGCCCGTTTCGGCGTCCACTTGCACAAACACAAACAAGCATTATATATAAGGCTCGTCTCTCCCTCCCAACCACACTCACTTTTTTGCCCGTCTTCCCTTGCTAACACAAAAGTCAAGAACACAAACAACCACCCCAACCCCCTTACACACAAGACATATCTACAGCAATGGTCAAGGTCGCCGATCTCATCCTCCGAGGACTCATTTTCATGTTTGCCGCCATCATCATGGGTCTGGCCGGTTCTCTCGCCTCCACCCACAAGAAGGGCCACTACAACCCCCAGGTGTCTTACGCCGTCTTCTGTGGCGCATGGTCCGCCCTCTTTGGTGTGTTCTACCCCGTGCTCGCCAACTTCATTGAGGCCATTGCCTTCCCCATTGTCATTCTCATCATTGACTTCATCTCCTGGGTTCTGACCCTTGCCGGAGGTGCCGCTCTGGCCACCGCCATCCGATGCCACTCTTGCGGCAACATGAACTACGTCAACTCCAACAAGGTGACCCAGGGCTCCAAGGGCCGATGCCGAAAGGCCCAGGCCACTGTTGCCTTCCTGTTCTTCGCCAACTTCTCCTTCCTGGCCACCATGATTCTGTCTGCCATCTCCGTCAAGCAGCTCGGCGCCTTCACCCTGCCCGGCCGATCTCGACGATCCGCTCCCCGAACCGGAATCCCCACCATGTCCCAGGTTTAAGCTTTGCGGCGAAACTCGATTCTCACCCTCGATAACTCGACTCACCCCCCTTAACTTAAAATTCACTTACGACAAACAAACGTCTGATACCGACTACCCCCTCGACTTCTCGCAATCTCGACTTTCAATCAGAGGACCTCAAACAACCACTTTTTTCTTACGATTCTAATTATTTACCCATTCATTAATTTCCCGTGCGCTCGTCCAGCAATGTCCGAGAGCATCCTGCCTGTGTCTCTGGGCCCATCCATTTAATTTGGGTCCATCCTCCCGGGCAGATTCCACAGTCCAGTTGTCGCCGACTGGATGGTTAGTAGATCCGCCTTTTTTAGTTTGAACATGTTGCGAGTTGATACCTGAACATCAGAGTTTTAGCTTCTTGTACTAATATACATTCCTTTTAGTGAGGTCCTGTACACTGTACACTGTATTATATTGTAGCGTTGTATTTTTGATCCCTTGGTTTGTTCGTTATACGGTGTACAAGTATGTACGATCTGTGGTGATGACTGCTATTTGAAAAAGTCACTGTTGAATAGACTTTTGTTCTAAGGTTAGGCTTTTATTCTTGACCACTTCTGGACAGGATGTTACCGAAAAAGTGTGGAATGTGCGGCGTTCTGGGAGGGATGCACATGAGCAACGCAATCAGCAAGTGTACCGGGTTTTCGTGGTCACTTTTGCAGGCGGCAGTGGAAGGTGGAGGGGAGGTTTTTCAGCGGTCGCTGGGGTCTGGGGCGTTCTTTTTTTTGGTTTTGGCTGCTAAATTTGCCAAGGGCAACACGTATGGTTTTGAGTAGGGGGTAAAAAAGAAACTTGACAGGGATGTGTGGTGTTTGTCGAGAGTGAAGTGAAAATGGACACGTCTTAGTGCTTGAGTCAATATGAGAAAACCAATATGGAATTGGCCTTGTGCGAGGGGCAGAATGGACCATTAGTTGCGCAACCAACCTTGCATGGTCGAGTTTTTCAGTCGAATCGGTCCGGAGTAGCAGGTAGTGGGAGATGGTCCGGGGTTTTAGGAGGTTGGCCAAGTTCCTGGAAGGGTTTTGACAGGAAACGAAAAGTGGAAGCACGAGTGGGAGGTTGTCGTTGGAGTGGAGGATTCAGTGCTGACGGATTACTGACGGGCTCTGCGACTCTCGATTCACGCGCCCGACTCTGCCGACTCTCCCTCCGCTTGCTTTCATTCCAAAGTCTACTGCTATCATCTCTTTTGGTCCTTCGGGTGTCCCAAAAGGGCGATATGGTTTGGGCCGTACATCCAACCAGACAGCCATGGAACGACAAGTAGAGGTGCAAGAGTCTGCGGAGCTGCATCGGGGTCGTCGGGGATAACAGATCCATGGTCGGATACGGCCTTGTTGTTTTCTTGGCGGCCCAGACCCGTTTCGCGGCCGTGTCCAACTGGTCTCTACAGTCACCACTTAGACCTCATTCCAGATCGACGGAATGTCCTGCCGCACCATTGTTGAAAGCCTGAGCCAGAGCTTGAGGTTGAAATTCAGGGGTTGCGGGAGTATGCGTTGCTGAGGAGCAGACGAGACGGAGCTGTTATTCCTCTCCAAAACGTCCTCCTTGGCCTGTCTGTAATGTGCCTCTTGTTTGGCATCCGTATATGCCATGCCATGTACATGAGCAGACAGAGCCAATGACAAACGTGACAATACAAGGAGATAAAACAAAACCTCAGAATTCAGGGCTCAATTGAACATCTACATCTTTCTGTCAACACAGCCAACATCGCGTACTCTCCATACCTTACACCCCCATGCCTACAGTGCAAAAGCCGCTCCCTACCGTCTCCACTCGTCTCTCCAGACCCGCCGATACACCAGTGTACAGTCCTCTGCATAATAAGAATGTTCCTGGGTATGCACCGACTGTACGTGGAAGCTACTGTATATACAGTGCGCGATACAGCGCTAAAACAACCAGATCGTCTGCTTGTAGATCCTGGCTTGACTTTACACGCAGGTATTTCACGTGAAATGTTTGGAGAGGGTTGCCTTGACAACCACTGCAGTTGACGACCCAAAACAAACAAGTTTCGCCCTGGAAAACGAGCTCATCATGTGACCATCAGTTGCAAAGGCCGCGGACACGTTTAAAACACGTACAATACACGTCCGTGTCACCCGTCTACTTGTAGTCTCTTATAGCGGCTGTATACAGGCCCACCATGTCATCACACCAATAGATATAAGATTCGAAACTTTTCCAAATCGAGATGACAGGTAAACAAGGTCACGTGAGAAGCCGTAGCCCACTCGCAATTCACCCACGTGATCGGTACACCTGGACAGGATTATGGATGTCATTAGACATGTCTTAGTTGGGGTTGTGTTGTGTTGTGAGAGGAAAGTTGGTTGGAGTGAATGAGACAGAGACATGTGGACATTCTAGCTCTGGGTCGGTAGAGTGGGAATGTGGGGATAAAAGTGGTGTCATTCGACTCTTCTCACTGAGGGGGTTTCAACCGTATAGTCCTCTTCATATTTGCGCCATTACTGGGCTACAAATCTGGTGCAGTCTCTTGTTGCTATGAGACGATGTCTAGATGTGGGCAGATTGATAAGCACTCATTTTACACGTTAGACTCCAGTGGAAGGCTCGATGATGTCAAGGTGCACATTCAGAGACCCCTCAGATGTGACAGCACGAGTCGGAGGGCTTATTTGGTGCTTGCGATTGCAGAATACGAGGGTCAACACTTGGTTCTGAGACATGGTTTCACCGACAAGTTTCCTGAGGGAATTATTTGCTGAAACAGGGGTGGTATTAGTTGCGCCATCTGGTGGGATGATAATATCGTGTTCGATAAACTGCGATACAGGTTCACTAGCGCTATGTTACTGGGTATGATCCTCATGGAGATAGGTGGGGATAAGAGGAGATAGGGGATGGGATGCAACCGGACACAGGACATGATAATAACACAGCAAGACGGGGTGGATTGCTTTGTTGGAGAAGATAAATAACCTCCTACGGTTTATTAGTCGATGACTATTTGATTCTAGTAGTCTCTAACGTGTCCAGTGTTTTCTACAAGGAGATAGGGCTACTGTCAGTATCTACCCACATCAGATTTGATATACCTGCGAGTGTGAGTACCTTTGACTATTCTCATTAATGCAAGTACACATTCCTCGAACAAGCCAAGAACTGTGCCTGCTTTGACACCTACCGCTCCATTGTTCCTGTTTTACTGACAATGCATTGTGATTGCATCCGGCTACAGTAGCCCACAAGTCCTCATACTAGTACACTTAGCAGTCACAGGGCACGAAAACCCGACTAAAACGTGTCAGTAGTTCGGAGCCAAGGAAAAGTGCGTTTATCAGTTAGAACGGTTGGAGAAGATTACGTCTTCGGGCCACTTTGAACCGCATGTGACAGAGACGTGGGTAGTAGGTAGAATGATGGAGATCGGGTAGAATGATGGAGATTAGGTAGAACGATGGAGATTAGATAGAACGATGGACATCAATAGAAGGGTGTAGGGGAGGGTATCTTATGTAGCAGTCGATATCTGGACCGACTGACCATTGCAAAATTCTTGTAAATCCTCTACTCCTGAAGACATCACCACTGGCTTCAACTGGTCTCTTCGCAAGAATACTGGTAGTCAGTATAAGACATGATCTTGAGGTCCACGAGGGCGGACTTTTCATGTACAGTCCAACGTGACAATGGCAGCAGACCCTCTCAAACCGAGACCATCCTTTTCCCCCCTAATGTTGATGTTTCAAGCCGGAAATAGATGTTGTGCTCATGGTCTCGAAGAGTGGTGGCAGACACAAGATGTAGGCCAAGATGAAGTAAAAATACACGTGAAATCAAGCAATTCTGACGACCATATGTTTTACAAGCACACAGAAGGCATTTATTACGTTCAAATGGTTACTGAGAGACCTTAGGCATTATCAAGAGACCACTGCGTGTGATACAAGATGAATATAATCACAAAAAGCAGATATATATGATTAAAAATGCTCATTATTACTATTAATCATCTTTCTATGGCAGCAAACGCAGTATTATCGATTTTCGACTTTTCTGACTTCATAGATCCTACAGGAAAATGTTCTTGACGCCGTAGAGAACGCCAAAAACGAGTAACACGGATGCCATTGACATCATTGGAATCAGAATGATTCAGTTGACAATATTCAATGATTTTTCAAAAGTTTCTGGCAGTTTGCCAAATAACCCCATTCCGGGCCAGATGGCGTATTAAAACAACAGCTAGTAGTCATTGAAATATGAATACAATGACGCCAAAAAGTACACTGTTGGAATACCCGGTCTCTGAAGATTCATTTCATCTTTTCATTTGTTCCAATATACTGGATATATGGAGATTGGGCTGACAAAGTATCAACTATGCTGGTCGACCACAGTATATAGAGCAGAAAAGAGACCCAAGATCACCAGAAACAACAGGCGCTCTACTAAACCCATCATTTTACACAACAAACATCACAATCTCGCACACCACATTACAAGTACGTCGACTTGGTAATTATGATCTATAATTCATTCTATACATAATCAAATCTGAGTGGAATTGATGTGGAGGGGAGGTTAGAATTGGCATCTCCACCGACTTTCGCTTCTTTTGTCCGCTCGGTCACATCAGCTACTTGCCCCCCATGCCAGCAATCATGGTCAAACTCCACGCCAGGCTCATACCAGGATCCAGCCACTGAGGCTGCATACCCTGGGTGAAGAACTTCCAACTGGCGTTGGGGTCAAAAAGTGCCCGATCCAGCTGAAGAATACCCTTCCAGCCGGAATCAACACCGTCCACAAAGGTGGACACACGCTGATCCCACTCCTGCCGCACAAACTCCTCGTCTCGCATGTAGGACGAAATGGGAGTGGTAGGCAGCATGTGGATACCAATGATGAACTCTGGGTTAATACCAAAGTAGGTGGCATGGTCAACTTTGTTCTCAAAGGTGATACCGGGCACCTTGTTCTTGATGAACTTGGCGGGCTGGTTGGTGTTGTCGTCCTTCATGAACCAGTAAATGTTCATAGCACGTCGCATCACAGCCAACATGAGGTTGGCTCGAGCCTCCATGGCCTGGTTGCCGCTAACCTGCCCCCACAGCTTCATACCGTAGGCGAAGTGATAGTCTTCAGAAGAAGACTCCTCGTCCTTTCCATCAGCAGACAGGAATAGACCCTTGGCCCACGAGTGACCCATATACCAATCAAAAGATCGAGACACTGGAAAGTGGCGATCGTCATGCGACGGGTTGGCGGCGTCTCGCAGCAATGTATCGACCCACTCCCGGTTCTGGTTCAACCACTGACCATCTCCAATCTCAGCATCAACCTTGGCAATGATAGCAGCAGCATGAATGAAGTAGGAGAAGTGGAAGTGGTGATCGTTGTAGTAAGTGTTTCCGAAATCGGCATTGGGGTCGTTGAAGCCAGCAACGGAAATCACACCCTTCCAGGTCGTGTCGTAAACTAGAGGGTTCTGTTGCTTATTGGTGGCAAACATTGAAAAGATCTGCTTGCATCGGTCTAGAAGAGTTCGAGCCCGATCCTTGTCGCCCAAGACATCGTTCAAAACAAGTAGAATGGTCGCAAACTTATCAACGCCCTTGCCAGAGAAGTACATAGAGTCGAGATTGGCCTGGCCGTTGATATCCTGGTCCATCTCCTTGCTAGCTGCGTCAAAAATGAGCCTGAGCGCATTCTGGTCCTGCAGCTGGCTCTGCAAGTCTCGCTTGAGAGGCTTGGGAAGGAATCCAATGTCCCGAGGAAGAGTCTGCTCGGCCATGGTGAACCGGTCGGTGTTATATCCAATGGCAACACCCTTGGCACACGTGTCGAGACGACAGGGGGTCTCTCGCTGCCTGATCTCGTCAACCATGACATGACTCTGGTGCTCCAGCGCGTACATGAGGGGAAATCCACACTGGGACTGGCCCTCAGTGGGAAACTCTAGTGAGTAAATGCCTCTCAGGCCATCATTGTCAATGGTGCCAGATACAGAGCCGCCAGTGGCATATTTGCCGGCAGCAGCATCAAGAGCCTGCTCGCTTCCGGGAGTCTCGGGAAGCACGGCAATCTGAATGACAGCGTTCTGAGCAGCAGAAGTGGCGGCAAAGTGCTGAGGAGATGACTGGTTGAACTGCAGAGCCCCATCAGGTGCATTGACGTACATGATCCATACAACCTGGTTGTTGAGAGTCAGCTTGTATTTTTGTATGTCGCTTCTGACATTCTGGACACGCTCAATGTTGGCAAAGCCGACCTGAGAGCCAATGATGGGCCCCACGCCGTTGTACTTGGCCGTAACCATGCCCATTCCTCGGACAAGAGGGGCAGTAAGACCAGCTGGTCCGCGGCCGATCTGAAGATCAACGCTCAAATGGTCCATTTTGTCCACGACCATGTCCATGCCCTGGGAAAACTCATGGGCTCCGAGGACGAGCGACATAATTCCCACAGGGTTGAAGTAAAACTGGGAGGGGTTCTGGTCGGGGTCGGGGCCGTAGACAAGCTGGGACGCACGGGTGTGCGAGATGGCCAGACCCTGGAAGTTGTCTGTCTTGGACCACCACACAGAGTAGGGGTAGACGTAGGCCGGCAGGTCTCGGTCGCCCAGCAGCATGTTGGCATAAAACTTGTTGGTTTGCTGAGGACCGTCTCGAGCGACAGGGGGTTTGAGAGGGTGTTCTCGGCGTTCAAACTGACTCATGGGGTCGCTCGTGGCGATGGGAACAAAGGGGTTTCCGTTGAACATGGCGGTAGGTTTGGATTGAATGGAAGTGGTGGTCTTGGTCGCAGGCAGTTTATATTTGGTGGGTCTGTCACTGACGATGATCAATGGTCTCGAATGGGTGGCAACGAAGATACTCTTGTTAGTGATTGAGGCAGTAGAAGATGAAGATGACCGACGCTTGGACGAAGACGTGGACGACTGTGACAGTGTAGTACTCACAAAAGAAGTAAAGCTGACAGAAATAGTGACAGATGTACTGCTCTTTGAAGCATCAAAGGTCGGGGAGGTAGCAGGAAAGCCTCGGGGACTGCTGGAACTAGTGTCGGAGTTACTAGATCTGACGAGTGTACTGGTGACTCTGACGGTTTCTGTTAAAGTCGTGGTGGGGTCGGAGGAGCTCTGTTTTGCGTCTGGGTCACTAACGACGTTGATGACACGTGTGGAAGTGGCTCTTGTCGAAATGCTACCGGAAGAGAGAGATGTGCTCTGGTCTGGTGCTGCAGCACGGTTGGTGTCCGTGTTTAAGTTGGCGTTAGGGTTGAGAGAGTTTGGGTACGATGAGGGGACGGAGGGTGTGGTAATAACGACGTAAAAGTGGTCGGATTCGGATTTTGATAAGAGAATTGGGATTTTGGAGACTCCAGGAATCGAAATGTATGCTCCATTTGTCAATTGAGTGCCAGAAACACCAGCTGGATGGGTTCCACTTTTAGTCCCATTCCAAAACAGAGTTGAAGAGCGTGACATATGTGCGCTCCCATCTCCAGACTCCATTGTTGCTGCACCTGCACATGTAGACAGCACTAACAATATGATGAGATGGTAGGGAGGGCGATAGAAGAACATCACGTGATGGGGGAAAACGAGGGTGATTAATGGAGAGTAGGTTTGTGTAACGAGTTTTTGGGTAACGAGTGTGTTTGTTGCCTGAGACGTCGTAGTGCCTGGAGTGGAAGGGATGTCTTCAGCTTGGGTCTCGTCGGAGGTCTGAGACGGCCACGTTCGTTGAGTAATAAGCGTGAGGTTCAGAATGAGGTTCAGGGATGTAGGGAGAGGTTCAGCTATTCATATATGTACCACCATTGAGGCTGTTACATCTCTTCGTTGTGTCGTCGCTTCTTGCGGGAAGGTCTCGTGTGAGAGAGACTGCTTGTAGCCGAAGAAGTACTTGTGGAAGTGCTATTGAAGGTATTGAAAGAGAAGAATACTTAAATGGTCGATTCGATCTCTCAGATATATCTGCAGCAGCTTTATCTCAATAATACCCTGAAACAGGACGCTTATCTCTCACCAGCCTCAATGATTGGGGCGGCTTCGATATCGTTTGTTTTGACTAGTTTAGTTGAGACATTAGGTAGAGTTATAGTGGAAATTTGTGGGGGGATTCTTATGATGCTGCCAAACATGCATGGAGCTGATATAGTATCAATTCCAAGCAGATTTCTTGGTATCGCGGGTATGACTAGGCACAAATCGGAATACCTTTCGAGGTTGGACTTTTTTCCCGTCAAACTGGCAACCTGGCCGAGCGGTTAAGGCGAGAGATTAGAAATCTCTTGGGGTTTCCCCGCGTAGGTTCGAATCCTGCGGTTGTCGCCATCTTTTTGCTGCCCTTTTTGTCATTTTGCTGCCAGTTATAGTCTCCACCGTTTCGACAGCTACAGTAAAGTAAATACTGTACTCGTACTCTCCATTCAAACATAACTTTTATCTATTTTGTATATCTCATTAAATACAAGTCTTGATGGACTCGACAATAAATTAATTAACCGGCAACAGGAGATTTGCAGGTGAAAGAAGAGGTGTTTCCTCCAGGGGCGTCGAAAGCCTGGACCAGGTTGTAGACCGAGGCATAGGCTCCCAAAATGGCAGTGGCCAGAGACATGAGGAAGATGATAATGTTGAAGAGCATCCACCAGGGTCGGCCAGTCAGTCCTCGCTTCCATCGGCTCCAGTTCTTCCACGTGTCGATTCGAGTAACGGTATTTGTGGAGGGATCGTAATGGTCCTCCTTGGAGGCCTCTTCCTGAAGGGTAAGACCGGCGTACAGGAAGGGAGGCAGAGTGTAGGAGAACTGCAGAATACAGATAGCTCCAACCAGAGAGACCAAAGAAGAGAACTGGGGGATGGCAGAAGCAATAACAAAGGCAACAGCCCAGTAAACGAAGACAGCAAGGGTCCACAAAACTCGTCCTCCAGCAGAATCAGTAATGTTGGGGAGTCGCAGAACTCGCTGGAACACGGTTCGGTAGACAACCTTGACACCAACGTTACCGTACAGAGCGGCGGCAATGAGGGCAGAAACAACTCCGATCATGTTGAGGGCATCCTGCCAGTTCTTCTCGTATCGAGTCTCACTGGGGACACCCTGGTTGGCGGGGTTCATGACAAACTGGCCCTGGTAGGCGTAGACAAAGACTCCAAAAAGCATGTAACAGCAGTAGATGACGGTCTGGGCGGTCAGCATTCCCTTGATGAAGTCTCTTGGTCGTCGCATCTCGGCGCAGAACTCGACAAACATCATTGCTCCTCCGTACGAGTAGACAATGTTCATGAGACCCTGCAGCTGGGTCTGGAAGGGGATATCGGTGGCGACAGCGGAGGTCTTTTTGGGAGGCAGAGGGGAGCCGTATACAAGTTCGTTACCTCGCACGTTGATACCGTACTGTCGGGCGAGACCCATAGTGGCGAAACAAATGGCCAAGTTCATCCAGATGGCAAAGTTGGCGAGGAAACCAAAGTTCTTAAGAGATCGAATCTGACCAACAAGCATACCGGCTCCCATGAAGATGATACAGAGGGCAGCGAAACAAACGTGGGACTTGCCGTCTTCGGAATGGTTGGCAGCGACCTGGGACAGAGCCTGACCGTTGGAAAGAACCAGAACACCGACATTACACCACAGCTGGATAGCCTGCAGCAGATCGACGGCGAGTCGGAAAACGGGGCCGTAGATTCGGGTGGCCATGTCTCCGTAGGTTCGCATGGGGTATTGGGGACTGTCCATCTTCATGTACATCTTGAAAATTAGCCATCCGGTGTAGGCGGCGGTAACCGCGAGAACAGTGAAAAGGAAGATACCGGGGAAGTATCCGAGAGTGGAAATGGAGTAGGGAGCACCTGTGGGGCCCATGATATCAGTAGTGATCAGATAGAAGACAGACATCCACGAGGCCGTTTTGAGGGCCTTGTTGGCCACAGCCATGTCCTCCTTGGCGCCGGGAATGCCTTCAAGCACGCCCTCCTTTTCGTGGTCGTGGTTGTGGGTGTGGTCTCCTCGGTAGTCGTCGGGGTAATCCTGTTTTTCGAGCGCAGCTTCTTCCGAGGCCTGTTCAGACACAATGACGGGCTCGGAGTTTACCACCTCAGGCTCCTTTTTCTTGAAGAAGCGGGCAAAGCCCGGAATCAGCGTAATCTGGTCCGGAGGCAATGTGTCTTCTCGTCGTCGCTGGATGGCGGCGTAGTAGTAGTAGGCCTCTCGGGGAGCGTGGTAGTTGAGCTGGTCCGAGTCGGCCTCCTCGATGATCATGATGGGCTCGTTGGCGGCATCCAGATGCGGATGGTCGTGATGGTGGTGTTCTTCATGGCCCTCGTAAGCGGGAGCCGGGTCGGATCCGTCGGCTGCTCCAGCCTCAGGCTTCTCCTTCTTGAATCGAGAAAAGACGCCCATTTGAAAGCGAAAGATGAGCAAAAGGTGGAACCAAAACCACACCGGAGACACCCCACCAGATAAATACTGCCCGTGGAGGTCCGCCGCCGCTTACTCACCGGCTCACCCGCTCACAAACCATAAAAGTGCCGTTCATATCAAACTTCACGTCCAGGCCCTTGTTCGCCGCATCGGCCCTGCAGTACCAAGCCCAAACTGCACACCAGTTCAAAGTGAAAATGCCTCGATCGAGGGGAGCCAGGGGGGGGGGATGCTCTTTGTCCCTCGTCTTGTGAACGGCGGCGAACCCCGGAAAAACACATTCTGTACGGCCGCGTGGTACTAGACCACTTCGTTATCTCAAAGGAGCAGCTTATCAGGTTACGGTTACGGTTGTTTTGTTTTTTTCCTCTTCCAACTTTTGTATTTGCACTTTTCCTATTAGCCTTCCGCTCGACGCATGGACCGACTTGGCAGAAAAAAGCTAAACGGTCCAAAATCCGGAAAAATGAAGAGGCAATCAGGGGGGGTTTTGGCACTAGTCGAATTAACACCCGCCAAAGACCAGATTGCAACGTTTATCCGCCACCATCCCACCTAAAACCACCGCTTATTCATCCTGTTAAGACGTTAAGCTCCGCCACTGCCGTGTGAAACTTTTTACCTTGCCATCCGTCTGGTGGTGGCCTTGTTCGTGAGGCGCTCCTAAGAGACGGGAAGGGAAAAAGCCGATAAGAGCAGCCAATGGAAATGCTGGAGACTCGCAGAGGTGTCACGTGACTCCTTCCGTGGGGCTCCTGCCACGCTTGAGTGCCTGCGCACAGGACGACCGCCTACCCCCCTCATCTACCCACCTCGGTTATAGAATCTTGTAGCGAGAGTAAATGCTAACACCAAATAAGCCTGGGTGCCGTATGGGGTTGCTAGTGATTTTCGGGGTCCGTTGTCCTAAGCCACAGAAGGGACAAATGTGACACTTTTTGCCCATTTGCCCCGGCTAAAAATGGACTCTCAGAGTGGGCGTCCAGCACCGGCTCCCGCAAAATTGTCGACCACCTCGTAAACCACCAGAACAGGTCCAAGAGTTCCATTTTTCCGGCTTGGCAAACGCATTCCAGTGCCTTACATTAAACGGCAGTGCAGTAATATGCATCCTCGGAACGGCAGGAGTTTCGGGCGAAAAAAAAGATGCGGTAGACGCAGAAATGAATAGAGTGACTGCAAAAGCACACTAACGGGTATCAACTGACAGGGGACACCCAGAAGCTGCTCCCGAGTTGCATGATTTTGTATGAATTGGCCATTTTCAGACCCATAGTCGCCTTCAAACGCCCTCCAGACATGTATATGAATGATGTCATTCACCCCATAGTAAGTAACATGACTCTGAACATAATGGAGGTTAAGTCGCTTCGGCTGTCGAAGTTTTTCACACAGACTTTCGCATATTCCCCATCCAGCAAGTCGCGTGACTGAGATATTAAAAATCTCACCAGTCCGCCCCCACTTTGTGTTCCTTGTCTCTCAACGTCTATCTCCTACATTGTAGTCTGTCTCGGAAGTGAAATTTGGGAACTCCTCCAGAACCGTCAATATTGGTCCAATAGTTGAGAAAAAACCACAGCGGTGTTCTCCGTCTCCCAATTATCGTTCTGGTCAAGTGTTCCTCCCCTATATCGCTGCTACTGGTTCAGTTAGCAAGATTGCTGCCGCCAAAGTTACGGTGGAAACAAGCCCAAAGTTTCAGCGCCTCACCATGGCTTATTTTGACCGCTGCTGGCCGTCCCTGGCCGTCCCAACTGACAGAGTCAAAGTGACAGTCGTGCTGCCTGCGATTCGTATTCTCAGAGAGCATGGTTATCATCGGGTCAAGCCACAGATAGCGATTTAAGAACCGCCTTAGACGTTTTCAGACTCTCGTAGGTTGGAAGCCTGCAGTAAACCACGTTATAACGCACACTTGCTGGTGAAGATGTGTTTCAGACGGCTTTGGGCGTCTTACTCGTACTTGACTGCTACAGGGCTGTGGCTCCAAGACATGTTTGTGGGGAGGAAAGGCAATGGGGTGTGTTCGTGATTCATCTGTATGTCCTGTACCCACTCGTAACCCGGACAAATGGGCCATGGTCCTGGTTGTCTCTCCGGTCGAGTTGATGACTCCGCACGAGCTCGGGTGGGACCAATTGTCAAGAAGTGTCGCCGACAACCTCACAGAGGCTTCGCAACAAACATGTTAGCTAAATACTAACTAACGTCAATCTTTTTATTAACTGACAAAAACTCCGGACAATCTGTGTGTCTCTCGTTGTACCAGTACCATAAATCACTTCCATGCTTGGATAAGTGTCAACTTTGACAATCTCGGGCCAGCCCAGAATGGCGACTGAAAAGCTCACTACAGGACACAAAATCATTGAAGCGCTGCGAAGAAACATTCGCGGACGTTTCGACATGAATTTCTGGGTCGAAATATCGTCAGGAGTTGAGGCCTGCAATGCCTTCCAATCTGCCTGCAGAAACATCTTCCAAGTCTGTCTACTCTTTTTCTGAAGGAACAATTCAAGCACATCCCCTGTCCTCGTCACCCGTGTGGTGTTTGGAGCACTCTACCTGCTTGGTCAGGCTCAAGCCAGTTATTGGAAGTACAGGGGCTCTATCGAACGGCTTCTGGCTTACATTGAAAAAGCCCCAGATACTCTCTAAACAATGGACGCCCATGTTCATGTTCATACCTTGGCTCTGTGCCCATGTCACGCTGGCAACCTGGCATTCGGCGCAATTCTGCAATGTCTGATCCCATCTTTGCAGCGATGCTAGGGGCCATGGTTATCTCCTCAAGAAGAACATCTTCTGCCTGCTCGAGAAGATCTCAAAGCTGGACAGCCCAGACATCGACATCATCTCAGAAGCGGTGAAAAAAGATCTACTTGTAATCTGCAGGCAGTTTCATTACCCCCCACCGAGGACGCAGACAACTCCAGGTTTGTCATCTAGATCGAGGAGCTCGTCTATCTCTACCAAACTACAAGTGGCTCACCAACGCAGACAAGGATTACTGTTATTCCCTTCATTTTTGCTTGGGGCGAAATTTCGATAACTTGACGGCTCTGGAGCACCAGTTAACGCTCGAGCCAGTGACAAACCTCCATTTGGCACTATTCTTCTTTAAGAAGGTCAAAGTCTGGTTAGATAATGAAATGAGTAACACTCGGTCTCTCGTGCCATCCTGCCGACGCTCAACTGTCCAGGTGAGGTCTGCTGGTGTGGAAAGAGACGTTGAGAAATTTGGTGCAACAGATAGCACGCAAATGGAGTGTCCCAAAACTGTACTCGTTCGCCAGCTTACTAAGAATGGCTGCTTTTGCACCCTCTGCGATTACTTTGGACACTTTCATCCATCCCCAAGCGCACACGCAATTGCTGGTGATAACTTCATCAGGGGGAACGGTTTGTTTCATCTGCTGCGGTTCAGCATGGCATCAAAAGTTCATATGGTGACCCTGGGACTCCTCAGTATCATAAAAAGAGCGAGAAACAATTCCAACTAATGTTTTACTGTACTAGGCATCGACTGAGCAGCTCAGAGACACCAAGTACTATTGTTAGGGGTGGTAAATGGTCTTTCTGTAACTTGGAAGATCAGGAAAGCGACAAATCGGGGTTCTCGATCTCAATGAAAGTACAAGAAGAGTGGACGAGTGCGGTTATTGGTTACGGCACCATCGTTGCTCCTACTACAGTACATACTGTACCCAGGTCAGCTCTATCCCTCCTGCTCCTACAAATACCACTGCTCTGAACAGCAATGCTGGGCCCACCACCCATACCAACTCCACTACTGCTCTTCCCACAACTACTGGTGTCCTGAAAGCCATTTTGTTCCCGTCTCCTCTACGCAGTAAATTCGTTGTTGTTCACTTCTACATGTCCTGTGATTTAATTCTGATCAGTGATATACCCATTGCGAGCCTGGTTGACTTAGGCATGTTGACACCTTTCGCTAAATCTCACTCCTCATGCTTCTCACTAAGGAAAGGTTCAGCTTCCTCCTCCTCAGATTGGGCACTGGCCTCCAGCCTCGCCTGGTACTCCTTCTGCCACTTGAGATAATCCCGGTTGCTGTGTCTAACGAAGACAACCATTGCGACCACAAAGGACCCAAAAGAGGCAATAAAGATATGGGAACACTTAACCAAAAGATCACCCAGTCAAAGCCGTTTGAGTATTCTCTCTTGTGGACTGAGTTGACCATTCTGTCAGTGACTTGGTTACAGAACCACCATTCAACGGAACAGATATCCACAACGAAAGTTCTTTCACACGAGGGACCTCTTCATCTGCTTCAGCACCCCCCTCAAGATCGATATCTGAAGCTATTTTAGTGATTGTTTGTCTGTCGTATTGTCGTCTTGCGCATGATTGAGCCTCATGCTGATCACACGAGGGACCCAGCCTGTATACAAGGGAGTTTGATATGGAGGGCACAAACTTCGGAGACCAACTTACTGCACAAGTCCAGTTCAATACCTGTAGTTAATTGGCGATCCTGGAGGATGGTAGAATCTTTGAATGACTGAAATTCGAAAAATATCCTGGGATTCAGTTGTACATACTGGACTAGACGTGAATGTTAGCCGAACCACCACCCCAATCACTGTAGTACAATTGCTGTCTGGATTCTCCTTCGTGCACAACACATACAAGTACCGGTACTTACTATACATACCTTATGGCGGCCACACTACTTGTAGCGCCGTATATGCCCCCTATCGGTCGATCAATGTTATCCCTGATGACCGGTGCCCACATCATGGAGAGGTTGAGAGTCAACATTGGGACATGCTACGGCTTACAAGACAGAAGAGCTGTACAAAAAAAACCTCTTCAGGTCTCCCATATCACCAGCTTCCATCAGTATAAACACCTCAGAACAAGAAAATCCGTCACACCATGTAAGGTGGAGAAGGCGGGCTGGTGTAACCTCATATGGGTCATTTTGGACACAACCCCTGTGCCAATACGTACCTGAGCCCAGATGTACAGTCCTCGTCTTTGTTTGTGACCTGTTTTATTGCCTCTCTATTGGTTCTTTAGTATCTACCGCTGACACTTTTCCGTAGAATTTTTTTTTAAAAAAAAAACATATCTTATCTTGCGCCAATGATGCCTGCCAAGACTGCGTATGCATGATAAGCAGATTAGCCGAGGCACCGTGCAAGTGAAGACGCAACAACAAACTGGATATCACACAATGAATATTGACTAAGGCATCTCCTTCAACTCCAGCTATTTCATATGAACCCTCAGACCTTCTCCCAGACTCATGGTGATATGGGTCTTGAACAGCACTGGTAGACCCTTCCTGTCTCGCCATTCGATCTCCGTAAACTCCTGAACCAACCGAACAATGACATATGCAGCCTCAGTCAAAGCATACTGCTGGCCAAGACAGATTCGTGGACCGCCATTGAAGGGCAAATACTCCCATCCTTTGGGACATGCAGGTTCCCCCCACCGTTCAGGACGGAACTCGGAGGCATCAGGTCCCCAAATATTCTGGTTGTGGTGCATGAATAGCACAGAGTACGTGACAATCTGGTTCTTGGCCACAAATATGGGTTCGTCATGGTTCTTACCACCTCCAGTAGGCAGTGTTGTGTCCTTGTTCGCCTGTCTCATGTTTATGGGAACAGGAGGACACAGACGAAGAGCCTCGTTGATGACATAACGAAGGTAGACACACCGCTTGAGAGATTCAAAGGTTATGGAGTCTGTGCTGGTCCCAAAGTCAGTCATAATGCCTTCTCTCAGTTTAGCTAGCTTCTCGGGATTGGCTACCAGACACAGGAACACGAAGGACAAGAGCGCCGCTGTAGTGTCTCGTCCAGCAATGAGAATGTTGATAAGCTGGTCTCGAATAGCCACTGGATCACGAGTACGCTGAGCAAGCTCGTAAAGGAAGGTGTACTTCTCTGCACTCTTCATCTGGAGCTCTTGGGGTGTCAGTTTCAAGGCTTGGTTGACAAAATGGTTGGAAAAGGCATGGACTGTGTTGACAGCCGAGTGGAATTTTTGTCGGTAAAGAACATCTCCCCAGATCCAATAGAACCTCTGAAGCTTGGAACGCATTGCCGAGAACTCGAGGGCCGTGGTCAGAGCAGCTGGGTAGGCCTTTCGAATATCTTCAGACACAGAGACCTCAAAGACAGGCGAGTCGCGTGGAGAAACACCTGACTGGAGGCTGTTCTCTGAGCCGATTCCCAGTCCTTTCTTCTCATATGTTCCATAGATGGGCTCCCATTCGTTCGGAACGTTGGAGTGGTGGTCACGAGATTGGAGAAGGTTACGCTTGCCGTCCGTCATAACGTGTGTCTCCTTCTTGGTCTCTTTGAGACAATCTCCGAGGGAGTCTACTGACTCTCCGTACAGTAAATTAGTGGCTGTGTCCATTGTTAGCATGAAGAACAGTTCCTGAATATCGACTTCTCCCTTGAGAGCCACTCTTCGCTTGACAATTGCCATCAGTTGTTGTAGAGATGTTTCAAGGGAAGACAAGGGGCTGACCGTTTCCTTTGAAAACTGAGGTCGCAGTAGAGCTCTCGAGTGTGCCCAGCCTTGGCCGTCCAAAGTGAAGATTCCATCTCCCATGAGGGTGAAGAGTAAAGCATGTCGGGTCTTTCCGAGATCGTAATCGGAGAATTGCGTGGCTAAGAGGGCCTTGATGTTTTCGGACTCGGACGTGTAGATGACCAGTTCTCCTCCTAGCGAGACGATGAAGGTGCGTAGTTTGGTGAAATAGTCAACAACTTTGGCACTGTAGAAGCGATCACGGTTACATCGAACCACCGCGTAGATTAACCACCATCCAAATAAACCCGTGGATTGCTGGGGGCATCTGGCCAGCTTTAGTCGGTACTCCTTGTAACGTCTATGAACAGTGTTGACTTGAACGTTTAGTACTAGCAAAAAGAGCGTAATGGGGATGATCAGTAAGGGTAGTAGTAGTAGTTCGAGATTGATCTTGGTAAATGGTATCATCTTAGAGCGTTTCTGTGTTGATATGTTGTAGTTTTTTGAAACACCTGGTTAGGGTATATATCGTAATCTCATGTCTTTGTGTGGATGTATCTGGTACACTACTACAACCCCTTGATTCCTCCACCCTAAAGACGACTTTAAAACACACCTCGACATGTGATTGATACGCTAACAGAACCCCGAAGACGCTAGCGGGGATCGTGACTGTGGGGTAGCGGCTGCACGTGGTTGTGTCGGTGTGGGGACGAGTACGAGGCCACCCCGGGACAATTGAGTCACGTGAGGTTGACCATTGGTCAATGGTTATCCAAGTTGGAGTGCTTCGATTACGTTTGATTTCATGCAGTTATTATATCATGTTGTAAACATCTCGTCAATGTGGTGTTGTGCGACTGCTTGTACAGGGAGAGTTTTATCTAGGTCAAAGCTCAAGATTTCATGTAGCAACTTTTGAGGTAAATATACCAACACTTAGCCCTTCTTCTGGTGATTCCATTCGTGGACAGAACCTGTACAGTATCCGCTAGAGACTCTACGTTGTGGCTGTTCGGAGATCTACTTGTACTTTGATCAATACTGAACTGCGTCGGGTCTCCAACTGAATGAGGAAAAGATGGACAACTTTCCATATTATTAATTGCGATTCAGGTGTCCCTCAAAGAATGCTCTTGTGCTCATACTCGTACCTCTTCCCCTCCTCTCTCTGGTGGTCTGAGCGTGTAATTGAGGGGACAAGAATGCAACCTCTCGTAGTTGGTCAATAACGATACAAAAAGAATAGGGAAAAATAAACGAGAGAGATACAAGTGCAACCTGCAGATACATCTCCATGATTACCACAATAAAGCGCCCAATTGGTCTCCGCCTCTTGTTGATGTTTCCCACCAACCCCAGTTGATGTAACATTGAACTAGCAACCAGGAACGTCGGTACTTGCACTATTTTACCCCACATAACTTGGTTTTATTAATTGATTATCTACGGGTATAGTAATCACAGTCCCCTCTTGGGGAGAGGGGAATGGTCTCTCAAGGGAGTAGATTACTGGTATTGTAGAGTACAGTACCTACTGTACAGTATGAGCGAGGAGTAGCAATGGTATAAGCAATAAAGAGAGCATGTTTCTGGACTGTTCTTGTACTATCCTCGAATAGACATGTTTCGGATCCTTGTCTCAAGTTCAACTTTCGTTTCGTGTCGTCGATCTCTTTTGGGAATCCAACTAACCTGAACCCACTACAAACTGAACAACTGTATGTATAGTAGTGGAGCTGTAAAGGAGTGGACTGCATTTCTGTAATCATCTGAGGAGCAGCTATCAATTGGTGTAATTTTCATGTACGAAACCCAACAACTCCAGCAAACAAGAGACTCCTTGATCGACGGTGTCGTCCACACAAGCTTCCTTTGCCAGAACACTTTTGAGGTCTTCAATTGACGGCCAAAAGTTGTGGGCAGTTGTCAGTTTGCCCCTCGTTCAATATACTACCAATTTAGTGGTCTTTTCCCTCTTTCTTGCGTATTACTTACAAAACCGTCGAGTAAAATCTGCAGCTGGTACCGACTCTAGCCCAACCAACACTTGGACGTTGCTTAGCAGAAGATTCGGGAGATATCCGACGTAGAAGAAGATGAAGGAAGTAAACGATTGTACTCCAATCAACTTTCGCATCATTTTTGTCCCAATAACCCCACCTTTGCTATTCACAAATGACTTCTTCACCTCTCGGTTTCTCCTTCTACAGTACATGTCTAGTCAAAGCATGTGGTTCTGCTAGGTAACAAAAATCACCTATAACTACACATATCGTCTAAAAAAAAACCACCCATGAACCCAGATCTTCGTCTTCCCTTCATTTTACACCCCTTATCATTCATCTCCATCTGATCTGCTGACTAATCAACACATGCACTGTGCATATCTCGCGCTATCTTTTACCCCTCCACCTACACCATCATGACTCGAACGAATCTCGCCTACAAGGTCGGCGCTCACGTGTCGACCGCCAAGGGCGTGCAGAACGCCGTAACCAACTCCGCCAACATGTCAGGAAACTCGTTTGCGCTGTTTCTGAAGAGCCAGCGACAATGGACGGGTCGCAAGTACGATAAGAGCGAAGTGGACGAGTTTCACGACCTGTGCAAGGAACACAAGTACAGCGGAAAGACGGACATCTTGCCACATGGCTCTTACTTGATCAACCTCGCGTCTCCCGACGCAAACACCGCCTACAACTCTCTCAAGGGCTTCATTGACGATCTGCAGCGATGCGAGCTGCTCGGCATCTCCAAATACAACCTGCATCCCGGTGCCACGGTAGGCTACGACAAGAAGAAGTGCATCGAGAGGCTGGCGGCCAACATTGACCGGGGCCTGGAGGCTACCAACTTTGTGCAGGTGGTGCTGGAGAACATGGCTGGTCAGGGTACCACCCTCGGTGATCTCGATGATCTGGCTGCTATCATCGATCTGGTCAAGAACAAGGAGCGTGTGGGCGTTTGTATTGATACATGCCACACCTTTGCCGCTGGCTACGATCTCAGAGACGAAAAGTCGTTCAACAAGTTCTGGAAGCAGTTTGACAAGCTCATTGGATACAAGTACTTGGCAGGCATCCATCTCAACGACTCAAAGACACCTCTCAACAGCAACAGAGACCTGCATGAGAACATTGGATACGGTTTTCTTGGTCTGGAGGCTTTCAGACTGGTGATGAACAAGCCTGAGCTGGAGGGGCTCCCCCTCATCCTGGAGACTCCAGGAGAAGACGATATTCGAGCTGAAGAGGTGAAGCTGCTGGAGGAGCTGATCGGCAAGGAAGCTGATGATGAGTTTGTGATCAACAAGTCCCAGGAGCTGCAGAAATTGGGCGAGAAGAACCGAAAGGTGGAGCAGGAAAAGATGGATAAGAAGAAGAAGACCAGCAAGCCCGAGAAGCAAAAGCCCCTGGAGCGGTGTCTGGAAGACAAGCACGTGCTGGAGCAGTTTGAAAAGGACGCAGACAAGTACGTTCGAGAAAGAGACATGATGAGCGAGATTATGAAGGGAGAGGGAGACGAGAAACCGAAGAAGCGGGCCAAGAAGGTCAAGGAGGAGATCAAGGAGGAGGAGCTCTAAGTACAGTACATGTACTGTAGGCGTGTATCATATTCAAGTCACAGTTTGTCGCCTCAGAACTATCCATGCCTGCATCGTGTGCATTATGTCGTCTCAAAAGTCCAGCAATACGCTTGAACTAATATAGAATGTATTTTTAGTAGATTAAACGGTAAGGGTGGTCCTGGGACTGCCTACGATAATTAATTGGAGATCAAGCAACGGCGAAGCTGAGTCGAATCCCTCAGTCAGCTTTGTCAGCATCATACAGTGTCTATAGAGTCAATACCTATACTCTCTCCTATATTGTATCGGTGGCTGCCTATCATAGCAGCGGAATTATGATCGGATACGAGAAAAAGCAATTCTGTAGCTGCAAGTAGAGCTGTGAAGAAGGGCAAGATCCTGATTCCATGTCTCAGTATAAGCCATCAGGAGCGTCGACATGGGATCGTTTCTCGCTCTGTACAGCTTTTCCATCTTCCGAATACCTGTTCCTCCTCTCTCGACTCTAATAAATACCTCAATACGGTTTTTCTCGCGATAATATCGTCCAAGCCTTGGTGAAACAGAAACACGGGATATGAGACAAGTGAATACGCGATACCAAATATCTCTCAAAGTGGCTATTAGCCAAGGAGATGTTGGAAATTGGAGATTGAATATGGAAACAAACGTGTGGATGGTGATCTTTTGATCGCCCTCTGCTAGACAGTATCAGACTCCAGCACCTCAGGCATGGTTCAGCTTGCCAACCCCTTCTTCATGTCCAATACAGCACATGCACCGTAAGACACGACCAAATTGAAAGATGAAAGTCAACGCGAGTCACAGAGTTGGGTGTACGTACTTTCACGGTATTTTCCAGTAGCGATTGTTGTTGGGGACAACCTGGAAGCACCACCTCTACATCTACTCGCACGGCATCCCTCATGGGTGTGATCTGGAGCCCAGACCGTCATACTATCGCCAAGCTGTGGCCCACCATGTAATTCTTTATATACTATATTTATGCGCTTGATGAGAAGACTATAGGAGATTCCGTCAGTTGGGCGAACCTGGCTCGTCATTGTCCGTCTGTCGCGGTTGGAACCAAGGCCATAAGGATGATGGCGGTCTTGGTGCAATGTGCTTTGAACCTCTGTGGACACCTTGTGAACGGCTCCGTAGCTCCCCTTGGTTTGAACTCCACCAGAAACTTGGTTATCAATTTTGAGGGGTTGAGATACCAGACTTGGTCTGGCCACTGTTTGGCGCCTCATCAAATAGACACCTGATCCAGAGAAATGCGATCGAAGGATGCCCTTCGCTTGGCCGGTTCCAGCCGGTAGAACTTTTCCCGTCCGTCGTTTGATCGGCCTCCAATCCACAGCTTGTCGTGTGGCGATTCGCTGAGGTCCGCAGTCCCACTTGCCTGCTGCGCCGTCTGCGCCGTCTGCGCCGTCTGCACCGCTGGCTGTGTCTGAGTCAGGGTCGGCTGCTGGGGCTGCTCAGGTATCGAGTGGTTGTCGAGCATCTTGTACATCTGCGACGTGGGGCCGGTGGTGACGGTGGCTGTCGATGCGGAGGTCTGTGTGGTGGTGTTGCGTTGATACGACGTGGAGAAGCTTCCAAACAGCAGCGAAATGAACGGTCTGCTTGTTGGCATGGTGCTTGTGTGACAGACTCTGTGCGGTGTCTGTGTGGACTCTGGACTCTGTGTTTTCTACCACTACTGTACCCGTAGTTGAGTGGTGATGAAAGGTGGGAGGTTGTGTGTGTGAGTGTGTCTTGGCGTGAGGAGTAACCCGACAAACGTTTTGTTTCCGTGTGGGAGTGCCGTTTATGGGTCGTTTGTTGTGGATGTGCGCCGCCACTGGGGGGGAGGGTTTGTGCGCTTTTTGTGTCACTTGGCGTCTGCGGCGAAACAGTATAAGTAGACGGGCTCCGGCTGCGTCGCGGCCTGGGTTTGGGTGTGTGTTTTGCGAGTGCTAAAAGTTGGTCTGGCTGACCTTGTTTGAGGGTCGTATAGTTAGACACGGCTTATCGGATGGAAGAGAGTTTCTGACGTTGTGCCAACGTTGGTAATGCATGTGATGCGAGATAAAGCGAGCAAGGCAAGGCAGTGGCAAGCAGGCAAGGCCAAAAAAAAAAAAAAAAAAAAAGAGGGGAACAGCAAGATGGGAGCAAGAGCAACCACGCGACAAGAAGCTACCTGTACTCAGACAAGAGCAAAAACCGCCCCCAGCAGATCGATCGACCTCCCTGGAGCTCCGCTTTCTGCCCCTCTCCCCGACACATTCCAACCCTGTTAATGGCATGCCATTATCGCGTTAATCGCTCATGTCTAAGTTGGCACTATCCAACAACCAGTCCGCTACAGGTACAGTACCTCCCCGAGACGATCGTACGAGTATGTTACATGTCTGCATACAAGTCTTTTCTCACGTGTGTCCGTTCTCAGCCTCCTCACCTCATAGTATGTATCGCCGGTGGTTTCCCGATCCGACCAGTGTCTCATTTAAAAGTCATGTGATCGGAGAGTACACAGATCACGTAGGCGTTCACGAGGCCAGTGAGATTGGAGTCGTGCTGTTGGTCTCCAGGCCAATATCCGAGCTCCACCTAAGGACCTATCCCGAGCGTTTCTCGACCTACCGTACGTTCCGACAGTTTTGCCTGTACTTGTGTACTGGTTGCACCTACTTTACTGGCTGGTACGTACTGGTATGCATTTATAGTTCGGTTCCGAAACCCCCGATGTTGCCGGTCAAACAAGATGGCAGGTAAACGGTATGGACCGCATGGTGGAGTGCCGTGTGGTATTGAAAGACGTCTTGAAGTCGTGAATACGCAGGGAGGGTGTTTTACCGGGTTCTCCAGGCGTGCAAGTACAAGTTGTCTAGGTCAGCCCGAGTCCTTATGCGGGGTGATTAGGACGTGTATATGGATGGTTTGGTTGTATCGAGGGTGTGAAATATGCGTAGACCGTCTACTTGTACGGAAGGGACATGCTCCTATGCTCCCGTAAAAGTACATGTACTTGAAATATCTCCTTCAAATCACTCCGTCTCTCAATACATCAATCACTCCATCTCTCGACTCTATTCGCGACACCACCCAGAATCGAACTCGCGATACTATGGACAGCCACTCGCAAGCTGTCTAGTCGGACCACGCAAATATCTCGGTTGTCACGTTGGAGCGGCCAAGACGACCGTCACAAGACACCCATTGTGTCTGACCATCCTTCAAAACAATCGAAATACCTGTCCAACCCCCCAACCCCCCAAACGGTCCACTTCATCTCCCGTTCGAAGAGGGGTTAGGGTAGTCATTTTAGCCAGCGACGTTGGGAGTTTGAAAACAAGGTTCGGGCATTCCCTCGACCCTCATTGGTCCGGCTGGCTGGGTCTATTATCGCCAACTTTTCAAGTGTCTGACTGCACATTAGTTCTAACCCAAGCAGAAATGTCTGGAATTCAGGTGAGTGACATTGTGAGAGAAGGCGGCGAGAGCGGAGAGGGCGAGCGGCGAACGACAGGATGGCGGGGCGTTTTCGGACCGCTTCTTGATGGATTGCGGGAAGGATAATGGAATGAAGGAGCGGTAATTTGCTGGGACGCAGATATGGATGGTCTGATGTTTTGAGGAGTTTGAGGAATACGAGACTGAGTGGAGGTCGTGGTAACAGCCGACAGGTGAACGACGATAATTCCCAGACGACGTTCGAACAGGACTTTGTGATGGTCTGGTTAGGGAGCGCAATATGGCGTGATGTACGATACACGTCTGCCTGACTTCAGCAACTCGACAAGTCAAAAGAGGGATGATGATCTGCGGAGAGGGTGACGTGAGTTGATGATTGATGACACGGCTGGATAACACGACCCGTCCGGACGCCGCAGTACCCACGAGGAACGTCCCACGTCCCATTCATAATAACAGCACCTCGACCAACAAGTGCTATGTTACCACAACTGTCTCTAGGAGATATGCCATGGTAATCAAACATGCGCTTGTCTACCGATCATCCAATACCTGACATAATCGTCTACAGCGACACCTTCGCCGCCAAGCCCTCGGTATGGAACACCAGTGGGGTAACACGATCTTGCTAGACGTCACCAGGACATGCAATGACATCCCGCATGATTCAATCCCCGTTGACTCAGAGTTCTTCGCAGTTCTACGTTACATTTGCTACAGAACAATACTAACCCAGTACGTTAAGAAGCCTTCTTACAAGATTGTCCCCCACTTCCTGGGCTTCAACATCCCCACCGTCTCCAAGTGGATCCCCATCTTCGGTATCTGGGGTGCTGCTGCCGGTATCGGTGCTCTCTTCCTCATCGAGGGTGTTCCCCGAACCCGACAGGACATTCTCTCCAAGATCCCCATCATCGGTGAGCACTGGATCCGAGAGATCCCTGCTTCCGACAACCCTTTCTAATCGAGGTCCCTATAGATTATACATTGATATTAAAAGAACAAAAGAACAAACGAAGGCTTTTGGTATGCCGACTGTAGTGTGTGTTGCACGGACGACCAAGGTATGCCCCAAGAACGAGGGCACGACAGCAATGCGTATTGATGGGTTACGTAGAGAAGCAGCGTCCGACATACAGCACATTCACTACAGTGCTCAATCCAATGCTCCACCCGCTGTTTGCAGACCCTTTCCAAATTGTGGCTACCACTTGGATGAGCAGTATTGTTCGTATCTCAACACCATCATCATACACCCGAGTCATGAGTCCATATTCAGCACGAGCACCAACAATCTGTCTCGAATCTCATGACGAGAAGTCTTCAAATCATATTGCCCGAGCGCTTCATGATTACCGACAGTACATTTGCCTTGACTTGAGTTGATTCGAGCAATGGGGGTATACTTGGATATCTGATGAAGATCGCCAGGCTGGGGTTTCCACGTTTCTTCCAACTCTGAGACTTTTCATTTCAGAATGGCTAGACTTAATCCAGGGCTGGAGCTGGTTATTGGAGTGGTCTGTGTCCCTATGTACGCTTGAGATGTTGACCTTGATACCCCGAGGCTCTCCAAGCAAGCTCTCTCTTACCACATTTCGACCAGACCTTTGGCGGAATCTTTTACGGAACGTTTGTCTAAAAGGTCAATCCATGTCTCTCCGACACGGTCTTTTGCGGTCTCCACAATGGCTAAGATGCCATTGCAAAAGAGCTCAAGATACCCTTGGAAAGAGGTCAAGATAGCCTTGAAAAAGTAACACTGATGCTATTGGAACAGACCGTGTCTTACGTAGGCCTCGACAAACTACTGGATGTCTGATGAGAAACATTTTATGATGTCTGGCCAGTCTGCCTACCCGGGTTACTGCCTCATCTCTGTCTTACTCAAAGTACCACCACTAATCTGTCTACTTGCTCAAGCAGGGACTCATTCTACAGTCGAGCCGGCAATACTACAACCTTCTGTCCCCGAGAGCAGTCACCCATGGAAGTTGCAAAGCCGCAACACAAGCCCTATCTAGCGACTCTCCAAATACTCCTAATTGGTGCGTCGCTCCCGACATCGCCAGCAAGTACCCACTATGACCAGCTACGGTCATCCTGGCCAACAGATTGGGGGCTCGGTCCACCCACTAACGGCCTCAAAGGCGACCAACTAAAAGTATGGACTATCGACTTCTAATCAAGTCTAGTCTCTCCATTATTGGTACACAACCTTCAATATGGTCATGGACTAGTCTGGTCTTGAGCTCAAGTATGGCACCAGTGACAACCACGACAGGTATCTTGTTTCTAACGATAGCCATGTTCTACCGACTCTCGTGCCGTCTCCAAGACTTCATCATCTACATATACTGCTACAATACATACCAAGCCCAGATTCATAAAGCTCTCCCAGTACACTGGAGAGGCACCGGAGAGATCTTTGAAGGGAGACACTTCTGTATTGGAGAGACACTGGAGAGATTATTGGAGAAATAACTGGTGCTGTTAATGACAAGGACTTCTTTACTAGGAAGCCTGGTCGTCCTACCCTCTATTCCGTCTGTCAGGAAAGTTCAGCTCTCATTATTACACTTCTGGCCCAGCTCCTACATCTAGCGCTGCTCTTCTCCTAGCAACTGCTTCGGACTTGTTTGTGGGGAGATGGAGGTCATTACGATAGAAAAAGTGACAAAAGAAGCGAAGGTAGAAGCGAGGGTAGAAGGGATGGTAGAGACGATGACGACAACTCCATCGGATTACAAGAAATGGATTAGAAAGAAAGAGAAACGGTATTGTAGATTCATAACCTATCAAAACATGGTATTATCTTTGTTCTCAAGTCCGTTTTGCCAGTACTGTACAAAAACGGGCACAAACAGATGTTCTACTGCAGTAGTAAGAACCACGTAGGACTAGTTAATTACAGCCTATAATCTAACAAGATTAGTTAGAATTATGCTCAATAAGACTTTGACTCAAGTATGACACTAAATTACTTGAACCTCGCGAAGACGACACCAGAACCACACAAAAATCGCCCAAGTAATTTCTGAAAGCCGAAACATCTCCACAAACGTCCAGAAAATCCAGAAGATCCAGAAAATCCAGAAAATCCATCCGATTCACTCCTCCTCCCTCGTCCACCACTGCAGTCAGGGTAGCAGGCCACGTGCTCATATTTACACATTCTCAATTATGCAGCGGGTATATAGTTGGCATCACCAACTTTTTTTCAGCTCCGCACCACACGCACACAAGTGAGTATGAAACACAACAAAACAGACGACACCAAGACACAATGATGATTTAATTCAATGGGAATCTCTCCGACAATTTTCATGGAGGAAAAACTATAATATTGAACCTCTGATCTTGTGCTTCATGTGTTTGCTCGCTTTGACCATCACTAACATAGGCTCCTGAGTCGGATATTTGATGTTGATATTTATTAAGAAAGATATGTGGAACATGATTGTACAAGATGATTGTAGGTGAGAGGAGCTGGTACTGTTAGTCGTGAACAGAATGCGGCGGATGGGAGAGGGTGTTGGGGCAAAAGTTTGGTGGTCATCGTAGACAGGTTTGGAGGTACCTGTTACCGGTGGTACGCCGAAGGATGTGATGTCGCTCAGACGGGACGGACAAACCCCTAGATCACGGATCACCTTGGACGAGGACCAGGTGTAAGGGTGCAGTAAAGTTTGATACGAGTATTTCGATAGGTGTTCATGAGGTTCTCAGCGTTCAATCTTTATCGTACGAGTACAGCTACAGTATAGCTGAGGTTCAAGGACTGGAATTGGGGATTCTTTGACTGTCAGATGGATGTCTTCACCACTTGCTTATCAAACAGCCTTGACCGGTGTCTCTGAGGCGAGTCCGTGGCCCTGCGACCTGTCAGCAGAAGGCCAAGGGAGTTTGTCATTTTCTACAAGTAATTACACTTGTACTCGTACGGTGTAAGCAGATTTCTTGATCCTTCACCACCTTACCACAACGAAGAACAGTCCAGTTTGGGAATATCCGAAAAACGGAAACCATCGTCAATTTGACAAAGAAGCGTCGACACAGAAGCAGCATCGGAAAGTCCAAACCAAACTTCCGCTCTGAACGGCTTGGAATGGCCTGAATTTCTTCCATGTTCCTTTCAACTAGCTTCTCATTTACGTGAGTTAAAGGTTGTATAAATTAAGACATGTTGTTTGAACAAATGTGCACAGCTTAGTGGGTACCTACAGCAAGTTTTCGGAAGGAAAAAGGTCAGTTTTGCCTCCAGTTCGCACATCTGTGTTGATTTTTACTCTTGGAACTCTCGGATTTTGTCTTTTCCACCGGCTTCCATACCATTTCCTTCCTTCGTATTCGGCAGCTTAATTACCTGAATGCATAAGCGACGCACATTGTTTTCCTCCACCAACTACTCACTCTCTTGAACTATGATGAACTCCGCCACGAATACATAAACCCCGACTGCGTCACTTCTATTCCACCAGAACCAGAAAAGTTCACAATAAGTCGTTCCGGAAACGGAAGATGCCTTTTATAGCCTGCTGAGAATCAGTCCAGTCTACGAGACGGAGATCTGACTACAGGATGGTTTCATTTTTGGTCGTCCGTCTGAGTGGTTTGGGCCGATGTGGTGAAAATACAGAACCCGAAGAGTTGGATGATAAGACAATGACCCATAGAAAAACATCTATAACCTGAGAATATGGAGGTTGCAAGATGCTCCTAAATCAAGCTTGAGCAAAGTGTTCAAGTTCTGAGGTTGATCGCTTGAGAAGTGTAAATAATCTGACCTCCTTGTTGGCGTACAGCAGCAGCGATGCGATGGTTGTTTTGGTATATTACTGTACTTATAATTAATAATTCAAGCGAGACCAGATGCGGTAAGTGTGTATGAAACTGACAGTCGAGGAAATATTCAACGACTAACGGCTTAATCTACTGTACAAGGCATAGTTCAGTCTTAACAAAATAGTTATCGATAATGTAACTGGATAACATGACCAAATTGAGGACGTGGATACCAAATTAGAGGGAAAACGCACTGCGGGATTTCATTGGAAGCGCGCAACAATTCTTTTCCCAGTGAATGTATTTACATCAACACGAATGGGACACCGACTCAGACTTATATGTGGGTCTCTTGACCTGGGTCTGTGCTGGACCCCCTCCAAGTCAGTAGCAAACCGGTTGTCGTCCACTGGAGATCTACACCGGCTCGCAACATGCTAAAAATCAGCTGAAAAACTGAAAAATGTCCTGACCCATAGTGCTGGTGGAAGACTTAGAACTCCAGGTGGGTCTGAGACGAAGAACAGTTCTCGAAACTGACAGGAGTGTTGGATTGTTGAAATGATCTCTTCTCAATGCCCAATTGAGGAATCTCGGATCAGGATAGTCTCATCTTCTCCCGCTAAGGGGAAGGGAATCCTTCTCTATACTTAACTGCATCGTTCTCAGAAGATTGCTTGAGGCGATGGCTTCTTCCATATCTCCAGAGACTGGACTCCACGCCCCAGCCTCACATGGTCAACATCCGACGATACCTTTCTCATTACGTTAACTCTTGGGTGTCCCAAGCAATATGTACTCTGACATCTTGTCTTTGGCAGGTGTTTCTCTGTGTGCGACTTGGGATCTAGAATCGTTATAGAGTGGGCTCGCAGTGATTCTCCACTTCAGTGCCGAGTAACAGCAAATCAGATGAACTTATCATTTCCAATAAAGAATTTCATATCGGTGATATACAGTATATAACATTTAATTACGGAGTGCGTTAAAATAAAAATAAAAATAATTCCCCCAAGGTATCTTCCAGCTTGTACTAATCGGCAGCTTTGCGGAGCATCTTCAAGATCATGCGAAAGAGGTTCAAGTAATAGAACATTACAATGTCTATTATTTAAATGTAATATAAATTTATTCCTACAATTATCAATTTATTTCGAGTTTTGATTTGCGTGGTGGCAACAACTTCAGCTGAAATATGACCGTTTGCAACCGTTAAAATGGCGCATACTCTCGTATCATTAGTCCGTTTTATTTTCCGCAAATTAACAACAAAGACTCGCATAAGACCAACGTTTCGGCGTTGTATTACCGTTTCTGGTTCGTTGAATATTCAGGGTCATTCTTTTGCTGTCAAAGAGTGCAGGAGACAGGCGGAGAGAGATGCTCAAAAGTTGACAATCTACACCAATAAAAGGCCAATAAGACGCGGAATGATCTTCCGAGTCGGAATATGCAATCAAATTTTCGATAGCACCATTTCTGCTTCATCTATAGTCCTAGTGATTTAGTTCGGGTATGTGGGGCTGCATGAGTCGGATAGATTAAAAATCTGGGGTCTCAATCTAAAACAGCTTGTGGTTGTGCCACACAAAACGAATAGTATATCAAAAAAATCCTGGAATTTGCGTGTTTCGATTGAAACTACTCACGTGACCACATAATGATTATTCAACCGACAAATAGCGTGCCAAGTTTTGTGCTCTAAGTTTAATGGAAAAGTTTGACTCAGAAATGCGAGTCACTTGAGTCACGTGAATCAACAAAATTAGGGTTCCGGGAGTCACTTTGAGTCACGTGCGGCAAGGTTGGAGTCACTATTTGAGTCATGTATTTCGCAATTCATCTTTTTTTGTCCACAAAATGAATCATCTCGAGAACGACGATAAGCGCGTTTCTGTGGAAGAGAAGCAGCTGAGTGCCGAAGACGACACTTCTCTTTCCATCGCCGAACCTGCTGACGATGGTCTTCCTCCTACCGACAAGGGAATAGCATGGATAGCTATGATTGGAAGTACTCTTGGACTGTACACTTCGTTTGGATACATCAACGTTGTGGGGCTGTTCGAGGCCTATTATTTGCACCACCAACTGTCGCAATATTCGGCTTCAACCGTCTCTTGGATCACGTCTCTTCAGGCCTTCATCCTACTGGGAACAGGAGTTATTACTGGTCGTCTGGTGGAGATGTATGGTCCTCGAAAATTGGCTATTGTGGGAACTGCTTTTACCGTCACCGGTATCATGACTACCTCCGTGTGCACCAAGTATTGGCATTTCATCCTGGCCCAGGGCATCTGCACCTCTATTGGCAACTCGTGTGTTTACTATGCTTCCATTGTTTCCGTGTCCACCTGGTTCAAGAAATACAGAGCTACAGCTATGGGAGTGGTGGTGGCAGGAAGCAGTATTGGAGGCCTGACTCTCCCGTTTGTCTTCTCCAACTTGCAACCTCGAATCGGCTTTCCCCAGACAGTCAGGGCCATTGGTTTCATCATGTTGGGGGCCTGTGTGATCTGTTGTGTCACCATCAGTTCTCGAATTCCCCCCAACAAGGAGCTTCAGAAGAAATTCTTTGACTTTAAGACGGAGGTGAAGCAGCCGCTGACTTCGCTTTCCTTTTGTCTCATGGTCTTTGCACTCTTTTTTTCCTACTGGGGACTTTTAGGAACCATGGGATACCTCTCCACTCACGCTATTGCACATGGAGTGAGCCAGAAGACTGCTTTCTACATCATTTCCATCTACAACGCAGCTTCCATTGTGGGTCGAATTGGCCCTGGATTTGCTGCTGACAAGTTTGGCACCTACAACCTCCATGCTGCTTCTTGTTTTCTCTGTGGTATTCTGATTCTTGCCTGGTGGATTCCAGCAAAGTCGAACGGCACCATTCTCTCGTTTGCCGGAGTCTTTGGCTTTGCTACTGGTCCCTACACGTCCCTGTTTGCCAACCTGGTTGCCGATATCACTCCTCCTGCTGAGATTGGACGACGACTGGGCGTGGTGACCTTTTTTGTGTCCATTGCTGCCCTCACATCGATGCCTATCGCCGGAGCTACGCTGGACAAGGAGCATACCAAGTTTATTGGACTCCAGGTGTTTGCTGGTGTTACCATGTTGGTGGGAGGATGTTTTGTCCTTGCTAGTAAGCTGGCTGCCGGCAAGGGATGGTTGGAGAAGTTCTAGTTCGGAGCTAGTTCGGAGCTACCACAGTTGCTAATAAAAGAGCAAACCAACTCTTGCTGATGACGAGACGATGTGATGACAAAAAAAAGCAATGATGTATATACATTTAATGAACACCTAATTTTTCGATGGAGGTAAACAGATAGAGAGGTGGGTTTGGTCCATACCAAACACCGGACATTTCCCAATGGACCGAGAAAGATATCGCAGAAAAAGAAGAATTGATGGTATAAGTAGTAAATAACTGGTAATGGTGTACCTTGACAAACTGCTCATCTTTTGAGCAATATCACAATTATGTTTCATCTAAGTAAAACACCCAGCAGTAATGGAATGTTTACTTAAAACAGGACCAGACAATCTACATTCATCGCTTCCGCATAGATGTTCGTAAAAGTACAGTACAGTACAGTACAGTACAGTACTTGTATCTACAAAAAACTTACATATATCACGTGACTTGCCCTTCACTCACCCTCCACCCCTTCTCCACCCATCCTTCACCTGCTGACTCATCATCTCTCCCACGAGTTGGTTTTTTCTGCATGCGGCTTAAACAACGTGCTGCAATTGGTGTAAGGTAAACGAGGTTTGAGATCAACGTTGAGCCTACAGTAATATGTAGCAACGCATATGTGTTTGGGGGGGGGGGACGAGAATGTGTCACGTGAACTTACCTCTATCCTGGTGCACGTGACATCAACAATAGTATATCAGGTGCTGAAGCTGAATCACGTGTTTCCTTTCGCTCTCTCCGCCGGCCGCTTGTCGTGCCTACTCCATCTCTCCATCTTCATCTTATCAAACAATTAGAGTTGCATCAATGTGAGTGGTGTAATTTCGGACCCCGATAATATGACCCGTTCCATCGTTTTGACCAGTCGGGTGCTCGAGGTTCGAATTGCAGTCCACACGATTTGATGCAGTTTTCGATTTCCGAATAATCATGCCAGTTTCTCGCCAGTCCCTGTAATTACCGTTCTGCATCTCCCACGATAATCTCGAATCACCGTGGGCGCATATTTCCTAAAGTCGATCTTAAACTCAAGACGCTACAAGTACGCTGCACCACGAGAAGGAACTTGCACCTCACTTGACGACAATGTTACGAGCACAACTTCGACCTCGACTGAGAGGAGTGGTTCCGACGCGGTTTTTGCGCACTGGCCCGGTGGTATTGAACGAGCACAAACACGGTCCTAACGACAAGCACGAACACCAACACGGTGGTAAAGAAGGTCACAAACACGACCATAGCCACGGCAAGTCGGGACACTGTCACGAGGGCCACGACCACAGCCTGATGGGCATGCTCAAGGGACACAGTCACAACCACAGCGCCCAGCAAAATCCCATTGTTTCCGAGCCCAATGGGTGGAAGAACCCTGCAGTCCGAATCACCTGGATCGGGCTCTTCTCCAACGTGGGAATGGCGGGAGCCAAGGGCGTGGGAGGCATCGTGTTCAACTCCCAGGCGCTACTGGCCGACGCCGTGCATGCTGTGGGGGACATGGTGGCCGACTTTCTTACGCTAGCTACCGTCTCCATGGCCTCCAAAGATCCGACCAGACGGTACCCTCGAGGTTACGGTAAAGTCGAGGCCATGGGCGCTGTGGGTGTGAGTTCGATTCTGATTCTGGCTGGTATTGGCATGGCAGTCAACGGCTTCGACGCGATCCTTTCCACCTTCGACCTGCATCTGCCAAACTTCATGGGCCAGTTTGGACACTCTCACAGTCATGGCCACGTGGACACTAGTGCGGTGACCGACGTGGCAGACAAGGCGGCGGCTCCTGTGGCCGACATTAACGCCGCATGGCTCGCGGTCGCCTCAATCGGTATCAAGGAGTGGCTCTATCGAGCTACCATGAAGGTGGCCATTGAGAAGCGATCCAGTGTTCTGGAAGCCAACGCATGGCACCACAGACTCGACTCGCTGACGTCGGTTGTCGCTGCAGTCACTATTGCGGCTGGCCACTTCTTTAACGCCGCGTGGCTGGATCCTCTGGGAGGTCTGCTTGTTTCCTACGCCATCATTAAGGCCGGAATTTCGACTGGAAAGGAGTCTGTTTACCAGCTGATGGACCGATCTCTGGCTCTGGACGACGAGACATACGAGATGGTTCGAGATAAGGCAGAGGACTTTCTCCGGTCCAAGGGCTTGGACTACCGAGTGGAGAACCTGCAGGTGCTTCCTTCGGGACCGAACCTCTCGGCTTACCTTGATGTCATTGTCCAGAAGAACACTCTGACTCTGCCCCAGGCTAACCAGATTGGCAGAGAGGTCGAGGAGGATCTGATGAGAGAGATTGTGGGCATGAAGTGTGTTGATGTGCATATCCGAGAGGAGGGTGAGAAGCTCAGAGGCATTATCTAAATTGGCTATGCTTGATTCGACGGTGCTATGAAGCAGACATGCACTCAGGTATTAGCTGGAGGACGTCTGGCTGGTCTATTTACTTTAGCCAACCAAGCCTTCATTAAATGTAGAAAGGACAAGAGTCCAGGATGACCCAGCCGACTGTAAAGTCAGGGGATGTATATAGACGAAGCATAGATGAATGAGATACGATTGAACACTGAATACGGGGTCTTATCAGCGAGTCTACATCTATTTACGCGCACTTGACGGCATGATATTATAGAACTTCCCACATGTGATAGGGTTGCAAGGGATGATTGATATTATGTTTCATATCCGAGGAAAGTCATCAGTGAAGTAGTCGGATCTACTTCATTCCTTCTCGATGAATTCCAAACCAGGCAATATTGATAACCTAGATCAGCTTGAAACAGGTATTCTTGTCATCAAGACACGATAGCCACCAATTTACCGGTACAATACTGTACTCGTCCATTATGTATAGCTCATAGGACATGCAAATGGTGTGGACTAGTTGCTATGGAGACGGATGACGTCTAGTAGCACTCTTATGGAGATGTTGGCACAAAATAACAAGAGGTTCCCTCTCTAAGTAGAGCTTCAGATCAACTGCAAAAGCGGGTACTGTACCTACAGCGCAGCAGCACATGATAGTGCCAGATGCACATGGGTTGTGGGTGGGAAGGGAGGGAAAACTATGTGATTGTAGCTTTGAGGGTCCAAAACTACCACAGACAGCTCCACGTTGCCTCATTTCCCCTGGATAGCCGTTTTTGTCCTTTTTTGGCAACCATTTGCTGATCTGGCGTTTCTCCTGCAGGCAAGCCGACACAACTTGTGATGATGTTTCGGGACGGGTTATAGAAATATCAGGGAATCCTTCAGATCTGGTTGCAAACCACCTCGGTTCTATGCCTGGTCCATCCACACCAGATTCACGCAGATTCACGCAGATTCACGCAGATTCACGCAAATTCACACAGATTCACAGTATGTCACACACGATGAAACAAATGTGGACTCGACTTTCCATCCACATTTGTTTCGACAGTAGCATGCCATTTCCTGTGGCACTGCTTCTTGTCTGCTTCAAACAGTCGTTTGCCACATGCCTCCCTGAAAGGCTCACTCAATGGAATGCATGTGTAGCACAAGAGGCATACGGTGCCGATGTGGCAGTCAAGCAGACGGTGGAGCGGGTGTGTATTTAAATGTCAGGGAGGTAGGGGAAATCCAACACAAAAATCGCCCAGCATCTCTCACAAACACCTCTCTCAATGTCCCGCATTCACGATCGACTTCCCTCCGAGCTCATTGACAACTCTGGCTCGCTACTGAAGCCCCCGTCTTTGGGAGAACGATACGCCAACTGTGTTCTTCACAAGGGTCAAGTGGCTACTTGAGATCAACCCAGCAGTCAACCGAGACCCTTAACACGCACACCAGCGGCGCAAAAACGCAACAAAAGACACGACAGACAGTTCCAGATTCCTGGTTGTACCAATTGAAGAATTAACTGATTTAAACGGATTTAAACTGATTTAAACTGATTTAAACGGAGTATTTATTGTATGTATGTATTGTAATTCAGAATAAAAAAGGTATTTCAAATGCTGAAAATTATTTTTACATGCAGGTTTTAACAAGGAGTCGTCACATTGTTCTTCTGGATGGCCGTGGTGTAATCAAAAAAATCATTAAAAATACCTCCCAAAAGAGAGTACAATCCAACAAACCTCCCAAAACCACGCCTGGGAACACGTTGCAAGTCTCAGGTTCTCTCTACCACACTTGTGGCACAAGATAGCCCGTATCTCAATAACCAGACATCCCAGCATCTCCAAACCAAAACCAATCGACTCCCCCAAACAGTAGCTTTCAAACGCGACCAATATCGATCCTCCCAACCCCGCCAAAGAGGTCCCTGAAAAGATCTCGTTTCTACCCCTCAAAACAAAGTTCAAGGCGTCTTTTGGATTATCACGAAAACAAGAGTGCCTCAGATATCCCAATCGGGCCTGACCTCATCGACTAGGACCAGCCGAAACGGGACAAGTGGAGAGAGCAATGTAACGTCGGTCGCAGTCACGTGACCGGAGAGGGAGATGTGGGGGAGGGAGGGAAGGAGGGAGGTGCGAGTGATCACGTGACTCTCTAGCCAGCCGCGGCGGTGAGACGGACATTCGACGGGGGGGAGACCGACTTTCGATCGTTGCGGGTCACGTGACCACTCACTGCAATCTGTCCAATCGGAAGTATCGGCTTTTAAGCGGAAGAAAAGCGCGGGTTCCGAACGGCGGCTTACGGCGGCTTACGGCGACTTTATTTGAGCGGCCGAGCCGTTTTTCGTGTCGGGGTCCCTCTTTGCGAGGTTGTGTTTCTGCTCCAGCCGCTTGCCACCCGAATATCCCTCGTTTTGGCCCTTTTCACATCCACCTCCTGTGTTGGGCGCAAGTGTTGGGGGCTGAGTCTCAGAGCTCAGTATGATAGTTACAGTTGGGACCGTCAATAGTTAGATTACAGTTGGCCAATGGAGGGGCGTGGATTTTACGTGAATAACGACCAAAGCGCCGAAAGATGTAAAAACATGTAACGGAAAAAATCCGGGAAAATCGCAGCTATTTACCGGCCTCAGCGGCCATCGAATGAATGTCCTAAATCGCCCACAACTCGTCAGCTGCTCCAGTCACACGACTTCTGCATTAGATACATGCGCAAAGCATGATGTGGCCAGTTCCAGAGAGAAGATGGATTTGGGAAGGTTCTAGAACGGGGTACGGAGATCCAATCTGGTTTCTGAGAACTGCGATGCAATATCACAAGTCAGGAGGTTCGATTGAAGGTTTTACGGGCTTTCTATCGCCACTTTCAGGCTCTAAAATCCCCTGTAAAAATCCAACCTGTTGAGCCCTCACATTAGTAAAAGCCATCAAGCGCAAACCTTGGAAAAATGTCAAACTCAGGCGCCATCGGGCGACCTTCTGGGGTCTCTACCGGGGCCGTAATAGTACCGAGAAGAGGTAAAGATTCGATTGGCTGGAATCTCCTCATCGCTGCGGTTTCAACGCATCTTCTCTCATCTCTCTAGCTGTCCTAGTCGCTCCAATATAGATGCTATACTCACATGAATCGAAGTGAATGGAAGATGCATGGCGATGGAGTCCGATGGCGGTCTCAAACCCTCTCGAAACCGACTGGAGAAGCTCCCATTGCGATTTTGGCGGGTTTAAACCCCCTTCCATCTCCTCTCTCTGCCTTCAAATCCTCTTCCCGAACCACCAGGGTCTAGTTCCTCGTGCTCCACATTTTCACACGCCAATAAGCTTCTTAGTTGCACCTTTTTTCTGCATCCCCAAACGGGAGAAGGGTATTTTAGGTGCGTATAACAGGACACCAGAAAATCCGACAGCAATGGAAAAGCTCCCAAAAGATGCAGAAGAACGAGACGAGTGGAATGCACTTTTCAGAATTGCAAAACCTCCGCCACAACCCTAACTAGAGACACATTAAGTTATCTCACCGAAACCTAATAAGACTATAGATACTACAGCGTGACTACAACTCCCCAACAGCTTTTGGGTCCTTGAGGAACGATAGGACCACCAAGGCAGTTTTAATCTGCTCGGAAGCGGCCGGAGTACATTATGGAGTCATAAAATCACCTGGGTACCATACAAAATTACCCGATTATCTGCCTCGGCAAGTGCCAAATAAGCTCCTGCCACTTCTGCCCTTGCGCATACAGTTCAAAAAATCACTGCAGCTCGCACATCTACATAGTCTCGAGAGTTGCACGCACTTACTTTCTTAACCACACCACACACCACACCGCTCATCACACAATGCTCCGAGTGGTTCGACACAGCGGCGCTCTGCGACTCGGCCGAGCAGGCCTCCACAACTATTCGCCCCTGCTCAACTCGCAACAACCGCACAGCACCGACAAGCAGCAGAATGTGCCTGAATCGTTTCTCAAGGGCCAGAAACAGCGAGAGAACCACACAACCAAAGAGGGACGGTCGCCCGGGCCCCATTCCGATCTCGAGCCCCTGGAAGACACAAAGTACTCGGCGGCAGCCCGACACTACATCAGAGAGAAGAGAGCCGAGGAACATCTCAAGAACAGCCCCGAGGCCGAAGAACCACTAAACGACGCCCGGCTGCAGTTTGCCAAGGACCCCTCCATCAAGCGATACCTGGACGCCAACCTGGGCTCCATTTCTGCGCTCACCAACTTTTCGGACCTACCTCAGAACTTTGGAAGCAACCAGCAGATTCCTCTGGACGCAGACCTCCGAACCACCCTGCGCCAAGTGCTGTGGACCTTCAAGGCGCCCATCCGGTACTCGTTTGCGTACGGCAGCGGAGTGTTCAGCCAGGGCAAAGAGTCCAATGCCTCCAAACCCCAGGTCGATCTCATCTTTGGAGTCAAGTACCCCAACCACTGGCACTCCCTCAACCTGAAGCAGAACCCCCACCACTACTCGGGTCTCAAGTATCTTGGATCTGACGCAATCGCAGCCATCCAGGAGACCGCTGCTGGCTGTTATTTCAACCCCTACGTTGAGATCAACGGCCTGAAGATCAAGTACGGTGTGGTGTCCATGGAAACTCTCTCGCGTGATCTCTCTGACTGGAACAAGCTTTACATGGCGGGCCGAATGCACAAGCCAGTGCGGATCCTGCGAGATGACCCCCAGATGCGGTTTGTTAACCAGGCCAACCTCATCAGTGCGCTCCGAACCGCGCTGCTTCTGCTGCCCAGACACTTTTCCGAACTGGATCTTTACAAAACCATTGCCGGTATTTCCTACATGGGCGACCCCCGAATGACTTTTGGTGAGAACCCCCACAAGATCAGAAACATTGTCGAGAACCAGTTTGCCAACTTCCGACGGCTCTACTCGCCCATCATGGACACCCTCCCCAACCTCAGTCTACAGAGCGTGGTTGGAAAGAAGCTGGACGACAACTCGAACCTTGAGATTGGAGAGCTGGAACAGGACATGGACGCTACCCGACGAGGTAACATGGTTGTTCGTCTTCCCGCAGAGTTCAAGAGCAAGCTCTACACTCGATATGCACACAAGGTCGACCGATCGACGCTTCCCGACGACCCCCACTTCATGGAGGCTCTCTCTCGAGGAGATGCCTCTGGCTCCGGCTCCATCGCCAACAACCGATGTTCGGAGTTTGATCGAATCATTGCATCCGATCCGCATCTTGAAAGAGAGGCTGCACGTATCATTCGACACACGGTTGGATGGACATCGGCCATGCAGACTTTCAAGGGCATTTTCACGGCGGGTCTCGCCAGAAGCGCAAAGTACAGTCTCGAGAAGATCCGCAAGGCCAACAAGGCTAAATAGGCATTGCTAACGTAAGTTATAATAAAATTGAATATCACAGACTATAGTAGCGATAGTGGAAGAAACGGAGAGTATTATTTGGAGTTGAGGGTGTCTTAGTGACTAGTTGGAGATGTGTCTACAGGGTATAAGTAGGTAGACAGTTCTTGATGTCGGAGGGATCCGTGATGATCAATGATAGATGAAACTGCTGATATTATAGAGTATTCAACATCTACAGGTAATCTTGACACTCCCAAGCCAAAGGGTCTCTCTATTGATACTCTCCTCGGTGGGCTATAGACGGGTGAGCGCCCCAGTGAGCTTGTGACAATAAAGGAACAAGTTTTAGTGATACTTATCTACTTCCAAATAACACAACGAAGACCTTTATTACCTTCTGTACCTCTTGATAGTGCTCCTGTCAAGCCTATTGAGAATGGCTCCCGAGATAGACATTTTCAACAAGACATTACAACGCTCACGGTAGATAGAACTTTACGAAATATCGTCTGCCTCTACAGTGTTTAGATGAAAATGTTTCTGTATTATTAAATATCATATAAATTGCATATTGGCCAAAATGGAACGTTTTACGGTACTTATTGAAAGTCCGTATTTGGAACCATAGTTCTTGCGCCGATGGTTTAGTGGTAAAATCCATCGTTGCCATCGATGGGCCCCCGGTTCGATTCCGGGTCGGCGCAGTTTGGTTACGGCCATATCTTGGTGAAAATACGGCTTCCCGTCCGATCAGCCATAGTCAAGCACCAGAGAGCCTAGTTAGTATTGTAGTGGGAGACCATACGAGAATCCTGGGTGCTGTAATCTTTTGTCCTTTTTGCCCTTTTTGCCCCTTNTGCCCTTTTTGCCCTATAGCCTGTGTGCTGCCTCTGTCTGGTATTTGCAAGTGCTCATTTTATTGCAATGAGCGGGGTCCCGTAGTTACCATCGTAGTTTAGAAATTTCAGTGTACGTTTATTGTTAAAACTAACTGGTACAGTTATACCAACAAAACAGGTAAAATATAATGAAGTTATCAGATTGTCAACTACTATTCAACAACTTTTCAACAATACCCGCAAGTTGGTCAAAACGATACACCAGCACAGAAGGACACAGACATAAGCATAGACTGACACAGATATCGACATAGACTGACACAGAAAGCAATTGACCTTACATAACCATCATACATCTCGGTTTCATCTATGAGACCCCACGATGATCTGAGATCGTGACCTTGTCAATTCTCATCCTCAGAGAGATGGTACCGAGTACCATATCAGGAACAATACTGTCATGACCATATCACTATCTTGCTTGATCATATTTCCACTGTGGTCAGAATACTGTAAGCAGATGTCCCTAGATCGATCAGCTCCATCTGGTCTGCGCTTCTAGGATGTGAATGTTTCTTGGGATACTCTTGCGCGAACTGTCCAGGCTGATTTGGTGGACAGAGGTTTCTTGGTCCGATAGTAGTTTTTCTTTTCTGAAACTCGTCCAACGAACGTCGGTCGTAAGCTCGTAAGATAGAACGACAACAGGGGTGTTGCTGCAGTGAAGATCATAATGTAGAGAGCCCTTGCAGTCCGCAGTCTGTGAATAAGAGAGTATTTGACGCACTAATCAACGGCGTCTCGCTTCTTTGGCCCAGGATAGGCGGCAGGATGCTAAACCATGCCCAAGATGTGTGGGCCATCTCTTGGGAACAAAACGGGCCGGTTGTTTTCGTCATTTACCCATTCACAACTGAGAAGTAATCACAGGGAGAAAATATCACACAGTATCCAGAACTATTGCAACATCTAGTCCGACTGTTTGAAAGTCTACCAAGACGATGATCTCTCAGAGCTGAACGACTCATGGATAGAACTTGGGTTAAACGCACTAGTCGCTGCTTGTTAACTACCGAAGATCATGAGGATGGAAGTAAACATGGGTGTGTGATAGTTTCAGCCTCTTTACAGATATATGCTACTATCAGTGACATTCCAGCGTGGACTTGTCCATCGTACTCTTCTAGAAAGATGAAATGCATTCAGAAATACCATTAATTTATCAAGGATGTGCATTACTGGGCTCTCAAGGGTGTGGGTTTGATTTGGACTCCTCTTCTTTCAACCCAGGCCACTACAACAACTGCTTGTAAGGATTCTGAAGATCTCAGCCATAAATCCATACGTAAACAGAAGTTCAACCCTTTGTGCGGCGGCCGCTGTGATCCTCAATGAATCTGCTCATGAATGAAGATAAACGTCTGTAGCAGGAATGCAGGAGCTTGCAACCCAGAGACATGTTCTCACGGAAACATTGAATCATTGACTGCTTGATCCTCCTATCGTGTACGACGAAAAAAATGTGTCGTCAAACTGTAGAAGTAAACTGTGGGGACAAGTTCAACAAACCACTCCATTCAGTTTGAGCGGACTGAGATGTTAACAAACCAGAATGGACATTGAATAGTCCATGGTTTTGCTCTAGGGGCCCAAAGAAGAAGACCAGAACAATCTGACAGCAGTGGAATACCTCTGGTTTTGTACTTATCAACACTTATCAACACTTGTTGCTCTACGACTCTCTTCTTCCAGACCCAGCTAGTTGCAACACTACACTACCATCTCTCCGTATCGTCCAGCTCTCCTCTGAATTCCAGAGATATAAGACAAGTACATATCACTATGAAGCAACATGGTGATGTCTGATGTCACTTTCCTCTCCACCATCTTGGAATGTCAACTCTGCAGGACCCTTCAGCATCCAGTATAGGCCAAGAGTGGGTCTCAGAAGGGGGAGGTTGAAACAACCAGAACATTGTCTTGATATTGAAAGTGAGAATTTTATCAACCAATCTCTCCTGACTGTCTTTTATCTTTTTCCGCTCTTTCAATTAGTTCACACTCTCCATGGTAAATGAAGAAGAGACATTACTTAGAGATAATGTTACCATTGAGACCTTAAAAGAAGTCCCCAAGCTATTAAAGGCCATTTATAATGCTCTATCACAGTTTATCTGATCTCTAACATCAATATTTCGCCATTTGAAACGCCGTGTATATTTTTTTTTTTACTCTTTTTTTTAATTTTTTTTATTCTAATGATTCAGAATTTTAATTTTAGTCAGCAACTATATGAGCTGGTACGATTTCAATTTTTTTAAATAACAATTCTGGGCGTCTGGTGTAGTTGGTTATCACATGCGCTTAGCATGCGCGAGGTCCCCGGTTCGATTCCGGTGTCGTCCATTCTTTTTTGTTTGTTCTCTCCACCTTTTTTTTTCCGTCCCTCCACCTCAGTTTTTACACTTCTGAGTCATGATTATCCATCATCGTCGAGAAAGCCTCTCTCTGTTAGTCTCCACGCTCACATAGTTGTACCCTGTCTTGTGTCTTAACTTTCCATTGTTAGTGTACGCCAGCTCCATGGATCTCCAACTAAGCCAAAAGTGGATACGAAGCAACCCTGGCTGCTCCCTCTGATCGACAAAGCACTAGTGCGCTTGAGTAAAGAAACATTCACAACTCCGACCGCATACCAGGGTTTCGCTGCTCCTCCAGCTTCCAATTTCGGAGATTCCGGAGACTTTATTTGACTAGCGAGATCATGACAGACCAAACTTATTTCACAAGCCGCGGTTACCGCTAGTCTGACGTCAGGGTCTACTGGAGCTAACGAGTGTGGTAGGGAAGCAGCCACCTGGTTAGCGTGTCTTTTCCTTGTCGAAGGAGACATGGCCTGATTTCGAGGAGGCCAAGAGGGCCCAAGGGGTCAAAACTGGGTCAAAGAACGACGAGAGGTTGGGCTCCGGCCACCTTTAGCTGCAGTTGAAACATTTAAGTGTTTATTTGCTTTTTCTAGCATCCCCTGCCTCTGCACTCACCCGACGGGCAGTAGTGGGTTCATGTGGAGGTTATCCTATCATATCAACGACGGAAGACAGTTTTGAAACGAGTTGTTGAAGTCTCAACTTCTGAGACCATAAATGAACGTCCACCTTTGGTTTTATGGACGGCCTTTGGCTCAAACAACCAGTGCGCATCTGTTGCTTGAGTCAATGTCGCATCCCAATCCTCTACAAGCCTTTTGACAAGGGCCCTTGAAAACCAAACACCCTTGAACCCTGTATGCACGTTAGAGTATAGGTTTACTTTGTCTAGCTTGGTCTTGTGGGTGAACGGTGCTAGGAAGAACCCTCCTGCTGAGCTCTTGGCCCCCCTTGTTCCCGAAGCAGCCCTCGTACTAGTCCTTGTTGTAGACTTAACGGGCTTGCGCTGCTAAATGGCTGCCAAGATAGACCACGTTGGACCCAGAAAACATGGAGTGCGAAGGCGGAGCCAGAGGTTCTTCGCCAAACAGGCGTTGTTAGGTTGGGCTCGCTGTGCGGACGGCGGACTCCGAGAGCGAAAAACTTGCTGACGTCTTGCGGCATCCACGGAAGGGCACAAGTGCATGATCCAAGCAGGAGGACTTGTCATTACTAGCTCCGTCTAGTCGTTAGTGTGTTCCACTTGTTTGTTGGTAGTGGACAGGCGGGAGAAAGAAGCGTGATGATCCGGAAACGGGTAGGAATGGAAGCAAGTAGCGTGGGCTAGTGTAGTGAACCACGAGACACAAGGGAACGGGATCTCTGGACAGAGAAACGGGCTGCGTATCGGGTTATTCTTTGTGTTTCAACCACACTGCCCCCTTCAACAAAGCTCGGGCAGTATTATGTCATCATCAGGGCCTGAGCCTTCAAAAAAAAAAGCAACAAAAAACAAATCTGCCGGAACATCTCCATAAAACAGCACAGACTTGAGTCAAGCCGATCTTTCGCAGACACCTGAGATCCTGGAGAATGGAAATGGGCCGGGGTCTGTCAAATAATGACGTACATGAACAGCACAGTAGCCTGTCAAGTAAAGCACGAATATGTCAACAGGAGGAACTTGTAGAATGAATGCGTCGGAGTCCTTTGGGAGACACAGACTGGACCAATAAAAGACAGGCACATGTGTTATCAGAGCTCGATAACCGGT